GTTTTAAGAGGTTAGCACAGAAATCAATGATTCAGCATGTTGGATTGTTAATTAATCTAATTAATATCAACTATTAGTACTTGGATTAGTATTTAGCATTTTCATTACGACTGAATTCAACAAATTGGCAGCTTATTCCTACACTATAATTTAGCAAGAAATAAGTACTTTTGTCTTGCTTTTCTGCTAATTAAGCAATAAATTAAAAATTCTAATAGTTTTCCTACAACGAATTGACTAAAGATTTCTCTGCTTGATTTCTGATTTAATTATCGGTATTTGTATATGCTGCTACTAATTGTTCATAGATTAAAGATGCCATCCCCAAATTATTATTTAAATTATTTAAAAAAATACACGAAAATTTATCAACTTCATTACTCACAAATTAAAATATGTTAATTTTGATTTCACTTCATATAATATTTTTATATACCTCACATTTTCAAGATTTCTTCCATCTTCGGGAATTTCCCATCTCTCATGTATTCCTTTAATGTAAGATCCATTTTGTCTTCACATTTCCTTCTGCACATTGATCGTTTGAGAATTAACAATCCCTTATAATTTGAAGCATTCTCAATATCGCAAATCTCAATGCATTCATTGAACTTTAACACTTCAGGGTGAAAATATTTCTTTAAGAACTGCTATCCCCGATATTCACATAAATGGTATTCATTTCCATCAAACTTTTCTAATTCATCCCTCTCAGCCTCGCTTAATTCATAAGGAGGAGCCCTGCTTTTAAAATACCTATAAATTAATTCATCCTATAGTGATCTGTTTTATTTTTATTACAATTCTAAAGTATATGCACCTTGGAATTTTTGAACACAACTAGATGCAATTAATCCAATAACATCTTTTGGAAAAGGACTTAAGTAGTATTGCTTCTCAGGTTTTTTAATGCTCATTAATATTACTTTTGTTAATTATTCTTTTTCTCTAAATTTATTGATTAATAACAAGAATATATAAAAGGATAGTTCATAGTTATCAAGAATATTAGAAGGAAAAGCTAATAAAAATTATTATAAAAAATAAAAAATTACTTAGAAAATGAAATCATTATCTGTTCCTAAACACAATAATTACAAACCTTTAAATAATAGCTTTAGTACTCCTGATAAGAAACCTAATAAAGTATGCGTATGAGTTATATAAGAGTAGATTAAATACTTAATCAACTTTGAAGTTTAGCGGAGAAATGATGTCCGTTTAAAGTTATTTATACGAACAAGCTCATTTAAAGGAGGAGACTTCAAAAAAAGAGTTCATAAGATAAATCAGGAGTGTAATCGACAATCTTGAAAAGAGTAAGAGTTTTAAGTAGTTAAACTAATAACTCTCTAATTTGATAGTCGGATTAAGGACATGCATACATTAATAGGATGCATCAAATTAGATAATTTAATTAATCCAAATGATCAGAGACATTGTCAATAATCATTAAAACAACAAGTAGATTCATTATACTAAGGATAAAGCAATATTGCTCCAAAAAATTCATGAATTAGAATTACAAGCAAAAGAAAATTAATTTTAATAAGGTATCTAATAGTCTATTTCGTTTAGAATTATAAATACAAAATATGAAAGCTTAAGAGAGAATAAAAAATTATGAAATTCAATTAGAATAAATTAAAGAGGTAAAAGAATAAAAGCATCAAATTTAACCATAAAAGTAATAAATGAATAATTATGAAAAAATGCAATTGAAGAACCAGATTTAATTGATGCAATAGAAAATTGAGACACTCTCAGATAAAGAGAAGAAATTAATTTAATTAGTAAAAGCTGTAAAATAGAGAGGCATTGATATTGAACACATATACAGAAATATTAATTAGGTTTCGAGTAGAAACAGTCTAATTATAAATCAAGAGAATGAAGAACAGTTTGTAGATAGTTCATATTCTGATTTCGCAGACATCTCTCAATTTGATATTGGCTAGAGTAGTATTAAAAGAAACCAAAAATTTTTATTAGATTGACATTTTTATATCTATATATATAAAGTATTTACATCATAAATAAAATTTATTAACAATGTATAATTCCAAATCTTTATGTAATATTAACTACTATCCTTACTAGACCAATAAGTATCTCCAAGTAGTGGAAGAATATAAAAGATATCAGAAAAGTTATCAACCATATAAATTGGAGTAGAGAATGAGAGATTCTAAAAACTTGAATAAGCTGAACAAAGAATCCAATAAGCTGAAGATGCATTTAACGAATTTTAAGAATAAATCTTTACTAAACTAAATGGACTTAGAGATTAGGTATTATATTATCATAAGTATCAGTTAGGAAAATTGTAGAAATAAGTTGAAGAAGATAAATTAGCAAAAGAACAAGCCAATGAAACTAAAAATAGAGAGGTGTCAGCATTAGAAAAGAAATTTGAAAATGCAATTGAAACTGAGACTCAGGCTAGAAAAGAAGGGGAATCTAAAGTGCTACGTTTGTTGGAGGATAAAACAGCATTATTAAGAACTGAAGTTTAGAAAGAAACAGCAAGCAGAGTTGATGCTATAGAGGGAATCCATTAAGGTTTGTAAAATGATTTACCAAAAATTCAAGAGGCTATCCGAAATGAAGCTACTGAAAGAGACGAATCTGATTAAAATGTATACATTTAGCCATTTATTATTAGGTTATGAAATCAATCACTGATGAACTTGTCAAATTAAGTAATTTAATTAATGTGGAAAAGAGAAATAGAGATGAAAGTGAATAGTCAATCTTTGAAATGTTAAAGGATATTGTTAATAGAGTGAAAGTGGAATTGGATCAAGAAAAGAAGACAAGGTAATCTATATTTCTAAACTTTGATTAGGGAATAATCGGAAGAGCATCTTTTAAGTCTATTAGAAGATACATGTAACAAATTAAGTATTGCAGCAAATCTATGATCGATTATATAAATATTTTATAATTAAAATTATTCATCAATGTCAAAAGAAGTAGTAATAATTTATTTATACTATGATAGAGGTCTATTTCAGCTCATGACCCTATGATCAAGAATGCAAAATTCTAGACTTAAAGAAAGTATTCAATATTCTAATCTAGTTATGTAAATGTTTCCAAATTTTGGCCAGAAAACGATTATCATGATAAAGAAACTCTATATTTTCAATTAAAGACTTTGAAAGAAGAAATCAACTTCATGAGAACAGAGAATATCAAGTTAAAAACTCGCATTTTATAATAAGATGTATTGTAAATTTTAATTTGTTAGAAAGAACTCTAGAATATTAATAAGTATTTTGAAGATCAATAATTCAAACAGAATCCTTTGTCTAAAAATCATGAGTATATCATCTAATAGATCAAAAAATAAAATAAAGATTTATAGCAGCAATTATCAGAGAAATTGTATATCATCGAATAAATGAAAAAAAATATAAAGGTTACAAAGATATAAGAAATCTAGATTCAAAATTAACTATATAAGGAAGAAATTAACAAATTGAAAAAGATGTTATTGGATTAAGAAAACAACAATAAAGAGTATATTCATATATTATTTCCAAGATTCTTAAATCAATAGACAATGATAAAGGAGAATTTCTTAAAAACCTAATAGGGATTTATCAAATAACAAAATGAAATTAATGATTTGAAATAATAATAATAAAATGATTAGTAGAAAATCAATTAATTATAAGTATTTTGTTTAGATTTATTAGAATGAAGTTACAAAATTAAATCAGATTAAACTCAATTTAGAGGATAAAATAAAAAGAATGACTACAGAATAAAATAAAAAGAGTTCTACAAACTCCTTTAGAAGTAATAAACTTTAAGCAACAACTGAAATATCTTGCACTCAACTTAAATCTAAAACTCAAGATGAACTTTAATATAAACTAATAATTAGAGGTATCACGCATGAATAATTCACATAAATGATCTAAGAATTAAAATAGCAGGCAATTGATTTAAAAAAACAAATTGAAAAGGAAGACATTGAATATATATTAAGTTAAGAGCCTTTTAGTTTAGGTTAAGACAGAATATAGGAAGTGATTAAATCATTATCATAATCTGGTAATAGGTTAGCAGATAATTTATTGAATTAAATTGGAAAATATAAGACATTTGTTGATTTTCCTGATTTTAAAATTTAGGAAGCTGAGAAAATCATTAGATAAACTTTGAAATAGCCAGAAATAACCTAGTATTTATAAACTAAACAGATTTAACTCTGGAATAAAGAAGATGTTGCTTAGATGATAAAATGTTTAAAGATCAATTGGAGTGAACCTGTCTTATTGTTCTATATCTTGAATGTATAAAAGTTTATCGATTTTATAGTTATTTGAAAAATCTGGCTAAGTACTCGAATTTAAAAATGAGACCATTATTGACCCTTTTCCATAATTGATACAGAAAGAGTCTTCAAGAATAATAGAAGAAAGTGAAGAAGACTTATTTGAATAGCTATCTGATAAATCTGAAACTGTTATAATTTAAGATACTGATCAATATATCACATGAAAATGAATATTATTTACTTTTATAAACAAGTAATCAGATTTCAGAATAGGAGTTTTCAAATGAGTACATTTTTAGAACTCTTTGAAATCTCTATCTGTTATTCTCGAGTTTTGTTAACCTTTCAATCTTTCTATAGTCTTTCTATCTAAGCTTTAGAATTATTTATAAATAAATTATTTTATTACTTATTTTAATACCTCTATCAATTTTCAGTATTCATGATGCTTTAGTAAAGATGTCTTCCTTTTTATTATCTTTATTCTTTAAGGTTGTTGTTCTCATTCTCTAATTTTATTGTACTTATAATAGTTAATATAAATATATATATATAATTCTATTAGAGGAGTTATGATTAAGAGTTTACAAGAGAGACTGGATACATTAGATTTATGAGTAGGGGTAGTATTTATGCATCTATGAATAACAATAAGATAATAATTATTATTATTTATTAAATATGAGTTCTCAGATAAATCCTCAGGTTTCAGTACCTAAGTTTCTTTGTCAAAAAGAATTTTGCAAGAATAAATCAGAAAATATGAGAACGATTTTCTCCTGTAATTTGTAAAAAGATCTTCATATTGATTCTATTATTAATTGCAAAGGTTGTATTGGAAAGAAAAAAGATCCATCCACCAATTTATGTTAAATAAATCTTGATGACTTGTATTTGCAATTGAGAACACATAAAATACATGAGAAAGAAATATTGGATTATCTTGGACAATAAAATCAGAAATTAGAGCAAACTATTTAAAATGCTAGAAATAAGATAGAAGAATAAGCTAGGAAAATAAGAGAGATTGGTTAAACTATTAGATAAATGTGTTTGTTTCAAGAAAATTCTAAGTTAATGGAATTTATAAATAGAGAAGGATAGGCTTCATTGGATCTATTAATAAAGATGGTATAAGAGTTAAGGGAAAGAATTTTGATTGTTGAAGACGGAGGATAAAATAGTCAACAGTAGATACAATATAATCAAGATAAACTCAATGTTATTTATGAAAATGGAACTATTAGAATTGATGAGTTTCTAAAAAATAAGCTACAGTAAATGGCATAGATGAATAGTCTTTTTGAAAAATAGGTTTCATTAATAAATAACGATAATTTTAATTTTAATCTAGAAAGAAACTAAGATGTTACATCAAATTACTAAAAGATTGAAGGGAATTTATCTGTTAAAAAGATTTACAATTTGAGATTTAATCGATCTAATAATTTGTTTGCAATTGGAACTAGCAATTTTGATGATTAAAAGGCTAATTGTATGGAAATTTGGAAAATTGAAAATAATAAAATTGAGTTAGTTTAAAGGTTGAAGCAATATCCAGATGTTACTGCCTTTTGTTTTAGCAAAAAGGATGATTCCCTAATTACAGGAGGTTTGGATTACAAAATTATTCTTTGGTAGTAAATTTCTAATGGGGAAAATCCATATCAAGATTTGGGAAAAATGCCAAATATATTAACAAAGGGATAAATTAATTGTATTGAAATAAACTAAAATTCAAAAGTTTTAGCAATTGGAAGTGAAGACCTAATTATTTTGGGTTAAAATAATAATAATTGGGAATTAATTAGTTAATCTAAATAAAACGTTAAGAACATAGCTTTTTCCAATTGTAATAAAATAATTGTAGTTTAATGTATCAAAAATAAGGAAGAGAAAATTGAATTATATTATATTAAAGAGTAGGACAATTAAAAAATTGTAATAATACCTTACATAGATTTAAATTAGACACAATAAAATTAAACTATATCAAGTACAAGATTCGTGTTTTCAAATTTACTAAATTAAGTCAAGGTATATAAATTGAACAACAATGAATTATCGAGTGTAGATAATGAAACAATCGAATAATTGAACTTAATTTAAAAAAATGGCATTGGATTTTGTTCAAACTTCAATAGTACCAGTCTTTTAGCCTATTCATAAAATATTAACGATAAGGCAGTTACTTAGATACTCAAAATCAACGAAAACAATTAAGTAACCTTGCTTTAATCAATTTAATAAAAGGGATAAAAATTATTTTTCTCAAATGGTGGCAAGATACTTGTTATTTGGGATGGGAATAATTTGGTTGTCTTCAAGAATCAATCTAATGCAAGATGAGAATGATATTTGCAATTTATAGAAAGTGCATATAAATATTATATATCTGATTAGAATAGAACTATTAATGGTTATTAATCTTCCTGTTAATATTTGTATAAACTAGTATCTTCTATAACTATTCTCATTTTATTTATTCATATTTATTTAATTAAATTAATTACAGATATAAATATGGGATGCGCCCAATAGAAATTTTCAAAGAAGGAGCAAATGAATTAAGTTGCTATCTAACATTTATCAACTGGGCCAATATCGAAAGACAAAAAAACGATATCGTATCAAATATATTATTACCACGGAAAATTATCTCTAAAATCAATTGGTATTATAGGAAATTATTTTAAGATTAAAGTACCATCTTGAAGAGAAGAAGAACTAAAGAATTAATAACTGAACAATCTTCACCGACAAAAATCGACAAGTGACTATTATTATTTAAATTTATTATATTCACATTATTTTAATAATTTCAAATAGTTGTTTTCCCTTAGATAAATCCCATAATTTCTTTTTTGAACTTTCAAACTCTCCTTGTCCACACATATTAGGTACTACCGATTTTATCACTAAAAGATATGATTTTAATACATTTAATTAGGATTCAGATTTTTCACATTTTTGTAAATATTTTCACTATAAAAACCCAGATTCTATAAAAATATAACCTAATAACCATCTTTTTAATAGAAGCCTGAAGAATGAGTTAATAAAATAATGAATTGTAATTTAAAATTGCAATTTGATGAAAATTATAAAACATTAATATTAAATAAATAATTTAATTTTCAGGCTATTCTTAGATTGATGATATGATTATAAATATGTGATAATAGGTTATTAAGAAGTCTATGATTGATTCTATTAGAAGATACACTTTGATAAAGAGTAGTTCTTGGTTATAAGAACTAAGATAATGTGTTTTGAGTAAAGATAATCTCCTTTATAAATGAATGAGATGTTACCTCTGAAAATATTAAATAAAATGTTTTCAGTCTGATTGAAATCTTTATATATTAATAAAAAAGTTCTTATTTTAATAGAAAAATTAGATGAGTGTTTAAATACCTTATAATTAGAATTCTTGCTTCAAGGATAGGCATATCACTCCCAACAATCTATTTAATCAGATTGAGACAGACTTAAGATTAATTACAGAAAAATGTACAAAATAAATATAAAAAACAAATTTAGTGCATGAAAAAATTATGTATAATTAAGTATTAGATCACATAAATCAAATGATATAGAATAATTCTGAGAAGCATATTTTATTTAAATAGAACCATTTCTAGATTAATGATAATTACAAATAATAATAGACAAATAGCAAACTGGATGTTTAAATGAGTTATTTTGTCACTTTCGTATTCCAATTTGAGACTAAAGAGGAAGAATTTACACATTAACTCAGTTTCAAATAGCTCTACTTATTTCTATTAAAGGAATACTCTGTTATTATAAAATCAATGTTTGTTATTTTGGACTAACAGGAAAATATAATAAATCCTGATGATTGGGATTAACCTTTTTTATGCGGAAATAAGGCTCAGTCTCTATTCATCATATAATCTCTTTCATAATATTTAATGCCATAAAAATCATAAATAGCACCAAGAGAATCACAAACAAGTGCTTAATCACAAAAAACTTCAGAAGTCTTTTCACTTTTTAAATCTTGTAATCCTATTTTTTAGGATGTGAAAAAGGAATCTAGATTATATCAAAGTCATTCAACAATTCAAAAATACAATAGTTTGATGAATAGTATAGCTTATCGATGCAAATATTGCAATTAAGAGATTTAAAATCAATAAATTATGTTGAAATGTTACCATAATTATCATGAGGACTGTCTTACTTCAATGTTAAAATCATAAATTTAATCAGGTTAACCCATACTAAATTGTTTATGCAATTACAAAATACACATAAATGAGTTGGATTTATTGACAAATTATTTGAAAGAGAATTTATTTAATAATTAGATTGATACAATTTATTAGAGATAATAAGGATAATTTATTAAGTGTAAAAATTGTAAATTCTTTTACATGAAAACATAAAATAAATCGCAAATACGATCAGCTTGCATAATGTGTTCAACTTGATTTTGATAATATATAAATATGTAATTTCTATAATTAAAAGAAAATAATGTTTATAATAATTATAAAAAATAACAACTATTAATTTGATTTTTTGTTTATAAATATTGTTGGTATTATTATTAAAATAAATCAATAAACTATGTGAACCAGTATGTATTTGGAAGATATTTTGCAAAAGATAACTATTTCAAAAATAAGGAATATAAGAATTCATCATTAGCTCATATATTTTTATAATTATAAATTTCATTCAATAATACTTAAGTGCAATATCAAGTTTGCAAGTTGATTCAAGAATTTGTTGTTGAAAATAAACGGAGAACTACTGGTTATTAAAGATCACAAATTTAAAAGAATAATTTTGAATAGATTAGAACAAATTAGAATTCATCAATTTTTCTCAAAACAATTTTAATACTGTAGGAGTTGTACATTCCTTAATTTTTAGTGTGTAATCGGGTACTCTGATTTATCTAGTTGAATTGTATTGTCGGACCATGAGCCCGACATTGCTCTCTTCAGTAGTTGGATCTTCAACATTTTCGAAAAGGTTATGGGCTATCTACTTTAATTAACTATTTGTCAAAGCCAACCTATGTAGGTCCTGTGTTTTTTTCTGTTCTTATTTTTGTGGGATATCTTAAATTCAAATAGGAAATTTACCATTAATCTCTCCTGAATTCTATTTAGACAGTTTAGCAGTAAATTAACTAAATTTAGAAGCACCTACAAGTGAGGATTTTCTTTATTCCTGTTTATTTTAAGAAATATTTGAAGAGATAGAATCTGAAGAATTGAAGTTTACAGGTGATCGCTGTTCTAGTTCTTGAGTACCAATTTTAATAGCATTTTTAAAGTCTTGATATCCAAGAAAATGGTTTTGATTCTTGTCATTTTATACTTTGTGTTCTTTAATTAATTATTTGAAATAAGGATGTCTCATACACTATGATATATTTTTTTAATACTTCTTGTGAACTTAATCTATAAGACACTCTTTTTAAGAGCATAGATTGTATTAGATCCTGCATTTAGATAGGAGCCAATTTGAAATGATGTTCTTTAAAATTTATTTCACATAATCTATTATTCTTAAGAATAGCTTTTTGATCATTTCCAAAAAATGGTGTATTTCCAGTCTAAAATAAAATTAAATTAAGTACAATTAAAAAATATAAGATGATACCAGCACTAAACACATCACATTTATCAGTATAGAATTCTTAGCCATCGTTATAATCTAAGATTTCAGGAGCAACAAACCCAGGAGTACCACATCTTTTAAATAAAGGTTTATCATCCAAACATGTAGCCAATCCAAAATCTGCTAAAATGATTTCATGGTTATTTTCTGTAGATTTTAACAACAGATTTTCTGGTTTCAAATCTCTATGAATTATACGATTGTCATGCATATGATTTATGGCACTGATCAAATTGAAAGCAAGCTTTTACATCGTTTCTGCTGGTAAAAAGCCTAAAAATTTATATTATATACTTTACCTATCTCTCTCACTTTTGATAATAGTTCTCCCCCTTATATCATATCTAGTATAAAATAGACTGAATTGGTGGTTTCATGTACTTCATATAATTTCACTATGCTCGGATGGTTTAGTCTCCTCATTAATTTTATTTCATTTAGGAGACTCTCTACACCTTTAGATTATTATAACATATATTCTTTGCTGAATGCTTTTACTGCATACTAGGTGTTATTTTCCTTTTTGGTTGCCTAATATACTTTGGCAAAGTTGCCCTTCCCAATTATTTTGTAAACTGAATAGGCTTCATGAAAGTTGGTCAAGATGGCAAATCTCTTGAAATGAGACTTCCAAATCTCATAATTCTCTTTGTCAGAAGTGAATATTTCTAGACTCTTTCCTTAATAAGAAAGGTGAAATCCAAGTAATTATTCATCAGAGTTAAGTTAAACGAAGTTGTCAAATGAGGCTTCAATGAATTAAACATGCATTGTCAGTAATGGTGCTCTCTTCAGATTTGCTAAAGAAACTTGAAAAATTGAGTCCTGACTCATAACAAGAAACTTTTTTTTAATCAACCTGTCCTTAGAGCCAACAAAGAATTCATGCTCTAGTAACTCATTTTATGACTTACTATAAGAGATATATATTTACATCAAGCAAGCCCTTGTCACATGAACGCCAGAATGTAGATGTCGTTTGACCAAAGTCAAAAATTGATTTTAGCATTATGTCAATCAATAAATTATATATGATTATACTTTTAATTATTCAATCAGTTTTATTTGTTGTTCATTTAAGAATTTATGTGTTGAACAGATTTCTCATCTAAATTCAAAGTCTTCGCCATATGGTCAATAAATTATTTTCTAAATTCTGTTACTAATTTTTAACATCTCTAATACTCCTCTGATTTTACATTCGGTTATTACTTTTTGTCTATAGCTAAAAATAGAATGTTTTCCATGCATTGATTGGCCTCCTTTTGAAGCTAATTATATTCCATTTTTGTTATATCATTTTCCATTAAATCAATTAATAATATATAAATCTAATATTCAATATGTTTTGTTAATTATTAAAACAACTCCTCTGAAAACTTCAATTTTGCTCAGTTGAATGCTTCTTCAAAAATATAATTTTGATTGACCTATTTATTTTGAATAGACAGCTTTTTAGTGAAATTGTAGATAAATTGATTTAATTACTAAAGGAGATACTTGAAATGATAAATCAGAGTTATCACAAACGGTGTCACTTTATAAAATAAATAAATTTTTGTTTGTACTTTCTATTTCTACATATTTTTTGCGATAAAAATTCTAAGTTATTCTTCTAAGATTTGCTCAGATAAATAGCTGAAGACTATAATGGTGATGGTTGAAAAACTAAAAGTGATTTTATGGTATTTTTACAATAACTGATTATTAAATTCTGAATAAAGAAACTTTGGAAATTTTACCTAAGATAGGATGTGAAGTAAAGAAACAAAAGATTAAGGACACTCATATGGAATATTTTCTCACATTAAAATTGTTATATACAAACTAAATAGCCCTTCTGACTGATATGTATATTTATCAATTAGTAATTATATTATCGTTTAAACTATGAGTAATAGTTTCTTACAAGAAATATAAACATCCTATCAAAAAACTATTACAAAAAGCCAAAATGTCCAGAGAACAACTGATGTTGATTTCCAAGATGCGGTTCAAAGATATGAATTGAGAAGATCTTCAAAGCCAAAGAAGTAAATAATCAATTAAAAAAATGGGGTCGTTGAAAATTAATATATGCAAATAGCAACAGATGATGATGCAAACAATTATAATTTCCACAGTTCAAGTCATTCATAAAGAATTGTCCAAAAATACACCAATATTAGTAGTGCTAATGAAGTCCATAAGTACAATGTCTAGGAAGTTAGGGATGATTATGAAAGGGGGAAATGTATGTTCTAAACAATGTTTAATAGCTTTAGGTTAATTATCTAAATCTGAGAAGAGAAACTTTGCAGCTCCCATGATTGAATATGAAGAAGAATACACATAATAAAAAGGGAGTGTATTAAATTATAATGCCATTTAAAGTAAACTTAAATTGAGTATTTTAGCTTAATAAATTGCATATTAGATTGATTATGAATAAATAAAAGAAGATTGTTTAGATAGGAGTGACCAATTCAAACGTCCATAGAGAGAGGACGATGAATAAATAGAATTAATGGATAGCGATTACGTATCTTGCCAATTATTTTGATATTAAAAAATAACAAATTTAATCAGAGCATTAAAATATTGATTCTTAATTAAAATTAGAGTTGATTTTTATATCAATAATTTAAAATGAGATTCTGAAATTTAATTATCTGATTTTGTTAATCCAATTAGTGACTGTAAATTGGGGTATTTGAGTTCTTTCAATCTAGATAGTATCATTAAAAATAGTACTGTAACATGATACGTTGTAATTGTTTGTAAGTAGAAATAATTTGAATATAATTATAAATCAACTGTTTTAAATTTTTAATATATATATCAATGATGATATTCAAAAAGGATTGAATTTTTAATGATGGGATCTGCATTGTGAAGGAGATCGGGACTTTATGACCACAGACATTTGTTTAAAGATTTTCTCTTGTTTTTTCATGTCTGATTTCATCATTATCTCTTTATTTGTTTCTATAAATTACAAATATAAACGATGTTCCTTTTGAGTCCAGTGACCTAACATTTAGTTACTACAATACCTTTATTATATATTTTCTTTGAATTCTTCCTTCTTGTTTTCTTTATTTCAGTTTTCCGGTTATGGTTCTATTCAACAGACTATATAGTTGATTTTGATTCGATTCGTTATTCACTACAAAATATGAATTCTCTTACTCTAAGCCCTCCTCCACCTTTATTGTTGTATTTACATGATTTAAGGGCTATTATTGTTACCATCGTTGAAGCCTCAGAATTTCTAAATAAGGATGATAGACATTCATGAACCATTAATATTCAATCTAATCAAATTCAAGTATTACATAATGAAGAGAAAGTATTCTGGAACATTGATTCAATAAGATTTTAGAGGCTTTGGTAGGTAAAATGAAAAATATTAATATTGTTCAAATCGCAAAAGCAAATACAAAAATTAACTAAAAACTAAGATACATACATTTTCATTCATTTCATCAAACATTACTTAATACTTTATAATAAACGAATAATCATTTCTGATTTATAAATCTATTCGAACTTCAACTTCTTATCAATTTCCTAAGAACCCAATATTGAACTCAGAATGTTTCTAATTTATAATTTTTTAACTATGAATATCATTTTTATTATTTTTTTTTCCAATTCCATATTCCAGAAACTCTAAATTAGCAAAACATTTTAGACATCTTTTTATCTCAAGAAGTTTTATTAATCATATTAATTTCCAATTAAACAGAGATGCTTGAAGATTCAACTAAAATATAATAAATAATCGATGTAATTTTCAAATAAGTAATTTCAAAATTATATAACAGTAAGCAGCCTCCTAAACTCCTGTTCATTAGGGTTATATATGAACATGCCCTAAGTATTCTAAAATGCTTCAAATTTTAATATTTATATATGGAAAAACTTTTACATAATTATTTTCATGTTTAGCTTCGTTATTAAAAGGAGGAATTTGAATGTATCTGATTTTATAGCCCAAAGCATTATGTTGATGAATCAATGTATTTATTTAGAGTCTAGTATTGATAAAGAGAGGAGAAGAGGATTAGTATTTACTGATTTTATTTTACTCAGAAGTTACAAGGCTCTTATAATTACTAAAAAAATATATTTATTTTATATTCTAATTTAATAGCTTGGATATGTTTCGATCCTCATAATTTAACTTTCTATTTTGTTCAAAACTAGTCTATTACTATTTGAATATAAAAGGATAATAAATCTTTTAATTTTTGACATAGTTATATAATTTTTATAAATAAAAACTAACAGTTATAATCAATGGAATACGATTCTGTTTAAAAAATATAAGAGGAACTGGGATACTATAGGAAATATTGTTAGTAGTTAGAGAATTAAAATGCAGCTTTAAACTAATAACTATTTAATAACATTTCGGGGAAAGTCCTTATAGTTCAAGATGGGAATTCGAACAGTGTTAATAAACAGGAAAATAACCCCAACAATCATAAGGAATGCGAATAAAGACTAAAACTAATGGAGAGATAATTGAAACGAAAGTTGATGGAAGAATAGTTATGGCTTAAAAGATTTGAGGCTCAATTAAATGAAATCATTGAGTTAAAAGTACAAGAAATTATTAATATAAGGCAATTCATGCATAATATATTCAAGAGAGCGAGCTAGAAAATATTAAAAAAACAAAGGAAATGGAAATATTAAATGAAGAAATAGAACAATATAAAAAATAAATAGAAATTTATAAATAAGAAGCAAACTCGTAAATCTATTTAGATGAAATAAAAGAAATGAGAAAACAATTGGAGGCTTCTGAAATTAAATTGGAATCCTTGACCAAAGAATTGCAAATTAAGGATCAACAATTATGTATAAATTATCCTATATTTAGATTAAAAATAAGGAAATGTTAAATAGTCTCTTTTATCGTTTAAGTAAAAATTCGATATAGAATTAAAAAATGATAATCTAAGCACTGAGCCAGATATATCAAGTAAAAGTTTTTCTAATATTATGCTAAGAGATATATGATTTTATACTTATATAAACAAAATAAACCTATACTTTTTGCAGAATTATTTCATTCTTTATCTTATATATAGAAAAATGAAAATAATCTAAGTCAGATATTACTAATTTACTCTAGATGAGAAAAGTAAGTATAATTATATCATTCATTTAAGGGATATAGTAATTGATTGAAATATGCAAAAGAATTAAAGGAAAATCCAGAATAATCAAAGTTTCATATTCTATTTTTTATATTCCACCTTTCTAAATTGCATTTAAAATATTCTAGAAATTTTATAAAAAATAGATTATTTTCATAGATTTATATTGCAATTTCTATTTAGTTAATATCAAGACTTTTCTGCTTTAGAAATAATTTAGATTTCTATATTTTCTTTATGTTATTGTTTCTTAAACTCATAATTATTTATAATTTTATTAATAATTTTTATTCATTTATTTATTAAGGTTAATAAACTATATTTAAGTTAAACTTTGTCTAAAACATTTGAATGTAGATTATGTATTAATCATCATTGATATTGATTCATTGAATTTATAAGGTTATCAATATAATAGTTATATGTATACACTAAAATCAAGCAGTTTCTGTAGAAGTTATTGAGGGTTTTGGTTCATCAGTGAAAAGTACTCTACAAACTGACCTTATTGACTAATCATCAATTCTGGTTGCGTAGTATTATTTCTTAGGAGCATTTGGGCATTTTGGTTATTTAGACTTAGGCGTTAACAAACAATTATTCATTTATTTAATTAATAGAAAGAATAATGGAAATACATAAAATTATAAATTAGTGGTTAGTGTATTTACCAAAAATGCAATATAAAATTATATACTCTAAATAGTATCCTTATATCTTAATTCAAAAAGAATGCATTTAAGAATTTTTGAACCATCGTTCAAATTAAACTTCTCAAAATCCTATGCGTATTTTGAATGCATGAAAATTTGAGATTGAATTGCATCGTTCTGCTGTGATTCCCATCAGAAAAAATAAGATTTTTTGATTCGTATTCTTATGATCATAGTTCATTTCATTTAAATGATTGTATGAATCCAAAAATATGGGGAATAAAATAGATTTCCTTTTTTATTCAATTGAAAGTGTACTTTTTAAAGTTTAAATGATTAAATATCATTGAAATGGCCAAAAGAGTCTGTATATTTTTTATATTTTAGCAAATCTCAAGAACTTGTAATTATTGTTATTCAGAGCAAATTAAACCTAATAGATATTGTAAATCTGGCTGTCGGTCATTTCTATTCTATTTTCAGAAGGTAATTACCTCACTATTTTTATATTTTCTACCTTAAATATCGTTTTTTCAACTCAATGTATTTAAAATCTGAATGATAGCAGTCGATTATGATTAGATTTAGTATTATTATTTATGAGTCCGTTTCACTTAATTCTAAATACTATTTATTCCTAAATCCACACAACTAAACATTCTAATTTCACATTCGATTTGCATTTTATAATCAGTTTTTTTCGATAATACTAATATATAATTAAATTAATGAACCCATATCACCATTACATTCTAACAGGTATCATTGAAGACTAAGATGACTTATCTTCTGTTAAATAGGAAGAATGCTCTCAATTCTAATATTATGAAGAACAACCTCAATTCATTACTTATGAGAATTCTAATCTTTGTTAAATTGTTGCTTCAATACTCAACTTAAATGAAGAGTATGTTGATTGGTTTGCTCGCAATAAACCTGTTGAATTTGAATCAATGATGCTAAAAGCAAAACGCAAATTTTATAGAGACAAAGCTAAATTCCGCATGCAAATCTTACAACCTCATCTCTATTCAGCTCAACAGCCTCAAGAGCCTAAGAAAGCCAAAAGGGGTAGAAAACCTATCAAATGTGCAGAAAAGCAATTTGTTGAAGATAATAGCGATCAGTATCATTTGTTCTTATTTTTAGTGATAAAAAAACGATACAAATGATAAGAAATAGGATTTCTGCTTAGAATTCTAGAGATCGAAAAAAAGCTTATCTCAAAGAATTGGAATAGAGCAGTGCTTTAACAAGCAGAGAAAATGATTTAATTCGGAAGCAAATAGAAGAACTTTTTGTTGCAAATGAAGAAATTGAAAAATAAAATAATAACATTCTCAAGGTATAGTTTTCATTTTATTTTAGTGTATCAAAGTCTTTAAATAATAATGTTTGGAATCCGATGAATAATTTGCTTAAGAGATACTAAAGTAATTAGAGTAATTTTAAAGTGACACTGAATCAACTGCATCCAAAAAAGTTAAGTTAAATTGACAGTAATTCATTTTTTATCATTATTATTTAATCATATAAAGTAAATCATCTTCATCTATGAACTATAAATAATGATATTTAAATTAAGATGAATTAATAAACTAAAATTTTCAATATTAAAATTAGCACATACAATAATCAATAAATTATAACAGTTTTTAAAGACATAATAATAGATTTTGATTAAATGGAGTAAATTAATTAAGAAAATAGTAAATTGAAGATGATTTTAATAATGCAATTCTCTTTCAATAAGGAAGAATAATTGATTCGTGAATAAAAATGCGTATGTTAATAATCAAATTATTGTTTTTTGATAAAATAAGATTTAATTTTTAAAATATAAAATGAAACAAAACTCTGAAATTCTTTTGTGCAAATTGCACAGGTATGTCAAAGATAAATGGAATTGGGTGAATACAGGATATATTCATTTTAATTCAAAAGTTCTTTATTTGATTTAATAAATTAGAATGAAATGCTACTTTTAGAGAAGAACACAAGCTTGGAAGTATTTGCAGTTCCAGTAAAATAATAACACGATTTCTATTTTGATGGAGGTAAGAGTGTAACTCAATTTGTAGAGGAAGGAATTTAATTTCAATTTAATGAGTAATATGGGCTTAGTTTTAAGAGCAAAGAAGGTGCTCAAGTTGTATGGAATAGAATTCAAAATATTTTGAATACAGAGGAAGATGATGATGAATCTATAGTTTTGACTCCTATAAATGAGGGCACTCTTCCTCTTATTCTGGATGCTATGAATAAGTTGGTTGAAGGTGGTACATAAGCAAAATAAATGCTTTCAAGTTATTTACTTAATTAAAAAGTAATAAAAAACAAATGAGTATAGGATTACTTTGAGATGTTGAACAGTTTATTCATTCAATTAGAAAAGGATCATAATCAAAATTTATTATAAATTATGTGTTCAATAGTTAAGAATGTAAATAATGATTATAAATTAGATTGTGACTGTTTCTGAGAATGAACTCTTTCAAATGATATTGAATGATCAAAACTACTTATTTATCTTTGGTGCATTGGAATGTATTTATTATTGTCGAATTGATTAGATGATGAAGAGATGACGAAGAAAAACTTTATCCCGCATCGATAATTTCTGGAGAAGAATGTGTAATTCTTAGAAGTTGTCCAATTCAAGAGTAAAGACCGATTGAAAACCATACACTTCATATATCGACTGTAGTACTTGCGCGATTGTGGTCTGGCCTACTACATCGACGAGTGCCAGTTGATGTTAATTAAGATAGTTTTAACGTAATAAAAATCATGATAGATTATTAAGAGTTGCTATGTTGACCTCCTTAAATATATCGAGAATTCTAAGGAATTTCTAATTGAATTGATTGATCAACTTCGTAATTTTAATTTCCAAGCCTTGAAATTCATAAATGAAATGTGTTCAGTTTTTAAAGAATTCCAAGATGTATATTTACAATATCATATATGAAGCTCAATAAAGCATTGATATTTTAGAAATTAGGTGAGTATGGATTATATGAGATTATTGAAGATTACATGGTAGATTCACTATAAGATTTTTAAAAACAAAAGAATAAATTCAAAAAGTTAAAGCTAAATATTCAAGTATTTACAAAATATTGAATATAGGATGATACTTTCTAAAAGGTACCTACCATGATCCTAGAAGTTGTTATTTCATGTTTATAACATTACCCTTACAATTTTAGATAGTATATAATTAGTGAGCATTAATAAGTTCTCAAGTATCCACTATTCAATTTAATTGTGGATCAAGCATTTAAGAATGATTTATATCTAGAAACATTGAAATTACTCATTGATAACAGCTAAGATGATCAAAACGAAGCATTAGATTGCTTTTTATAATAGTTTTATCCAAAATTATCTCAATAGATTTCTCAATAATCTGGAACTGAATTGAAAACTCAGTTTGTTGAGATTTCTTTGGGATTGTCCAGAAATTTAAAGGCTTCGATAAAGGAAGTTTTGATTGTAAATTAAATTACTTTGAAAATTGGATTCATTTTGTAGGAAAAAAATAAAATAGTTCAAACAAAATGTTTACAGTTTTTTAAAATTTTGGTATTATAAAGAGACGAGGATATAAATAAGGAAGTCATAATGGCATTACCAAATTTGATATGTCCTCTTCTATTATACAAAGGATTAAGAGAGAATTTGATGTATTCACAGTTGTTGGAAATTGTTAAGATCATTTATGAGGGAGGAAATCAAAATTTAATGAAATGCCTAGTATAACTATGTTCAATTATTATTTTAGGAGCAAGAACTAAAGTAGTGGGAAAGGCATTCTAATTATTCAAAAGTCCATGAGATTGTCAAAAATTTAAAGGGCAATTGTATGAAGAATCAATTCAGGACTTCAAATGTAGAATATAAACCGCAACAATAAATAAATTATACTGTAGTTGATGATGAAATTGATCTATTCAAATCTGTATAAGGCCACAGTACTAATCTGCATAAATAAACATAAAAGAAATTAGTTGACTATGATGATGATGTTGAAATAATAACAAAGAAAACCAAGATAGATTGAGATATATAGATATATATATTCAAAATACAATGTATATTTGATTAAGTTAGTCATGTTTGAGTTTTTCTAATTTTATCGGATCATAATGTTGTGAATTGATAAATCAAAATTTTAATAAAATAGTGAAATCAAGAAAATAACATTTTTAGTTCATTATTCCCAAAATATAAAAAATAATAAAATGGATCAAGTAGTTAAAAAGAAGCAAGAATAATTACTTTAATGTCTTAAAAAGATATCGAGTAAACCTCAAACAGATGATGAAGATTAAAAATAGCAGTTACGCAAATTCCAATAGGAAGTGGAATAAAAGTATAAGATGGCTCGTCATAACAACGAGTATCGATTTCCATATGAATATTATGATCAAAGCAGTGACAGTTCATTAGAAGAACTATAAAAAGTAGGCACATATGATCTACGTCAATAATAATAAAAAAAATAAACTAACAGCAAACATTTACAATCATCCAAAGAATCTATCAAAGCTAAATCCTTGATTAAGATAATGTCTGATAAATCTATGAAAGCCAACAGATAGTCTACTCGATACAAAACAGAATAATATGATGAAAATTAAGTTAGTTACATAGATGCTCTAAAAAAGAATAAATCCATAGAAAAACAAACAAACGAATAAATCATTTCCTTCATTCGTAAATCAGTAGCTAAGAGATCGTAATACTCATAACATAATAATAATACATCTAGACAATATATGAATTTGTCCTCAAATAATCAAAGCCACATTATGTCATAAAGTTTTAATGGATAAAAAAGTAGAACATAAAATTATTACCTCAATAAATTCACCAAAATGAAATAAGACATGTTTAAGTAACAAAATTAAACAAGTACATCATAGATGAACTAAGATTCTAAAATGTATCTTATCCTTAAATAATAGATCATTAAAACATTTTTTCTGCAGCAAGAGTCCAGAATAATCGAGTACCATCAATTTAAAGAATAAACTAGCAGAAATGTGTAAAAGACAGCCATTAAAAGTAATCAAATGAAATATATAAAAATACTACTTTCTCTTTTATAAATAGATATATTAATTTCACTCCTATTTGCTCTTTTACACTTATAATTTATCTTGTAACTATTTATTTTGCTTAATTAATTGTTCATTCTATCATATGTCAAAACATTATTACTTTTTTCCCCAATTTAAGTATTTTTTCTTAAGCCAACTTGAAGATTTCATAATTGCCTGGTTTAGCCTACAGGAACAATTCCTTCACGTATGTTTATTTATGCATTTTATCTATGATTTCGTTTAAACTATTAACGAATTCTTAATATTGTTGATCAACCGACAATCCTGTAACATAATTTTAAATTTCTTGGACAAACCCTTAGAACTCAACCTTTTCCTGCTCTAATTGTCGACTACCTTGAATAAAGTAGTATATACATGTCTTGTTATTAATTAATGAGATCTTGAGTTAACTTTTTCATATCATCTTGATTCTTATCAAGTAATTGTTAAGTAGTCGAGATCTCTTGCTATTTGTTGTCGATTTCCTTTTTCAACTATTCAATTTATATGTTCAATTAATTGATCTCATATTTCAATCCAGTTTGGACTAGATTTAATTATGAAATTTATTTTTCTAGATCCTCTTTTTTCTTTTTTTCTTATTAATAATATGATTTTATTCTCTAGAATTTTTATGAAGCCGATTTTTGTTCTTCTTCGAATTTGTTTTCCAATAATTCTAGTTGAGTTTTAAGTGTGAAGACTTGAGCATGTAATTTTTCGTTCTCTTAAACTTAAATTTCTAATGATTATTCAGTTTGATTAATTTTAATGGTCAATTAATCTAATTGGGAATTATTAAAAACTTTGCCTAAAAAACTGGGTTTCTTAAATACAAGAATTCAGATACCTTAGTATCAGAAATGCTCTTTAATTTTTTCTCATATTCATCAACTTTGATGCCCAGAATTTCAACTTGTTCTTTTTCATTTGATAACTTTTTCTCAGTGTATTCTAATTTTTCTTCCAATGTTTACACTATTTGATGTTCCTGATCCAGTTTGGTTTCCAAATCTTTGTTTTTCTATTATAAATCAGTCAGAGCTGCCTTCAATTTAGTTATGTATTATTGCATAGCATTGACTTAATCCATTATTAATTTATTTAACACATTAAAAACGCAAATTATAATAATTAACGTATGTAATAAACACATTTAAAATGCACTTGTCAAAAATAAAGACAAGTTAACACTATCAAAGAGGACCCTGCATTGGTTGAGAAATTGAAAGAAAGATAAATGGAATTAGATGAGAAATCATTGGAATTTGAACACAAAAAGGGTAATTTGGAGAGAGAAAATCTGATGTTAGAAGAGAATATTAAAATCGAGTTGCAAGGTTTGAAAGGTTGATTATTCAATGTTGATTATTAGAAAACCAATTGATTCAATAATAATTAATTGAAGAACTAAGAGATAACAAAATCTCAGCTTATAAGAGACAAAATGAATTACACTTATTAATATAGAATGTCCACTAAAATGAGGCAGAAAAGAAGGTTTTTTAATATGGCTATGCTAGCAATTATTGAATGAAATTGAATTTCTTAAATAATCTCTTCTTCATACTAATGAAAATTAACAACAATTGGCTAAGAAGGAAGAACATATAAAACTATTACTTAATCGCATTTAGGAGTTGGAATAGAGTATAACCTAATTAAAGCGAGAGATATAATATAAATGATTAAATTTAATGTAATTTTATTAAAATTTATATGATGAAAATCCTTACTTTAACAGATTCTTCTAGGAACACTTCTTGTATTAGGGATTCAATATTTAATTAAATGGTTTGCCTCATTTCAAATCCTAATTTAATTTGATAAACAAGGACCATCTGAATTTGACTTGGAAATGTAAATAAGACAATCAGAAATTTATTTTCATGGCAAACAATTAGAGTACAAATACAATTATAAAATCGTAGTCACAAGACTAAAAAGTAATTAATAATTTAATATCCTAGTAAATCCAATACTAATTTCACTTGATCAATAGATCCAATAGATATAGTGTCTTACTTGCTTTGAAATACAATTATGAAAAGGGTTTATTAATCAAACATACATTTACTCCTCAAATTTAGATCAGTTAGAATTCAGGAACAAACTCTAATCTAGATGTTGGATTCAAATATAGCTATTTTAGCAAATTAGACAATGTACGAGTCAGATTTAATATATTTTCATCTCTATTAAATAGATAAAATACAGAATATTAATTGATTGGCAATTTCACAAAGCCATATAAATTATAGATTGGATTACAAAACAGCAGAATTTGGTTGGGTTTCATATATAAAGCCAAGCTTTTAAATACATATAGTGTTGCAAATTATAATATTTCCAATAAGAAATATGATGCCAGTGCATATTTTCAGATCAATTAAATTGAAAATAAGTTGGATAATAAATTGAAATTTTTGATTGGTGTTTCAACAGAAAAAGAGTTACTAGGAAAAATAGATTTTTTGACAAAAGTGGGAGCTTTGGGATATTGTCTAAAATGGTAACACGTAAAAGGTATGAGTATGGGATATAATATTGAAATATGAATTAAATTATAAAATATATATAAATTAATTAAAAATGGATTAATTGCTGGGGAAAATATTTTAATTGATAGCTATTGCTGCATTTCTATATGGCACATTAACAACATTTGGACAGCCATTATTAGGTGATCAATACTAGATGTTTTTCTTTCCAAGATGGTTTTTCAATTGGGCACCTGGTCTAGTAATAGGAAGTGTTTTAGGGTTGATATTGATGTATTTGAATAAATAGAGTAACATGAAAAAGAAATGAATTTAATAAATATATTTAATATTCATATTCAACCAATTTCTTTAAGTTCATTTCAATCAAACAACTTCACCTCGCAGTCTAAACACCTACATATAGAGTGTCAGCAATAGATCTCAAACATGTCACGAATGAGAAGAATGAATTGTCTCCACTTAATATTATCAAGAATAAAGAAGGCATGCTAATAGGTATATAACACAAGGTATCAGTGATCCCATTATTCAATTTTGAAATGGCTGTGATAAAAAATTGAATAACTCTTATCATAATTTCTGCAGGCTAAAATTAGAGATAATTGGAATAAATTAAAGACTATAAAAGATATCTAAGTATTCATTATGGATTTTCTTCTACTTATCGCAGGTTCAAGTTCCAAACATCATTTTGTCTATAAAAGCGTCCTGATGTCTTCTTTAGATATCTATAATATTTTTTGGATCTTCTTGCTCCATTCCTTATTCGTATTGGTTATTATTCAAGATACTTTGAACAATAACCCTACTTTTCTCTTCCACTTGATTCCCAATTCCATTTTGCTTCCTTTATCCTACTTTACAATATATTTTTTGATTCTTTTGTAGTACTATTACCAAAGCCATTGATAATTTATCAAACTATAATTTTGGCTATTTTTAGGGTTAATGCAGCTTGCATTCTAAGGTATAAACTACATTTTATAAATTGATTTGCTCCATTAATAACAGAAACTATAAAATAGCAATGAATATTACATATACATATAAGCAGGAGAACTTCTTATATAGTTTCCACAATTTGAATGACTCTGTTTATTATATACCATTTTTAATTAGAAATTGAAGTAATCAAATTATTCTTCTCCATGAATAATCTTATTTCATTTTACTTTCATTACTCCAAAAGATTTTGAATTTTGGATAATTTAAAACCATTCACATTGATGAGACAAAAACTTAATGTTTTCACCTAAGTGTATCAATAGAAAAGTTGAAAATTGTTTTAATTTAAGAATGTTTAATTATATTTTATGTAACTCCAAACATGTATATGCAAAATTAATTTCCTCAGAGAGTATTGAACATAATTTATATTATTCAATAATAATTTTGTCTTTCAGAAATAGAAAAGACTTACATAGAAATTATGGAATTTAGAGAATTTACTTAACATCAAATTTAAGTTAATCAATGTTGCATTCTATAAAAGTAGAGTTTCTAAGCTATTAAGCAGTTATGATTAAGGATGACATCCAAAATATTAAGAAAACCTATTTCTTTAGATTTAAATTCTGATGAAAATGATTCAATACTAATTTTAATATCATAATAATAATACTCGTCATTATAATAATAATAATCCCAATAATGAATTATCATTAAATTGTATTCAACTTCATTAGTATCAGATAAGATTTAATATAAAATAAACAGAACTGAAAATTGATTTTTTTAAAATATGAAATATGGCTGATTATTATGTATAAATCATTCAGATAACTTTTGGTTGATGTATTCAATTAATCTATCTACGATGTCAATTTCAGTTTATCTAATTATGATAATATATAATAATAATACCTGCTGACTTTTTAATTGCTATATTCTTGATCTTCTAATTCGTTAATTCTAGTTGCATCTTGAATATTTAATTGAGTAACTTCAACGATGGCATTAGAAATATTAATTAAACCATCTAATTCATTTAATCTTGATTAGATCTCCTTGAGTCTATTATTTGCTGTGGCCAATGAAACTTGGAGAGTTTATTTTTCATTTCTTAAATCATCACCTAATCTAGTGAGATTTTCCACTTAAGTCTTGTGATTAGCTTCTAATTAATCTTAACCTTCTTATAATGCAGTGATTAATCTAGCAACTAAGCTCAACACGTTATTTAAGGTTTCTGGGTTGACTTTTGTGGTCATTTCAGCTAATCCTTCAATGATTGGTTGGAACAATGTCAATGAACTTTTCTTTGTATGTGCTTCTAAGATTTCTTTGATCTTTTGGAAATTCTCTTTGGTTTAGATGAGATTGCTCTTTGTGTCTTATCTAAAGAGATGGCATGAATTTTATACGTCAATTAAATTAATGATGCTCCTTCTCCTCTTAAATTAAGAAGTAATCTTTAAGCTTCTTTGCATGCAAGAATAGCATCACTATAATCTTAAAATTTAGCAGCAAAGTCTGAGTTCTCAGCATCCAATCTACTTTAGGCATCACCACTTCCTCTAGAATTACGATCTAAGGCTGCCTAATCTAAATAATACTCAAAATGTAATATACCTTCTTTGACTCTTGTTTGTAATGTACTTAATTCATTAGTCAAACTTGATTGTTCTTATCTTTAATTGTCAAGATCTTATTCAGCTTATTCAAGAGTGGCTTAGAGTTTAGCCAAATCAACTTGACTTCTTCTGGTAAAAGTGGCATTTTCTTAGTCTTACAATTAGGTTAAGGCTATCAATTCATCCTTAATTTATTATAAGAGCTATTTTAATTCATTTAATGATCCTCCTGTTTTCATGTTAACACTTACTAAATTTATCATAGATGATCCAAAGGGATGATCACCATATCCTGAAAGTCTTTCCTTGAGTTCAGAAACTGTAGTTGCCTAGAGACAGGCAATCAAAACAATAACCAACAAAGCTGATTTCATTTATTATATTAATCAAAACAAAGAAAAAAGAGAAAAACGAATATTATCTTAAACATAATTATTACTATAAAAATCACTTTTTGAATCCTCTTCTTTCCTTCATTCTTTTGATTGCTTCTTCCTTTGTTAATTCCTCATCGTCGTCTGATTCATCATCATCCATATCATCTCCCTCATAATCTTCATCTTCCACATGTACATCCAAATAGTATTCCAAAGAGTATGGTAATATTTCATCATAAATCAATCTACAAATGTCATAACACATATCCATCTTTTATTATTGTTCTTCCTTCTTGTCCTCTTCCAATTTCTCCCAATCCTTTACATCCAAATTCTTAAATAATTAAAATATTGTCTTTTATTCTACTTCCTTAACCTTCTTCTTCTACTTGTTCTTCTTCTTAACAATCTTCACTGAAATGTTCTTCCCTTCCTTCCAATTTATTTTAGTGCTCTCTACCTTGAGTGGCTCTCCCTATTTATCATCCAATAAAAACTCCACTTTCAATTCTTCCTCTGGGAAATAATCATTTGCTTTGAATTAGAACACCAATCCTAACTTGTGTTATTCCTTGTTTTCGAATCCTTTGATGTTTGTAATTGCCTTCAATAATGGTTCATCTTTATCTCCAATCACTTCAGCCTTTAATGTCTTTGAATTTAACAACACTTTAGACCAATAATTTTCTATTGGTTCTTTGTTATCCAATATGGGTTACTCTTGAGCATTTAAATATTCCTTCAAGTCTTCCACTTCCTCTTCCTTTACTAATCTTTAACCTGAGATTATTTAATTTGAGGCTTCAATTAAAGGTTCAACTCTCTTCTTATAATCAGCTTCCATCTAGTCCAATTCCTAATCCTATTAATGATCCAAGTTCTTTCTGTCATACAAACACTATGACAAGGCAATTAATTAAATCTTTGTTTAGAGATCATAACCTTTAAGTTTCTCTTTGATTTGATCGTAATTAAATTCCATTTAAAATTAATAATATTTTAATATAAAATCAAAGTTTTAGGTTTTTGTTGCAATTCTCTTTAATAAACTTTTCTAAAATCTGAGAATTACCAGATAAACTTGAAATTTCTTGGTGATTAATAGTCTTCAGTTTCTCAATAGAGTAAAGAGTTTCACTTTGAATGAATTTTGTAGAATAACCCAAGAACCTAATTTCATTTTCTTATTATATACTTGAGCAGGTCTTCTGATTTAAACTAACTTAAATCATATGAGTGTTATTCCAAGAATTTATGATAATGATTTCTGTAGGATTCTACAATGCTTTCATAATTATATTTAATTGCATTTGTTTAAATCAACTCAATAACATCTTCTAAATTATACTACACATTTTCCATCAAAGTTTTATTAAGTTAATTAGCTGGCAACTTCAATCATGATATAAATATTTACTTAGCTTCTTAATGTTAACTTTTATAATACTGCTTTTACATTAGTCATCATATCCCTAAAGCGATCATCTAAAATGTAATTAATTGGATCTATATATTATTTCAATTGATTCTATAAGGGATATTACAATAGATTTTTTTCTGAGTTGTTAAATGAATATATATTTTATAGAACTGATAATTGATAATTAATTATGAGAAATCGAAATAAATCTAATTTATAATCCAAAATTTACATCAACCTACCCAAACTTTAAGACAAATTTTCAGCCAATTATGCTTTAGCCAAATATCCCTTTAAAATTAGTTTTAAAATAATAACATTTATTTCATAATTATCCTTTGAAATGACAACCTTCTTTTTAACTATCATACAATCGTTATTCTAAAAAGATTATTGTTATTTAAAATAGTTATTTTGAAGTAGTTGTTTTTCATAATTAAGATCTGGTAATGTTTTATATTGTTGATTATTCTATGTTATTGATTCTCTCTTATCCAATTATTATTTTTTATTGTCTTCCCTTTTATTGTCTAAGTTACAGAAATTTTATTTTAATTAAGAACCAGTTTCCGATTTGCAAGATTTTGGTGTATATTTGTTTTACTATAATGAGATTTTAAACTTATTTTTCTGTGTTCTATTATCTTTCTCATTAGAATAATTTATTTATTTATTGGCACTATCTAAAGTTGCATAATTATTTTAGGATGGTTTATGGATTCTTTCAGGAGTTTGAGTCTCTCTTAAATCTAAATTTTCAGGGGAATTGTCACTTGATTTTACTTAATTATTCTTATTATTCTCCTAAGATTTATTTTATCTTCCTCTTTACATAGAATCTGATATAAATCGATTAAATACATGCCTTTTTTAATAGATTACACATTATGAAATCTCCTAAATAGAGTCCCATTCTCAGATTTCTACTTCAAAGGAGGTTTTTAATTGATTTGTTGGTTTGCTGTAGTTTGTTAATCTTGTGATTAAAGGTTTTTCTCAAGGGAATGAGAATTGAGAATTTATTATTTGTCAGTATGACATCTAGGTTTACAAAAGGAAATTTAATCAAAGATTTCAAATAACTGCTCCCAATGAAATCTATCTTTCTCATGGTATTTTATACATCCACTCAATATATATTGTAGAAATGTAGAATCTGATTCACATCCTTAATTATTGAATTACTTTATAGAGTATTCCTTGTCCAAAACATTCATTTTTTAAATTAATTAATCATAAGTGCGAACATTAAAATAATTATCTTAGAAGATAAGGAAGTACATTAACAATCCGAACTATTTTTAAGTAAAAACATACACTAAAGACATCAGTTTTGGATGTATATTTGCCAGTCATTAATGCTTGAGGTGATATGTATAATGGAGTACCAATAATTGTCTAGACGACGAATTGAGTATCAAAATTCAGAATCTTTCCAAACCCAAAATCGCATATCTTAAATTAAATTGTTCATTACTTTAATTTAGTTATCTTTTCCAACTAAGACATTCTCAGGCTTGAGATCTCTATGGATAATGTTGTGAGAATAGAGATCACGATAACCATCTATAATCTATTTAGCTATATCTGTGATTTCTAAAAGTGATAATAATTATTTCTATCTCTTTCTGTTCAAAATATAGTCACTCAAAGTTTGTTTGCACCTCTCCATAAATATATAGACCTTGCTATTCTATTTCAAAATATGATATATTTTAATCAAATGGGGATTGTCGAATTCTTTGAGTTTAGTTAAAATTTAAGTTTCTCTCTCCAACAACTTTTCATTCTCATTAGTTAGTTTGATTATCTGATTTATATTATTTTATACTTTAACACATATTAGATGATCTGTGCTTATTTATTTAGCCCCATAGACCTTACCATAGGTCCCTGATCCTATAGTTTCTGTTAAATACACACAATAATCTCCATATATTAGTTAATTAGTGTACATAAAAATTAATATTATAATTTATTCGATTGCATAAATAGATTTAATATAATTAAATATCAATGTTTAATGTAAGTATCCCAAAAGATTCGACTTTGCTCGTATCTATAAATTATATAAATTAAATACCCAACCAATTGCGCTGAACTTGCTACCATATAGTAGATTGCACAACTATTGAAACCTTGCCAAAAGCCCTTGAAACCTCCTGCTTTGTAAATTTCTTTAACGCACTTTGAGATACCACCATCCATTCCTTAATACTTTCGGTTTTATTTAGATTCAAGAATTTCATACTATATTTTTGTTTTCACCATGTCCTATGGATAGGAAAAGCAAATGCAAACTATGCCTGCGGTTATTCCAGCCAGGAATTGATCAAATATCGTTAAATATCCTTTCTCCTTTTGTAAATACTATTTGGTAGATTCAAATGCAATAAAGAAAGTTGTGTATTGAGGGATGTCTCTGAATATTGTGGAATAGACTCCCTTGAAGACTGATGCTATGCCCTCCTTATTCACAAATTCAAATATGCATCTCAAAACAGATTTACGAGTGCGTTCTGAAATCTACATTTGGAATACAATCTTAAATAATTCAGATGGACTTGTCGCAAAACTCTATATAAATCCAGCATAAGCTCCACCAACACCCCCTGCTTAATGAAGTTAAAGATACAATGCATTAGTTAATACGAATATCTGTCAACTTAAAAATATCTCATGTATTATTCATAGCATGCAAATAATGTTACTGAAACTGGAAAACTAAAGAAAAGTGGTGATATAACTCCTTTATAAAAAGCAAAAGGCTAGCATTATTTATGATATAGATTAGTACTCCTTCCTAATTAAATATTTTATAGGCTGTTTTAAGAATGGATGTGTTTTCAGAGAACATTTACATTCTCACTTTAATTGTGCTAATATTATAAATCAATCATTACTCGAATGGATGTGCACTCAATACAAAAGTAATGCCTCCAATTGAGCCAGCAAATGTGTCCTCGAGAATGTCATTCCATTAATCCATTTAAAATATGAAAATACTCTATATAATATTCTTATTTATGGCTTTAATTAAATTATTAGTAATAAGCTATCTAAAAATTTATTTATTTTGATTATCCCTAAAATCATTAGAGAGTAGATATGATGAAATAGGATATAAGCTTAATAATTATGAATTTAATTTATAATTTAAATCAATTTTATGATTGCCGTTCTATCAGTAAATTACACAGCAGCTACTTTCTCTAGCTAATAAAATATAATAATTATTTACATTATTCAGGTTATTTTTTCTCTTATTTATCCTGATTCCCAACTTCGATCGGTCTATTCTACTTTTAAACCTAGACATTCTCCTCCTCCTCTTGCATGCGATTATTTTATTATGGTGGCTATTACGTCTGATGCTATTGAGTAGGCTATTAAGCTGGTTATTAAGGAGGTGGCTACTATGGAGGTGGCTATTAAGAAGGTGGCTACTATGGAGGTGGCTATTGAGTTGGGGGTTATTAAGGAGGTGGCTATTGAGGTGCAGGCTGTTAGGGAGGTGGTTGTTAAGGTGCTGGTTATTGAGAAGCTTATTGTTCAGCTGCTTGCTGTTGTTATAATTTCTTTTATTATTCTTCAATTTCTTATTACTTTTTCAATTCCGCCTCCTTTTTCAGCTATTCTTTTTTGGCCTATTCCTCTTTTAGGAATTAAATTTGTTCTGGAGTTTATTATGGGACTTCCCAATCATCCTCGATTGGATCTAGGTTTTATGGGACTTCCTTCACATCCTTTAACAAAGTCTAGATTTTTTCAGTTACAATTTATTCAATTTAAACATCCAATAAGATGGTTTCAGATTTTTTAATAACATCTGCAAAATTCTTTTATAAGTGTGCCAAACAAAGAATGACATCTTTCAATGCTTCTCCTCCACCAACAGAATCGTAGAGTTCAATTTATTTACCTAAAGCATATTCTCTTATTTGATTGATTTTAGCAGTAAAGAATCCAGTGATCTTATCAATCATACCTGGTGGTTTAGGATTATCTAATTCAAATTAAACTTAAATGAACACTTTAGCTGCAGATTTCTTTTTGGCTATTTCAATGGCTGCTTTAGTAAGAACTTAACTCAAATCTTCTTAAGTATTGGCTGTGTGATTTTCCATGATGATTTTGTTTATTGAATTAACCTTGTCCTCGAATTTCTTCTATTTATATTCAGAGTAACAATAATCAATGGCTCCATCGATTACTTTGAAAATACTTCCGACCAAAGGTAAACTCTCACAAAGTGATGATCCCACCTCTATAGCTTTTTTAGCCAACGTAACTCCTGTGCTGACTTTACTATCAATTTCTGCATGTTCTACATTTGTCTACAAGATTCCTGTACTAGCAGCTCTGTAGGAATCAATGTAATTAAGCAAGGTCCAATAAAATGCTTTGGCATATTTACCTTCTTCTTTGTGTCTATTTTCATTCATCCAAGCCTTAATTTTACCCTACTCATAAACACCTGAAGCTCTTAATGTATCTCTCATTTTATCCACTCTTTATTCCAAAGCTGCGGTTCTTTTGGCTTATTCTTTTTGCTTCTTTTCAATTTCATCTATTTCTTTAGATTGATTTTCAATCTTCTTTTTAAGTTATTCTATCTGCTACTGTAACAATTCATAATCTTTATCTTCTCCTTCAGACTTCCCTTAGTTAGTCTAGATCTTTTCATACTGTTTCTTAAGCATTTCAATTCTTTGTTTCTCCAACTCTTCATATTCCTTTGTAATATTTTTATGTCCAGCCAATACATTTGGTCTCTTAAGCATGGCATCCATTTTAGCTTTAATTTCATCAGCAGCTTTTCCGAAATTCTCTTGTAATGAAACAATTTTCTTGAGTCCCGCTTAAATAAAGTTAATATTGGCATCAGATAAATTTTTCTTAGAAAAATCATCTTTCAATAATTCTTCAGATTTCTTTAAACTTGCCAAGGATTCTCCAGGCTTATCCAACATTAATTCAACTTGAGCTTTGTTTGCCCATGCTAATACGAATTTGGGTTCGGCAGCAATACTCTTGATAAATGCATCTTCAGCCTCTTTGTATTTCTTTTGCATTTAATAGCATGCACCCAAACGATTGAAAGCTACAGCCCTCTCGAAAGGATCAGATGATTTTGTTACAATTTCAGAGAGACGAATGGTTTCCTAGATATGAGCTTCTTATTTGCCATCCTTATTCTATTAAGCCAATTTAAATTCTATGTCTGATAAATTACTCATAGCCACCATGTCATTATGACTTTATGCTATTACTTTTTCAAACATATCTTTCGCTTAGTCCAATTTTTAAGCTTCCAAGTAACAGATACCCAAATTATTTAGTGCAGGCAAATTTTTTGGATGTTCCTTTAAGATTGCTTCATATAATTCAATTGCTTAAGGATATTTCTTCTATTTCAAACATGATTGAGCCAGTCCGAGCTATGCCTCCACACCTTTCATTTGTTTAAAAATCTCTTCTGCTTATGCATATTTTTATTGATGGAGAAAGATCTTACCCTTGGCCTCAAGGATAATTGGATCATCTTTACAATTCTTATGAACTCCAGAATTCAAAAAGGTCTCTGCCTCTTTATATTTGTTTTATGATTCGAATATCCTTACTTGTAATGCATAAAGTCTTGGCTATGTTGGAGTAATTACAAGTGCTTATTTGATATCTGCTTCTGCACTCTTATAATCTCCTAAGTTATAAAAGCAGATTGCTCTGTTCTTATAGATTTATCCAAAATCTTAATCTTCATTTTTATCCTTCCTGTCTATAACATTCTAATATTATTTTATTGCCTCCTCAAACTTATTCATTTTCATCTCACATTCAGCTAATCCCATATAACATGCTGACAATGTAGCCTATGGTTTAACCTCAGTCTCTTTAAGCGGGAAAAGCGTAGACAATTATTGATAATGTGCCTTTGATTCCTCATACATACCCTACGATAGCTCTAAATCAGCCAAAAATAACAAAGCATCTTCATTCTCCTCTTACTGTAGTGCCCAACTTTTTAATAACTCTTCGCGAGCTTAATTTGACAATTAGAAGTCCTTCTGTGTTTGTAATTTTAAAAAATAATCGTCAAGTAAAGATTTTCCAATTAGTTTTCTGAACAAAAACTCATCCGCATCAGCTTTTTTGGCTTCCTCTGTGGCAAGCTCTATTGCTTTCTAATATTCCTTGGCATCTATGGCGTCATAGATTTAATCAAGTTCTTCCCCCATTATTAAAATTATTGAAAAATAATATCAAATTTTTGCACTTATATAATTAAAATTTTGAAACTGTCTTTCTTTTATTTCAAAAAAATTAAACAGTTTCAAACCAAAATGACTTTAAAGGCATTTTAACTTAGAATATCAAATTTTGGAATTCCTGCCCTCTATTAACTATGAGGATTGATATCATGACCCTTTATTTATTGATTCTCAAGTTTATATTTTATTTATTACTGTTGATTTCAATCAATCTTGCTATATCAACAAATCCTGTTGTTTTATTAGTAAATTATCATCCCCTAAAGCCTAGTCATCATCTAAAAGTATAAACTGCTCTATTTTGAGTATGCTAGATGGGCATTTCTAAAAAGTAATTTAAATGATTAAACAAACTTACTTTTGCCAACACTTTATTGAAGATATGCTAACATAATACAGAGTAGGTTTGTGATTAATTTAAACCATCACAGTACATTTCTTTCTGATATTTAATGAATAATTTTATTTGGATTTTATGGAGCTAACCCTTAAGATGTTTCTAAGATGCAAACTAATTTATTCTACCTGTCTTGTCTAGAATCAAATTTATATTGTTTTGAATATATTATAATTAATAATTCATTTAAAGTCAAGTTATTAATATGCCTATGCCTAATAAGATGAAGTTAATTCTTCAAATTTTAAAAGAATTCTTGATTTTATACGAATAAGGTCATATGGTATGAAATCTTGTTATTGCTGTGTCAACTAGTGAACCTTATAAATAATGTGTCAGGGTATTTTCCTCAGTGAGAGAATATTTAACATGACTCATGATCTACACGCATCTATTACAGCATAGATACTCTATATAAACGTGTTAAATTCATTTTTCAACACATTTTGTTCTAATTCAATTTGATCAAACTTTTCTATATATATATTTTCTATCCATTCCAAGATTATAAGATTCTAAATGGATGAATTCCAGAACTAATAAGTTTACGACTTCCTCTATAATTATTTGATTATTCTTATGAACTAAATTTATCCTTTTAGACGCATAACGTGGCAAAACCTTCTTTTGTAAATATACGATATTCAATTACTTTTTAATTGCTATATTCTATGCCAATATTGTCCCATCAGACAGGTTTTAAGATCACACTCTCTAAATATAGTTACATAATCTTACCTGTTTGTCATCTCTGAACTATAAATTTCAGATTAATGATCGCTTTAAAAGAAGGATTAATGAATTTTAGTTGATAATTAATCAGGTTAAAAAGCAATGCTAATTTTTGGCTCAAAGAGCACCTAAAATCATAGGAGGATCTTAATATTTTACGCATTATATAATATTTGGAGTGTTGATTAGTAAAAATAACTTTTTATATTTTAACCAGAAAATGAAAATCAACAAAATCACTGCCTCTTGATTTATCTAATCAAATGATATAATCTCTAAAAACATCAAAATTAAAAAATGGAAAAGAAATTGTTCCAATTGAACTCATCAATTAAATTTAAACCATATAAATAAATAATTTTTATTAGTATATCTGTGGTTTTATATATATAATTTATGTATTTAATCATAATTTTTTTTCCCAGTGCTTTTGGAGTATTATTATAAAGTGGTCTAAATCAAAATACTATTACATATCCAACCAAAGTAGAACAATGTTAAAATGTAGAACTCAACGAAAATCAAAGTTTTTATCTAGAATTGAATAAAGAAGACAACATATTTAATAAATTTTCAAATGATTTTTAAGAATTAGGCAGCGATATAAGGAATTTAACTTTTGTTAATTTTATTTCTTCAGTTCAAATAGTCCCTGATTCCTTTAAAATACTATAAAGTTAATAATTACTATTTCCTGGTGGAATGGGTTTGTGTTCACTCTTGTAGAATAAAAGAAGTTTAGACTATTCAATTTATTGTAAAGATGTTATGCCATAAAAATACATAGAGAATAATTTTAGTAAATTAAAAGAATTTACATTTTTAATAGCTTATTAGGAAGGCCTTAAATGTAATGACTATAAATACTCCAATCATCTCTTTTATATACTTTGCTCTATCTAAGATCAAATCCAAATAATTTCATTTGATTTGGAAGGAAATAGATAATAAATCAACTACACCATATCCATGGATTAATAATAATGCAATATAAAATTTCAACTTTTTCAAGATTCACACCTTTTAGTATATTTTTGCTTATGCTTAAATTGGGAATTAATGATATTTGATTCTCAAATGTAATTTAAAAGAAGTTTTACTGCTTAAGAAATATATTTGAAAGCTCAATTTAATTATAATAAGGAATTATAAGATCTTTTTGTATGCTATTAAGTACTGTATTTAATATTCGATAATGAATAAATTCATTTATTTGTTTTATCTTTAATGGCTTCTGACTTTGAACACGATTCTAAAGTTTATAATTAGTAAATTTAAAGATTTCAACTGTTGTAATTATAAAGTTGCACCTTAGAGAATCAAGGAATCGAGTTAAGCGATATTAATAATTTCACAAATTATTAAATAGAAAATCTAAAAATAATATAAAAATTAGGACCCTAGATTATGTTTTTGGCTTTTAGTGATCATTTAATTGTAATGCTTGCAAATGAAATAATGTAAACAATCCAAATTGAATTTATATTCTTTTGTTCTATCCCAACAGTTACCTAATATTTTTGGATAGTAAATGATTAGAATAGAGCATTCATATTTGAGATAAACTTATTCTAAAATTATTTTACATACCAATCGAAAGCAAATTATGTTGGATTTTATACAATCGAAAAAAACAATATTAAGTTGATAAAATGTTTCTCTATAAGTTAGCATAGAAATAAATAGGATTATTTCAAATTTTAAATTGATAACCTTAAATATCAAAATTACTTAGTTTAAATAGACGACAATTTTGATGGTATTTAAATTGAAAAGAAAAGTTTTTTTAATAAAAATTTCAAGTTTAACTTTACTTTTCCAAGTTTTTTTTAACAAAAAATTGAGTAAAATAAGACTCTTAGATAATGCAATATAAGCAGAACACAATTAAACCTCATTAGCAAATTTTTTGCATTTAAACTTAAATCCGAAAATTATCTTTTGTTCAATTAAGGTGAACTTCTTACAATTTATCATTGTAATTCTTAAAGGTTTATTTATTTTAATATTTAAATTGATTTGAATTCTATTAAAACACATTATTTAATCTAGAATCTCTAATTTATTTTGGTTCAAGAAAATTAAAGTAGAATAATAGCTTTTATCTATTAACAAAATGCAAAAGCATCAATACAATATTAAATGCATTCATTTAAAGAAAAAATTCGTGTTACTTATATATATAAAAATTTGTTGGTAGTATAGGATTCAAATTACCTTTTTTATTTTAACTCATAATTAAATAAATTCTAAAATTCATATCAAATTAATCCCAATCTTTTCATTAATTAAGAAATTACCAAAGATGTAATCTAGGTTTTCAATTTTTATGACACGTTTATTCTCTAATATGAATCATATTTCATAGTTCAAGTAGAATAATTTGTTACTTAAAGTATTTAATTGATTCCTATTAGAAATCTATTTAAATATTGTAATATTAGGAGGATATTCAAGAAGAAGCCAACCCCCATAAGTCATTTTGATAGCTATGAATTAGAACAAGAGCAGAATTTATAAATACCTAATAACTTAAAGGAATTTCTATTTGCTTTCTACCTATTACTTTGAAGACTATATTCCAATTTAACCCTTAAATTATTAGATTAATGAGGAAAATTTTATAATAGCAACAAAGCAATAAAGCAATAGCCAATTTCATTTGATGTTATTTTTCATTAATTAAGCAAATAGTTTTGAATGTTATGAGATAGTATCTACTCCTTATTAATACTTCTATGTTTAATCTAATATCCTTTATTATTACAATGAAAATCAAGAATTAATTGAATACGACATCAAATATTTCTCCTTGGATTTTGATCTATAACTACTTAATGAAATATTTTATAACGTGCACTTTCAGATTGATATTTAAGTTATTCAGACCCCAAGAGATGACGATATTTATAGTGAAAAATTCAATTTATTGGCACTCAATATGCAAGAGAAATTATCCATAGTTAATTAAAGTAATTCAACGATAATTTTGAATCATAATTAGGCTATTCTATATCCAAATCAATTTGTTTATGGATCGTTTCTTTTATTTGATTTATTAAACACCTCTTCATTTACTCTCCAAAGTCCATTCAAACTAGTTTAAGCAATTACTTGTTTAGCCATAGATAATTATTTTTGCGTAATTCAATTTCTTCCATTAATAAAAATATTAGACTTAAAAACAAATAATTAAAATAATTATCTGATTCCTTATAGAAGTACAAAAAATACTAAATTTCATGCTTGGGAAGATATGATAGTATTAATAGAATATCAATAATAAAACATTATTATTTATAATTATAAAAAGGATTCCTTAAAAGTTTTACATATATAAGACTTCTATTAGTGTAGCTATTTATTATAGTAAATATTAATAATTTAAGCATCTGGATATACTTATTTTTATTTTCTTGATGAAGAAATAAGTCTTTTAGAAACTGTCGTAGGTATGCCTTATTTATAAACCAATTTTAACTATTATTAAATTGACACTGAAGAAATTTGTAAAGTACTAATTGAACCTGATAAAATTTAGATATTATGCTTTTAAATTAAATAAGGAGTAACTTCATCAATATCGAATTATACAATTCCAATTTAGGACATATATAATAAAATCATTTTAAGTGATTAACTAACAGAATTTTCCTATGAATGTAAAATTTAAGTATTAAATCTAACCTTCATTGGATAAAATGAAGTTGATTTTAAGATCATAGTTAATTATAAAAAATTAGGTTTTAAAAATCAATAAATTTTATAATTTTATGTTCAGATAACTCTAAAAGATTAAGAATATTAAATTAAGTTAAATAATTTAATAAAACTTTCAAAGGTTAATGCTAATTGTAATAGTTTTCTATTACAAAACAATCTGCTATACGTTTGTACCTATTTACAAATATTCTTATATAAACTTGAAATTGGATTATAAATACTAGATTCTTATGCAAACTTTGAGCTTCAAGGCAAAACTTTTTTTATCCTTAATAATACTCATATAGTGACATTCAATCAATACAATGCTGAAGTCTCATTATATGAAGTCGACTATTGGAGATTATTTAAAAATGAAAACATTAATGATGAGGATGAGTAAGATGTTACATTTATAGCTTCAGACCTTGTAACTACGCTTGAATTTAAAGTAAATGTTGTTTAACAAAAAAAATTTGAAAATATCTTAAGCAATATTAGAGTTGTAATCATAGTAATTAATATTGTATTTATATAAATATTCATCTTTATGAAAAAGTAAAAGATAATATGATGTATTTATATCTAAAATTTATATAATGAATTGTCAATTACAACATCTAAAATATATAGATGATTAAATGTAATTTTAGTAAATGTTTTAAATACAAATATATATCATAATTATATAGATTGAATGTGTTATTATGGATTATTAATTATTTTATACTTATATTATAGAATATGCAATTGTAAATTAATTATTATTTTTACATTAATGAATTCTCAAATTGACCCTCATTTAGTTTAAAATACCGTCATGTAGCTGAATAAAGAGAATAATGAATTGAAATAACAATTGACTAATCTCTAGTATTGTTATGCATGTATTTCTTTATAGAAAGGAGCTTGAGAAATAAGTTCAACTGTCAAAAGAAGCCTTGGAATGGAAAGAGAAATATGAAAGGCTTCATAAATAGAATCACACATTGGATCATGAAAAAAAATAACTATTAGAAGAGATAAGGAAGTTAAAAGAAGAGATTAAGAATTTGGAGTAAAATATTTTAAAAATTTAATAGAAATTCTGTGCAATAATTAGAAGAGAAAACAAAAGATTTAAAAGATTATGAATAAGTAAAGGCTAATTCTATAATTGTTCAATAGGACAATTTAGAATTAACCAGATAATTAGAAAAAATTAAATCAAATGAATTGTTTCTCATAAAAGTAAAATATTCAATTAATAAATAGCCAAAAACAATAATCGAAAACACGAAGTAATATTATTCGTTGAATCTTTAATGGGAAAAAAACATCTAGAATTTACAATTAACATATAAGTTAGAAAATGATGGTCTGGTCCTTGAGGGGTATGGAGAGACGGGTGACAAATAGATTATTTATCAGCAGATTTATGATCTAGGGAAAAAAATACTTAAACAAAAAGACAGGCCCTTGATCTCTTTGAAACAATCTCAAATGATTTTGACTTTTGAAGTTTGAGAATTTATAAATCAAATTAAAATTTTTAATTCTGGATGAATAGAGTAATTGCCTTTGGGTTTGCCACCTATGAATCATTGGTTTAGAAACTGAACGGTGCATAAAATGCCACAAGTCTCTTCAAAGTATATTAGGAAAACAAAGATCAATTTAAACATGAACATATAATACTATCTTTAAGAGTGCTTGGCAGATTTAGTCGTTATATAAATTAAGATAATAGCTATGCTGAGTTAACAGGTAAATTAAATGACATAGTTGGTCAATTGACTGAATATGGTAATGAATATCTTTGATTTAGATGTTGTGGATGTATTATTTTGGCTAAGAAAATTTAGATTAAATCGAATTCCAACAAATATCACTAATCAAACCCAAAATCTTCTATTTTCAAAAATTTAAGAGATGTCTGATAATTAAATGTTTTCATTTAGAAACATGTGCAGCGTTTATTATGATTTATCAATACTTAACTAATTTAATGAGAGTTTGGCTAAATGCATATCAGAATAGATGTTAACATCTAAATAATTGTCTCCATTCCTCATAATCTAGTTATTGAATATTGTTATCGTCAAAATTACTCATTGCAGTCTTAATAGATACGATTAGATAATTCTAACTAATTCTATTAAAGCATTGGACAGTATGTTTGACAACTTTGATATTGAATAGGTATCAAAAATACATAAATATTTTTATAGAAAGCTTAGCTATTTAAAGTTTGTGCTGAAGTACAATTTTAAAATCTTCCTACGAAATTTCAATTACCAATTTAGGTTAAAAGGATCAAGGATTCTTTGTTAGAAAAAAGAGACCAATTACAGGAAGACTCAATCATCAATATTATCAAGGCTTATGAATATCTCCCAAGATAGTTTGATCTTGATCTACTTAAGGAATTAAAAGATATGATTTTGAGCACTTTGGACGAAAATCCATAAAGCTTTTCTGACAAATTCATAGTTTAACTTTCAGAGAGAATGATCAAAATGACTAATTCAAGAATGTCTTAGGAAAACATTAGAAAAGTGCTCGTTGAGTTAAGTAAAAGAATATCCAATAATACCATTGATGCTGCATCATTAAATTAATTGATGCCAACTCTAATGAAATATAGAAGGGTAGAGGAACTTATCTAAGTCTTTTAAAAGTTAGAAGACAAAAGCGCAAGAGTATTGAGTTACTTGTTTATCCATGCAATCAATCTCAATGAATATGTTAATAAGTTCATGTAGAATAGAGATTAGAAAAAGATACCTTTTAATTTAGCCATCTATTATGTAGTTTATGCTAATAGAGATGCAAAGGAACATTTTGATACTTTGTTAAAGGTATGCAAAGAGTAAATTGAGAATCATCCGCTTTAATCGCTTAAAACACTAAATGATAATGAACTCAATTACTAAATCAAGTATCAACTTTAGGAAGAAGCTTATTTAAAATTGATTGAACTTGTCAAACAATAAAAATATGATTTCATTAGAGTAATTAAAGAATTAGTAAATTGTTGTTGCAATAATAAATCCAGAAGTGCTCTCCTCTAACTCTACGATCAATTAGGCCCTAAGGCAAATCCTAGATAGGTGATGCAAAGACTTGTTTAAGATGCTGAATCATTTGATTCTGAAGCTTTTTCTACACTTCTATAAATCTTGTAGAGAGATCCAAAAAACATTCCCATTCTAAGATTTGTAGATTATATGACTATTAATTAAAATAGATTTTTGGAACTTATCAAAAGCGATCAACTTATATGGGCTATCAAAATATTAGTTTCTGCTTATTAGGCTCAACCTGATTAAAAGCTGTATCCAATTGTCAATTTTGCTTTCCGATTTGAAAATATTGGATACCTGAGTAAACATGTTGGTACTGCACTCAAGAAAATCTCTGAATTGTTTAGAAAGAGAAATCCTAACTCCCCTTATCCTGACCCTATTTTTGTTAATTTGTTAATCTCCCATAATGTAATGACTCCAGAAGAAGCTGCAATTCAACTAAACTATGAAAAGGTTCATTAACATACTAAAGTCTAATTATGTGGAATTGCATTATAAGCGGACAATGTCCCACAAAATATTATTCAATTAAGAGATAAAATTAAAGAAGGATGTCTCAAAGCCTTAGAGTAAGATGTCAAATTTTTACCAATCCTAGAATTGGTCACATTGGGCGATTTATCAAATGAGGAATTTATTAATATCAAATCCAAAATCTAATTGATATTACCTTAATTGTAACCTAAATAATATTTTGAATTAATCATTTATGCCAAGGACTATTAAATCTTAAAAGAATTGGCATCATCATTTAGTGAGTTTGCCCAAAAGCTTGGTATTAGTAGGGTCATAAGAGCAGTAGACAAATTTGCTAAATACCAAATCCAAAATCAGCTGGTTTACAATTCACTTCTTGAATCATATGGTTATTCATTTTATGCTATTTTTAATGAACAAAGAGTCTAGATATTAGATATATTTTCATAAGCCAAAATTAAATAGCCTGATCTATTCAAAAGAACACTTGAAAAAATCAAATAATAACCTTAACCCTACAAAAGCTTTTTCTATGAAGTTCTAGAGTATTGTACCAATTTAGGTTTTGTTGAACCAGAATTTGTAGAATTGATCAATTCAATAACAGATAAAATGCAAATTTCAGGTTCAACTGCTCTCAAATTGTTGTAATATCAAGTCTTGACTGATCAACCTATTGAAGTTATAGATAAAACTTCAGAACTCATAATTGATGCTAAATACAAGGATAATTTTAAGTCTGCCTTGATTTATGAAATATTACAGAGAAAATACCCAAAATCTAAGGCAGTTAAAGCTCATGAAATATTCCTTAATGAAGAAAAGTTCTCAAAGTGTAGGTATCAAATTGCCAATCCAAATAATAAACTAAATTTTTCATATGAATTTTGTATCCAATATATCAATTTATTGGGAGTAGAAGTATAAGCCAATAAATGTGTTGATGGTATCAATGTTGACTTTTACTTACCCTCAATGTAATTATCTATTCTATGTATATAGTGATGCATCTCTCTTTATTGTTCATCATAACCTACTAAATTTTGATTAAGCAACAATGAATGGATTAGGAATTTTGTAAAAGAAATTGTTGGAAACCATTACTAAATAGATTATAATTGTTAACTTTAAATAACTTGCACAATTATAAACTCATGAAGATAGGGCAACATATCTAATGAATTTAGGTATTCTCCATATAGATAAATTTAGGCATACCAATCAAAGTAGATATCACGAAAGTGGATTATAGTTCTCTTAAACCATATGACAAAAATGAAAAGGATAAGTCTAATTTGTAGCAATCAAAAAGCCACTTAAGAAAATAATTTGGAAAATTAGATTATCAATAAGATCAATTCGACAAAGATTGATAATTCAAAGTATAATTATTAGCATAATCCCTAAAATATTATTTAATTTTCTTTATTTATGAGTAACAATTGCTTTCCTACTGATTTCAATTACTTATAGACTATTAACAAATTAAAAAAAATCTAGTTTGTATTTTAAGATTTTTGCAATCAGGATAATAACTATAATTAGTTGTAAAAATATGCTTTAATTAATAAATCATGAAAATTTGATATCGTATTTTCTCTATAGGACCTATTATCCGATATGATCATCTAATTAAGTCAAACTTTATTGCAATTTGTATATTTCTTTTTCTAAATCTAAATTATCGTTTCTAATGTTTTCTAATTATGCAATCTCATCCTGCATTTCAAGATTATATTCAACAACCTATTTTTAAAGTAGATGTTTAAGTTATAGAATTTGAGGTTCAATTTCATTTTGAATTTCTTCACTTTAAGAGTTAATTAATTAATTCATATGAGTAAGATCTTCTTCTAGTAATTCGCTTTCCTATTTATAAATTCCTGTTAACTCTTTCATTTTCAGAATGTATAAGGAATTAGTGTGAGCAGAATCAAAACAAGTCAATGTATTAATTGGTCGAAGAGTTTCTCGTTTTGTAAAAACATCATTCTATTTCATATAAATTAAGTTATATAATATAATTTTTAATTAGCTAATTTATTAATAAGGAATGAAATAATTAAATAGTTAAATAAGTTAATAAAACTTCAACATTCATACGAAGCAATGCCAGGGTCTGCATCTGATATTATTTTTGTTAATGGTTCAATGAAAGTTGAGGCTAGTTTTGATACTTATGGATGTTAAAAAACATTTGTAAGTAATTGTCTAAGATTTTCATTCTCATTTTCTACTCTTCTAACTTTTTTTTTTAATTCCTCAAAAGAATCTCGTAATGGACCTATCTTTTCCAGAGCTTCTCTCTTCTTTCTTTGTGATTCATTAGCAGAATTGCGATTTCTTCTGATACATTAGCATTTCTTGCAATTGCATATTTCTTCACCATTATATACACATTTATTTTTGAGTTTTTCTATCATCTTCAAATAATAATTAGAACTATTTTTGACTGGAGCAACTTCCTGTTTGACATTCTTCTATGTTACATCAATCATATGACTTTCCAGCTAGAATAGAGTAGGTAGTATGTATAGAATGGAACTATTCATCTAATTATGTATTTTTTTAGTTCTTAATGTAAATTCTGATAGATCTATAAAATTATTAGTATCATCAAAATATAATGCGATTGCTTTTTTCAAAAAGTCTTAGGTTACTGCCTTGAAATCACCCATTATTAAAAGATACTAAACGATTAAATGAAATGAATACCTCTTAAAATATTGCATCATTATGTATCTAAGCTGTTTATTTAACAATATTCTCAACGATATCAAAGATGAGATTCGATTTCATAAAGAAATTGTTCATCAAAACAATATACTGATTAAATTAAACCAAAAACTATTCTTTTGATAATTCCTTTTACTATTAACTTAAAAATTTGAAAATGAATGTACTCCAAACATCTTCTGTATTTTTAGTAATCAATTAATATAGTGAATAAAAACTTAGTTATTAACTCACTTATTTATTTGCAGAGATCTAGTATTAATAGAGTGTATTAAAAAAGATATCTGAAAAATCATCTCTAAACAACAAAAATTACGAGAAATATTTCATATTGATGCATTTTTTATCTTTAGTTTAATCTAAGTTTAAATGATATGGGTACCTTTATCAAACTCAACTAGAGAAGTTCTTAATAAGAGTGCAAGAGTCTTAAACAAAGAATTACTCATAGTTATATTCATGGGATAATTTAGGATTTAGGATTTTAGAATTCCGATATAACTTCCTTCTCCCTTTATTTAATCTAGACCATGAAGAATCAAATTCCCTAGTACATTCAGAAATAAAGGTAAATGATTTTCGATTTAATCTCTTATAACTACTGTTTCTCGTCTCAAAACTTACTATTGGAAATATTAGGTTATCCTGTTTTAAATTTCAATCAATGGCCAAGTTTAACTACTATAGACATTAAATCAACATACTTTTAATCAGCCTTTGAATCTGGTTGTTACAAAAGAGTGAGTAGTTGCTGTTATTTTATGATCTAGCATATTTTAAATTAATTTACTTCTTTATTTTATCTTATTACTTGCTCCTCTTATTTGATTTTTTGTAATTCCTGTTGCTTCATTATAGCTTAAAAGTAAAGTTATTGTAAAGAATTCATAGTAATTTTAAATAATTTTTTTGAATACAGAATTTGGGGAAAAAACTTTTATTTAGAGAATCATGCGTACTATTCACTATATATAGTTATTTACATTCGAAATAAAAATTGTTATTAATTGAAACTCAAATAGCTCTTCATTATTTCAATTATTTTGTATTATTTAGAATAATTAACATACGCATTAAAATAATAGCTAGTATTAATTATATATTTTTATCAATCCACAGAAATATAAGTTTCATAATATAAAATACTTTAAATGCAATTTAATGCTTCAGAACCAAAATAAGTTGGTTAAGCAGTTGAAATTTAGATAATATACACTCCTCTATGTCTTTGAGAATGCTCATCCAACATAATTAAGCTATAGACTTTATAATTCAATAAGTAAAATATTGATAAAAAAAATTACAATTCTCAAATAAAATTATTACAAAATTTTTATTATATTGTATTTTTCAATTTCTTTTTCAAAGTCTTAAGTTCAAATGAGAAAATTGATGAAATTTACAAGAATAAATAAACATAAATAACATATCAAATTGTGGATAATTTTTCTTCTGAAAAGCTACTGCAATTGACCTCTAAATATATAATATGCTAACATATGATATATTTTTAACTCTCTTTATATATTTTTACTATTATTAGATTAAATGATAATTTTCATACTTTATTGTGAGCAATCATTCTTCGAAGATTCCTAAGTATTTGAACTAAATAAACCATTTATTTCTTCTTAAAAATGTGTGCTGGTTTGGCTTAGAGTGAATGGTAAGTCTTATATTTGATGATGAAATTATTATGCTCTCATACCTTTTTATCTATTTAGAGCAACACTAATAACATAAATCGCTGTTTTGGTATCAGAAGCATTTACACTTTCTTGCATTATTTTGGTTTGCACTCCAATAGCTTACAATAATATAATAATGATATCAAATTATAAAAGGAGATACTCATAAATAGAAGTTAAGAAAAAGTGTGATAGGTAGAAGGAGGTTTGAGATCTAAGAGAATTAGATCTATAGAATATGAAGGGTAATTTACAAATTGTTGTGTTAAAAAAAACCTTTTTGACATTTATTTGTAATGATTGAAATTTAAATAGCAATTGTTTAATAGAATGCAATTTTAAGTATGTATGTATCGTGGTCAGAATTTTTTGGTAAGAATTTAACAAATTTCTATTGTTCTAATATTTAGATTTATAGTCATTATATCGTCATTAATAAAAATTTCTTAATTTTACTGATGTCTTCAATGAGTTAGGAGCCATAATTAAGAAAACAGTCTGATGTTACTGCTACCTCTTAATACTATCTTAAAGATCAAGAATAAGAACAATCCTACGATGTTTTACCACCTCCTCCCCTTTTTAAATTCTAGTAAGAATTAAATATTATTGTAGAAGCCATTATTCCGAATAATAGTACTGTTGCAACGAGATTATGTAAGATGTTGATGTTTAGGAATAAGAATAAGAATTTGGAATTTCTATATATATTAATTAAGGAGAGGAGAAACTTTAAACAACTAATTTCTAGCAACTCGAATAAAACAATACTAATATTTAGAATAATAACTTTAAGGAAAAGAGAAATCGACGAACGACACATTATATGGTAATCGATTTGTTATCATCATTTTAGGAATTTTTTGATAGAGATTTAGATGAACATAATTTAAACAATTCACCTTGTAAATGTAGTAAATCACATTGCTTAAAGTTGTATTGTGCTTGTTTCCATAGAAATGTTGAATGTTCTGAGCTGTGCAAATGCCATGATTGTCATAATAAATCAGATTATTCTTAAATCAGAACATAGGCTTTAGAGAAAGTTAAAGTAAAATAATAGAGAAGAAAACATGATGATGATTTATTTGATAAGGCCACTGTGTGGGGATGCTAGTGTAGAAAATCACAATGCAAAAAAAATTATTGTGAATGTTTCATTAGGAATAAAAAATGTTCATCTCTTTGTAAATGCAATAATTGTGAGAATAAAAGGAAGATGCCAAACATCAAAAAAATAATCAAATGCGAACCTTGATGATACTGATTACTTTTGATTTTTATATCAATTTATGAATCGTATAATTCCTTTTAGAAAATTAACTTAAGGTTTTTATGAAAAGAAGAAATACATATACGAATAAATTTCAATTTAAAAATTATGATAACCATCTAAATCCTTCAGCGTAGCCTACTCTGTTTGCCACACTGCACATAAAGACATCAACTGGTCTTCCATCAATCTCCTTAATGTTTTTGTTGTTAATTTGTTATTTAACATTAATTCCTAGAGCTTATCTTAATTCCTCTTCTGGCACAGCTCCTGGCTTGTCAATTTTGTTACCCAATATTACTATTGGAACCTAAACATCATATAAATGTTAAATACCTTTGCCAATTCCGCTGTATTTAATATTTATTCCAGCTCATCCCTACTTTCCTTCAATCTCTATGAGTCTGCTGAGTCAACGAGATATATAATTCCATCAACTGTTGGAAAATAGTTCTTCCAAGTCTTCCTGACTGCTTAATGGCCTCCCAAATCGAATGCCTTGAATCTAACATTTCCCAACACCAACTCTTCTGCGTGTGGATGTAAAGTTGGGTCGTGTTGTACCATTCTATCATCTTTTAATCTTCTCAACAGAGTTGTCTTTCCTGCGTTGTCCAGTCTAATAAAATATTAGAATTTTCTAATTACCCTAAAAACAAGATTTTAGCATTCTTTTTGTAGAGTCCTAAAGAACCCAACAAACTCTTGAACATGTTAAGTATAAACATTTTAACTTGCAGAATTTAAAATATTAAAGGAAAAACGAAATATATTTTAGGATTTAAACAAATTTTTTATTGCATAATAATCGAACACATCATTCGTATAATTTGTATATAATTATTCACTAATTTCATTAATTATTTTTTTGTATTAAATTCTCTTAACTTTAATTATATTTAATATGTTTGGCAAGTAAACTCCTAAACTAATTTGCTTATGAAGAATCCCTCATTAAATGAGTATATCATCAGGTTTTAAAAGCCTGTAATGATTGACATCAAGAAAGTAATTTATTGTTAAGTGAAATTTGTTAAATATATAAAAATCAAAGTAGTTCCATTTTGTTAACTTTGAAAGATGTGTGAATCATCGAAAGTCGTCTTCATCTGTTTCCTCCTCGATGGATATTAAGCTATCTTATTTGATATCTATTCTCTTATCGGATTGTCTCAACTTTTTAATTTTTTATAGAATGAACTTAGAAATTTAGTCCAAATTCATTTCCACATCAGAATGTACATTCTAATTAAGGATTAACTCCTTCATTTGTGTTTTCTCTACCTCACTGATGAGTTTGAGATCGTAAAAATTTTTGAGAGTTTAAAATGCCAATTTGTAATAGGTTTGCATTTTTATAAAATGTATTTTATTTAATATTTCAAGTTCAATATAATATAAATTTAAATCATAACGCTTCAGATTATAAAATTACCTTAGCAGTAAATTAAAGTTTCCCATACTAAATTTAAATTATGGTGTCCGATTTCATTTTGGCACTCAATTCATCATGGTGACTAACGATGACTGTAGGAATATTTAAGTGCACTTAAGTATGATGATACTATATATTACTTTAATTTTATTTACAATAATTCATCAATTCATCGATACCAACAAATTGAGAACATCTAACATAGTTTTATTCTTTTTCAATAGAATAATATTTGACCTCAACAAAATATTCGCAACTCAATGCAATTAAGGTATTTAAAATGATAAAGTTACTTAAAAATATGTAAATTGGGATAATGATATATGGTAGGATATATCCATGTTTTGAATACATTGGTTCAACTATATTTCCCCAATCTATTAGTATAACATTAAACAATACCATCCAAAGTCATGATTTAAACTAGAGTGTAGAAGGAACCCCAAAAAGATGAGAAATACTTTTATTATTTTAATCCTGTGTATGAAGAATAATTAGAAGTCAAAATGCTAGCAATGAACATTATAATTCCAAAGAGTTATGTGAATTAAGGCATCAGGAATGGCAACATGTCTATAGTGCCTACGAAGATTCCTTTGACTGATGGAGTAGTGGCAATTTTGAGTAAATTCAGTAGACAACCAATCTCAAGGAATATCAATGAATAGATTAGGGATAATGGTCTATCTATGAATACAGATTGAATTACCCAGCTATGAAATGCAAAAGCATCATAATTTTGTTTTTTCTTTCTAAATCATAAATTGGTCCCTTCTTCAGAATCAATATAATAAAATGAATTGTGTACAATCCATCATCTATCAATTCTATCACCAATTCACTTGTACTGTCTCCATGATCAAAATTCTCAAGTATTGATATAAATATCCCTCCAAAACTAATAATGAATACGATATATTGATAATAGTTACCAATAATGCATTTATCAAATAAATTCTAGTCCTTAACTAATTCTGATAATATTTATTGTTAATTTATTTCATAATTAAATCGATCATCTAAATGATTACCTTTTTTCTCAAATTACAGTGTCTCAATCAAAATACCCATCATTATGTTTAAATAGAAATATGTCATAAGTAGAATATAAACACACAATATAAAATATCCAACCAAATCATCTGACTCTCTTCCTATCTAAGCCCAATCATCCAAACTTAGAGTCTAAACAAATGTTAGCACTGATCTACTGAATGTGCTATAAAATATTTCAACTTTTTTGTTATCATAATAATAGGCAGTTGTTGAATATGCACATATACATAAAATAAAAAACATAGTGATTGCCAAATTCATTATTTCAGACCACACCAATTTAATTTCTCTTATCATTCTCTAAGAAAAAGGGAATGTAAGAATATCTATACTCATGATAATTTAAGTCATTCCTAATAAATTGAATCCAAAAAATAGATGACCAAAACCTAAGATCAAAGCTACGACTGCAAAAACTAAATCAGATGTGTTCTGTCGATTATTCAATAGCATTAGAAGATAAATCCCTACAAAAATAAGAGTTTCATCATTAAATTTGAAAAAGGACCCAATATAGAATACTAGCATTAGCAATGTTTTGTATTTATTATCAGGCCTAACAGGTATCTAATTTGAATGCACTTCACTATTATTTGATGATGGATGTAGTTGGACTTCATGTTCCGTCAATTCTGTTTCTAATTACTTATACTTTATTTATGAAAACATTAATGTAAATTATATAATATCTATCGAATTAATTTTGAGTAACAATAATATTATTAATCATAAAGAGTATAGTCAGTTTAGTATTCTATTGATCTTTTGATCATCAGAACTTTTTAATTATTCTATTTTCCCTATCGACCTAGCAAGATATTTGACTTTAAAATTCCAATATTTATTATAATTTTATATCAACTTAAAATATGTATAAATTTCAACATAGACCTCTATTATTAATTTTATCAATAGATAAAAACACTTTGTGAAGTTTTTTAATTTTAAGAAATTATTATACTGAATTAGCTAAAGCATTGGTTTTATTAGGCAGAAATACAAAAAAAACATGACTGCTGAATAAATTTAATGATTAAAACCCTAATTAGGTTATTTGACTAATACAATAAGTAATTCAATTTAATCAATTTTTATGCTAATAAAAAGGTTAAGATTAATTTAATAATAATGCAGTAGTAATTGAAAATATATTTAATCATTTCTTAATTACCTTCAGTCTGACTTAATTAAAAAAGAACTCAATTGATTAAGTTCATTCATATTTTTGTACAATCTCACTATCAAACCTAAACATATTATATAAATATACAATCATCATTCAATATGACATAATCGTGGGGACTTATCATTTTTAGAATTCTTCTGAAATGAGTACTCTTTTACAATAAGATGTATAATTCTGACATAACATCTACTTTAATAATGATGTCAATGAATTCATTCTATTCTAAAAATGAGTTGCAAAGATGTATTTAGATTATTTCAGCTTTTGTTTTAAAGAGATGGGTGAAAAAGTTGATCATAAATTCATCCAAAGAATTCTCAATTGTGAAGATTTCTTTGATTTCTGAACAGAATTCAATCCTCATTTGTTTTTACTCATATGCTTATGAATAGAGCTTAGCATATTTTTTAAATATCATTAAAAATGATTAATTTGTTATTTTACTGGACTTTGTATATTTAAACTTTGAAAATAGGTACATTAACTTAGTAATTGCTTAATAAATAGAATTTTAATCATGATTTAATGACTTATCCAAGATTAGTATTTATTTTTTTAAGAAGTTTCTAAAATTAATTTAAAATTTATTCAAACCTTTTTTATAATTTACTAGTTATTATTATAAATGTTAAATTTCTTGTCTTTTCTTATCTATAATCAATATATAAATAAGTTCTGTTATAAAGCATTCAGAATAGCGAATAAATAATTTTTAGATATGATTATTATTGTTTGATTTCAGTTCTAAAATTTTATTAACTATTAAATCATCTTACTTCTTTTGTCTTGCCAACAAAAATGTCTCCAACGTTTGTCCATGTATGGAGTAATTTCGAAGGATGAAATTAAGGGCATCATGATTATTTGAGAATTATTTATACTCTTGATGATGTTGGAGGTTACTGAATTTTTATTAAAACTGCACGTTATCTTTGTCGTATGTACAAAGCACGAAAGGACTATCTGTTAATAAAGGTATCAATTACTCTAATCAGTTATCATACTCTAAATACCTTATTAACTATCTTGAGTAGTAAATAGGAATGACAGTCTATACTGCTAACTTATCTTAAAAATAGAATAGAGAAACATCAATCCAATTACGATTGAATAAAGTATGGTTTAATAAGACAAGGATGGCTGATAATATTTTGATATTACTATCTTTATTATTATATTTCCCAATATATGCATTGAACTAAATTTAAAATCCGATATTAGTATTATCATTATATTTAATAACAATTGATTCTATCCAAATACAAAGGCTTCTTGTGGTTCAAATCCATCCTCAACGTATTGTTGCTGTAACATCAAAAAATGATTTATGATTAGCAAGTAATAATCTACCCCTCTTCTATTGTTATTAAAAATGAAAAATTATGCTAACATGGCTACAATTGTTAAAGAGAGAAATACAAAAAAGCCTACCATTTAATTCTGAAAAATAAATGTAATGCTTCTAAATAAGCACAACAAGAAACTGACTAGATTCAAAGATTTGCAAATAGGAAGAGTATGTCGATATCGAAAATCTTAATACTATTATTCCAGTTTTTCACTTCTAAATGTAAGAGTGTATTTATTCATTTATTTATTTATTTTTTATCAAATAATAAATATTATTAATATATCCTTAACTTTAAATAGGTAAATATATTTCAAAAAAACCTATATGTTAAAAATAGAAACTGTATTCTGAATCATCTTAAGAGAATTTGAGTGCTTTACAAATAAAAATAGTAAATTAAATATGTTTCTAAAATTAATAATTAATTAGTTTTATTGAAATTTAATAGTGAGTTGAGCAAATATTTTTGTGTAAATTCAAATATAATAAAGTTTAAGCTAAAATATACATTTTTAATCGTCCTTGATATTCGTCTTGTAGAGTCAGGAAAAAAATCGATTTAATTGAATCAAAAATAACAGTTTATAAGTTTTAATTAATTAATCAAACAATCGAGCAAAACAGTTTTCATTATTGTTATTTAGTAATCATATACAACTCTTCAATTTTGTTAAGAAATCGATTATGTCTTTATTAAATATCTTTTATTTATTTATTATATTTTTTTAAATTATCAAATGATTGATCATGTTAAAGTCTCAAAAATAAGTAAAAAATTACATTTTTTATGTTGATACTTGTGATTGCATAAATTTAGTATTGTTTTCTTGTTTTTCTGGACTCTTTTGGTGTATTTTTGGTAATTTGAGAAAATAGGCATCCTTTTCTAAGGATTGATTTGTTGTTTAATTTTTATCTCTTTGAGAAAGCGAGGCTTTATTCGTTAATTTCTTAAATTTTAATTTATTTAGTGATTACAATTGTTTCATTTGATTTGGATATTAATGGAAGTTAAATGAAGGGCCTATGTTGATGAATTGTGATTTTCTATAATTATCTTTCAGAAAGACATATCATTTATTTAATTATATTTAATAATGTTGTATAGCAATTTAATATAACCTGATAATAAATTGATTTTAATGATTATCTTAACATACGTTTAAACGAAATAGCAAATAAAATGTTTTATTATATTTAGAAATTAATTGAAAATGCAAATGAACAAGTGATATTTTTTTATGAATATTCATCTATCTTATCTCTAAAAAAAGAATGGAGATATTTAAAGATGAAGAGGAAATCAACATAAAAATAATAAATTTAATTATATCCAAATAATATGATATGCATCAAACCCCTTTAATATAAAATATGTAATCGGCTGAACCTGATAAAGCATAAACTAATTTTTTTGAGGCAATATCAGATTTGGTAGAATCATATGCTATTGTTGTAGCATCTTCTGCATATGTACCGGCAGCCTTATCTGTTATTTTGACTAATTTATTAGCGATAGCAATTGTGTATGTTGTGCCACTATAAATGTAAGTGACAGTCAAAGCTAAACCAGTAAATGGTGCTGGTGTTGCTGCATCATCGATAATTTTAACATAATAAACATCACTGAACGCTGTAGCTGCTGCTATACCAAATTGAACAGCTGGGTACGAAATAACTTAGACATATCCATTTTTTGTGTATGACAACCATGACAAAGTGGTTGTGTGTTCTTAGCCATTAACAGTTAAGTACAATCTAGAAAAGGTAGTTTAAGCAAAATTTAAGATGTAATAATTTGTCTGATAGTGTTTGCTAAAGGTTCTGACTCTTTCCAAGAAGATGGAGGCTAATTACCAAAACTTTGTTAATGTTGCTCCTTTTAAGGCAGGGGTCATTGTTGTGTCATCCTATTATAGAAATAGTGTTTACTCTAATATTTTGGATAGTTTGGAACAATGCTTTTTCAATGTAATATGGGTGAGTGGTAGTTTTCACAAGTTCAGGTTGATATGCAATATATAAATCTAAGATGGCATTTAATTAAGAGTTTGTGGCCAATTGTAAGTTAACAGTGAATACTTAATATAAAAAGTCTGCTTTAGGAGTTTTGGTTTATAAATCCGCCACTGTTATTCCTGTAAGTGAATGAGTAGCTAATCCAGTAGTTGTAATGGGGAACCTAACATAATTATAATCAATTTTATTGTTAGAATTAGGAGTGCACACATTTTCATATTGTACATTCAAAGAGGTGATTGGATAGCAATTGGCTGTGTATACACCACTTGGACGGCAAGCTCCAATTTCATTTATTCTATAACAGTCAGCTGGCATAGTGTAAGGATCGCATTAGGTAGTCCATTTACAATAACCTGCGGCTTTACATAGTGCTTCAGTTGGGAAATTAGCAGGAGAGCAAGCAGTTTACCCTGGTGGTAAAGTAGAACCTAGCCAGAATAATAGAAATGTAAGAAAATAATATTTGTACATTAATTTAATTACATCATCAAGTGAATATTTTATAGACTCTTAAATGCATAGGCTCGATATAATATTATTTATTTTAATAGATATAAATCAAAGAACAAAGTACAAGCTGTTTATAAGAAAAAGAAAGGATATTGTATAAATATAAGATTAAGCAAAATTAAATTTAATGATGATTGATATTAAATATTCAAGCACATGATGTTCCACTCCATGTAAAACGTCCTAATCTACATCTTGTGTAATATCTACCTGTTGCTACTTAAGAAGTAATTGTAGTTTCAGCAATCAGATAAGTTTTTGTGGTAGATTGACTTGAAATGTTGATGGTGCAGGTTTTTGTAGATGTATTACAACCTGCTGAACCTTGAGAAGTGAACCCATTCATTTCAATCTTATCAAAAGTATATAAAACAGCACTACTTGTGGGTTGAGTACCTGTGTATGACCATGTCCATTATATAGTATAAGTTAGAGTTGCATCGCTGCCATCTATTTTTGATGGTCTAATTATGAATATATCTGATAAGGAAGAGAGGATACCAAATTATTCAGCAGGAATTACAAGCAATTCCAAATATCCGTTATCATTATAAGAAGTCCAAGAAATTTGAGTAGTTTGATATTGAGATCCTAATGTCAGGGAAAAGCGATTGAAATGAGAAAACCCAAAATTGATCAAATATTTATTCGAAATATAGAAAGGCTGATATGCTCTTAGTTTTAGAAAGTAGGCATCTGTCATCCTCCATAATAGAGTGTAATAATCCTATCTTTTATTTGTTGTACCTGTCAGAGTCAAGGTGACATCGTCTCGAATGGCTTACATAGATTCATAGATTGCCTTCTCTAGATACATGGGGTGTATCTGAGTATCTGCTAAATCATATTGCATCTAAATATAGGCATTCATAATATTCATCAATTCTGATGTGGAGGCCGTCAAAATGTTCACTGTTACTATCTCATACTTGTATTTTGAAGTGTATCTGGCAGTCATTATAGTTGTAACAAGATAACCACTTGTTGTTTGACTTGAAGATAATTATGTAATATCTGAGGGAAATTTTACATAAGAATACATCATAGTGGTCTGATCAAATTCCATACATTAATTCAGAAAGTTCGAATTAATCGAAGGGATCTCTGCGCATTTATTATTCAAGACCAAAAATCCATTTAAACTAGATCTACAAGCCCTGATGTCACTAACTTTGTGACACTCTGCCAGTTGACAAGCTGTCCCTGTCCAAAAGCAATACCCAGCAGCCGTACATGTTGTCTGAATCATCCCTGCGCAATCTATAGTTTAACTGAAAACGCAATTGAGTGATGCAATCAATATAAGTAATTTTTTCAACATATGTATATAATTTTATATTAATGATAATGCCAATTAAAATCGAATATTTATATATTCAAAGAATAGATACAACTTCCATGCTTTAAAAATTTACTAATTTATTTCACAGCTTTACTTTAATAATATGATTAATTCATTTACCAGATACTCACTTTAACAATTTTAATAAAATTATTATGCTTCTCTAATACAATTTCTGAAAGGCACAATTACTTCTCGTCCCATTATCTAATTATTAAATACAAAGAAAGAATTACTGGATAGAGAAATTTAGGATTTTAAGTTGCGACTGGAGTTCCTCTTCAAAAAGTTATCTTTTTAGCTCTTCCTAGCTGCTATATCATGTAAATTTAAATTCATCTTTTATACTTTAGTTAAACAGTCCAATTATTCAAACAGAAACCCTAAATAAAATATTTGAATTAGATATTACAAAATAACTTTGAAATACATAACAAATTTTTCTTGACTCCTTTCAAATCCTTAACTCTTATTTGATCACTAACAGGAGGTTGTTTAAATAAAATAATCATTCCTGAATCATTTATTTAATATTTATTGTAAACTATGCTCATTTTTGTGAAACATAAGGGTATTTGGTTGTTACTTAGGATTTAATGGGCATTTGAGGAACTGCTCAAACCTTCTTTATAGAAACGCATTCATTAATTAAGGATCACAAATGAAGATATATCCTAACTTAATTATTGAAAGTGTATATTTGTAAGACTAAATTATAATATCAATTTAGATAATAAATGAATTATATATTTATAATAATGAACTAAAATTTTGCTAATAAAAATCAGAACTTCACAGTGTTTTGTAAACTAGAAATACTCTTTACAATTACTATTATAGTTTAGCAATTTGTCTATCAAATCTACATGTGTTAATATCATTCTTCTGCAACAATATCTCTCCAAACCCAATCTATCTAAGGATTCTCCAGTTGTCACTCCATCTTAGAGTAATTGCACATAATCACTCCATAAATGGCCTACTACCTAAATGATTCAAATAACATCCAATTACCTTTCCACAAGTAAAGCATCTGATAGGAATAATCATGAATTAATTTTAATTATTTAAATAAAATATTGTTTTCAATCCATCTTATACCACTCTCTTCACTCTTCCAAATATAATTGAATGTCTTAAATGCAACTTGCATCTTGAGTCTTTAAAGTCTTTCCATCAATTTTGAATTTCCCATTCCATCCTTTCCTACTCTTTATTGATTTAATCCTCTTCCAAGACTAAGAACCACTTGTACTCTCACACAAATCAATTGATACTCCATTGAAATTACACTCATAATACCCCTATGGACACAACAACCCATCATTTTATATCAATCCCAAAGTCATATCGATTTAACCTAACAAACACTAATATGCATCTCTTACTTATCCCTACGCCTGGCTTTTCTTACTCATATTCAAATTTTCCCAATTGAATCATCAAGGCCCCATAAAAGTTAGAGATCTTGCTTACTCCATAAATCAAATTTTGTGGAGTTCCTTCCAAATCTACAAACTCATCGGTCTTTTAATTGATATTTATTAACGATTTTGATTTGACAACATTTTATGGTCCTGCTATGTAACTATCATGTATTAGAATATTTTTAATACCAAATAAGTAAGTCTTTTAAAACATGTTCAGATTAATTATTGAGTGTAACATCAAAACTATTAGCTTATTATCTGGTTATTGATAATTAAAACTTCAAATCACCTTTTTATGATTCTTTTTGAAATCCTGCCAAAAATATTTGCACAGTTGGTGTCACCCAAAATTCTCTTTACAATTATTATTATTTTCTTACCTTCCAAAATTGATTGTGGTGCTTTTTTGGATGGTCTCACAATTTACTTTCAATCTATCATCAATCACTGCCAACCACTGATATTCGAGATGATCAATTTTTGATTTATGATTCGTTATCTAGAATTAAAATCCTTTATAAAAATATGTCTCATACCTTATTGAGTGATTTATAGTAGTTTAGGTTCAATCCCGATAGTTCTTGGAACCTCATTGTTAACGTGTAATGCTATCAAGGATATGCCGACTTATGGAATTGATTCGAATTTTTAGTCAAACTAAACAAAAGCCAATCTCTTATCATGAGGAAACAGAACATCGAAGGTAACTTTTCCTATTTACAAATTGAGAACTTAATTCACAAAAAGTATTATAAATAACATTTTATTAATGAATTAATTTATATAATTTTAAATAGCCAATACTTAATGATTTCTAACAAATAATAACATTTCGAAATAGAAGAAATACTTGATATTTTCTGATAATATCTGAAAATCAAATCATATTAAACTGTATCTTTGGATTTTTTTGGTCCTAAAATTCCAAATGACCAAGCAATTTCCATTGTTTGTAAGATTTCCATAAATATATTAATCCTAAAATTCGATTGGCCAATAGATCTAAGCGAATTAAGTATCCACTTACCTTTTTAAGATATACACGTATTAGCCATGTTTCTAAATTAATATGCCATTATTCTAATTATAAATTGTGGGAAATAAGTCTTCATCCTCAGATGAATTATTACTTAATATAATTTCAAGTTTAGGCTGTTGAATGAATTATCCATTTTCTTCACAAAATACTTAAGATATCGGTTTACTCCATTGTTAACAGATAATTGTTTATTTATTTATAAAAACCATTCGTCCAAAGTAATCGCCTGTAGATTAATTTACTTTTTATTTCAATTGCCAATTTCCATTTCTCTCCTTAATCCAAATCATTATACATTTATTAAAATCTGAAGAAGCCATTTATGTTTCTGATTCATCCATGCAAATACAATGAAGCGCAGATTCGTGTTAATCCAATGTTTAAATAATCTTCATCGTCTTTTGTTAATTAATCTCAATAATTTTTATTAGAGGATCTTTCCCAATACTAATGATTTATTGATTAGAATGATTATACAAGACTCCTATGACTCCTTTACTAAAAACAGCTAGCTTTGTTGATTACCAAACATTAGGCTGTAACTTTTTCCAAATTCTTATTTCTCCATCTTCTCCTCCAGATATAAAATATTTATCTTCATTAGTAAAGACTAAGCAAGTAACCAATTTTGTATGTCCGTATAATAATAAATTTTTTTCTTCAATTATTCCATCAATTATTTTCCATAATTTAATATTTTCTCCACTTCCAGATATCATAAGAGTATTGTTTTTATTAAATGCAATAGCTAAACATGTCTCATTCTATTCGATAGATTATTGTATTTCAATCAGGTCTCCTGGTTTCGAAAATTCTATTACATTAATAAATATGTTTAATTGCTTTACACAATCCAACAATTAGATTTTTATAAATGATTGACCTTCCTTCAATTTCAATTCTATAATATCCTTACTTTTTTGATAAATGTTAGATAGAGGATTATTCTCTATTGAACTATTCTAATTATTTATGTCATTTGTTAACTCTTTTAGTCTATTTAATTTGTTTTCTATCAATTCGATCAAAGAGTTTATTTAGTTTATCAAATTTTTAATTTTTGCTTTGTATTCTGTATATAAATTTAAATCAGGAAACTTTTTATTAATACTTGCTGAATTGTAATCTATAATGGTGGGTTCTTTGATAAACATCATTTCAGAAATTTTAATTTATTAAAATAATTAATAAATATGTTGCTATCTAGGCAGAAAATTTAATATTTATATTAAATTTTATCCTCTTCTTAATTATTATACTCCTTTATATCTTCATAAGCTTCCTGCATTATTTGCTCTTGTCAAAAAAAGCCAATTAATTTTGCATTAATATCATGAAATTTAATTTAAATGATCTTTAATCCAATCCTTATACATGGCCCTTTTGGAAGGTACTTCCCATTAATACCCTAATTTATTCAATAACTATCCATAATTTAAAATTGGCACACTAATCGATTTCACTTTAATCTATCATATATATATAATAATAAATTGTTATTATATATATTAAATATTATTATATTTATTAGAATGTCGATAAATGTCATACTCGAGTGTCCGTCTAAAAGTAAGAGATATAATATTGAGATAACAAATGATGTCACACCCTATTAATTAGAATAGGAATTTAAAGAGCAATTTTTCAACAAAGATGACCAACTCAGATTTTATTTTCAAAATCAACTTTTGATTCATAACAAACCATTAGTAGAATAAAAAATCGTTAAAGGTTCTGTAATAATCATAGGAGTTGCCTATAAAATAAACTTGAACGTCCCAATCCAGAATAAATTTTATTAAGTAGATATCGATGAGCTTTGGACAACAGCAGATTTGACTAAAAAGCTTTTAGAGCTGTTATAATTCAGATCAGAGGAAGTCTCATACTAACTAGGATTATAGGTTTTAAAACCATAAATTCCATTGTTCCAATAGGATGTAATAAACAAATGCACTGTAACAGTCAACATCCAATAAAGGGGAGGTAGATAACCTTGATTAGTATTGCAAAATATATAATAACATAATTAATATAAATCCTTTTTCTATTATTTTTTATGAAGGTTTAATATAAATATTCTAAAGTATCCAAGAAAAAATATAAGCTATCTTGTTTTTTCTAAAAAATTTAAATATACTATTAATAGAATTATACTTTGTTTTGTATGATAATTGTTGATATTGATAGCATACACAAAATTATGAAACAAAACACTCAATTCCCTTACAAAAGATAATATTGATTTTGTGAGTCCTCTATAAAAAAATCAATCAATTATTTATTTCACATTCTAAAAAAGAATTATGCATATTTATTGAAGTTCAATTAATATGGAGAATCCTTAAAATATATTTTGGGTTAATATAAAAGCTATATATTGTTTATTTGAAATGCTCAAGTGTTTAACCAGAAAGTCTGATCCAGTTTGTAAAGCTCAAAGTTACAAGTTAAAAAATCGAAAATATCGAGAAGAGCAGATAATTGCTGAGGGAGGATATGCGTATATTTGGAAATGTGAGAACTTCGCTATCAAAAGAATATTCATCTAATCCTAAGAAGTCTATAAAATGGCAATGTAAGAAATAAGTATAATGGTATGAATGGGATTTAACATAGACAAGATTGCCGGAACATCCAAATATTGTGAAATTAGTTGATTATGGTGAGGTTAAAATACAAAACAAAATGTTTGTTTGTCTAGTAATGGAATTTTGCTCAAGCAACTTATTTTCTGTTTTATAGCAGGAAGTATTAAGTGAAAGAAGGATCGTAGAGATATTTAAATAAATTCTTGATGGATTGGAAGTATTGCATGCAGAATAGATTAGTCATAGAGATTTAAAACTTGAAAATATACTTTTACTAGGAGAAACCTTTAAGTTGTGTGATTTTGGATCAGCATCCAATGAAATCATTGATCTCAGCCAATTAAACAAGGCATAATTGCTATAGTAAGAGGAAGTGTTCTCTTAAACAACCACTATTACATATAGACCTCCAGAGATGATTGATGTATTGACAAGATAGGTGATAGATACAAAAGTGGATATCTGGTAATTGGGATGCATTTTGTATAGCATGTGTTTTCGTAAGTCGGCATTCTCAGAATAGAACAAAATAGGAATAGCACAGGCATTATTCGAAATTCCTTAATCCTAAATTTCAATAAGTACTGTGACATTGATTTAAAAAATGTTGTAATAGGACCCAAAGAAGAGGCCGACAATCAAAGAGATCAAGATTTCATTGTATGGTGGTACAGAGGAGGATGAATGGGGTGAATTCTAATGATTAATTGCTCTGTGTTACTGATAGATTTATCAAAATAGATAAAACTTTGTAAAATTTGTGAGTATTGCAAAAATCAAAATATATCACAGGCTGTGTATTTACCATCTCTTGCTTGGAAGCATGCGGTTCTTTTCAAAATGCCAGGCTATGGTGGTGGTATTAGTTCTTATTGTTGTGCTGCTGTCTAATATGGTTTGATTTCTTGGGGTTTAGGTTATTAATAAGTAGGTGGAGGTATTTGTTTATTTTCCTTCTTTTGAAATTCCTCTTCTTGATTTTCAGTAGCTCCTAGAACAACAGGTCCTGCAGGCAATGCGTTGGGATATGGAGGATGAAACTCAGATTTACTGAAATGATATTGTTTATAGGATTTCCTTAATGATTAAGATTATCTAAATCTAGTTGAATCAAGAGGTTCTTCAACAAAATTTTTTGATTCACTAGGATATCCGTTAGATTACTATAGAAATTGACTCTTCCTTTCATAGGGTTCTTCTTCAATAACTGGGAATTTGGAGAGTTGTCTCTCCTCAATGTTCTAGTTTTATCGGTAACTTTATTTTCCCTGATTCGATTGCTAATTGCTCTGAGGCTGTGAAGCAAAATGGAAATCTTAGAAAGATATATGTTGTATCTCTCGAGATGACTCTGAATTCACATTCTGGAATTCCAACCTCTATGGTTTCTAAATGCTACTTTCATAACCGAAATTCTATGTTAATTAGGATGGTCTCTCATCTGTTTATCTTGATTGTATCAATTTATTTGATGCTTATTGAGTAGGTTAGACTGCAGGTAGATTCATCTTCGAATCAAAATATTCCTGTTTCAAGGATTCCTGGAGATTCAGAGTCTGCGATTCCTGTTGTGGTTTCTTAAATGGAGCCTAGTATGCTTGATACTTTTATTAATTGTATGGTTCTGATCGCTTGGATCTTTAGGATCTGACACTTGGTTCGTAGTTTTGAATTTGATAGGTTTGCTGTTACTCTTAGGGTTTCTCAATTTGTATTGTAGGTTAGGGAGGCCAATATTACTTAATCTTAGGCATGGTTCCACCAAACTATACTTCCAATTGGCTTGGATCAAAATACTCTTGCAATTTGGAGAAATCCTTTTTTTGCAGAAATTGTATTTTCTTGTTTGACCTTTCGTCAATAAATTCTAAGTATATTAATGAATTCATTTACTGGAAACCAAACTCCAAGACATGTTGAGACCCATTGATGGATTCAACAGATATAGTTTTTCCAAATTTCCTACATAATGGGAAGCAGCTGTCGATATAATCTTCTTCAGGATCTCTATTGGCAAACTCAAGAGCCCTAATTCTGCTGTGTCAATTAAAATTATCCAATTTTCAACGAATCCTTCATAAAAACAATATTGCTAAGTAATCATAAAAACGGTGTTTAAAGCTGCTAAGAATTCTTCACCTTTGATATTCTTTTGATCAATTAAACCCACTTAGAAAATCACTGATGGCCTAAATTTTTTGTCTCTGCCCCCCATATAAATAATTCCTTTGTCCTAGAATTCAATCACAAACAATTACCAAAATCGCTTATGATCCACTATTCAATTAGAATGTAGAAGGATTGTTCAACCACTCTTCATGACTCTTTATTCCGTTGTAGGTTTCATCTAAACCAAAACGAAATGAATACAAGAATCGATATAGCAATGTGTCAGGATAATGACTACGATTCTTACATAAATAAATACCTAGCCATTCCATTTAATTTAGTCTTCAACTAGCCTAGCATTTACTACTCATATTGGTCAAATGGCACTCCACCACCTCCATTACCATATATCTTTCTGATAGCTTATTTTCCTGTTCCTTCCTTTACATAGGTGGCTAAAATTATAATATATAGAAATACCAGGGTGAGTTATTGCTCTTGCCTAATTTGGACTAATTGTGAGATAGTCATACGTGGAACCAAATAATTTTTACATTTTTTTGTATTAATAAATTTAATTTATTCAATATTTCTTGGCCATTTAATCTTGTCTCTTTGAAAGACTGGTGAATATTTAAATTCCGAGAGTAGATCCAATGTAGTTTCCAATACTAAAAGTTTATCATTCAAATAATATATTATATATACAGAAATAAAATAATTTAAATTATATTTTATTATAAAATGAAAACAGAATCAGATAATGAAATAGAGACTCTATAAACAATGTGGAAAAACATTAAGTATCAAGATATCTAATAAATAGACAACGCATGGAATCCAAACACGATGATTCAGATATTTTGCAATAGCCTCCACAACAAATTACAATTAATAGCCCATACGCAGCTAAGAATTATCAAGTGCAGATTTAAGCTTTGCAAGACGAATTGTTTTAAAAAAATACTAAACTAATAACTGCTCAATAGTAACTGAATCAAATTAGCGATGAAAATTCATAATTGCAGGATGAATTGGAGTAAGTGAAAGTTGAAAATTCGTTAATGAAATAGAAGTTAGAGTTGATTGAATCCTAAATAGATTCTATCTAAGCGGACAAAGACAGTCTGAAATTAATAAGATTAGAGAACGAATAGTTGAGAATGGATGTAAAAAAATTGCTTGAATTATTAAGAAATACAAAAGAATACAATAACATAGGTTTTGATGAAAGTCAATCTTATGTTAAAGGTAGTGTCAAATTTGACACTAGAAAGTCCAAGTTAAATGAAACGTATATATTTATGACAGCATATTCATAGAAATTGGGTACCCACTAAATGCATTGAATTGATGTAGGATTATGACAATAAGGAAGAAGTCTTGTTACAATTAAGTAGCTAATTTCAAAATTGCTACTAAGATAAAATAAATAGATTGAAATAGTCATCTTAATAGGAAATTGAATAATTAAAAAGGTAATTAGATAGCAGAACAACAGTCGATGGAGTGTTATAATAAAAGTAAATAGAAAGACTGAAAAAATAAAAAAATGCAAGTGGCAAAGATAAAGTGGACATCTCCTAATTGCAGGATTGTTTTAACTTGATCAAATAAAAGGAATAGTAGATCTTAGAACTTTAGTAAAAGATCCAAGAAATGAGTTAGTAAATGAATGCAGATGAAAATTACAGCAGTATGAAAAAGCAAGTATTCATAGAAGGGGCTTAATGGATATGTATTAAATAATCAAACTATAAATAGTGGCTAAAATAATGGATGAAGCAGTTGCCTATGAAATCAGTTTGAATGAATTGAACTATGATGTAGCAATCAAAATAGAAAGTCTAATGAGTTCGGAGGATATTGTTTAATAATAAATCATAAACAAAGTTTATTATTGGATAACCGATACTTCAAGAGAGTTAATTGACACATTCAAAGATAAGTTATAATCAATTATGAATACTACAAATAGTAGAATATAATAGTTATGAATATAAAATATATATAAACAAACTCAATTCAACTTAAACTTCTATTTGTAAATCTAATTCAAAATAGTGGTAACTATTATTATGAGGATTGCATATAAGGTTTCCTTGAATATGTAGGAAATATAATCTATTAGAGACTGTTCTAAAATAAAGTAGGAAATGAAAATGAGTATGGCCAAGGTCAGTGATCCTACAATGACTCTGTGATAGGTGATTTGCTCATATTTCTCGTTTAATTTCTTCAGTTGAACCAACATCAATCCGATTAGCAATAGGATTGAATTATTGAGTATGAATCTAAATAATTAGTTATAAAAATGTACAAGTATGTTATTGAAAATACATATCCAAAAATTAATAATAAGTAGATGTCGAGACCTATAGAAATAAATAAGGTATAAAGAAGTTAGTATTTGATGATTAGTGTAAATATATTATTATATATACAAATACTCCAATCATGGCTTTTGCAATTTTATTTGCAATCCCAACAAAATTCAAATTTACAAACTTAACAAGTCATGTGTGAACAACCACCGTTTTTAGTAATTTTAACTTCACATCTAGGACATTAATATGTAGTGATAAATTCAGTGATTTCATTCAATAGTGTTTTATACGAAATCTGTTCATAATTTTCTAAGCGGGTTTAACAGATTTCACAAATATCAACACATTTAGCCTTACAAGGTTTTAAATAGTAGAATTCACAATTGTTATTTGGACATTATTAGACGTCAATAGATTTTCTGCAATAGCTTTTAAATAGTTGTTCATGAACATCTTAAATGAAGGAATTTTAGATGGCCAATTGTTGGATGGAATCAAAATAAAGAGTTTTCTAGCATCCGCCGGGACAATCAATATTTAAATGTGTACCATCAGAAGTCCAAAATTCTTCTATTTTTATCTAATTAAAAATAATGCATAATCAAAAACCTTGGTGTAGTGTTTAATACATTTCAAACACACCTTGCAATTGCATTCCAACAAGGCTATCTCTGCGTGTTCATAACAGATTTGACAGGTATTTTGAACTTGCATATTAAATATTAATAATTTATACATTTTTATAATAAATGAATCAGAAACAAAAATAAGATAAAGAATAACGAATTTTAATATTTATATATGAAAATGCTTCTAGAGTGCAGTATACAGTCCTTGTAGTAATGTGAGTAATGGATAGATGTAAATTCAATCTTAATTGGATGGTTTATTAAAAAATAAATTATATTATACATTGATATGGATTAGGAGAAGACAAAGAAAACTTAGAAGGATTACGACATTGAGGCAGCAGAAGAGTTGAAATAGCTCAAACTTCCTGGAGATTTGGTTGGGAATGTTGCTGCGACGCTGTTGAAGTCAGTTCAGAAAGTGTAGAATGAAGAGATTAAGCTCCTTGCGCTATCGAAGTTTCATTAGACTCTATGCAAATTCACAGTTCAAAATGTTTAAGGGGTAAATGTGAGGACAATTAAGTTAGGAATTGCTTCAAAAGTTGCCAAATGATAAATTGCTCATCTTCTTTGATTATGTGAATTATTCATTCGAGTGTTTGAGCAAGGGCTTGAAGATACCTGAAACCAGCAACTCATACAATGCAACCTTCTTGTTGAATGTCTATAACAAATTGGTAGAATTACGAGGATTGCCAATTATTATAGAGTCAATAAGTTAGAAGAAAACATTACCAACCCAAATTATTACAATTAAGTGACATATATATATAATAAAACCGGGCAAAAATTTAAATTAAAATATTATGTGGATCAAAGAAATCATTATCGAGGGCTTCAAGTCTTATGCATAGAGGACAGTAATAACGAGTCTCGATCCAGAATTCAATGCCATTACTGGATTGAATGGTTCAGGCAAATCTAATATTCTGGATGCAATACTCTTCTGTTTGGGATTGAGCAAAGAATACGACACAGTATTTATATCCTCTAACTTATTAGCTTCGTATTAAGAAATTATAAGAGTTGATCTATAAGAATGGAGCAGCAGGAATAACTAAAGCTGAAGTAACAATTGTGTTTGATAATCGCAACAAAGAGTAGAGTCCCTTGGGATATTAGGATTGTGACAAGATAACAGTAACCAGATAGATTACAGCTGATAAATCCAAATATTTCATCAATGGCAAATCTGAAACCCAGAAGAACTTCAAGAATATGTTCAGATCAGTTCAATTGAACATAGACAACCCTCATTTCTTGGTGGCATAAGGCAGAATAACAAAGATTATCAATCTTAAACCACAAGAACTAATAAGTATGTTGGAGGAAACAGCAGGAACTTCGTTGTACAATGAGAAAAAAAGAGAGGCTTAGAAATTAATATAAAAGAAAGAGGAGAAGCTAAAATAAGTAAATGAGATCATTGAAACTGAAATCTAACCTCAAATGTAGAAATTGACTGATGAGAAGAATATCTTCTAATTATGGAGAGCTTAAGAAGCATAAATTTTGGTTTTGAAGAAGGATCTATTTAGTTATGATTACTATTAGAAGGCTAAGACTTTGAGAATGAAGAAAAACGATTTGCAAATTGTGAACGAATAGATTGGTAATCAAGAAGAGAAGATGAGGTATGAGAATGCTGAAATATCTACTATCTAAGAGAAGATACAGGGTTTGTAAGAATAGAATAGGAATAATAAATACGACCAAATTACAGAAAAATACAAGGAAAAATAAAAGCTAGTAAATACCTTAGAGAAATAAGTGCAAAATACTAGGAGGCAAAAAGAAACTATAGAGAGTGAGAAAATCAAATTAGAACATGCCTTAAGAACATATCAAACTGATAAGGAGAGAACAGATTAGAAGGTAGAAATAGCTGATAGACAATTGAAATAAGTGTCAGATGAATTGAAAGAGAAGAAAGAGCTCTTGGATGAATAAATGGGTTAACAAAATTCATCCGAAGATGGTAATATTGCTCAAAATGGTAAATAGATGATTTAAAGGTAAATTAATGACACCATTTCTCATATAGACTCTAACAGAAAAGATCTAGAACAAGTAACTGAACGTTTGTAGAGAATAGACAATCACATGTTGAGTTCAAAGACCATTTATGAATAGATGTAGAAAGAAGCCACTAATCTAGACACCAAAATTGAGTTATTAAAGAAAAGGATAGAGTAAAGTGAATCAGAGATCCAAAAGTCATCCAGTTTGGAATAACAGTTATTGGATTTGAAATCAAATAGAGGAGATTTAGATTAATAACTATTAGAAATCAAGAAGCAAATATCATAATCATAACCATTTATATTTCAGTTGAATTTGTCAAGGATGAAGGATTGGGACTAGAATAGAGTGTATGGTAAATTGTTCAGTTTGTTTGAAGTGAAGGATGAACAATATATGAAAGCATTGGAATTTGGTGCAGGAGCAAAGTTATAGAATATAGTTGTTGATGATTCGACTACCTCCACCTACTTGTTGAAGAATAATGTATTACAAACTCATTCCTATATCATTCCGAATAAAGAAATTTAATCTAGTGAAGCCAAGAGGGAATTCGTTTAGGCTGCAGCTCAAATTGCCAAGGAGAATGATGGGTTTGCTAAACCTGCCATCGATTTAATTTCCTTTTCAGATAAGGTGATCAACTCTATGAAATTTGTGTTTGGAAATTTCATCATCGCTTCATCCATGGATATTGCAAGGAAGATTGCCTATCATCCTTCTAATGTTTAAAAATGTAAGGTTGTTACTAGGGATGGGGATATTGTTGATCCATCTGGTACTTTGACCGGTGGTTATACTAATGAAAAAGCATAATTACTACCTAAATTTAAATAATTCAATAAATGGAATCTAGAATATAAGGAAATCCAAGGGTAAATTGATAAAATCGAATCGTAAATAGAGAAGATCAAATAAGACATTGAATTCAAAGAGCAGTTAAATAGAGAAATTACACAAGATAAATATCAATTAGAACAATTGATGATCAAATAAAGGAAGAGCAATCAATTCAATTTTTAAACTGAGTAGAATAAGTATCTTAATGAAATCTAGGATCTGTAAATTGAGTAGGATAGACTCAAAAAATAAATCAAGGAAGGAGAGGATAAGTTAATAGAATTGAAAAAAGAGTTATAATTAATTCAGTAGGGTAAAAACACTAAGGAATTGATACAAGCATAGATTGATAGGACGAAAAAGGAAATCAATAAATTAAAGTAGTAGATAGATCAATAAAAGAAAGAGTTAATTGAGAATCAAGTGGAAAGTTAAAATTATGAGTAGGAAATCACTAAGTGCATTAAGAAAATCAAGGAGGAAACCAATAATTTGGATAAGACTTCAGTTACATTGGAGTAATTAACACAGGAATTGAACGTAAATAAAGATCAGTTCTTAAAGATAACAGAGGAAAAGAATTTGTATGAAAGCAAAAATGCTATACATAACAATTAAATGACTAGATTGTTGGAGTAGTTGTAAGAGAGGTAGAAGTATTTGAATTCTACAGTTGAACAATTAAATGGACACTAAAATGAATTGAAGAAATTAGAAAGGGAACAACATGATTTGAAATAGCAATTGAAATCATTAGAAGATCAGTATGATTTTATTAGATAAGATAAAAATGAATTATCTCAAGATAGATTATCAGAGAAATTCAGAGTTCTAGAGACAATGGAATATGAAAAAACTAAATAATAGTTCTAGAGATTGGAACATGATTAAGGCAAATTGGGAAAACAAGTTAATTTTAAGGTTGAAGCCATGACTGAATAAGTGGAGAAAGAATTCTAATCTTTAAAAGACAAAAAGTTGATTTTAGAAAATGATAAGTCTATGCTTATACAAAACATGGGAGAATTAGATGACAAGAAAATTAAGACAATTGAAAAGTGTTTTTTAGAAGTGAATAAGGATTTCTCATCGATTTTCAGTTCGTTGTTACATAATGCTTAGGCTAAATTAGGTAGATTGGATGGATTATCAATTGAGGATGGAATAGAAATGAATGTGTCGTTTAGTCATCAATAGAAAAATCTATCAGAGTTGAGTGGAGGATAGCGATCTTTATTGGCCTTATCATTTATACTTGCTCTATTAAAATACAAGCCTGCTCCATTTTATATTTTAGATGAAGTTGACAGTGCTTTAGATTTATCACACACAGAAAACATTGGTTAGATGTTATCATAGAATTTCAAGTAATCTCAATTTTTACTGATTTCATTGAAAGAGGGCATGTATTAGAATGCAAATGTTTTGTACAAGGTTCAATTTGTAGACGGTGTAAGTAAAATTGATAGACATGAACTAAAAAAGAAGAAATAATAATAATTAAAATGATTGATATTTATATATATTATTATTATTAATTCCTCATAAGGAACAACACTTATGAAAAATCACTATCTTTCCCTTGCACAGTTATGATTTGGATGTCTTTTCTAAATTATTCTGTCGTGCCTTCTTTAAACCTTGTGATATATATTTAATATATATTTTATATAAATTAAGATGAAAAATAAAGGAAGTTTTATAATAAATAAGAAATCTTCAATTAAGAGTAGTAAATTGTTTTTGTTTGAGAATCTTTTGTTTGAGGATGTCCCTCTGGCTGCGAAATAGGCTTATTTGGAATGTCTGGAGAAGCAAATCAATGATTTAGATGTTATGAGGAAATAATTGAATGAAAACATATAGAAATAGGAGATGATAAAAAAGTAATAGTTACAATTCAGGAGAGAAATAGAGAACATTCAGAATGATCAAAAATTGGATCACAACATCATAAATCAATCGATGTTGTTGAGTCAATTCATCAGCGAATAACAAAAGATAGATACGTGTCTGATTGAATAGAGTTATTTGAAAGATTTGGAGTACTTGCAAAATTAATAGCTCCAAACCTCGAATCAATTCGTCCCTTTTGAAAATGAATTTTTATGATTAATAAATTATATATTAACTATGTTTTGGCAATCGAGGCCTGTCACTTACAATAACTAAAGGACTTTTGAGAGCAACTTCTATCTAGTATAGCAAGACGTGCCTCAATTCCCTAGTAATTTCATAAAGACAAGCAGGTAAGCATTGATATGAACTGAAATATAGATATAACTTGGTAACATTCCTACCATTCTCTTTGTTACTTCAATTTACTAGATATGCTAACATTTACTTTTTATGCATTGCCATCATCCAATGCATCCCAATCTTATCAACTTTGAATCCCTTTAGTGCTATAGCCCCATTAGTATTCGTCTTGGGACTTTCAATGTGTCGAGAAGGATGGGAAGATTATGGACGGCACGTATCAGACAACGAGGTGAATTCCACAGACTGTTATGTTATAAAAGACAGGAGAGTTACAAAGTAAATATAACTGCTAAATTCAAAATAGGACTACTTGGGCAGATATTTAAGTAGGTGACTATGTGTACGTAAGACAAGACGAGAGTTTCCCTGCAGATTTGATAGTCTTGGGTAGTGAGAAGGAGAGTGGAGCATGCTATATTGAGACATCATCTCTGGATGGTGAAAAGAATCTGAAACCTAAGAGTGCCATCCTGGATAGTTAACAAATGTATTAGTCTTTGGACACATTCAATGATCAGATCATCAAGGTGGTGGCAGAAACTCCATCCCAATCATTATACGAATTTGATGCTTAATTGCATTTGCCGATCAACTCAGAATTCAAGAAATTCCAATTAACTGCTAAATAACTCCTCCTTCGAGGGGCATAATTAAGAAACACCAGTTGGATAATTGGCATAGTAGTCTACACCGGATAAGATAGTAAGATAATGAGGAATGCCGATGCTTCAAGAGTTAAGTCAAGTGAAATCGAGAGAACAATGAATGTCCTCATACTTGGGATTCTGTGTGTTCAAATCGCTCTAAGTATCATATCGTGTTCATTTTCTTCTGCTTGGCTAACCAAATTTGGAGTTGACTCCTTTTATTTGGATTATACAAATGATTCACTCAACCCATCCTTGTTATCCTTCTATGTGTTTTTTAGTTACATACTACTATACAACACAATGATACCTATATCCTTAATAGTTTCATTAGAATTTGTGAAAGTGTTCTAGTCCTACTTTATGGAGATGGATGTGGAGATGTACGTCCAATAAAGAAATAAATTTTGTAAGGTTCAGACCACCACTATCAATGAAGAGTTGGGTCAGGTTGAGTATATATTTTCTGATAAGACTGGAACATTGACTTGCAATCAGATGGAATTCAAGTATTCTGTAATTGGAAATTCCCTCTATGGTAAGGAACATCCAAATCAATCAGCCAAGACTGAAATAATGTTGCAAAATACACTACCCTTGTAAAACAAATTGCAAATTCATCCTATGGAAGGAGTTCAAGGTCATTCAATGACGAATTTCAATTTTTATGACGAGGAATTAATCAATATCATTGACGGTGGGAACAGCAAGACTACTGCAAATGTGAATCTAACCATTAAGTCTAAAGATAACAAATCTTAGATAACGATTAACAATTAGAAAGAGTTAGTTGATTATTATTTCTTTTTATTGAGTTCAGCTCATGAATGCATCATTCAATATGATTAGGATAAGAATACTTCTTATTAGGGACCATCTCCTGATGAAATTACTTTGGTTGATGCAGCTGCAAGAATGGGCTACAAATTCACAGGAGCATCAGCAAGTGAATAGAATTTCATGATATTGAATTAGCCAAGAAAGGTTAAACTGTTGAAATCATTCGAATTCGATTCAAACAGAAAGAGAATGAGTGTAATCATCAAGGATGAAAAAGGAATTATAAAATTACTCATTAAGGGAGCAGACAGTATTATAAAAAGTCGGTTGAGTAAGGAATAGAAGTTCTTGGATAAAACTATAGAATGGTTGGAGGAATTCTCAAGGATTGGATTAAGATGCTTATTAATGGCTACCAGAGTTCTGTCAGAAGATGAGTACAAGAAATTCGATAACGAATATAATAATTTACCTGAAGGCGAACAAAGACAAATTGAACTTAATAGAATTACAGACGAATTGGAAAGAGATCTCACTTTGATTGGTGCCACAGCTGTCGAAGACAAATTACAAAGTCAAGTGCCAGAAACTATAGCCGATCTACTCAAGGCCAATATTAAGGTTTGGATGCTTACTGGGGATAAGTTGGAGACTGCTGAAAACATAGCCAAGAGTTGTAAATTGATCTAAGGAGATTTCACAGTTATGAGATTGTCTGAATTCAATGAACAAGATTGTTTGGACAAATTAAAAGACATCCAAGACACATATGATTTGTGTATCAAAGAAAATAGAAAGAAAGTAATACTATCTTTAAATTTATTTAGTCAATTGTAATCGAAGGACAATCTTTGGATTTCATTTTAAATTCAAATGACATGGCTTCTTCCTTTGTCTCAATGGCCAAAGATTGTGAGTCTATTGTGTGTTGCAGAGTCACTCCTAAACAAAAAGCTGATGTCGTCAGATTGATCAAAGATAGACTGAATAAGATCACCTTGGCTATAGGAGACGGAGCTAATGATGTTAATATGATCTAGGCTGCTCACATTGGAGTTGGATTGTATGGAAATGAAGGAATGAGGGCTGTTCAGAGTTCTGATTTCGCCTTGGGAGAATTTCAATGCTTATGGAGGCTATTATTAGTTCATGGCCATTGGAATTACATTAGAATTTCAGAGATGATTTTATACTTCTTCTACAAAAACATGTTGTTCACCATCCCTTAGTTCTTCTTTAGTTTCTTTTGTGCCTTTTCAGCCCAGTCTTTTTATGACGATTGGTACATCACTTTGTATAACTTGATCTTTACTGCACTCCCATTGATCATTCGAGCAACCTTTGATCAAGACATCAACTACAAACAATTCCTGAATTATGACGCAAATCAAAAAATCAGAAACGTTCAACTCAAATAAGAGAATTACCTAAAATAAAAGTTTCCATACCTTTATTATGTCGGATAAAAGAAGACTATTTTTACCATCCCATCCTACATGATGTGGGCCTTCACTGGAGTAATTCATGGGATGATAATATTCTTTTTCTTATTCTGGATAATGGATTACGAAGCTCTAAACATAGATGGCATTACTGGAGGATTAGCACCCTATTCATTGACCGTTTACACAGCCATAATACTGGTAGCCGATTTCTAAATCATCATATAAACTAAATATTGGACACTATTCAATGTAGTAGCAGTATCACTTCTAAGCTTGTTCCTATATGCAGGATATGTCATAATATCTCATTATTGGCCTGGAGAATTAATGATGTACACACCTCTCACTATATTAAAAATGCCATCGTTCTGGCTGTGTCAATTCTTGATACTAGTGATTGTTGGTGCCATGGAAGCCTTTAGATCTGAATTTAATAGGTAATACTTTTTAGAAACTGCTGATGAAATATTAGTAAAGACTAAGCAATTCACGTTTACATTAAATGAATGGTTGAGCAAACAGAAAAAAGTGGCCAGATAGGATAGCTTCTGGGCTGAAATCTACAAGGAAGATGAACAAGAACAAGTCATCCAATTTGAAGAAACAATCAAAGATGCCAATCAAATACCAAATCAATGAAAAATATATATGAATCAAAATGGTTTATTCATAGAATACTCATCATTTTTTATTTTAATAATAAAATTAAATAGTACATGATGGAATCCAAGAGTACTGGTACTAAAAGACTTATCTCGGTTGGATCTCTGTCGAACTATGAAAGAGCCGAATTTATCTCATCTAAAACAGACACTAAACAAAGATTAGGAGAGCTCTTCATCTATGAGCCTACCAAACTAGAGAGTAATTATGTGTGTCCTTTATAAAGTAAGTGTTTGGATTGAGACAACAAATAGTGAGTACACGAATTCCTAGATTCGAACATCCTAAACCCATGTTTGAATTAGATTCTCAGCCAGACAAAACCTTAACACATGTAGCATCTTAAACTGAGTGTCAAAAATGCAATCATAGTATGGGTAAGATCGTGCAACCTAAACTAAATATGGAATCGTTGCATTTATCAGCTCCTTCATTGCAACCATATGAAAAACAGGAGCCCAAAGTTATAGTTCCAAAATAATTATAAAGCCATGTGGTGAGATAAAAAAAGAAGGATCTGCCCCCCATGTTACAATATTCCTTCATCCAACCTCCACCTGTCTTCACGTAGTCTGCCAAGGCTGTAAGAGAATAGAAGTCCTTTGGCAAACTGTCTTAAGGCAGGATATCCAAGAAATACGATAACGAAATGGTTAAAGTCATTCAATAGGAACTCAGTTAGTAATTGCACAAGATTGAGGATGAAATCTCAGATAAAGGGTACAGTGTCCCCATTAAATATGTATTAATTTATGGTGCCATTTCTTTTAGTCAAATCTCAAAAGAACCAAATAGATGACCTTAAGCAAGAAAATCAAGTAAGAAAAGTAATCACAAATTTTGAATGAAAAGAAGACCGAATCTCAATTCTTTATGTAAAAGGAAAAAGAAAAAGAAATTAGGACCATAGTGTTCTTGAAATAACCAGAGAAGAGTCAGTCTCAAATTCGACTCTAAAAGGAAGAAAACAGCAACATCATATTTGGGTATTCAAATAGAAAGGAAGAATAAGCTTGATTTGCATTTACTCTAAGTTTATCATATCTGCACTATTAAAATAAATTTAATTAATATGAGTGCTCAATTTTATAACTAGAATAAAAATTCTTATCCTGAACTCCAAGATTTTGATCATGCGATGAGACATCTCTATTACACACAGAATCCCATCACAGATTAGCTTATTAACAAATTTCATAGTAAATATGCTGTTAGAGAGTATATGATAAGGAAACACAATACAATAACAAACAATAATAGACCACAAATGAATAGACTGGCTGAATCAAATCTCTTTCTAGAATACGAATTAAAGAAAATCAAACCACCCTCTGAGAATCTTTATGCAGAAAGCAACAAGAGACAACAAGTGTACCCTATGACGGAAGCAGTTTAAAAAATATTAAATGATGAATATATTTATTATAATAATAAATATATTTGATGATAATTCAGGATTGCATTTGACTGTCTAAATCAACCAGACTAGAACTACAATAAAAAGAGAACTTTGAAGAGTCCTCAGATCTATCTTAACTATTATAGAATATTGCTATTGCCATGATATAATTTCGCAAAGAGGATGAGACACAACTAATCATGTGAAGAATACTGAAATCGGCAATTCTGATAGTAATGAAGATTTATAATTGCAAAATTTAAGATTGCAATAGCAAAATTAAAAGTTGTATTAATAATTTAGGTAGACAGAATAAACCAATTGAATTTGAGGAATAAAAAAGAGTAGTAGAATTAAGCCAAGAGAAGAACTATAATTATGCTGTCATTAATGATCTCAAAAAGGTAGTTGATTAATAAGAAATTTTATTAATTAAATTAATAACGATTAGACTTACTTGGATTTTAACTGAGTCAATAGAGGTCTCATAGTAAAAATTAAAGAAAAGGAGAAGAAAAACGAAAAGCTAATTGAAGAGAATCTCAACTTTATGAAAAAATATCAAGACTGCCTGATAACTATTAAAAATAGCAAGGAGGAACCTTCGAATCAACAAGAAAGGATTGATCAAATGAGTCAGAACAATTAATAGTCGTCAGAGGATCAATTAGATAAATGATAATTGATAAAAGACTTAGAGAATGAAATCAATTAATTATAAAATTAATTGTCGAGTAATTGATTGACTGGAATAATATTTTAAATTTATAATTCGTTTTTATTGGAGCCATAGTTGCTGATATATGAATATATAAGTAGTTTAGAGTGGGTGAACAATAAGAAATATTTGAGATTGAAAATAAAGGCACATAAAATGAGAACAAAATGTTCATTATTATTTCTTACTTTTTGAAATCCCGTAGTTTCTTTCTAAGTAGTCTATAGTAGGAGTTGTAAGAAGTGCTTAACAGAAATAAGCTATTATCCTTGCTTACCATCCTGCATATAGTCCTGAAATTCCATAATTTTTGTATACAATCTTAAATCCTTCGTAAAGAGAGATGTTTTTAAAATTTTGATTTCCCTCCATCTAGACTAGTGTTTTGATTGTATCAAATGGATGAACTAACAATATTGAAGATCAGATACCTGCCAAAATGTTTAGAATGCTACTGAGAGAGGAAGCAATTAAAGAATTAACTAAAGAAAGTGGTTAGCCAGGTTCAGCTTTTAATGCATAGCGGACTTTGTGATCCCAGTACAAATAGTTCGTCCATGATACTACCTGTCTGGTTGTTTGAATTCTGAAACCAACATAGATCGATTCAAATGTTATGTATTTGAAATAACCAAAGCCAGTAGACATAGAAGTCATTTTTAATGTCTTGAGTCTTTCGAAAGGAGTAATAATACAACTTTCAAACAGCCCAATTGAGGCTCCTGTTATAATTTTATTAATGGATTAATTGTGGATGTGGTCATTCAGTATCTAAGGTATAAAAATCATCATAGGCCATCTATAATATTGTTTGACCATGTTCCTCAAAAAACTAGGAGAAAAGCCATCGTACAAGCCAATCATCCCTCTAGCTCCCTTAATGTCTATGTAACTCTACAATTCAGTGGAAAATATACCTATATATAAGTGATCCCCTGTTTTGATTGTTTGTATGTCTTAATTCTATCAAGTACGTGTTCTAAAGGCATGGTCAATGCCACTCGAAAAGCTCCAATCACTTATGTTTCAATGAGTGCTTTAACATAATCTCCCATCTGTAGCGTATAATATATTCTTTAAAAATATTTAAGAATAGATTGTATTAATTTAGCTTTTATATAAATTAGATAATAGCAAAATATTTCATAAATAAAGCTTATCATTGCATATTATGCCCTCTTCTCAAGGAACTCCTATTAGATGTAGATGAATTCTAAATAAATTGATGAAAACAATCCAAATAACTGAGAGTTGTATAATGAAATGAATATTCTAGAAAATCATTAATTAAAGAAAAACAATGAACAATTGTAATCAATAATCCTTAGAATTTTTTTAAAATTACTAATTCTTAGAGATACTTGATTTGGGAGGAACCTTGGGGAGTTGAACACAAGTGCTTTTTGTTTAAGGTTTAGGAAACAATATTTATTATTTTTTTAATGTGGGAGTTTAAGAGGACACTTTACTCGTTGGAGTTTGCAATCTAGCAGTTGTGTTGTTTTTAGTTGGAGTCTTGAGTCTAATCTAATGTTTGGGATGGAAGGTTTCCATGCTTTCTTTTAAATTGTTGACATGTTCCTATTTGATTATGGTTTCTGGATGATGGAAATGAATCTATAAGAGTTTTTGATTAATCTCTTTGGCCGTCTAATAGATAGAAATAATGGATTACTTATTGGACAATGGCCTTTTTATCCGTTAGAAATGGTTGTAATATCTACTGTAATTTAATGACTAATTCCTTTTCTTCATTCCAGAAGAGTAATCTCATCTCGTAAATCAATTATACAAATTTCATTCTCACGATATAAACTGGATCATTTTGCAATTGCAATATTTAAATTAGGTTGCATTGTTTGAAAAAGTTTCTGCTTCGTTTTCTGCAGATTTATACACAGAAGTCAATCAATAATACTCTATATGCATAGTTAGTGTGAGTGAGGTATTGAAGATAATGTGGAATTACCTTCTCGTAGTTTTCAGCTATTGAATCAATCAGATAGACAGAGACTTTTTTCCTGATAAGTTAAGATCCCATCGTTAGATATGAAAAACATAGAGAATTGAATTCAGTCTTAATGTTTAAGTGATTAGCCAGACATTCTAAGATGTTTAAGGTTTCTTCAACTTCGAACCACAGACCTTTTTATTCATAATGCAAAATGGACTTTTTGAGGAAGTCGAAGGTCTTTTGCAACTGGATTGTGAATTGTCTACTTTTGATTCTGTTGCCTTTGTTAATGATATCAAGGAGATAAGGAATGAAAAATATTTGATTCAACTCCAAATTGCCAAATATAAGACCAAGTAATTGTTGATGTGTTTATTCATTTAATTGAGTGTATAAGTCTGACAAATGTTTAAGAAAACTAAACTCTTTACTTGTGTCAATTAAATTAGATACCTGATTAACTAGGAAATCATCATATTGTTATCGAATCTTCGAATCGAATATTTACACATATTGATAGTACTCCTTAACTAATTCAATTTGTATAGGTAATGGCCTTATGTAATCCATAAATTTCTGCTAAATAGACTCAGTTTTAATTGTTGAAAGACATTATGCAATCAAAACGATGATTTTGGGATCATCTTCTATGAATTGTATGATATCTTGGAGAGTGTCTTAAAATTTGAGATGACTCTCATAACCTTATTCTTCCATCTTCAACCAAGAATTGAGAAATAGCTTGCATCCATTCAGTCTCACTTACTTATCGAAGTCTGTGATCAATGAAATAGTGTTCTTTAACCAATCCTGATCTCTGATTAATATCATCAATAGATTATCATGTTTGAGTATAACTTGATCAACAATTCTGCACATTCGTTCATTTTTTCTACCAATACATTATTTTACATGTTTCAGTGCTAGAGCCTACTAATTACTATTCATCAACGAGTAGCGCATTTCAATTATTTTCAATCCTTCATACCTAACACTATCCTCATTTAAGATGAGGAGGTAGGGTTCGAAATCGAATTCCATAAATTTTGAGAGAGTAGCCATTAGCTCACAAATTTGATCGCAAAATGGAGAATTGAAATAAATAGAACAAAATTCTTAGAGCTACTTCAATTATTATTCCTTGATTTTGGTTAATACATTTTCCTAGAGTAAATGTGTATAATTACATTTAGTAAGGCAATGAGGTTACTTAAGGCTTTGATCAATTCCTTAGCTACTTAGGACTCCTCACTCTTGACCTTGTTCTATGATTAAGGAGAAGAGAGAATTACAATGATGAATACCACTAGTTCTGGAACATAAAAGTCAAACTCAGTAGCTTTATTTATATTTTGACAAACAAAAAGCTTTTAAAATGTTTATCCATTATTCAGCAAGTGGATGGCCTTGTCGATAAAATTGTTATATTCAGGAGTGCACAGCTTTTCAATTTCTTCGTTACTTTTGACTTAAATACAGAGGGAAATGTACTTGAATTAGTGCATCTCTCATTGATTGAATCCATTAATTTATTTATTAATTATAACGAATACAAGAAGTATGACTCTATTTTCTGAGTTTCTCATTATAGGATATTAGCCAGAAGAATATAAAGAGACGGAAATCATTGAATACTTCCACATAAACGGATCAAGTCTTCCAGATTATCTTAGAAATGTAGGCATTGTAATTATCTGTTTGAATTGCTATATAGATGTGTTTTACAAGTGGCTTCGATGTCAAGTAAGAACAAGAATAGTAAAAGAAATCGGATGACATCAACAGCAAGAATTATTTGCATCAGTTTGTGATTACAGATCAGAATGGATAATTACGATACTGCACTTCTCTGGTCGTATTCGAGAGCTTCAAGAACGACCTTTATACTCCATTCGCTTATGTGATTGTTTCTGAGCAATCCAACCTTGTTAGATAAAAATGTTATATGAGAGCATTGTACAATGGCATCTTTGACAGAGTGACAGTACTAATTATTTAAATTAATTTATAGAGATATAGAGATCGTGGATGGTAAATGGGATCATAGAAATTATCTAATCAATAATTATTTGAATTCTATTTGTCTGTCGGAATCACTAACTTGGATGGATTATACTTTGTACCTAAACAAATCATGAAGACACGACAAGAAGTGATAACAGATCTAATTATTAACAATCCTAATCATAAAAACAATCTGTACAATAAAGACATCAGTTTCAATGTTTTATTTTCCAAATTATCAATCAAAAGCATAATTAAAGTAGTGCAATCAATAATCCTTGAAAAACAGATCATTTTATTCACTACTTAGGTTTGGGACTTAGCCACCATCACTGAAGCATTCCTCCAATTTATTTACCCTCTCTAATGGAGATGCATTTATATACCCTATCTACCAGCAGAAATACTTGACACTCTTCATGTTTCTGTCCCTTACATCATTGGAGTGCATTGCAATCTCAAGGAACGAGTATTAACACAATACGACTGCCTTGATAAGATTCTCGTCGACTTAGATCAAGACAGAGTCATCGGCTGTAATCTAGTATTTAGAGATATTATGTTTTTGTTAGATCTTGCCCTTCCCAGAACAACTTGTAGAAACCCTTGTGAATTAGAGTTCCAAATTTTCGTATTAAGATGATGTAACTTAAACATTTGTTTCTAGTCTGAATTGCTCTAGGTTTAATGCTGCTTCCTTAAATTCCAATTGTAACTCATCAACAACATTGTCCCATACTTTATTTACTCTGACATCCTACAATAGAAACCAAAAATAGAGGACATATTTGATAAGGATCTTTATATTGAATAATTTACTCCTTTAGATTAAGAATTCTACAGGGAATTCGTCAACAAAACTATGGTATTCATATTCTTATAGAGTTTGTAGATGTTCCAACGCTTTATTGAAGAATCCTATTAATACTTACATTAAAAGTAATTCTTGAAATAAAACATTAAAGCAAATATTTTTATTGATCTACTTCTATTGATCAACACTTCAGGGTATTTCAACATTTACAAATTGCAAAACAAAGACTTTGAAGCCAAATTATTCAGTCTAATGAATGAATCCAAATCCTTGATTCCAGAATCAGAGAAATCAATTCATTCGCTCTTTGCCCAATATCAAAAACAAACCAATGACTATTTAATTCCCTAAAAGAAGTTTCCTGTCCTCTAAATCGACAAATCTAAAATCATTCAAATAGATGCCATTCAAAATAGTATTCACCAAAGCTCACTTATGTAAAGAAGCACTTAATCTTAAAAAACCGATATCAGTAATGAAAATAAATAGGTCATCAATATCCTCACAATCAAAGTCCACAAAATTAATCCCATTACTAAATCTTTTATACAAAATGATGTTACTTCTTAAATTATTTTGAAATATCCTAAAAAATCTTTGTCAAAACTTAAAAAAACTTTGGCTGACCAATTACTTAAATTAGCCCCTGAAGTCAACGTCGAATATAAGCCAATCCAAACATCTTAAATGTTGAGTGTCAGACAGAGCAAACGAATATTTAACACTGAAGAAATGGGTTACGTAAGCATGTATAGGACTAAAACCTACAATATGTACTGAGATACTTATTTTTTTATATAATATTTATAATATCCATTATATATTGGAACTCTCATTAATAATTACGATATTTATTCATCATAAGTTTGTTTGGAACTCTATTGATAAATTTATTCAGGACACTACATTAAAGGTTTTTGATAGAATCTCTTCAAATAATAATAATTCTTTTGATAAATATGTGTTAAAATCAATTAACTATTGTACATTATTGTATACAATAAAAACTACGCATAATTCATGGTATTTATGTACAAGCAACCAACAAATTTCAAATCTAAAATCTAAAATCTAAAATTCTTGTAGAAGTTCCAATTTTAGCCATTCTTAAGTGGTTTATGGATATTCAATATGCTATTAATATTTTGAATAGATGCTCCTATTATAATAATTAATTTTAGATAATTTATTTATAAGAATTTTATTAGCATTAATCTTGCTAATTAATTATCTAATTTAAAAATTAGCAAATTTCTTCTACGTCATCAGTTGATACTCAATCACTTTGAACAAAATTCAAAGTTTTAAATTTGCTCTTAAATGACTGGAAAATAAATTGTAAAAAAACTACTAAATTTAACAGTGAAATTATGTTGGTATGTTCTTGATTTAAATAAATCAAATTTTAATAAATAAAAAATATAGCATGGTCTCAATCAACTAATGAATGTATTCAGCAAAAGACTTACATATATAGAGGATCATGATTTTTATAAATTTAATTTAAGTTAGGTTTCTACAAATCTGTTGTTCATTTGTATTTTTTATGATTAATATATTTTATTATGTTTGGAGAACCGTAACTATTAAGTCCAGTTAAGAGATAGTTTATTATGCAACGAATTATAAACAACATGAATGAGATTTCAAAACCAGTGTCCACTTCACCAGTCAAAAGGAGATTACGGATTTAATCAAATCGGATTGACTATAGGAAGAATATGAGTATGGTGGAAAATCATTCCAATAAGCATATTACTGAGCCCAACAACATAGAAAATAAGAAATTGTTCCATATAAAAGCTAATCGAAAGATGTCTCAAGATCAGATGCATTCTAAATCTCCTCCCATGTTACCATCACTATTTGAAATCACCTTTTAGAATCCATTTTTAGGACAATTCTCCTAAAGAAAATATTAACGACCAACAGAATTTTAAGCCATAGTATACAAACGAAAATCATGACTAATTTAATTAATTATTATCAACACGATCCACTCTCTTTTTCCCATTTTAAGTATTGATTCTCGAAAACACTCGGTGAAGGTTTTACTTAATTCATTGCCTCTGCAAAATCTGTTTCCGTAACTGGCCCAGGTCTTACATCATCATATGATGTCAAATTTTATTATTTTTTCTATTTCACAGTTCTAACATCAACTTATATGTCCTCAATTTAACTAAGGAGTCTTCGCAGAGGTTTCATGGCTGCTTCTTTACAAACTAATTTAATATCACTGCCACTATAATTTTTAAGAGCCTCAGCTAGTTATGGATAATTGAGATTTTCACTCATCTCTTAAGGAATGTACCTCCTAATCATGGACTCTCTTGATTCTTAGTCAGGTAATGGTATGTATATCTAATTAATAATGCTAAATAATACTCTTTTTTCTAATCTTCTTAACATAGCAATATCTAAATCCCATGGTAGATTTGATGCAGCCAATAAAAAGACTCTTTTTTTCGATTTTAATAAACCATCTAACTATATGAGTAATTCAGTTTTCATTCTTCTTCCTCCTTCGTGCTCATTCCCAGCTGATCCTCTTTATCCCATAATTGAATCCATTTCATCTATAAAAATTGTGCTTGGCTCATAATGCCTTGCTAAATCAAAAAGAACACGAATCAATTTTTCGCTTTCTCCTCTCCATTTAGAAACAANTACTCAATCACTTTGAACAAAATTCAAAGTTTTAAATTTGCTCTTAAATGACTGGAAAATAAATTGTAAAAAAACTACTAAATTTAACAGTGAAATTATGTTGGTATGTTCTTGATTTAAATAAATCAAATTTTAATAAATAAAAAATATAGCATGGTCTCAATCAACTAATGAATGTATTCAGCAAAAGACTTACATATATAGAGGATCATGATTTTTATAAATTTAATTTAAGTTAGGTTTCTACAAATCTGTTGTTCATTTGTATTTTTTATGATTAATATATTTTATTATGTTTGGAGAACCGTAACTATTAAGTCCAGTTAAGAGATAGTTTATTATGCAACGAATTATAAACAACATGAATGAGATTTCAAAACCAGTGTCCACTTCACCAGTCAAAAGGAGATTACGGATTTAATCAAATCGGATTGACTATAGGAAGAATATGAGTATGGTGGAAAATCATTCCAATAAGCATATTACTGAGCCCAACAACATAGAAAATAAGAAATTGTTCCATATAAAAGCTAATCGAAAGATGTCTCAAGATCAGATGCATTCTAAATCTCCTCCCATGTTACCATCACTATTTGAAATCACCTTTTAGAATCCATTTTTAGGACAATTCTCCTAAAGAAAATATTAACGACCAACAGAATTTTAAGCCATAGTATACAAACGAAAATCATGACTAATTTAATTAATTATTATCAACACGATCCACTCTCTTTTTCCCATTTTAAGTATTGATTCTCGAAAACACTCGGTGAAGGTTTTACTTAATTCATTGCCTCTGCAAAATCTGTTTCCGTAACTGGCCCAGGTCTTACATCATCATATGATGTCAAATTTTATTATTTTTTCTATTTCACAGTTCTAACATCAACTTATATGTCCTCAATTTAACTAAGGAGTCTTCGCAGAGGTTTCATGGCTGCTTCTTTACAAACTAATTTAATATCACTGCCACTATAATTTTTAAGAGCCTCAGCTAGTTATGGATAATTGAGATTTTCACTCATCTCTTAAGGAATGTACCTCCTAATCATGGACTCTCTTGATTCTTAGTCAGGTAATGGTATGTATATCTAATTAATAATGCTAAATAATACTCTTTTTTCTAATCTTCTTAACATAGCAATATCTAAATCCCATGGTAGATTTGATGCAGCCAATAAAAAGACTCTTTTTTTCGATTTTAATAAACCATCTAACTATATGAGTAATTCAGTTTTCATTCTTCTTCCTCCTTCGTGCTCATTCCCAGCTGATCCTCTTTATCCCATAATTGAATCCATTTCATCTATAAAAATTGTGCTTGGCTCATAATGCCTTGCTAAATCAAAAAGAACACGAATCAATTTTTCGCTTTCTCCTCTCCATTTAGAAACAACTGATGAAGCTTAAACATTGAAAAATGTTGTGCGACATTCTGTAGCAACAGCCTTTGCTAGCATAGTTTTACCAGTTCCGGGTGGTCCAAATAAAAGAACACCCTTCCATGGTTCCAGGATCCCTTAGAAAAAATGAGGATATTTTAGTGGGACTAATACTGCTTCCTTTAGCAATTTTTTGGCTTAATCCAAACCTGCTATATCAGAAAATTTCACATTCGGATTTTCAGAGCATATATCTCTTTGTAAATAAGCTGCTAGTTGTTGAAATTCAGGAACATCAGAATAATCAGGCAACCCTTTTAAAACTCTCGGATCAAACCAGTCCTTTTGATTTGCTTCTTCATTATTTGATTATTTTTATTAAACTCCTGTTCCTTAAATTTCGAGTGAATCAGGCTCATTTTTGGCATCCTTATTATTATTATCCTTCTCCTTAGATTATTAAGTACTTTTCTTATTAGAACCTGTAGAATTTTGATTATTTGAATTACTAGCGTTGGTAGTACTGCTTTTTCCTGAACTTGGGATTCGAGGTAATCCAGGAGTGTTTTAGCCATCAACCTTTTTTACTAGTTTCGGAGGTTTCATGAATTTCATTTCATAAAACTATTCAAATTCACATAGTATCATATATAAATCTATGTTGTCTGCTGCATCATATTAATTCAAAGATAAATTTGATTCTGTTCCTAATTTTGTTGCCGAATCAATATAGCCAGCGTTCACAAGATAACGCTGAATAAGTATGATAACATTCCTTCTACGATCTTTGATTTTCTATTCTTCACTTAAGCGCGATTCTGAATCAATTTTGATTTTATTTAACATAATAATTAATGAGATAAGTACAAGGACTGAATAGGGTTCCAAGTGTTGAGAATTACGATCTATTCAATAAGATATATTAAAAGTCTAAGTTAGCAAGAACTTAGCAATCTTCTTAAGATTTACTTTATGAGGGAGATCAGTATCGGATTTAACAAAGCTAATAAATGTTGGTTGAGTATCTAAAAGATCTCAATGAGATGATTGAAGATGTAGTAAGATTAGTCGATTAACTACATTCACTTAATGAATTAGAAGTAAATAGTCTTTTCTAACATCTCAAAAAACAATTGAGGAATTTGAAGTAAGTCATCTAAGCGATAATGGATCTCATGTTGGGAAAGGGCAAGTCTCCATTTTAAGCTTAAAAACCTTCACATGTCAATATTGTCATGGTTAACACTATTAGAACATACTTGGTAGATGTGTATATTCCAAATTTGTTGGAGACAGCTAAATATGCTTTAGATAATTTTGAAGGCTACAAAGAAACGTTTTTAAAAGATATCAAAATAGCCTCTACTTAATTAATTATGATAAATCTGATCTTTGGGGCATCAGTTGATATTGACAAAAACTCTCTTTTCTCTCTTGATAAGAATCACAAGGATTGGAAAGAATTATATTTAATCTGTGAAAGGAAATCTTTGGGAGATGTTGAGAGAATAAACCAATCGTTTGATAATTTTGCAAACACTATATTAATTGGTCATGCCATCATGGGAAAAAACAGTAGATTCAAAAATGAAATACTCAAAAAATTATAGTTAGCAATTAATAGTGTTTATTATCAAATCTTCGATGCCAAGAAAGAAGCATTCACAAACATGAGTTAAATGAAAGCTTAAAATGCTATAGAAGTAATGAATATGATTGAAACACCTGCAATTAAGAAAATTATGGCCATGGCTTATCCAAAAATTAAAGTTAACTGTAAAATATACATTGACCCTGTTGTCACACCAATATCTATTTAATGGGTTAATTAATAATTAAAAGTTGGATAACTAAATAGAATAACTACATAGCAAATGAAATTGATAAATGAAGAATTGCATCTTGATCCAAATGCAAAATCTATTTTACATAAATTCGATCCATAAAAATTAAGAATTAGAATTTTATGCAATTCTTCTATTGATGACACCAGCAGTTCATGGTTCTCTAATTCTTAATAACATATTTTGCATGACACAATTTTAATACATATTCATGGAGGTGGATTCATAGCTCATTCTAGTTCAAGTCATTAATCTTACACTAGGGAATGGGCTATTAGATTGGGAATTCCAATTTTCTCTATTGATTATTCTTTGGCACCTAAATATCCTTATCCACAAGGCCTAGATGATGTTTGGTAAGCCTACAATTGGATTTTAATTTATTGTTACAAACATTTTGGTATCTTTATAAGTTAATTAATATCTTATAGATATCCAACCAAAACGAATCATTGTAGCAGGTGACTCTGCAGGAGGTAATTTAGCTTGCGCGTTAACAGGTTTAGCAATTAAAATGGGGCAGAGAGTTCCTGATGGATTATTTATGGCCTATCCTGCTTTGGATCTCAGATTTAATTTTACTCCATCCTATTTGCATGCGTTGACCGACAAAATTATTAGTCATACTATATTGGGAATTTGCGTTGAATCTTATGCTTCTAATCCATTAACATAATTAAGTAGCGATCCTTTTATTAACCCTATGATGTTATCAGATGAAATTCTTGCTAAATTCCCTCCTACTAGATTGATGTGTGGTACCAAGGATCCCTTACATGATAACACTTGGGCTTTTGCATCAAGACTTCTGTAATTTAAATATATATATCTATAGAAAACTCAAAAAAAATGTGCAATTTACAATTTATGAATAAATTTGTCACGGGTTTTTATGTTACAAAACAATTAAAGGCATGTAAGAAATTTAAATGTGTATCGATGATGCAATATCATACATAGAAGAACTTATAAACCTATCTAAATCCTGAAATACTCATTAAATATAAATAAAAGATATCATTTATCAAGCATCATTATTAATTACATCTTCATCTAATAACTTAATCAATATTCTGAGGTCCTTCTTCAATTAACTGAATTTCGATGAATCTTATTAACTATCAATATAACTTTTGAATCTATTTTTTAAAAACATCTAAAGACCATTTCTGAATGGTAAATAATCTGCATTTTCAAAAAGATTTTTGCTCTGCTTGGCCATAATATCTATAGAGATGCTAATAAAGATTAATAAATTGATTTACTTCTATAAAAAATTCTGGATAACAATACATAAAAATTGTGCTTAAATTTCCAATAATTCATCATAGTTAAACCATTTCAATAATAATAAATTAAGACTCTCCTTCTTTAATAAATTAGAACATAATTTAGCAATATTTATTAATTTTCTTATACTATAGCTTTCTAATAATTTGAATTTATCCCATAGCATATATTGGAATGCTTATTTCATTCCCCTCTCTAAATTGATTAAATAATGAGCCAATTCTTAATAATAAGGATTATATGTTTTTTCATTACCGCACATTTCCACAATTACTAAACATACATCTTGCTTTTTCTTTTTTAAATATCCTAACTTATCTAAATTTTAAGCAGCCTCAAACAAGTCATCTGCTCCCATAATTACGACAAATGCAGTCTTACGAGTCTCTGTTACCATCTTTTAATCAATTGCTAATTGCTCTAACTTTTCCAACTTTATATTTCTTTTTTACTATTTAAACTCTTAAAATAATTAACTCTACTCCTCATTAGTGACAATAGGCTTCCACCAATTATTACTCAAAAATTGAGATTCATAACTAAAATCAAAACCTTAACAAAATATTCTATGAATTAATTTTTATGTTCTTTATTTGTGCCAATTTAATATAAACTCAAGTCTTTCAGATTAACTTGCGATTTTTTTATTCAATCTTAAATCATCTAAGGTCATAAGTAAAAATTTTGTTCTTGATTCACTTGCAGTTGAAAAAGCCTGCTTTATATCTTCGATAATCAATTTCAAAATTGCAGGATTATCCTATCGAATTTTCTTTCCACAATATTGGATAATTATTAATAAATTTTCAACATTGTCTGCAGTTTAACTTTTCAATAAATATTTTATGAATTCCTTAATGAATTACAACGATATTGATTCAAATAGATACCAATGACATAATATTAATGTTATATTTTTAACCTCATGACTAACAGGATTAGACCTTAATTTAAGAATAAGTTATTTAATTAACTCGCCAAAAAATAGATTGTCATATATCTAATGGAAATAACTAGATGATGCTATAATACAACTCAATAAGTAAGGTAATATTTCGATAGGTTTTATTGCTGATTAAACAATTTATTGACCAAACACTATTCCAACTACCTACTTAGGATGTTAATTAAAGATTTTATCAATTTCATCGACAATGTTGTTGATATTTGCTTCTGAAATTTTATTTAAGTTTCTATTCAAAAGCTTTCTAACTTCCATGAGTTAGGTCTCATCATATTATACCTCCTATCGTTCTTAGATTTCTTTTTCTTATTATTCCTTCTAGACTTTGTTTGTCTTTTGTTCATTAACAGGTTATACTTGTTGCTATTAAACTTTTTTTTATAAGGTCTCATTTTTCTGTTCTTATTCTGGTTCACTTTCATCTGACTATTAATTTTCTTCATTCTCAATTTCTTCCTCATCTGGTTAAATTTCATCATCATCAATATCATCGTCATCATCATCTAAATTTTCTTAGTCTTCAATCATATCATCATCATCCTCATTTTATTCTTCATTTTCATCATCATTTCCATTTAATTCATCTTCTTCATCCACTTCCTCTTCTATTTCCTCATCCACTTCCTCTTCCATTTCTTCTTCTTATGATTCATCCTAAACTTAATCATCAGATTGATCTTCTGAATTTTGCTCTACACTTTAATCTTCATTCTCCTCATTCTCTTCACTTTCATTTTATTTTTAAAAAGCTGAATAATTTTTAGGCAGATCCTTCTATTTAATACTTTAATCTATATGATCCAAAAAATCAAATAAGTCCTCTTCCAATCCATCTTCCATAATTTATGCTTTTGGTAATCTATTCTATTTCAATTTTAATTTTTTAGTTAATCTCTCTATTTCCTTCTCTTCCTACTCTATTTCTCTTTATAATTATTATTTCCTCTTTTCATCCAATTCCTTGTTATTAGAATTTGGCTATTATTTTACTAATTTTTATTATTATTATTTTTGTTGATTAGGGGCTTGTTAATTTTTAATTTCCAAATTTTATTTCTATTCTTTTTCTTTGGGCTAGTTTTAGCTAACAATTTAAACACCCTAGTTTTTCCAATTTCTCTATTAATTAATTTACATATGTTTCTATTTTTTTATCATCTTTTTTTCCTTCCTTTGCTTCTTACGATTAAAAACATTGAACTCTGGTTTTATTTATTGGAATCTTTCGTGATGATCATCCTATTAAAGGTTTTCATTTTTCTTCACCATAATTAAATTAATTGATTAAATATGCCAATAACTAAGCGAAAGAAGACTTAAGTGTTAACAAAAACCAAAAAGAAAACTCCAGAAAAGAAAGAATTACTCGTTAAGAAGCTTAAATAAAGCCTTAAAAAATATTAAAGAGCTATAGTATTTCAATATAAAAATCTGTCCACAAATCCATTAAAAGAGATCCAACAAGCATGGAAGAGTGATTCCAAACTCTTTATTGGCAAAAACAAAGTCATGCAAGTAGGCTTGGGCAAAGGTGAAGAACAAAGCGCTACAAAAAATTCCTACCTTCTCTCTCCAGTAATTAAATTTTATAATTTCAGTTTCTTAAAGGTGAAACAGGACTCCTTCTAACCAACAAAACTCTTCAAGAGATCTAAGATTACTGTGATACTTATAAAATTCCTGAGTTTGCAAGGGCTGGTCACATATCTGATCAAACCATAGTCCTAAAAGAGGGAATAGACACCTTAAAGGGTTTTGCCCATTCCATAGAACCATATTTGAGAAAATTAGGACTCAATACCTAATTAATAAATTAGCAAATTGTATTAAACGAAAAATTTATTCTTGCATAAGAGGGCAAACCCTTAACAGTGGAATAAACTAAAATATTGGTATATTTAATTATTTAATTTTAGCGATTAATGAATTAAAAACTAGCCTATCTTGAAATCGCTCCACTTTGTGTGTTAGAAAAGAATGGTACATTCAAAAAATTGTGAATATTATTCAATATAATTCTTCACGAATAATTGGTAATTCTATTTCCAAGATTGATTTGTCCGAAACAAATTTTGCCTTTCCCATTTTCTCATTTACTGGGTAAGGTAGGATAAAATCCAAATAATATTGAGTGCTCGACATAATGATCTGTTGCTTCATTACTTCTAAATTTATTTCTGATAACTTAGTTTCTGGTAATTTAATCTTTACTAACAATCCTTAACACTTAGTTGAACTTGGATCAATTCCACTCCATCCCCCAAAAACATCCTCTGTTCCAACTATTTGCTTATATAATACTTCAACATCTGGTCTTTATCTATTATCCATTCTTGGCCTATTTTATACAGAAACCTAAAGAAATTGTAATACAATACTTCATCAATATCCCATATATCATTTTTGTCTGCAACTTTATTTTTCTATTTCTCCTATTGTTAAACAACTTATTGATCTTAATCCTTTTATCCAACCTTAACTTATATTTAGGCATAAGGTTTGGCAACTTCCTTTTTTTAACCATTTGATCCAATATCACTAGGAGCAAAAATACTTCCCTTATTTGGATTATTATTAATATTAGAGAAGGAGCCCTCTTCTTCTTCTGGCTGTATTAGTTGGGCTAGAGCTTGAATATCAGAAATATTCATTAATAAATAAAAATAAATTGTATTAGAACAATTATATTTAAAATTTTCTATTTCTTTTAGGATATCATTTCAATATAATATTGTAACATAAAAAAGAATGAAATCTCTGTTGACTAATTAAAGAAAAAGTTCAATATAAAGAATAGCGATGATTATATTTTGATACATGATTTAATATACTTTAAAGCCTCTTTTAATAATTGAAAAAATAATTTATTAACTAAAATTTCTGAACGCTGCAGCATCGACAGTAAAAATGTTATTAATTAATAAAAACAATATTTTTCTTAAAAGAATTGAAAATGTAAAATAAATACAATTTTTTAGGGTTTGTTAAAGAATAACTCAAAGGAGCTAAAGTTAAACAAACTAAAATTGAGAAACATGATTTTATGAAAACATTAAAAATGATAGAGGATTAGTTATTGTAATCAATAAAAATAGATAAGAAAGGCAGTTGTGGAGAAATATAACTTAAAAAAACAAATCGAGAAGTGGAATTAAAATAATAAAAACAAATAATATTGCTTCAATAAAAGCTTTAATAAGCATAAAAGGATTGTTTAGATTTTAAAGAATAAAATCATTAAATGTATACAGACATGAAAAAATAAAAACAAATAATAAAATCATTAGAGAGAGAAAAGCAATAGTATTAAAAAGATAAAGTGGTATGGGATAAAAAACTTTAAAATTAAGAAGAGGTATATGCAACAAATTTAAGAATGACAGATGATGTTAAAAAGGTCTTAAATATGATTAATGAGGATATCGATAGAGAAGCAGTTGTTAAGGCTAAGAAAATGAAATGAGAAAAATTATTAATATTTTAATTTGATTGGATAAGTATTTTGAATAACAAAAATGCTAGAAAAAATTATGAATTAACAACCATCTATCTCATATTTCCTTCTAGTAGAGTATTCTTATTTTATTACCTTCTTCATAACTTATGGAATAATAGTTAAGGTTTATATTTAGCATACAAACTATTCAAATAAGGATCTCCAAATTGAGAAAAATGATAATATATATTTTTTAATAAAAAAGTCTCAAAATTATTTATAATTTACAAATAATTTTAGAGTATCCATAATGATTATATGAAATTTTAAATAATTTCAGAAATAATGATTTAAATTTAGATATTAATAACTTTATTTATACTAATCAATCTCTAATGGCATTGATTCCAAATCTTTTCTTTAAGACCTTTCTGACAAGTTCTCTAGCCATCTCTTATTAGATACCAATATCCAATTGGTTTGTAAATCCAATGCATGAAACATTGACTTCACTAATCCAATATTTATCTTTTCCATTTTCATCAGTATCTAAAATGAAATCACAAGTCCAATCCAAGATGGTTTCAACATCTCCTAAGTTGTCAGTCAAATGTTAAANGTTGGGCTAGAGCTTGAATATCAGAAATATTCATTAATAAATAAAAATAAATTGTATTAGAACAATTATATTTAAAATTTTCTATTTCTTTTAGGATATCATTTCAATATAATATTGTAACATAAAAAAGAATGAAATCTCTGTTGACTAATTAAAGAAAAAGTTCAATATAAAGAATAGCGATGATTATATTTTGATACATGATTTAATATACTTTAAAGCCTCTTTTAATAATTGAAAAAATAATTTATTAACTAAAATTTCTGAACGCTGCAGCATCGACAGTAAAAATGTTATTAATTAATAAAAACAATATTTTTCTTAAAAGAATTGAAAATGTAAAATAAATACAATTTTTTAGGGTTTGTTAAAGAATAACTCAAAGGAGCTAAAGTTAAACAAACTAAAATTGAGAAACATGATTTTATGAAAACATTAAAAATGATAGAGGATTAGTTATTGTAATCAATAAAAATAGATAAGAAAGGCAGTTGTGGAGAAATATAACTTAAAAAAACAAATCGAGAAGTGGAATTAAAATAATAAAAACAAATAATATTGCTTCAATAAAAGCTTTAATAAGCATAAAAGGATTGTTTAGATTTTAAAGAATAAAATCATTAAATGTATACAGACATGAAAAAATAAAAACAAATAATAAAATCATTAGAGAGAGAAAAGCAATAGTATTAAAAAGATAAAGTGGTATGGGATAAAAAACTTTAAAATTAAGAAGAGGTATATGCAACAAATTTAAGAATGACAGATGATGTTAAAAAGGTCTTAAATATGATTAATGAGGATATCGATAGAGAAGCAGTTGTTAAGGCTAAGAAAATGAAATGAGAAAAATTATTAATATTTTAATTTGATTGGATAAGTATTTTGAATAACAAAAATGCTAGAAAAAATTATGAATTAACAACCATCTATCTCATATTTCCTTCTAGTAGAGTATTCTTATTTTATTACCTTCTTCATAACTTATGGAATAATAGTTAAGGTTTATATTTAGCATACAAACTATTCAAATAAGGATCTCCAAATTGAGAAAAATGATAATATATATTTTTTAATAAAAAAGTCTCAAAATTATTTATAATTTACAAATAATTTTAGAGTATCCATAATGATTATATGAAATTTTAAATAATTTCAGAAATAATGATTTAAATTTAGATATTAATAACTTTATTTATACTAATCAATCTCTAATGGCATTGATTCCAAATCTTTTCTTTAAGACCTTTCTGACAAGTTCTCTAGCCATCTCTTATTAGATACCAATATCCAATTGGTTTGTAAATCCAATGCATGAAACATTGACTTCACTAATCCAATATTTATCTTTTCCATTTTCATCAGTATCTAAAATGAAATCACAAGTCCAATCCAAGATGGTTTCAACATCTCCTAAGTTGTCAGTCAAATGTTAAAGACATGATGTGAAGAATTTGATGAGTTCAGGCCATGCTTCTGGGGATTCATATTTGTAAGTTGCTCCAGAGAAAAGAGTTGCTGAAAAAGCATCTTATTTATCAGCTGGCTTCTTGTGGATAACAAACAATGGTTTTGTTCCCATTAAGAAGATTCTGACTTCACCTTCCTTGATTCTTGGTAAGAATCTCATATCAATGATGAAGTTTTCTTCGACTTTGTAATACCTTTCACACAATTTAAAGAAACTTTCAAGTGTGTGATGTTCAACGTGGTTGTCTACTGCTTCAGTGCATTTGATCTTGGTGTCTAATGGTAAGGCTTATCCCTTAACAACTTGGACACCTTCACCAACTTGAACTCTCCAGATTCCTTCACCAGTGGATCCTCTGTTTTATTTAAGGACTCTTTCTCCATTGGTCAATGAAGTTGGGAAATTCTTAACCAAGTCATCCCATTTGAAATAAGCCACTGTGTCAGCTGGGGAAAGTGGAGTTTTATTGAGGTCTACAAGACTCAATTTGGAGTCATATTTCATAAGAGTGTCTGGGTGTGGTGTTCCAACTACTCCAGCAGCACACATTTCTCTTAAAGCTTGATTGAAGACAGCTTCACCATTTGGAAGATTTCCTGTATTGATTCTTGGAATGTAAGCATCACAGTTTTCAATGACATACTTAGTGATGGCTTCCTTCCATTCGTCTCTGAAGAAGATGACTTCAGCAGTCCATCCTACTTCTTTGAAGGCTTCGACAATTGGAATTGTGTCCTTTCTGTGACCATTCCAAGTTTTGTCTGAGCCTCCTTCTGCTTCGAAAATTGCTACTCTCTTATGAATTTTATTCTAAGCCATAATTGATATAAGATATTTTATATTTAACTTTTTTCATAATCAAAGAATCAGATTTAAGCTCCTTATGATATTAAAATTATTTTGCACGTGTATTAAATTATTTAAAATATCTTTTTTTCATTTAGCATGGAAAATATCTTCTTCATTTTATATTATTAATTAAGAACAGAATTAATTATAATAATGATAATTATAAAATACTTTAAATTTTTTCTGTTTAGAAATTTAAGATTAAGTACTTGATACTAAGCTATACTACATTATTAAATGATTCCTTCTATTTTCCTAATTTAGATTCCATAATTTATTTTGCTTTCAAAATAATCCAAAATACTATTTAATTTTATAATTTGCATTAAACATTATACTCTAAAGTTGTTTGTTTTAAGATAATAGAGTTTCATAATTCTTTTTATAATAATATATTAGTAGGAGACTGATAACTTTTTAACATGCCTTTAAATTTCTTTGACAAATATATTTATAAGTTAATTCATAGTAATTACATTCATTCTCCCAATTCTACATGATTAACTTCATGTATTTCTTCATAAAGTTCTTCAGAGTACTTATGCTTTGGATCTTGTTTTTTGCTTTTTGAACCTTCCTCAACTACAGATTAGCTCTTAGATTTAACAAAATAGTTTACTTTTTTGATTTACGGAGGTCTTTTATAGGACGCTTCATTTATAACTGCAATTTATTGATCGGGAATATCATTAAAGAAGGTTTTAATCTTTTATATTATTGATTTCTTCTTTTTAAGCGGAGTGCTTTGCATGAGGCTTATTTTTAAATAATGTGTAATAATATTAACTAAGCATCAATAAATAATGTAAGATTTAAAATGTTGCGGTAATGACGCATTTATATTTTTGTAATTGGAATTAATTTATTGTATGATTATATATGACTTAAGCATGGGAATACGTCTTATTTTTTATTTTAATCTAAAAGGCAACTTCATTTATAAATGCCAATGGAGTGAATTCAGGAAGAATTTATTTGGCACAAAAATTTTCATAAAAATTAATTATCTTAAATCGTTATTTAAGCTGCATGGTAAAAACTAAATTGGATCTAAAAATATAAGGCACTTCAGAATATTTAAAATAAAATGGAAAGAGATTAATAATTGCTTATTTTTGCAGATTTATGTTGTATTAGATATTTACTAATTTATTGATACTTATCACTATTATTTTAGAAAATAGAAGGCTTAAACATTGAATTTAGTAGTCTCCCTAACATCTTTAAAATAAGAATTTGTTTATACTAAAGATTTTTTTTTAAAATTGTTTGCCAAGAATTTCTCCAAATTTTCTTTAATTCTCAGCAAGTTTATTATTGATGCTTTGATAAATAATGCGGACACAATTAAATAGATATATTTTGATAGATTAGAGCTTTGCCTGAAGATTAGTCAATATTTAATTAACTATCCAATTTCCAAAATTAAGTTTCATTAAGAGGATTTTTTTGTAATTAAGTAACATATGTTTCAAAAAAGATATTATCGCAACACTATAAAGAATTTATCAATGTTACAATTAAGATAATCGAAGGATAGAAATCCCCTTGCACATGTAAAGGAGTGGAAATGATCACGCAACTTATTCAAGAAATCAATATCAACATTACAGAGAAAAAATTCTATCTTACATTAATACAAATTCATAAAATGAGATTTTGATGTCAAATTCTGTCTAAAATTCAACTAAAAAAAATTAGAACTACAAAGTAATTTGTGGTGTTATCATTTTCATAAATAGAGAGGAACGAAGTGATTATTTCATATGCTATTATTCAATTTATAAGAAATTTGACTAGAGTATATAATACATGCTATTTTTGAGGACTTAAATTGTAGTTAATGATAATTTCCAATTTGTTAATATTAATAGCTCAAAGACTAATATCAAAGCTTGATTACTATAAAGTTTTTAAAATATTGATTTTAGTGAAATATTGAATAAAATCTGTACTAATAAACAAATTTAATTACACTGCCAAAAAATACAATATGAAAAGTACCTTCCTTTAAAATTCTTTATGAGTAAATAACCGTTAAAATTACCTATGTAGTCGATAAAGTAAACTTTGGATGGTAATTTTTAAATTTATTGGATAATTTTATTTGATATCGCAGATAAAATTAGTTGAAAACCATTTTTGCAAAAAATGTCTTTAATAACAATAAAGTAACTCAAATTGAAATTATGCAAACTTGGAAAGAAATTTTTATCATATTTTTACCAACTCTGTTATTAAAATTTTTGACTTGGTTAAATTTATTTAATTAAGCAAAATCAAAAATCAATTCAGACGATAGAAAATAATTGCTCCTAGTTAAAATATTTTTTTTATAAAGTTAGCAAATTAGCGTAATAAGCGCTCANTCTTATTAGATACCAATATCCAATTGGTTTGTAAATCCAATGCATGAAACATTGACTTCACTAATCCAATATTTATCTTTTCCATTTTCATCAGTATCTAAAATGAAATCACAAGTCCAATCCAAGATGGTTTCAACATCTCCTAAGTTGTCAGTCAAATGTTAAAGACATGATGTGAAGAATTTGATGAGTTCAGGCCATGCTTCTGGGGATTCATATTTGTAAGTTGCTCCAGAGAAAAGAGTTGCTGAAAAAGCATCTTATTTATCAGCTGGCTTCTTGTGGATAACAAACAATGGTTTTGTTCCCATTAAGAAGATTCTGACTTCACCTTCCTTGATTCTTGGTAAGAATCTCATATCAATGATGAAGTTTTCTTCGACTTTGTAATACCTTTCACACAATTTAAAGAAACTTTCAAGTGTGTGATGTTCAACGTGGTTGTCTACTGCTTCAGTGCATTTGATCTTGGTGTCTAATGGTAAGGCTTATCCCTTAACAACTTGGACACCTTCACCAACTTGAACTCTCCAGATTCCTTCACCAGTGGATCCTCTGTTTTATTTAAGGACTCTTTCTCCATTGGTCAATGAAGTTGGGAAATTCTTAACCAAGTCATCCCATTTGAAATAAGCCACTGTGTCAGCTGGGGAAAGTGGAGTTTTATTGAGGTCTACAAGACTCAATTTGGAGTCATATTTCATAAGAGTGTCTGGGTGTGGTGTTCCAACTACTCCAGCAGCACACATTTCTCTTAAAGCTTGATTGAAGACAGCTTCACCATTTGGAAGATTTCCTGTATTGATTCTTGGAATGTAAGCATCACAGTTTTCAATGACATACTTAGTGATGGCTTCCTTCCATTCGTCTCTGAAGAAGATGACTTCAGCAGTCCATCCTACTTCTTTGAAGGCTTCGACAATTGGAATTGTGTCCTTTCTGTGACCATTCCAAGTTTTGTCTGAGCCTCCTTCTGCTTCGAAAATTGCTACTCTCTTATGAATTTTATTCTAAGCCATAATTGATATAAGATATTTTATATTTAACTTTTTTCATAATCAAAGAATCAGATTTAAGCTCCTTATGATATTAAAATTATTTTGCACGTGTATTAAATTATTTAAAATATCTTTTTTTCATTTAGCATGGAAAATATCTTCTTCATTTTATATTATTAATTAAGAACAGAATTAATTATAATAATGATAATTATAAAATACTTTAAATTTTTTCTGTTTAGAAATTTAAGATTAAGTACTTGATACTAAGCTATACTACATTATTAAATGATTCCTTCTATTTTCCTAATTTAGATTCCATAATTTATTTTGCTTTCAAAATAATCCAAAATACTATTTAATTTTATAATTTGCATTAAACATTATACTCTAAAGTTGTTTGTTTTAAGATAATAGAGTTTCATAATTCTTTTTATAATAATATATTAGTAGGAGACTGATAACTTTTTAACATGCCTTTAAATTTCTTTGACAAATATATTTATAAGTTAATTCATAGTAATTACATTCATTCTCCCAATTCTACATGATTAACTTCATGTATTTCTTCATAAAGTTCTTCAGAGTACTTATGCTTTGGATCTTGTTTTTTGCTTTTTGAACCTTCCTCAACTACAGATTAGCTCTTAGATTTAACAAAATAGTTTACTTTTTTGATTTACGGAGGTCTTTTATAGGACGCTTCATTTATAACTGCAATTTATTGATCGGGAATATCATTAAAGAAGGTTTTAATCTTTTATATTATTGATTTCTTCTTTTTAAGCGGAGTGCTTTGCATGAGGCTTATTTTTAAATAATGTGTAATAATATTAACTAAGCATCAATAAATAATGTAAGATTTAAAATGTTGCGGTAATGACGCATTTATATTTTTGTAATTGGAATTAATTTATTGTATGATTATATATGACTTAAGCATGGGAATACGTCTTATTTTTTATTTTAATCTAAAAGGCAACTTCATTTATAAATGCCAATGGAGTGNTCTTATTAGATACCAATATCCAATTGGTTTGTAAATCCAATGCATGAAACATTGACTTCACTAATCCAATATTTATCTTTTCCATTTTCATCAGTATCTAAAATGAAATCACAAGTCCAATCCAAGATGGTTTCAACATCTCCTAAGTTGTCAGTCAAATGTTAAAGACATGATGTGAAGAATTTGATGAGTTCAGGCCATGCTTCTGGGGATTCATATTTGTAAGTTGCTCCAGAGAAAAGAGTTGCTGAAAAAGCATCTTATTTATCAGCTGGCTTCTTGTGGATAACAAACAATGGTTTTGTTCCCATTAAGAAGATTCTGACTTCACCTTCCTTGATTCTTGGTAAGAATCTCATATCAATGATGAAGTTTTCTTCGACTTTGTAATACCTTTCACACAATTTAAAGAAACTTTCAAGTGTGTGATGTTCAACGTGGTTGTCTACTGCTTCAGTGCATTTGATCTTGGTGTCTAATGGTAAGGCTTATCCCTTAACAACTTGGACACCTTCACCAACTTGAACTCTCCAGATTCCTTCACCAGTGGATCCTCTGTTTTATTTAAGGACTCTTTCTCCATTGGTCAATGAAGTTGGGAAATTCTTAACCAAGTCATCCCATTTGAAATAAGCCACTGTGTCAGCTGGGGAAAGTGGAGTTTTATTGAGGTCTACAAGACTCAATTTGGAGTCATATTTCATAAGAGTGTCTGGGTGTGGTGTTCCAACTACTCCAGCAGCACACATTTCTCTTAAAGCTTGATTGAAGACAGCTTCACCATTTGGAAGATTTCCTGTATTGATTCTTGGAATGTAAGCATCACAGTTTTCAATGACATACTTAGTGATGGCTTCCTTCCATTCGTCTCTGAAGAAGATGACTTCAGCAGTCCATCCTACTTCTTTGAAGGCTTCGACAATTGGAATTGTGTCCTTTCTGTGACCATTCCAAGTTTTGTCTGAGCCTCCTTCTGCTTCGAAAATTGCTACTCTCTTATGAATTTTATTCTAAGCCATAATTGATATAAGATATTTTATATTTAACTTTTTTCATAATCAAAGAATCAGATTTAAGCTCCTTATGATATTAAAATTATTTTGCACGTGTATTAAATTATTTAAAATATCTTTTTTTCATTTAGCATGGAAAATATCTTCTTCATTTTATATTATTAATTAAGAACAGAATTAATTATAATAATGATAATTATAAAATACTTTAAATTTTTTCTGTTTAGAAATTTAAGATTAAGTACTTGATACTAAGCTATACTACATTATTAAATGATTCCTTCTATTTTCCTAATTTAGATTCCATAATTTATTTTGCTTTCAAAATAATCCAAAATACTATTTAATTTTATAATTTGCATTAAACATTATACTCTAAAGTTGTTTGTTTTAAGATAATAGAGTTTCATAATTCTTTTTATAATAATATATTAGTAGGAGACTGATAACTTTTTAACATGCCTTTAAATTTCTTTGACAAATATATTTATAAGTTAATTCATAGTAATTACATTCATTCTCCCAATTCTACATGATTAACTTCATGTATTTCTTCATAAAGTTCTTCAGAGTACTTATGCTTTGGATCTTGTTTTTTGCTTTTTGAACCTTCCTCAACTACAGATTAGCTCTTAGATTTAACAAAATAGTTTACTTTTTTGATTTACGGAGGTCTTTTATAGGACGCTTCATTTATAACTGCAATTTATTGATCGGGAATATCATTAAAGAAGGTTTTAATCTTTTATATTATTGATTTCTTCTTTTTAAGCGGAGTGCTTTGCATGAGGCTTATTTTTAAATAATGTGTAATAATATTAACTAAGCATCAATAAATAATGTAAGATTTAAAATGTTGCGGTAATGACGCATTTATATTTTTGTAATTGGAATTAATTTATTGTATGATTATATATGACTTAAGCATGGGAATACGTCTTATTTTTTATTTTAATCTAAAAGGCAACTTCATTTATAAATGCCAATGGAGTGAATTCAGGAAGAATTTATTTGGCACAAAAATTTTCATAAAAATTAATTATCTTAAATCGTTATTTAAGCTGCATGGTAAAAACTAAATTGGATCTAAAAATATAAGGCACTTCAGAATATTTAAAATAAAATGGAAAGAGATTAATAATTGCTTATTTTTGCAGATTTATGTTGTATTAGATATTTACTAATTTATTGATACTTATCACTATTATTTTAGAAAATAGAAGGCTTAAACATTGAATTTAGTAGTCTCCCTAACATCTTTAAAATAAGAATTTGTTTATACTAAAGATTTTTTTTTAAAATTGTTTGCCAAGAATTTCTCCAAATTTTCTTTAATTCTCAGCAAGTTTATTATTGATGCTTTGATAAATAATGCGGACACAATTAAATAGATATATTTTGATAGATTAGAGCTTTGCCTGAAGATTAGTCAATATTTAATTAACTATCCAATTTCCAAAATTAAGTTTCATTAAGAGGATTTTTTTGTAATTAAGTAACATATGTTTCAAAAAAGATATTATCGCAACACTATAAAGAATTTATCAATGTTACAATTAAGATAATCGAAGGATAGAAATCCCCTTGCACATGTAAAGGAGTGGAAATGATCACGCAACTTATTCAAGAAATCAATATCAACATTACAGAGAAAAAATTCTATCTTACATTAATACAAATTCATAAAATGAGATTTTGATGTCAAATTCTGTCTAAAATTCAACTAAAAAAAATTAGAACTACAAAGTAATTTGTGGTGTTATCATTTTCATAAATAGAGAGGAACGAAGTGATTATTTCATATGCTATTATTCAATTTATAAGAAATTTGACTAGAGTATATAATACATGCTATTTTTGAGGACTTAAATTGTAGTTAATGATAATTTCCAATTTGTTAATATTAATAGCTCAAAGACTAATATCAAAGCTTGATTACTATAAAGTTTTTAAAATATTGATTTTAGTGAAATATTGAATAAAATCTGTACTAATAAACAAATTTAATTACACTGCCAAAAAATACAATATGAAAAGTACCTTCCTTTAAAATTCTTTATGAGTAAATAACCGTTAAAATTACCTATGTAGTCGATAAAGTAAACTTTGGATGGTAATTTTTAAATTTATTGGATAATTTTATTTGATATCGCAGATAAAATTAGTTGAAAACCATTTTTGCAAAAAATGTCTTTAATAACAATAAAGTAACTCAAATTGAAATTATGCAAACTTGGAAAGAAATTTTTATCATATTTTTACCAACTCTGTTATTAAAATTTTTGACTTGGTTAAATTTATTTAATTAAGCAAAATCAAAAATCAATTCAGACGATAGAAAATAATTGCTCCTAGTTAAAATATTTTTTTTATAAAGTTAGCAAATTAGCGTAATAAGCGCTCAAATAAATTAATAAATTCAAAAATAAGCTAAACTTTAAACTAAAGCTTATAAATAGGCGTCAGATGATAAAAAAAATTTTCTTGTTTGAGTATATGCGTTCAGATCATATAACAATTTTACTGCAGGTTCTTAAAAAAAACTAAATTTTACTCTGCAAACATAACGAATGAATAAACGAAATAAAAATTAAATATTTCATTGTTTTAATGCTTTAAACTATTTTTAATAGTTTTCCCACTCTTTTCGAATAGTTTCCCTTAGCTGTTTTCTTTTTTGATTGATTTCATTCATATTTCTTTTGAGAATCAACAATTCTGTTAATATTTCTTTGTCTGTGTGTTAAGATTCTCCTTTTTAAGTTTTGGCATTTACTTCGCAACAAAAATTTCTTGTTTCTTCATCATCATCCTCGTCCTCTTCTAACTATTCTAATTATTAATTAACTTTCTTTTTTAACTTTCGCTATTATCTCTTTTTTCTTTATTTCTCCTTTTTTGCTTCAATTTATTTTTCTTCTTGCTCTATATATGCAATAAGCATTTGTTGTTATTTCTCAAATTCTATTTGCTGAATTCTACTCTAAATTTTCTATATGATTAATTATTTAAGCTATAATATTTTGGATTAATTTTACAATTCTTATAAAATTTATTTTTAATTGATACTTCTATATAAATTGATCCCTACCATTAAAAATTTGCTCTAAAATCAAAGAACTAATTGCTCTTAATAATTTCAATTTAAAATTCTCTTAAATTTAAATTTCTAATACTGTTGTACCAAATTTTAAAATTTTATCGAAGAGAATATACTATGCATACTCAAATAAGAAAATACATCATAATTAATTATTATTTAATTATCTCTTTATCGAATAAATTCATTGAATTTGATGTTGTCCTCAGGATCCACAATATCATTTATGTGCATAATAATATCTTTTTCATTATTAATGTTCTCATTTACTTGCATTTATTTAAGAAAGTAATTTACTTGAGCCTTAAAAACATCAGCACGTATTATAATTTCGAATTCTCCTTTGTATAAAAACTTTGGAAAATCCATTAAACTTAATTTATTTTGACCAAGCAAATTAAGGGAATGCTTTTGTTTGTAATTACTAAATAAATCACTTTTTTTTTATCCAAAATTGTTTGAAGGATGAATTTCACATTAGATTCTATATTGCTTTAAATCACTTTATAAAAATAAGAATTTATCATGCCTACTCAAAAAAGTTTGATATAACTCTTTTTATTAACTTATAAGATCGTTGGCACATTTTTTACAAACTAATAGTTCTCTACATGCTGATATAAATTCAGAATCAGAAAAGTTTGAATTCCTTTCGAATTCTTTTTCGTTTATTAAATTCTATTCTATATGGCTTGACTTTATAGATGATGGATTATCAATAGTTTTTAAAGTTCCTTAGACAAACTACACTTATTTCTTTTAATTTGCTTTCATAAAATAATTATTAAAATATGAGAAGATTATAATGAATCATAGCCTTATTTATAATTACGTATATGATAAAAAAACAAATTGATCCTGAAAAACTTTATGAAGCCAAAATGAAATATTAGTTATATTGATCAATCAGACTGTTATAAATCTTCCCTTTTAATTTTCTATTCTTCAATTAATTAATCTATTTCATTTTTTTCAAACCACTTAATTCTTTTTCCTTCATTCCATTCTCCTACTTTCACTTCTTTATTTTATAAATAGTAAATTCCAATTCCATGTTACCTACCTTTTACAAATGTATATTTACATACCTTGAATCCAAGTACCTATATATTTTCTTCCATCAGCCCATTCGAAAACTCCTTTACCATGTTTTTTATCTTCTTCATATTCCTATTTTAGAACTAACTTATTACTCCAGTATATTTCCTTCCATCTTGCCAGATTATCTATCCTTTCCCATGCATTTTGTTCTTCTTCCATGATCCTCTATAAACTCTTTTGTCTGGCCAAATGTAGGTACCTTCACCATGAATGTCATTTTATAAAAATTCACCTTTAAATAATTAAATCTACTATTTTACCATCATATCTAGATCCATCTGCAAAATTCAGAATACCTTTGCCATGTTTTTTCCCTTCAAAATATTAACCCTCATATTTAGCACCATCAGGCCAATTTTCAACTCCTCTTCCATGTTGCTTATCGTTTTCCCACTTTAAATTAATAACAAGACTTACTTCTCCTTCATATTTTGCTCCATTCACATGTACGTATGTACCTTTTCCATTGGCCTTATCATTTTTCCATTCTCCATCATAAACATCTCCATCAGCATGAGTCAATTTCCCCTAAAATTATAAATTTAAATACCCTTCCTGATGACTTGTCTTCTACCCACTCCCCTTCATAGACGGAACCATCAGGCCACTTTTACCTACCAAAACCATCTCTCATTCCGTTCTTCCATTCTCCTTCATAAACAGCTCCAGACTCTAATTAAATGGGAGGCAGCTTTTTTCTTTCATTGCAATTCATTGTACTTTTAATTAAATCATTTCCTTCTTAGTTATTTGCGACATTCATGCTAACTGAATGATTTGCTGAGATATTTAACTATTTATCTTATTCTTAAGACTTTTTTGAGTTCTCATCAACATTTTTAGCAGGTGTTTCTTTAACGGCTTCTTTTTTTGGCTCTTTTTTGGTTTCTTTTTTCTATTTTTGTTATTCTTAATCGACAACAAATCTCTCATGATCCTTTGCTTGAACTTTTTATTCTTGTTGTGTAATATCATTTTCAGAATTGTCATGTTTAGGTTTTACTTTATCTCTCCCTACTTTTAATTCGGTAGTCTCATTCTCCTATTTAGCACAGCATGATTAACAATTAGCAGCACCCATATTATTTATTTAAATATTAAATATTAATATAGAAGAACAAAAAATTCATTTCATAGTTCGATTATGGATTTCAAATTGTTTACAGAAATAAGTTATTCAGATTAATATTTTCCTTTTTGTATAAATTAAATGTTTAAATTTCAATAATTATTGATCACTAAATTTTGCTCTTATAGAAGTGTAATTATTCCAAAAGAGAAATTAGAATGTAGGTTTAGCAAAAGTTCTGGACCTGGAGGCTAACATGTTAATAAAACAAACTCCAAAGCAGAAATAAGATTCAATCTATAAACTGCGGATTGGTTAAATGATGATCAGAAAAAAAAATTCATTCGACTCTATCCTAATTATGTAAATAAAGAAGGGGAAATTATCTTAACAAGCCAATTTACTAGAGAATAATCTAAAAATTTAGAAGATGCAATTGATAAATTAAAAGAAATGATCTTCGAATGCAGCAAGCCAGACAAAACTCAATTTACGATACCTCCTCCTAGTTAATATAAAATTTAATAAAGAGTTTAATGTAAAAGGCAGAGGTCAGATGTGAAAAAAACAAGAAATATCAAATGAAGTGTGTAGCTTTTATTTGTGTAAATTAAATTAGATTTTTCTAAACACAAACAATAAATTATCACAGAACTGATGCCATCCTTTCTATAAGCTTTGTATCGCAAAGTGCACTTTTTAAGTATAAATCATGCAATTTCCCCATTAAAATAGCATTCTATCTCAAATCATCAAATCTAAACGTTATAACCTATATTAAAATTTAATCAATACAATTTCCAACAATTTATAGAACTCTCTTGATCCAATTCTTGTAATTAAGTAGCTATATGCAATTTCATATATTTCTTGAGGTGTTATTTCTCTAACTTCTTTCAACCTCTATAAAACTGATTAAATATCATAAATACTTTTTCTTTCAATATCAGCATAAAATTCTTAATTATCATTTTCTGTGATATAATAGGATTTTACTATCTCAGCTAATTCTGTTGACGTAAACTCATGTTTCAAAGACGAAATTTTGTTCATCATTATTTTAAATAGTTTCCTATTTTTTTAATATATTATATTACTTCGATCCTCTATAAGAAAGTAAAAAACTTTTTATAATTAATTTCAATTCTGATAACTCGTATTTATCAAAATCCTATAAAATCTTACTTTCCAATTTTTATATAAGCACTTCACTACCAAATTCAAAGCCAAATCCTTAACTTATTAAACAAATTTATTCGAAATTCAGTTTATCAAATTATTACAATAGGTATTTTTCTACTGTATTAAAATAGTCTTTGAATTATTAGCTTTTAACAATATCAGCGGTATCTTATTTTTCACAGAGTTATCCCATAACAAGTACTCCCTATATTATTGTATTAATCGGCAATTATTAATAGATTTACTAATCTTATGAATTTAATAACATAATTCCTACTAAACCTCTGACAAATTATTTTGTTCTAAGAATAAATATCATTAAATACCCTCTCTAAACTCTCCAATAGCACATCAAAGTAGTAATAACGGATTAATATTATTAATTTATATCTTGCAATTTATTGATCTAATCCTATATTTAATTCTCACATTAATCCCAAAATTAATCTGAACCCTCTTTTTAATTGCTTAAATGTGATAAGATTTCCAACAGCTACTCAAGTTTTAATTTAGACATTCTATTCAAAATTGATATTTCTAATTATCCCCAAATCTCATGTTCTGAAGGAAGACATAAAATATCAAGCAATTTTGTAATTTTTACTAAATTTTCAACATCGCTTATAATTCTTATTTGTTTTGTTAAAATAGCTTAAAACTCTTAAAATTCATATCTTATCAGATCATCTTCTGAAATTTTGTCTGCGAATTAAATAAAGGCATTAACACAAGACATTAAATTTTTCTCTGTTAATTAAACTTTAAGTGTTCCTAAAAAATTAAACATTTCTTCTGGATGCTTAAATTCACTAGAATATTAGATGTTGATGTTATCAATAAAAACTTTTGCAAAATCTACTTTTCCATAATTCACCTCGTGTTCTCTTGCTTATCTTATAGTTTAAGTGTGAACTTCCTTTTCATTTTTTATTTTCATTTTTTCATATTCTTCTCTCTTTTTTCTAAGATCAGCTAAATATTCCTCCTTTCCTCTCCAATCTTTACTTATTAAGAATATTGTATACCACCAGTTTAATTTTAATTCTTTTCATCTTTTTTTCCTGTTTATTATTACTTTTATTCTTTTTTCCAGAAAAAATTAAAGGCAGGTCTAAATAAGCTCTTTCGGTAACACTTAATAATATTCATAAAATATAATTAAATAATAATAATTAAATATATTCTAAACAATATACATATATTATTTTTGATTTAAAAATATTTGTAAAATGATTACTTATTTTTTGTAGTAGGCTAATCTTTTTAAAGGGATAATAAACTTATATCATAGAATATGCGATTCTTTATTGTAATAGTCATTAAAATTCCAATTTATAATTGAATATGATAAAAAATAAATTTAGTATTCTTATTTACTGTTTTCAAATAATTAACAAGAATATTCGATATAATAATATAATTAAGTAAGAAAATGAAACTTTTTTCTTTTATTTGAATGAATTATACATAGAATTTTATATATTGAGATATCACTAATTTGCTCTGAGATTTCAGTAAACAGACATAATTAGAATTTATTCCAATTTCTTTTCAATTAGTGGAAATTAAACTTTGTACTATTACATTATTATTATAAAATAGACTACCTTATATTCCTTTGGATTAGAATTCAAAATTTGAATCTTTTATTGTATTATTCTAAAGAAATAAAAATTAAGAAGGGCTGAATTTTTAAAAAGTTTATTATAATAAGGGCTTAAATGATTATAAATTCAAATAATACCCCTGGTTTTAAATTATTCGTTTCAAACCATATCAAAAAATATCTTCAAATATGAATCAATTGAAATTGTAGTATGTAAAATCAATGGAGTTTGATAGAATTATCATTATTCTCAATCTTCAACTATCAAATTTTAGGAATAAGCAAATTAACTGACTTTATTCATTAAATATAGATATAAATGAAATGTAAAAATTAATAACTTTATTAAAAATGAATGATCTGGCATTACTATTATGTTAATTAACACAATATTTAGAGAATCATAATGTTTATCATAATTAGAAATTTGAAATGTAATTTAATAGTGATGCCTAGAAAACAATTATTCTGTTATAATATAATATTTCAAATATTTAAAAATTAATTTAAGTTTAAAATTTATCAAGATTCCTGATTTTTAGTATATATGTAACCTTTCCATATTATTACTTTATATCTAATTATATTGTTTCTAATTTGATAAGAATTTTAATTCAGATATCTCTTACAATAAAGCACAGTATTTCAAAATAAGAAACCATTTTTTGCTTTTCAAGAGGCTTTGCATTAAAATTTTTGATCATTATAAATTTCTATATGTAATTCAATATAAAAGTTATCAAGATTTAGTGAATTCTTTATTAAATGAATAATTGAAGTACTTTTATGTAAAAATTCTTACTTTTATTATAACTTAATTCAAAAAATAAATTTAGATCCTTAATATTTTACAGAATCTAATTACATATATAGAATTTGAACATTTTAAGAATATCGATTCTTATTTAGTTTTACATAAGTATTTGCAATTATTTTTAGTATGCAAAGATCTAACTAAAAATTACAAAGTATTCCCAGATATTTGTGATTAATGCTAAAATAAAGATATTTTTTATTATTAGATATAAGATAATAAGATTAAGTATACTCATTAAAATTAAGGATCATTAGTTTTTTAAGATCTGAGGATTTACCCAATAGAGATGTGGTTTCTAATTTATTAACTTTTAAACTAGCCTTCCTATTGCCATCGCAGGTTCCTTCTAATTAAATTAGCAATGAACAATGTTAAGGTTAAATCTCACTTTTTTATTGCTATTTTATTTTTTTCTGAGTCCTTCACTTTTAATTTGGGCTGTTTCTACGAGAGAATTGTTAGTTTATGATAAAATCTTATTAGAAAAGTCATCGTTGCATTGAGTGTCATCTACATCTAGATTTCTATAAGATTCCAAAGGCTGCATGAAAATAGGTTTAGGCCCAATAAGTTGATTTTAATTAAATTAGAGCATATTTTTATTTCTTATTAATATGTACTTAAATTAATTACGATATCGATTCTTATCTTTAAAGAATTAATACCGATTTATATAACTTTTGAGTTTGTGAAAATGGAATTTTTGTTAAATATGTTATTACATCATCATCATCATCACATAATTGACAATAAATAATTCAAAATTATGAATAACTTTGAAACCATTCAGAGTAATATTTGCGCTTATAGTTTGTATTGAATAGTATGATTAAATCAGGGAGGAAGAGATATTACAATGATAGATTTAGATCTTAATAAAATTAATTTAACTATAATATAATCATTTAAAAATTCAAAAATTTAACAATTAAATAAGTCTATTTAAAGTTTTCTGGTATTCTTCCCAATCACCACTAATGTAGTGAGACTTTAATAAGTAAAGACCATCACAATTATGTATCTGTCTAATTGAAATTTCGAACTTGAGAGATAAATTGGCTGAACATACATAATCATATTAATCATTTTACTGATGAACTAATAAATGATAATTTGTACCTACAGTATTTTGATCTGCATTTACATTATTACCTTCAGTAACTCAGCAGCAAAGACAGCAGGGTCTCTATTAGTAGTACATTTTAAGTTGAAAGCTCCTTTGTGAATTTTTGGTTATGGAGTTTTGACTGGATTGGGCTGTGTGTATTCGGATATGGCACTTATGGCACGTTCTCTATTAATAAACTAATATAATAATATAATTAGAACTTTTGGCTTGGCTTTGTCTAATGAAAAAGAATCTTCAGTTTTTCGATTGGTTTGTAATGGTGTATTTCCATTAGTGCCAACACTTGAAATAGAATTGTTAACGACTTAATAAATTGGTTTGAGCATGGGAGGAATGATGGGTCTAATTTATGCTCTTTTAACTATTTCTCTTTTTAATTAGATAGTAAATGTTTTAGGGGAATCCGGTTTAGTTATCTATTTAAATGTTTGAGGTGAAGGTGATTGTTGTCTATTATTAGTTTAAGTCATGATTCGATGTTATGGTGAATGCCCATTACTTGTATTCTACTTTTGCCTGGAGGTATTATTATTGCTTGTATTTAAGGAATCAAGATTCGATGAATTGAGAATATATGATTAAGTAATTGAATCGTCGACATCTTTTTTGAAGTAATTAAATGTTCTATTCTTTTTGTTTTTTTGTATTTGAAGATAATAGAGTGTAGTGATATTATTATGTCGATTTTTCTTAACAAGTTTTCTACAAAGTTGGGGATCAATTGAATATAGATTTTTCAATTACTCAACTATTATTTCATCAACTTAAATATTATCACTTCCTATATTTCCAAAATTCTCTTCTAACTTAATTATCTTAGCCCATTTATGTCCTTTTATTTGTGGGATTGTAAATCTCTTTTTTGGATCGGTGTTTAGTATATTTTTTAAGAGATCCTTTGCTTCAGCTGATAACCATTTAGGAAACACAAGTTCTCCAGCAATGATCTTCTTATATAATTAATTGGTATTCTAATCTTCGAATGGCAGATATCCACAAAGCATTGCATATAAGACTATACCACAACTCCAAATGTCGATTAAATATCCAGAATATTTCAAACCTTGAATCATTTCTGGGGCAGCATAGCATGGACTTCCACAGGCTGTCTTCAATAATTCATTTGGTTTATAAGTGTTGGATAAACCGAAGTCCACAATTTTAATATTTTGATTATGATCAAAAAGCAAGTTCTCTGGTTTCAAATCTCTATGAACAATGCCAACTTTATGCATGTATTCAACTCCTGACAAAATTTGAAGCAAGAATCTGCATGCTATCTTTTCTGAAACTCTGTGATTTTTTACAATATATTCAAATAATTCTCCACCGCTGGCATATTCCATGATTAAATAAATCTCCTTATCAGTGTCGATTATCTCGTAAATTTATATTATGTGAGGATGTCTCAACTTCTTTAAGATTTCAATTTCCTTTGCTATCCTATACACATCACTTTCATCTTCAAACTTGGCTTTTTCTAATATTTTAATGGCTACCTAATAGTAATAAAAATTAAGGTACCTTTTCTCCGGTTTATAAATGAGTTCCCATTTTAACCTTTCCAAATGTGCCTTCACCTAATGTATTTCCTATAGCGTAGTTACCAAGAGTTGATTCTTGCATTTACTGTTATAATTAATATTTAATTGATGGGTGTTTAATAAAGTGACAACAATGAAGCACCTCCTTTCTTGTCACACATGAAAATGATATATGATAAAGGGAACTATAAAGTTTATGAGAATGATAAAAATCAAAAATTTGATTACTAAGAATTTAAATCAAGCTAAAATTCATTTAAGAATGAGTTAGAGGTTGCTTAAGAAATTTAGAACCAAAATTTTTAGGGAATCGCTAAAATCGAGTAGATCTCTCTATAACAAAGTGAAAAATGGCTTATTAAGTATTCTACTTTATGCATTTTGACTGAACATCCGACCTATTCTCTAAGGGAGTATTTGTAAAAGAAGGAAAAAACATTATCCAACCAATAGATAACTGAATTACTAGTATCAATAACCGGAGCATAAAACTAATTAGGAATGTAAAAACAATATCTTGGATTTGATAACATATATACGAGTGATGGAAATGTTTGGAAACTCAAGCCATTTTTTGAATCCGAATCCCCATATCAACGATTAATGAAGTATAAGGCTGAGAAGACTCCTAATTTCGAATTAGACAGCTTCCCCGCTCCAGAAGAATTTGAAGGTAAAGTCTGCGATACCGATAGAGTACAAATTTTTGGTCTTGGTATGATTATTTTAGAATTGATCACAAGTATTAAGGATTTTATTTTGTAGAACAAAAAAGCAAAGAAGTCTATTTACAATATAAGTTGAATGAATCAATACTCTTGCAACGCGTTTAATAGATTTAAAATCTGAAATAGTAATTTTCTGGAAATTTAATTGATATCATTATAGATATGGTTGATACAGATTTAGTCAGAAGACCCAATTTCTAACAATTAATAAAAACTTTGAAGTCTCCTTCATCAAAAATAGTGTTCATCTAAACTAAACTTGATTGTCTACGAGAGATCCCAAAACTAAATCTTCTAGATTCAGTTAGTTATTTTGGATAGAATGTTTTAAATTAAAATGAAGAACAAACAATAAGTAAAGCAATAGAAGAAGCTTAAAATTACATTTCTAACAGCATCCAAAAAATGAAATCAGAATTGCAGAGCATTCAAAATCGGCAGATTATTGAGGAGTAAAATGGATAAAAATATGAAGGTCAATTAGTTAATAATCTATATGAAGGAAAAGGTAGTTATTAAATCTATTTAGGTCGACTCTATTCCAAAAGAGGAGATTTGATTTATGAAGGAGAATTTGTGTAAGGGTATTTTCATAATTTGGGAATTCAGTATTACTAAAATGGAATTTCTTTGAAAGATAGCTATGATATCTAGAATTGTAAGAATATTATGAAGTATGCCAAACAATACGAGGGTAATTTTAGAATGGGACAGTAAAGTATTCTATAATATTAGTAAACATGGAAAAGGTAAATTGATTTTAACAAATGGAGAATATTTCTGTGGGGAATTCAAAAATGATGAAATTGACGGTGGTGGTCAGTTTGTAAAAAGATTGAAGGAGAAAATAATAGGGATTTGGGATAATGGAATATTAAAATCAACTCCAGGATTTTAAAAAGAGTTAATATCTTTTAGATCTCCTGAGTTTGTTAATTAATCACAACTTTCAGAAGACAACTAAAAATAATAATTATTTTTGATTAATTAAGATGAGATGCCTAATCATTAATAACACCTATAAGTTAAGATTACATCAATTGATTCTGTAATAAGCAAACTGCAAACTTGCAAGAATTAATTGATAGCTAAAATTAATACTCATTTATAATATTTCAGTCCTCAATAATAATAAAATAGAAAGGACCATAAACTTTATTTTGATGAAGCCAAAACAAAATTAAAGTATGAAGGTCAACTTTTTACTGGGCAAATGCATGGAAGAGGCACTTTATATTTTGAGAATGGATAAATTCCATATCAATATTAGGGCGATTTTGTAAATGGAAAATTTGAAGGGTTTGGTAATTTGATGAATGAAAAACCAGAGACCCAGACGCACATTAATTACTAAGATTTGAGAGATGTCATTTAGACGGGGTAGTGGACAAAATACTAAGGGACTTTTTTAAAAGGAGAGTAAGAATATATAAAAAATAATATATAGGAAACATGGACAAGGATTTTTGTATTTGAATGATAATAGTGAGTTACTAGGGTTTTTTGAGAAAAATTAGATACATGGAGAAGGATATTTAAAAAGACCACCACAAGAAGATGTTTATGCAGTATGGTAAAACGGTATACTTTAGAAGGAATTAAAAGGCAAATTATGAAATCATATCTATGATGTAATATTTGAACAAAATTTAAAAAATAATACAACATATGTTTTATCATTCTGTCATGCTTTCCTTGTTTAAACATATTCTTTTTGGTTCAAATTCTGATGAGAGCAAAGTAGAGGCTTTGCGTTTATCTTGTAACAATTCTTCTTTTGTAATTGATGTACAAATGATAGATTCCAATTCTTATGAAGGTGTATTCAAACCCTCCTCTAGTTCGTGATCTAGTTCTTCTTTTTCTTTATTAATTGGCTCCTAAACTTGTTATAACTCCTCAAAATTTTCATTTTCTTCGACTTAAGAAAGTGCTTCTTCAGAAATTTCACTCAGTTCTTCTTCTTTGAAGATATAATTGTATGCTTTTTTAAGCCATCCATCAAATTTTCTATTTAATTTTGTAGTTGCGTTTCCCATTGTATTTAAAAATTTATTAACTGAATTATAATATATATATATTATGATAAAAAATAATTATATTTTCTTAAAAATATAATATTTACGAATTCCCAATTCAAATAACTTATTTCTCCCACTTTTCAAAGTCTTTGTATCTGACAACAAAATCATTTTGATTTCTTTTCGACAATGAAATACTCTTATATATGAATTCTAATAAGTACAGTAAGTAGTGATTTGGCATCATCTCCAGCATTTTCGAATAGTTGACAGAATTCATCAAAATCTAACTGTGTGCCATGTTCTCCCAAAATTAGATCTAAATCGAAATTCAATTCAAATTCTTTCCGTATTGTATCAATAATCGTAGACTTTAGTACATACCCAGATTTATCAAGTTAACCACCTAAGGCACAAAAGGCATCGACTAGTTTATTTTGATATAGTACTATATTCTTGAGTGATGGTTTCTTCCTCATTCAATTGTTATTGATATTACTTCAATTTGCAGTAAAGATCACAAATTTGTTTTAAGTCAAGAAATTTAGCATTCATGATCTTCAATTCTTCATTAAACTTATTAATAAGCTTATCGTTATTCAATAGTTTAAGATCTTGTTACAAATTTAACTGATTTACCTCTAAGTACATCATCTACTTCATGCTTCCCAACATACCCAGTTCCTTTGGGATCGAATTTTTTAACCTCGATAATTATTTCATTCATTTCCTCTTGACTTAAATTAAACATGCTTTTGGCTTATTAAACTAAGTCTTAGTATTCAGCATTCAACGTTGGTTTTCTTTTCATTCGATTCAAATAAAAATTAAAACTAAATGATAATTATATGATAAAAAATAAATTCAAAGAACAAAATACTACTCTAACACATTTCAATATAGATTGAACAAATTAGAAGAAAATAGTCTTTAATAACATAATTTTATTTTTAATTTATAATGTAAATATGTCTCAATTACAATTGATTTTCCATTGGATAACAAGGTGTCGAAACTATTGATATTGAGGGGGAAATAGAGAAAAAATTTATAAATAGTAAATGAGATCACGAAGTTGACAGATGTGAATGTAGCAAATAGTGAAAATTTATTAATAAATGTACGGTATTATATTTGTAAACAAATCAATTGATGTTAAGCTTAGTTCTTCTCCAATGTCTACGTTTTGAATTATACCTAGTAAAGTGTTATTTTCATTTGATACCTGATTGTGTTATCAGTTCTATATCTAAACCAATTTGGAAGAGGTCTATTTTGCTTATTAGCTTTAATCAATCTCTTCTTCATTCTCAATGATTTATGGGCTCCCTAAATAAACATAAGTGAAAGTCAATACCATTTTAAATCTTTTTTTAATTTATTTAATAATTATTCCTCATATATTTCTTAATCATTTCCAAATCCACACCTTATAATCCATTATTTCGACAGTGACTAAGTGACAAGGCAGAAATGGAACAATAAAATTTCAAATCTAAACAGAGCAATTATATTAATAGAAATCAAAAATCATCAAACATATGTTAAAGTTCACGAGGCAATTGCTTGGGAGCATCAGTAGAGTCAGGGTACTTCTCAAACCAAAAGACATCATCCTCTGATCTTAAATAAGGGACCCAAGGAGGAGGAATCTATCTATTTTCCACAAGTGTCCAATCAACTCCCCTGTACCATTTATGCTTCTTGATTGACTCTCCATTCTAATTCTATATAAATAGTTACATCATTAAATCCTAATCGACTCTAGATTTCTGGGTTTAAAAGCTTTCTTATCAGATCTTTGACCTTGTTATCGAAGAATTTAGGAAATTCTATAAGTCCAGACAAGATCTTCTTATAGATTCCAATAGGTTCGTTATCATAAAATGGAGGATATCTATTAATGGCTGATTATAGGTTACCCTGATAACATTTCAAATAGTAATATGCCATAAGCCCATTGATCCACTGATTTTCCATAGCCAACCTTGGAGCCTTTGATGATTTCAGGAGCCAAATACTCAGGAGTGCCACATAAAGTGTATGTCTTTCCATTTCCTATCTTTTTGGCAAATCCAAAATCAGTAATTTTAACATGACCATCCTTGGCTATCAACAAGTTTTCTGGTTTGAGATCTCTATACACTATTTACATTTTGTGCATATATATAATTGCAGTCAAGATTTCAGTTGCATAAAACAAGCAAACGTCATTGGCAAATCGACCTTCCTTTCTTAATCTGCTAAATAATTCTCCTCCTTGAATATATTCAAATAGCATATAGATGTAGAACTAATCTTGAAACGATGTTTTCATTTTTACTATGAAAGGATGTTCAATGAATGTTAAAATGTCTTTTTCTGATTTTATATGCTCAACTTAATTGAGTCTAACTACTTCTGTTTTTTTTAAAATTTTGAGTGCATAAACTTTATTCTCAGGATCTCCTTTTATCTTGGCCTGTCTGACTCTGCCAAAAGTTCCAGTCCCTAATATTTTATAAGCCAATTAATAAATACCTAATGTAGAAAGGATTTCAAAATCTTAGATTCTGAGTTCTTTGAAGTTAATTTTAACATTCTTGAGCATCTTAAGTTTCATGCTTAATTGGTTTTGATTCTGAATCTATTATTTTTTTTTGACCAAACCTTGTTTAGTTAAAATTGAATCCAATTCAGGGTCAATTTCTGATTCACAATAACTTGACTCTAAGTTCCTGTCATGAATATCAACACCCATAAGCTCCTGCTTCTTTAAATAATCTAGTCTGTATTTGAGATCAGCAAAAAATTCGCTTTCAGACATCTACATCTTTAAGGATTATTATTAAATTATAATTAAAATACTATAGAAATTAGATTAATGCAAATTAGAAACCCCTTTATATCCATAAATGTATACCATAAATAAAAAACAGTAAAAGAGAATAATCTAATGTAAATTGACTGATTAATTGTACTTTGAGTATACAAAAAAATAAAAATCATCTAAATCTTCTAAGAGAAATTCTATTTCTTCTTGCATAATTGGTTCTTCTTGAAGGCCTTGTTTAATTATTACGATGACCTTTAACTCTGAGTCCTCTGCTCTTTCTGCCAGCTGATGTCAATCCTTAAATAATAAATCATTCACAAAACCTCTTAATTCTCTATGTTTATGAACTGGCTTGGTTATCCAATTGATTCTTGAATCACCTCTGATGGCTGGATGGAATGGATCGACTGTAATGACTTCGTAGTATTTATATGTGCCATCTTAGGCTACCCAATAGGAATTTAAGACTCTCAAGGCTCCAATTTTTCTTCCAACTCTTTCTTCAGCAACAGATCTGAGATTTCTTGTTGGCTTTAATTAATTAACTCCTTGACTCTTGGGTTTTCCTTTGACTAGTCCCTTTCTGATGAGCAATTTTCTACCACCTCTTCGTACTCTAACTCTATAAATTACATAGCCTTAATGATGATCATAATGAATTACCTTGTTTGGCTTTGTAACCCAATCTCCTAGCCTTATCTGGTCGACTTGGCCTGGTGGCTCTGTGAATTACTGGCAATTGTCTATATTCCCATGTTCTAATTCTCATGATAAAGCTCAACACATCTGATTGTTTCTTTTTCCAAAGCTCTTGTAAATACTTGTATGCTCCCATTTGAATGTTAAAAAAGATTTTTATTTATGAATAATTTTCAAATCCCCATATAGAAGCCACAATATATAAATTTAATCATTTCTTTAATTTTTATAACATTTCTTAATTCGCTGTGAGTAACAATTAAATTCTCTCATCCAAAGATTATTCTTCCTAAGGCTCATTCACTTCTTGACAACTGTATTTTCCACTATAAACGAGGAATCTTTAATTTTTTTCCATTTCTTGTTCAATCCAAGAGGACAATTGAGTTGAATGAGACTCCCTTTACTAAAATATCTCTGGAATGATGTACGACTCTTCTGCCAGCTTCAAACAATATTGCATATAAACCAGCAATTCTGGTTGAAAATATTCAAGGTAGTGATTATAAGTGACAAACAATCTATCATCTTAGACAGGACAGAACTCTACGTTATTAATCAAACCAAATTAAGAAATTATTTTGATACTACAAGGAGGAGGATACTTAAATGTGATCACAGTCCTATCTACAAATTTAGCCTTCACTGTCCCATTCTTTAATAATAAGAATTCTCCAACTTCCCTCAAATCAACCTTCCTTAACTCTTCAAAATTTCCCTGTTCAACTCTATAATACTCAACAGGCTTTTGTTTCTCTTACAGTTAAGTGATGATCAAATTCATATTTGATTTGTATTTCGTATTTATAAGTTTGCAATATACATCGAAGGCACCTAGATTGTATTTATCATTCTAAATTATTGTTATAACATTTACATATATCGATTACTCCCATTTCTACTGCCCATATTCCCAAAATATCCCATCTCTGAGTAGAAGTTACTCATTTATCAATCCGATCCCTCCATCTACCTAAAACCAGAATTAGATTTAGTTTGTAAACATAAAGATGGGTCTTCCCAAATTAATTTAACTAATCTTATTCATAATTGGAGACACATTGTCATTGACTTGTATTGTCTTAATCGGTTGGTCTATTAAGATTTTAGTAACCAATTAATCCTTTATTTTATAGCAATTGTATGTCTCATAAAAATAGTCCTGCATTTCCTCCTATTCATTCAAGATGTATTCAATCAATTCTGTTGGAAATTAGATGTCTAGATATTATACTATTTGAATTATAACACATATATACATTTTTCGTTATTTAAGAAATCTTTTACTAAAACAAAGAAAGGTGCTATCCATTATATTGGAAAGTTGATCAAACTAAATTCTTTATTCAGAATTCTATATGTGTACCCTATTCCACAATCTATACTGGCTGCTGTTGATTTGGTGCCCCCAAGATTATATTTCTTAATGAAATTATTCACAAAATTGTTTTCATTTTCAATTTCCTTAACAACAGCAACAGTTTAATTACAAGAATAGTATTGCAAAGAAATTTAGAATGTTTATAGATTCAATTTCATTTAAGCATAACCATCTATTGACTTTAATATAGCATAGTCGTTCTCAATTTAATATTCGAGTGGCCAAATCTATTATTATCATTATTGAGCATTTACAATAGTTTAAATTTTCTTCATCTTAACTGCCTCTTCATAAATTATTTAATCCGAGTTGAGATATGTATACTTGGATGCCACCTATAGCACTTCTTTGACCTTCTCTTGTATGTTGTCGTATTTTCTACAATTCTCCACTTTGATTCTGCTTCTCTCTCCCTTGCTATTAAAATAACTTAGAGTCCCTGCATTTGAATATATCAATGCCGATTAGTCCTTAAATACGGCATGTATTGAATCATCAAATTATATGAATTCTTTTATAAATTCAAACATAAATTATCAATAATTTATTTTCGTTAGAATATTTGGAAATTGAGTATAAAATAAAAAGCAAAAAAGAAACACCCATGGCAGGGATTGAACCTGCAGCCTACAGCTTAGAAGGCTGTCGCGCTACCAATTGCGCCACATGGGCATCTGTACTTATATCGACTAATTGTTGTAATAATCATATTAGAGAACGAACTATTGAACACATTAGAAAAAGTATAGATAAATTTAATTATTTATTCATCCTAAAAAAATTTGAACTATTGTTTAGAAAGTACCATACATTTTAACTATTTCACTCATAAACTAATTGTAATAGGTGGCTTCAATTTTGCCCTTTAGAAAAGTATATTGATAATAAATACTTCGTCGCCACACAGAAAACACCTCTTCTGATATCCTTTGTTGCAAGTGCCACAATACGTATGAGCACACGGAATTATGGTGACTGCATCACTTACAAATTTCCCACAATATTTACAGAGCAACGCTTGATGAAGATGAATCTAAATGTTAATTCTCTCTTACTGTTTATTATTACAATAGCTTCGCCTTCAATTCAAACTACTTAAACTTGTCCTAAATCGAGCTATTCTGCTCTTGGGTTCTCCATAATTAATGTTCTGCCCTATGCAATTGCTCCTTCAACTCTGTTTCTAATGAATTCATCTACTTTTTAATGGTCAAAACATCATTTTCCTATTTATCCTCCTGGAGACTTTCATATGCCAATTTTAGTGATAAGAATTTTCTTTCAAGTTGTTCCATCATCTTCTATTGCTCTTGATTTTTCTCTTGTAATTCCTAACATTCTCTCTCCTGAGTTTATACAATTAATCATATACTTTTTCATGATACTTTTGTTCCCAATTACAAGGTATTTCAAATTGCTAAATTGGATTCACCAATGAATTAAACAATTTCTTTTAGACTAGTTTCTTAAAAACCGGCATCTATTTAAAACTAGGCTAAGTTTTTTGTCTCTTGGTTTAAACGCTTTATCCTTATTATTTCACACCCACATCTTCTGAAGTCTTATACGATCTAATGTCAAACTTAAATGTTGTTTTAGATAATATTTTCGGAGTGCTTTGATCAAGTGCCGGAAATCTTTAAGAAAACATTATGCAAATTTTAATTATTAGTAATTTATATTTTTGAGTAATTATAAAAACAAAATCATCTGCCAAAGTTCAATCATTCTCAAAATCTGAATACTCCCATTTGGCCAACTAAACAGATGATTTCTTTTTGAAATTTAACTATTATATGGCAGGCTTATTGATTATCCCCTTCTGAGGGATTTCTTATATGTAATTCGCTTTGAATTTTCTAATATATGTAGGTCTCCCTTAGGGTGATGATGAAATCGTTTTCAATCTATTAAGTATTTTACACTTTTCAACATTTAATCCCAAAACATATGCCGTAGGTTTCACTAAACAAATTTTCTTACACTTCTGAAATGACGAATTCACTCTTGACTAAGGCGGCCTATGAGTATAGATTTCTTGATTCTTAACTTGAAATGTTGGGGATTAAGTGCAAATATCAGTTTAAATAGGTTTAAATTAACTTGACTCTGGTAATTTACATGTTATACTCCTATTTCGAATTTATGACATCCTTTCTAAGATCTTATTCTTGAAATCAATGTTTTTATAAATCCCTTATTGATTTTACTCACTCAGAGGTAGAGTTTTGTATTTCTAATTGAATGATTTACTAAATTATGTCTGTCTTGTTTGGATTGACTTTGTGGTATTATTCAAATTCTACATTTATAAATTTGCCGGATAACGAGTCGGTAAATAACTTGGATGATAATAGTCTCTTTGAGTTATGTGATATAGCGAAAATTAGGATTTTTTTCTGTTCTCTTTTACACATTACTTAGCCAACAAATAACTTAGATTATATCTTTTAGCAGGACTACTCTCTTCTGTTAAACTTATTGTAAAGGGTCTTTTTATTTGTGCTTGATCATCTGCTCTATTTATCGACAAAAATAGTCTACCCGTAAAGATCTACTGTTTTGCTCATGTATATAGATTAGTAATAAAATTATATAAATAATATTTAAATTCAAGCCTTTTCATGCACATTCCAATTTTGATATTAAAATTGGCTTAATTTGTATTTAATAACAACATAAAGAACATTTTCTAATAACTTTTAATAAAATTCAAATCAAGGATTGCTCTAATAAGGACAAATCAGTTTGTTTAAATTATCTAATTATAGAGTTATGAGTAATTATGTTATACTTTGTTCAATATCAAAACTATGACTTAAAATTTCAGAATAATTTGAAAAGAATAACTGTTTATGAATTGCTTTGACTAATTTTATTTTATACCTAAAAATAACATTCTAATATCAAAAGAATTATAACTGCAAAAGATACATATATAATATGAATAGATTAATTATTCATTTAACATTCTTCTAAAAATCACTAATAAATCCTTCAACAGTAGATTTTGCATTCTAAATACATTAGTCTTATGAAGATGTTTTGATACATTATTCAAATTGAATTCCCATAAAGAGCATTTTAAAATCAAAGGCTTTCATTTACTTATCAACATTTTTGCTTCTCTGGTGCATACCTTTTGAATTTATCAATTGAATTACATTATGCATATTTCTCAACATTTTTGGCATTTTAACTCATACATTGTTCATGAAATTGTTTAGGAATATTCTAGACTACTTCTTCAAATCCTCTTTAAACGACATCCAAGGTTTTTTATAATTATTGATGAACTGCGCTTGCTCCACTCATACCAGAAATAAATTTTAATTAAATAAAATAACACTCATTATTTTTTGGATGTTAATTCAAGAGTCTTTAAAAAGTCCTATTGGATCTGCATAATATTATTGATAGCTGATTATTGACACTAACTTCTTTCATTTATGGTGAGACATTCAGCAATTTCATTTTTCAAGTAATTAATCTTAAACTCCATTTTCTTTTCTTCCTTACTTTATCTTTTTTAGAAATTCATCATGCCTTGCATATTTATGAATAATTTACACTTCACAAATTCAAAACTATTTCCTTTATTTTCCTAAAAGCACAAGTTTTCTTAATTTTGATATTTCTCAACAATTTAAGTCAAGAAATTTGAAGTAGTAAAATCAATAACCTCATTTCTGATTTCCTGAAATAGTTTAATTGTTTCATCTTCATTTCGATTCATAGTTAATCAATAATTGTAAATATAAATTATTAAAAATAATGTTATAGTACATGAATACTCAATCAAAAATGAAAAGAATGTTTATATTTTAAGAATTATATATATTTTTTATATGATCAAATTAATAGACCTTGAAGGGTGGTCAGATTATTCAATATCTCCATATATAAATTAATTAAAATAACTTTCAGAATCACCTGAAATTACACCAACTAAAAGGGAGAAATTACACAGGCTTCCTTCAATACAATAAAAAAAACTGGAATGCTATGAAATCCAGAATTGTAAATCAGGATATTTTGCAAATCGAAAATAAATAGCATATCAAGTCGCTAGTGAAGAAAGGAAATCTCAAAAATTAGCAAAACAATACACTAGAGTCCAATAGTAATAATATTAATTTCATGAATTGTCCTCCTTTGTAGAATCTCCAAAGAAACCAAAAAAAGTGAAAGAATTATAGGATTGTCTATTTTAGAGAAGATCCTATAGACTGAAAATAAAGAACAAAATGCTTAATTTAACTCAGAAATCACCTCTCAAAAATATATCTTAATTATTACGAAAACTAAACAGTGAAGTCATAAATAAGAATGATTTAGTATAAATTTTGGATAAATGAAATTTGATCATCAATGATATCTGCAAACCGGACAAACCTTACTTCTTTTTTACCATTATTATAAACAATTCTTATGAAACACATGACAACACTGTAAGAGTCCCTTCTGATCATTTAGTTGAATATCCATAAGGCATATAGAGCACTCTTAAGGCTTGTAGGTCTATTACTTGTCAGTCTTCTTCTTAACAACACATTCGCGATAATGCTCTTACTAGAACTTTTTGAATATTTTTTCTTTGCAATATTCACATTGACTATCCTCTTAATCCACAAGTGCAAATGCTTTACAAACATTAAGATGATTTAAAATTAGTTTCTTTTGTTATTTTTCTCCACAATATCTACAAATAATAATTTAATTATCAATCCTGCAAGTTTCCATATGTTTAGCCAACCCGCATTTTGGATAATAGTCTTTACAATTACTGCATTCCTGTAATTTATATTAACTATCCTCAAACTTCATGTCCATATTTTATAATTATGTATTTTAGAATAAAAATATTATAAATAAATTGCCCACATCCAGAACCAAGGCTCAGATCTCAATAACATTTTGAATTGATTTAGACATTATGAAACAATAAAATAATAGTAAAAATTATGAACTTTATATAATGTACTTAAATATGATGTTATTGAATCAAAATAAAACAAATTGCTTTCTGACATTACCAATGATTTCATTTGGGATAACTTTCAAAACATTGAATCTCACTGTTTTAGACAATGGTCTATCATTGTTAATCTAAATACCTGCATTATCCACATACAACAATATCACCTTCCTTGACTGGGCCAAAAGCAGGTGAAATGTGCACTGGGACATTTCTATGTCTCTTTTCATACCTGTTATATTTGGCAACATAGTGTAAATAATCTCTTCTAATAATAATTGTTCTGGTCATTTTGGTTGAGATGACTATACCTCTGTAATTAGACTATTTTTATATATGTACTTTAGGATTGCTCCTCTAACGCTAACATTTCCAGTAAATGGGCACTTCTTATCAATATAATGTCCTTCAATTGCTTCCTTGGGTACTTTGAATCCAAGTCCAACTTCCTTCCAATATCTAACTCCTTTTGATGTTTTCTTGGCTAAAAGCTTTTTAGAATTTTAGAAGATGCCCTCTTGCTTTTAAAAGGCTCTTTATGTTTAGACGTCTGCCATTATGTATATTTTAAAATAAAAGATATAAATTTTTATGCTTTTCATAACTAAATGTAACAATATCATCTCAACAGAGTGCTTATTTTTATTATTAACTTCTAACCCACTAAAATTGAAAATCTCTGATTTTATCCTTAATCAATGACTAATAAATGAATTGTGATTTTAATTATTCAAATTCAGATAAGTAAGTTTGCTCTTCTTTAATCTACACTTTTAATATTTTTGGTTATTTAGATTTGAAGGGTATTAGAGTAAAGAAGAACATACTACTTTTTCATATCATTAAATAAAAATAGTACTATCTTCTCTCTCCATAACAAGGAGTCATTTTTTAATAATATTTGAGATCAAAACTAATCGCAAAAATAATAGCTTTTTAGATATCTTAACGTTGATAAATGCTCACTATTTCTGAATAATTTAAGATTTTTTTAATAAATTGATAAGTAATTGTTTAAATATATATTAGATCTATTAAAGTATTATAACTTAATAGGTTAATTATTTAACTATTGTACTTATTATGATTAAACATATTTTTAATTCTTAAAATTGTAGTTGATTATAAATAACAAAGATAATAGAAAAATAAACTACCAAACTTTGATTGTGTTGTTTATTATGAATATTATTAAAATAAAATAATTAATAAAATCAGTATTATATTACTCATAAATTTTAATATTTTGTACTCAAAAGGAGATGTTTATTTGCAACAGATTATTATGAAGTTCTATTTCTATCTATGAAATTTTTTTAAATTTCCTAGGGATCCAACTAGGCTGATACTCTTATTTGTGTGCTATGAGATTGTCTGTGAGATGACGCTTATAACCATTTTTTATTCACGTTTAAATTTGAATCATTTTGATTTAAGTATTGTTAGAGTCTTGCAGGAGAATATTGGCTGGAAATGCTTTAGTATCTCTTTGGAGGAGTATATTTAACACTTTTTGTATCATCAAATTAACATCTATGTTATTTTGGAAAATTGTTCTTTGATGTCTAATTTTGATTTTAAAGTTATTTTTTTTATTTTTCATTTTATTTCTTTACTAATAGTTAAAAGGAACACGATGCTAAATTATAATTTAATGATTTGCTCAATTAGGAATGCATTATACTTGGATTCTATGTGATTTGTGATGTTGATTTTTATTCATTATTGATAGCTTTTAGGTTCGAAGTATTTATTTCAGATAAGGAATTTTACCATAAAGTAACCATATCTTTTTCTACATATTTGTCTTGAGTCATATCAATCAAACTAATAAGATGTGCACTCTCACTTATTCTTAACATTTTACTTATTCTAAATTTATGCTATTACTAAGTAGTATTAGGCTTGTAATATCTAGATCAATATTAAGAGTCTATATTTCATTAGATTCTCTTAATGGGTCTTGTAACTATCTTGTTGTCATTAAAATTATGTTTATATTATAATTTATTCTTGGAATAAGAGACTCTCTTCTATTTAGTAGTAGCATTCAGAGATACATCTATCCAAAGCAAACCTTGGGATTAGTTGAATTGCTGAAGAAACTCTTTAAGTAAGAAATTTGCAAGGAGAGTCCAGAGAGTGAAGTCATTGCAGAAAAAACATTTGAAAGCATGAAATTAGCATTATAATTCATTGGCTGGATGATACTGTATTACTTTGTATAATGGTGCTTGAGTTTCGTGATAGGTGAAATTGCTTCTTCCTTTTTATATTGGATATGTGTTATTGCCACTTATTCGAAATATGCAGCAGGTATGTGGATAAGGACTTAGGAAGTAACATAAGAAGCAATAAAGATGGAAACGAATTTTTATTTAAATAGATCATTTGTTAGCTATTAGATAGATGAATCAGAAGTTTTATTGATGTTAGATTATTCTATGACAAGAATCATTTTTAGTGTGTTGTTTCAATTACAATCCAATATTTTGTGCTTTGTGATAGGAAATTATTTGCCATTCCCAATAAATCTATTAAAAATTCCAATATATTCATTATTCATTTCAATATAAAACCTATCAGCCAAAATCCCATATAAGAAACATTTAGCTTACTTTTATAGTCAAAATGTGGGCTATTTGATTGGATTTAATTTTTTATTTTCATGTTACCTGCATATATCTTCATTTCCTTTTTTTACAGGAATCCTATGGTTTATTATGCCATTGTACTTGTTAAATGCTATACCAATAGAACCCCCTAGATTTGAAAGCAATTTGGAGAATCTCAAAATGCAGGATTACTTAAATATTTGCAGTGCTTAAGGAGATTTATAAATAAAAAGAGATTCATATGTAACTCATCTTAATGTATAAATTTGATTCACTATTTTTAGAAATACTTCAACGATCAAAATTATGCATCAATTTGTGAAAATTAAACCTCATATATTTCAATGCCAACCCTTTTAGTGCCTTGGGTTTTATAAATTTTATAGAAAATCATTTCGAAACTACAAGGTCATCAACACGAAGATTGAGAATTTTATTATATCATTATATGTATCTATAAATATACAATATTATCAATCAAAGTGGGGATTGTTTTAAGGCTTATTAAAAAATGAAATACTGTATTCCCAATCAACATCTTGTTGAAAGTCATCCGTTCCAAATTCACTTGATTCAGATGGATAAATAGAATAATTATAATTTGAATATTCATCCTCACCCCTATTTTGCTAAGTATTCTCACAAACTTCTTAAATTTACTACTATTATAGTATCTCTTCCCTTTAATTTTGCTTATGAAGATTCATAGCCTTTCTAATTCTTGATTTATTTTTTTTCATAAAAGATCTTAAGAATCCCATCTTTTTCTCAGAAATCTCCTCTATATTGATGATCAATTCAGCTTTATTAAAGATTTAAATGTAATCCTCCAAAGTTTTCTTGGGTACTCTCACTAAATCAGCTGCCTATTTTAAATTAACCTTTTTAAGAATTCCATTCTCTTCAATTCCATTTCTGTATAAATATCTCCACTATTATACTCTATAGAAAGCATCTCCTATGCTTCTTTCCTTAACTCTTTTTGAAGTAATTTCATTTTCAAGTGTGCTACTATACATAAGAAGTAATTATTAAATTTTAAAAAATTCTACATTTGGATTTATAGACGAAGTTCTATATAAAAGCCGCATTTCCATAAGAATAATTCTCTTTCGTATATATAAAAATAACAATTTACATGAAAAGATGGTTGATTTCTCTTATAATACTAGAAACCACTTAAATAGCTGTACATTCATGAAATTTCAAATAGAATATTTTGAATTCTTAATTATTTGCTAATAAACTCCGAGAGAATTAATTCAAAAAAAACATTAATTTACAACTTAAAGAAACATCATTTCTAGCAATTAATCTACCTTAATATACTTCTTATTATAAGTTTTCTTAATCATCTAAAGAAGTCTCTTAGATCATTTTTTACAATACATTCATACCTCTGATAACACATGAGGCATTCTACTTTATTTCCTATTTAAGAGACTTTTCAAATTTCCTCTTCTCATTTTTACGCATTTCCATCACTTAATTGTTGAGAGGTGAATCAGTATATACTTATCCTTGAATATTTACGATACTCATCTTACTGTTTTGGTTAATTACCATAATTCCTAATATTGGTTGAATTAAATACCTAGGTTTCAAACATATCCTCACAAAAACTCACCTTTTTCTTTAATACTTGGATGGAATATTTTAGTTTAGAATTAAAAGAAAGGAGCCTTAAATGAGTAATTTTCAGAATAGTGATGGACAATTTAAGTTTACCTCCTTTAGTAAAATGCGTCTTCTGTTCCTAATTCATCTAACATTATTTATTGAAATTTATAGAATAATATATATAATTATTATCAGGTACTATTTACACTCCAGGAAGTGGATTATAATGAATGAAGTCTTTATATCTTTATTAAATTCTGTTATGGATTTAAGATGATAAAACAACATGCTAAATTTTTTATTTAAACTGCAATTATGTAATTCTTAATAGAAGATATTGTTTGAAATAGAATAATTCTTAATAGAAGATATTGTTTGAAATAGAATACTTGAAATTATTCTTTAGATTATTGAACACTATTGTTTTAAACAAAATTAAGGAGATTATAGCAATCATAAAATATTAGGTGTGTCTAGATCATTAAATCTTTATTCAAAAAGAAATCGCTTATGATTGAATAAAGGAAAATATCATTATTGAAATTAATTTAGATAACTATATTAATTATTCATTTCTAAAAATCGCTTTGGCCAATCATAGAATCATCATTTTATCCTTGTTAATTACCATAAAAGTAATATTTATTATTTTAAAATGATTGCTGAGTTTGAGGAACAACCTTTTCAAAATTAGTTATATCTGCTAAATTAGTTTTCTTTAACACTGATATATTAGCTGATGAAGTTGAAGTATTATTTGAATGAGTTGGACTTAACTTTTACAGACCAATAGCTAAAATAATTAATACAAAAATTACTTGAAACATTATTGATTGGATTTCTATATTTGTTACCAGTCATAATATTATTACTAGTCATATTATGAGCAGCTACACTTCTTCTAGTTGCTCTTTATTCATTTTTCAATTTTTCATTATCTCTTAATAGTAGCTCCTCCTTCTTTCTTAATCTATCTAACTAATCAGTCAATTCATTCTTTAGATTATTTAGATGATCTCTATCCAGATTCCACTTAGCTCTTTCTTTTTCAAATTCAAAAATTAAAGTGGATCTTTTACTCTCAACCTCTTTATATTTTGTTTCTAATTCAGTTATTTTGGCCTTTAAACTTTCCCTTTCCTACTCTAACATTCTTTGATATTCCAAAATCTTTTAATCTCTATCCTATTTAATGTTTTCTATTTCTTATTATAATCTTTTCTCATTGTCTAACATCTCTGCAAACTTCTTTTCTGATAACAATTAATTTCCAATTTTTCCATGTTAATCAATTAATATTTTATCTTTATGAGTCTTAACTTCCTTCTATAATCTTCTAATCTTGTCTTCATAATCTTAAACTATGCGTTAATGAGTTTGATTTGCTTCTTCTATCTAAGCTTGATATTTTCTTTCAACACTTAGCAATAATTCATTTAAATTATTTTCTTGTTCATCCTTTTCATTTGATCTAGCTCTTTATAGATGCATTAAAGTCATCTCAAATTTCTTTAAAGCATCTACTAAATCTTATTTAGCTTATTCTTTTTGTTATTCCAAAAATTAGAATTTTCCTTCCCATAAAGCTTTGTCTCGTTCATAACTAGTGTGTATTTCACTCTTATCCTATTCTAATTACAAATTTAATTATTTATATTTTTCTAACTCTTATTGCAATTATTTTTTCTCTTAAGCAATTTATTCTCGCAATGAAGATTATTGCTATGCTATAGTTGCAGCTTCATCTTTTAATTTAGATTCCAATTCATTCTTTCTGGTTTCGAGATGACCTAACTTTTCAGTTAAAATTGCTTTTTCTCTCTCCAAAGTAGAAGCTTATTTGTTGTATTAGTATTCAGCTTCTTTTAATTATTTCTTAATTTTTTCGTATTTAGTTTCAATGGTAGTTTTCTCTTCTTATGCTCTTTCTAATTTTTATTCCAATTCAACCAAATATTCATTCTTTTATTATTTGAGCTTCTCATCAAACCTTGATTATTGTGTATCTATTTATCTCTGTAGATCTTCTATCTTCTTTTACAAGAATTCATTCTGTTATTATATTAATGCTGTTTCTCTTCCATATTCAATCTTCTTTTCCAAAAATTCGTCATTCATTTTTTATAATCTTAATTTTGTTTCTTCTAATCTTTCTAATTATTCCTTCTTCTCTTCCTACCATTCTTTTCTTGATTATTCAAATTATTATTCTTTTCTTGTTTTTTCATTTTCTAACAAATCTTTCTTCTATTATAAAGCCATATGTTCCTTCTATAAATTATTCAACTAACTAGATAAAACGTCAATCTTTTATATTAGGCTCTTTCTTTCAGTTGTAAATGAATTCATTTGTTATTCTAATGTTGCATTATTATTATTTTGAAGAGATATTAATTACTCTTTCGTTTCTTTGATATGCTTTTCAAAAATTTCAATTGTTTATTGCTTCAAGGCAATCTCATGATCATATTATTATATTGTGTTTGTATATTATTGAACTTAATCTCTTAAGTCATCCTTTAGATTTTCAATCTCTTCTTCATAATTTTGCTCAGTCTCCCTTAGTTTATGGTAGAATTCCTCTTAAGCTGCTTAGAACTTTTTTTCACTCTTTTCTTTTTCTTCACAGATTCTTCTTTCTAGTCTCTCCCTTTCGATTTCATAGAAATTCTTCAATTAAGTTAGGGATTCCTCAGCTTTAGCCTAGGCCAGATTTACTTCCTTAGCAATTTTGGCATCAGCTTCATCAATGGCTTATTCCAATTACTTAATTTTCTTCTAATATCTGAGTTCCTATTCTTTCAAAATTTATAACTTTTATCCATCCAACATTTTATTCTGCTCTAACAATTTGTTTCTTTATTCCTCTGTAGTTTATAATTGTTCTTTCAAATTTTCTAATTCCTTAATCAAATCTCCAGTCTCAAACTTAACCTTCAATTCTAACTCATTATTCTTTTCATTCAATTGATCAATCTATTGCTACAATCTTTTCTTTGTATTTTCATATTCATTATCGATACTCTTTAATTCTCTTTTATGTTATTCTCTTAATTCATTCATTTTGGCTGCATCAATTTTATATGTAGACTCATTACTTGAATTTTCAAATGCCTTCATAATGGCCTCATGAGATTTCTTATTCTCTTCTATTTACTTTTTATACTCATCTAATTGAACTTCCATGAATTCCATCTTTTATTGCATCAAAGCCTTATCTTTCTCACTTTAACTTCGAGTCTGTTTTAATTAATCATCTTTAGATTTAATTAAATCTTCTAAATTTTAGACTTTCTCAATCATCTCATTAACTTAATTGTTGGCATCATTCTTTAACATTAATTGAACCTATTCTTCATTTCTTCTGTACTCTCTTAATTCCCTTGTCAAAGCTTAGATCTATTCATTTAATTCTAAATTTTATTTTGTTAGAGTTCTTTCCTTATGTTCAAATTTCTTAAAATCATTTTCAAAGTTAGTTTCCTTTTCAATAAGTTCGTTCTCCATCTCATTCAACTTCTCTTGCATATCATTCATTTTTTATTGTAATTGACGAACTGATTAATCAGCCTTGGTTTACTAATCTTTTGATTGTAATGAATATTCTTTTCTTAAATTCTTTATTTCATTTTAATAATCTATTTCTTTAGCATTCATTTCGCTTACTAATTTTTCAAAAAATGTAATCTTTTATTCTAACAAAGCTCTCTCCTTTTCAAATTCAGAATTGCCAAATAGTGTTGTTCTTTCTAAATCCTTATTAAATTCTTCAGCTTTCAACACTTGCCCTTTTAACTCTTAAATTTGTCTCATTAACTCATTTTTCTCATTCTCAGACTCTAGTTTTAAATCTCTCTCCACTTAATCCTTTTATATTTTAAGCTCTTCCAAATTGTCTCTAGCCACTTATTCTCTCAATTCAATCTCAGTCTTCTCACTCTCAATCTAAGCCAATTTCATCAGAAGGTTATTCTTATCTTTTAGGCCATCTTATCTGGCTTCTTTCAATTCTTATTCTAATTTCTTTTAAGTTTCTTAAGCCACATTCTTCATCATTTCAGTTTCTTAAGAATATTGTCTAATAAATAAATTAGATCCTTCGATTAGGGCTCTCTAAAGGAATTCTAATATAATTTAATTTCTGGTTCCAACTCTTGGGCCATTTTCAATAAAGAAATTATAAAACATTTTGATATCCTTCTCATACTCACCAAAAGATCGATACTCGCCTAATTTGAGTTTTCTATCTATGGGTTAGAATTCCTGTTAAATAAATTATGAACACATTCTTGTACCCTCTCTATCATTTTCTTATTTGACTGCTGCAAACCTATTTTTAATTCGTTTTGATAACTCAATCTTAAACTCATCGTATTCTCCAACACATTTTTTCTTGAATAATGCAAATGCTTATTCTTTTAAACTTCTATTGAAGGCCTTCAAGTCTTCATTGGAAATTGGAAATCTATTGTGAAGGTTTTCCTTTAAGATTTATTCATAGGTTTCAAATGCCTCTGCAACAGCCTTTTGGCATTCATTTTTGCAAATGTAGGTCCATGCGGATTCAATAGCTGGCACTGCTCCATTGTTGATGGCCGTAACATATGACTTAACTAAATCACAATACATTTAGCCAGAAAGAGTCTTGCCATTCATAGTCTTGGGTCTAATTCTATTCAAAATCTTCTTTCTCAAATTTATGACCTATTCAAAGAATTCAGGTCTCAACTTATCAAATTCTAAGTTTTCTAGATTTTAGAGACTGCTTTCCTTTGTTAAAGGTCTCACTAGGGTGATACAATCTCTATCTTTGAAAAAAGTAGAAAGTAATTTTCTAATTTTATTTTTTTAATCAATTCCATCTGAGGTACCTTTTTATAAGGTTAATGCATTTTCTAAATAATCTTTGGAAGTTATTTGTTCATTGTTTCGATCGACTAATTAGAGAGTGAAATCTCGTACAACCCAATAGAATTGAGGGAAGTATTAGGACAAGTCTTCTAAATCTGTAGTTGATTGCCCACTAAAATCTATGAAACATATATTTACCTTTTGAGTTGAATGTTTTTGGTTAAATTAACTACTAAACTCAAGTTTTGAAGGGCATTTTCATCGATGCTGCCAACTGAATTATAAATAAAGCAGGAAGTTAAAAGAATGGTCAATGAAAATATTCTGATGTCGTGCGTAGAGTCTTCATCAGGAGCCCCAAGTCCTTCACTATCAACAACCAAAATTGAGCAGCTTTCTCCATCACTTGTTTACCCGAGGAGTGGTTTACCCCACATCCAGAGCCCTTTTGTACATGGCAACACAGTGGGGCCTACTCCAAAACCGTCAGATCTATTCAGCAACATTCTATTCAACAGATAAGATTTTCCTGTTCTATACATCCCAGCAACGCCTACAATTCCGATGGGTGCTGGGATATTTTTAATAATCTCGATAGCTTCAGGATTAACTTGGTATGCTTTTGGTAGTAGAGTAAAATTTACTTTAGGTTTCCTATTGATAAAATATTAAAGGCATCGCTTCTTCTCGAAAGGATTTCTTCATGTTTTGTTAAATTTGAATTTGAAATTAATGAAATTATACACTCAATTGTTAACTGCTATATAAATATTGATATGAGAGATTTTATTCGTTTTGAATGGTTTGGATAACAAATGCATTTAGTATGTATCAAATCATAATTATTTAGCATGAGAAGTTTGTTGAGTGTAATTGGCAGGAGTACATTTAAGTTTGAGATTGATAGTCTCAATTAATGCACATAATCTATGTAGAAGAATATTGGAAAATAAGTCAATATAGTTTATGATGTGATAATATGGTCTATGAATTCTGAGAAATACTAATCGTAAAATAATTTATTGAGTCATCATTAAAAAATGTTACATGTCATGATTTAATATAAATATTAGAAATCGTCATTGAGAAATTAATAAATAAATAATGCATAATCCATAAGACTAATTAAGAAAAGCTTTAAAGAGATATAATAATGGGGATAAGTAGAACAATAACCGGAATTGTAGGTCTCAATAGCTCCAACTGCCGCAAGTACCGAAAGGAATGTTAAGTATGAACAGTACTCAAAAATCAGAAAGAAATGCAAAATTAAGCGATACAGGTATTTTAAAATATTAGTTTTAGATACAACTGATGTAACCCATTATAATTTGAATTTTTCATAACCAATTTAGTCTTGTTATTAAGTAGAACATTTAGACCTAAATTTCTTTAAAATTCAACCTTGCAAAATCCCTGGCAATCATAGTCATAAGCATTGTCCTTTTTATCACAATACTAAAGATCGAAAGAGGTACTATTTGGAGTATAAAATTAGAATTAATGTCTAGTATTCAGCTGAGTTATGTACATTCATAGAAAATAATCAACAATGTCCATATGCAGATAATTGCAACAAAGCCCACAATAGAGTAGAGTAACTTTACAGACCCGATAATTACAAAACAAAATTCTGTTCCTACTATCCTCATAATATTTCTTAATGTGATTATGGAAAATTTTGCTCTTTCGCACATTCTGAAACAGATATTGTTATAGAATTAATCCATAACCTTGAATATGACGATGATTTCTTTATGTTCTATTACAAAACAGTTTGGTGTCCTTTCAACCTTACACAGCACGATAAGGCACTTTGTGTTTATGCTCACAATTGGCAAGACTTTAGAAGGAAGCATCAAATATATTAGTATCATCCGATTCCATGTCCAAGTTGGAACACAGCTGAATACATTTTAGAATACTATAATGGATGTTAAGATGGTTTCAATTGTGGAAAATGTCATGGTTGGAAAGAATTAGAATATCATCCAATGTTATTTAGAACAAAATAATGTATGAATTAAAACTGTTCAAAAACTGATTGTTCATTTTATCATAATAATTAAGAAAAAAGGTATACATTTTATTTAACTTAATAGATAGATTGATCAATTATCTTAATATAGAGTGTTTAAAATAGTTCCTAGAAATCGAATAGTTTAAAACACATTTAAAGTGAGAGATTAAAGTCTGTTAACTTCGTAACGAAATGGTAGTAGCACTCTTAGTAACCAGAAACTATGTAGTAGCAGTGATCAGCATTGGCTCGGACATAACTTATAAAATAGTTTTTAGTATGATTAGGACTCTGATGAAGGGAAATAACATACGAAAGGATAGAATTACTAGACTACTTTAATTTCAATTCAAGAAAGAACAGGTAGAAATTTAAGTGATTTTTAGATTCAGACGAGTTGAAGGATTTGAAGGATTTAATGAAAAAGAAATCGAATTCAGTGGCAGATGAAAAGTAAAATAATGATGACAATGAACATGTTAGAACAGTTTTGAAAATGATTGACATGGATCAATGAATAAATATTTTTATTTAATTCAAGAACTCCCTCTTATAAATAAATAATTAAAAATATTTGAATTGAATGTAAGGTAATCAAGGTTCTTAGAAAAAAGATATTGAAATTGGTTCCTGTCCATTTTCTGATGCAATGAAACCACCAAAAGGCCATGAAAAATATACTGATAAATCAAAGTGTCCGTTCCAACAAATGCAGCAATAACCAGAAATCAAAATAACAGACGGCAGTGCTGAGAAGAAGAAAGAAAAGAAGGAAAAGCAACCTAAAGGAGGATGTCCTTTTATGTCAAGTGAAAAAAAAAGAAATCCGCCTCTTGCTCATCTTGAAGAATAATACGACACATATTACATCAGTCCACTTAATTATCTCCTGGATACAAGAGGATTATGGATGCTTGCTTTCGATTCTAAAGAAGTAAAAAAAGGTAAGAGTTCATAACAATTGTCCACATAGGTCCAATCAAAGACAGAAGAAAATTATTCGATTCTTATCCTATTTATTTGAAAAGCACCTTATTTCACGATGACGAAAATACTAAAAAGTTGAGACAATGCGAAGTTGCTTAAAGATTTTTTGTTTATGACAAGTTTAGAGAAAAGGGTAATTAATATTTTTATTTCTAAAGGCAACAAATTATTATAAAAATAGGAGTACGAAGAAGCAATTCGATACTATGAAAGAGCCCTAGGTTGCTTTAGATATTTGGAAGTAGTTGAACCACCTGAAGTAGACAGCGAAGAAGAAGAAACTACATAAGACACAACAAATTTAACTGAAAAAGAAAAAAAGGAGCTTGAAGACATGAAAAAATCTGCTAAACAATACAGAAAAGAATAAAAAGAGTTCAAAAAATAATATAAATCATTGATGACAATATACACAGATGAAAATGTTAAATATAGAGGAGTTGAACATATTGAAGTAATAACTCTATTCATAATTTAAGGATGAAGCTGATAAGGAGATGTGCAATTCTATTATGTATGGTCTCTACTTAAACATGTCTGTCTGTTATATGAAAATGTCCCACTTTGATTTAGCTCGAAAGATCTTAGATGATGCTGGCCAAATTTAAAAAGAAAATTCTTAATATCTTTTTAGGTATTCTCAAGCAATTCTTTATGATAAATGGTCTACATATAAGGACTTAATCAGAGCAAAGGAATTGATTGAAAAAGCCATCAATTTATCTAATGTTGAAAATATCTTCAAATAAGGTCCAGGAATACTGAAACTTATGGGGTTGGAAAATGCAAAAGAAATTTATGTTGAACATGCTCATAAAGTTATGGAAGCATTAAAAAAGAAGAGATAGTGGATCATTGATTTGATTGACCCAGTATTCTAAAGAGCAAAAGAAATAGATGAAATCGAGTAAGAAATGATTGAAGATGGCAAAGTACCATATGAAGAAGGTGTTACAGATGTTATTGATCCTGAAGATATGATTCAGTAGTAATGTGAAACAAAGAAATAATTTCTATATCGATTATGCATGCCTTAATTAACTTAAGAACATTAGGAATACGAAATTGTTAAAGAGATGGTCAACAAATATTATAGAATCATTGAGTTCTATGCAGTATTAATTTCAATCAATTTGTTAGGAATAAAAGAAATATGATCAAGTTAAGATAGCCAAATCTGAACTATAAAGGTTATTAGAAACTGTCCAAACTATGTCCTTTTTTATGAATTTAGATTTCATTGATTATGACAATGATGAATAACTCTAAGAATTGGCTTAAAAATATTAAATCAATTTCTCTGATAAGAAGTATATCAGAAGATTCATTCGAATTTGTCGAGAATAAGTTACTGAACTCTTTGGTTAAGGTAAATTCAACTTTGAAGTATTAAAAATATATCTATTAGGTGTTTGAATATGCAATGAATGATTACTTTAAGAAGAAGAGAGAACAAGAAGAAAGAGATAGAGAAGAATATTTAAAATAGCATCCTGAACCTGTTAAACCAACATAGTAATCTTCCTTTTTAAAGAAAACTCTTTTCTCATCCGAATTTTGGATGCAAGTAAATCTTATATATCTATTTAGATGTTTGTTTTATTATTAGTTATGGCAGGAATGTACTACTTTAATAGTAATACAGGATTCATTGGTAAATTATTTTCCCTTAAAAAATGATGGTATACTCAAAAATGAATAACAGACCACATCATATTTTTATTTTCATAAAAATATATTCAAATTCATAAATGTTCTTCTCATTGTTCTAAATATCTACTAAAATTTTGTTGTGTCTATTCTAAAGTCTATCTATGGAAAACACTTTTAATAATATTATTTTCTTAACACGAAAATTCGATAAATAATAAATGGAAAAAATCAGGGAAATCCATATTTAAGCAGAACTTTGAAAACTACACTCAGTTTTTTAACATTAGAAACCTTAGTATTAGGTCTTTTAAATCCAAATAAACCTTCTCTGCATCCACTCTCAAAACATTTGATAAACCTTACATTCAGTTTTATCAATAAATGGTATTATTTAAGAATTGAATCTCCAAATATTTCATCGTTTACTCAAAATAAAATAGCTTCTACTCTGTGAATAGTCAAATATGGAAATTATTGTTTTGTTAAAGCCTCCTCAACTACTCGTTTTACTCTAGAGTATAGAAATATGATCCTTTATCAGCCCCAATTGATGTTAATAGTGAATAATGAGATATTACTAAATGTGTGAGCAAAATGAATACCATTTGCTTTAGCTAAGTTACAACCAAATATTGGATTATTGAGATCTACTTTAGTAAATTGTACATTCCCTTCTTTAACTCTAGATCCAAGAAAATAGTATAATGTATTATAATTTGAGAACATTTTCCATTCTTCAGTCTTCTCAACAATATCTAAGTTTTCAATTCTTATTTATGTTTATCTTCCATAATATAAATCAAACAATTACTAGAGAGTGTATCCCATTATTCTAATTTCCTTCTAACTATGATAGCTACTTCAGCCATTTTTCAGATTTTGTGAGTTCAGTTAAATAATTCATTATCTATGTATTCTTCCAACAGCTCCAGATGCTCCTAGGATAACTGTTTTCAATCCAGTTTAATCTATGATTAAATAAAATAATTAACCTGAATTTATTATTTCTTATAAAGATTCAAATTGTTGAAAAAATAATTAAATTTTCACTACTCTATAAGAATCTATTTTATTTTTTGATGTCTTAAAAAAGCATTCATTAGTATTATTGATAAGTGTATCATAAGGAGGAGCACCTTGTGTAAAAATGAGAAATCAGGATTTTTCATTTTAAATTCAATAGTAAGTATATTCAATGTTATTATGTAATAAAAAAGTAAAATATTTAAAAATTATTTATTATTTATTATAATTAATTAATGCATCATATATAGAATGATACTATTAAAAAATATCTATTATTTTTATATATAAAGGAAAAAATTAACTTTGTAAGATTCTCATATATTTATTTTTGAAAATTAATTGAATTACAATCATATAAAAATGGTTAAGTTTGTTTAAATACTAAGTCTGAAGAATATGTTATCAAAGCTCAATATTTGCAAAGAGACACTGCTTCGATAAACTTCATTCTTAGCCTCCTCTCTAAATAAAAATTAGTGTCTCAATCAAATTCACTCACAAGAATTGCAAATACAGCACAATAATGAAATTCTTTAAGTGCTTGAGTAAAATCGTAAAAGTTTAAAGTCAGAATCAGAAGTTGAGTACTTCTCAATTACGGAATCAACACTTAAACTTTTAGATTAGTAGCTCTAACTAATAAAACAAAGTATGATAGATGTTTAATATTTTAGTTATGAAAAAGTAAAATAACAGAAATTAAATAAAATATTCTTCATTAAGATTAAAGCTTCTAGAAAAGGCTGCCAACTACTTTTACGAAATTTGGTAATTTGATTCTAATAATATAGCCTATCTGTAAAAATACTTGGAGGTATATTTATATTATTTATTTTAGATTGTTAAATCTTATAAAGGAACTTTCAGTGATCAATACCTAGAGGGACTGTGCAAATATGCATAACACACTCAAGATTACAAAGAGCTAGAGTAAGTTTATAGTCAAATTGAAAAGAATACTTTTTCAGAAATACAAAAAATATGTGCTATGACTCTTTTTATGCACGCTCAAGATGATGTCTACTATGAGCATTTCATTTTAAATGAATCCATTTGTTAGGATTAATCATTTGAAATTAGAGTAATTATTTTAATTATCATCCAAGTTTCATCTTTTTGCCACTCAATATTTCCAACAATAGAATTGTCATCATACAACAAAGTATCACAGATAATAATGTGAATTTATGTCATCCGAACATTAGAGATCTATTGCTTAAAGCAATTTAGAACTTTAATTGTCATTCATGTAGAACAAAAGCAAATACTAATTGTGATTTTGTAAACAAAATTATGTATTTATTATAAATCTAACAAATCAATTGTTTTCTTCCACAAACCATTTTGCAACCATTAAATTGTATTATTAAATTAAAGTAAAATAATTTTAAAATAATTTTAATTAAATTCACTTTACTATTACTTTATTTTTTTGACATATTCTTCGCCTCTTAAGTAGAAATTAAGGGATAATTAAGATTTATTCAAGCTTGGTCTTTACTAGATGTGTGAGTATAACAATTTTAACAAGAACTCTTTGGCTAGATTATTCATTTAATCTATTTATACATTTATAAATTAGATATTAATTCTGTATTTGATACCTGGAATTCAATTTTAAACTTAGATTTTGTAAATTAAGGATTGATGTTTATCCTCTTATTTAAACATTTGATTGCATTGCATTGTTCTATTTTACTAAACATATGCCTTCAATAGTTTCTGCTATCTCATCGATCGAATTATAATCTAAATTATTTTATTGCTTTTATATGAATAAGTATCCTGAAAGTTTGTTTTTCAACCAAATTCTTAATTCAATCTTACTTATTATAACTCTTAATTGTAGACGTATTCTTCAAATTATCAAAAAAATTAGAAATTGGTAAGTTTAAGTGAAAAATAAAAAATTGTATATTTTCCAATAACTTTCTTATGATATAATTATCAGTTTCTATAAATAAAAATAAATCATTTTATTTACATTGATGTTGTTACTCTCTTTTTTTTGCATATCATTATTTGCAAAGTGATAAGAATTAAAACTAAGACTAAGTAGTTTTAACTAATAATGAGTTTAGATCCCTCCACCTCAGTTAGATTTCTAATAATAATGCATAAATTATGATTAGAAATACTTTTTTTTAATCAAATAAAGTAATATATAATTATATTATTATGAGGCACAACTTAACCAATTTCTAGAAGTCAGGAAGTTTGAAAACATTTGATATATATGTAATAATAGTTTAACCCTTCATTTATTATTTAAAAATTCAGACTAAACCTATAATTTTAATAGAATTATGAATCTTTCATAATAAAAAAGTAAATAAATCTAAGTGTAAATTTAGAATAAAATATTGCATCAAAATATGGAAGTAAATGTTTATAGGGAATATAGAAATGAAAAAGAATACAATAAATATAAATACAAATCTTAAATAATCAATACATTATTCTCGATGGATTTGTCACTAATAGCTTGAAGTCCTTAAAGAATCCCTCTTCTGCTAGCCTTTCGTTTGTAGAACCAATCAATTTGATTTAATTTGTTTATATGTGCACTCCTTTATGGACTATGATTCTGATATATCTGCATGGGAGAGCTGATAATTTAATTCTTCTTTATTTATGTTAAGGGAAGAATTCCTTGTTGTGAACTGATATAAAAGGACCATTTTTGAATTCACTTACAAAGACTGAGATTTCACACCCATATTTCAGATTTTCAATGAGTAGATATCTTACATTGCACATCTCACCTAAATCTAAAAGCATTTATTGAGGTGAGAAATCAGATTTTTGGAGAGATTGGTTTCTGGAGTAGTGAGTCAATTAATTTATACCATATTGTTAAATAGGTATAGTACTAAAGGGAAGGTTGGTTTCAAAAAGAGAGTCCATTCAGTTAATAAATTAAATAATCAGAAAATTGCTAATTTTAAGTTGGCTCTATTAATAATAATAGTAATCTAAAATTCGTTTGGAGAGAATACTGTTACATTTTCTAAGTAAACCAGGATATTCTCTTTTTTTTGTATTTTCTTGACAGGATCGTATATCTGAGGGTTGAGATCATCGAGTTCCTCGGTGAATATATCAGACAAAATTGACGCTTAGCATGAACCACTTTGATCTTTCAATGTTATTTCAGTGGTATCCCCAAATTCTTCAATATCATGTACTTCGCATATGATTGCATCGATTTTTTGATTTCGATATTCATAAATTTTAGACAGAAAAAATGAGTTCAAGGGATAAGGTAATTTCGATCTTTCTTAATTAAAATTGTTGATTTGATTAGTATGGTTCAAATGTTGCAACATAAGATTCCAAAGAGTTGTTTTGGCATCATCCTTATTTTGTTTTAACTTTGGAGTGGAAATGAATTGAAATTAGCTCTTGAGTTCTATGGGTTTGAATGTAGTCTATAATTTTTTGCTAGATGGTTTTTCTTTAGGAGGCTCTGGTTTCAAATTCTGAGTGATAAAAGAATCAAAGTTTCCATCATCATCATCATTTGAAAAAAGAAAATTCATAAATTAATTGATTGTTTATTGTACTATAAAATGGAAATAGATTTCATATTTTAGCTTATAATGCAGCCAAGTCTTCTTTAATTTATTTGAGTTAGGTTCCATCTCTAAGAAGTTCTGATCTTCTGACAGCCAAAAGACTAACCTTTTGACCTTGAGGAGCGTATCTAGACAAAGCAGAGGGATGGCCAATATGTTATTTTTTCTTCCTGATTTAAGAATAGGTTTTCAGTTTTTCTTCCACCAGCTATCAAACCAACAGGGGCTCTGCAAAGTGAACTCAAAAATTTCTTTTCTATTCTTTCACCAACTCAGATTATTACCTTTTTCCAGACTTAACTCATTTATTCTTATTACATAATCTTGTTATTATTCTTAATCTGCTCTTTTTATCTTGAAATCTAATTATTTAAAATTCTAATTTTGCAAGTAAGTTTTTGGTCATCATTTTATAATCATCTCGCGTTTATCCTTAATACAGAAGCTCTAGTTGACTATAGGTCAATTTTATCTATTAAATTCCATTATAATTAAATTAAATGTTCAACATGTTTAAAAAGAAAGAGCAAACCCAACCATAACCAGCTCCTCCACCACCACCTATATAATAACAGTAATAAGCTGTATAGCAGCCTTAAGTTGTTCCTCCTTAGTAACCAGCTCCAAAAGGATCAATGTTCAAGGGAATTGTTAAAGTGAAGGCACCACCTCCACCTCAAACTTAAGAAGTTCAATAATAGTAAATGCCAGTGCCTCCATCTTATCAAGCATAGGTACATTAAGGACAATCTAATTCTGATATTCTATCACCAGAAAGTGATGCCTACAAATAGTAATTTAATTAAATGGAAACGCCAACTCCATAAGAGGAATTCAATGTAGAGTAGAAAATAGAGGCCAAAATAAATGTGGAAGAAGTCAAAAAGAAACCAGCTGGCTTTGGTTTCATAAAAAAAAAATAACCTGAACAACCAGTTCCTACAGATGAAACTTTGTAAGAATAAGTTGAAAGCTAGATAATATATGGAATTCAAGTTCAATAAGATTAGGAACAAGAAGTGAATAAATTATAGGAGTATTCAACTTAGTAGATTTATCAATAAAATTATTCTTCTCAATAAATTAAAGAGCATACTAAAAATGAATAAAGTGTATAATTGTAAAATTAAACTAAATAAAATGAATAGGAAAGAGAATAATAGTAGTAATGGTAACAATAATAATAGTAATAAAAATAATTGCTATAATCCACTATGTCAAGTTCTTCATAATTAAAAAATAACTTTATCAACAAAAGTCAATTCGATTCTAATTCCATTAATGCTCAATTAGATAGTTCTTATGTTAAACAACATCAAATGATTATGGAGGAATTGGAATATTTTCAAAATGAAGTTAATAAAAAGAAAGCTCAAATTTACATCTCATAATAAGAAATTGAAAAGCGTATTGCTACTTATTAGCAGAAACTATAAGAATGCAATAGATGCCATACTGAACTATCGATAGAATAATAGGTGTGTATACAGTAGGAATAATTTGAGAAGGCGGAGGATATTGAATAATCGCTGAAAGTAATTTAAAATAACATCACTTAAATTGATAATCAGATTAAATATGAAGAATAGCAATATAGCAAATTATAGGATGAGAAGGAAAACATAAGAGGAGAAGAGTATCCATTTTATTAAGAAACAGAACAGAAGTTGGAGGAGATAGAAAGATTACATATCAAGTATAGTGATTAGTATAGGTTTGAAGGATAGGCCTAAATAAAGAAACTGCAATAACATATAGAAGAAGAGAATGAGAGGGTGAAGATCTAATAAATTCACACTGAGATTGATAGTAAACATTTGTATGAAGAAGAACAACATCTGAATCAAATAATGGATAATCAGACTAAGGAGTATCGAATTGAGTAAGACCAATTAGTTAATAAAAAGTCAACTTTAGAATCTGAGATTGCAGAATTGTAATTATTATTAAATCAAAAGAAAAATGAATTATAAAAGGTGAATTATGATCTACTTTCAACAAAAGAGAAAATTTAATAAGTCCAATAAAAATTCAATTTATAACTAATTAAAGTATAGAATAAGAGAACAAAACTCGTTGATGAACTCAATAGTTTAGCAACTGAACGAGCTTAGATTGAAGCCCTTGAAGGCGATAATCTAAGATAGTAAAATGAGTATAAGAATAAGCTTGAATATTTGTCATAATAATTGGAAGCCATTAGAGTCAAAAGAAATGAGCTTACTAGAAAAGCCAATTTGGTACCTGAATAGTGTTAATAAGAATTGGATGTAACATTCAAATACTAGGAGGCTAAAAAGGCCAGCATAGAAGCATTAAAGGAATTGGCATAAGTTTAAAGGTAAATTGATGAATTAAATTACAAGAGGAATATGGGACAAACCTAATTACATGAAATTCTCATTAAAAAAAGTGAGCTTCAAAAGAAACTGCCTAAGATGATTGATGATAAGGCACAGTTGGTTTAGAATAAGAACTTTAAAGGTGCTGCACAAATTAATGAGTAAATAAAAGAAGCTTAAAGATAGATTACCTTATATGAAGAAAAAATATCTGAAAATCAAAATATAGAAACATAGATTCTTAAAGAAATTGATCAAATAGAAGACTCCTTCTTGATTAAATAACATCGATATCAATTACTTTAACAAAATGCAGAAATTTGCAGATATTTTGTTTTGGAATTAAAATTGCAAGAGATTTCATAAATCGATTATTTTGGATTATCTTAATTAGAATTGGATGTATTATTATAAAATTAATTAATTTTAGATTAAGAATGAAATGAATCAATTAGTTAATAAATATTAGGATTTAATTAAAGCAAATCGAAAGGTTTCTACTGATAATATTGAGTAAATTCAAGATCATGAAGAAGAAGTAAATGATAATAAAAATGAGGAACAATAAGAATAGTTGAATCAAGTAGAAGAAGAATAAATAGAACAAGTTATTGATTTAAATGAGAAAGAAGAATTATAGTAATAGGAAAATGTAATTGAAATGAGTGAAGAGCAAAGAAAAAGCTATATTAAGCATTAATAGTATTTATATTTGGATCTCTAACAAAATATGAAGGCATTAGATGGTTAGGTCTAGGATCACGTTCAAGTAATAGTTGGTATTGATTAGAGAAAGAACAATATGAAGAAGCTGATTAGATTCAACAAGAAATAGATAAACTTGTAATTAAAGCAGCTGTTATAGAAAAAGAACTTAAATAGAAATTCAATGTTGATAGGCTAATGCCAGAAGAAGAAGAGGATTGATGTTTTTTTTATTTTTATTATTGATTAATATCAATAAACAAGACTGAAAGTTCTATTAGTCTATATAAATGGCACTTTTATATTAATAGATGTTCAAATAAGCTCAAATAAATTTGGTTTGTTGCTGTTATTACTAATATTATTAACAGGAGGATCATCAAAACTTAAAAGATCAATATCTTATTATTGTTATTATTATTATTATTATTCTTGTTTGTTATTTTACTGATTTTCACTTTATTAAGCTTAAACTTAGTTCTCTTGTTTCTCTTATTTTTCTTCTCCCTTGTAAATCTTAACATCTTGTTAATTACTTCAAATTTAAATGAATAAATACTTTATTTTAATTTTGATGTTTTTGTATAATTAATGGGGTAATTTGTGAAATAGATTACTGATGCTCCCCATATTTTCCAAAGCTACAACTAAATCTTAAGTTTCCCATAAGCGTAGGTCCTTTGAGAAGTTCTAAACGGCTCCACTGTTAAAGCAAACTAAGGTCTTAACAATTTCTGGATCTGTTGACAATAATCTCCAATAAATATAGGTTCTATCTCTAACATCAGGGTTAAATGAGTCTTTGGCAGAAGTGATCAATTATTAGATTAGAATGGAACACTATGATGGATATTTGAGATATAATTAGACTGCTGAGGTTAGTAGTTAAAGTTAAACTAATCTATCTTCCATTTAGAAATTGTCAATATATTCTTTCATTTTTTCAGCTGATTTTGGAATAAATTCACCAAATTCTCCTACAATCCATGCACATGCACTCTAAACAATCAATAAACTTAATTACTTTTGATTCTGGTTCATTTGCATAATCGATAATAGAATATATGATTTTTAGACTATCTTCATGTTTATACATTGATTTGTTTTTCTTATAAATAAGCTGCATTTAAATAAGCAATTCTTAGACCGGTTCAGTAGGTTATTGGACATTTTTAGCGAATTCAACTAAAATGGATACTGCTCTAAAAGTTAAGAATTGGAATATACTTATCTATGGCTTTGTCATAGGTAATAGCTATTTTTCCAATTGATTTAATAGTCTTTCTGACAAAATGAGGATCGGCTTCATTTAAATAAATGAGAAGTTCATTAAGAACTTGACCAAAGTTCTTGGAATCACAAATTCTAACCATAATATCTAGTTTCTCATATTTAATATAGTAGGGTTCATTAAAAGAGCAGAAAAACACTTTAACTTCATTTTCAAATAAGATTGGGAACTTCTGCAAAATCAAAGAGATATTTCTGAGGATTGTGTACTGTACTTCTGGTTGATTCCAAGATAATAAAGAAATTAAAGATGGTGCCACTTTCTTACATAAATTTTTAACTAGATCTCCATTGTCTAAGAAATCCAAGTATTTGAGAATAACCTTAACAGCACAAAAAGTGACAGTTGGATTTATGTGACTCAATCTTGGAAGTGTTCTTTCAATAATTACTTCGGCTTATTTTGAATCCTATGGATTGTAAGTAGCCAAATAATCCAAAATAAATATTTATCCCCACTCAATACATTCATCAACTGCTAGTAATAACTTTTAAATGATCTTCTAATTCAAATTGATGATTTGCTTGCCACTCACAACTTCGATTTCTCTCATCGATTAAATCAAGTTAGCCAAAACCAATGCATTTGATTCCTTCTCTAATAATTTCTACAACAATTCCAAAAGGGGAGGACATATATCTGGTGACACTTCGTAAACCTAATTAGATCGCATTAGCAATTACTTTTGGAACACATAAAACAGCAGTCTTACGTACATAAGGATCATCATCCAATATGCAATCTTTTAAAGGCTCAATTAAATATTCATTAAGTTTTGGTACGCGTAAACAACCGAATGTTCTGATGGCAAGAGCTCTTACTAAGGGATTCTCTGACTTCCTCACATCTTTTCTAAAATTTTATATGACCATAATGGCATCATCAGGCTTTTATCTGGAATAGTTAACAATGTAAAGATAAATCTATGGAATAATCATTCTTTAAATACAAGTTTCTTCATCTCTATGTCATTGAATTCTAAACACTTTATGACAGACTGAAATAGATCTGATACGTCTTTACCCACAGTCATATAAGCTATCACTTTCTTTACAGCCTACGCTTATTGATATTAAGCCTTACTTCTTTCTTCTTTTCAAAATTCAAGTCATTTAAATCTGCATAAAGCTCTTGCAATTCTCCACGCTATGGATTATTTCCAAAATAAGCCATTTAAATATAAAATATTTTATAAAAACAAACCAAAAAATTCATGCTTACCTTTGTTGATTGTTTTCAATTCTAATTACTATCTTTGTTTCAAATGACTGTTTTTACAGGACCTTTTATTATCATGATAGATTTTAGATATTATCTTTCATAATAAAGATCTCTCTCAAGTTTTTCAATTCAAATTAATGCTCCTTCTGCAATTATAATTCGTACTACTCCATATTGTATATCAAAAAGGAAGGTTTAATTGATACCTGTGGCTATAAGAATTCATCTAGAATGTAGTTCATTTTTTATTTTAACATAATTTGCATCCTTAGAAAGATTTTTATTAATTCTTTCGGAAATTTTAAAATAGATAAAAGATTTTGTAAAAATTTGTTTGTTTCTTCTTAAGAAGTAATTTGATATGCTCTACTTACTGTCTTTAGTCAATTCAATTAAATTAATAATAATCAAATAGAAAATTTATACTCAATTAGATTTTTGAATATAGAAAAATTTAATTAACCTTTTCTTTTATCCCTCAAGGAAGATTAAATCTTTACATCCTTCTAAACTTTACTTTAAAATCATCTTTATGATCCAACATTATCGCTAAGATACCATTAAGTAGATATTGAATTTTAAATAATTTAAAGCTATTTGCATTATTAATATTAAATTCATTCAAATGAGGTGGCTTCTTTCTTTTTTGTTAATTACATTCCCTTCTTTGGAGCTTATTTCACATTTGATTATTTTTGCAATACTTAGGATTGAGTGCTTAAGTTTTCACTTATTATCTCAGATTTAGGTGCGGGATTTACCTTTTCTAAATTCACTACTATTTATATACCTTCATTTTATGGTAATTTGAATGCATTATCAATGGCTTTAGATTACTTTTAACTCTTCTTCTAGGCTAATTCTTCTTATCTCTTTCTTTCCATTTCCATCTAATGTTTTTTAGCCTATTCTTTTGCTTCGTTTTCCTAAATAATATTTTGAATTTCAATACCCTTGCTCTGGTTAACATCATATGAATCTTCTCTTCTGAACTTTCCATCTCCAAGGCTGTCTACACTTAACTTGTTGTTGTGCTTTCTCTCAATCCAGCAGATATTATGTCATCAATGGCCAAAAGTATTTCAAAACTATTCTTTTTTATTGACTCTTCGCTAACTATGTTTAAGTATCAATAATACCTTATTAACAGATGTCAGAGAGAACATTCTTCAAAATTCTTAATACTTCTAAATCCTCGATTATATTGCTATTTTTTGATGTAATCAGCACAATGTAAATGTTATCAATCGGAGTATAAATATATCTTAAATTCTCATGATCGATGAATGTATGCTATTAAGTTGGTGAAATCAATTTAGGAAAATTACGAACTTGCTAAATATGTTTTCAAGTTTCTTACTTCCTTTAATTCATTTGTTGTAATTCCTTAAAATTGTCTTCCAATAAATAGGATTCCGTTCTTATCACATATTGCAGCTGAGATAATTACCATCTTACGTGTATTAATTAATTAAAATTATTATATAAATTATTTATTTTATTATTCTTGGTGATTCTTCATATGCAACCTAAAAAGTGATATATAATTTATATATATACACATAAATATTCTATGAAAAGGATTTGTTTGATTCAGAAATAAAAAAAGGATTGAGATTAATTGTAATACCTAGGAATTGAAAAATATATCATACTAATTAACAGTATTTTTACAAAATCTTATCAAATATCCTTGAATAAAGTTGTTTTTATTATACAATTAAAATTATTAAATTGTTTTTAATACAAATATTTATAATCTCAAAACTAAAAAAAACATAAAATTGAATAGTTAATGTGATTTTAATGGCTTAAGTCAACTTTTTTTATTAAATTTTAATTGAATAGTAAGTGAACTCCTCTAATTTAAATGGATTGTTAGTTTGCTTAGTTGAAAATGAGACAAATGTGAGATTATATTAATGTATAAAAACGGTATTTAAATAAATATTTTTATTATTGAACAAAAGAATGAAAAGTATTTCAGGAATATTAGTCATTTTGCTTTTAAGTCAGAGTGTTTTTTGTAGTCCAAAGAAGATCAATACAGATTTTTTGAATTTACTTAGTTCTAAAACGAATGTTATGAGTTCATAAGATGCTATCCAATCAGTGCTTACATTGTTAGAAGATCTTTAAGGAGCAAATGTTGAAGCTCAAGACAAGGCTGACCTCACATTTTAAAGATTTGAACACGCCATTTTGTAAGATATCAATGAGTTCTCAGGAATTGTGAATGTCAATTCCAAGAGTGCAGCTGCTGCTCAATAAGACTTGGAAGCTGTCGAGTATTTATTTATCATTGAACATAAAGCCTTAAAATCTAATAAACCACAGACTACTTGAATTGGAATAACAAGCGATACAAGGCAAATGAGGTTAAGCTTGAAAACTTAGCTGAATAAAGATGTGAAGCCAATGCCTTGTTCATCGACACATTGAGAGAATATAAGAATGCACTTTCTGTCTTAGATTGGGTAAGAAGTGATGCACAAAGCAAATAAAGTACATTAATAGAAAAGAGTCACATTGGAGATTATGCAGAAAAATTGAGCAAGTATGCTAATCTATTTGAGGAGTAAGCAGTCTAAGATTTTGTGAAATTGGGAGAAGAGGAAGCTTCATTTGCATAGACAAGTACAAACATAAAAGATTTATTTAAATTAGGATAACATGGAAACGGCGAATAATTAGCATCATTAGTGGAAAAAGATGTTGTTGGAATTATTCAATAGTTAATTGAGAAATTGAGAGATACCATCAAAGGTCTTGAAGAATAAGAAATATAATCAGCCAACGATTTCGCTGATTTTAAGACTAACTTATTGGCTGAATAAGAATCTCTCAAGTAAGAGTATGATGCCAAAGCCAAATTCTTGAATTCCTTACAAAATGATAAAGAGTTAGCCTCAGACATCTTAACCAAAAAGAAGGAACTTTAAGATTAAAGCATGAGAATCTTGAGTTTGACTTAAGGTATTTTACGATGTGATTTATTATAGAGGAATACAACTACAAAAAGAAATTATACAACTCCGAAAAAGCCAAAAGACACGAAGAAAACTAGTTATTAGAAGAATCACTTCTAATTTACAGGGAAAAGATTGCTACAGTTAATGAATACTTGAAAAAGAGAGTAAACGAGTATGTTGGGGAATCCCTCATTGAAGAACATGCTGTCAGCAATCAAGCTCCAGTATAAAATAGAAAGGGGAAATAATGATAAAAACACACATTAAAATTATAATCATTCTAAAGGCTGCTTCGTTGATTGCTTAAATTTCTCATAATCCATTTTATAACTAGATTGAAACTTCTAGTCTGGCATGTAAATCGATGGAAAACTAGCCACATCTCCCTATTCAAATGGATTAACTGGTTCTTATGCTCCTTGAGAAAAATAAGATTGAACGATCTAAGATTGAGCCAATTAATCTTCATAAGGACTTTTATTGTTTTGTTCAAATGGATTCCAATCTTATCCCTGAGCTGGTATATCTTTAATACTTATGTTTTCATCTGACTTGCATTCTTAGTGACTCAAATCATTTTATTATTTTTATTTTGCATCATTGATATCAATTTATTATTTTTAATTATCACATCCGAATTTAGATTTGAAGTCTTCGTGTTTTATGAATTTTTTATAAGCCTGATAATATATTTCTGTTTCATTTTATATAACTATTTAATACGCTTTATTAAACATATTTCGTTTGTTGTTCAGAATCTAATCCATTTTCTGAATGATCTGATTACTGATCCCTTAAAATTATGTATTCGCATTATCATACTTTTTCTCATTCTAAGCATACTTAATAAAGAATTACTCTTTGGAACCTTTATTAATCTTTAGAATTTTTCAGTTAATCCACTTTTAGTCTATAGTGATCATATACTAATCTATTCTCCTAATATTTATCAAGCATTTATCTTAATTATTCAATTGTATCAAACCATTCTTAAAAGCTATCGTTAGCTTTGTGAATACTCTCAATTTTCGAAGAATGCAACAAAGACAAAGAATCAAATGTTTTTGCTAATAACATACCTTCTTATGACTTTTCTAATTCATCAAGCTTTTTGAGGACTTGACTTAACAATCCATACAACAATTGCATTTCTTTTGTTAATTTGATATTATTGTACATTAATGTTAAAATACAATTCCTTAGATTGCTCTACCTGCTAATCTGATATATTAATCTGCTTCATTTATTTACTTTTTCTTATCCTCCAATTATAAGTTTGATGTTTTGGATGTTCCCCAAAACTCCTTCCATCTTTGACCTGCTAGAGATAAAGCACTTGACATATATAAATATAAATATTATTGTACTATGTTTATTAATGATATCAATAGAAGAAACCAAGGATTTTGCCTCCAATGTGTCTTTGTCTGGCTTCTTCATGGGTTAAGATTCCAACATTAGTGGTGAGCACAACACAACCAAATTATCTGGCTGGGAGAATGTTATTGGCCCATCTTTCGAATTCTCCTAAAGTAACATCATATCTGGGTGAGATCACACCGCATTTATTGATGCGTCCTAACATTTTGTGTCATTTATTACCCAATAATTCAACAACAATTTTACCACTTCTATGATCATCAACAATTTCGAATTCACCAATGTACCCATGTCTTTGCATAACTTATAAGAACTTCACAACCAATTTTGATGTAGGTCTGATCAACACTTGCTTTCTTCCTTATCTTAAATATGTTAGGACAACAACTAAAACCTTTCTGCATTCACAATAGAACGGAGGCAATCATTCAAGACATTCATTTTCACCATTCGTCAATAAATTTTTTTTTTTAATTTTTTTAAATCTTATTTTAATATGTTTATATGCCCAATGCACCATACTCTTTTGAAAGTACCTTCTTTCCAATGAGTCTAGTATTGATTCTCTACTTCATATTTCACCATTATTGTATTTATTCTTCATTTCCTCTTCCATTTTCTAATAAATTATATTGTTTAAATTAAGTTGTAATTATATATATTACATTAACTAACCTCTCTATTTATTGGAAATATATAAAAAATGAGATAACCTTCTCCTATTTGTGAATGATATCAAAAATTTATAATTTATTCATACTTATTAATTGGTAATGAGCAAATATTCCTATAAATCAATAATATTTTATTCGATTGAAGATCTATTAAATCAGTTACAGTATCAAGTTAGATATTATTCAATCAAAACCTGATAGAGGATTATTGATTTTATTTTAGAATATAATAATATGAAGATCAATAATATAAAATGAAGAGTTTACATCCTTAATATTAGAATTGCATAGTCATAATAATATTATCATAAATGAATGAATTAATAAATTATATTTAGAACATTTTGATTGATTCTTCCTAAAATAATATTATATAGATTTCTCTAAAATAACTAGAAATAATACATAAGATATTAAGCTACTTTGAGAAAGGTAACTATCTTTTTCAATTCTAAGTAGACTAACAAAAACCTGCAGTTAATACCATGAATACATGCATGAAGTCTTTCTTAGAGCAAGTGTTAATGCTTATTTAAAATATATTTATAAAGTGATAACAATCTGTTATAATCTTAGAAAATATTCAGATATTAATTATCTTTCATGCAATGTTTTTAATATTACAAATTTTATTTAATGAAAAAATCAAATGGATTGCTCCAATTAAAAAAGGTGTCAATGAATCACAATCAGGTAAACTAAGATTCAGAGTTTCTTTGGGATATTGAAAGAACAACAAGTTATGAAAGCAGCCAATTCAGAAGATCGTTCGATATTACATCGTATAGAAGAACCTCTACTTCTTCCAAAGGAGATAATTCAATCAGTCCTAATTTGTAGAGAAGAAATTCTTTTGTTACGTTCGAATCTAATGATCCATCTTTGTCTATCAGTTAAATTAAAAATGTTAAAGAGTAATTCAACATAATATGCTTAGTCCAACAAAACATATCTACATGAGTGAATTATAACTTAAAATATGGAAAAGTCTATCAAAATGTTCCAATTCATAATTAGTACGTTATATATTTTATTTAGGAATCCGCATTTATAATAGATATTATAGTGATATGTTAAGGACAAGAATACGAATTCAAATTCGATTTTTCCAAGTTATCTTGCTTCATGACTATCTAAGAACTCAGTGAGTAGATTCATTTGATATTTTTTGAATAAAGAAGTTAGAGTACAATAATATAAATAATTAGACAGAACTTTTAGATCCATAATTGCATATTTTGATTGGAATAATAAAAACATAAAGGCTTGATGGACAGATCAGATTGTTTGAACTATTGAATTTACTTCTAAATGGGAAAAAAACTTTAATCCTTCAATAAAGTGTTAATCAATAATAATGATTTTTACTATTTTATATTTAATTTTGAATAACAACTATAATATAAATTCCTCATATAAAATCAGAATATTTACATTTAAATAATCCCCCCTTTTAACCAAAATGTTATGTTGAATTATTTTATTCTATTATTTTGATCAATTTGTGTACATTCTTTATGAATTTAATATTATTCATAGTTGCATCAATCACAAAGATGACATGATGGATGAATTTTATAAACTAGAATAATTTATCTTAAGAGGATGATTCATTAAAATAACTTAAATTCTCTTTTGAATCATAGTAATATAAGATTTACCCTTAAAATTTTAGTTATGAATACAATTTTAGATTTAATAATAATCGATTGGTCATATCCATAAACAATTGTATTAGGAAATATGATGGAATATTTTTCTCTTTTTAGAAATTATCATTAAACCGATGTATCTGGCTGATTGTCGCTTATTTGAGCTTTATGCAAATTAGCATACTTAATTAAAATTAGTAAGTTAATATTATACAATATTATATTCTTTAGTACATAACTATACCATATCATGTATATGCACTCGTCATAAATTGTAATTCTACAAATAAAGTTGGAAATTTTGAGTTATCTATTTAATAAACTTTAAATAATTTGAATTTACTCATGTCTGATTAATTCGACTAGTTACAAGAAAACATTGTTCAAAATGATGTACCTGAAAATAAGGACCAAGAGCTATTTGATTAAATGGCCTCCAGAGAATACAAAGATAAAAAACAAAATTTCTAAATTGAGGAAGACGATGGCGAAATTTAAGATCAACCAGTTAGTGCTATATCGGAAGTTGTGAAGCCAGAAGAGAAATAAAAGAACGTATCTTAGATTACAACCAAAAATAGTCCTTTTCGATTAAGAAAGCTGAAACAAAGAGAATAGTACATTAGGCAGCATTAGAAAGAAAGACAGAAGCATTCGAATAAACAAAGAGTTTTGAACTTCATAGATCAACATAAATACTATCGCATAGATAATTGGTGGATTCTGTTTGGGCAAGATTGCAGAAAGTAGTAGGTTCATCCGATGAGACTATGAAATTTTTAGTTTCATTTATGAGACAAAGGATTGAATAAGAAGAATTGCAATTAAAATATTCCTAAACAGCTTCATTAAACAAACTGTTTAAGGATTTTGGTATCATTCTAATAATGTTTTAGATGGAAGGATTATGCAATGCAACTATCCAGAATTTTCTAAGGCAGTGAGAACGATGGACTCTGCTATGGAAAGATAAACAGATTAAATTAAAATATTTATTACATGGATGCAAAACCAAACAAGAGAAAGATTGGAATAAGAAATGAACAATTTTACAAATCAAAATAGAGGTATCAATATACTTAAATTAAAAGAATTGGTCAATTCTTACAATAGGTACAAGAAAACTTTAATAGATTTGGATAAAGATGTTCTCAAATACTATACTAAGTATGATAAAATGTACTCAAATATTACGATTAAAGGAAAAAAGCCATAAAAGGACTTTTTGAGAGCTGAATTAAAGTATAAATAGGTAATTTCATGTTTATGATTATGTGTAGGCTGCTTCTAAATTGATCGTATTTTAAAGAGAGTTTGGAACTTGGCTATTAAACAGTTGGAATGAATTGAAATAATTAGAGACTTAGAGATTAGATTTGGTCACTCACACCTTAGTAGAGTTTTAAAATTAAGTGATGAATGTATATGGTAAAATTCCATAACATGACTCCATAATTGGAGCATTGAATGCAGTTAAGATTCAATAGGAAGTACAGAATTTGTATTCATCTGATTTTGTATTAACAAAGTAGGAATTAGAATATATTTCAACTGAGCAACAATAGGAGTTAATAAAATATTTTCAAAACTTTTAAGTAAAATTATAGAGATATATGTGAATAGGTGATTGATAAATATGCTGATCAATCTCATCCTTTAATTCTAAAGCAATTTTCTGCTTAAAGAGATGTTGGAACTATTGGTAAGACTTGGATCGATACTGGAATTATCATCACAGTCGACCATTACTTTCTTACCTTTGATGGTAAACCAACTAGGTTTTCCAAGGCTGAAAATAAGTATCCTCTTGATGGAATGAAAATGACAACAAGGAATGCTTTAGAGTTAGAGATTTAATTTGTAATCCCCGGGTTGGTGATGGATTCAAAGAAGAAGTTACTAATTCAATTCAAGACATCTGATGAATTGGAGGAAATGATGTATTTTCTAGAAACAGTTGGACAGAATAAATTCGCATTAAATTGAAATATGTCAACCATGTTATAATATGAATTGTTATAAAATAATAAAATGAAATCAAAAAGCTAGCTTTAATCGGATGAGGACGTAGATACTCTGGGTTCCTATACATCGATGACTTACGATGATAAAACAATGGAAGTTGTATAGTACAGATAAGAGAACTTCTTTCAATTCGGATCTTCCATATTGGCAGTAATTTACATGGCCAATACTATGTTGATCCCGAATATGAACTAACTGTTTATTGATGTTTCTTTCGATAATCCTTTAGTAATGGTTGTTTCAGTGATCATGTATTGGTTGCTATCATTTTTAATTTTGATACCATGCTATTTAGTTATCAAAGTATGCAAACAAGAAGGTAACCCCATATATGCCTATATAATCAAACAAGATTCAATAAAAATCTACAATGTATTCATCTATAGTAATTTAATACTAAATACACTTGGATTATTTAATATTATTGTTAGATTGGGAGACAGTTTGCCTAAGGTTAATCGATGGTTTTACATTGAGTTCCATCACCTAATGGCATCAGAACAAGCTGAACTGTTCTTCCCCACAATAATTTGCTATACAGCAGTAGTGTTAACATTATTTTATGGGTTTTATAAATGTTCTTACTTTGAGCAATACTATGACATTCAATATAGACTTATCATATCATTTGTAGGTAAAATTTTATTGAACACCCTAATCTTCTTATTGATATACTTTGAAGTACCTGATGCAAGTTAGGAATACATATCGATGGATGAAAAGTAAATACTTTCATATTCTAATATAGTTTATTTAATTCCGATTTTTCGAACAGCGCTACATAATGGATAACTTATTGCTTTAACTAAATTTGTTGTATTTCATATCCTTTCTTTGAAGTGTTCTATCTAAAAAGAGAAACCAAAAAGGGATACACTAAGGTTCAACAATGCTATTGGATATAATTGTTGTTGAGATCTCTAATATTTTTTTATTAGATCACGACCTGGGGAATCATCATCAGATAAGAGAAAATGAAGTATTACTATTAGCCATTGCTGTAATCCTTAAATTCATTGATGATTTTGCTCATTTCCATGTCCATAACATCAATTTATTCACACAATTACACATTGAATAAGGAAATATTAGAAGACAACATTCAAACAGCTACTGAAGATGATAATAAGAAATAGATTAAGGAGATCTATATGATTGCAGCTGGACTCTTCGTGATTGAGATATCCATTTGCATCATTTGCAGATTTTTTATTAGAGGTATAGAAGTTCCTCAAATTAAATCATTTATTTTTTCACTCACTTATAGTGCTTAAACAATCTGCTTTGGTTTTTCATGCATCAGTATACCAGTATATTTGTGGATAAAGAACTTTAACCCTAAGTCAAATCTATTTAGTGGAATGGCCTACTCTGCTATCATTATTTATATGATTGTTTTTGTTGGAATCAGCAGCGAACCATTTTTTTCATTAAAATCATGATTAAACGCATTACATAAATTAAATCAAACTTATGCTATCATAATTATAAAACTAATATTTTAATTATAATATAATATATTAACAAGGAAATCCCATAGATCAGCATAAATTGTATTTTTATTTTAAGGATTATATCTTGAAACTGCCATTTATTTATGAAGCCACAGGAGATTACGAGATCTGATCTCAATTTTCTGGTAATGGATAAAGTAAATTGTTTAAGGATAATTACATATTTAAAATATCTTGAAGCTTAAATTAAAATTACAGAATGATATAACATAAGAATTAGAAAAATAAAAAAAATATACTATCTCTTAAATAAAACTGTCTTTAACTAAATAGGGCTGAATTAAAAAAGAAATATGATCAAGATACTCGAATGAGAGTGTTCGATAGTGCTTTAAAAGCTATTAATGTCTAAATTGAAAATTTTACAAAGATTATGAAAATATATGGATGAAAAAAAACAAGAATTAGAAGAGTGAAAAGAAAATTTATATAAATAAAAAATATTTTGTTGGTTAGATTAATTAAATAGAATAATTAAAATGAAGAACTAGAAAAATAAGTCAGATAAAGAAAGGCACTTTTTAATTCAAATTATTCTAGGAATTACAAGATTAAGAAGCTATAAAGCTTAGAGAACTCTAATAATAGATGAAATAGAATGCCATTAAATTAATTTAGAACGAAGTAATCGAAAGAAAAGAGTTAAATGGCTTAGATGCTAAAAAGAAGAAACCCAAGAAACCAAAGAAATGACTAAAAAATTTAAATAAAATTAAATCTTAAATTAATTCATGGGACGTATGTAAGCTAAGGGAAAGGGAAAGGGTATTTCAGGATCAGCCCTCCCATATAAGAGAAAGGCACCAAAGTGGTTGACATTATCATCAAAATCCATCCTTGATCAAATTGTTAATTTAGCAAAGAAAGGTTTTAATTCAATCTTATAATTTCCTTCAGGTCTCAATGCTTCATAAATTGGTGTTTACTTAAGAGATCAATAAGGCATTCCTTAAACCAGATTCTTAACAGGCCAAAAGATTTTGAGAATCCTTAAGAAGAGAGGTATTTATTATCACTATTTGAAAGGATGTGCTCCTAAAATTCCTGAAGACTTATATGCCTTGATTAAGAAGGCTGTTTAAATCAGAAAGCATTTAGAAAAGAACCGAGGAGATGTGACAAGCAAATTCAGATTAATTTTGGTTGAAAGCAGAATTCATAGACTTAGTAGATATTACAGAAGAACCTAAAAATTACCATCCAACTGGAAATAGTACTTATAATATTTAATAATTAAGTGTTTCAAAGACTGCCTCTGCCTTAATTGGTTAGTGAGTTAGAATATAAATACAATAATGCATATATCTTAATATTTATAAACACCTTATTTTAAAATTCATTTGTTAATAAATATTTTAATTGTTGTTGATAACATATTATTTAGCTAATTATTTTTGTAATAAATGAGAAATTTTAGACTTAAACAATAATAATATTATTATGCGTAAAATTTTGAAGTAATATTAATAAATCTACTATTCAAGCACTTATTTTGATATTTATATTTAATGAATACAAGTTAATGCACTCCCAAAAATAACAATGTAATAGAAATTTTGAAAATATTATATTTAATAATTATCAATAAATATTTTGACAATAATTTCATTTGTTATGTATTTGTTCCCACCATGGAACTTTTCAGAAAGTGTTCTTTCCATTGCATATTTTTTACATAAACTTGTTATAAATGTCTCCATCTTAGGATCCAAAAATTGAACCTAAGACTTCATCAGGAGGAACTAATGCATCAATGATACCTATGGCTTCATCCTTAAATTAGTTGCTAAGTTTCATTAACAATCTCTTAACGGCTGCTTCAGAAATATTAAATTCTAAAATTTTACAATATGAATTTACCATTATTTTTATAAAATTCTTGTTCATTTTCAAAGATAGTCAAACACCAAATTTGAAATGCTCTTTCTAAGACTGAATCATTTTTAATATTAAGTTCTTGCCATTTTTGGAAACAATATAAGTCAGCATAAGAATTAGAGATTTATTACCCTTTGAATGCAAAAGATGGATTCCAAGATTTCAACATGTCATAATTGCTTAAGTTCGCTGTCAAATCCTATATGAAATTATTTAATTATTTGTCAAATTTATATTCCAATAGGTACTGAATATTTTTAGGACAGAAGTAATCCTCATCCTTTGCAAATTTGATTGGTCTGATTTTGAAAGTCTAAAGGAATTTGAGTGAAGGATATTAAATGGGTTATTGATTGTTTATAAACTTATTCTTTTAATCCATGCAGAATTTCAAAGTCTGTTGCATAAATACATTAGCGTCTCCTTCCCATATATTATTAATATCTTAATCATGCAACATAACTCCTAATTTATTAAATGGATGTTAGCCTTGACTACCCCTTAGGATGTATCTACACTCTAAGATGACCTTATTCGAAAATGTAGCAAATTTTCCCTTCAATACACTTGATAGAGCATGAATTTCAGCCATTTTGTTTGGATTGAAAACATTGTTCTAAGTGGTATCCCAGAGATTATTTATAGCCTTAGCAGCAATCATATATACTAGAGTAGATGCCAAAGGAACAATTAATCTGAGTTAGGTAAGAGGATATTCAAGAATGCTTTATTCCTTCTCTCCTGATAATCCAACCTATTTCCTTATAGCAGCATATCTTATTCCAATATCTAGTGCATTTAAAGATGTAATAGGTCCATAATAAATTAATGTGCCTCTACCCCCTAATAATGATGCTAATTGAACTGCAAATCTTTTGTCTGGGTCTTCAATAGAAGGTTTGAATTCTCCTGAAGGTGTAACTATGGCAAATCTATCTAACATATTTGCTATAGGAACTCTAACATTTTTGAAGATTAAGATTCCATTTTCTATTCCATTCAATCCATTTTTGGGACCGAAATCTTCAATTGTAATTCCACTTTTAACATTGTGATTGGTTTTATCTCTAATTTCAACTAGAAATGCATGAACTCCATATTATTTTCCATCAATATAGAGTTAAGCAAATACTACAGTCATATTAGCTAAGTTGGCTTTGGATCCAATCCAAAATTTTGTGGCTAAATCTGTGGGAGTATTGATAATAAATGTTTATGTATCTTTATCATATTTTGCAGTAGTTTAGACTTATCTTACATTTGAGCCATGTCCCAATTCAGTAAGACTGAAACTACCAATATCTGTTAGCGTTTAAGCATTTTCGAAATATTGTTTGTGGTTTTCTGTTCCTAAATTGAGAATAGTTTTGATATAGAGTGAGAAATGGACTCCAAATCTTACACAAACTGCTGGATCGAAGCCATCCATAGCAAATGATGCAAGTTCTTCAAGGTGATGAAGCATAAACGCATCTAGGTTTTTATTCACAATATCGAATAGGTTTTATATATATTTTGAATTACGTCCATAGAATATTTCAACATATTTGGCTTTGTCTATTGTACTTAGTTGTCTGTAATGCTGGAGAGATTCAATAGGATTAGTAACTTACTCATTCATTTCTTTATAGGCTTCAAACTGCTAATGCAATAATTTGACTCTTTATTCTGAGCTCATTAAATTATTATTAATTGAAGGCAAATTCCAATTAATGACTTAGTATACATGCATTTTATAAATAAATTCATATCATAATAACACTATTCTAAAATTCCTATGTTTTTAATCATTTATAATCTAGGTATAAACATGGTATATTTTATAATATCTTAATAAATTCTTATAATTTAATTATATCATATCATTTGGCTTTACTTTTGAGAGGGTTGTAGATGTTCAAAATACCATAATTGTCCTTCCATTTTTATTAGTAATAATTATTTGAAGTGCCAAACAAATAATCCCAAAGTACAAAGAATGAGCCGAAATTGCCATCATTATGGCTATGATGATATGAATGGAATTCGGAAAATGCTAAAAATGGAATATATTAGAAGATCTCCCAAGGAAACACATATCCTGAATGTGCTGACAATGTCTTATAAACTCTGATTCCTATCCAAATCAACAATGTCATCATATGCAATTTCTCATTCAGTAATCTTGGGCCAATAATGAATGGGAGTAGATTACTCAATAGATATTCTAAAGCAGTTGAATATTCTGCAGATATTGATATTGTCACAGTGTATTAGTGATGCTACTTATGATATTTATAAAGGGATGGAATGTGTAGTAAACGATGTGACCAATAAAATCCTACATCTTCAATTATAATACAGAACAAAAATTATGGTATCATTTCCCATAAATCCGGAAGTGATTCACGATCAAATCTTCATAATTCATATGTTTACCTATATTTTACTCCGGTTATACCAAAAGCCATTGCTAATAATATACCAATTATTAAATTAATGATGAAGTTCTTGAAAGTCTCATTTCTCAATTTGATCCATTCTTTTTTATCCGAATGCCAAGGCCAAGGTTTCTGAATGATAGTTTAATTGATATGATTACCTTCTCGACCTTGAATTACTCGAAGAAGGGATGGTTCAAATAGTAGATGATACCGTAGGATCCATTGACAATTATGTAGACAACAATGTGCATAGCTTGCATGCTTAAGATTTGAAACCAATATTCTAATGATTAGATATTTGAGTTACTGCTCTCAACTTGTTCTGGCCAATAATACTTGAAAAGTTCAGGTACCAAAATAAAATAGGATGCAAATGTGACTATTGCTATGATAAAATATAACATATTTATTTTAATAATTTGATTTTCTCTGAATGCAAAGAAGCTAAAATGAAGATGACAAACCTGTGATTCCACTACCTTAAGCAACAGAATAGAAGAGACAGGAGAAAATAGCATACGAAAAGCAGATGGCAAGAGTAACCTTGTTGAAATAGACCCAACAGAAGAACTTGCATCTAGTATTATGTAACTTGAAGTAGTACAGGCTAAATTGTATGAGATGGCTGCAGACAAGATTGAAAATGGACAATTTGTTAAGAAACAATTACGAAATCTGGCTGAAGAGGCACGCTAATTGAAGGAGGATGACATGAGAAGAAGGAAGCACCAAATCAAACAGATTAAGAAGCACGAGGAAGAGTTTATTTTAAAGCGAGCCGCTAAATAGAAGATTGGGTATGCGTGGTGAGTGTAATTAGCGATTCCATGAAGTAATCCTCAGTAAAGGAGTACAAGAGTGCCATCAAATTGACTCTGTCGAGAACAAGAGATTGTATACTTCAAGACAATTAAAAGATTCGAGAAACTCTCTATCAAGAAGAAAAGAAAAGGAAGGAGAAGAAGGAAGAGGCTAAAAAATTAGATGAAATGAAATCATAACAATTTTATAAGGAAAGAGTTTCCTATGAAAAAATGATCGAAGAAAAACTGAAGAAATCCAGAGAAAAACTCTTTTAAGATGAGTAGATGTTGTAAAGTCGTCTATAAGTAAAACATGCTTCATAATAACATTTAGGAAACCTAAAATTTGCTAAGTAAATCTTAAAAAAAATTCATGGAACTCCAATCCCAAAGTGTACACAGCAAAAGATGAGTAGCAATACAAATTATTATTAAATATAAATTATTATTACAAATATTATTAATTAACATCTCTTAATTTAAGAGATATTGGGCAAATCAAATACTAAACAATCTATTTTTCAAGTGAAGTTTTGATTATATACTATAATAAGAATGCATCAAAAGAAAAGAATATTATGTTGAATGGTGATTATATCAATGAGAATATTGATAAATGTTTATGTAATCATATTAAAGATTAGGTATGATTAGACAAACATTTGTTTTAAATGTTCTTAATTAAATTTTATGATAAAATAAATTAAATGTTATTATTGTTATGAATATATATTAGAATCCGTTTTATGAACATATTTAATATAATAATTAAAAATGATGAAATTCATTGCTTTAGCATTGATTGCTTCAACAGTATTGGCAGTCCAAAAGGATACTAAAACAATCTTGGCAGAAATTGATGCCGATAACTTCGGAAACTCTATTTTGTCAACAGTTCAAATGTACCTGTAAGCAAAAGGAAATGCAGAGGAAGTCTTGGTGTTATTGAACCAATTACTTGCTGGATTAGTTGATGATCAAAATAAACATGACAATGTTATCAGAGTTGACAGAGCTGCATGCACAAGAATAGTAACAGATCTTGAAAATTCAATTGCTTATCACACAGCTCAAGTAAGCGCAAACGCTTAAATGAGAGAAGATAATGAGAAGGCATTGGCTGAAGCTGAAAATGATGTCAGATAAACTATTCAAGTAAGCATCTATTATAATATCAAAAGGACATTGAAAGTAATGAGAGAACATTTGCTTAAGAAGAAGCAAATAGAAACAAGGCTCACGAAACATGGGTCAGAAAGAACGGTGAACATGATGATGCCATTGCTGCAGTCGATGAAGCCACCAAATTAGTGCAACATCTTTCATTAGGTGCCACATTCGCTGAACTTAAACCAAAATTTGAAGCTGTTCAAAAGAGATTGATTGAAAACGAAAGCCATGGAGCATTATTCCAACCAATCGTCACAGCCCTTACAGAACTCGCTTCCAAAGTTGATTAAAAGGCCATCCAAAGAATCCTCCAATTGCTTTCTTAACTCAGATAACAATTAGTAGAAGCCAGATCAGTTTTGGAAGTAACTTATATTTTAGATTATTCTCTTAGGATACTGAAAATAGATAAGCTTAAAGATGGGTCGAATTCTCTACACATTTGAGCAATGAACACAACAGATTGGTCGAAAGAAAGAACTAATTGGAATAAGCCATCCAAACATTCAAAACCAACATTGATACAGCCACTCATTTCTTTGAAGTCCATACTGTATTTCTATCTTATTATCTTTAAGTTGGAATTAGAATCAGCCTAAGAGACTCTTGATGCTGAAAACGAATGGTGCGCTTTATAAGAGTAAACTTATGCAACTCAATCCTCTGAGAGATAAAGACAATAAGAAATCGTTGATAGAATATTAGAACACTTGACCGATAAATTAACCGCTACCTCATAATACCTTGGAGGAAGATTCTGATCAGATATCATATACATAAATAATATTAATATGGAATTTCAAAATTAAATTACCAATTCCTGTTCCTAATAATATTATAAGTTATTCTCATAGCATTTTAAATAATTTTGTTGTCACTTAATGAATCCTATTGTATTCTATTAGAAGTTAGAGTGCGATCAATTTAAATAATTAGAATTTTAATAGTACATACTTTTACAAATGAAAAATACTTAATATATACTATTTTATGGATGAAGACTCAAATGTATACCAGTGAGTGATTCTGATTGCATCGAATTAATCGAATTTATAATAGAATAATAATCTGATAATTAATCTAAAAATTAAGAGCATTATAATCTAATAATAAATATCAATATCCTCATGTACGAATATCATCAACATAACCATCAAAAACATTCTTTGCTGAACTGAACATATCAGACACAGCATATTATCTGAATCTTGAAATACGTTTGCCTTTTAAAATAACTTAAATGTGATACCGGCACTTTCCATGTAATTCCCTGAAGCATCAGTTCCTATGAATGAGATGTAGAATTTAGCATCGCAATCCATGTCTGTAGTGCACTCAGTATAATAATTATTTGAATCGCTAAAAGTATCCCCATTTGAATTAGTAATAACATAATCTGAGCATTCCATGCTTGAGTCCCAACATCCATTGTCCCAAATTAGATCAGTCACATTACCATCTTCCATGTTGACCACTAAACTGTATATTGGATAAACATTAGTCGAGTTTATAACATAATCAATTATTGGTGAGATTAAAGCATGCTTATTTGCTTAAACAGCAATAGTATGATTTGTCAATCCTTTCGCCTTTAATGTTGTGTAACTATTCTTAGCGTACAATGCAGTATAACGATCCACCTTCACATCAAATGCTAATCTTTAACCAGTTTATTCAATCTTATTTATAAAATGTATGCATATTGTCATATGTTCTCCTCTTGTATATGTCTCATTAACATCACTAGAAACGCATTTCAAATTCAAACTATTATATGTTTGTATTAGTATCAACAATAGTAACATTAATTATTTTAAAATATTAAATGAATGTTAATTTTTACCAAAGTCTTGATTAAAAATAGAGTCCATATGAAGAAACCTTAAGAATTTATCAATTAGATAATTTGTTTAAATATTTATTTTCAAAAAATCACTATTAATCACAAAATGCAACTTAGAACGAATAAATTTACTTTTTCATTTGACAAAAAAATTGGAAGTGGTTCTTACAGAAATATATTTTATTGATTAAACTTAAATGAGTTCTAAGAATCAACAAGTAGAGAGATTAGAATGTATTTAGGAAATAAGATTCACTAAGCATTCTTAATTCCAGTTAATAAGAGAAACTCTATAAGTTATTACAAAGAGGATTTTGTTTCATGTTTTGATTTAAATAGGGTTACTTAAACTTCTTGATTGGTAGTTAAGATTAATATAATATCATTGCTATTAAAAGATGGGAACATAAATTAGAAGATTTCTGGAATTATTGTAAGTGGAATTCTCTTAGTAAACTCTCTTTATAATAGATCTATAATTATTAACAAGAGAAGAAAGTTGGATTTTAGATTTTGGTTTATCCATAATATATTGAGATATAGGAAAAATTATTTAGTTCAATAGAAATCCAGACTTGCATATACCTTGTAATAGAAATAAGACCTTTTTGTACTTTTAAAATGGATATTCGCGATATTAAATCATCAAAACAGATAACCAAAAAGAAATTGTGTGAAGGTTGGCCACAAAGACTCAATTTAATTGAACTATTGCAAAAGTGTAAATTTTGAAGAAAGTAGTGGTTATGCTTGGTTGAGGAAATCGTTTAAGTACTCTATGGAAGAAAGAAGTATTCTCATGATAACTGTTTTGATTGGGGTGGTCCATTACTATGATAAATTAATATTATTTATATTTTGATATTAAATTTACTCATCACAATGGAGAGAAGAGACGAGGATTGCAAATAATAAGGGCAATTTAATCAAAAAGATGATAAGTTCATCTATATCTCGTTCACGATATCCTTTAATGTTTTGTTTGGAGGTCTATTTTACTACTATTCGCTTAATACTAGCAATGATCAATGTACATTCTTGAAGCAAACCGCTTTATATTTCACATTATATTGTTCCTGCAGCATCATATTATCCATTCTAACTCTTATTGGGAATAAGACATTCAACGTCATCACAACTATTGAAGGTCTGATTAGAATGTTGTTTTTAGTTTCGTTTTTGGTAAACTTAATTAATTATTTAGATTGCTTATTTCTACAGTTTCTAATGCTATCATCTTCAATCACTCACGCTTATATATTTGACATTACATGCATTACTATTTTTTATTACTTGTATGAAATCTTCAATAAATAAAACTAAATAACTATGAATTTTAAGTTGTTTTTAGTTGATGACTTGTATTTCATGTATATTAATTAATTTTATAAAATATACATTCATATGATTATTTATAGTTTAATTTTTCTAATTAAATTTGATTCTTCCTCCTTTTTTTAAATTTTCCAACACCATCAATTTTACAATTTGCCTGTTTGAATTGTTTCTAGTATCTTTTGGAATGCCATTACAAATGCAGACAGTTAAACCTCATTACGTGCTATTAATACAAATGATCAAAATAAAAAATCAAATCTGTGATGGTACGACATATCTCAGTAATGTACAAAGAATATATTTTATTAATAATACTATGATCAATAACATCAATTATTTCAAAATCAACATAGTCAAGGCTTCTACTATTACCTCAGTATTTTTTTAGCCAATTCTTTCTTAAGTTTTAGCATATTTGAAGCATCTTAATTATTTGCCGTCCATTCTATTATTTTAAACTTTATTCCAGAATTTCCATTTATGACTGTTGTAGCAGTGTTATCCATATTAATTTAATATTAATAATAAAAACTCCTATATAAACTCTAAAATTTAAGTCTATTGTATAAATTTAATTAAATAAAAAAGAGAACAATTTTGTTACTCTTCTGGATTTATGACTATGATGTGATTACAATAAAAATGACCTGATTCAAGATTCTTATCAAATCTTATTTGTCCCTAAATTGATTTTGAATAATCAAATATGAAATGTATAATTCAATTAAAAGGTTTCAAAATTTTGGGTGTAAAGTGCACAAGTTTTATGGATTTGCAAAATAATTAGATTGGATATAATTTGTAATTAATATTTTTTGTTTTTGTTTTTCAATTAAAAATTATATTTATTTTATTTATGTACCCTAAAAAGATTAATAGAACCTTACACGTTGGGAAGCATATTCAAAAAGAAGAATCTGTCAAAACTCTCATAATTGATAAATTGGTTTAAGATTATGGAAGAAAAAATTAATTGAATGTGAATGTAACTTATTTCTCTCAAAACATTAGTTAATTATGGCATATGTAGATGACTTTTTTGTATGTTACAAGGCGAGTGAAGGAGCTGTGAGAGCACTCAAAGAAGAAATTAAGGAAGCCATCTTAAGACCAGAGAATGAAAAGCAATTAATGATACAGCGATTACATTAGCGAATGTCTAGTATAATTGAAAATTATTGAAATAGGAAAGCAAAAGGAAGAACAGTTAAAAACATTGACAAATCCAAAGGTTAGGGCATCATTGCCAGATAAGCTAGAGTAGGAAACTAATTTCTTTAGATTGCAAAATAAAACAGAAAACAATTCACAAATCAAATTGGGCAATACTCTGCCAGTTGATGTATTGGAGGAAAGAAGGAAATCAATTTACAAGGTCGACGGTTCTGTGGATGAATGGGCTGCCATAATTAAATACGATACTTAATAATTTTAGAAAGAATTAGAAGAATAGAAGAGATTGCTGTTGTTTAATCAATAAAAAATAAAAGAGGAATTGGATAGACAGGTAGCAGAAAAAGAATAACGAAAATAAAAAGAAAAGAAGGATGAATAAAATTATTATGCTACAAGTCAATAATAATTGATGGAGTTTGAAAAACAATAGGAATTACTTAAGGAAAGCAAAAAGTAATAATTATTACAAGAGAAATTCATTCGAGATTAATAAGTGTATGTTGACAAAAGAAAGAAGTAATCATTTTATATGAGATAGAAAAGAGTAGAATTTAAACACTAAATAATATGAGGAAGAGATGCTTGCCAAAGTGAAGGAAGAATTGAAAGCAGAAGATTAACAGTAGAAACGAAAGAGACTTGAATAAAAGGAGAAATTCTAATAGATTTTAAAGCAGAATGAAAATTTAAGGAAGAAAGTAAAGTGTATTTGAAATATAGGCAAAAGAAGAAATTATACAAAGCAAGGAACAAGAAAAGGTGTTACAAGAATAATCAGCTTTAAAAGAACAGCTCGAAAATGAGAGAAAAGAAAAGTTCAAGAAAGATAAAGAAGAGAAGATTAAATAATTGATGAATAATTATAGTGAGTTTGTAATGAAAAATAAAAAGGATAATAAATAATTAGAAGACTCATAAGGGGAATTCTGGGCAAAAAAGATTAGTGAACATAGTGCTTTCTTAGACTTTAAGAGCACTACAAATAAAAAAGAATAATAACTTTAAATATCCTAAGATCTTTAGTAATAAATACTAGAAAAAAAACGAAGGTATACTCTAGAAGTAACTGAAAAAAAGTAACTATTTGAGTAATAACTCCAAGAATAAAAAGCTTTGAAAAAATAGGATGAAGAAAGAAGAAATGTATTTAATTTTATAATTTTAATAGAATATTCGATAAATGTATATTCAAAATGCAGAAGAACTTAAAAAATAAATGACAAAAGGATATTTGAGTTAATCTCCTAAAAGAAAATAAAGTCCCAATGAAAGAATGGTGGGATATGAATTACTTTAAAATAAGAAATTACTTAAAAAAATAGCAAATGATAATTCTATTGGAATATCTATAACAAAATAAGAGATATCTATACCTGAATGAAAAATATCTATTTATTTTTCAATTAATACACAATTTAATATAACTAAAATTGTAAACTTCATTTTTAGACTGATTGTCTTTAAAATCATAGAATAAATTTGCAAGTTTAAAATCTGTTCAATTTATTGTACTCATAAGGATTTTAATTTAAATCATAATTGATAGAAATAATTATAACAATTAACTAATAGTTTTGTAATAGTTTAACTCATCTTTTAAATAAAATTAAAAATAATAAATAAAAAATTGTAATACAATTATGAGTACAACAATTGTAGATCTCTTTACATAAATTAAATAATTGCATCCATGTAATTTATTTGATTACTCTAGAGTAAAATTTGGCTGAATTTCATCAAAAATTTAAAGATGATGATGAATATAAAAACATCGTAAAATAAAATAACAATACTAAAAGCAATTTCGATACAACAGAAGACCGATAAACTTTGATTAATTAATTAACAAACATCATCAATGATGTTAAAATTGCTCATAAGGAATCTCTCCTTTCAGCTAAATAGTTTGAAATCTCCTCTGCTGAAAAACAAAAAGGTATTTAATTTATATATTCTATCAAATTAGCCTTAAATGAAAATGCTAATTTGAAAAAACAAATTGGTGATTTTGAGGTTTATAGAAATGTATAACATGTTTAATAAGAATACCTTAAGGAATATTATAATATAGTTATCTAGAAAGAAAATGAGAAGTCATAAGATTTCATTGAAGGGATTTAATAGGAATTTGAAGAAATTTAAACTAAATTAGATAATGCCTTAATTGCAAAGCAAAAAAATGAAAAAGAAAATTAAGTTTTGAAAGAAAAGTTTAAGGACAAAAAATCTTATGTTGAATAAAGGAACTTATATTTTGATTAAGAAATTAAAAAAATGGGTAAGATATGATAAATATGAAATACAATAGAATCATTAAGGAAGGAAAAATATACTCAGATGTTTGAATAAATAAATATTCTCAATAAATCCTTACACTCCGAATTAGATGAGAGTGGAAAATTAGAGAGTTTGAGAAAAGATGTAGCCCTTATAGATAAACATCTAAATCCTCATCTTTAAAAAGAATCTGAATATAATTAACTAATAGAAAAAACAAATCAACTGATAAATCTGTATAACTCAGAAGCAGAAAGGGTAAAGATTTTATTTATCAAAGCTATTATAATAAATTTAAGACTATTAATAGAAAATTTAATCAAATTAAAGAATTTCTGAATAATCAGGCCCTTTCATTTATACTCAGGCATTAGAAGTAACTCTATTAAAATATTATAGTATAAAAGATTGTTATAAAAGTTATAGTAAGAATAAGAGAAAAGACAATCATTATAAACTTTAAAGTCTGTTCTATAAAATTAATTAAAATGAATAATTTTATGAGTATTTAATAAGTTTAAATATATAAATATGATTCTAAATAAGTTAATAGTACTTTAAATAGAAAATAACTTTATCAAAAATGATAATATATTATTTAATAAACAGGATAGATAACAAATTAAAAATTAATAAGGGTATTTATTAATCCATAAAATATTTGCAAATCAATCAGATGTTTATTCTAACTTTCCTAAAAACTCCATAGTTGTTTGAAGAGTCTCATTCTTTCTCTCAAAACACCTCGATAGACAGATTTTTTCCCTGTCAGACAAATCCTTTTTTTTGTAATCTTTAATGCAAAATTTGCTGCAAACTTAGTAAATATTCATCAAGGACAATTTCATAGATGTTGTAATTGATTACTTTATCCTTTCATTCTTTTGTTGAATTGTAATGTTTTGGTGAATATGCGTATCGTGATCAGACATTAATTATTAAATGAATTATAATTATAAATATCTCGTACAATCACCTAAAAAGCAACTACAACCAAAAGTCACAATCAAATATAGTACAGCTATTAATTTGGATCATATTCCTAAATTCTCATACGGATCTCCAAGGAGTCTGGCAAGACAAATAACTAACCTCAGTCCCACAATTCAATTGAATAGTTCTAAAAACAAAAAAACTGTTGAATCAAAAAGCCCATCTCCATTGCTGGAGTCAAATTGGTTAAACATAAAAAAAATAAAAAAGAAAATTGAACTTTTCGAGAATCTGAATTATGGACACCCTAAAATATTTCATAAATTATCACCTGATTAAATGATTCCAACATAATTGTCGATACCAATAACGGCTCATGCTGAAAAACGGATTATAATTAAAAAGAAGTGTGAACCTGATCGTATAGCAAGGTCAAACACTTAATATTCGGCAGGTAGATAAGAAATGAAAAATAACACATCACCATCAAGAATTCTATAAAAAAGATAAAATAAAAAAGAACCTTCAGGAGAACTAAAAGGATGGCAAGGATAGTATGTGGAACATTTTGATGATTTTATATGAATATATTTTAACCTAAACTACTCCTATTAATTGTTATTAGCAATAACTGAGATGATCAATTAAGAGTTCTTTTTAGAATGCGTAGTAATTAAATTTGTGTATTTTTGAGGTAATGTAAATATTGAAAAATTTAATTAATAAAAATAAAAAAATTAATTTGTGATGACACTCTTAGGACACCTTCAGAGACTTTATGTCAATGAGATGTTAGTTACCTGTCTGATATTAATATACTATTTATACTATATATAAAAGTATTTAAGCAAAGTTTAAGCACAGAAATCATAAAGACATAGCTAGACATATGTTAACATGATTATTAACAATATTCAAGATATTGTTTAGATTTCAACTTAAATTTATTAGATATTCCTTTGGATTATATTTAAAATTCAAAATTTGTAGCCTAGTTGTTATAGCTTCTGCATTAGTGTTTGTATTTTACTATCCTTCAATTTCACTAATTATTCTAGTTTTGTAATCTTAAGCTCGAGTATTCCAATAGTTTCTCTCTATTCTTAAATTAATTAGTCTTTCTCATTTGTCATTGATTGTTAGAGATGGTCTGAATTATGATGACTTGGAGATTTTTACGTTTCTGGTATTTGAGATTCATTTTCCTTGAAGTATTTTATTTTTTCTTAAACAATTTTTAAAACACGTTCGATTGCTCTATCTTCAACCTAGATTACTGAATCAATATCCTTTTATGATAATTGAAACCCTAATTTTTTTAGCACCTTTAATAGTACAAGTTTAAATACTTTGGTATTTAGTGTGCTCCAATTGTATTATTTTGTTTAGATTGAATTGGCTTATGAATAGTTATGTAATTCAACCAATTTAGGAAAGTAATGATGTACAATTTCAGCCATTAATACACCATCTGCAAAATCTCTTCCTATATTTTTTTTTGGCCTTGAGAGTGGGATTATGTCTACCCATGTGTAGATATCGTTTACTTCTTATTCGGTTAAGGTAGGAGAATCCATTTTACTCATTATTTAATTTTATATAAAATAAAGGGAGAAACAATCAAAATTATATTATTTAGTTTAGATCACCAGACAAAATTATTTAATGAAGGGCAGTTAAAAAACTTGATGATTAATGGATTTTAAATTAATAATAACTGCTTTTTAAAAAGTCAAAATAAAAACATTATAAAATTGACATAATATTTAAACACATGCATTAAAATCAAGGGGGACGTGTATTTGGAAGACATCTTGATAATTATGCTGAAAAGGCTTTGAAGGATGCAAAGGATAGAAGAAATGGAACAATTGAAGAAATAGGAGGGAAAGAAAATGTAATCAACGATGCTGTTTTGACGAAGGATGGCTGGCTCAAAATGGATTGTCCTTAAAAGGTTTTGCAATATCAATAAGAAATTTACGAGTTCCTTCATTAACGTGAATAGGAGAGCTAGGGATTACAACTTTCGATTAATCAAAGGAAAATCAATGAAACAATGCGAAATACTACAGTACTTATCATCGCTAGAAAAAGATTAGGTTTGTAATCAAGTAGGCCAAACTATATAATTTGAAATCGGAAACTTTATTCCAAACAGTTGATCTCATCGATTAAGCAATTCAACATATAAATCCTGAGGCAGAGAAATTGGAGCTCATTGCTATAACTTGTTTGTTTATAGCATCCAAATATGAAGAAATATACCCACCTCCATTGGGAGTGTTGCTTAGAGGCACAGAATTAAGGATTCGAGAAGTTATTGACATGGAAAAGGAGATACTTTATAAATTAAATTTTAATGTTATAAGTGATAATACATTAATTTGGTTGCAATTGATAGGAGAATTATTGGGATGCAATAAAAGATATTTGGATTTGATAAAGCAGAGATCAATGTAATGTATATGTGTATTTCAAAGGTATTTAGCAGAACTTAGTTTAAGCAGTGATAGATTTCTAAGTATAAAGAAATCAACCATAGCATTGACAATTTTTCTGGCAGTGGAAATATAGTTTGGGTATCAGAAGACGCAATTCTAATGGGATCGTTTGTCTCAGCATTCTAAACCTAGTAAAGATTCTAAGCCATTAAGATTATTTGCTTATTGCTTAAAAAATTGATATTGATATGATTATTTACTTTATGATTCTATTTAAGATCCAGATTCGAATAACACATGAAGGAATTCAAAATATATTTTAATATTTAATAATGATATATCATGGTTATTATGACTATTACTATTGGCTTGGTTGTGATCTTGGTTACTGAGATGGCACTTATTATGGTTGATGGGATGGCTAATGGGATGGTTGATGGGATTGAGGTGGTTATTATGATGGTTGCTAAGGTCTGGCTACAGGAGCAGGAGGGTATTATTGAAGTGGCTATGCGAATTGTGGGACCATTCTTGATGCAATCAAAGGTTATTGAACATATTGGACTGGTTGTTGAACATATTAAACTGGTTGTGGAACATATTGAACAGATTGTTAGACATATGGTTATGGTTGTTGAACTACAGATACAGCTTATTACACGTATTGTGTAGGTTATTAGTGAACAACTTATCTTTCCACTGGATAATACTCAACTCTTTCTTAGTATCTATCGACGGGTACATACTCTATGATATATATATATATATTAAAATACCGGTATATTTCTCTTGGAAAACTTGGGGGATATATTCTGTTTGATATTCAACTGCATAGTAATCAGTCACTCTGGTTTCTCTTGGAACATAGGAGACGACTTCTTATTCTTCGTATTCGATGACGGCTTTTTAATAAGGCACATATTCGATTCTTGATTCGCCTTTGATTGATTGATGCTAAGAATAAATTCAAAATTTACTTAAGCAACTGGAGCGACAGGTGCAACGGCGTATTGCTAAACTGGAACAGAGGCGATGGGAGCAACAGGCACTTGAGCCACTGGTGCATATTAAACTGGAGCCACATAAGATTATCTAACTGGGGAAGCTGGATAATAAGTTGGTGGCTAGAAGGCATTTGGATATGCTGGGGGTAAGACAGCATTTGGATAGGTTGGAGCAACTGTTCTAGCTTATGGTTAAGGAGCTTGAGTTTTTGGTTATGGTTATTAGGATTAGGGATGATTAGACATAGTTAATTTCAATAAATTCAAAAATTAATATTAAAAGTTGTTCTTAATATTAATTTAAAAACAGAAAATTAATATGCACCAGCAATCGTAAGGATTAGAATTATTAATGAATGATAACTAATTTTATTACAAATCTATATCATATCGATATTTTGTATTAATTTTATATATTATTAATATAACTACAGAATTAAGTATTAAACTAGTAGTAAATCTAAAAGCGATATAGAAGTATAATGATAGTCAAATAATCGTAGTCACTTTATGATTTATATAACTTTTTGTGAAGTTTCTTGAAGCCATCAAATTAAGAAGAATTAACATAATGCCCGAATTCTCATTTAATTGAGTAGTTGATTATTTTTTTGTTCTTATTGTCTATAACCAATTTGTCTTGTCTCATATTTAATTTAATGGAATTACAAAGTACATTAAGATCCTACTTAAGTTCGTTTGAAACATATTCTTATGTAAGAGATATAAAATTAAGAGTGTTGTATGGTGACAAGTACGAATTTAGTTTGAAAATAGAATGCATATTAAAATAGTTCAATAATGCTTGGCTGCTTTTCTTATCGATAAAGAGGAATCCCCCATTTTAAGACTCTTGGCACTCAAAGTAAGAATCCAACCATAATTTTATGTGTAGTTCAACAAGGAATTAGCCGAGACTTTCAATGAAGATTATATACATCTGATGTAAAAAATCGTTCTCCCAAAAATGGAGTAGATTGCTCTATTTCAAAAGGAGTCACAAGATAGCGACAGAGGGAAATTGTACTTTTTAGGCCAACAGAAACCTCATTAAGGTATGTAGAGTACAAAAGTAGTTAAGGCAACCAAGAATTACAGGCATTAGGTGATCAATTCTTCAGAGTGACACTGGAATGTATTCAAATCTGGGGTAGATGGTTTCCCTTAGATAAATAACACCATAGACTCAGTTTATATCGTGTTGCTTATGAGAGATTATACAAAATTGGAGTTCACTTTCCAGAAATCCAATATTTTGATCTTCATTAAGTTCATACCAATTTGCCTTCAACATTTCCTCCTCTATCTATGATGTTGCAATTGAAAAGAGTGATGAGTGTTCATCTGCACTCCTCAACTAAAGAAATCTGCAGATACCTTGAGTCTCATTTGCCTGAAGAGTATCATTAAACCCAATATTCATCATTTGCTGAATTATTTTAAACCATAGTCAAAAAACATATACTTAACAAAAATAAATAGGCAAAAATTGCAAACATGTTTTTGGTAAAAGAATAGAAACTAAATGAAAGCAAAAAGTAAGAAAGCTCTGATGAATGGACTCAACTCTCAAGACTCTAAATAGAAAATCAGCAACTTTAATGTCTCAATAATATGCATCAATAAAAAATGTAAGAATTATAATAATAAATTATTCAAACTCAAAATTAAAGTTCACTTTTGCAGCAATAACTGAAAGATAAGGAATAGTTAATTCAAAAATTAGAAACCGAGTACAAGAAAATTGAAAAAAAGTTTGTATCTTTACTTGAAGAATATCGGAAAACACATGATTCAAAAAATCCTTATGTTCTGGCTTAATTTGAAAAAAATGTATAAAATCTTATTTACATTTATTAGTTAGCAGAATTTAAAATTGAATTTGGTCTCACTTATAGGGAAGTCGATTGCTTTAAGTTAAAAGCAGAAAATGAATACCTTATCAAACAACTAGACGAACAAGAAGATTTATATCATAAAATAAAACACGAAAAAGAAGTATTGCTAACAGAAAATAGGGTATTGACTACTAAATTATCCAACTTATCCAAAAGATCATTAAATGGTAATAAAATAGAACTAGAGCCTTCTCAAGAAATAGAATAATTGAAATTTTACAAATAAAAATCGAATCTTGTTCAATATGAACAAACTATGATCTCCTAAAAGAGATAAATAACATAATTAAAAGATTAATTACTTTAATTGAATGATAAAAAAAATAGTGTCACAAGTTAAACATGGGGTATCAGTACAAAATCGAATTCCAGAAGAAACATTAATGAATTGTAGGCTTGTAACATACAATCATTAAAATAACTCGAAATCTAGAAGACTCCTTAGAGATAATCCAAAATTATTATGCCTCCTATTATAGATTATGATGCAACCATATTTGCTATCAATCCTATCATTTTTAATACTAGATTTAGATAAGCTTGTTTTACATCAAAATCTATTATCCATTAAGATGATAAAATATAAATAAACACAAGCACCTAATTATAAATAACAACCTTATTTGTAACACTAACTATAACAAATAAGTCTTCAAATAAAATAAAAGATTTAAGTCTAAAATTATAAAGCTCGGAATAGTTGCAAGTTTAAATTTTAAACAATTTAAATCATATCATGAATCCCGAGGAAAGCCAAGTGATAAAAATTTCAATTGAAATCAAAGACATACCATTTTCAATTTTGGAAGCATCACTTACATATATGGATAAAACTATTTAATTGGGAATTCCTTGCACAATCAATAAATTTTTGACATTCAATTCTTGTTAATAATTACCAAAATCTTATTTCTATCAAAGCAAACCTTTTCTAACCGGGTTCTAGAGTTCTATACCTAATCTTCTCTCTGAATTTGAGATAGTTAGTCAATCTGAAAATGAAGTATCTGTTTTAGCATCTGCTGAATATTAGAATGAAGAATACGAGATTATGATATCTTGCAGAAAGTCAATGATGTAAATAAAAATAAATGGTAGATATAATGATAAACTTGCTAAGACAATCATATCTACTTACTAAGGCTTATTTTTGAAAAGGTGATATATATCTATATATATTATAAACAAATATCAAGATTTTCTTTATTTTCTTTATCAACTTTATATAATTTATAATGAATACTTGTCCAATCACCAAATATTAAACTATTTATTCATTGTTTTATTGTGATTCATTAAATTTCATTGCTCGTAATTATTAAGAAATTATAATATTCAAAATAAATCAATTAAAGTGGTAGAACTTACAAATTTTAAATTATTCATTTTATTTAGTTTATTAAATGTACTTCTTTTATAATCATTTTTCAATTTTAAGAAATTTCAAACATAAGTTCAAATGGAATGGATCCTATTCTTAAGGATATAATCTTTTAACTTCCTTAATAACCTATTCTAATGTTGATAATTCAGACGGTAATCTTGATGCAAGTGATAACATATTCATTCCTGCACTTGAATATTCAGGATGCCCCTAAAATACCAAAATTCTTTCGTCTTTAGAAATCATGATTTCATTCTATTAATATTATTTTAGAGTTACTTTGCAAGACTAACTAGAAGAGATTAATTGTAGAATTTCAGGGTATTTTGTAATTTCATCACCATGAGCTTAATTAATTATAGTTCTTTCTTGTAATTACATCCCTTAAAACAACTTAAATTATTTCATTGCATCAATATTATGGAACAGAGGAGTGTTCCCAAATACAAATTCATTTTACATTTCTTCAACATTCCCTCCCAATGCTACTGTAAGTATTTAAAAGCCAAAACAAATTCCTAGAATCTTGACCTTTGGATTAGTCTCATATGCCTTTTTTAATATTGCCTTAACATCCTCTATCCATTTGTACTGCTCATACACAGATACTCTATTTCCAGGCATAATGATTGCATCAGCCCTCTGAATTACATCATCACTTGGATAATGACCCTCAGCCACGTTATATTGATTCCAATTATCATACCTTCTACGGAATATTCCATTGTAAACAGACACAGTATCCAAATGGAAGCCTGAACCATCCTGAATTGAATATTATTTTGTTTTGAAATTAAAGTGGAGTACAACTCTACCATCTGTTCTTAAATAATCTTTTTTCATCAAGGCATTTTATAAGTAGATAAACTTATCTTTCTACTCTGGCATATTGAATGATAAACTTTCATGCAATTCTAATATATTGACTTACCTATAAATACTGTATCAAATTAAAATACTTAAAACTTAAGCCCTTTTGTTAATGAATATAATCTAGATCAATTTACTGTAAATTTATGATGTAATAAAAGTTCTCTTCGTCATCATCATTCCATAGTGGACAATTATTAAAATATTTTGTCCAAAGTGGAGTCTAAACATTTCTTTTGTGTCTAAGTAATTCCTTTAATATTTTATTGAAAGTCTACTTTCTCCTCTTATGAACTTAGACTCCACATATACTTTTCCTTCTCATTGTATTTATGAAAATCAATCAGATCTGAGTATTCTTTCTTGAAAAAAGAGAATTTCTACAATTCTATGTTCTTCAACTAATCCAAGATTATTTTGGGTCCAGCGATTGATGCACTCAAGAAATCCTCTTTTGTAATTTCAGTTTGAGGAAGAGAGAATGGGTGTTATGGAGTATTTTGAAATAGCAGTACTTATTGTTATTCATTGAAGTGAGTGAGGAATACTAAATAAAGAGATTTCATTAGTTATTCAATAAAATAATACTAAAGTGTGTCAATTAAGTTATAAGAAATTAAAATGTTTGTTATTAACAGATTATATAAAATTGGTATCGAGTATTGATAATGCTATAAATTAATTTAATTGAAATGCATAAGAAAATTGAAATAACATTGTGCTCGATTTCATATTTCTATAATGTCCAATAATAAAATAATTATCTTTTATATGATTTTTCTCTTCCAGAAAAGTAATCGAAAATACATATTTTTAGTAACAAATAATGCAAGGCTATATAAGCTGATTTAAATAAACTGAAAGATGCCACTAAAATAGATTAAGCTCTCGAAACTACGTATATCTCTTAATCTTATTTAAGACCAGAACAAATTAAACTATTGGAAAAGAAGAGAAGAGCCTATAATTTTATACTTCCATTTAAACAATCTAATTGCATCACAACCCATTTGACATAATTGGTGACACAATCTGATGGTCTCTCCCTAAATTTAGACTCTGATAATTTCTTTGATATTCTACTAGAATACTAAGACTTAGAAAAGCTTATTAATAGTGATAACATTGTAGAAAATTTGAAAATATTTCACCTCCTATTATTAAAGGATTTAGTGAGAGAAATATATATTATATGTGAATCATAAGAAAATTTAGTTTCTCGTTTTCCTTTTTGTTATTAGAGCTTTGACTTCAATTTCCCAAACGAGATAATTGAAAATTAACTGTACTTAGGTAATAGCAATCATGCCAACAATCTCAAGGCTCTGAATCTATTAGGAATCACTCATGTTGTTAATTGTGCCCGAGAAATACCGAATTATTTCAGTGATGTTTTATAGGAAAATAAGAAATTCCTGAAGTACTTCCAAGTTCCTGTTTTGGATTTAGAGGAAGAACCCATATCTGATCATTTTGATGAAGCTTACATTTTTATTAACGAAGCCTTGAGTAATTAACATAATAAGGTATAAAAAGAGTTCTATTTTCTTAAAGGTTCTCGTTCATTGTGCTTAAGGAAAAAGCAGATCAGCCACAATTGTCATTATGTTCTTGATGAGAAATAAATAATGGACCTTTGATTACACTTATGAATATGCCAAGAAAAGAAGAGAAACTGTATCCATAAACGATGGATTTCATTTCTAATTATTGCAGATTTGAATTATCTATAGGATTGTCTCAATATATATATTATTAAGTCTATGAGATTATATAATAATCAACCAATTAATTTGCTAATCAAATTTTAGTACAGAAAACTGACAGCGTTAAATTTCTTAATTTCATCCATTTATTTGTTCTTTTTACTATTTTCTTAGTTTTTATGAGTTAACTAAATTATACTGAAAATATACCAAAATTTTATTTTTTTATTCCATTTTTTAATGACTACTTCCAACAAACTGTTGAATCCTCTCTTGTAAGTTTAATTCAAATTTTTATTACAATCTGATTTCAATCTATTGATCTAATGGCAATTTGTATTTGCTCATATTTTCAGCTTGACTAGACTTTTTGCTTTTGATAATTCCAAGATCATCAACCACAAACGGATTAGCCTTATACTTGGCATCATGATAAATATCCTTGGGATGAATTTTCTTATTGTTTAAATAGTCAAAACATTTACTTTCAGTCTTAACTATTATTCAATATTCTTAATTACATGAATGTTTTGGAGTGTATACTTAAAAATCAAACTCTTATTACGACAATATGTCTTTAAGTAATCTCATTCCATTGATTTTGAGACAAGATAATTCACAGTTCTCACTAGAAATTGACATTTTTCTTGATTCTTCAGTACTTAAATGGACTCTAGGTGACGAAGAAAGATCATTTAGATTCATTAAGTTTTCCTAACATTATTTTATGTCAATGGGAATCTAAAAATTCATTTTGCTGAGCAAGGCATTGTTGACAGTTTCAGCATAATTTCTAGAAAAATGCTTATTCAAATATATTTTCAAGGTATCGCAGCTCAATTTCCTCAAAGGAGAGTCTTCTATTTCAAAATCATAGGTGATACTCCTCTCATGATAAAAGGATGCCTTAAATTTTTTATATTTATTATACTTTTTCTATATTTCCCATATAAAAATAACAAATACCCATTTTTTGATAAACCAAATTCTCGATTTCCAAATTGTTATTTAGCCAAGCATATTGTATGCACTTCTTTAAGAACTTGATTGCAATTTCATAGGATTCATACGTAACAGCACAATTTGATAATCCGATAAAGGCCTTCATTTTTTAAATGTCATATTGTTATTTCGAATGATTACACAGCAATCTTGTTTAATTATACAAATGAATTGACAATTCAATCAAACCGCAATTCTCTAAAACTTAAGAACAGAATAATAGCATCTCCACAACAACCTAGCTAATTTAAGTACCAATAGCCATTTCAATGAAATCCTGGACCAAATCAATAATTTATTAGGTTGATTTGAATTTAATCAGATCAATTAATTATTTTTCCTTACTCAATAAGAATCGAAGGAACTTTTGCAGTAAAGGGTTTTTGATAGCCTTGATTTTGAGCAGAAAGACTTGCTGTCGAATGGCTGGATCATATTTCATTTTTCTCTTGACCTCAACAGTTTACATGTTATCAGACGTGACAACCAACTTCTGGGAACTCTTTGAAATGCTATGGCTTAACAGTTTATATACATATTCATGTTGCTTTGAACTTTAATAGGCTAATTATTGTAAAAGTAATTTTGCATTTTGACATCGGTTTCACTTCTAGGATCAATTCTGATCCTGAGATGAGTGACTTTACTCAAATTGCCTTCTGAAACTTAAGTCTTCAATACTTCATCCTCTCTCGTTGAAAAGTTGGTTTTATATTATGTGTGCATAGTTGTGCCAGTTTGTACTCGATCCATAGGAGCAATAGATGTTCTGCATTGGGGAGTCTCGCATTGGAACTTGAATTGCACTGCACTCTTTAATCTAGTAATCGATTGAGGTGTTTGACGAGACTTAAGAGCAGAGTTGATTTACCTTTTCATTTATATTTATAATAATCATTTCAATAAGTCAAACAAATCAATTACTTTATTGATAATCTTCGTTTTGAATCTATCTTGTTAAATCAAGGTCCTTAAGGTTCTAATTTCAGTTTGGAGAGGTTTATCAATTGTGATTAATTCTTTTCCTATTTTGGAAGTTAAGAACTGATCTAAAATTTTGAATTGGGTTCTAAAATACTCACCTATGACTTCTTCATTTTATTGATTGGATTCCCTTAAATGATTTTGGAGACTAATGATAATTTAGCGCATTTGTTTTTACAAAATTGCTAACTATCTTTTTTATTGATAGTTATCATACTTAAATATCGAATTTCTATTTTCAATCATTCGAATATTATTGGGAGAATAATTATGCTGTTTCAAATTCTACCTATTCCCTCTCGTTAATTTATGTTCTAATCTTGATGTGTAAATTTCATCCATATTCTTCTTAGTAACCAACTTACTCCCATTATTATTGATTATATCCTTATTATAATGAATCAAAGATATCTCATCATCTGGGATACATTCAGTTAGATTAGATAATATATCATAAAATGATTTCTTGAAATTCACAGTCCCATTTCGTAAACTTTGAAATTTAGGAGTCCAACTGTTCAATTACTTTAAATTCTCTGATACTAAACCAGGTGCATTATCACTGATATTACTCATTTAATCATCATCAAAAGAACTATTCTCTTCACTCACACTCAATTTCTCAATTGCTTCCACTCGAGGAGAAACTTTTAAAATCCCATCCCTCTCTTCATTCAAATCACCATCTGAAAGGATGAGAGAATTTCTAATTTAAATCTATTACTATTTCTTGAGTATTTTATACAAAAAAACATTACGAATCTTAGGTAAGAAACAAAGCATCAACGTTTAGTAAGTGATTGGAACTAGTTGGAAATCAACTAAAAACTGTTGAATCATCAAACTTTTGGTTATAATCGATTTATCCAATAAGGATAACTATGTATGAGGATTTATACTACAAAAATTGAATAGGTTTTAATCATTAAATTGTCTGATCTAAGAAGTATTCCATTCACTACAAAACTGTAATGTAAGAAAGTTGTTTTTTTCTATTAGAATTTCTAAACAAGATTACCCTTTCAAATTTTAATGATTTACGTCAAATGGCTGTTGCAATAGAACTTAATAAAACTATTTTACTCTTTTATGGTCACCTTATGAACTTATTATATGCAATGGAGTATCCTTAAAAATATCATATTACGCAGGGTTTGCTCCTAAGTCTATTAAATCCTAGAGCAATTCCACTTGACATTGTTAGGCTACAATGTGCAAATTCGAGGATTGCAATCCACCTCCCAAATTCACATTCACATTGAATTTCAGTATCAGAGAAACCAAACGATAATATTTTTTTTCAATTGCTAGACTTAATGGCGTGTGTCCTTTAAGATCGATTTAATTTGCCAAGTTCAAATGATGATTTAATAGGTAATCTAAAATCCCAATTTCGTCATAAACCACTGCTAAATGCATGAGATTCTAAATGTATTGTCCATAAAGATACTTATTTGTAATCATTCATGTAATTCAATTAAGTCTCAATCTCAAGTGAATGGTAATTCAGCGACTCCTTGATTTGGGTGAGGAGTTGTTCGTTTTGAGAATCTATTGAGAGGTAAGGTTTTTTGTACTTATGCTATCATTCAGGATGTCTCCCTAAGTAACAATAACTGCATTGCTGATTGATTTATAATTCATAATGTATTATTCAAATGTTAATTCATTAGACATCGCCTCCACCAAAGTGAAAAACACCTTCAACTTCTAATCCTCTAATAAAAAATCAAATTAAGATTAGCAAAATATGCCCCAACCCAATCCCAGCACTTCCAAAGTATAGCTCAAATCCACAATTTGTTTAGTAATATTAGTAAAGTAATTTTATTATATATACAGTTTCTTCAATTACAGTTTGCATATGGAAGGATCAATTTATTTCAAGAGATTCCTTGCTATATTAAGAGTTGACAACTTAGGAGCATCTCCACATTCAATAGGACCAAAAGTTTGCAATTAATTATCTTCCAAAGATAGATGTTATAGTAATGGAGTTTTTTTTAAAATATTTGTGTCAAATTCTTTTAGCCTGTTTTCATTCAAAATTAGATGTAATAGACCATTCCACATTATCCCATCCTTCGATGATAAACAATATATTACCTTAAAACTGGTTAATCCTTATCTTGAATAATCCAAAACTAATCGTTACTATTCATAATCAGATCTGGTTTATTTGGTTACTTAGAAACTGCGTTAAGTAGCAAATTTGACTGATATCGGACTTCGTTATCTCTTATTTTTGCCTGATTGCATAGATAGGCATTATTCAAAACTTTCATTCATTATATATAATATTAAAAATAAATCACTCCTTCAACAAGCAATTTAGTATTAATTTATTAGAACCATAAGCTAACTTCATTTTCTAACCGTCCATCTATATTAAATTCATTTCATCTCATTATTTTAATGGTTAATAATAACTAATGTCCTTGAGTTTTATTTTCAAAATTTTATTATTTTCCATCCTATTAGATCTTGATAGATAGAAAGAGTGAAATTAAAAATTATCACTCATTTATAATAACTAATTATATAAAATTTATCATTCCTTAGCTATTTAGGATATTGGTTGTTTATTTTAATTCTTTGTTTCAATCTCAACCATTAATATATCTCCAATTTTGAAACCATGGTCTTTTAGATCTGAACTTTCATCTTTTCCTGACTTCACAGAATGCACTGTGCCTAAATCCTTTTTCTTTTGCACTCCATGTTAATCCAAATAGACATTGCTAACCTTAAATACAATATCTCTTCTGTAAACTCCATCCAATTAATATTTTAATTGATCAACTATGTCTCTTAATTTTGAACTCAAGCTAATAATTTCTAATAGTGTTAATTATTACAATAAATAAAGTAATATTTCTTAGGTTTAGTTTTTGTTAAAGTCATCTAATGTAATTTATCCATGTTTCCAATGTGTTCTAACTAAGAAAGGCACTTGATGCTTCAGTTAATACTAAATTTTACTTTGTCTTTATCATTTTGATTCCTGCTATCTCTAAATCTTCCATATCTGCCATGGATTCCATCAGTTTTAATTTGGTCTTTTTTATTTGATGCCATTAAAGTATATTATATAAAATATTATATTAATAATTAATCTAGAATTTTTGGTTTGCCATTTATTTATTCCTACATAAATATTTCTTCGTTTAGACATTCTCTATTTATTACTCAGGTTTTTATTTTTGAATAAACTTTTTTGATTTAAATTGTGATATTACACATCATAATTTAGTGATTATAATAATGAGTGTTTATTAAATCATAATTTATATGTGGATGATTTAAATTTTATTGTATTTCTTTAATAGTTATCAAAGGTTAGATGAATAGAATTTATAAGCATTAAAATTGATTAAAAACATTGAGAGTTTATTAATACACAAAATTTTAATAATAATAATTTTTATGCCTCCTAAAAGTAGAAGATCAGATTTAATTTCGAATCAGCTCAAGGTAAATATTAATATCAATAAGAAAAGGAAGAAGGAAATACTGAATTACTTAATAGAGATTATCATAAAGCGATCACCCTATATACGAAAGCTCTTTGTAAACTTATTATAAAAATGATATTTTAGACCTTGAAGAGAACCCCATCTGTTACAGTAATCGTGCTCAAGCCTATCTTTATAATAATGAACTAGAATTGGCCTTGTAGGATTGTAATAGAGCTTTGCAATTAAATCCAAATTATGTTAAAGCCACCACCAATAAAGCTCAAGTGCTCTATGAAATGGGTTACCTTTAGGTATGTCTCTGAACTTATTCTTAGTAAGCAATTGAATGCTTGTAAGGTATAAATAATCACAGTCCAGAAAGTCAAATATTGCTCAACTAATATTAATCACAATCTCTAAAAGTAAAACTGATATCACATCAAGACTTTATTAGATTAAGGAGAATTAGAACGTTAGAAGACACTATTAGAATGGTTAAAACAAGGAAAAGCTTAATTTCCAAAAATAAAAATTGAATGCTACTCAGAGTCTTATCGCGGTGTTAATGCTAAACAGAAAATAAATGCGAAAGAGCTGATCCTCTTCATTCCCAAATCTCACATGATAACCTTGGAAATGGCTAAGGAAACCCCTGTGGCTAAAAAAATGATATAATTCAGACTAGATTTACTTTCACCAAAACATTCATTCCTCTCCACCTTTTTACTGCAAGAGAAATCCAGACCCAATTCTTTCTGGAAACCTTATCTAGATATCTTACCATAATCCTACCCCTCATTTCCCATTTTCTTTAACAATTATGACTTAGATTGGCTTCAAGGCTCACCATCTTTAAGTACTTGTTAATTCCATATAAAATAGAGTAAATCAACGACAAGCTCTCCGATCTTAAGAAGGATTATAATGACATCTGTAATGTTGCTCCAGAATTTTCACAATATTCATTTTATGAATTTTGTTGGGCGAGAATGACCGCTAGTAGCAGAATATTTGGTATAAACATTAAGGGTGTTAAAACAGATGCATTTGTACCATTAGCAGACATGCTCAATCATAAAAGACCTAAATTAACATCTTGGTGTTATTCAGAGGAAAAGTAAGGATTTATTATAGAAACGGATGAAAAAATTGATAGAGGACAAATGATATTCGATAGTTATGGGAGGAAATGCAACTCAAGATTTTTATTAAATTATGGTTTTGTAGTCGACGACAATGATGCAAATGAAGTTAATGTTACTGTAGCTGCTGAGTTTAATGATCCTCTCATTTAACTAAAAGAAGAAGCTACAGAGGAATAATTGAAATAGCCTAAGACATTTCGTTTGATAATGGACACTGATGGTATTAACTAAAATTACACTTTTTCTAGAAACAACAGTTATGGAATTCATGAGTTATATCAGATTTTTAGTGATTAAAGATCAAACTCAACTTTAATTGCTATTAAATGGAATAGTTTCCAAATATATCAAACCTACTAAAATATAGCCTTTGGGAATACATAATGAATTAGATATGTGGGATTTAATAAGGCGAATCTGTTATGTGGCTCTATCACGTTACCCAACTACATTAGAAGTGAGTCTTTTTATAAATTACTTAGCAAGATAAAGAAATACTGTAAATTTGTGATTTGACTACAAATTAAAGAAATTGCTTGATTCTCAGGATGGGAGAAAAAGAAATACTGAAATTCTACTACCAGTTCAGTGAAAAAATGAAATAGCTTTTAAGTAATTTTAATTAATAAGTATTTTATTAATCAAAATAAATTAGGAAATCAATATATTCTGCTCGAAAGAAGAAAACTGCAAATACTTAAACTATGTAAATAAAGTTATTATGTTTCAAAATTAAAATGATCAATGAAGTTATTAATGCTAAATAAATTATTGTAAAACTTAAACATTAAATTCAAAAGTTAATTTTTGTTTCTAAAATAGTTTCTAATCTACTCTTTTGTTAAGATATATACACAGTGATATTTTTTATCGTTTCCTCATCTTTTATTTTTTAGACATCTTAATTCAAAGAAGTCAACTATTTAACCAAAGTTTGACAAATTTACCTAAAATAGAATATATCAATTACATATCTCTTTCCCAATTCAGAATTTAAAGCATCTAGCAGCTTTTTAATCTGTATTAAACGATATCATTATGATAAGGCAGCAGATCAAGAATTTGTTTGTTTTCTAATTCTGCCATTCTTTGATCGTAAATTATAAGCAACTCTGTGTATCTTGCTAGACCTTCCCAGATATAGTACTTTTATCCGATTTCTTTAGCCAAATGTTCATACAATTTTAGTATTCTTTTTTTATTAATATTTGATTAAGCAATGTTCTCCGAATTAAGCTAATCAGTTTAATAAGCAAATGTTTATGTGATTTTTGATATTATTTATTCATCAATCAATTCTCGATGATCCAATTATACAAGTTTTTCAATGCAAGAATAAAATCTTACAAATTTTTTATTTCTTAAAGATATAGCCATTAAATTACTCCAGAGTCTCCAATCTGTACTAGCATATTTCACTCCTTATTCTAAAGCAGATTGAGCTTCACTAAACTTTTTCAAGGCAACCAAACAAGATGAAATATTTCCCCAAATTTCTCCATCATTCTCATTAATTCTGACTGCTTCACCTAATGATTTTATTGCCTCTTCCAATTTATTCAATCTCATATAAGCACATCCCATTATATACCATGATTTTTAGTGATATGAATTAATCTTAACAGCTTTTCTATAAGATTTAATAGATTTTTCATAGTTTTTTTCTTTAAAAAAGTAATATTCCCCTAAGGATCTTTAAGCCCTAGCAAATCGCCTTTTGGAATCCTTCCAGGCTTCTTTTAAAATCTTAGGATCCTATTTAATTTCTCCTGTGATGCATTTCATTTTCACTGTCCCAAACCCTTTTGCTGTTATTTACTCTATTTCTTTGAGTGCTCTCTACGTATCACCAGTGCCTACAATACATTCAATACATTCCTCCCACATTTCTAATCTAGCAAATATCTCATAACCACTTGACATCATACCAACCTTCATCCATTATTCAGCTAAAATTCCACTTAAATTATAGTAATCAGGATAGTTTGAGTAAAATAAATTCAATGCTCTTAAATCAGAATCTGGTTGAATTTCATTAAATTAATCAACGAGTGTCTACATTTAAATCAAGGCTCTTTCCATCCTCTTTAGATGATTAAACTCATTTAAAGATCTTAATAGCAAACCCTATGAATAGACAATCCAACTATTAGATTTATCAAGCATTAAATTTAAGTAAGCTTAAACTTATTATTAAAGTATTTCATCATTTGGCAAAGTCTTTTTATAATGATGTATTAATCCCAACAAAACAATTTGTTCTTCCAATGACAATGAATCCTATTTGATTTCTCCATCAACAACAGGTTTATCAAATAAGATTGATTCCTCCTCTAAATTTACTTCTTATGGAGCATACTATTATAAAACCTCTTGTACTTTTGGCAATTCCCTAACTATGTTAAAGTATAAATTTAAAATTACTTTCTTTTTCTACACTTTCCTAATCTATTATTTAAGCTACTAATTAAGGCAGTTTATCCTCTTGAAATTTAGTTTTCTTTCCTAATTTTCCTGTTAATTCAAATCTAACCTTTAGCAATTACTATAATCTTAATATGCTATTACTTATGCTTTTAACAAACAGAGCTCTGCTTCTTGGTATTTGTAATAATAATTGTAAATATAAGAGAGTTCTGTATATAATTTGGCTTGCTCTTTGCAATCTACAGGATAATTATCAAGGAACTCTTAAAACGAAGTCAAAATTTGATCCTTTAGTTCTTAAACAGGGTTATCTAGGAACTAATTATGCATAAAATTAAGTCTAGCCCACCATAATTGATAAACTGGGTTAGTATTATGCAACAATTCAAGAATTTCTTTGCAAACTAAAAAGAGATGTTTAAGCTAAATCACTCTCTTAAAAGGTTCACCGCAACATTGTAATTTATTAAGAATAACTATTTTATAGGCCTATATTTTTTACATTCTTAATTAGATTAGGAGTGATAGATTTCATATTCTGAAACTCTGCTAATCTAATTAATAAGGGGCAATAATTCGATTAAACCAATTTCATTCAATTATTCTTTACTAATTTAATTTGTTTAACATTTTGGAATGACTTGTTTAGTTAATAAATTTTCTATAAATAGCTTTTTATCTGCATTTTAATAGTGATAAGAGGGTCCTGTAAAGTTCTCTTTTATAAACAGACCATAGAGGATATAGAATATGTTAAAAACAAGTTGTTTATGTTATGATTGAAGCATCTTTAGACAGCACTATTTTATGATGTCTATAGCCTGATCGTTTATATTGTCTGCAAAAAATAGTATTACTTTGAGTCCTGTACTTACATTTTCTTAGTTGAACAATTACTATAAATTATATTCACACTTAATTTCCATTATAAAATTAATTAATGTCTAATTTTACAAATGCCAAACCGCAAAGGAAATATAGGGAAAGAGCATAACCTGTAATTGAAAATCTTATGAATTAATTAGAAATCTAGAGAATTCCTTGGTATTTTGGAAAAGCATGGTGATTACAAAAAGAGAGCTATCAATTATTAAAGAAAGAAGGAACAATTACAAAAATTGCAATTGAAAGCTGCTTTACGAAATAAAGACGAATTTAATTTTAGAATGCTCAAGAGTAAAGTTAAGGATGGTGTGGTGTATGAAGATCAGAATGAAAGTAGCGGAGATGAATAAGAAATCCTTAAATAAATTAAAACTCAAAATTAAAATTTACTTAAAGCATCTATTTAACAAAAAGAAAAAGTAAATAAATTTTATAAATAAATACTAGTTAACTGAAAAACTCAAAGAAGATCTGGCTATGGTATAATTTGAGTAACCTACTCACAAATTCTTTTTGAAAGAAGCAAGGAAAAAGAGTTTCGATTAAGTTGAAGATAAATTGTAAGGAGAAGCATAATAATCTGCTCCAAATTCTGAATTAGCTCAAAAGATAAATAAGCTAACAGAGGCATTGTATGAGAAAGAGAGAATGAAACGCTTTTACGTGGCAATAACAAAATCAAAAACTAAAGTATATCTTTATCATTCATATTCATTAGGATAACGTAACAGCCAAACCTCACTAAAGAAAAAGAATCAAGAAAGGCAAAGGAAAAGGATTATTTGAGAGAAGTAGATGATAAATTATATAATAATCTTGGTTGTAAACTAATCAAATTCTTCTAAATACAATTTCTTTTTCATCATATTTTCATCCTCAAAGACTTTATGAGATTCTTTTATTAAAGGTTTATGTTTCACCCAATTATAAAGATCAAAAATCATCTTTACCAAAGGAAGCCAATTTCTCATCTAATCCTTTATTGTTATGATACTAATTAATTTTGACTTCAAAAATTAATGTTATGATGTTCTTAATTGCTAATATTGAAACTTCAATTAATTCAGTTTTGTTAGTTGTTCTAAACAAGTCCATTTTCACAATATTCATTTAAATAAGTTTCATCATCCACTTCAAAAAGCATCAGGGATCCTTTATAAAATTTGATTTATAAGATTGAAGGGTCTGATATCATTTTAATTAAAAATTTATTCACAAAGAAGAGAATCCTTTCATATTAAGATCTTAATTTTTGAAGTATTTTAGTATCATCTATAGAATTAAAATATATCACTTTTTTCTGAACATTCAAGTTTTTTCCGTTAGTACTACGTTGAAGGATAAACCAAATAAATTTTATAATTTCACCTAATTTAAGTTATGAGACAATCAATTTATTTTGTTTTGAAATTATCGATACTTCAATCCAAAATTTTAAGCTTGAATTATTTAGAACTTGAAAATTAGTGATTTAATTGCATATTTTTAATAAAAATATCATCATATATGCTGCCTATTTCTCTTTCACTTCGGAATCAAAAAATGATACAATTGTAAAATGATTTTTACTCTCAATAATTTTCTTTATTAGATATTATTTCAATTCAGTAGATCCTAAAATATGACTTAAAATTTTATTATAAAATTCCAATTTTTCCATATGTAGCTCAGACTATTATATCACTATTATTTATCACAGCAACAGATTGACCATATTTTTCAAATCTTTTTTCTTCTTCTTAATTTAAGTTTGGAATTCTTTTTAAATAATTCTATTCTAATAGATAAAATTGTTACTCTTGGGTTATCAAATACTTCTGATTTTATATTTATTAGAAAATTCGGCATTTTTTTTCAATTATTTTTTATAATATCATTATCATGCCATTTATTAACTAACAATATTTGTCCAAATTCAGCTATTTAAATTGAAAAATAAAATAACTGAAATGTATTATTTATAAGGGTTATCTCCTCTAAATTCTTCAAATCATTAGATATTATATTTACTTTTATTCATTTGCAATAAGAACTTGTATCTCAACTATTTTACTACTTATTTATTTTTTCTTTTTTATGTTTTAATCTTATAAAAATAAATTGATTATTTACTTTTTCATTATTCTCAAATATTTTTATGATCATTTATATTTTGTATGTATATGAAGCATAATTTTAGGATTTGCATTAAATTAGTAAATTGTTTATTTGCTTAATTATCTAAAATACTAAGAATGCTGGGTATTAAAAATTCTTAAAAAAGACTAATATTAATGAAATCTGGTTCATATTGCTACTGAAACGTTAAGGAATTTCTTTGACACTGGTGTGTTAATTTTGTTAATCTCTTCCAAGTTTATTGTTTAATATTTTTTCATAAATTCAATTAATAATTTATATTTCGACCTTCACATTGAATTGAGTTTACCTTGGCGAAACTAATGAAAATTTAATTGTCTTTTGCTTTCTTTCATCTTTCTACGAGATATTATACAATTCAAAATCAATAATTAATACAAATGGATATTACATTAAATTTTCTGGATCCCCAAGAGGAGAAAAATTATGGTCTATATAGTCATTAGATCGAACTAAATTTATTTAAAAGGCTACTCTATAGTATGATGATAGGATCATTTTCTGGGTCTATATACTTTCTTATAACATAGAACTATCTCTATATAGTTCTGGGGACCTATATGTTTATTCAAACGATATTAGCAATTTTCCTCTCACAAAAATCAATCTAATTTCTGAATATTGTAGCCTTTGCTTATCAAATGGAGATCTAAACACTACTTGCTGTGTTAATTACATAATTAGATGAAACTTTATAAAGAAGCACAGTAATGATAATCACGTCAGCAGCTTTTTAATTATCCATTTGGTATATCTTGTATTTTAATCGTTTAGCCTCTCCATTGGTACAAAATTTTACTTGAAGCTGTTTGTAAGTCTTTACGCTGTCTCAATTCAAATACTACTAAGTTCAATGATTGAATCCTTGAGCTTAGTTTGGATAGGTTTTGCTCTTTTTTCCCTTATTTTCGCTTTCTAGTTCATATATTATCAAGAATATGAGAAGAGGTAAAAATATACTTTGCATTAAAATGCTCAAAGGATAAAGGAAAACTTAATAAATTTAATTGAGATACCAATTCTAACATGTTATAATAATGAAACTGATTTAAAATTGGTCTTCACTGAAGCTAACAAATGTGCTTAAAGTCTTTTGTAAGTAAAAGATTAAAATAGCTTTCTAAAATTTGCAAGAGAAGTTAGCATATTACAAACGAAAACCATTTCCTCATTTACGAAATAATAAACTGTAAATCAAGTTATTACTACATAATCGTTAGAAGGCTTGGTTCGAAAATTCTTCCGAAAATAAATTGACTAAGATCACGACCTGAAGAGGACTTTTTCAGCATATAGATGTAGAGTTAAGCACAATTCTTAGGAGTACTTATGTTAATTAATTTTATTAAATGAAAAATACCCCTAATGTTTTATATACCTTTAGAAAAGCTTTGATGATTATATAGAGAAAACCAATTAGAAATTAAATATTTTAAATTTACTTCTTAAACGAAGTGCTAAGGAAATATTCACTAAAATTGGCAATAAGTAAAAATGCTTTTAATCCTTGTACTCGAACTAAAAAACTTGCAAGCCTCTTAAATCAGTTTAAAGATTAGACCAAGAAATATTTTAAGTAAACATTTACTTTGCTAATTCTAAAATACTATTTAATTCTCATAATACTAATTTTTCAACTAAGAAATCTTCAAACTTAATTCATTTAATCGATTCCATTTTATTTCATTTCAATTATACTTTGACCTAAAAATCCATAACAGTCTCTTTTAACAAGAATGACTAAGATCCAACAATTTATTGTAATGATATGTTGCTTAAACAATTATTTTATAATTCTATTGAAAATGCCATCCTATTTGCAAAGGATAGAGTTACTATAGAAATAAATACTCATTATGATTATGATATTCAAAAGTAAATAATTACAATTGTAATAATAAATATAATTGATCCTAAAAGTTTGGAACAAAATAACAAAGAAAAATAGTTAAAATTAGGACATTTAGTGTGCAACAAAATATTAAGATGGATTGGTCCATACAAAACCTTAAGCATAAATTAGGAGACTTGTTCTTATTAAGTTAAATTCTGCTTATTTGATAAATTATGATTGTTTAATAATTTTAGTATTTATTTTTAATTCTTAATTTTACAAAGTTGAAGCATTCATGATATTCATTTTCTTAGACAATTTCATTCCATTCTTCATTTCTACCCTAACAAAGATAGAAGAAAATCCAAAAAATACAGATTATTATATTTTTGATATATTATGATAGAGAAAAAATGAATATATTTATTAAAATTGCTTTCATTCTTTCATCCTTAGATTTTTTAGCATTATTGTTTTTCATCTTATTTTAATTAATAGCATAGCACATATGCTGATTCCGATACAACAGAAGATTCCATTATTTGATTTATCATAGAATCATTAAAATTATACCAGTTATTAGTAAACTTATTTTAGTCCATATTATTACTTTATTTTTTGCAAAGGTTGTGTAATGTCCAACTCCTTATCCACCAAAATGATTAGATATAGCATATAAATCATAGATAACTTTTGTTTTATTTATTTCTCCATTATTAGTTTCATTTTCCTTCAAAAATTCGTTAGGAGTATTAGTATTAATAACGTAATCTGTCATATCAAGATTATTTATTGGAAATTTTACAAGGTCCTCAATTTTTTATTGAAACAGTTTATTTTGAGCCTTAAACCTGTTTAATTTGAAAATTAATAATTAAGGAGTCTATTTAAAATCAAAGTTAAACCTTATAAATTTAAACGCTTTAAAATGCGTTGACATGAACTTTACATATTTGGCAGTACCAAGTGTTTTCTTTTTTAAGCTATTAGGGCTTCTATGAATATTTCAAGCAATCATAGAGAGTAATTTAAGAGGATTTTTAGATAATTGAATTATTGGCGACGTTATTTTATTGAGTACTCTAAGCTTAAACTTTAAATATAAATTCCTACCTTCTAGTTTATATAATCTGTCATAATAGTTGAACATATCTGATAATTTAATATTTTGTAATGGACTTTATTTCCAAAGAATTATTATTTTAAAAAAGAACTATTGATCAATTTTAAAGGCTCTATTCTTCACTTCTTCTATGGTTTCATCATTGAAATTGACTTCACAATCATCACAATTTTAAGCTTTACAAAATCTGCATAGATTCTAGGAATTTTTATTTGTTCTATAAACTAAAGTGTAATACTAAATGATAAGATGTTCGAAATACTTAATTTAAAAAGTAGACTCCATAACCTCCAATATTATGGTGAGAAAAAAACTATTGATAGTGACTAAATATTAATAAGTGAACTTATTTTAATTTCATTTACCTATCACAAATGAATACACCGTTTTAGTCAAACGACTTTCTTGTTGAATTTTCTAAATATTAATTCTCAAATTAAATAGGGATTTGGTTCTTGATCTTAATTTCATGTTCAGTTAATTTTCGAAAGCAAAGTTATGACTTTTTTGATCTCTTTCTTATATCGACAATAGATTTATTTTCATAAAAAAATTCATAAGAATTATCAGTATTAACAAGATATGCAAATAACTAAGAATCTACATTTAATATACTCCCAAGATATTTCAAATATTCTTTTAAAGGAATATTTATATTTTTATCAAAAGGGATTGTCATTTATGTACTTCTAAATAGATGTTCATAAAATTTAAATGAAATAGTTCTCTTTTTTTCAGTTGGAATGTCTACTTCTACTATTAAATAAGGTTCAAAAGTAACTGAAACATGGTTGCAAGTTGGGCACTTGAATATAAATTTTTATAGTCCATTTATGAGATCCACAATGATCGATTAGTTTCTAGCCAGATGATTCAACCAACTCTCTTTAGCAAGAACAAAATCAGGTCGACCATCATAACCCTTATATTCAATTTATGGTTTCTTTTTCACCCTGTTTAAATCTTCATGAATTCCATCTAAAATAGCAGTTATTAATTCAGATGAATCGTGTGTATGATAACCTGAAAACACTGGATAAAATTATTCAACTGCCTTTTTATAGTCTGTAGGGGTTATTATCTTTCTATCTCCACACCACATTCTTTTAATGAGTGATCCTAACTTTTTAACTAATTATCCATGTGTACCTATAGGATTCTCCATATTTATCTCATCTAAATATAAATTCTTCAAGAAATATTCAACCAAAGGATATGAGTTGGAAATGCATTAGGTTCCACTATTCAGAAAACTTGTATTTCCTAAATTTTATAAACCCACAATCCCCTTAATAGATGTTTATACAAGAGTAAGGTTTTTAATTTATTCATCATCTAAACCAAACTTTTCACAAATAGAAAAATGAGAATACTAATCTTTTTATTTGCATTCTTCTTGACAATAAGCAACTTTTTTGCAAACACATGGAAACGATAGAACTTTGTAAGCATGACAATATTGACATTCTCCTTCTATCTACACTGCTTAATTTCTAATACACCATGGTTTAGAATCAACTTTAAACTAAATGTATAAATTGCATATTACTTCAATTACAATGAGTTCGGTGTCAGTAATACCGATATCTTTTATAGAGTCATACTTTTGATGTGTAAGCAGCTCTCCATTGAAATCAAAACACATTTTATCTTAAAATTCTAATTCACATACTTATTTGTAAATTTCATCAAACAAAGCTTTATATTGATCGTTCTAGTCTGTGATATATCTCCAAATTCTAACACTGTTATCTTTAGCAAAATTTTCTGTAAAAGTAAGCGCTGCTCTTTATATCAAAGTTTAATAGTCTTTGAATTTCATGTTTCCATCTACTTACATCACCTCACTCTGGAATGTTTGTCCCTCCATGTAGCCAGAATATATTTATTCGATTATTCTTGGATAAAGCAAGACGCATTTAAACTAAAGATGAATATATATTATAAATACTCTTAAAAAATTTACATTCACCAATTTGCTAGTTATTGGAATTCCTGCATAGTAAGTTGTAAAAAATTCCCACATATTCTTATCGATAACTACATAATTAACATTTTCCTGTAAGCCTTATTTTATAATTATGTTCCAAGGATGGCTACTTATAGGCTAATACTTAAATGTTGGAAGCACATTATCTTATAAATCAGTATTAATTTTATCAAGTTTAATTCTTCCGAAATACTCACTTGGTGGTTTGTCAGCCACAATCTCCTCATAGGAAACATATTTTTTCCATTAATTAAGCCATCTTAAATCAACTATTTAAATTACTTTATGCTTAAAATATAAAACTGATCGTTATCATCTGATGGGAAGCTCTAAGAAAGCGCTGCTTATAGAATTTGGTATTTCAAAGCCTTATTCTTTAATTTTGCAGCCTCAATATCAGTCAGCTGAATGTTACTCTGTTTTTCTTATTGCATAATATTTTATTAAAAAGAATTATAATTGTATATGAAAACTATTAAAAATCCAATAGTTTAAAATCTTTAATGGGTATTTACATATTTATATGATTTTTAATAGAATACCTCTACTATTTTGAGACTATTCAGAATTATCTTTTTCTTTCTTAAAAGTTTGTATTATCTCTATATAAAGAAATAAATAGATTCCCACTGAAAATTTATCAGTAAATCAACAATAACTTAAATAGCATAAATCATTGCTATAAACTTCAATAATTATTAATAGAATAATTTACAAAGACTATTTCTAAAAAATTATTATAAACTTAAATTGGAATTTTAACAAAAGCTACTAGAGATAAAAAAAGAGATTAATTTCTAATCTTACATTAATAAGTACTTTATTGTTATTATATTCTATAATTAAATTGCTCATCTCTTAGGTAAAACTAATCCCTTAATTTAGATTATAAAAAACCTTTCTTTTCATCATACAATAATAGGTCTTTTTATATTTAAAAAACAAATTTATGCTCTAATTAATAATGCATAAATCTTCAATAAAAAATGTTGTCTTGATATTTTTATTTTTTACTCGAAATCCATTTCTTCAATTAGTATTGATTGCTAATAGAAAATAAAGACACTTTATTCTTTTTGCATGTAAATAATTGGCTCTTAAAAACTTGTTCTCTATTTCTTTTTAACAGAAGAATATATTTTCATATATTTCAATTTGATAGTCTGATGATATTAAATTCAGAATCATCCATAAAAACCATAGCTTCCATATTTTGATCAATCATTAGTTGTTAATAATATACTTATTTAAAATAATATATTTTTTATTCATAAACATAGCAATACTATCCCATAAATTAAATATTAATGTATGATTAAATCACTTTTTGATTTGTTTTACTATTTTCACTTCCTCTACTAAAAATGCTCTAATGATGCGATTTTTTAGGGCTCCAGCACTCAATACTCCTCCATATGGTCTTGATACTGTTCTTTGTCTTCTGGAAAGTTACTTAAGTTTTGTAGGTCTAATGCGTTTAAGTCCATTTAAGACAACATTCAAATTAGAATCAGCGCATGTTGAAGCACTTGTCTTTTTATTTGGGTATTAAACAACAACGTTGCCACCTAACATGGAGTATTTTAATACCTGGTGTCTTGACCTTTCTAATCTTATTAGATCTTGTGTTATAGCTGGTTCTTCTACGATAAGTAACTCTCACACCCATTTGTTAAAATCTTAATTAAAAATTTTTTTAATATTTTATCAAAACAAAAAAAAGATGAACAAGAGGAGATTCTAAAGAGCAACATTGTAAAACTAAAGAGAACAATTGGCTAATTAATTTTGATATCTTCTTGAAAAATAAATTACCTTAAATATAAAATACATGACATATTTGCAAATTGAAATCAATAAATAGATTAACATAAAATCAATTAATAATTGAATGCAAGCTAAATGCAGTAATAGCAGAACTATTAAAAAAAGTAGAATATAATTTTAATGATTCCTATAAGAATTTTATTATATGATTCAATTATTTCAATAAGCATTTTATCTAAAATTGTTTTCGAAATAAGGGCACTTTTCTGTTTACATTCCATCTCGATAAGTATCTGATTTCTAATACAAACTAGTCCTCGAGGAACTATTAGTTTATTTCTACACACCAAGAGGCAATTAAAAGAATTGTTACTTTTCTTTAGTAATTAAATTAAGTATGTTTGCATTTTATAATTCTTACACAGATTTGGTAAGATGAGTTCCCAAATTTGGAGCTTTTATATTTTGTTTTATTTAAAAGTTGTCACTATAGTCTCTTACCATTCTTAATTCTTTATTATCAAAACTTAAATTTAATTGACTCTTATCCTTTAGTTTAATGATATCAATTTTTTGCAATATCTCATGTAATCCTTCTCCAAAATAGGTTAACAAGGGCGAGATTTCAACTTCAAGATCAAAATGATATCCCAATTATGTTATCCATTTTAAATCCCTTTGCAAATAAGCTAGCCTTGCTGTCTAAGCTGTGTCTTTATTGTCATTTGAATTGTTTATAATGGCTGCATATTCATCCTCTCTTTTAACTCTAAATAAACCAAACTTCTAGATAGAACAATAGGGTAAAGCGTCATAGTAAGTAATTTCGAATTTCAGAGCATTTGAGCTAGCTAATTAAGGTTATACGAGTTAATTTAATTTGTAATCGAAATATGTACATTTTTTTTAGCGAATCGGAAAGCTTTTTGATAATAAAATTATACTTTGTTTGCAATTAAAATCTATAATTTTGACTTAAGTTCAATGCGTAATCAAGTGAACATAATGCTTGTCCTATTACCCCATTTAATCTATCCATTTATCTTATTGACATATCATTATTTTCTAAATCAATAGAATTATTATTACCAACCAAATGAAGGTGAGATTAATCATTTTTTACAATAGTAGGTAGTTTTTCATCAGTATTTCTTTTTTAAGTACATTTGAAACTTAAATCTAATTTAAATCTTGTAAATGCCCCAAGCCAATAGGGATCCCCAAATTTACATAACACATTTTCGATTGAACACAATTATATTATAGTTATGCCAAGTAATTTCATTGTTTCCAATATATGTTTGCTTAAATAGATTTACCCATTTCCTATATGTTCTTCATAAATTTAGTGTTCATTTCTAAAAAGAATTTGTCCATCCATACTTAGTAATGGTAAGCAATCTTATTAAAAGAAAAAAATCTAGTGTTCTTTTAACCCATAAAAATTTGAATTTTATAAGTTTGATGTAATGATTTCATGATTAAAGCTAGTTGTCATAATGAATATTAGAATTGGTTAGCATTCCCCATGGATTTATTTAGTTAGATTTTATAGGCTTTGAATTCTTTCAAAATACAATTGAAATAAACATTTTTTTGATGGTAACTAAATATCTAAAAACCCAGTATTTTGTTAAGAACTAATCACGATTGCCACTAAATAGTGAGTATTATCCTAATACGTTTGCCCTCTGCAATAATTTGATATCCAATAGTATCATCTTCTAATTCGAAATCTAAGCAGTTTACTAATTGGAATGGAATTGATCCCCTTGTATTAGACTTAAATCTTTGAAATGCCTAAAAATGGTATAAATAATACTTGATTCAACACTTTATTATCATAACTGAGTAGCTTTTCCAAAATTTATTGTTTTTGATTTTCTTTCAGCGTATTTATATACTTCAATATTGAAGCTTTCTCGTTGATTTCGAGATCAATACCATCATTCGATAGCCTTTTCATTTATTAATTTAAATATAATATGAAATTATAATTATCAGCAAACATTATCTAAATATTTTATTCACTTAAATATAAAACTGCTTTCAATAATTCCTCAATAATTTAATATCGCTTTTTGTAATTTTAAGTCTGTCCCCAAATCTCATTATGCTATGCCCTACTTGCTATCCATATAACATTTTCATTAGGTATAATAAGAATATATACCCATTTTAAATAAACTCAATAGTTGTTTATCCAATTTTAGATATGGGATTAGAATTTGACAATCAATTAATCTTACTTCTTTATTTATACCTGCTATGGTGAAAGATACATGGAATCAAAATAAACTTCTCCACAATAGTTGATCAATTTATAAAAAGGGAATGAATTTATGTTACGTTAGTTTAATTCTTAATTAATAAGGAAAAATGGGAAATATCTTAATTATTTTTGATATTTTAACTTTTGTATAAAAGCAATAGTAATTATTTAATAGTTGAAATAAGTGTTTAATATCATTTTTTGTAAATTTTCATCTACATTTTTTCTTTCCAATTTTAATTTAGTATATTTCTCTATATCTTTTCAACACAGGATTTAAATACATTTGATAGGTTAACTCGTCTTTAAGAGTATTGAATAGCTAAAGCAATAATAAAATTTTAGTTTTGGTTGTTGAATAATTGTATATAATTTATTTATTTAATATTATTTTAAATCTAAATGATAAGGTTGAAGAATATTATTGGATCAGCTATTCATATTTAAACTTCGTTTTTTAGATTTTCTAATCAAACTCCTCAACCACCTTCTGATTAACCATTTAAAAAGGTGTTATTTTCAGGAAAGAGTGCCGATAAGCAAAAGAAATAAAATTAAAAATCAGAATAGAGACAGCAAAATTAACAAAAAAAAGATCTTAATGAAAGTTAATAGAGTGAATAAAGTGCTCCATAGAAGAAATATGAGAGGCATTTTGATAGATAATAATTCCATAAATAAAAATTTGATGATCCTAGACCTAATAGGAATGAAAGAGATCGTAGATCACCTGAATAATAATAATAATAATAATAACAATAAGAGACCCCAAAAAAAACAGGAATTTTATTTGGGAATAAAACTCGTGAACATAAGTAGCAATTAGGAAGGTTTGTGTCCAAAAGAAACTTCAATTAAATTCTGAAAAAAAAACAAGAGACAGAAAAACAAAGTGAAAAGATATTTATAGACCAACTCAATGAAGCTTAGAATATTAAAAATGTCCATGAGAGAAATACTATATTAATAGATATCTATGCAAGTCAAAGCAAATGGGATAAAGTTAAAGAGATTTTTAAATCAGAAAAACAATTTAATTCTGGTGTCTATTCAGCTTACATAAACTAAATAGCTTCTCATTCTGTAGACCTTTCAGATTATGAACTCCTCAAAAATATTCTAAATTAAGTTGGTGATAAAGTGCATACTCTTAAACCAGAAGCTTTCCAATCACTTTACTTCATGATTTTCAACCTTGATTTGTTTCCCAATGAAAAAGTATTTAATATTATTCATAATTATAATAGGCTATAGAATTAGAGTACCTAATAGACATCGTTACAACTCATCACTTAGCCCCATAATTTGATTTAACTTATTTCCAAACTCTTTTTGACGAATAATCCTTAGAGAGTGAAAAAACAAGTCACTTACTGGTCATCAAGGTGTTCAATCGATATTTTGAAAGACATGCCTAATAGAATAAGGGTAAATCTATAGTGGATTTACCAAATTTACATGTAGCTTTTGCATTAGCAGTTAAATCCACTATTTTCTATAATACCAATGATGCTTAGAATTTCCTCACTCATTTGAAAGCCCTTTAATAACTAGCTGAAAATAATGTTAAATTAGATGACTTAGTCAGATATGCATAATAGTAACTATAATATCTAATTTTAGTATTTCCATATAAGAGAATTCTTTTGTATAATTATTGGAGTTGTTCAAAGGAATAAGGAATCCTACTTTTATATTCTTATTTGAATAATCATTAAAAAAGTTAGATGCACATGGAAAAGAAATTAGGGCCATAGATAAAGAATAATTGGAAAAACTCTATTTTGAAAAGGCTGAAAATTTACCTGTTAGACAAGCTGAACTTTTTGGTTTGTTTGCTGATCGATTCTAATACCCTGAATTTTTAGTTGAAATCTTCTCGAACCATAAATAAAATAAGTAAAATGAATACTCTAGTTTCTTGTATCAAAAAGCAATTGGAGTGTTGATAGATCTATCAGGAGGGAAGAATGTAAGCAATGCTGTGGTAATATCTATAACAATTATAAATTAGTTGACATTAATGTAAGAGGCCAATAGTTTCAAAGTACCATTATCAAAAGTGAATTATTAGATCAATCAAATTAAGGCTCACATTAAGGAAGGCCAATACCAATTGGCTTACAACCTCTTCACCTAAAATGTTATCGATGATATCATTTTGTAATTTTAGAAGTATGCTATATTTCATATCCAATTATAGAGAGAAAATTAGGAGATTTTTGTATAAATATGTTCAAAAAATCCATATGGGTACAAAATTCAGATTAAGATCCAATATGAAAACATATTTAAGAAAAATTAAACACGTTGATGATTTTATAAAAAGTCTTTCTGATAAATAACTGTTTGACTTTTATAAGGAAGAGAGGTCGGATAATTTCTTATTAGAATCATTGACTGAATAAGAGGATATCTTTGAATTTAATAAGTAGATTGCCTATAGAGAGGCCTTTAATCAAATCAAGACTCAAGTAGCCCATGGTATATTTGACTATTAGAAATTGTAATAACTATTTTTAATTTAATTAGATTGCAACCTGTCACAGAGAGTGAATAAATTCTGAGAGAAGTGTTTGATAATTATGAATATTATGTGAAACTTGAGAAGAAATTGCTGTTTGATGAGAGAAAGAAAAAGAGAATTAATAGTGTAATTGATTAACTAAGAACACGACCTGGCTAGAGAAGAACATATGAATAAACACTCACTGAAATTGAGGGTCTATTTAAGAAAAGTACGATTGAATATGGATTAATGAGAAATGATTTGATTGAATTTCCAGAAGTTGAATAGATTTAGTAGATGTAAATAAGTATGAATTTCATTCAATATTTAAATAGAAATGAAGAAAGAATTAACAAAATTAGGGTTGCCAGTTGAGAAGTACAAGGCAAACATAATAACATTCTAGCCTTTCTAGCCTTAGTAAATGAATTCTTAACAAGAATAAGAAGAAATTGAATAAATTCCCAATGAAGTTCTGAAAAAGGATGGTGAAACTACTAAGTAAAAAGGAAAATCTTAAAAAACTGCTTCATTCAAAAATGTTGATAAAATAATTGATGATCATTTGGCCAAAGCCAGAGATGACTAAAAGAATTTAAGACACATTGAAAAATGGAAAAAATATCTCAAAATTATGTAATAAGGTCTAAAATTTAAACATAAAATGTATTCTGACAAGAATTTCTTTAAAAAAATTATTCGTTTAAAGTATTAACATGGTACCACCGATGAAAGTATGAGAGAGTTGGTTAATCTCAAATTAAAATTAAAGAATATTAGGCGTAGAAAAAGATGGTTTATAAGAAATAGATTAAAAGAAAAGCCATCAAAATTATCTGTATTTATCAATGGCAGTGTTTCATTAGGCGACTTCTAATTTATGAAATACATTTATTACAATGCTTACACATAATATGATGAATACATTAATGTACCTCCTAGCAATTACTAAAGTGAAATTTGGGATTTGTTAGCTTGGGGTGTCCAAAACTAAGAACCCATGGGTATTTAATTAAGATTAAAATTTAGCTGTGAAATTGGCAGAATTATATAGCCATACTTGTGGTGCTAAAATGCCTGAATATTTGGCTAAATTAGTAGCAAACTTTTATAAGTTTGAAGTTGGAGACACTAGTAATTATTATAGTTATTTTCATAGATTCCTAAGTTAGATAGCGATGGATTTAATCAATGGAAATTGTCAACGATATCAGTACTAACAGAGTATATTCCCACACAAATGATGAAGCATTTGTATCCTAATAGGATATTGAGTTCTTACATGCAATGGAATGCAAGCAAGAATACAAAGGAGTATGTAGAGCATTATTGAATACAACTCATTCATATCGTAAATTTGTTAGATATGGTGTATCAGCAAAAGAATTGTTGGTGTGATTTATTTAGAGATATATTTAAAGCAACAAAATTTGATAATAATAATCAAATTATTAATTTCTTAATTGATCTCATTAAAATATTCTAACCTGTTTTCTTATGGAAGTCTCATTAATCAGTTCTATCATGCATTTATAGTATAGTGATAATGATTTTGAATTTTTGTTTATAAAGGGAGGATTATTTGAATATTAAATATTAAATATTAGAATAAATCAAAAGAAATAGACAGAATTTGAGAATAATTGATAGTTACTACAACTCCCCAATTAGTTTAGTAAAGTTATTAGTAAGATTAGTAATATATTATTTAATTAATTTATAATGAACTATGAATGGTTTTAGGATGAAAATCAAATAAAATTACGCTTTGAAATCAAAAATACTAAAAGCGAAAATCTTGACATCTAAGTAGCTGATGTAGTCGTGAAAGTAAATGTGCTGGACAAGAAATTTGCTAAAACAATTGACTTGTTAGCTCCAGTTCTTGAAGGCAATATTAAATATGGAGCAGATGTTCTCGAGGTCACCTTAATCAAAGTGTAACCTGGTAAATGGCCACAATTGAGTCCATCACTTAGTAAAGAGGAATTGATTCAAAGAAGAAAGGATGTAACTTATACAGATTATATAAGGCATTTTTAAGAAAAGATTAAGAAATCTAAGCTTAAAAGAAATTAAAAGAAGACCTGAAACATCAATTTGATTAGCATGCCACTAAAGAATAGATTAAAGTAGATGATCGTGAAAGAAACTTAATTAAATTAAAGCAAGAACAATAAAAAAGTGATGCAGTCTCTGATCTGTATAATTAAATTGGCTAAGATTCAAAATTTAAGTAGAATGAAGTAGTCTAATAAGAAGCAAACGATGACTTAATAGATGAAAAATTGAAAAAATATGAAGAATTTGAAAAATAGTAGGATCAGAATTAAAAATAAAAACCTAAAGAATCACAACCTATATCATAAAATAATGACATCTTCACTAATGAGGATATTAAAAAATAAGAAAAACAAGCAAAGGGTCCAATTCCAGAACCTAGAAAAGCAGCAGCAGTTTAAATGACCTTTACAGAAAAAGTATACCCTCATTTGGCAGCTCGTGAACAACATTTTAAAGATGCTCCTGTTCCTAGATAAAAGAATCTTCCAATTACTGAACAAAGAGAAAATCCTCTCTTTTTAAAGGATAAGGCGGATGAATTTTTCAGAAACAAAGATTACTATTCTGCCATCAATGCCTATTCTGCTGCATTCAAGTATGATAATTAAATGTTTGCCTGTATTGCTAATAGAGCTGCTTGTTATTTAGCTTTGTTTAATTTTTAAGAATGCATTGATGATTGCTAAATCATTATTAAAATGGAGAAAAAAGATTAATTATATGATAAATGTTTAAAAAGATTGAAAGTATGCCAAGCATGGAAAGGAGATTTGGATGATGCTTTGATTGGAGATCTTCCAGAAGAAGCCAAATAAATTATTTAAAACAGGATTGAATCGAATAAATATAAAAACCAAGGTGATGCATACATGACAACATCTCAATATTAAAAAGCTATTGAAATGTATTTGAGATCTTTATAGAATGATGCTGATAATGAATTAAGTCTTAGTAATATAGGATTGGCACACATGAAACTAAATTAGATTGATAAAGCATTGGAAAGTATTGAGAAGGCCATTTAAAAAGTTAAACCATTTTTATAGTATGTCAATTTGAATCCCAATATTGGAAGGTAAAGCTCGTTTGCTGGTAATGAATTCCTATTGAAAAATCTAATGAAGAAATCTAATTGCTTATTCGAGTTAAATTAAGAATAGGATGCTTTAAATACTGTTAAATAGGCATTGATTATAGATGAAACCAATGCTGAAGCTAGAAGTATCATGAATAAGATCTAGGACAAATTAGTTAAATAGGAGGTACTTAAATTAAAAGAGACTGCAACTGAGAGACTAAAATAACAGAAGTATGCTGATTCATTGGAATTGTACAATCAATGTCTAAAGAAATTGAATCCTTAGGAGGATTTGATGGACTTCTTAGCAGTGCTATTGAATCGATGCATCTGTTGTTTCTTTTTAAATTAATTTGATGAGATCGTGGGTTCTTGCACCAGAGGAATTAAGATAATATAGATTCAGCAGAACAAGTATGATTATATTACGATATCACTTTAGAATTCTATCCTTTGAAAAGATTACAAAGGAACAGAAGGACAAGTTGCAAGACTTTTTAGTGAGGTTTTATGTTCGTAGATCGAATGCTTATGTAAAATAAAACCAAATCTATCATGCGAAATGTGATCTACAAGAGGCTTTGAAATTAGATCCTCAGAATGAATAGATAAAAAAAGATTTAGAAAAATTGAAGTGAATGTTGTATTTTAAATGTCAATATATATTTCATAAGAAATATGGTAATACATTTTTGGGTGGTTGACTATTAGCAGATTCTGGGACTTCTTTGAACATTACAAAGTCTCTTTTCAAATTTTCATCAAGAGAAAGCATAGATGCTGCATTACCACATCTGTAGCAATAATTTGGGGCTGACCATACTGTTACCAGTTATTCCTATGATAAACTATGGTCTTACCTCAAACCAGTATTAGTAGCCATCTTAAACTAATTGATGTGCACGAGCAATTAATTCTAAGCCATTAATATGATTAAAATCATGTGTCACCTTTTTACCAAATATCCAACCTGCTCCTCTGGTATTTAATGCCCAAGTATCTACTTCTTCTGGATCTGACCACATCAAATCACAGAATGGACCTTCATGAGGAATTTCAGTTTTACGATCTAATTACAGTATTTCAATCATCCTTACCTATTGTTCTTATTTAATCGATTGTTCTTAATTCTGGAGAAAGTCCTCCATGAACACACAAGACCTTTCCATCTACGAGAGCTCCCAAAGGAAGATAGTCAAAAACATCTGTAAAATATCGCCAAGGATTTGCATTGCCATACTTTCTCACAATTTCATCATAGAAACCATAAACTTAAGTAATTTGTCTTGATTCGTGATTTCCTCTCAATAATGTAATGTTGTCTGGGTATTTAAGTTTCAAACAAAGCAAATACTCGAATGTCTCTACAGAATTGTATCTACAATCAAAAACCTACAATACCCACGATCAACAAAATCCCCAATAAATATATAGTTGGCATTTGGTACCTATCCTCCCTTATTAAATAGCTCTAACAAATCAAAGAACTGCCCATGAATGTCTCCACAAATTATTACTGGAGCTTTCACTTAATGAACATTTGATTCTTCTATAAAAATCTCCTTTGCATGCTCACAAACTAATCGCACATCTCTCTCAGTCAAACACCTTGCATTTTTGAGTGTTTCTAGGTATTTATCGATATCCATTTAAATTTTAAAATTATTTCTCTCGTATATTAAATCATCTACAATATAATATTCAAAATTTATATTATCACATCATTCTATTAATGGTATTGGTCTAGCTATTTTATATCTCAAAAAGCATCTATGAGAGAGAAGTAGAACCTAAGCCATAACTAGAATTGTAATAATAAAAATTTCGAAATTCATATCAAAGATATGTTCTCTTCATCTGATAGATGTTAATGTTTATTTGGTTTATCCCTCTAATTTTTGTTTTAAAATTGTAGATAAATCAAATGAAAATAGAAAATATGTAGTTTCAAATAAAAGAAATAATAAAACTTCATTTACTTCAAAAAAATTCTTATATTTTTAAGAAAGTCCATACATAATTTTTGCTTTAAACCAATTAATATTTCAAAAGATCCAAATATATTAACTGCAAGCTTAGATAGGATTTCATAATATCCTGTATTTCTATTAATATTATATATTCTTTTATATAGATAAAGGACTCATTCCAAACTTATGTTGTAATTAGATTATAAAAATTATAACTTGATGCTAAACCTACCTACATTTAATAGCTATTTAGTTATAGATACTTCCTGCAATCAATAAAAAATCAGGTAGTTCATTTATTATTGTAAAAATGATACTGATAGATTATAAAATTGTTTCTGAATACTGCTGCCTAACATTCTCTTCATTTTTAGTACCCAACTTTGGATAAGAATTTGATATAATAATTAAACGAACAAAAAACGAATAATTAGATTTTTATTCAAAAGGTTATTAATTATTATAGAAACTGTTTGACTCAAAATTTAGGACAGATTTATAAATATTCTTGCTATTATCTACTAAATTAAGTAAAATAATACATATACACCTCTGATTTTAAGGTAGACTTATAACAAATCTAGTCTAAGTTAGAACCTAATAATTCAAACCAATTTTATTTAACAAAGTACATAATTATATAATTTAAATTTAAAATGGAAGTTGAATTACATTAATAAATCCCTCCATAACTCAATGTTTAGGTTGCAATTAGAGTTCGTCCTTTCAATGAAAAGGAATTGAAGTAAAAAGAGGGTGTGTGTTTGGAGACATCTGAAAAATAAGTAACACTTTTGCAAAGTGCTCGTTTGTTCACATTTGATTATGTTTTCGACTAAAATGCTTCTCAAGATCAAGTCTACAAAAAGTAAATTTCTTTATTAATATCATAACAGGTGTGTGAGCAATTTGGTTTAGAGGTGCTTTGAAGGTTATAATAGTACAATTCTTGCATATGGCTAAACAGGATCAGGGAAAACTCATACAATGGGTACCACAGGGGTAGATTAGTTAGCAAGTATTGCAAATCATCTATGAAGATAAAAATAACATGGGGATGATTCCAAGAGTAATTACACAAATTTTTGAAGAAATTGAAAAAATAGACTAAGAAATCCTTATTTCTTGTTCCTATTTAGAATTATACAACGAATAAATCATAGATCTCTTGTAGGAGACTTCGATATCAAGCCAACCCACTATAAGGGAAGAGAAAGATCGCACAATAACGATATTAAATTTAACTACAATATTAGTAAATAATCCAAATGAAATGCTTTAAGTATTAAATAGAGGAGCTGCCCACAGAACAACAGCAGCTACATAAATGAACATGACAAGTTCTAGATCACATGCGATTTTTACAATCTACTTTAAAATAAATCCCAAGGATGATTCTGAAGATGGCACTTTGAATGCCAAATTTCACTTTGTCGATCTCGCAGGAAGTGAAAGATTAAAGAAGACTTTGGCCCAAGGGAAAACGATGGAGGAAGGAATCAACATCAATCAAAGCCTTTTGGTTTTGGGCAATGTGATAAAGACTTTGAGTGATTAAAAAAAGAAAAGTCAAACTCATATTCCCTATAGAGAGAGTAAATTAACTAGGTATTGAATATTTAATAACAACAGAATATTGTAAGATTCCTTGGGGGGTAATTCCAATACTTGTATGATAGCTTGTGTGTCTCCTGCTGAAAGCAATTATGAGGAGACTCTAAACACATTGAAATATGCATCAAGGGCCAGAGAAATTTAAAACAAGCCAACATAGAATAGAGTATATAAGTAATTAATATATCAGGACCCTCATGCCATATAAATATTGGGTTTGAGATAAGAGATTGCAGCACTAGTTGAGTAGAATAAGTAGTTTTAAGAATTGCTTTAAGTGAATGGAGTTAAGTTTGATTCAATAAAAAAGGTTTCGGTATCTCAATATTCTTCAAATATCCCCCATACATGTGAAGAGCATTTAGAAATGATTCAGAAATAGAAATAAGCCTTACTTGTATGGGAACGTCTTGGATCTCAGCATAAATTGGAGGTGCAAAAATTATAATCTTAAATAAATGATTAAGAAATAGAATTACACAATTTAAAAAAGAAAAAGGATATTATCTTTAAGCAATTCTAAGAGGCAAAGAAGTAAAATATTAATATAAGATAGAATATTGCAAAAGTTTAATATACCATATACTAACTATGATGAGGATGATGAAATTGAGGATTTGTATGATGAAGTTGATAAGTTAAAATAGGAATCAAAGGAAAAAGAGTATAAAATTCTAACTATGCAGAAAGAAATAGATGAGCTGCTACAGGTAGTTTATATTGTTTAAATACTAGGATAGGATGCACACAGAGATCAATATATCTTGTGTAAAAAATAGAAGGAGCTGATGATTCTTTAGAGGAAACTTGAGAAATTGGAACCTAAAGATAATTTTGAATCACCAGCCCAGGATTCAGAATGCGACGAAGAAGTTGTTTGCAATGATTCCATGATTAAGGAGACAAATTTATAAATTGAAGAATTTGAAAGCAATTTATAAGTTATGACAATTAAAAATTTCGAACTCAAACGTTAATTGGCTGAAGATATGAAAAAGGAATTTCAATAATAGATTTCTATTCTAGAAGCACAAAAGTCCTCACTTATGAAACAAGTAAATTAGAAATAGGATGCTACTTAAATGAATGCTTTGAAAGTTAAATTGTAAGAATATGAATCTAAGATCAATGAAATGAGGCTCAAAGAATAAAATATGAGGTAAATGTAGAAGAAGTTGGAGGAATAGGAAAATTAGGTTAAGGATTTAAAGATAAATATAGAAAAAATGAAAAAATAGAAAGTAGAATTGATTAAGAAAATGAAGCAAGATAATGAAAAGTATATCAAGGATAAGGAGGAGAAATAAAAAGAATTGATTTTAATTAAAAAACTTAAAATTTAATAAGATGCTGCTTTGAGTAAATTGAAAAATGAAAATTGTAAGAAGGAAGTACTTCTAAGAAGAAAGGAGGATGAAATATTAAAATAAAGAAATGAGAAGGTTATTGACAAAGGATCAAGTCTTTCATTTAAGAAATCCTAAAAAGCTTAAACTTATGATTCAATGGAGAAACAAATAGAGTCATTGTTCTCGTAATTGATATCTGGAGGATAGGCAGAAAACTAAATCAAAAGAGAAATAACAAAATTAGAACAATTGTAGGAGGAAGTGAATTAAATAGAACAGAAAATTTGTTAGTTATAAATAAAAAGAGAATAAACATCATTTGATTAAAATAACAAGAATAGCTTAAACTAGATTGAATTAGAATTGAGCGATATCATAATCATAAGAGAGAATATAAATGAGACAATCGATTATTAGTTGCATAAGATAGAACAATTAAGAAAGAGTTGCAATAATTGCACAGAAGTGTATACAAATTTTTTAACGAATTCTGAATTGAGAGATCTTCCAAATTGGTGTATTAAAATATTTAAATATGTGATTGATAATTGGATTAAAGATCATTTATAAATGTAGAACTTTAGTCAATAGAATGACGAATTTTAATAAATAATTTAAGAATTACAACAATAGTTATAAAAACCACTTTAAGAGATTAATTGTAATTCTCCAACCTTTAAAAAGAAGATAATCAAATCATAGGTTTCATCTTAACCAAGTGATGCATTGGAACTCAGAAAGTAGCTTAATGATCAAAAAAGAAAGTATTAGTTCTTATAGAATGAAAATAAAAATATGATATCAGATTTAGATTATTATAAGAAGTTCTATACAGAGCATATCAATAAAGTATAGAAAGATAAATGCATTGGGTTAAGTGATTCATTTTAACTTCCATAAAGTTAGAGTTATCAACAGATAAGAGATGCGTATAAATTGGAAAGAACAAAACAGAAGGAATTGTCATTAAATTTAAGTTTTTAAAAGCCTTACATCTAAAATTCAGCTCTGAAGATGGCTAAAGTATGTAAATCAGAAAGAGAGGGATATACTGATCAATTCAGTCAGGCATAAGATGAGCAGGAATTAAGATATGAGTATTAATTGATTATTAATTTTTAATAGCTTAATTAAATCAATACCTGGTCACGAGAATCCAATATTATGTGTGTATACAATGTAGAATTTATTGTGTTCAAGTGCATTTAGATCTGTCAAGATATGGGATATGGATGCGTAATCTCATCTTATATCTTTGGATGCAAATACTCATGTTAAATCAATTTGTCATTGGCCTGAGAGGAATGCTATTGCAGTATCTCATGGATCCCAAATTTCATTGTATGACATGACATCATTTCAACTACAGAGTGTTTTAAAATCTTCAATAGAAGAAATCAGAGTGATGACCAGACATAATGGTTTACTTGTGGCTGGAGGAAAAGGCATTAACTATGCTATGAATGTGTGGGATGCAAGATCAAATAAGTATTGAAATGTAGTTATATTCTTAGTTAAATTCACGAATTTGAAAAGTAAAGTGACGTTATGTGTTTACAATAATCAGATTAAACCCAAGAATTGATTTGGGGAACTTTTAATCACAATGTGAGGAAAATGATGATGAATAGTAATAAATATGGTTAGATTGCATAAATGACACCACCACATTATGATAAGGTTACTGGAGTTGGTTTGCTTGATAATTGGATTGTGAGTTGCTCATTTGGCAAAGGAATGAGGATGTGGAATTAAGTGAATGGTTAATAAGGATAAGCAAATTCTGATATCCACAAAGATTCGATCTTAACAATGGCCAGTATAAATATTCATTTAATATTTTTAGTTGATAAGAATCTTAAGGTCATGTACACTGGATGCAAGGATGGATAAATCAAGGCGACCAGAATTAGTGAGAATAAATTTCAACTTGTTAGTGACATTAGTGCTTCTGTTTAATAAATTAACTCTCTCAATATTATAAACGATAGTTCACTCATTGTAAGTGGTGGCCAAGATAGGATGATCAAAATATGGAAACCTTCTAAATTTACTTTTGATTACTTAAAATAGTTTACTCCGAACATTGGGGATTTCATTATTGAAGAAGAACAATACATGTTTAGTTGACTCTTATTTTATATTAAATTAATTCAAACCTTAATCTTAATGATATATAGTTTTTCAGTTATTGCATGTTAATTTATGGTCAGATTCGAATAATATGTATGAATAATTATATTTTAAACGAATTTTATTTATATTAGAATTAGATAATTCAGTTTTACAGTAAATTACGAAAATCTTCATATTTCAACTCATTTTGGTTTGGAGACAGTTCTTTTATCAATCTCTAATATACAATTAGTATTTCTTACATTTAAATCTATTGAAAGATTAAACTCATTTTATATAACATTGATCAGTTTTTATCTATCAACAGAACCAGTCTTGTCTTCATTACCTCCCAGAGCTATAAATGCAAGTTCTATGGAGGTTTAATTTAAAATTTACTTATATCCTCTTCGTCACTAGTCTATAGTATCATTTTATGATATGCTATAATTTTTAAGAAATCCTCTTTGCTAATGGCTCCTCTTCCTGATAAATCTACTTCGTTAATCATCTTAATCAATTCTTCTTCTGATGGCTTCTGTCCCATTTCTAAGCTGTTAGGTATGTTTACCTTCTAAAACTGCTCTCAACTCATCTTTCTCAATATATCCTGATACATTTTTATCAAATGCAACAAAAGCCTCATAACATTTTTATTTTTCCTTAGCTGTAAGTGTATCTACATTGACTTTCTTTAGATCATCCATATTAATAGACATTTGTAAAGTAAAAAATAAAAATAAATATATCAATAAAATGATTGAATAAGTTAATCTAAATTCAGATTTTTGAACGAATTCATTAAGAACATTTTAATAATGCTTTTTTATTTAGGATAATCATTGAAATAAAATTTGAAAGTAATCTGGGGTTGTTTTAATAAATTGCAATTAAAATTCTAAAAATTTTCTTAACGAAAGAACCTATAAAATAAATGAGAATTTATATAAAATTATTGATTACTTAATATATAATTATAAATCAATATATAATCATATGAACAATTCCCTATAATTAGAATATTAGATAGGTTGTTTCTAATGAATAATTATAGTTAATTGTTTACTACAAATCATATTTGAATAGTTATCAATCTAAAATCTGATTATTAAATCTTTTTTATTATGTATTCGTGTTTTATAGATATTGTCCCAGGATTGTCTCAATAAAATTCAAAAAATAGCTATAATGGTGATTTTTATAAATAATAATAATAAATATGAGATATTTGTTATTGCTAAATAATACAAGTAGATTAATTTCCAAATATAATATTCTTATAATAATAAAAAATGATCTATATTTAATCTTGATAATAATGATTTTCAAATGATGGTGAATGCACTTGATAAGATGCCACAATTCTCTCCGTAAGCTATGTGAACATAGCCATCTTAACCCCAAGTCTCTCCGAATGAGCCTTGAATAATCCAATACTCTGAAGTTTTGCCAACAAGCAAACCACAATAGTTGTTTGTATTACCTCCACAATCTGCTGCTGTGATTACTCCCTTAGTGTAACTCTACAATTTGGAAGCATTAAAGCATACAACGGCTGGTCTCTACTTTAAAGCTTGAGAGAGTGCACTATAATATTAATTTTTAATTTTACTCGACGGAATTAAGTTTGACATAATTTGTTGGTCTAAGTTGATCTCCTTGAACTTGGGCACATGCTTAAGCCTTCCCGGTGTAGGGATACTTGCTTTCCCAATGTAAACCATTACTCTTAATGTATTTGAGTGCGTCTGTGGGAATTCCATTCAAGCATCCTTTCAATGGGTCCAATTAATCTGAGCAATCAATAACTTATTGTAAAGATAACTTGACACTCTTGCTTGTCTATTATCTGAAATAGGATTCTAAGCAATTTTTGGATGAAACAGCCCAAGAAGATATACAATCCCCTTAATCAAACACATCAGGTACTATGCTGTGATCAACTCTCCAATCAATATCCTCATCAGCTGTAATGATAGTATCAGAAATGAAAGTCTTTTCCAATTAAAGAGTGAAATCTGTTATAAGATATTTTTGTTTGAATTCAGCTTCAGTCAAATCAGTGTATTGAGTACTACCAAAATAATGAATCTCTGAATTGTCCATTTGTGCATAAGCCCAAATTTAGAATCTTTTATCCTCTTCTTCTTGTGTTCCATATACCTTAGAAAAATCTTGTTTGTATTTTTCAAAGTCATCTTTGAGTGATTAAATATCTTCATTTGTTAACATGGGGAAGGCTGCATATTGTGAAACTCCACAATGTGCAACATCAGCATGAAATCTGACTAATCCTTCGACACCCCAATATGTATATTTTTACTAATCCTTTACGATTTAACCCAAGGTTGTTTAGATAATCCATTCGTCGTTTTCGTATCCCAACAACAATCCACAATAATTGACTGTTCCCTCGACGCAATCTTAATTAATGACTCCATTTGTGTATTATTAGAATTTTGTCAAATCAAAGCAAACTGTCACAGGGGTGAATTACAAAGCAGCTTTCAATTGTCTATTGATATATGATAATGTATTACTGTTTGTCTGCCTTTACTAATCTGATATCTTCGATCTTATATTATTGTGTGGTTGGTACACAATTTTTAGCAGCATAAGTAGATCTCAAATCAATACCATTTGTTTTAATCCATTATAATGCATCCAAAGGACTTTTACCATCAGTAACACAATCAATGATTTATTGTGTTGCCAATCGAATATAATTATCAGGATTTGGTATATTCCTATTGAAGTATGCCTCAACTGAAGCAACTGCTGAAAATGCCCAAGAGTGAGCACCGGCATCAGGAGCATTTTTATCCATCAAGGTTTCCCATGTTTTTTCGGGAGGGATTTCCAAAGTGCTCAAACCTCTAGCTACTCCATAGGCTGGAATTGCATCCTTTAGTAAGTATTAAGTTTTAAAATCGGCAGCACTTATATCTGAATACAAGGTTTAGCCCAAATCATATTCAGCTTCTTTTGGATCTTAATTAATAAAGGCCTATTTTATAGATTCTATATACATCCAATAATTTAAAGTTGTCGGAGTATGCAGTCTCTGTGTTGTTTGTTGTTGCGTCAAAAGGCCAAGTTTTTCCCTTCACATCTATTTCATAGTGAACCCAACTTTCATGTATAACTGCAGGGCTAGGTTCTGCACTAAGAGTCAAGCAGAGAATTGCCAACAAAATCAATCTCATTTATAATTTAATTAAATTCTGATGTCATGTGAATTTATTTTATATATTGCAGAAAACTTGAACAAAATGCAAGATTAGTATCACCCACTCTACATTCTTTAATAATAGATATTATATATTAATTAATTATAAATTCAAATACATATGCAATCAATGTAGAATTTATAATAAATATATGCAAATACGGAATTTAGATATAAGTTAATATATATATATTATTGTTTTATTATCTAAATATCATTTTCCATTTAATGCATAAAAATGAATGCCTTTATACTTTATAATAAACAATATGAATTTATGTATAATATTTAATTCAATGAAAATATTCATCGTATAAGTAAGCAAACATTTTTACTAAGATTAAATTATCGATAAATTCAATATGAGCTGCTCTCCCTATAAATTTATCCAATTTTCTATCATAATAGTAATGAATACTTTTTGGTTATCAAGAAATTAATGTCAAATCGATCTATTTTGCCGCATTTTGATAAAATATTTGAAACTATTTCATTGTATGCCTAAACCCTCTGATCGTTGGCATTCTCTATTTTTTAGATCAGAGCAGATTGGAAGGGCACATAATGATCTTGAAATGAGGACATCACAACTACATTATTGAACCAATTCAATCCCTCCGCTTTACTCAAAGTATAGATGTAAGTATTTTTAATATCTTTGTGATCTCTTTAACTTAACTCTTCAAGAGTCTTGCATTTATTCCATTTTTAGATCATCATCAACCCAGTATCCACTAAGACACTCTCAGATGAGGCATATCCACAATGAGGTGATCCAAGACTCACATAAGTGTGCATGAATTGCTTATATTCACTCAATTGAGGCAGAGCTGCCCTTATAATTACTCCTCCAAGAGAATGCCCAATAAATGACAATCTATATTAGGTTACATTTTCATCACTTAAATAGTTGATGACTTCTTTAGCAAGCAATGTTGCTTATTCTTAAATAGGTTTATTTGAAGTGCCATCATTACACGTTGGACATATCAATCTAATCTTTTCCTTAAATCTGATTGTCAATATGGATTTCCAGTATCTCATATCGTATGAAGTCCCTTGATACCCATGAACCAGGACGACATAATGAACATGAGAGTTTTGAGGCTTCTACAGAAATCCATTTTATACGCAAGTCTGTTTGAATATGAATGGATTTGTGTTTAGTGGCTGAAGCAATTCAACATATTTAATAGCATCCGTTTCTTAAGAACTAATTTAATTTCTCTTATATTTAGCTATTTCATGATTGCTTTTTCCATTCTAATGAACCTAATCCAATTGTTTAACTTCAGATTTATTTAAGAGAACACAATTTTGCCACCTCTAAATCATTTGACATAAAAATTCCTATTCCAATTAGTCCTATAACACTTGATGGTTCTACTTGATCGCATTCCCAAGATCACACCACAATATATACATATCATTATGGAGATCGTGTAGACTCTATTGATGGATAAGAATATACTTGTATAATTGTATTTACTTTATCTGGGTCCTCAAACTGCAGTTATTTCTCCTAATACTGGAACTATGTTAGTTTCTTTTCATTCTACAAATTATTCAGCTATTTAATTAACTATTTCCTATTGTTCAACAACAAATTAATGGAATTGTTTATAACTTCATCAAATTTATCTAGCGTTTGAAGTTCAGCCGTCAATTACTCCTTAGTAAATGAAAACTGAATTGGAATTGTATGTATCTAAGTTTCCAATAGACAAAAGTGAGCCGAATCAAACTCCACAGGATAATATGCTTAATTATAGATTAGTGGATTTGACACTGTTAAAGTAGCCTTCGACACTATTTGCATTTATTATCTGAGTGACAAGGCAATTGCCTCTATGTCATCTACATAAATTTCTCCTAAAAGTTTTTTATCTAGAAAAAGTAACTCAATAACGATTTCTATTTTTTAATTCTCTTAGTATCGAAATACGCATCCTATGTTAGTTGACATTTATTCATCTTCATATCTGATCAAGAACCCTTATGAATAGAAGTATTTGTCTTCTATATTCTCTTTATAAAATACGAAATTTTCATTAACCTCATTTGTTGTAAATGGATCTTGTCTGATTGAACGAAAGATCAAATAAGGTTAAGCTTCAGGCTAATTATGATAATGATTTTTGTTACGATATGGACTCTGATCTGATAGATTCCTTAAGTGAAGAGATCTATGTTTGTGAATTTCTTAAAATGAATTAAGACTTCAATCTATGATTTCATGTTAATAATATTTATTATTTAATATTCATTTGTCTTGGACTGTCTTAATAAGCCATTCCATTCCTTCTTGTAAGCCTTCCTGGGTTTTAGCTGAACATGCGACAATCGACCATTATCTGTCTGTAATTTTATTTAATTTCAAACTATCGGAGATCTGAATTAAGTAAGCATACTAACCTCATCTGCTGGAAGAGCTTGCACCAAATCTTATTTATTTGCAAATACCAAAAGGGGCACTTTCTTTAATTCAGCCTCTCCCAATAGTTTGTCCAACTCTTTGCCTCCCTCTTCCAAACGCATTTAGTCTGATGAATCGATAACAAATACTAAAGCATCGGTATTTTCATAGAAATTGCTCCAATATTCCCTTAATTTCTATGATGCACCCAAAAAGATATACCTCTTGACCTCCGACATCCCAAACATTCAGCTTGAATCCTTCGTGCTACAAATTCTTGATATTAAAACCATGAGTGGGAGCAATTTGGTTGATATCCTCATTGGACAAAGCCTTTAGAATAGTAGTTTTGCCTGCATTATCTAATCCCAAGACAAGAATTCTCAATTCCTTTTCTGATTTTTTGATCTTTCGAATGATATTCAACAATCCCTAATTTACCATGAATACATACCATTCTTTAAGATTTGTTTTAATATTTTTATTTATTATTTTATTAATAAATCATGGATATAGAGGTTTGTCTTCTCTGATATGAGAACTCGACAGATCTGGGTGATGCACAGGGTACACATTTTCCTTGACTCTAAATTAGCATAACATAGCATTTCTACCTTCCACTAGCAGCATCCCTTGCAGCCACTCTCTTCTTGGCCTCGTTGATCTCGCTCTAAGTAATGTTTGTGTATCTCTCATCAGCCCACATTGTGTCTGGTCTCAACTTGTCTCTGTGTCCGTCAGCCCAAGTCTTATCTGAAACATCCTTCACTGTTCTGCCCTAGGAAGAATATTTACATCCCATTTTACCTTATTGTAGGGAGAAACCTCCAACACTGAACGATATTGGAGTGTTTGGATGGCTTCAATTTTATCTAGTTGCTTCTTCTTCTCCTTCAATCCTTCCAAAGCCCATTTTGGACAAATAGAGATGATGTTATCAGCCTCTTCTTGGCATTTTGTTACTCCATTTACACTTTAGCATCTTTTGAAGGCTTCAATTTATCTAACGCATCCTCTTGGAAGTGCTTAAGCTCTGATTGCTAGTGCTGTAAACATTGGTGCATCTCTATTGCATTTAGGATTTGTTATTACTTTCTGGTTTACCATCCATGATTTCCAAAGTGTTATTCACTCAGAGGATCATAATGAGTTGGGAAAAACACACTCCAATTAACTCTGTTAGGATATGGATCAGGGAAGTAAAATCCATTGCCATTTCTAATACCCATACCCATTCTCTTTTGATTGGGGATTTATTGCATAGCAAATGGGTTATAAGGAGCTATGGCCCTTCTCCATTTTGACAAAGTGTTGTTCAAAAGATTCTTCTTAACATTCAAATATGGATAATTGGTTTCATAATATTCGAAATCCAAGGGTTGACCGTCTGGGTTGTCACTTGACATGTATAAAGATTTAATTATTAATACAATTTAAAATTTAAAATAAAAAATGTGCAAACATATTCTCAATGCCTAAGTTGCTATCAGAGCAGCATGTTGCAAAAAGTAAGATATTAATTGTACATCTATAAGATGGTTTGATTGTGCTGAATGCCATTAAGAACTGGAAGATCATCCATTATAGAAAAACATTGAGATGGTTTTCGCTTGTAAGAAATGCAAGAAAGTTTTCCGTAAAGACATCACTGATTATGATGAATCAGATGAATATTGCCCACAGTACAAATATTTCAATACTTTTATAGTTGTGATAATCACTATGTCATCAAAGCAGTTACACAAGAATCAAAGGAGATTCAGAAATTTGAGAATTTAGTTAAAGAAGTCAAATAGTGATTTAAATATAAGGTCATCTATTTATCTTAAATATTCAATTATAAAATAATGTGAATTTAAACATCTCAAAATTATTGACTCAAATTGCATTTATGTCTAATATCCTATAAAAAGTTATAGAATACACATACTGATTGTAATTTTCACATTTAACAATTATCAATGATTAAGGAGAGGATAATATTTAATTATAAAAACTCCTGAAAATTTTAGATTTTCAATCAATACTATTACTAAATTTAAGATTAATAATTTAGAACAGTATATTGTTGATTTTAAAAAACTATGGAATTTTCATTCTTAGTACATTATCACGAATATCAAATAATAATTATATAAATTATATGTAAAAAAGAATCCAAAAAGATCAATAGTTATATTATTATACAACAATATTTTAGGAACTATGAATATAATATTATATATAATTTTAATACTACATTTAAGTTCATAAATTAATTTTTGAGTGGTCATCCAAGATTCTCATTACAAACTTGACTTAATTTTTGAGAAATTATTGCTCATTAAAAAATAATCGTGTAGGAATCCTTAGTCATAGCTAGGTTAAAAAAATAAATAATTATATTTGCTATAATGCAAAAATAAAAACGAATGAATTTTATTGATATTAATTAAATTATGCTCCACTTGTTGCTAATTTTAGCTGTTGTTTAAGCAAGAAACAAATCTCAGAATGATACGATCAGAATTCAAACTCCAGGTTGATATTGCTCTCTATTATCCTAGAATATGAAAAAAATGTGAACAATACTAAAAACATCTTTTATTCTTGTGTTATCACATCATCATCTTTTTTGACATTCAATGATGATGTTGTTATGAACCAATTAAATTCAATCATTGAGGCATATTAAACAATTGAATCGGCTGAAGTTAGATATGAAACATAAAGAAAAGCTAGTAAGAGAATCCAAATTGATGCCACTCAATATTGCATCCTTCGACAAACAGGTGTGACAGCTAAATAAGTAAATAGATAATTGATTAAAATTTTAGATGTATGATGAAATCTAAGTAGGACTATTCAATGTTACCTAATATTATTATTTGATGAATGACTTCGATTTGTCAAAATATTAAAATCAATCTGCTAAAATTACCTTTGATGAGGATGAAGAATCAGTTTGGAGGATAATGGAAGTATATGATAAATTTCATTCTAGGACTTTTAAGCAAAATCAAGGGAAATGATAGGAGATGATGAATTTGATGGATTACACTATTCTTAATACCCTGAGTATATGGAGAATCCATACGAACCCAAAGTATTTGGTTAATCTATTGACAAACAATCAAGTACTTCTATTTTCATTTTTGCATCAGTGTTTATAGCATTTTTTGTTGTCATGATTTTAGGTATTATTATTGTTATGATAATGATTAGCCTACAATGCTTTGAAGGATAGCCATAAGAAAGTTGAATAAAAGAAGGAAAAGAAATCTAAAAAGTAGAAATGAAATAAATTATTTTTATATAAATTATCAAATGCCTAATTGTGAAATCTGTTTTATTGATGATAAGCTAATAATTTGGTATGCATTTTCAATTCAAAATTAAGTCCCAAATGCTCTCGAAATGTTTGTTCATTGTGTAGTAAATTGTCCGATTGCGATATATGCATTCTAATAGAAATGAAATATGCATTTGTAAGCAATGATAATACAATTTAGTTATACTAACAACACAAATCGTAGACAGAAGAACAAGAATATCAAATAAAATAAATTAATGACAAGATTAATACTGTTAATCAAGAAATTTCCTTAATCCAAAAGGCTAGTTCACTTCTGAACAAAAATGAAAATAAGAAAAGTGAATCACTTGAGTTTTAAATGAGTGAGACTATCATTGATAAACAACATGAGCTAGAGGATATCGAAAGTGAAATTGAAAATTAAAAAGTAAAGTAGATTGATTTTAGTTGATATTAGTTGATAAATCCAATGAAGAATTAAATGCCTTAAAAAGTTAGCAATTAAAATTGTCCACACAAAATAAGGAGTTGGACTTAAAAATCAATGAAGCAGAAAAAGAATATGAAGTGCTGCAAGAAACTCTGAATTTAAAGAAATAGTAAATATATTAGATTTTATAAACCTTGAAAAATAAAACTAGTTTATTGAGAGCAAGTCATGAGGAAAAGCATTATTCTTAAAGTAATTTAAGAATGACTCTTCCCACTAAATAGCAAAAGGCTATTTCTGGAGAAGAGAAATTACAAAATCCAGGGTAATAAAAAATGAGATTCTATGTAGATTATGTGCTGGGTAGTGTGTAATATAATGAATTGAAATTAATTTATCATATTTTAAACATTGATAATTGTTACTCACTTTTTCTTCGTATTAGATGATGTAGAATTAGTTGATTTATTAATCGAAATCGATTATTATGGTGAAGTCATCGTAGGCATTTTTTCATTGACAATATCTGCATTTCTCGCTAAATTAAAGTCAGCCAAAGCTAATGATGAACATTGTGTAAAATACCATCCATTATTGCAGATTTACCAGCAGTCAAAACACCTCTTGGCAATCTTTTATCAGGACATGCCCCTTTGAGTTAAATTATGCTTTCACTTTGTTCTCTCAAAGTCTTTTGCATTTTTATCATATTGGCTACAAAAATGATCTTCTTCTTCAATTTCTCTGTATCTTTTTATTAAATAAATATTATTCACTTACTTTTAGCTGTATTCGATCCACCAGTACTTTACTTATCAAATTATTTATTTTATTATTAAGTCATTTCTTTAAACTATTTAATATCTTCCTCGTTAACTTCTTCATCATCAACTTAATCACCAACTTATAGTAAATTGTAAAGCATTTCAGTTACTTTTTCAGCCACAAATGGTATAGACCATGTGAAAATATCCATAAAGTTTGGCAATAAATAAGGATGAGGTGTATATTAAAACTGTTAGATATTCAGAGTGTTATTCTTGTAATTAATAATAAAAGAGGAGTTACTTCAAATTTAATTACAGCCCCCTTGTTATTATAAACATCACAATAATTAGGAGCACTGAAAATTGTGATAACTACAGGAAAATCCTTTCCGCCATGCCACCTATGCATTTTATACCCATCCAATTAAGCCTTATTAAATTTTGATAGCATTTACTTCATGTGCACGAATAATTGATATCAGATTGTTTTTCTGTAAAAATTTAGATGCAGCTTCGTTCCCAAAGAACCAACTACAACCTCTCACTTCATTCCCCTTCCATTAGCCATCCATGTTGCCTTGATCTTAATCTACTGGATCACTCCACAACAAATCACAAAGTAATCCACTTCTAGGAGGCTCATGATAACGATCCAGTCTCTTGATATCTTCTAACTAAGATGAAACACAGCAAATACAGATTTTAAATCAGGCGATATTCCTCCATGAATTGCTATAAACTTTGAATTGATGATGCAAGCTAAAGGAAATAAATCGAATGAATCCATCAGCATATCATAGGTCTCTTAATCATACTTGTAAAGACCTTTTTAAATGATTGTAATTACATTCCTCCTTAAAGTTGAAAAATGCTGTAAGCTATCGGCATTCGTGATTTCCCCTCAAAAAATATACAGTGTTTGGGTAATTCAGTTTGATCGCATAAAGCAAGATTATTACTTCAATAGAATAAGACCCTCTATCAACAAAGTCTCCAAGAAACAAATATCTAAAATTTACGCATTAAAGTACTTAGTTGTCTCAGGATTCCCTCCTACCTTAGGTTCCAGTAATTTTAACAAATCGTAATATTGTCTAATATGCTTTTTAATCTTACCCATGAATGTCTCCAACTACCGTAAGTGGATCTTGTAAATATATTACATTCCCTTCATTCTCTACACTATCACTGATACTTGTACTTAATAATTTATTGCAATCTCCAACCAATTTATAAAGGTCTTCCTTAGACACTCTCCCTTCCTTTTGAAGATGATCTCTAAGTAATTTCCAATCTGGCTTGTCTTTGTTATATTAATTTTTAAATACTTTTCAATTTCTCTGGAAACATGAGGTTCCTTGTCAAAGGTCTATGAGGGGGAGGCTTCAGAGTTTTTACATGTCTATCATTTGCTGGATCATTTAGAAGGTCCATTTTATTAGTATATATTACTTAAATTAAAAAAATTTATACCTTCAAAACATAGTTTACGAAGCCAGTTGATTTGAATAATAGTGAAGAGAATTAATAAAATTAAAAATAAAATTTATATAATCAATAAATATTCCAAAAAATGAGTTGGATTTATTGAATAATACCTCTAGGTAATATCTAAAAAGAAGGATTCAATAGTGTTTCTGGATACATCTAGAGTTCTTCTTAATGCTTTTAGAAATATCACATAATAACAATAAAAGAAAGGATTTGAAGGGAGCCAAAATAAATTGAAATAATAATAAAGAAAAATAATCCCTTTCAAGAGGATTGATAATTCAATGTCAGATGTATATCCAGATATGTGAATATACGCTTTTTGAAAGGAGGAGTAATTTTAGTTTTATATTCGTTTTTAATTCATATTTTATCAGATTAAGTCATTTGAAAGCCAAAATTTTTATTTATATGTTATAAATATTTATAAAATGATAATTTATGGAGCTTTCGATAAAAAATTTAGTAACAACAGAATCAACATGAAACCATTTTAAGTTGACATTTCTCCAAATAGTACAATAGAAGAGTTGAAAGTAAGATTTTCTCATAAATATTTAGATTTTGATTACACTCTAGTTCACAAATCTGTCTCTGGAAGAATTTGATATTCTTAATTCTCAAGGAATTAGATAAAGAGAAATTTCATCAGTACAAGGCCTTTATTAAGAAAGATAGGATGTTATTTAAATATTTGTAGCTAATTCTAGTAATTTAAATGCTGCATGCTGCAATTTAATATGATTTTATTTTCTTATTTTAACACTAAAATATAATAATCAAGATGAACTATCAGAGTCACTTGAAGAACTACTTGAAGATGTCTTTTTCTAGTTTTAGTTTGTTTATTTTTGATCTTCTGATTGCGAAGAAGAAGAAGATCCACTACTACTACTGCTACTAGAACTTCCACTAGAAGATGAAGAGGATGAAGAATCAGATGATGAACTTGAAGTACTTTCCCTCCTATTTTATTTTCTTTTCTATTTTAATATATCTTTAATATTACAGGTGTTTTTGATCTCTTAGTATATCTTCTTTTTGCATGTCTCTTTCTTGAACTTGATCTTTTATGATATCTGTCTGAAGATCTTCTTCTTGATGAATGCTATTTCTTCTTTTTTTCCCTTTCAATCCTTTCTTACTTTTCCTTTTCTCTTTTTTCTTTTTGTTTTTATTTCTCTCTTTATCTTTCTCTTTCTCTTTCCTTCTCTTTTTCCTTTTCTTTTTCCCTTTCTCTCTCCCTTTCTTTTTCTTTCTCTCTTTCTCTTTCTCTCTCCCTTTCCCTCTCTCTTTCTTTCTCTTTTTCTCTTTCTCTCTCTCTTTCCTTTTCTCTTTCCCTCTCTCTTTCTCTTTCCTTTTCTTTTTCTCTTTCTTTCTCTTTTCTTTCCTTTTCCCTTTCTTTATCTTTATTAGTATCTTTTTCTTTTTATTTCTATTATTCTGGTTATTATTCTTGATCCTTTTTTTGGACATCCTTTTCTTTATCTTTTTCCTTATCTTTGTCGAATTCCTTATTTTCATTTTTCTATTTATCTTCTCTAATCCTAGCTTTTGCATGTTCTTCCTTTTATCTTAAATCTCGTTCCTTTTTGATTTCTCTTTGCCTAAGTTTATCTAATCTTTCTTTTTTAATTTTCTCTGTATAATATCTACTTTAATATTTTAATATTACTTTTATCTATCTAATCCAAGACTTTAGCATTTAATCTTCTTTCCGTCGATAATTGCTCTGTGCATGTATTAAGTGGCTTGGGAAGCATCGCCTTCATCGTTGTATGTTATAAAAGCAAACAGAAGCGGAAGCATATTATTTTATTCATCGAACTACATTTCTACATTGGTTAACTTTCCATAAGTTGAGAATATTTCATGTAGAATATCTTAAGTGACATTTCTTGAGATATTCTAAACAAGAAGAAGATTCTTCACTTTCTTTTCCTTAGTTTTCTCCTTAGTTTTTCTATCCTTTGATTTTTCCTTTGATCTCTCCCTTGACTTTTAACTCTTTGACTTCCTTTAATTAATATCTTTCACTTTCTTCTTCTCTTCGCTTGAAGAGGATGACCCCGAAGAAGATGATGAATGAGATTTAGGCATAATAATAATTAATATTAATACAATAATTTTAATCAATATTTAATTTAAAACATCTCTTATTAACTTGTGATTTAGAATTCTTATCGAAAAACCAACAATCGATTCACTCACTTACGTCTCAATAAAGAGAGAGAGTGAGTACTCTTTTTTAAATCATTTTAAGATTTATGATAAAATTAGCAATGTACTCATTTGTAGTTAATTGAAAATGAAGAAAATTATAGAGAATATTTAATGTAAATAGATTGTGAGTGTTATGCTTCCTTGTTCGTTGTTATTTAATAATTCTGATCTTATTCGCTATTTAGTAAATGATTAATTTACAAATGATTTGAGATGTTCTAAAATCCTAATAATAATATAGTGATTCATGAACTCAAGATGGAAAAGGCTTTATAAATGTGAGGAATCATCTTTTTCTCCATAAATAAATATCTCTTAATTATGCAACAATTACCAGCTCATTCAGTTTACTAAGTCTAAGAAAGTAAGGAAACAGCAGATGCTGTTGCTTATGCATTCTTGTCAAACACTGGTGAGCCTGTGCAATATCCATACAAATACCCAAATATTGCAGACGACGATGTCAGAATTAGAATTTTATTTACTGGATTATGTCATAGTGATTGTCTTCATTCTAGAGGATTATGGAATCCAAATATGTACATCTAAATTATAGACTTTAGTAAATACCCTAGTTGCCCAGGACACGAAGTCGTCGGAGAGGTTGAAAAAGTTGGAACAGGAGTCACTAAATTCAAGGTGGGTGATAAAGTCGGATGCAATCCTTAAAGATGGATGTGCTAAACCTGTGAGCAATGCAAGAAAGGAGATAATTAATTATGTTCACAAAACATTGGTTTATATGACGATAACAATTTCGGAGGATATTCAACTCACATTTAAGTTGCCGAAAGAATGGTCTTTAGAATTCCAGAGGGTAATATAAATTATATCATTCTGTAGGATTCAATGACGCATTGGGTTCTCCCCTTTTGTGTGCTGGTGTCACCGTCTATGCTCCATTAAAAAGATACTATAAACCTAATTATACATGTGCCGTCATTGGTATTGGTGGATTAGGCCATTTGGCTGTTTAGTATGCAGCCAGATTAGGCATGACTGTCACAGCATTTACAACTAGCAAAAACAGAGAATAGGAAATTAAGAGATTAGGCGCATCAAATTTATCTAACTCAATTAATTTAGAGAACTTGAAAGCTGAATAAGGAAAATATGATATTGTTATCAACACTCTTTATATTGAAGACGAAGAAGTTTTCAAAAGCCATCAAAGATTAACAGCCCCAACAGGAACATACATCCAAGTTGGAGCTCCTCCTTCAAAGGTCAACTTTAAATTAGACCATGCATATATCATCTTAAATTAAATCAGAGTTGCTGGCTCATTGATTGGCAACTATGATGAAACTTAAGTATTATAATTTTATATTGTCATAGGAAATGCTTGAATTTTCTGCCTAAAATAATGTTTATCCAATTGTGGAGACATTTGACTTTGAAGACTTCCCAAAGGCTTTTGATAGAATGGAAAAGGCTCAAGCCAAATTCAGATGTGTTGTAAATGTTGGAAAATGGGCTTAAGCTAATGGTTTATGGAAATGAGTTTAAATCAAATTATATAAATAATATCCAAATTCGATATCCTTTTCTATTATTCAATGGGTCTCTTAATGAGGTTAGCAATTGTCAAAACAATTGTTCTACCACTCTAATTTTCTCTAGAATATAAATATTTAATCATATAGTATTATGGCATAAAATTCAGTAATGTAAAAAAGTCTTCAAGAAATGAAAAGATCTCTAATGCTTTAAAAAAATCAACAGCATAAATAATATTAATTTTTAAATTATAACCAATAGAGTTAGCTAATCAACAACATTTCTTTTATTTATCCTATTCTCCTTTTGGAATAGTGGATTCTGTTAATTTGATGTTATTCTTTTCAATTGATTCTGTTGGTTGCGATAACTTTGTAATTTCTAAGGAATTATGATCATAATATAATATTACCAGTTGCCAATGATTCAAATGCTTGCTATATACCAGTGCCATCCTTAGCACTAGTTTCCAAATATGCCAATTTGTGCTCAAAAGCGAACTAAGCAGCTTCTTGTTTACTAACTTATCTTTGATCTGAAAGATCTACTTTATTTGCAACAAGCATTATGACGATTGAGGAGGTGTTTTATTCAATATCCTAATTAATTTACATGTATCTTAAACTTTAAGCCATTTATCTAAATTTTCGAATGAACTTCTATCCGTGATATCAAAAATTAATAATGCTCCTGCAGCTCCCTTGTAATAAATATTGGTTAAAGCCCTGTATTATTCCTTAAATATATGTGCATGTTACTGCTCCACAAGTATCCCAAATCGCCAATTTAATTTCCTTCCCCATAATGTTTACATTTTTCTATGCAAATTCCACCTAAATTCAGATTTAGTTATACTCCTATAGTTATTTTATGCCCTTCTTCAAATTTATCAAATGCAAATCTGGTTAGTGTATTTGACTTTCCTACTCTTGGATCACCTTTCGATTGTTAAAATACATACCAACTAAAACTATTTTAAAAGTGGATGGTTTCATTAAAAAAATAAAACAATATTTTATATAATAAGCAATTTAAATTAAATTAATTACTAATATATCAACAATAGAATTAGAGTAATTTGTCAGATCAAATTCTATATTTTCAATATTCCTTGTGTTGATATAAATGTAATACTAATAAATTAAAAACAATTTATAAAAAATATCAATATACCTACATATCTCTCCTTATTACAGGTTAATTAAAGCAAATTATTGATTTTATATTATGTTCTTTGAATTAAATTGGATTTGATACACTTTAGAGATTATAAGCCTTTTTGATTAAATAGCAAATAAAATATCTTGTAAGGGATTAAATAGAAGATAATAAAAGCCCTACTGTTGATAAATTCTAGAACTAATTAAAGAATTATCCATTTTCACTACTTTCTTATTATTGAAATATTGAAAAACTATTAGGTAACTTTCCGATAAAACCTTTTAGATAATTGCTCTATAATAAATTAGCATAGATATGGATTAAGAAATAGAATAAACCTAAAACAACATCGATAAAGCAAGATGCTGTCAATATTGATAATAAATATTTTTAAAGTCTTAACCATAAGATTAATATATATATTCTCATAATTAAATTACGTTAAAAATGAATACAGTTTGCCAACAAAAGACTGCTACTCCTTGTAGATTTGAAACAACTCAATCGTATCTTCTTGAATAATCACCTAAAATATAGTATAGAAGAGTAAATTCTCCAGGTTTACCTGATTGCTCTTTTAGAAAGAGTCATAAATCATCAGTTGATAAGCGGAATTACATGACTTTGGGATAGATGGATATTTAATAATTATTGAAACCTACTAGATCACTTGAAGAGAGCCCTGAACAAAAGTTGAAATGTTATTATGCGAAAGAAGAGGAAACTCTAGATCATTATTAGCATTCTTTCAATCCATAGCAATATATGAGTTTGAAGGAGGACAAGGAAATATAAGTAGAAGAGAAACCTTTTGAATCTCCACCAAAAATGGAAGTATTTCAGAAACCCCAATTAAGAAAGCAAATGAAAATGGTTGATAAAATTGAAAGTGACAAGGTGAGCGTTGAGATATTTATGTCTGAACAAGATGAGAACTCCCTTATTTTTACAGGTATTACAAAACGAATACTGCCATCTCCTGAAGAAAACAAATAAATCTTAATGCAGAATTTACAATAGTTGTTCACTTCAATTGACAAAAGTACAAATTCAAATAAATTCTAAAATTATATAAAGATGGAATCCTTAGAACAATCAGTATTCCATTAGCATTTAAACAAGTCAACTTAACAGGATTATCTTTCAATCTCTTCTGCACAATCTATTAAATAGTAAAAGTGCTCTTCTCAAACCAACTTTAGAAGAAACTCAGCAATAGTACCTAAATAACAATCAAAATGGAACAATTCAACCAAAGCTGATAAGTTAAAAAATACTTGTTTCTCAAATAAACAATCAAAAAGTCCCTTTCTAAAAGCTCAAAATCCAAAGGTCTAAATTAATAAACCAAAGTTACAGCAAGTAAATCTTAATATCCAGTCTCCTCAAAAAGTGCCAACTCAAAAGAAATAAACACAATAGAATAGATCAACCGTTTAAAAGGTAAGATCTTTTCACATCACTCCAGAAAAAGTAGACGATTGCATCTATGACGAAAGATATTTTAAATGAAAATTTTATATATATATATCTATATGTATAATCATAATACTTCACTTGATTTAAATAATTCTTAAACCATTTTACAACTTAAATTAATCACTGAACCTATATGAGTAACTCCAACCATTGGAACCTCAAAATTCATAAATCCATGTGATAAACAATTAAAGATATCCATTTTAATATCATGATGCAACTTTCTCATCTTGTTAACAAATCGTATTGTGTCTCCTGTTAAACTATCTTTGGCCCCACAAATAATGCGTATCTTAGGCAACCTCAAAATCAATAAATAAAATACTTCGCCAAGAAAGAATCATCAGCAATTATCGGACTAATATATGGATCAGTATCTGGATGTTCTTTTCCACTATTTAAATATTCCCGTAATACTACAACCAAAATTGTTGTTGGAGCTATTTGATCTATCAATCCATTTAGTAAATACGGATTGAAGATTTTGAAGTTTAAATTTACAACAGGATAAGGTAAAAATAACCCATCAGGTATTCTGATTCCGATTTTAATGGCACGATAGCAAATACCAAGGGCCATGTTACCACCTGCAGAATCACCTGCAAGAATTAATTACTTCAAATTTATATTCATGTAATATTTGCTAAAATAGAGCTAATATACTGAAGAATTCTTACAATCCAAAGGTATAACTACCATACATCTTCAAGTGCATATGGATAGGGGTATTTTGGAGCAAGTCGGTAATCAATACTAAATACCACACAATCTTCCCCTACATGGTTAGCCCACTTTCTGGTATAAGTTTAATGACTAAAGGATGACATCCCAACCCATCCACCTCCGTGAATTTGTAAGATCACTTTCGTTATTTTACCATCTATTCCTGGAGATGTTCCTTCAAAAATGTTATTATGGTCTTTGCTTATGTTGGCTATTTATTTTACTATATGTTCTTCATCGATTTTTGATCTAAACACTTCCTTATTCGCTGATAAGACTCTCACTTTTATTTTATTTTATCTATCCTTTCGAAAAAGAGATTCTGTTAATTTTTCATATAAGTGATCTTCTATAAAATCAAACCCCTGAAATTATTCTTGCTGGTATAATGTTCCATTCTCAATCTCTTGATTTATTCTTTCCAAAGTAAATGTTGGTTTGAATAAATAAGGAACATATATTTTCTAATGAGATTGTACCTTAGTCATTGAATATTTCATAAAATTCTTTAGTACTGGAGCTTTGTCTTGAATGCTCCATAAATTTTAAATGAATTTAACAGAAGGATTTGTCATTTCCTTTAGTTTAATTTGCTTTGCTTTCTCTATATTTGTTATGAGGAAGGCTCCTCCCAAATTTTAGAAGATCATACTCAAAACAGGTAGCTTAATCATATTTCCTAATTTTGCATATGCACAGCCCACTGAGATGTAATCGTTAAACTTTTCAAATTGCAAATCTAAGATCTCTGGATCATCAAGCTATATTTGTGTTTTCAAATTACATCAATAAACTGAATATACTTAGCTAAATGAGCCCATTCTTGATGAGTGTTGCTTAAGCAATAGATATCATCCAATGGAACCCTTGGGATATTCGGCAAAAATTCTCTTATCTAATTTATTAAATTAATGCAATACTATTTAAAGTCTTCTTATTACATAATCAATCTCCAATTTGTGTTTTTGTAGTTCATATTCAAAATTTTTAAATTACAAGACTTTTTCTAAAAGTAGGAGAAAAGGATGAATAATTTTATGATTTATAAATTGCGCACTCTACTCCAATAAGGGATGATGACATTAATTTTATTCAAATTACTTCTGGGTTTCATCTAATTGAAGTAACCACTCAATAACATCTGGGTTTTATGTATTGAAGTGTTTCATAATCAATTGACATTTCTACAAATAATAGATAGCATCGATTATGCCTTCTGAATGCTACACACTCTTCATACAAATAATTTAATAATTTAAAAATTGTCCAATATAAATTCAATAGCGCAATTTAACTCAGCTTATATTCTATAATAATTTAAAGTAGATTGATATTGCTTATATATGTTTCTAATGAAATTGCTTTCATAACAAAAACATATTGAAATTGAGTATTTACTTTTGCATAAAAATAATTAAAATTTCCAACAGCATAAAAGTTGCATATGAATTCTGAATAACACAAACAATTGTAAGAATGGAAATTAAAATACGTGAAGTTGAATCCAATTTTGCTTATATTCATGGGTATTGATGTGAAAATACAGAAGGTTTGGTATTGATTGCATTTGGAATTGTATCACAAACAGTTGACATAAATTATGAGTATATATCTACTAGATATGATGAAATTTGTGCTGAAAAAAATCAATGTTCTGTAAATTTAAGTAATCAATAAACCTAGATTGACATTGATGTACCATCCAAGATGAAATCTCCTGTATTTTTTTCATATGAGGTTTCCTCCTTTTTCTAAAACACAGACAAATACTTCAATAGCATCCCTTATGATTAATTATACGGAGATTCCGATTTTGATACTTCAATTTGTGATCAATATAAAACCAATTTGGAAATGGGGTAGACTTTAAGTGTAACAGGAAAACCCTTATCTTAAGATGACGTAGCCATTCCATGTGGTATTGCTGCTTATTCTTACATGAATGGTATTGTTGAAAGATTTATTATTTAAAGATGAATTTCTTTTGATTAAAGATGGCAATCAAATTTCAATAACCGATAAAGGTATATCATGGGAATCAGATAGAGAAAAGTTTACAAACATTAACTTAGACAAGCAATGGATTGATATGGAATCTGGTAATTCTTTTCATTTAAATTAGAAAGATTTATCAATTGGATGAGGCCATCTCCATTAAGCAGGTTCCGAAAATTATGGGGTAGAATTGATTAAGACTTAGAACCTGGTACATACACAGTTAGCATTAAGATTAGTAAGTCCTAAATTGATTAATCAATAGAAACTAATGACGCGTTTGCTGAAACAAAAAAGTATGTTCTTTTACATAACAATGGATAATTTTCAGATCCAATTTTGGTGATAACATTACCTTGTCTCTGTGTGGGACCATTTTTAATAATTTTTGGCCTAATAAATGTAATTTATTGGGGGAAGAAATAAAATTTGATTAAAAAATACAGAATTTATTGATTGCCTTACTTATTCCCATAATATAAGTTGTTATTTATATTATTAAATTAATAAATAAAAAAATATAATTATTTATACCTTCTTTGATCAAAGATTAAATTGGATTATATTCCACTTTAATCGCAACTAGAAGGAAATACCAAAAAGCACTCAAGCGTTTGATCCCTAATGTATTCTTAAAAATGCATTAGGTTCATGACCTTGGAACATTAATAATATTTTTGAATTAAGATTTTAAATAAAATCAAGATTGGCAGGGATTTTCATTCTTTATGATGACATTGTTTATTTTAATGATTGGTTTTGAATGTGTGCGTACTCTATAAGTTCTATTTTCTGAGAGTATAGTTGAAGGTTTTAATTTAGTGACAGAAAACTATTTGGAATTTTGCAATAGAATGATCTTTGGTATTACAACTTTGGTTTTTAGATTTGGAATCTTATAGATATTATTTATTTTATTTATCTCGTCCATCAGATAGTCGGATTCCTATTAAATTAAGGATGGAAGATTTCTTTTTCTTTTTAACTCAACCAGTTATTCCTTAATGAATTGATTAAGTTGATGATTATTGATTTTAGAGTGGTTTTGAGTGAAGGATAGAGATCGATTTTAGTGGATTTTATGGGGATTATTTTAGACATACATTTATTAATATTAATGAGTTATCAAAATCATCCCTAAAAGTTTCCTTTTGATAGTTAAGGTCCGTAAGGGTAGCCGCAAGTCCCATTGTTTTAGTAGGTGTACTTTGCTCAACAGCAATAAATTTATGGATTCGAATAATAACAATTCCCATCGTTGAATTATAATGGGTATGGCTATTATGTATAGCCACAAAGTAATAAAGTTATTTGTAAGTTCAGTGCCCCAATATAATATTCCTCCTCAACAACCTACCCCTGTTGATAGTCTAAGCAGTAATAGTATTAGTTTGAGTGGTATTTGAATTTTGTATTTTGTATGATCAGATTAGGGAGCAAAAAAAAAGAAGAAAAACAAGTCTGACAAATCAAAGAAAGACAAAAAGAAAAAGAGAAAGCGAGGTTTAATTTATCCTAATTATTAAAAGCCAGTAGTAGTAGTTCTTCTTCTAGTAGTAGTGATTCTAGTAGTAGCAGTAGCAAGAGCCGTAGTAAGTATGATTATTTTATATATCTAAATCTCTTTGTAGAAAAAAGAAAAAACCTCTATCCTTTTTACATAACGAGGATAATTGGAAGTGCAAGTATTGTTATAATATCAATTTCCCCCATCGTACAGAGTGTAATAGATGTAAGAAAAGTAGAGAATAGGCTGTAAAAGTATTTCATTAACTCTCTAACATCTTTTCTTAGGACGACAAAGGCAAGAAGTATGTTCCAAATCCTGACGATTGGAAATGTAACATTTGTGGAAATTTTAATTACGCCAGAAGAGATAAATGCAATAGATGTAAAGAAGATAAACCAAAAGCCACAATGCCTTAACAATCCGCATAATATAATTAAGTAAACTGAAGTATTTTCCTTTGCATTTCACATATCAAAACATAATTTTAATTCTCATTCTGCTGCTTTTTCTTTCTATCCATTAATCTTTAGTTAAGTTTATTCTGATTTGAGCATTCCTTCAAAATATGCAAAATCCCAATTTAACATATTCAAATACACAACCTAAATAATCACAGATACTAACGACAGTTTTTATAAAATCTAGAAAATTCCTTAATGCTTAAAAATCCTTAAATTGCTTTGGGATTGATTATACTAAATTAACCTATCTCCTTATTATACTATTCCCTAAACTTACTAAGTATTTACAAGAAGAACCCGGCTCTTATAGTAATTTTGAAACTATTGAATTTTTGATATAAAATTAAAGTATTATTTTGTAATATAACCTCATGTGAACCAATTGTATTCGAAGAAATTTCAAATAATCAATTACTTATATCGCTTAAAAGTTTGCCAATAGATTTATTTCCAAGTAATTTGACATTCTTTTACCTAACATATTTGATGTTAGTAGAATACAATTTAAATAGAAAAAAAGTTTTTACTCTTTTAATAAAATGTTCTTGTCAAAAAATATGTTTATGTACTCTGTCCTAATTTATTCTAACTTTTGAAAATATACCCTAATTTACAATAAAAATCATAAAAATCTGACTGTTAATATTTATATTAAATGTAGCAACATTATTCTTAACAACTTATCCCTTAAGGATATTAATAGCCCTAGAGAAATGCTTCAAATTCTCCTCTTCAACGAGTTACTCCTCCTCAACCTTTTACACCTACCTAAGGCTAACCAAGATAAAAATATGAAGTCGAAGCTAATAATCATCACTCAAGAGATTTGAGAGTTAATAATAGATAAGCTAGCAATCTGCCTAATGGATAAACTTATGAAAAGATGGAGTAAAGAATTTAAGCTTTGGAAAAAGAAAACTAGAATCTGAAAAAATAACTTGAAAATGCTAATAATCAAATTCAAATATTAAATCAAAAAGTTAATTAGAATCCAAGTCAATGTCTTCTTAAAACAACTACCTTCGAGCTTGTTGTTCTTTAAAAAGCTGTTGAATAATTAGAAGGTTTGAAGAATGGATTAGCTAAAAAAAAGTAGTTAGGAAGCAACAATCAAACAACGCTTCTTGAATCCTAAAAAGATGGAGCTAGTGAACTTAAGAGCAAAGTAACATTGGCAGAAGATAAAAGTAGTTAACCAATTTAATAATCATAAGTAATGAATTTATATATTAATCAAAGGCTAAGCTGTTATTTCCGAAGGAACAAAATGTCTAAAATTAATTATCTAATCCTCCAAATAAAGAGGAAACGAAAGAAGAAACAAGATTGGGAAGAAAAGTACTAGGAAATACATAATCGGATTAAGTTGATGAGAGAACAAAGACCAGTCCAATTAAATATCTAAATGTAAAAGCTAGTGCCAATTAAATATCATTAAGGATATCTCCTAAAGCAAGATCAGAAATATCATAAAACTGATAAAATATGTATCTAAGTAATTATCCTACCTTTCGAAAACTAGTTGTTTAAAATTATCTTAATATTAATATATCAATATCTTATTCTAAATAAGGAATTGAATCTTGAAAAATAAAATAATATAGTAACTCATCTCTTACTTTTCTTCTTTTTTTTTGATTTTTTTTTTTTAGCAAAAGGATCAACTTTCATTCCAAATCCAGGTGGTGGTAATGAATTGCCTTCTGGATCCTTGAGATTTATTGGATCCGGTATCAACAAAGCATTAACTAATTTTTAAACTGGAACAGCAACTCCTTTTTTAGCCAATCTTAATTTTATTTCTTCAATTTCCTAATTTTTCAATATTTTATATACTTTTAATTAATCATAGCGAACTTAATCCAAAGGCTGAGCAGCTAATATAGCAGACAAAGGTCGTTTTTACTTTTGGGTTAAAGTTTGATTTTTTCCATAGATTGACATACTTTGCTCGGGCATAAGACGATTAGCTTCATCTTCTTCTTATAATCCAATAATGTTTCCATGTAACTTCTTTATTTTGTTGATATTATGCTTTGATATATTGGATTCAAGTCCTCTATAATCAGTATTATTCATAAATTTTGGTTCTTTCTAATAACTAGGTAACTTTTCATTTAAATTTCTAGGTTAACAAGTTTAAGGTCTAATTTTCTTTTGTTATCGTCTTTATCCATCATCATCAATCAATCCTGTTTATCCATCAATTTCTATATTATTTTATATAATCTCCTCTTCTTCATCTGATAGATCACTTAAATCATCTTCCCATTTTGATTTGTTCTTGGTCAAACTCAATTAATGATTTTTTTGGATCTGAACAATTAATATATATAGAAATTACTTTATTGAGTTCCTTGTAATCCTTCTCCTTATTTTGCCTCTCCTTCATTTCTAACTCTCTGAATCTATTTCCATAAGTAGCACTCTCTATCCTCCTATTCATTTCCCTTTCAATCCTAGCTTTATTGGAAGACCATTAATGCATCATAGCAACTAATTCTTCATCCTCTCTTTTTTACTATGCTTCTTTATTTCTGAGTTTCTGATATTTATTCTAAACACTCAATTCATCAGGTTGATTTGAATTTTAATACTATTAAAAACCATCTCTGGTTTCAAAATTTAAGTTTCTGGGTTTCTAATTATTCTCTACTTATTCATCATCCACAAACACTTTAATCTAAGGTTCTAGTGTTCTTTCTTTCTTCTTAGCTTCCTCTTATTAAATGATTAATTTAGCCTCATTCTCAGCTTATCTAGCAGCCAAATCTTCCTCATTTAATAAAGCCTCATCATTATTATCTACTAAATCCCCTTAAATTACTTCTTCATCTACATCTTCTACTATAGCTGCAGGTTTAGCAGACTTTATTGGTTTTGGAAATGTTGATTTCATTTTAATTTTACCTGAAGTATCCACAGCACTTTAAGGTCTTGGGGCTTAAAAATTCTGGATGATTCTTCTTTTGTAATTACTCAAACGTTGATCAGGAGGAGGCATTGAATCATGCTTTGTTCTAAATCCATTTTGATAATCATGCAATTAATCTGAGATAATATCTCCTGGCAGCAAAGTTCCTTTACTATATTGAGATTCTTTCTTTAAAATATTTCAAATAATTGAATACCATTTAATCAATTCGAATAATACCAGTAACTCCAGAATCAGGTCTATCTGGATGAGTTTATTCAATAGTTGTTTCGGCATATCCGTCTATCACTGTAGTTGGATATCCAGATTATGGCCTCATGCTTTTAATAGTAAGAGCACTTTATGGTCTCTTGGCTTAAGTTACACTACTAAATGGTCTCTTAGTCTATCCTGTTGGTGGTCTAGTAGGTCCAGAATCACTGTCGAGTTTACGACTTTAATAATCCACTTTGGTTATTGTTTCCAAAGCCCAATTGTAACACCTTGTTATGAATTTTGCTTGCAACTCTCTATTACGCGTGAAGAATGATATCTCTCTTATTATACTGGCTAAAGAACGAAAAAACTATAATCTCCACATTCCATTACGTATTCTAGCATTCCTTTGCTAGGCATTTAAGACCTGATGAACTGAAAACTGTTACTTCTGCATTAAACATCTCAATCATGGTTATCATACCTTGGTACTCCTCATTATTATCCAAGAATGCTGATTTACACTTATCAACAGTAACTGTTTCATAATAATGCATAGTTTCCCAAGTATTTACTTTGAAATTTTCCATCATCTATTAATGTGATACTATCCGCTCTTATAGTTATTGGAACTCCTCAAAAGTGTAATCTCCTTTTCCCTCAAAAGGCAAGACTTCAAACATCAATGGTACATCATCATCATCATATTTAATTATTGAATGATGGATTAGTTATGATTATTGAAGCATTATTTAATAATAATAATAAAAATCAGATGAATTTTTTATCCAACTTGTATTTTATCTAATCTTTCTCTCTAGTATTAGATGATTACTAATTGTATTCTCTCTAATTGGCAACTATTTTATCATAAAGAATTTTACTCTTATTATAAGGTGTAGACTTATTTAGTGATTCAAAAAATAACTCTCTATTTGATGGCTTGTAAGTACTCTATAACTATTTTCTTAACTCGTCAACTCTATTTGTTTCCGGAGTCTTTCTTCGATCCTATAAAAATCTCTAATTGTCAGACAAAACCCCTGATTATTCACTTCTTTGGTTTATTAATTAAAATGGCTGTTTCTTGGGATTTCCTAATTCTGAAGCCTTAAAACTTTGAACCTATTTTTATGGAGAACTTTGCTTTTGTTGTCTATAATTAAATAAAATGTCCTTGCTTGTTTCCTCAACTATTTTTTTGATTAATGCATACCTTTTGGTTTAATATAGTTAAAGTTTAACTTAGGCGATACGTCTCTTCTAATGAATGTATTAGGATAATCCTTATATTGTTCCCTATTTTTTAAAATAGATATTCCATCTCCTATTCTGCTCTTATTATTTATCTTATATTATTCCAATTCCATTCTTAGCTTATCAATATCAAATTTTGAATTATTGTTTTAATATGGCTGAAGTTTTTATGATGGGTTTTTGTTTAAGTTTCTATCATTTTAAATATCAAGTGAGGTTAATGGACGATAATTTGAAATATAATCACTTGCATTTTTAGATAATTTAGGCTAAACATTATTTTTAGGACTAAAAAATGAATGCTATTATTAATTAGTATGCATCCATGTTCTATCTCCATCTAAAAGACTTTGTTTTTTTGAAAAAATAGTTGGACTTTATTATCTTTTTTGCAATTGTACAATGTCATTCAAATAAAACTTTCGTTTTTAAGAATGTTCTTGATCATGCATAGATTAGTATTATTATTTAGGAAGATACTAAAATGAATTCACTTGTTAATGAAGATCATTTGAAGGAAAACGTTTAGATTTATCACCTTTATCGTAATTCAAAAAGGAAGGTATTTTGCTCAATTAATTATTAGTGAATGGCTTATATTCATCAGGAGATCTCTATTGTACTGGCCTTTAGTAGTATGAGTTATAATATTTTCCCAATCCACTATCAGTAGATTTACGTTCTGCAGATGTTTGACGTTCATAAATATTAAAATTGAACTGTTTTTTCATATCTATAGAATTTGAGTCTAACTAGTAATTTGAATTTTAATTCTTGAACTTCATTCGATCTTCACGTCTTTTGGACATAATGCTGTTAAATTAATTAAAAATATAATTTATAATATATTGGATTATTTATACCTTAAAATCTAATTTACAGCAATCACTTAATTTGATTTTTAGAATCTAACGAAGAGGTACTTATGCGCATTTTAAAAGCTTAATTATGAAATAGAAATATCAAAAATTACATAATTTCTATTTAGATTATAAAATTATCCTTATTCATTTACATTTGCCAATGCTATTTACCTATTTATTTAAGATCTGCTTAAAAAGAAGTAGTGTGAAATAAGGTTTAATTATAAAATGAAATGTGATCTTTAAAGAAGCTTACATAAAAAGTTTACAATCTGTGGCAACTGGCAATCTTCAAAATTAGCTTATACGTGAGTATATATATTGGTGAGAAGGATGGTTATTATAAATATCCTAAAAATATCGTGAAACTCTTTAGTACATGAAAATATTAAGTTAAAATTTGTGGAAAAGAGAATACAATTTAATTTTAATTATTTAAAAATATTTAGAAGATAAATAGAATTATTATTCCTAGCTCCTGATCACCAAGCTTTTCAAGGGTGCAAAATAATCATTAACTGAACTTCTATTCAGTAAAGTGATTTTAAATAAGGGTAAGACTCCACACTAAAAGTTAAATTTGTACCATTTATTCATAATTGAAAACAAGATTAGGAGTAGAAAATATAAAGTAGAAAACAATAATGTTATTTTAAATAATTGCTCTCCTTAAAAATAATAAATAATTATATTAGTCATCTCAAAATAACATCAATTTTAATGGTTATAACTAATTAACTAATACTAACAATATTTATCTAAATATGTATCTTTCTCTTATATATATCTGTTAGTTATAAATTAAATTTAATATAAATTTTCAGTTTTTATTAAGCTTAGGCATATAAATAAATTCAACTATCATAATAATTAATTTGTTGTTATTTAGGATCTTTATACTCATCCCAATCAAGAGGCTTGATATCCTCTTCATGATCCAACCACTTGATACGTCTACCTCCTTCCCACAATCCCAATTAACTCCTTCCATTAGGCAATGTGTATCGACCTTTTCCAGCTTACTTCCCATTAACCCAATATCCCTCATATTCTTGAATTAATTTATTGATAAATACTTCGCCCATCTGGCCAAATGTAGACTCCATAACCCTACTTCCTATCATTTAGGTATTCTCCATTATATTATCTTCCATCTTGCCAAATATAAGTACCTCTTCCATTCATTTAACTATTTCTCCACTCGCCCTCAAATTTCTTAATTGAATATAAATTTTACTCTACCATCAGCCCAGTAATGAACTCCGAATCCATTCATCATATTGCCTTCCCAATTTCCCATGTATATAGACCCATCACTCCAAAAATATTTTCCAAAGCCATTCTTCTTTCCATAGCTATAATTTCCCTCATATCTAGAATAATCAACCCAATTTTCAATTCCATACCCATGAGGTTGATCATTCAACCATTCTCCTTCGTATTTAGCCCCATTAGCATGCAGATATATTCCTCTACCACAAGCTTTATCTTCTTTCCATTATCCTTCATAATAATCACCTCCTAAATGCCAGAACTTTCCCTTTCCATCAACTTTGTTATTCTTCCATTCTCCCTCATACTTAGCACCGTCTACCCAAAGTTGAACTCCATACCCATCTCTTTATTAACCTATCCATTCACCTTCATAAGATGCTCCACTTTTAAATATATATTTGTTCCTTTTTTCTCTCTATTGACAATTTGATTTGCTTCCTAAGGTTTCTAAAATATCTTCATGATTTCTGAGTGCCATTTAATCTTTCTTCCTCATACTATCACTATTAGACTCTAAATATTAAATGTGAAATTTACAAGAAGTTAAATTTATCTCCATTTTCTTTTCTGTCTATGACTAATCTTGAAACTCATGTTCAATATGATCTTAAATTGGCTATTTCGATTCCTTTTATTCTTCATTCAATATCTTTTCTTAATAATCCTCTTCCTCGCAATCCTACTAATTATTCGAATAATGATGTAGGGTTTATTAATGAAATTCACTAACCAAAATTTCGTCCTTCCTTTAACAACTCTAACAACTCGAGCATTGACTTCCCATGTTCTAAATAAAAATCTACTTGGGCTTAATTTAAAATAAATAATATGAAATCTCAGAGTATAAAATTATCAACTGAAATCATAATGAAATTATAATTTTTCTTGTAAAAAATCATTGACTAAAGGAGAAATTTGAAAAAAATTAACGTAACTAAATTATTTTAATGTCTACAATTTTACAGACATATACATGCTTAAGCATTTATACAGATCTCTCTATTGCTTAAATTGTCATTATTTTATGATTGCATATTCACGAAATTTAAATCTTCCTACTTAATTGATGCGTTAACCTTGTCTTAATCTAAACTTGAATCAAAACTTAAAAAAAGATATTGAAATTATAATGCTAAGAAATTTATAATTCTTCTTGTTTCAACATGGTACAAGAAAAAGAGATAAGAAAATTATAACGATACCTTCTTTATAGAATATATAAAGATCATGAACATGCTTTATAAGGAGTGTGAGCAACTACTTTTCCGCAATAACTGCATTAATGATAAACGTCTTTGCAATCTCCAGATAATAAAGGTATTAAACCTAGACAACAAAAGAATAGACATAATAATAGGGAAACCAAATATGTATTATTACCTGGTTTATATGTAATTGTTGTAATTGAATGTTAATTACAAAAAGGACATTAAAGTAATACAGGAGTTCTAGATCCAGATGCACTCTATGCTACTTAAGTAGTCTAAATATTATTATTTATATCATACATATGGAATATATGGAGTTTGAATTACTAGTCCTGTTATTTATTATTATTATTACTATTATTATTATTATTATTATTATTACTATTATTATTATTATTATTATTATTATTACTAATTATATGGATATTATTATTAATCTGCTTAAATATTTAATTGTTGATAAGGATTAATTAAATATGGTTATTAATTAATTTATTATTATTAAGTTCCTTAGACTTAAGGAGCATAATATTGATTATTTGATTATTATTATTAGGCAGGTAATAATGGCACATTATATGCTACATAGTCTTAAGCTGTATTTTATTTATCCATTTCTGTATTGTTTATTTATTATTATTATTTTAATCAAATTAACTACTTATATACCAAAATATATTCTATGTTGTTTATTAAATATCTATATTTATTTATTTAATTTATTTTAATATCAATCTACTTAATCAACTTATAAACCTTATCCATCCATACCATTTGAACCTTATTATTATACTCTTTACATCATTCCATTAAATATCAATTCAATATCTTTTTATTTATTAGTGTAGTCATTCCTTTCACCATTTGGATTACATTCAATCCATTTTGTCGTTTATTCAATTAGTTACTCTAGCTTTTATATTTCTTCTAATGCAAATTTGCCTCTAAATTTTTCATCTTTTATGGTATTTTTAACTTAGTATATTATTTATTCAAGGCTGTTCTTGGCTTCAATCTTTGATTTGATGATATCATCTTCAGCTTTAAATTGTTCAGCTTCCTTAACTAATTTTTCAATATCATCTTTTGATAATCTACCCTTTCCATTTGTAATGGTGATTTTTTATGCATGTTTTGTAGCCTTATCTTCAGCATAAATGTTCATGATGCCGTTTTCATCAACATCAAATGAAACTTCAATTTATGGAACTCCTCTTGGTGCTGGTGCAATGCCATCTAAATTGAATGATCCCAATTTATGACAATCTTTTGACAATTATCTTTCTCCTTCATAGACTTGAATCGATACACCTGATTAATGATCAGCATAGGTTGTAAATATCTATGATTTTTTTGTTGGGATAGTAGTATTTCTCCCAATCAACACAGTCATGACGCCACCAGCAGTTTCAATACCTAATGACAAAGGTGTGACATCCAAAAATATCATATCTTTAACTTGTTGGTTACCTTAATTAGTTAAAATCGCAGCTTAAACGGCTGCACCATAGGCTACAGCTTCATCTGGATTGATAGATTTGTTCAACTCCTTTCCATTAAAATATTCTCTCAACAATTCTTGGACTTTTGGAATTCTTGTTGATCCTCCAACCAAGACAACTTCATGAATTTGATTCTTGGAAATACCAGAATCTTTAAGTACCTTTTCAACAGGAGGGATACATTATTTAAACATTTATATGCACAGTTCTTCAAATTTAGCTCTACTGATAATACAATTAAAATCTTCGTTAGCATCTAAAGCATCGACCTCTATCGTAGTTTAATTGGCTGATGAAAGAACTCTCTTAGCTCTTTCACATTATGTTCTAAGTCTTCTCAATGCTCTAGGGTTTTTTCTGATGTCAATACCTTTCTTCTTCATGAATTCAGCACAACAATATTCAACAAGCTTGTTATCAAAATCTTCACCTCCCAAGTGAGTATCACCAGCTGTGGCTTTGACTTCAAAGACACCATCTTCAATAGCCAATAAGGAGACATCAAAAGTACCTCCTCCTAAATCAAAGATAAGTACATGTTCTTCTTGCTTAGATTTCTTGTCTAAACCATAAGCAATAGCAGCAGCACTTGGTTCATTGATAATTCTCAAGACATTCAAACCAGAAATTGCTCCGGCGTCTTTGGTGGCTTATCTTTGAGAATCATTGAAATAAGCTGGAACAGTGATCACAGCCTTTGAAACCTGCTTGTTTAAGTAGGCTTCAGCCGTTTCCTTCATTTTTGTTAAGACCATTGATGAGATTTCTTCTGGGTGGAATTTTTTGTTTTCTCCTTTGTATTTAACAACAATGATTGGTTTATCATCTGCACCGGCTTCAACTTTGAATGGCCATAATTTGAGATCTTATTGAACAGTAGACTCAGAAAACTTTCTTCCGATTAGTCTTTTAGCATCAAAGATTGTATTCTATGGGTTTCTTGCAACCTAGTTCTTAGCTGCATCACCAGTAAGTCTTTCAGCATCATTAAAGGCAATATATGATGGGGTGGTTCTATTACCTTGATCATTTTAGAGGATTTCAACTCTATCATTCATCCAAACACCTACACAAGAGTAAGTTGTTCCTAAATCAATTCCTATAGCAATGGGTTAAGCCATAATTCTTATGTTCTATTCTGTTTTATTAAAACCATCTACATCCTACTTTTGCTTTTAAATGCATTTTTAGAACTTTCTAGAAAAATCTTTTTTTAATTTAAAGTAAATTTTTTTTCTAGAACTTTCTATTTTTTTAAATATAAATTCAATTAATCTTTTTATACCATTAAATTTTATTTATTCATTTAATTTTAACAAAAACTTATATGATTTTTAAATTAGATACTTAACATTTTGAATTTCAAATTGATATTTGAAAATAATGACATGCCCATATTTTTTGCATTTAATTTATATTTATTTAATGTATGGAATATAAACAAAATTTTTCATATAAAAAATTGCTTAATTAATGTTTAAAAATAGAGAGAAGATGATCTAATGTCAATGATAACTAAATAAATCATAGATTATAGATTTAAATTTTTTAATTTATACAGATAAATACTAAAAATTTTTTTTTTTAATTCCTTTCTTCTACACTGATTTATATCTATTCTTGAGTAATAAAATATAATTATTATGAAATACCAAAATTGAAGCTTATTCAATCTATAATACTTGTTTCACTATTTCTCAACCAAACCACACTATCTCATAATAATTTTATTATAATTTCTCATGGGATTCATATTCAAATATTTAAATAAATTTAAAGGTATAACGAAAACTTTTTGCTAAAGCCGTGATTTCTGGGTATATAGGCCGACGATATATATGAATAATTAGTGTTATGTAATTAATCATTCCATATAAGGAAATTAATTTTTAAAAGTAAATACATTATCTAACATGATCAGAATTGTATTGATATTTCTTTAATTAATATATTTTGAAGTAACAAAATTATTAGAAATATTTAAATAATATAATTCGTGGCAAATGACGTTCGATTATTAATTAGAAATGCTGATTTTGAATTCTAATGGAACTAATTCGTGTTAATCATCAATTAAAACTGAAATTGATAATTTAACTTCTGCTTCAGCAAACGCCGATAGTAGCTAGGCAGAGGAAAAAATTAACTTTAGAAATGAAATACATTCCTCAATACCTCAAAATAATTTACAAAAAACAATTAATAATTTTACTAGCAGCTGTAAAAATGAAACAGAAGATTGCAAAAAGTGTAAAAAAATTTAAAAAGATCTGAAAAAACAAATCAAATAATAAAACATTAGAGAAACGAACATTTATTATGAATAATTACAGAATGAATTATATAGAAAAGCTTTGCTAAGACTAAAAGAAGGAGATCAACCTATTAAACAAAGGATTCTTGCAGCATACCGATGTATGGAACTTAAAGTTAATGATTCAGCCTTGAAATACGCTTAAAGGTATTGCCAAAAATATGGCATACATGATGTAAATCCGATTGTTTTAGTATACAAAATACTGCTTCTCCCAGAAGAAGTTCTAAAAAAGTTCGCTTAAGCTGAAGATAAAGCAATATTAAGATAAGAATATAAGTTTTATTGTATTAATATACATCCGGATAAAAATAAACACTATAAAGCATTAGTTGCTTTTTAAAAAATGAAAACATATTGGAACGATATTCCTAACTAGTCTCATAATTGATTAAATTTTTACTTAATTTTTATAATATAACTTATTTAATGAATGCAGACGAGATCACTTTCGTAACCATATTCTTTACAAATTTTAGGCTAATAACTATTCTGAAACAATATTTTAGGATAGATAATTACGATTTGCATATCATTCACCATTAAGATCATAATCTCAATTTTGTGTTTAAAAGAGCAAATCTCAATATATACCTAATGTGTCTAATGTAACAAGAATAAGAATTATGAGCAAACTCGAAATGCTAGATTCCCTAAATAAGGTGCAAACAGCAAAATTATGTAAGTGAGATTTCGTTAAATTTGAGCTCAAAAATGATCCTCATGCGAATCTATAAAAATCAAACAAAGCAGATATCCTTTCGAAAGTTGCTTAATTAGTCAAGAAATTATAACATAGAGAGCTACCCCATAAAATGATAGAAGCAACTGTTTTATCTCGTAAAACATCTATTCCAAAAAATACAAAATTACTTCTTTAATAGGAACATATTGTGAAATAAATTACTATTACTCAAAGGGCTAAAGGAAAATAATAGAGCCAAAGTCAGTGTTAATCACATCATGAATTATACAATGTGGAATTATTAAGAAGAAGCCCTGAATAAAAAGACTAGAAAACAGAAGACAATTGCGAATACAAACTTCTATAATAAAAGCTTCCTTAAATTAAATCCTAAAAAGGATTCTCAAGAAGTAATAAAAATATGGGTCCAATTTAAAAAAATGTAATTATTAGCTATTAAACAGCAACTAATAATAGCATGACATAATTTAGTAATATATAAAATTCATCAAATCAATAATAAGATACTAAACCTGTTATCAAGGTCAATAATTATAATAACGTGTCAAACTTACTTTAAACTAGCACTTTAGTAAGTAAATAACCTAATTCATTGGAAACAGAAAAAAAAACTGCAGCACTCATCTCACAATTACAAGTACTTCAATAAAAACAATCAGCAAAAAGATTGCCAATACCTGATTCGAGTAATTTATCTCTAAGCGGATGGACAGATCGATCCCCTATAAATTGATATCAATTTTGAAAATTTGAAAATTCATTTAATTTTTGTTTAAAAATATAACTTAATTATAATTGTTAAATCTAAAAGAATTTTAAAAGAAATTTTCAATAGCAATTGTAGAAAATTATGTTTCTTATATCTTTTTTTTTAAAAGTTTACTAAAAATATCTACAGAATATTTTATTTTGTTAAAGATAAGAAAGCTTAAAAATATCAAAGAATGCTGAAAATCATATTAGGGAGTACTTAAACATGAAATAAAAATAGATAATTTGAATTTGAACTAATCACATATATAAAAATTCTATGGGTATTGATTATCAACAATTTATTAAAAGACTTTTAAGAAAAAAATTCTAGAAAGGAGATTATGATTATAATTGCCTAGAGAACGTTTTAAATATTGAAAAATAAACTAAAAAATCCTTAGCGAAAGGCAGTTAGCAAAATTATATTAGTTGTTCTATGAAAGAAGAAGTTTCAATTAAAATAATAAAGATTCATTATAAATAACCAATTAGTTTAATATCCAAAATGAATGGTAATTCATAGATATTAAATAAGAAAAAAGAGATAAGGCAGAACTTGAAGTAGGCTATTGGAAAAGATTCATAAAATTAAATTGAGAACTAATATAGATTCTTTTAAGCCAATTATATAAAAATATAAGAGATAAATGGTTTAATTTGATGAAAACATAATATGATACTTGATAATATTGGATTAAAGAATGTAAATAATATTGAAGGTTGACAATAACCTTGCTACATTTCTTTTGGCAATCAAGTCCATAAATAGAGTTGATGCTCCAGCTTATATTTAATAAATAACAAGGAATAATTAATATTGAAGATCAATCACATGGTTTTTGAGGTTAACAAGACAATTATTTAACATAGCATAGAAAATCTCAATGATTTATATTTAATATATGATGAATTCATTATGTTGAATGTAATTTTCAAATAAATATAATAATTTATATAATGTAACCAAAGAAAAAGGGTTCATTTTTTGACTCTATCAAATAATTTTTTAATGATGCTCCAATTGATGAGATTATCTATAATGAAGCAAATTCTACAATACCTGCAGAAATTAAGCAATCAAAGCAAAGTTCATAGCAAAGTACAAAAGAAAGATCTAGTGATCCTAATGTTTTTAAAATTGGTAATGAAGATGAAGCTAATTAAATTTATAATGATGAAGAAGAGGATTAGGAATCACAAGCAATTGGTGAAATGCAAAAAGAGTACAAAATATTAATCCTTTATAATTTTAAATAAGTTGGTAAACCATTAGATTCTGGGTATTAGAAAAAATAAATCATAAATTTTCCTCCAGGTAGTACATTTAGAGTGATTAAACCAATAAAAACTCATAAATCATTAATGGATTATTTATCTTCTGAAACTGAAAGGTATTTGGCTTTGGATGGAGGTTGGATTTACTTTTTTTAGTTAATTAGTAAAGATAAATACCTAGTTAGTTCAGCGAATTCTTTAAATAATTTATTCTAAATATTAATTAAGAAAAATGAAACTAAACCTACATTTCGATTAATTTTTACTACTAAATAAATCAAACGATTTTATTTAGTTAACACGGAATAACAAGATTTACTATTTCTAAAATTAAAAACTGAATGTTAGAAACATGGAAAATCATTTAATTATTGAATAAATAAAATATAATGAATAATAGATATTAAAATATAGACTTAAGCTACATATTCAATAAAGCAAATATGAAATTACTTTGATTTTAGCAATAATATTAATGCAAAATTCAAGCATTTTCATGAAATAATAAAATATATTTGATTTAACCTATGTTCTTTTGCTTTATATGATTTCTATATTGTTAATTGTAGATACATATACATCATTGTTTTATAATGACTATTACAACTAATCGATCATATCTTAGAAATTCATTTATAATATTCTTAGTAATTTCAAGTCTTTTCTAAATAGAGTTTTTTGTATTAGATATTTTTTAATATAACTAAGAAATAATAAATTATATTATTAATGAATAAAAAAATAAAGAAAAAAGAAAAACTAATAATAAATTTTTTGTTTGTTAATGAATAATTTAGATTAATCAATTGAATCGGAATTCAATGAGTTCAAAGCAGAAGATTAATAATCGGAGATGGTCATTAATAATCCTGAATCATTATCCTTTTAAGTTAAATCTTAGTAACAATAGCAAAATTCATCTATACAATATTAATCTGATTAACAATTATAATCAAATTAATAGAGCTTCATCTATTTTTAGGATTAACCTTAAGTAGAAATATTTGACACATCCTAAAATGAGATAGAACAAAATCTAAATATTAGCTTTCAGGATATCATTCGGCTTCTATCTAATAATCAATGCCCTTAGTTGACTAATACACTTAAAAGAGTGATTTAAAGAAGCTATATAGTCTTAAATGTGTTGACTATTCTAAATTTTATCTTCTTAATGAATGAAGTTGCAGCATTGTATTTTTCCTTAATTGCAAAGAATGAAATAAAAGAATTATTCGGTGTTTATTTTGGATTCAATCTAATAGCAGATTGTCTGATGATATATATTAATTGCTAATTAAGATATACAATAAATGAAGCCGAAAAAATAAATAATCGTGATATTACTCATCAAATTATTGAATTCTTAAAATATGCTAGTTCAGAATATTATCCATTCCATAACTACATGTTAGACGAGGACTTTAATATTGCAGTGTAATAAGTGGCATCAAGAATATCTGGATATATTACAACGTCAAAATGGATTTCTTATTTAGTTGAAAGTTAAAATTCCTAAATAATTTTACTGATTAAAGTATGTGTATTGTTGAAGATAATATTATTTGCTTGGGGAAACATAACAATATTGCAATTGGGATTTCTAAATTGGGATAATTAGATGAATAGCAGAGATTATTACCAATCTATATTAATAGTCTTGACTTTATTTTCAATGTTGATGGGCTACATAATTATAGCTTTAATCATCAGTGTATTATTAATAATAAGCACCATAATTCCAATATTAATATGGATATTTGTTTGCTAGTCATGCTGTTGGTGCACTAATCGTTATGATTAATATCAACAAAATAGTATTTAATAATAAAGGCAAAAGTTTATATCAAATTTAGATTCATAAAAATTCTAAGTATTAAAGGAGTAGGATAAAAATATGCATGAAGAGTGTACAATATGTTTATAGGCCTATCAAATTGATGATAATTGCATCAAATTACCTTGCAATGTTAATGGTGGGACTAAGCAAATCGATCACATTTTCCATGATGAATGTATAAGAATTTGGATAAAAGAACAGAGTTCCTGTCCGATTTGTAGAACTAAATTTATTGAAAGGACTTGAAAATTGATAAATTTTCCTTTATTATTATTGGTTTTTCTTCCTTTAATTAATAATTTTAGTTTTATAGCAGTTAAACCTTCAATGTCTCTAAATACAACGATGCCATATTATCGTAATACATCAAGAGAGATCAAAACTGTCAGAGAAATTATACAAGCTGAAGCAATTAAAAGTGCCAGAATAGTGAGTCGAGATAAAGTAAAAGTTAAACAAAATACATCATTTGGGGATTGTAAAATTACATTTTTAATCATAAGTAAATCGAAGTAAAAGAAAAACCAACAACTCATTTTATGATAATCGAAATATTTCCTAGAATGAAAATACAAATATTTTGTAGAGCTATTTAGCAAATGCATTCTAAGAGAAAAAAGAAAATTTGTAAAAAATATAGATGCAAGAAATCACCAATAAAAATAAATTAGAAGAGAATAAATAGAGAGAGATTAAATATTTAATGCGAATTGCAGCTTTGGAAAAGGAATCATCAAAATTAACTGAAATGGTATCAAAATTAAAGAAAGAAAATTCATCACTAAAATAATCAAGTAATGCAGAATCTCTGATCTTGTAATTATAAGAAGCTTTAAATTAATCAAGAATCGAAAATCAGTTACTGAAAAAGCAAATAACCCACCTCTAAAATACTCAAAATAGTTTTAATAATAGTATGCAAAAGGTTTAGAAGAGTGTTACACTGAATACAACAAACACAGTTAATACAGCAAACACAATAAATAATACTTTTAATGATATCTTAAAATCTAAAGAGTATGTACCCAGTTATTTACTTGCTTTAAGTTTAGCTGAATGAATTAATATTGATAGTTATTTATATTTCTTATTTCAACATCTCTCACTTTATAAAAAATAAATCAAATTTTCGAAACTTATTCATAATTATTGCAATTTCTATTCCTGATTATAAATAGCAATAACTTATTCATTTGTTTTAATATGACGTGTATTAAATTTCTATTAATATAAAATCATGAAGTATTTATATTCATTTTAATGCTTTAGAGATTTTATAATATTAATGATTTTATAATTAGAATAGTTTTTTAAATGTATGTTTATTTTTATATTCTTGTACTTATTGGCTTCAAAGTCATAATTATGTTTAAACTATTATTCAAAAAAGTTGATGATATTTTATTATCCTTTATAAACAGTCTGTTTTTCAAAGTCAAGCATCCATTTAAATTTAGATCAAGAAATGTTTATAATTTTCGCAATGAAAACTAAATTTAAAGAAGAATAAATTACACAATAAAATAAATTGTTCACTCCTAAATTTCTTCACCAAAAAAACTCTTCATCCATAATAAGTTAATCCGCATCGCAAGCATGAATGAATAGAACTGGGCCATCTCTTTATATGGGTATCATTATACGAGTGAATAAATTTTTAATTAAAAAGGAAAAACAAGGGGGTATGACAGCTCTAAAATTCTAAAATAAAACTTTCTAGATGGTAATTATGAGATAGATTTAATGATAAATAATAATATATTAAGCAAATCTATATTTCTCTAATTATGGTTACTAATACACAGGTAATGAAAGAAATGAACAACCAATAGCAAATTTATAAAACTTTAAAGAATTTAAGAATTAGATCTTTAGAATTTACCAAATTATTGAGTTAATTTAAGATTACTCTTGATTATAAAGAACAATTATTTCTCCTATTTTTATTATTTATATATATTTTATATCATTAATCTTGTCATAAGAGGTCATCAAGATAATTTCCCATAAAATGATCATCATTGAAATCATAAGATTAGCTTTCATAATATTAATTATATTGATCCTCCTAATCCCACTATTCAAAACAATATTAATTATTCTCCAAAGATTATGTCATTTAAAAATTTTATTAATGCTCCTGCTGATCATCTTGTTCTATTTAAACTGAGAATTAGTCATCTGCTTCTATAATCATATTATCCCAAGTGGCCTAGTCTTATTCAACTTCTTTTTCCTCTTTCTATAATTTAGCTTACTGTTTTTTAATTTGTTGCATAAATTTCTTTAGTTGACCCATCTTTTCATTGAAAAATCTTTCAATCTCGATGGATTTAGGGATATTTCTCTATTAAAAATTAAAACAATACTTAAAGGTTTTATGATACTCTTAAAGAGATCTTAATGGAATTCCAACCTTCAAAGCTGCCTAATCGCAATTCGGGTACACAATATTACCATCAACATCATAATATCCATTTTCAAACAAGTCCCTCCATTATAAAACTGCATTCCAAGCATCCTTAACATATCTCACTTTTCTTTGTCTTATTTTGTTAGAGGTTTCGTCATTCATTCTATTATTGTTAGAGATCATTTAAATTAATTAATAGGTCAAAAATACTGTTTTATTTAAATTAACTCTTATATAATATATATATAAAAGAAATAACGTAAAACTCAAAATAATCTCATTTGCAATACCCATCACTTAACTTGTCCTTTTATAATTGTTTAAATAAAAAAGATCCATACTATACCAAACTTTCGTTATTGCAGTATCATTTTTATTCAAGATAGTTCTAAGGAGATACTTCTATACTAGGTACCTTAAGCTATAAAAACAATCTTTTCTTGAATACTTAATGCAAAAAAATAAAACTTATGCATGAAAAACTTTTATAATTCTTACTTTAGAAAAACTTAAATTTAAAATAAGCTTACTAAATTAAAAATATTGATATCTATCAATAATTGAATACATTTTACAATTTCAAAATAAGATTGGGAAAAAAGGGTTTTGTTCCCTTTCGTTGCTAAGAAAATGGATAAAAGTAGCAGATATTAAGTGAGGTTTAATTATAAAAAGACAAGCTTCAAAAAATAATTGATTGATTGATAATTTCAAATTTGAAACATTAAAGTTTAAAATTCAATAAATTCAAAAGATAAAAGTAAAAATAAGCATAACCTTAGCAACTAAAACTATCGAAATCGTGAAAGGAAATATTAAAATAATAAACAAAATTTTATAGAATTGAAATTTGATGGAATGCTGTAAGGTATGTAATAATTTTATTCAAATGAAATGGATATGAATTATAAGTTGGTTAAGATGATTGATATAAAAAAAATTATTAAATAAAATAAATAAATAAATATAGATATTTAATAAACAACATAGAATATATTTTGGTATATAAGTAGTTAATTTGATTAAAATAATAATAATAAATAAACAATACAGAAATGGATAAATAAAATACAGCTTAAGACTATGTAGCATATAATGTGCCATTATTACCTGCCTAATAATAATAATCAAATAATCAATATTATGCTCCTTAAGTCTAAGGAACTTAATAATAATAAATTAATTAATAACCATATTTAATTAATCCTTATCAACAATTAAATATTTAAGCAGATTAATAATAATATCCATATAATTAGTAATAATAATAGTAATAATAATAATAATAATAGTAATAATAATAATAATAGTAATAATAATAATAAATAACAGGACTAGTAATTCAAACTCCATATATTCCATATGTATGATATAATTAATAATATTTAGACTACTTAAGTAGCATAGAGTGCATCTGGATCTAGAACTCCTGTATTACTTTAATGTCCATTTTGTAATTAACATTCAATTACAACAATTACATATAAACCAGGTAATAATACATATTTGGTTTCCCTATTATTATGTCTATTCTTTTGTTGTCTAGGTTTAATACCTTTATTATCTGGAGATTGCAAAGACGTTTATCATTAATGCAGTTATTGCGGAAAAGTAGTTGCTCACACTCCTTATAAAGCATGTTCATGATTTTTATATATTCTATACAATACATATATTTACAATTATAAGGGATGTAAAAAAATAAAGAAATTTTAATTATAAAAATTTTCAAATGGATTATAATCAAAATAACTAATATGGATAAGTTTCAGGTCAATAAGGAGGATATCCCTATTTTCAACCCCAACCCCAACCCTTGAATTAATATAATTAACCCTACCCTTAACCTCCTTATCAACCACCAGCCCCATATTTAGACCCAAACATTCCAGTTGGATAACCAGTCGGTTAACCCTAATATGGAAACTACTAATAACAGCCCGTATAGTAAGGAATTATATTAATCCCATCAAAGCTCATCTGGATTTGTGCAGAATGGACCAGTTTATACAGCATCCCCTGTTTTACGAAGCGCAGAAGGAATGAGATTTCCAGTTTAAATTTAATGCCCATATTGCAATTAATAAGGAATCACAAGAATTGAAAATAGAGTTGGAGATGGGACCATATGTGCTTCTATTTTAGTTTTAATCTTTTGCTGGCCCTTATTTTGGCTTCCTTGCTGTTTAGAAGATTGTAAGGATAGAGTTCATCTTTGTATTCATTGTCAAAAGTGTGTTGGCAAAAAGAGGTATGAGATTTGTTGAGAACTTGATCGTTATTAATTATTAAAATATAATCTTATCAGTTTTATTATATTCAACAAGGATGGGATCAATATTTAAGGTAAGTTTAGTTGTTATAAATTTGTTTAGAAATCTTATCAATAAATAATTAATATTGTTTAATTCAAACCTTATGAAGAACAGTTCCGAAATTTGTAACCAGGTGACTGTGTACTAAAGCAATAGTGAGTTTTAAAAACCTACCCTGACTAACTTAGCCCAAAGTGCATACATGAGTTCACCATTATAACCAAATATTCTCTCTCGATCCTAACCAATCACCCCAAACAATGGAGATTAGGCAGATCAAATCCTAGAAATGGGTTTACCTAAGGTTTTAACTAGAAAAATGACTAAGTATTTGAGTCGATCAATAAATATAGAAATGATTATTTAACAACAGCCAATGGACATAAATTATAGTAAGAAATCTTTTGCAATAATTGCCAAAGAATAAATATGACTAGACTTGAAACTGAATACGGATTGGGGGCTATCTAAGTTACCTGCTTGTTAATTGTCTTATTTTGGCCATTATGCTGGTTGCCTTGTATCCTAAAATAATGTAAAGACATAATTCATTACTGTCCATTTTGTAACTAAATAGTTGGAAGAACCCCCTACACATTCTGTTGATTTTTATGGTTATTGTTACTTAATATTATAATACATTCTCATAAATCATATTTCTTTCAAGAGATCAGCTTGAATACAACAATTAATCGATTAAAAAGCTAAGGAATATTCTAATAATGCTGTTTGTTAATGCTAATATTGAGAATTTAAGTTCTAAATGTCAGAACTAAATCAATAAATCTCCATTAAAAATGAAGTATCAAATAATTCTTTAAAGAAAAACCCAACTCTTATTTATACAACGATTTATTTAAAATGAGGTCAATAATGCATAGATATGATAACAAAAAAAATATGAAAATTTCAATTATTTCAAAATCATATATTTATGGGGAGAATTTGTAGATTGTTATTGGTCATATTTTATCATTCTTTACTTAAAATGCCCTTTGGAGACATTGTCATTTCATCTATTATATATAACTTTAATAAAAGATTAGAAGATTGCTAAATATAAATTCTAGAAGTTTTGAAATTCTTGAAGAAAAAAGTAACTTTTAAAACTATGTACACATTTATCAAACTTACGCAAATTTATGGACAATTTTTGATGATGATGAATTAGTAATTCATTCATTTACTAATATAAGCTTAGACAACCTTATTTTTGTGATAAATTATAATATTCAATTCATCAGAAAGATATATCAATTAGTATAAAATGCAAGCTTCCTTCTGTCCTTTGAAAAATGGTTGGAAGCTTTATAAGTTCTTCATTAACCTTGGGTTTTCAAAGTCTTTGAATATTATTAGAAAATTTATCTTTTGTTTTCAGTTCTGACTGATATTTAATTTATATTCAGCAAAATATAATATTAAAGTTTATGTACTTTAATTAAAATTTTGTAATTCAATATGAAATTAATTTTAATTAAACAATTTGTATAATGAATAAAAGTACTCCATAAAATTTTATGGAATCAATAATTTATAAGCTTTATCAGACCATAAGGTTTGATCATTAATTACTTGAACTAATGGAATAAAATATAGCTTGCTAAGCATATCCAGCCTTTGAAGAAAAATAGAACAAAGAATTACCACAATAATATCAGTATCCAAAAGAATAACCCAATGTTCCTGTTGGACTCCCAAATTAATAATACATACCAATCTAATAATAATAGCCCTATATGAGTATTATTTAAATTTAATGTAGATCCTCAATAAGTAGTCCTTTAACCCATAGTTATCCAATAAGTGAGAAGAACGAATGCTGAAGGATGTTCATATCCTACAGATATTTTGTGCCCTTATTGTTAAAAACCAGTTTAAACAATGATTGAATACTAATCAGGGTGCAGCACATGGCTAGCCTGCATGTTATTGTTTTTGTTTTTCTTGCCTTTGTTCTTTTTGCCATTTTGCTTTGAGGAATGTTAAGATAAGATCCACAAATGTCCAAATTGTGGAAAAAGAGTTGGAAAGAAGAAATATAAATTATGTTGTTGATTGTAAATAAACATTTATTTTTTTAATTATCATACAAAAATCCCTATTTAATGCAGATTCATAATTAATAACAACCTGGTGTCTATTTCAGTCCTAAACAAGATTAATAACACTAATAAGAAAACCAGCAAGGTGTTAATAATTATAATTATCCATCTGTCCCATCAGGTTAACAGTATATTCCTCTTTAGCAATAATATGGGCAGCCTATGAATAATTAAGACTAATAATATGTATATGGAGCACCGGTAGGGATGGCTTAAGGAATGCCAATGAAACTACCGAGGACTGCAGATGGTGTCAGATTTCCAGTTGATATTGAATGTCAATTTTGTAAAAGAAACACAAGAACTAGAATTGAATATAAATCAGGAGGAAATGTTTGTTGTTGTTCATGTTTGCTACTGTTTACAATTCCAATATTGGCATGTCTGCCTTGTTGTTTGAAATCTTAAAAAGATGTTATACATTATTGCACTTAATGCAATCATCAAGTTGGTTTTGCTGAGAAGAAGTTTTGTGATTGATATAAATTTTATTTAATTTACTAGTAATAGCAAATATCTTCTTTTATAAATATATCTTAATTCAATTAATAAAATTATGAGATTAAGATAAACTTATTAACCAAATTATCTCCAGATCTCCCAATCAGAAAGGCCCAAAAGAAATGTGCACTCATATGGTAAGGAACTAAATACTCCTGACTCAATTAAACCGCTGAGTTCTTTATTGAATTTGAGACTTTTTCTTTATAAAACCAAACAAAAATTAGAGTATAAATAGGCAAGCCAATTTACCAGGAATGATCCTTTGGTAAAAGAACAACCTTCTTTCCTATTTAATAAATTATAGATAGAATAGGATAATTAAATAAAATTTCAGGCCTATTTAGATGGAGATTTGCAAGCTGATGAGTATTTGATGCTACAAAACTACAAGAGATTATACAAAATAACTAAGAATGATAATGGGTCTTTTGATAACACGAAAGATGAGATACCTTACTATACTCAAAGAGAAAGTGCTTTAAAAAAATTGAAAGAGAGGATTATTCATAAACATCATATGAATAAAAGAAAAAGAGGTTCTGAAATTAGTAGCTAAGTTGACACTTCAAAATGTAATACTCCTGGTATGCTAGTGGCCAAATAACTCAAAAAAGTTATTATTAGTAAACATATGAATAAAATTAATGAAGAAATGACAGCGTATCAAATTTGTATTATTTAGAGAGAATACTTTAAAGAACTTAAAGATGGTTTAGAATGCAGATTTTGCAGTTCAGAGACTACAAGAGACACTTGAATAAGATAAAACAATTGAGAGCAGTGTGAAGAAGAAAGTAAACTCTACCAAGAATTTAAAAATAATTACTAGAAGAAATAAAACTGAGACAAATGAAGAATATCAGAATAGTAGAATCTAGTTAAATAATGAAATAGTTCATTTGGCTAATTAAACAATTTATGAATCTTAAATTCAAGATAAGCTAAAAAAATTAAAGTCAAAAACTCTCAAATTTTCAGACGGCAAAATGAATCAAGTATTTCTACAAAAATCTATATAATCATTCTAAGATCAAAGAAGATGCATAACCGACAGATCACAACAATCATAATGTTAAAAAAACAATTCTAAATAAAAATTGCATTATCAGGGAGAAGAGAAATTGGAAGAGAGAGATGATTCAGCTGAATCAAGTCTCTGTTCCTTATTTGAAAAAAAGATCAATAATTTATATAACCAGAGCATTTTATTAAAGAAAAATATCTCAACTAAGGATAATTTGATTAAACGTATCAAGCATATGCAAAGCTTCAATCAAATAGTAGGGGAAGCTGTGCAAACAAACAATTAAAAATTATATAAAATTTGATTGTATAATTTATTATGCTTCTATTCATATAGTTGAATTAACTTTATTAGATTAAGCAACAAGTTATCCTAATACTTATTCCAATTCCTATTCGTTTAAGTTGCCTATCAATGCTTTCTTTTCAACTCCATATCCTACCAATTAAATCTATAAATACTGTATCTGATGAGAATATAAGGATCAATAGATTCACACTCCCTCACTACAAATGGGAATTTTGGATTTGCTTCTTTCCATTACCAATAATTTTTAGTTACTAGATTTCTATAATTAAATAATACTTCAGTACCTTACACCTTCAGATCTACCACAGCTTTGGCAAAACACAAATCGCAATTCTTTGACAGAATTACCTAATTATTTTTACCAAGACATTATTAAATTAAATATATTTATAATAAATAGAAAAATGATTGATGAAATCAAAATTGATCTCTCTAATACTAAGTATATAAATAGATTTATATTCAGAGGGAAATATATAAATTTAAAGTTTAGTTAAAATAATATCCTAAGGAATCTTGCAACTAAGAAATTGTCAGAAAACATACCTATTTCTTTGAAATTCTCATGCTTTTTCTTAAAGGTTATAAAAGATAAATCAATAATTTTGAATAAAGTTCTTTAAATATATGATTAATATAATCTTAACAAAAGTAGCGTCTATAGTCTATATTTTATAAAATTATCATATTCATTAAAAATATCATTCATTCTCTATTTTTAAGGGCAGTCACTCTGAGGTAGGATATTAAACGAGGGTGGTCATCTTATTTGAATGCTTAAGGTAATGAAGTTGGAGGGAATAGAATAGTTAGGGATTATATATTAAGTATTTATGTTCTGATTTGAAGATTTAATTTAAATAAATTAATTATGATACGAGGGTACACATCCGTATTGAGAAAATCACTTTGGTATTTACCATCAATGGGATTCTCAAAGAAATTGGGTATTGGTGAGGCATCCAGCGTATTAGAAGATAAAATTAAAAATATTTCCCAATTGGTAAAGGATTATAGTGATAAATTAGAATGACATCAAAGAATATGGTACAGTTATCTCCATTGGTGATGGTATTGCTAGAGTTTTTGGATTAACATAAGTTTAAGCAGGAGAAATGGTTGAATTCAGTTCAGGAGTAAGAGGTATGGCCTTGAATTTGGAAACAGATAATGTGGGTATTGTCGTGTTGGGTAATGACAGGTATGTGATTAAAACTCATTTATTCTAGAGAAATCTAAGAAGGAGATATTGTCAAAAGAACAGGAGCAATTGTCGATGTCCCCATTGGTATGGAAATGTTGGGAAGAGTTTTTGATGCTCTTGGTAACCCAATCGATGGACATGGTCCAGTCAAAACAAACACAAGAAGAAGAGTTGAATTGAAAGCACCAGGAATTATTCCAAGAAAGAGTGTCCACGAACCAATGTAAACAGGATTAAAGGCTGTTGATTGTTTGGTTCCAATCGGAAGAGGACAAAGAGAATTGATTATTGGTGATAGATAAACAGGAAAGACAGCTATTGCCATTGATACAATCATCAACTAAAAACCAAACTTTGACTCTGGTGACAAGAATAAATAATTATATTGCATTTACGTTGCTATTGGTTAAAAGAGATCAACTGTTGCTAACTTGGTCAAGATTCTTACATAAGCTGGTGCTATGAAATACACAATTGTGGTTGCAGCCACAGCCTCAGAAGCTGCTCCACTTTAATATTTAGCACCATATTCTGGATGTGCTATCGGAGAATATTTCAGAGACAATGGAATGCATGCTCTTATTATTTATGACGATCTTTCTAAATAAGCCGTTGCTTATAGATAAATGTCATTGTTGTTGAGAAGACCACCAGGCAGAGAAGCCTATCCAGGTGATGTCTTCTATTTGCACTCCAGATTGTTGGAAAGAGCAGCTAAACTCAATGCTGAAAATGGAAATGGTTCATTAACTGCCTTACCAGTTATTGAAACATAAGCTGGTGATGTCTCAGCCTATATTCCAACCAACGTTATTTCTATTACCGATGGATAAATTTTCTTGGAAACAGAATTGTTCTTCAAGGTATTTCTTAAATTCTATCATTATTTTAGGGTATTAGACCAGCTATCAATGTCGGTTTGTCTGTGTCAAGAGTCGGATCAGCTGCTTAAATCAAAGCCATGAAGACAGTCGCTGGTAGACTTAAGTTAGAATTGGCTTAATACAGAGAAGTCGCTGCATTTGCCCAATTCGGATCAGATTTGGATGCTGCCACTTAATAATTATTAAATAGAGGTGCATAATTAACAGAATTACTTAAATAAAAGCAATACGTATGATATTATAAAAATCGTATTTTAGGTCCCAATGTGTGCTGAAGAATAAGTTTGCGTCATTTATGCTGGTGTCAGAGGATTTTTGGATAAAGTATAAACTTCAGAAATTGCCAAATTCGAAGAGAAATTCCTTACTCACCTTAGAACCAACTATCCAGCCATGTTGGAAAGAATTAGAAGGTATTTAATATAATAATTCTTTAGTACTGGTGAATTGACCAAATAAGATGATGCTGAATTGAAAAGTATCTTAGAAGTCTTCATCCCAGAAGCTGGTCTTGCTATGAAATAATGATCAATTACAAATAATAATACAATATATAAAATAATAATTGATAAGTAGTATTTTCATAAGCTATTAATTTTAACCTAAAATTATTCTTAGAGAAGGGAGGTCCTAACTTTGGACCTTTTAAATTCAATGAGAATTTTATTTTAAGAGACTTAGTAAATATAATAACATTAACATAAAAAATAAGCATTTTATATTAATAAGTAGGATTAATCATCCAATATTGTAATTACAAGCAGTAAGTGCTATTTAATCAATATTTTTGCTATAATTATTTAAAATTAATTACAATTCTTTATATAGAACGAGATAGAATAATTTGAGATTATCATGAAATCTCTTATTTTATGATAAGAATATTTATAATTTGATTGAATTTGAATATTCTTGGTTATCAAATCTATGAAAATACCTTCATCATAACTTGTTGTAATAATTTGACTCGAAATTGTTCATATATGAGTATAACATGTTTTGGAGTATTGAAAAGTCTTTAGAATAAGTTTATAATAATCTAGGTTGTTAAATTGAAGGGTCTTATGCATTGATTCCATTTATTGGTAGTTGTTATTTGTGAATGAGTTTTATAAATAATAAATTTTTCTAGAAATTTTATAAATGATAGTGCGCAATAACAAGATATTGGGGAGAGATAATTGGTGTATAAAAATTTCATACAAAAGGTAATGGATACACGTCTTCATGAATTAAATAAATAAATGAGCAAATATATTTATACATTTGGTGATGGCAAAGCAGAAGGCAGTGCAGCTTTGAAGAATCTTTTGGGAGGCAAAGGATCTGGATTGGCAGAAATGAATTTGATTGGCATTCCTGTACCACCAGGATTCACAATTACAACAGATGCTTGCAACTTGTACACTAAGAACGGTGCTGAATCCACTTTCGCTCTCATCAAGGCCGATGTTGAGAAAGCACTTCATTAAGTAGAAGAATTGACTAAGATGGAATTTGGCTCAGCTGAAAACCCCTTACTTGTTTCCGTCAGATCCGGAGCCAGAGTTTCAATGCCTGGTATGATGGACACAATTCTTAATCTTGGATTAAATGATGTCTCAGTAGAGGGATTGAGCAAGAGAACAAACAACCCAAGATTTGCATGGGATTCATACAGAAGATTCATTCAAATGTTCAGTGACATTGTTTTGGACATGAAACCAACAACAAAGGAAGACATCGATCCATTTGAAGAAATCATTGAAAGTGTCAAACATGCTAAGGGAGTCAAATAAGATACCGAACTTGATGTTGACGATCTTAAGACTCTCGTTGACAAGTACAAGGTTGCTGTCAAAGCCAAAACAGGAAAAGATTTCCCATAAGAGCCAGAATAATAATTATGGAAAGCTATTTAAGCTGTGTTTGATAGTTGGAACAATGATAGAGCTAAATACTACAGAATTCTTAACAAGATCCCTGAAGATTGGGGAACTGCAGTCAATGTCTAAGCTATGGTTTTCGGTAACATGGGAAATACATCAGCTACAGGAGTTGGATTCACTAGAGATGCATCAACTGGAGAAAATATTTTCAATGGAGAGTATTTGATCAATGCCTAAGGAGAAGATGTCGTTGCAGGTATCAGAACACCATAATAAATCACTTTGATTGGATCAAAGAGATGGGCTGAATCATAAGGAGTTCCTGAAGATGTCAGAAAAAATCAATTCCCATCATTGGAAGAATCATTACCAGAAACATACTAAGAATTGAAGAATGTCTAAGAAAAATTAGAATAACACTTCAAAGATATGTAAGATATTGAATTCACAATTTAAAATGGAAAATTATGGTTATTATAATGCAGAAGTGGTAAAAGAACTGGTGCTGCCATGGTTTAAATTGCTTGTGATTTATTAAGAGAAGGAAAGATTGATGAAAAGACAGCTCTTAAGAGAATTGAACCAAATAAATTAGATGAATTATTACATCCAATTTTCACACCAGAAGCTTTGAAAACAGCTAAGTTTGTTGCTAAGGGACTACCAGCATCTCCAGGTGCAGCTTCAGGATAAATTGTTTTCTTCGCTGATGAAGCCAAGAAATTTGCTCAAAGTATTTTAGTAAGAATTGAAACATCTCCAGAAGATTTGGAAGGTATGAACATTGCCAGAGGTATTTTGACAGCCAGAGGAGGTATGACATCACACGCTGCTGTCGTTGCAAGAGGTATGGGTAAATGCTGTGTTTGTGGTGCTGGATCTTTGAATATCAATTACAAATAAAGAACACTTGAAGTTAACGGAAAGGTTTATGCTGAAGGTGATTGGATTTCATTGAATGGATCAACAGGAGATGTCTTTGAAGGAAAATTATAAACATAAGAAGCATAACTCAGTGGAGATTTCGGTTTGATTATGGATTGGGCTGAGAAATACACTAGAATGTATGTTAGAACCAATGCAGACACACCAAAGGATGCTTAAATTGCTAGAAAATTCGGTGCCAAGGGTATTGGATTGACAAGAACTGAACATATGTTCTTTGAAGGAGAAAGAATCAAAGCTATGAGAGAAATGATTTTAGCATCAGATTTGACTGGTAGATAAGCTGCATTGGCTAAATTATTACCATTCCAAAGAAGTGATTTTGAAGGTATTTTTGAGGCTATGAATGGATATGGAGTAACAATTAGATTGTTGGACCCACCCCTCCATGAATTCGTTCCACATGAAACTGCTTAATAATAAGAATTAGCCTAAGATATGGGATTAACTTTAGATTAAGTTAAATAAAAGGTACATGAATTAGCAGAATTCAACCCAATGTTGGGACACAGAGGATGCAGATTAGGAATTACATATCCAGAAATCACAGAGATGTAAACAAGAGCCATCATTGAAGCAGCTCTTAACATCAAAGCCAAGGGTATGGATGTTAAACCAGAAATTATGGTTCCATTAGTTGGTAATGTTAATGAATTAGAGCACTAATTGAAAGTTGTTAAAAAGACAGCTGAAACAGTATTCAAAGAGAGAAATGACACAATTCATTATTTAGTCGGAACTATGATTGAAGTACCAAGAGCTTGCTTAGTTGCTGATTAAATTGGNAAGAAAAATTAGAATAACACTTCAAAGATATGTAAGATATTGAATTCACAATTCAAAATGGAAAATTATGGTTATTATAATGCAGAAGTGGTAAAAGAACTGGTGCTGCCATGGTTTAAATTGCTTGTGATTTATTAAGAGAAGGAAAGATTGATGAAAAGACAGCTCTTAAGAGAATTGAACCAAATAAATTAGATGAATTATTACATCCAATTTTCACACCAGAAGCTTTGAAAACAGCTAAGTTTGTTGCTAAGGGACTACCAGCATCTCCAGGTGCAGCTTCAGGATAAATTGTTTTCTTCGCTGATGAAGCCAAGAAATTTGCTCAAAGTATTTTAGTAAGAATTGAAACATCTCCAGAAGATTTGGAAGGTATGAACATTGCCAGAGGTATTTTGACAGCCAGAGGAGGTATGACATCACACGCTGCTGTCGTTGCAAGAGGTATGGGTAAATGCTGTGTTTGTGGTGCTGGATCTTTGAATATCAATTACAAATAAAGAACACTTGAAGTTAACGGAAAGGTTTATGCTGAAGGTGATTGGATTTCCTTGAATGGATCAACAGGAGATGTCTTTGAAGGAAAATTATAAACATAAGAAGCATAACTCAGTGGAGATTTCGGTTTGATTATGGATTGGGCTGAGAAATACACTAGAATGTATGTTAGAACCAATGCAGACACACCAAAGGATGCTTAAATTGCTAGAAAATTCGGTGCCAAGGGTATTGGATTGACAAGAACTGAACATATGTTCTTTGAAGGAGAAAGAATCAAAGCTATGAGAGAAATGATTTTAGCATCAGATTTGACTGGTAGATAAGCTGCATTGGCTAAATTATTACCATTCCAAAGAAGTGATTTTGAAGGTATTTTTGAGGCTATGAATGGATATGGAGTAACAATTAGATTGTTGGACCCACCCCTCCATGAATTCGTTCCACATGAAACTGCTTAATAATAAGAATTAGCCTAAGATATGGGATTAACTTTAGATTAAGTTAAATAAAAGGTACATGAATTAGCAGAATTCAACCCAATGTTGGGACACAGAGGATGCAGATTAGGAATTACATATCCAGAAATCACAGAGATGTAAACAAGAGCCATCATTGAAGCAGCTCTTAACATCAAAGCCAAGGGTATGGATGTTAAACCAGAAATTATGGTTCCATTAGTTGGTAATGTTAATGAATTAGAGCACTAATTGAAAGTTGTTAAAAAGACAGCTGAAACAGTATTCAAAGAGAGAAATGACACAATTCATTATTTAGTCGGAACTATGATTGAAGTACCAAGAGCTTGCTTAGTTGCTGATTAAATTGGCCAAATTGCTGAATTCTTTTCATTTGGTACCAACGATTTGACTTAAATGACACTCGGATTCTCAAGAGATGATGCTGGTAAATTCTTACCATATTACATAAACAATGGAATATTGAAAGTCGATCCATTTTAAGTTTTGGATAGACAAGGAGTAGGAAAGATGGTTGAATTGGCAGTCAAGAATGGAAAATCAACAAATCCACATTTGAAAGTTGGTATTTGCGGTGAACACGGAGGAGAACCATCATCAGTTGAATTCTTCCACATTGTTGGATTAGACTATGTCAGTTGCTCACCATTCAGAGTTCCAATTGCAAGAGTTGCAGCAGCCATAGCCAATTTAACCCACCCATGAGTATTTCATTAAAAAATATATAAATTTAATTAATTGGAGATGTCCGCTGTCAATATTTAAGACAGAATAAATAAAATATTAAAAAATCACAAAACAGTCTGAGGAATTGTGATTTTAAATATCTAAAGAGTTGTAGTTAATTATGTAAACTTTTCTATTTTTATAGCTCTTAAAACAATCATAAAGTAGTATTATATATATTTTTAATATTATAACTAAAACTAAGAAAAGCACTAGATTCAAAGATATCACGAGGACTACTTACCTGAATGAGAAAAAAATAAGGGTAACTTATACAGTCCTCTAATTTGAGACTATTTACCTTTTTAGATTCCTATTTTGTTTTAAAAAGCAAGATCCTAGGTTAGAGATTTAGATACCACAAATTATTTGGCATTTTCAGAATTAAATCAAAATAAAATGAAATTCTAATAGCTCCAGATAAAGATTGTTTATTAATTGGTTTTCAAAGGCCTAAACAACAAGGAGAAGATGATTAATAAGATATGCATATTATTTTGAAAGTATAAAAAATAAGCAAAGCAAGAAATAACAATTTTATAAGCTTCACAATTTCATCGATTTCAATTTCTATTATCACAGTTCTTTCACTTCAAACTCTCATAATAAATGAAAATTAAAATAAATCGATCAAAGTATTTGAATAATAAAATGACAATTCCGACGTTTATCTGATATATAAAAAATAACAGATGATAATTATTAATTTACTCAATTTAGGCAATCCTTACACGGAATTATTATAGAAATTAATAAGAATAAGTATTCTCCTGTATAAAATTAGTTAATTATTAAACTAATTCTGAAAGGTTTTTAAATTTATCTATCTTCCTTTTTGAAAAATAATTTTTCAGATTTGTTGAAGATCTTTTACAAGAAAGTATTGATAATTTTATTCTTCAATTATTGAATTGAAATTGTTAATGATTAAATGATATTAAATATAAAAAATGTCTGTTATTAGGGAATTGACTCATCAAAAGAGGAACGTTGTGTTGGAATTGTTTGGTACATCAAAAAGAAGAATTGAATAAAAAGAAAATGTATATTCACCTATCAATCGACCTTCTAAACGATTTAACTATCCATAATCTAGCAATGCGAGTAAATTATTCCAAATCCTCAAACAGACTCCTTCAATTAAATAATCTGCTTTTAAATCCTCTAAAAAAAACAATGAAAGCTTAGGATTAAATGAAAGCATTTGCAGAAAAGTATCTAATTTCCTTAATATAGAAAATCTTGCATATTGATATTTAAGAACCTAGGACTTATCTTAGACAAGTCATTTCTCCTTATAGAGATTTTCGATCATAAGTCTCATTTGATATTGCCCCTTAAACATGTGTGGCAGCTCCTCGAAAAATTAGTCAGCCTTAATAGCTCATTCAACAAAAGAATTCTGTTCGAAGATGCAATAGTTTCAGAGATCTTTTCAAAAGTTAAATTACATTTGGTTGATGCATTAATAATTGAATACTCAAAATCGTATAAATCAAATTAATTTGTCAAATTCAAAAGTGATTCTTTCTCTCATTAAGAACAAATCAAATCTTAGACCAATTCTAACAATCAAACTTATCATATAAAAATCTCTATAATAAATCATGTAAATTTGTTTTAATCAAAAATGTAAGAAATTTGCTGACATCTAAACAGATAGAATAAGTATTAATAAAATAATTATATTGAATTTGGCTGATTTCAAAAAAATATTATTTCTTTTGTATCTCTAAATGTAATAAATTCCGAATTTAGAAAAGGATGATTTTATTGAAAATTTTAAAGTTAAAAGCGAACTAGGAAAGGGGTCATATGGTGCAGTAAAATTTTGATATTAATCAAGGTTTATTAAGTTATTGACCCTAATGGATAGGAATATGCTCTTAAATGTATGTATACAAGCCGTTTTAATGAAGTCAACGGATATGTGGGAAATTTAATTTAGAATGAAGTGGAAGCCTTAAAAAAACTTTAAAGTTAATATATTGTTAAATTAATATCAACTTTTTATTCGGGTTATCAAGGAGAATCTCTTTTTTGCATGTTATTGGAATATTGCGATGGTAATTATTAAATGCTTTTCTTTAGGTGGAAATCTATTAGAATATTTACTTAGAGAGTAAGATACATTTACTTAATAAAATGCCATTATTTTTTTCAAATAAATCCTTTAAGGAATGAAGGAAATCCATTAGAAGAGGATAATTCATAGAGATCTCAAATTAGCTAATATTTTGATACACTAAGATCAAATAAAAATTGCTGACTTTGGCTTTTGTCATATCTTAAATTCTGATGTAATCATCTCATCTAACATTAAGACAAGCTAAATTAATGTGAATTTAGGTACTCTCGGCACTTAAGCACCAGAAGTTTTGGATGATCAACCTTATGGATTAAAGTCAGACATGTTTTCAATAGGTGTTATTTTTTACTAATTATTGTTTATTGCATATCCATTTAGCGTAAAAAATTAGGAGACCTTTTAAAATGAAGTCTCAAATTTAAGTATTTTTAAAAAGAATTCTTTAGATCCACCTTCATTTTCGAAAAATGGAAGAAAAGTAGAAAAATATTTGGAAGAATTACTTACCGAAATGTTAAGAAAAGATCCAGCCAAAAGATTAGATTGGACAGATCTATTCAAATCCAAGTTATTTCAAAATAGTTATTCATGTATTCTAAAGATGATATAAAGAAATGTTTTTATCTACTATTGATGATGCAATAGACCCTGTCCAAAGCTATATTTTTTATCAATAGCAATATCTCGACTCAAATGTTAAAACTGATAAAAAAAAAACAACATATCTTGATCTAGAATCTCAAATATCATTTTTAACGTACATTCAAGAATTCAGCTACAAAGTTTATCATAGATAGATTTTAATGGTAAAATGAATAACATATTTAGTGTCTTTTTCCGTGTTTCCTAATGTATAAACTATTATATAAAAAATAAATGGAGCACTAGGATTATAATTAAAAGATGGTTTATGATCTCACCAATACCCATTAAATTCTAACCTACCAGCATTAAGTTGTAATGTAATGACTTCTCTTATTTTTTCAGGGCAAATCATGATAAACTTAAAAAATTAAAGATCATTCAATAGAATTGGGAACTTGAAATAATAAATCTATCATTGAGTTCATAATTTTAGAATATATTTTCAGAAGCTCTATTGAAATATTTACTAATTCTAAGATAAGAAATCTTAAAGGATACAGAAGAATACAAAATTGATTGGTAATAAATCTTGATTTTTTAAAATCATACTAACAATGAGAAGATTCATGAAGTGCTTTAAAAAATAAAGTTTTTTGTCTTAATTCATAAAGTTCTATCTTTAGAAACATTAGAAAAAGAAGTAGTTGATTAATTACTCAGCAACAACACTCAAAATAACTATTTATAAGTAGTCTACATTTATCAGAGCATAAAATTAGGTTGAATGTAACTTATTGATTGTAATACAAATTTCAAATTAATGATAAATATAAAAAAGTAGTTTCAAATCATTTTCCTGCCCTTTACTTTAAGTTAAACATAAACTCTAATTTCACTAACTTAAGATGAATATCGATTCTGAAAAACAATTTTCTTAAAACAATATCTTATTGCCTTCGTTTCATATTTGATACTTTTTCAACATTTAATGGTCTAACTGGGATTTTTATTTGTTTAATTGGAGATGCTTCTGTCTTTTTTTTTGTATTCTGTTCAATACTATTTGATCTTAAGGATTATGGAATTTTTGAAGTTGATTAAACCTTTATCAAAGTAGGTTCTTTGCTCTTTTAATTAGACAATTAGTTTAAGTTAATAATATCTAATACCTAAGCAACTGGAGTACGTTTAGTTGGATCCTCAAAAATTGATTAATCAAGATGATAAACAATATTGCTACCATCAAGAGGCTAATAGCAGTTCTCAGGAGCAATAGCTTAAGTCTCAATTTATAATTATTTAAATCTGTTTGTATCAATGCTTGAACCTCTTGCGCTGCTGTCTCTTCTACTTCTTAAAGGAGTAAAGTTCTTCTCTGGTCTCAGAGCACTGCAGTTAATAGGTTATACTTTGATACGAGAAACTGCTTATTTTTACTCAGAGAAATTTAGAGATGCCTTATTATCAAATGCTAGTTATTTAACTTCAGTCAATTAATTCACTTTTTTTGAATCACTCATTGAAATAGGTATTAATTCAATTGGTTATTCTCCATTATTTTTTTGAGGTGATTAGATATTTTTAGACTTGGGTTCCTCCATTATTTTCACTTAAGCAATTCTAACTTCAGTCCATGGTTCAAGTGAATTATTTTCTAAAATTGCTGAAACAGGTTTTTGTTCTTTTAGAGTTAACTTTTAGGGTGAATCTTCTTTCTTAACTATGATATTCTCAATTTATTTTTCAGTCAAGACATTGTTTAGATCTACTTTTTCATTAATCTCAGGAACAACCTCTACCTTTGGGATATTTTCTTATTCTTATTTTTTAAATAAATTTTATGGATTAAGACTTTTCTTCTTTGGTTACAGTGTTATTTAATCAAATATCTACATTATATTTTATATCTTATTACTATCCTACTTTTTTTCACTCTGTAAAATCTACATAAAGCTATCTTGTTATTAATCAATGAAATCACTATTATTTTAGTAATCAATAACTGATTGTTATTCTATAACTTCAACAGTCTTCTTTTGTTTAGAATTTTAAATTTAATCTGTCTTCAAGAACGATTTAACTTATTTTTATTATGAATCAGGAATTATATTTTATGATTCAAAAGGAATAAGGGATGAAGCTGATTCTTATTCAACTTTCTATGTTTAAGACTCCAAGACTTAATCTAGTGATTTTTCTGGTTTTATATAAAGCTTATTGATTAAATTATTTAATTTAGATTGAACAGGTGGTAAGTCTATGTCTAGTATTTCAATTTTTAATAATTAATTATTACTCACTTAAGGCAAAGAGGTGGATACAGTATCTTTTTATTATAATTTTGTTTTCAATTAATCTAACTTTTTTGAATTAGTTTTCAATTCTGTTTTAGTATCAAAAATATCATTAATTAGAAAAACTTATCTTTTTAAGTAAAATCTTCCTTTTTCATCTTCATCTTGACAAACACTCTATTCAAATGAGCTTTCTTCATCCAATGTGTATAAACTATTATTCTAAGTTTTAAATCTTGGTTAATCATATATTTCCCTTATGGATTACAACTTTTAACTTATTGCATATTAAGTTTGCAAAGGTAAATTTTAAGTCTTGATTTCAAAGTTTTCTTATACTTTAAAAACTTCAGCATTTTCTGATATTTCTTATATGCCTTCTTCATTATCAGGTTGAATTTGTAATTCAGTTTTATTTTTGTATTATTCCAAAAATTTTGATGGTTTTATTTAGAAATCTTCCATTTCTTATTTTGTATAACTATTTTCTTTATTGATACTGGGTTGTTCTTGTACTTAAATTGCTACTTGCTTCTCGAATTATGGTAATTTTGTTATTTCAAGGGGAGCTAATATATCAGAATTAGATTAAGTATTTTTTTTATAATTAAAAGTTGTATCTAGCGAAAATTGATTAATTTCTTGTTTCTTTTCTGATCTATATTCAATTTCTGAGTTTTCTTATTTGTTTGATCTATCGAAGAAAATATCAAGAATATTGTTATTTGTAGATTGACGAAATCTTGATTCTTAGGATAGATCATCTTTTCTATCATACCTATCAGTTAGTCGGTTGCTGGTATCAGATCTTTCAGTTTTATCTCCTTTTGTTTGTTTACTTTGTCGAACATCTTGGTTTCTTTTTTTAGAAGGAGGATCCCAAGAATCAAAAAGTTATTATTTTAAGGTGGAGACATTACTTCTACAAAATGTCCTATCTAAAATTGATATCGATTAATCATTTTAATTAACTTTTTCAATCATTTTTAATGAAGAGCAACATAATTAAGAATAGATGTCTGAATAAATAAACTTGATCTCTTAAAATTCTTTTTTCTTGAAATTGATAGTAATTTCATTGCCATAATTCATCTTTTTGAATAATGCCTAATTCACATAAAACTAATGAGATTAAAAATCTTCTAAATTCCATTATAAAAGAGATTTTCCTTAAATTGCAAATATAAATTTATTGTTAGCACTAATATCTTCCAAATTATTAATTTTTAATTTAATCATTTTATTGGTGTAGCAATAGGCATCTCCACTTTCTGTTAAAGCAAGACCACCGAATTAAAATAATAAGGATTTCTTAAAATATCCATTAACCCCCAATCCATTAAGTTAATGAATTGGTATTTAAACATTATTTTCAATGTTAAATATTTTTCCCCCAACTATAGAATATATAGACTATTAAAGTACTTGTAATTAATGTTAATTTTTCCTTGTAAGTACTTATATGTTTACAATGACTGTATATAGTCTTATTAGTTTTCCACCAAAACCCTCTTCCAGCATGATCAATTGCAGTTGTTGGGGTAATACTCATATAATTTTTGCCTTAAACTAATTGCTTTGGTTAAGAATCAATTGAAAATAGATCTCCATTGCCTTGAAAGAATATTTTAATTTGTACTCATTAAACAAAATATTACTTTTCCATCAGAACAAATTTGCTGGACTCCAGATAGCACATTAATTGCCTCCTATTCAGTAAATTATGTGATCTAATTATCACTAACTAAAAGTCTTTTTAAGTTCTAATTATCTATAAAATAAAGTGATGCGCCCAACTTTATGGCCTAAGTAAATTTGAATCTAACTGTTTAGATATTCTAGAGTTATAACAAATTGCATACCTCCAACTAATCAAAAATAACAGACATATTTTATATACGTTAATATTATAAATTATCAATAATTCAAGCAATTCACATTAACTATAAATAATGAACCTTATGATAAAAGAAAATTCAAAAACTCGGAGAGTTAGTCTTCAAATCAAAATTTGTTTATATCCATTTTTTCTATTATAAATTATATGAATTCAACATTTTTTGAATTAAATTATTATAATGAAATCCATAAAAAAGAATAAAAACAAAATAATATAATCTTTCGAACTCTGGTTCTTAATAAATTTTATTAATATTTAAAATTATTAGTAATACTTTATTATGCTCATTATGTTTAAAAGAGATAAATTTATGTGAGGTGTAGGGGTATTAGGTATTATAAAGGTTTTTAAATAAAATTCAATGATTCGATATCCTAAAGTTATAAACAGAAGTTTTATCAAAATTCTTATCAAAGAAAATTAAGGATTTATTGATTTGATTCTTATATAATTAATACTAGTTTCTTATATTTCGTTTAATTTATCATATAAACTTTTGATGATGAATTCTATAAAATATTATTAGGTAATTATAAAAATATCAAAATGAATTCATTATTCGAACTTTTAGATTGTTATGATGAAAAAGAAAAGGAGATCTTTGAATTGTAAATATCGCATGCTATTCAAGCCTCAATTCAAATAAAAATAATATGATGGATTTTTTGAAATTAGTAATTGAAACCCCAAGTGACTTACATCCAAAGTATGTCTAAATCCCTTAATTAGATATCCTTTCATTGTCAGCGAATTAATGTTTGGAAGCTATGAACAACTACTACAAATGATGTTTGAGTGGAATGGAGAACCAATTTAATATTTGCTGACATTCTTCAATTATCCATAAAATGACACTTCGTGTGGCTATTTTGAAAAAATGATAAGGCCTCTAATTTTATTGAAATCAAATGAAATCAAACCCTTTTTAGAGATTTCTTCATGGATTAAATATATTGATTAAGAGTCCATTCAAAATATATTCTAAACAATATTGGCATCTAGCAATTTGGATGACAATTTCAAACAAGATCTGTTGGGAATGCTTTTAAATTAAAATTTTATAAGTGAGAATGTGTTTCGTATAATAATTAAATACTCAGACTTATTTTAAATATATGTGAATCAACATCAAGAAATTTTTGGTGTTATTTGTAATCAATCACCTTCCTCATTTCATTAATTGTGCACTATTGAATTATTTATGGGGTGGAATATGATAAATTTAGAATGGCTTCATAACTAAATTAATTATTTAGAATAGCTAATCTATAAAAATTTTGATTTTTGCAAATCCATGATGAACTTCTTACATAAACCACAAGGACTTACAGAAATTGATTTAAAAGTCATACATATACTATCACAAACTATCAACAGACCAGAAACAATTAAATTTCAGAACGTGTTATTGGAATTGCTAATTAAATATGAATGGAATAATAATTTATAAAATATTGCCATTAAAATGTATCAACAAATGTCTTAAGAGGATACACCTCATAAATAATATGTATTATTTGTTATGTAACATTTTAGTTTCAATCAATAATAACTGATTTTATAACAGCCAATGTAAATTTCTAAAAATTCGAGTTTGGATTAAAAACCTAATTGCCAAGAGGATACAGATGGGTGTTTACTAGAATTGTCAAATTATTTTCATTAAACTTCAATTAAGCTTAAGATATAAATATATTGGAAGGCAAATATATCTTAAATGAAGACCCTTATAATACTAGAGAAAGATAATCTATTAATATTCTAGAGAAAGTATCAGAAAGAAGAACATAATGGGCAAAAAGAATTTAAGAAGAGGAAATGTAAAAACAAGAGGAAAAAGAACACATTCAAATTGAAGAAGAAGAAAATAATGAAAATGATTAATTCTTTCAACCTAGAAATAGTTTTGGAGTCAAACCACCAATAATAAACAATGACGAAGAAGTGGAAGATGAAATTCCAGTAATAGAAAATTAACCTAGAAACAGTTTTGGAACAAAACCAATAATATTTGAGGAAGAGGTGGAAGATGAAATTCCAATAAGAGGAAGATCCAGTTGTTAATTCAAATAAGATGATAACGATTGATTTCTAATTTTTGTTTATTTATAATACGATTGTAACTAAAAATTTAATTAAAAGTTCAAGAAGTTCAACCCAATATATTCATAGATAGTAATCAATAATTCAATATAGTTTACGATCGATAATAATTTCTATTTATGATTTGCATGATATTTTATTATTCATTGCATCATTCAACATCAAATAAAATAATGTAATGAATTAATTATAAAATTTATGATATACTAGAGTTTTTATCTTAAATATATTGATTAATTAAATAAAATAAGAAATGGATTAAGAGGACGAATAACACAACGAGATAAGAAAAGAATATAAAAATCCCTTGGAAGAACAATTGAATTACAAAACTTATAGTAGATTGATGAGAGTTTGCTTTGCAATTTTGGTTATTTTAGGAATGTTGTAAACATATCAATAATTCAAAATCAAAAGAGAACGAGTTTTGAGATTTCTATGAAAATTTTTCACGTTAATATTTTTTTTTCATATATTTTCAAATATCTCAAACTGATTCCCGACTTACTAAATAATAAAATACTTTTTTTTATAAATTTAATTTATAGTTTATTTTGATATATTTATGTAAATCCTCAAATTTTGGTTGGCTAATCTCATCTTTTTATTATCTTACCTATTGTTAGTGCAGCACTTTAATTAATTGTGAATTTACTCTTTGATTCATTGTTTCTTTTCATGTGTCTTTTCATTCTTATATAGATAGTAAATATATCTACCTAAAAAGGACCATGTTAATATTATATTCTGGATAATAGGTTTCAAAGTCCTGCATTCTGTCTAAATTAATTTTATAGATCTCTTCCATACAAGGATTCTTATAATATTTCAAAGATAAAATACATCACTAACAAAATTTAAGAATTCGGTAGCAGTAGGTAAACTAGCAGTTTAAAGATTGAAAATTGGACTTGTGTTACTTTAGAGCGATGGCAAGATATTCAGAGAATGAGGTTTATTCAATATCTTTGAAATTTTCAAATCAAAAATATTCCTAGATAGGGACTTTTATTATTGTTATTAAGATGAATTTTGTTAAAAATATTCTAGTTGCTGTTATTATTCATTTTATTTGATATTCTCATTATTGATTTCAATTAGGAAATTGTTTTATGATTCTCCTTATAATTGCAACTCATTTTTTTCTTAATTCTACTCTATAACACTTGATGATTGCTACGAAAATTCAGATGAGACTTCTTCAATTTCAACATGATTCGACTGTATTTCATTTAATTACTTAAAATGATTTCGAAAACTATGTTAATTTCGTTTCCTTCTTTTATCATCTATTATATAATAAATAATCTTTACATGACTTTCTGGGTTGATTTGGAGAATAGAGGTATTTATCATAAAAATCAATATTGTTCTTTATTAAATGTATTTTTGGACAGTTAATTAATAAATGTGTCCTATCCTAACAATATAAACAAACTACATCTATGATTTAATAGTTGTTATTAAATAAAATTTAATCCTTAATAAATGCAGCAATTTCCTATGATTAATTAAATAAATACCAAATCTTAAATATTAGAGGATATAATTTTTAGAAATTTTTCTCTGCTTATCTTATAAAGTAGGCAATAATCTAAACCTGTTATTAGATTTTGATTTTCTTAGCCAGTAAAAAAGGAATATTAACCAAAACATTGCCCACTGAATATTTTTTAATACTCTGGTATTGATTCTGTTAAGCCATATGCTACTTCACCTTAATTTACAAGATAAATATTATATTAGTCCCCATAGTGATTACATATGAATTTATCATTAATATTTAGAATAACTGGGGTGAGATTTTAAGCTATCTATTATTAAGTTGATTTGGAAAATTGAGAAAATATCCGAAATTATTTTACAAAATTGAGTAATTACTGTTCTTTAAATTCTTGGAATATTTTTTCCTTTTCTAAACATTATTCAAAATAATTTTCAATGTTTTACAAATTTTAATCCTTTAAACATACTTCTTCTAACTTCCTAGAAATTTAATACTTTAAAGTTTATGAAATGTTTTATTTGTACAAGAATCGTTAGAGCAATTTTAACTCTTTTATTTTTTTGAATTATTAGTAAAATTCAAGAGAATCTAAAATTATGAACTTTATAATTAAAATTTTATAAAACAAAAGGATAAATGTTGTACAGATACTGAAAATTCGATTTTACAAAGTATTAATTTCAACATCTAATTTGAAATTTCCAAATTAAATAATATAGTTAACATAAATCTCTAGGTACTCTTAAAATATTTCTTAAGTTTCTTTAATTTAATCATTTATTAAGAATTATTATCTTAAATTGATACATGTAAAGTAGTGGCATGTATGTACAATTTAAACAATCTAGATAGTTAAGTCACTTATTTCATAATATATCCTTTTATTGAATGCTAGAATTATCTTTTTATAAATTATAAGTTCAACTATTAGCAAACTGATCGTTTTTATGAATTCGTTGTCTGAAAGTATTAGCATGGCAAGTAAAACTATAGAAGATGTATCCATCAAAATTTTTGATGACTTAAAAATATATTCAAGAAATTATTTACTCTATTACATTTATACTTTCTAGCACATTTGAGAAATATATTTATATATCTAATCCAAAATGATAAGAATAATCAAGGTAGCAAATAAATAATTCCCATACCCATTTGTTTAGTAAATGTATTCTACTGGAGAAATGATCAATATTATCACACAAAAAAAGAAAATTATTGAATCCCAAATCAAATTTAATTAAGGTAAAAGAGAATTCTTATATATCTTTTTTCCAGCATTTAAAGGAGAAAAAAGCAATGAGTTAATAAATTTATGTTGTTTATTTTTTAGGGTAAGGTGTTATTTTAATTTATTAATAAATGCTAATACCTTTTTTTAATTTTATTGAAATGTATTCGCTTATGTAATATTGTTTTTTACAGTCGTTTATTCTCCTTGATTTCTAAATTACCAAGTAATCCCTTTGGTTTGCTTATTAGCTTTCAAGTCAAATATCTCAAAAGCAGGTGTTTTATCCTCTTCTACTTCATATGAAGGTTATCTGGGATGAGACATATTTATCCTTTTACCTACTTGAAAAGAATTTTCTTTCTAATTGTTATTTATCCTAAGACTTAAAAATTTCATTACATTATACTTCCATCATAACTTTGAGAAGGACTAAGAATTAAAAACTCATTTTTTATTTCATCTTATATCATCTTTTTTAAAATTAATAATGAAGTCCAAATAATTGTTCATAATAATTTTAAACTATATTGAAATGCTTATCATAAAGCTTTTTTTTTTTGAATAATAAACCACACTAATCGAATTCTTTTTCAATTTAATAACAACAGCAACAAATAAATCATAAGTCTTTATAGAACTTGAAAGATGTAGAATTCATAAACTTAAAACAACTTTCTTACATCTGAAAACAAAAATGTTGATAACTAATTTTAATTAAATAGTTGTTTTTTTGTTAAATAATTTATAAAATTTGCTCTGAAAATATCAAATTGAAAATATATTTCAGAAATGAAATAGTTTTCAGAACTTTATCAATGTTTCTAAGTCATCAGAGCGGTTTCTAGATTTAAAGGTGGAATCTTTAATAAAACATACTAAAATTAAATAATAATTCAAGTTTGAAGAAATTTAATTTATAATATACAATCCTTTTAAACTATCCCTGGGTCTAATTAATTTTTTCTGTTGAATAATGGGTTTTTTATATGATACCAAAAGTGAGAGCGAACCTTATCTTTCTTTATTAATAGACAAATTTTTCTTTTACATCAACTTTTATATTTGATCTATGTTTTTCAGTTTTTTAAATTGATTGGGAAATCCAAAGAAAAATCAGAAAAAAAAAATTAGAGAAACCTCAATAAATAGTTTGAAATTATACTATATTAATTTTAAACAACTTTTTCAATTTACTCATAATTTTAATTAATTAAAATCTAAATTTGATGTGATCAGTTTTTATATAAAAAAAGAGTTTACATCTACAAAAATTCATAGTATTTCGGTAAACATTAAAGTGAGAAAGAGGATCACCCTATTTTAATTAGTTTAATTATAATTTATATATTTACAATACCCATGGTTCGTTACAATTGAATTTTATTATTGCATCACTTTTTATTGTTCTTCTTATTCTCTATTGTTTGACTTATATTAATTCCTGCTTTATAATTTCTTTCTTTTTCTTATTAAATTATCTGATTTGTCAAAGTCAAACATTGCATTTGGTTAATGGATACTATTTTTACATAACCAGCATCTCAAATATGATTCATTATATATCAATCCTAAATTTTAAGATCAACTTGATAATTAAAAATTTTACTTTTAAAGTACAACCTTGAGCATATTCCTCTCTCAGAACATCATCTTATTTGAACTGAGCATAAGTGAATTCTAACTTACAATCTAAGCAATCAATTTGGTTTAATCACTCATTTTTTTTTTTATAATAAAAATAAAACAACAATCGAAGACCAAAATTTCCAAGGTAATTTTTTCTATATAATAATTTTCAATTATGAATTTGAATCGAATTCCTTTGGCACCTTTGACTCCAATATAAGTACAACAACTAGCTCGCTTGCCTAGAATGCAAAAAAATCAAAATTGTTTAACCTGTATCCCAACAAATCCTAATAACCTTGGATAAAGTAAATACACATCAACAAACTACTAAATTAAAATTTATAAGAAAATTGTATTAGAACTTCTGAATTCTATTTAAAATTCCCCTTTTCTAGAATTTATGTATGGATTATAAGTAGAATTCAAGTCATCTTATCATTTTCTTATTAGTCCAACTGAAAGTCTTATCAACTATTTAAACCTACACTATGATATCAAGTAGCTCTATAGAATTTATGATAATATCTATAAATAAAATGCTAAAAAGATCAAGATTTATATAAATGTCTCAGAAATAGATCTAATATTACAATTATTAAGATCTATAGTTAAATAGATGCCTAACATTAGTCGAATTCGAGAAGTTTTAAAAAATTAGTAAGTAAAAGACATTGTAAGTATTAAAAAGACTTAAATTGAAGATTCAAAATTAAATTAAATAATAACCTTGATCTAATATATTTTTAATTCATAACTCACAAAATTAAATACTTAGATCATAGTTAAGAAGGAACAGCAGGAAAACATTGTTAAAGATCAATCTTTTTATCATATCCAAAGTAATGTTCAGTCAATTATGATTTCTTTATTTTTGCAATATTGCTTATAAAGGAAAATATTACTTCCAGAAATAATATATTCTATTACATTTATCACTAATACTAAGAATCTAACCTTAGATCCAAGCTTTGTCAATGACATTCCAGATTCAAATGCTTTTGATGAATTTAAAGAGAAAATCAACTATAGAAGATATTAAAGGAGTTTTAATTTATAAGGCCTTATTGAATATGAAGATTTTTTAATTTCAGAATATTAAATCTCTTATCCTATGAAAAATATTGAGACTGATTTAGTTGAATCAATAATATTAGTTTAAGAGAGTTAATATTAAATTATTGACAGATTGAGAAGAATATTTCAGAGTCAAAGAATTAAAATAATAATTGAAAATTTGGGTAGTAATCCCTTAAGTTAAATTGGAATGAACATTTCCACCATTATTCTTGAATTACAAAATACAGTGAAACAAAGCGAAATTAATTAATAAACAAAACGATTTCCAAAAATTAAGTTGAAAATAAAAAAACTATGATATTCCAAAAATATATTAGATTATTATATAATTAATATTCAGCCTTTTAATTCAGGCAATGAACTGATTGCATTTTTCCAAACTTCAAAAGAAGTTTAAACTTTCCATTGTTATTATTAAGAAATTTAGTTTGCCTATTGCTATTAGTTAGAGAACTAAGAATATCCTCCTAATCTACTACATTCTATATTTGATTTACAACAGCTATTGGAATATTCATCTGATAAAATAAAGTATTTATCAAATGTTGGTAATTCTTCTTTTTAAATTGAGTATATAATTTCAAAATTTATTTTTATTTTTAATTATATTTTTTTCTTTCCTCATTCCATAATTGCTCGTAATGGTTTGGATATGATTCTGGAATGTTATGCTTTTTTCTTTTTTTTAATAATTAATCAGCTTTATTTAATTCACTAAATAATAGAAGGTTTTATTACTTATTTCAAAAATCTGAACTTCTTGTTGTTACAAAGAATTTGGGAATGAGTTGCCCTTTATCTTTTCCAAACCATTAAATTCCTTTGATAAATTGCTATAATTCTTTTTGATTCAGAAATTCATATTGACTTAACTTCCAAGTTTTTATTTGATTCTTTTGAGCATTGCAGCAATTGAGTTTTTGTAATTATTTTTAAGTTGCTTCATTGTTTTTTTCCATAAGAATTCTTTTTAAATTGCCTCCAATTTTATGCTTCCATGCTTTTACAAACCTTAAAATAATAAGTTTTCATCCATGGTGTGAACTTACACCTGACCTTACTAATTTAGAAGTATTATGGCAAATAACTACTTTAAATAAGAGGAATGTATTTCTTAAGAACAACTATTTTATCATCGAAATTCTTATTAATATTCTCTAAAATGGATTTAAACTGTTATAAAAGAAGGAGTTAGAAAGAACTTTATAAGGGAGAGACTTCTATTGTGAGAGGATTGTCATTGAATTATGATAAATCAATGCTGTATAACTAGGCAGGATCTTGCTTTTCAAGTTGCTCAAGCATCTGAATTGTTCTTTATCTCAAATTTTCAGATTTACAAAATAAAGCATTTTAAATCAACAACTATATTAAGATTTCATATTAAGAGAAGATTAGATGATCTAATGACTTTGCACAAGAGTCTAGTTTAATAAAGAAATATACAAACTTTACATCCTGATTTGGAAGGATTGTCTAATATTTTGATTGGCAATATTATAAAGTCCTTAATTACTCTGGCTACATCCAATAATAAATATTATAATTTAATATAACTAATTGTCTTTTATGGAATGCATAATTTATTAAATGAATTGATCACTTTTCAATTACACTAACGCTATTTTATGACATTAAATTCTATTGAGATACAAGATCTAATAATGAGTGGATTTAACTGATTCATTTTTCGATGTTTAACTTTTTTTTATCTAATTTTATTATTTCATAGTAAGCAATTAAAATATTAATAAATAAAGGAATTAATTTAATTGCATTTCGTAAATTATAATATTAAGATTTTGAGATAAAAATGGAGTTCAATTGTTTAATTGAAAGAGAATCATTTTTATTAAATGTCAAGGATAAAATCATGACAATTTGTAATCATTCTATCAAATACACATTTGATCTATCTTTGAAGGTTCTTATCACTTGGGTGTTTCGGGAAAAAGAATTGAATGGGTTTATATTAGATGACCTCATTGTGGAAGGAGATGGTTTAAATATGAAAAAACTTAAACTATTTCTTGGTGGAAAAATAACATACACCGGTATTCAAATTTTCTATTGCTTTAATGGAGAGATAAACATCAGCAAAAGTAAAGCAACTAAAGTAACTTATATTAATATAATTAAGGTCTGTTCCCTCATCAATAGGTAAACTAAGCTAAAATTCACTTGCAAATGCTTTAAGAAGAGTGCATTGGGGATTGAGAGAATTCATAAGGAGATTGAAATATAAAAAAAAGCATCTAAAAATGGATTAGCACCTAAAATATACGAATGCTTTGAATCAAAAAATTGTGTATATCTTATAATGGAAACTTTGGAATAGTTATAGGATCAGGCATTTATGGAAGAGGATATTATGTTATTTCTTTATGTACTTATTTTTATAATTCTAGAGTCTAATTTAAATAATCTCAGTCCTTCATTAGGAAAATATTGTTCATAAAAGCATAAAAAAATCACACATTATGTTTAGTGAAGACAACAAACTAAAGCTAGTTGGATTTGGAAAATCTAGCAATACTAATATTCAAAACAATGAGTTTAGACTGGACATTTTTAAAGTCGGAATTATTATGCATAAATTGTAAGATATTTAAATAACATAGCTACTAAAAATAGAATTTTCAAGATGATTAGTTTATTATATCAAAGGATGGAAATTCCCTATTAGAATCTCTTCTAAATTGGAAGAGTAACTCGCCTCTTGAGCTAAAAGAACTATTTTCTCACCCTTACTTTAAATTGTTAAAATCCGAAGGAATTTCATTAAGTAAAGAATTTCAATGTATTATTAGAAATCTAATGTATGAACCCTAAATTTAAAACTCGTATTTTTTAAGATGAAGAGCTTGAATCATTCGAATGATAACTTTTATTACAATTATTTCATAAAATATATTTTATAAAAATTAGAAATATTCATATTTTCGAATCAGATGCCTAAGAACTGATTACTCTAAAATTGTTTTGGATAAAAAAGATTTCTTCATTTTATAGTATTTCTTTAGTCTTTATATTTAAAAGCATAGGTTGATATAGGTAGTTAGACCATTATAAAATACATGGAATAAAATGAATAATTATCAAAAATATTCATTTATAAAAAATAGTATAAACTTTCGAAAATAATAATTCATAAATATTTTTTAGTTGGTGTAATACTTTGGTTGACATAAATCATTATGATTGATAAAACTCAATTAATTATTTTACGTTGCCAAATAATCTAGATGAAAATGTTCTTTTAGTTTTATGTTTAATTCTTTCTAACACAGGACCGTAATCCATAATAGTTGTTTCTGGTCGTCTTTTCTTCAAAGCCACCCATTCATTGAAGAGATCTGTAAGTATTAATTAGTGTAATTTTTTCCAAAAATTCTCTTCCTTTACAAGAAATCTACAAAAATTTTTAAGTGCTACTCTATCTGCGATTTCCTATTTTTTAATATCAATTATACCTTTATATCCCTTTTATCAAGCTATTCCTGCAAATGAAAGTATCGCTTAATAAAGAAAGTGACATTTATTGAAGATGCTGCAAAATAGAAGTCATTTTATGGCTTACACATTTCTTTAACTAAAGTGTCTTTGTACTCACTCACAAAATTAGTAATGTCATCTAATGATTATACTCCACCTCCTCTAAAATCTGTGGTCGGATCAGCCTATTAAAACCCAAACTCAGTCCATTTTTAATTTCTAATTTCTTGTAATTCGGTTTCGGTCAATAAATACCATAGACCCTTGATCCTTTTAACACAATTTTCATCTTCATGTGAATATAAAGAATATAATTCAACTCTTAGATTCCACCATTCTTTAATTTCTTGATCTGATAGATTATAAGTTTCATCAAAGCAAGATGATAAGTACTTCTCCTTAAATTCCTTATTTTTTTAATGAGTTGTAGGCTCATGAGCCATCTAAATTTCAGTCCAAGGATGATTCTTTGGTTAATGTATTTACACTATAATCTGATCTTTTTGTTATATTTCTTAATTCATTTTTTAATTATTTTCTTTTCTTACATTCTTAAAATTAATATGAAAATTATGTAAACTCTAATTCAATCCGCATAGGATTCACAAGGAGGATAAAATTAAATGAATTAGAAATTAATTTTTTTAATAAGAAATGGTGTTGTTCTTGCTTCAAAATTGAATTACCAATTCCGATTACAATTATGTATTACATATAGAAAAGATAGTCTACTTCAATAATGTATTTTAGATATTATAATTTGATTATAGAATCACTTTAATTGATTCAACACCTAATCGAATGTAGGCAATCTATTGGCTAATCCTCCTTCAGCAACTAAAGTGGGTCTGTTCTTCAACAAATCGACAACTGCCTTGTTTATTTAGTCTGATGTAACGGCATCAATATAAGAGGCATATTCATTTATTTTAATTGCATTGAACACTTTCAACTAAATAACTAATTTATTAATTGTACGCTTTTAGCTGCTTCTTCTAATCTGTCTGAAGTTCTTTCAAGGGCCAAATACAATTGAGTCTTTAAGATATTCTTAGCTCTTGTTAATTCAGTGTTTGAAATAGGTCCTGTAAGAGTCTTCAATTCATTTACTACACTGCTAAGTAATTCAGTTCCTTTGTCTGCTGATCCAATGATTTTGACTCCAAACAATCCTGCATCAGAGAAAGTGAAGTTCAAGCTTTCAACTGCATCGGCATAGGAATTCTTGTTTAAGACTATTTATTATTAGAAAATGAATAAATACTGTTTCTTTGTAATCTTGATTGAGCACTTCCTTGTAATCCCAAGAGAGCATTGAGTACTTAGAATACTGCAGCTTGTGAATTGGTCCAATTGGCAGATGGGAATAATAAAGCAATAGCAATTTCATTGTCATCAGTCAAATTTCTGACTTCGCCTCCAACATATTATGTTTAGGCTCTGACTTTAGCAGTTTAACCAGCAGGGATGAATCCGAGGGAATCTTAGACCAAACTCACAAATTCAGTGTGATTGTAGATTCCAGCACCAGCAACTATAATTTTAGATGGGTTGATGTTTTCCAATTAGAACTTTTGAATTGTGTAAGCACTCAAATTGCCAATGTTAGTTTTGAATCCTCTCAATGGCATTCCCAAACCAGTCAAACCAAAGGCAGTCTTAAAGATTGTTTCATTAAATCCTTCTCCACCTATAATTTAAATCTTAAATTAATTTACTTTTAATGATATTTTCCAAATTATGTGTTCCATGATTCTTTTCAATAGCAGCATTTGCAGCTACTACTGATCTTGGCTCCAAGGCACAATCAGATACGACCTTGAACACATCCACTACATCATGAGCCAAACAATGAGCTTTGAAGTATGCACTCTCTTAATCATAATCCATCTCAAATTCACCTCCTGATTATTGAATAACACCACTAAGAATATTAGATTTTAATATACTAGTTGATTGTCTCATTTGTATTTAAAACTGTCTTATAATAAGTATTCTTGATAGACAATAATGATCCTGATGTTTCATTTGTTTCATCTCTTGTTCCAACATCCAAAAGAATACCCACATCAACTCTAGAAGGAGATGAAGCACTCTCTGTCAATACAGTGATCCCATTTGAAAGTTTTGTAACCTCATATCTTCTCTCTTATTCTCTGATCTCACTGCCTTGTTGTCCTACTGCAGATTTGGGACTAGCAGCAGCAAGTTTGTAAAGATCAGAGGACTTATCGTCTCTGTAAATTAAATCATGTAATTAGGCTCTCAAACTTGAGAATTTAAATTGGGACTACTCAAATTAACTAAATTCCTACCTTTGATGCAATTCTTCCTGAAACTCTAAATAGCATGATATTTTATTTTAAAATAAATTTTGTTAACTTTATATCAATAACACAATCAAATAATGGATATTAAATAAATATCATTCTCTTCCTTATAAGAAAATAATCTCAACTTAATCAAGAATATCTCCCTTCAAGAGTAATAGCCTATTTTCCTAAGGAATGGTTATTATGAGTACATATAACACTTGATCAATATTCATTATAATATCAGAGGACTATTTGGAGATCCAAGACTTATCCTTAACATTAAGAATTACCGTGTGTAGGATCTTTCCTATTCAATATCTATTAAACCTTACATAAGTAATAATAATAATTTTAGCCAAACGACGTGATTTGTGAAATTGCTTTGTATAACTATTACAAATAGGCAAATAGGCAAAGTTATACTTAAACAGTTCCCTTAGATGTTGACTAGTTTTATATTAATGAGTGAATCAATTGATAATTACTAATTTATTTATCATAAATTTATTTATTAATTTTATTCTAATGCAACTTAATAGACATAAAATCCACTCTAAAGAAACCAGCTATTTTATGAATCTAACTGAATATAAAAGATGAATACTTAATTTTACACTGTTTAAAGAAACCTATAATACCAATTCAAGTATTTATAATTCAATTAATAAAATAGCAAAATGAATTTTATAAAGATACCTATTTTCCAAATAAATGCAGTATTCAAAAACTCATATCTATAATTAATTATTTGGGTGACAAAAATATTTAGTAGTCTATTTGAAACCAAACGTAATCTAATTGAACAAATTCTAAGTTTTTTTAAAGTTTCAATTATTAAATAATTAAGAAATATTTCTTATTATACATCTACCTCCTCTAATCAGTGAAAATAATATAGAATTTTGCATTAATAACCTTTATTGATTCTCATTCAAATACTTATAAGATGGGTTTAACAGAACTATAATATTATTAATTAATATGAATCAATAATTAATAGGAGCCATAAGGTTGATAAATGATTGTTTTAATTTAGGAGTTGAATTTACTGATATTTGATTTTGTTAATTTTTAATGAAGGGCAGAGGGAAATATCAAATATACTTAAGAGAAAATGGAGACTTGAAGCCAAAAAGGAGGAAGGCAATAGTTCCATTTATTGTTTGAAAAAATTAAATATTGTGTCATCAATTATTTATATATAAATGCATTTTAATGACGTTCAATATTTTATAATACGTATATATGTGATGATGAATATCATATTTTTCATCATTAATTTAATTCCTGTATGCATATTTAAAAGATTTCAAGATCGATCATCAATCGAAGTTGCTTTTCAACATCCGCAGTAAATGAAGGCACTTTTTTGGATTAAGTGATGGCTTATTTCAATAAGGCATCTGGCCATACAAATATAAGTCAAGATAAATTGGAGTAAGCCTCTTATTTAAGGATTTTAGCTTCTACAAGAGTACAGATATAGTGATAAAATTCAATTTGCCACTAGTGAGAGATGATGGAACCTACGTTTGTGTAATTTAAGAGATTAATTATTAGGTGCCTGCATACAGAGCTCAACACAAGACTTACAGATTGCCAACAAAAGGAGGAACAAGATTGAGTCCACACATCAATATTGAGGAAGTAGAGGCATTGTCATTTTTGATGACATTAAAAAACTCTATTTTAGATTTACCATATGGTGGTGCTAAGGGTGGCATCGGCATCAACCCACGTAAATTTTCAAAAAGAGAAATTGAAACTTTGATGAGGAGATACACTTTGGAATTGGCAAAGAAGAATTTCATTGGTGCAGCTATTGATGTACCAGGACCAGATCTTGGAGTAAATATTTTTAGTATATATCAGACTGGTGAATAAGAAATGAGTTGGATGAAGGATGCATATACTAAATTCAAAGGACACTAGGACATCAATTCTGTGGGGTGTGTGACTGGTAAAGCAATCAATTAAGGAGGAATCTCTGGCAGATAGGAGTCAACAGGAATGGGAGTAAGTTATTGTAATAGAAATTAGATATTCTTTGCTACAAGGGAGATCTTGAATGATGTGAAGTATTGCCAATCTGTGGGCATTGAACCAAGTTTGAAGGGAAAATCAATAATAATTTAAGGATTTGGAAATGTATAATACTCAAATTAATAGTAAAGGTTGGTTCATTCTGTGCTAAATACATGTACGATTATGGAGCCAAAATAATTGGAGTCGCTGAACACGATGGATCAATTTATAATCCAAATGGAATCAACCCATATGAGTTGGCTGCTCATAAGACTAAGACTGGAGGAGTCAAGGGATTTGTTAATGCTTAGAAGTATTGGGAAGATGAATAGGCAATCTATTAATAATGCGACATATTCATCCCAGCTGCTTTTGAGAAGACAGTTAATGCTAACAATGCTGATAAATTCAATTGTAAGATTATAGCTGAAGGTGCCAATGGACCAACTACTATGGCTGCAGAGGACAAATTGTTAGCAAAGGGTGTGATATTTTTACCAGACATTTTGCTTAATGCTGGTGGTGTTACAGTTAGTTATCTTGAATGGTTAAAGAACTTAAAGCACATCAATCCAGGAAGAATGACAAGAAGATGGGAAGAGTAAGCAAAACATAGAATTCTTGAAGTCATCAAAATGAGCACAGGTCTCAATATCAATATTAAGGATAGTAAGCTTGCAAAAAAGATGTTGGAAGGTCCATCTGAAGTATGTCTATTATTTAAATTCTTTAGACTGATCTGGTACATACAGCTTTAGAGTAATCCATGATAGAGGCAGTCAAAAATATTATGGCTACATCTCAAGAATGCAAAGTCAATTTAAGATTGGCAGCTTATATTAGTGCAATTAATAAGTTAAATGAACATTTTGAAATTTCAGGAGTTGAAGCATGATTGTTTTATATACACAAATATATTCATTAAAATAAGTCAGAATAAAATGATAAAGTGGTTTTGTATTCTCATCTTCATTGAAAATTTGATTGCACAGGATTTCCATGTAACCTTAGAAGAAATAGAAGAAGAAATTAGTACTATCTCAAATTATTCAGATAGATAAAAAGAAGATTTACTTTGGATCCACAGTGAGAATAGAACATTAATCTTCAGAATATTTTCTCCATTCTCATTTGGTGTCTTATGGAAGTGGATCAGGATAGCAATCTGTCACTGGAATGCAGGCTGATCATGATTATAACAGTTTATGGACTATCAAAGAGTGTCACAATCAACCACTCAAAAAATATGGTATTAAATACGTGTATTATTTATAGATGATCAAATAAAATGTGGAGATTGCATTAGACTAGAGCATATGCTAACAAACAGAAATTTACATTCTCATCCTCATTAAGCTCCTTTTTCTGGTAACCAAGAAGTTTCTGCTTATGGAGATAATGGAAATGGAGATGCAAGTAATAAAATTATTATATACTCATCAGGTGATGATTGGATATTGGAATGTGCAGACAATAAGATTGGAGATCATTTTCAAGCATCAATGTGGTTCTATTTGAAACATAAAGTAACATCAAAATATTTGAGAAGTAATAAAAAAGATAATTTCAATCAAAGAAATTGTGGATATCATTGTCCAATCGAAGGTTAACTTGAAATTAGTGCTTAATCTACCAAAAATGCAGATGCAAAATGGAAAATATACTCAGGATTATTCTATCAATAACCATAATTAATAGAAGATGATTATGATTAAGATGGTAGACATTGCAACACTTATGGTTAATGTGATGACATTGATGATGATGAATTTGAGACTGTTATATAAAAAGACTTGTGATTTATATTATTATAAATATATGTATAATATAATCATACCTTAATACATTTTATAGTTTTGCAACAATATTTATATCAATATTGATTGACTATAACATAAAATTAAAATTTCTTGAAAGAATCTTAATATTCATTTATGGAAATTATATGAAGATTGCTAGTCCTTTTTGGTTGTTAAGGAAAATAAAGAAATAACTATAAAGAGAGATGATAGTAAGGGTTTATTATTAAATTTCTATGAAAAAGGAAGTTATGTTGCTTTTTTGATATTAATTTCTTTATTTTTGTTTTATTTTTTATTGATAATGTCAAATGTTCAAACTCAACTTATAAAGCTGTTAAATATGTCATTGGGCAGACCTATCCTATTGTCTTGAGTGGCACTGTTAATCCTGAATGGATGGTCAAACTAAATAGTTTATTTTAAGATTTTACGAATCGTTATAATTATATTTGACATATTATCTGACTTGCAATTATTTATCGATGTAAAATCTCCAATCACATTTCTTAACTTTGGCATGACAAACCAATTCAACATTCATTATTTATCAACCAAGAATCCACATGCTTTATCATTTCCTCTTCTTCTCAAATAGCCAAATTAAATTTCTTAGTTTTAGCAAGCTAATTTGCCGTTTAAGCTATTAGAACTCTTGAGGAAGAATTCATTTAAATTTTGAGTGTAATTAAATAGTCCATCAAAATACAATTGACTATTATTAAAGTCCCACTTGATTCCTTCTCTCAGATACCATTATGGTTGTGTAATATTAAAGTTGTGATTAACAAATAATCCTTAATTGAAAGACACCCCTGAACTTAAAAAAAATGATTACAAACAGAATGCCAAAACTTGGTATTGACTTCTTTTTACAATCCAAATTAATATTGTAGTGTTTTATTAACAGAGAAGACTTTGGCAAAGTAAGAGGCTTCAAATTTGCCAAGTTCCCATTTACCAAAGTCTAAGCCTAATTTCAAATCATTTTGATCTTTAACTCTGAAATGAACCTTGATTGCATCCCAAGGGAAGCGAACATCAACTGTTTAACTCTTACAATATTTTCTATATCTGAATTTTGTATCTGAGTTCTTCATCTGTCCATTTATTTATAACGAGTGAACTTCAGGGTTGTCAATAAAGAAATTATAGAATGCACTATCTTTTATTTGGCTCGTCATATTTTTATAATATTAAATAATTAGCTATCGTTTTATTAATAATCAAAAAAATATAATATTCCAACTAAAAATAGATGTATATAATAAATCTGGGAATTTGATTGTTGAATTGATATTTAAATAACGCGATTTTCTAATTAGATTGAGTTGATCTAAAGAGAATTGAAGTTAAATATCTATTGGAATATTGGTTTGTTTTAATATAAAATGAATATTCAAACTTGACTCCACAAAGAAGGAAGAAACTGTAGATCCATCTAATGAAAAAGTTTAGATAAATCTATTTCCTCCTTGCTTGATCCTCTTATTAAGACTAGTCTACTTGAGTCATTAAGTTTAAGCTATTTTTTTAAAGGTTAATAATGATATAAATTGGATTTCTAAGGTTCGATTGCCTTCTCTAATTAAGAAATCTTGGCAATTATTTTGTTGGTTTCCTTAGAATTCCATTCAGAAGACACAGTGTAAGAATGTCCAACTTATTGTTTAGGGTCTAAATTGATATTTTAAGAAATTGTACTTGAAATACTTGAACAAAGAATCGTTTTTTTGTAACGATGTTTCAAAGCAAATTCGGTTCTCTTCTTGCTTTCCGTCACAGCTGAAAGTCGAATGGCAATTTCTGCCCATCTACGTCCATGCTATAGGAGTAACTGTAAGAAATAATGATCTTCTGCGTCACTCCACTCTTCACTGAAATGATAATCATATGGATTTACCGATTAATAGATGGATCTAACTTATTGCCCCATCTTTCTCTGCATTGTTTGGGTGTTCTCATGAATTTATTCTAACATACATCATTTAGTTCTTTGGCTATTTTGCTCCATTTGTTGCCTTTCTTTTATTTTAAAAATGACCTAAATTATTGGTTGAACAAATTACAATATAATTTCAAGCAAGTGTTGATCCTCCTATTCAGTCCATGGATTGTTATAAGCCGATTGAGGTAGAAACAATAGGCTCATTTACTACAATTCCTAAGGTGTCCTAAAGGTTGGCATCAATTCACTCACTAATTACCATTATTCGTCAGACTGTTTATAGTTATAAAAATATACAAGTTTTAAACTTGGAGGGGCCTGAACACTTATTAGAATACACTGAAGTAAAATTTCCTCATTTTTTTCTCTGTGATCTATTGTCTTAGCTTGTTGAAGCTGATAATACATCCCTTCTAAGGTTTTGTAATTAGGAATGGAGTTAAAGTGTAACATCCATTTCTTTTTATATTCCTTGATGTCAACGTTTTGAATTTGGAGAAAGTTCAATTTATTAGAATGTAAGGACTCTTCAGTTGATTAGTGATAAGATTATTAGTGAACATGAAGGAAGCTCATATTCTTTTCTGTTTATAAATTAATAAAATCTCTCGCATTCACAAAATTTCTTTATGTATTATGCTGGATGAATATCTTCCAAAAATATAAAAGTAGAAAAGTTTTCGAAAATAAATTTCTAAACTACAAATTCACATTTATAGTTGATAACTTATATATATGTTTATTAAAAACCACAACAACTTAGAAGTTTGAAGACTTTTAGTATCAAAATTCCTTTCATATTTTGAATAATCAATTAATATTGATATATATTATTAATTGCTTTATAGTATATAATATAATCAATAAATTTTAATCACAATCTTCATAGCATACTCTCTATTGTTTCCATATAAGAAAGAAAATTTATTCTAAATAGATTGTTCATTAAACATTCTGATATTCCAAATATATTCAATATCATGGATAATACTATTGTACATGATGGATTTCCCTTATTTCAAAGTTCAATCTAGATCCAATCATTTTTGTCAATTTTTTTCCTTCATTTTTAAAAGGAATTTATATTGAAATTTAATTCTAAAATGGAAATTTATTAAAATAGCACCTGCTTAATTTTTATTTAGTTGTGTCATTATTAAATTCTCAGCTACTATTAAAGCTTTCAGTATTGAAAATTCATGTATCTACTAAGGGATTCTGTATTTTATGTAATCCTTATTGGATTCATTAAGATTTTCTATTTCACACATACTAGAACCAAAATGAAAACACTCTCAATGATACTTTAATTATTATATTTAGAATCAATTCCTTGAATTACCTTTATGAAATGATAACGATAGCTCTAGCTTTGGTTGATTTTAATAATATTTTTATTCAAAATTCAGAATAGGATCTATCGCTAAAACTATCCTTTGTGTTTTATGTTTGAGAATTCAACACTGATTGATAAAGAATCACGATAATTCTTCTACTAATTGAAACCATTTTTAATCTAGCTGTAAGTAAAACAGATACAAGAGATATTAATAAATGAATATCCTTATTTAGATAACTTAGAATATCTTTTTATTTATGTTTAAGATAATCCAGCAATTCTCATTACAGACTCAATATTTTATATGATATCTTCTAGAAGTTTACATTATCCTTTTTATTTTCTTCAAGAATATTCTCTCAATTAAATCTATATATATATTATAAATATTTATATCTATAAATTAATTAGAGTTAGTAAGAATAATATCTTTTATCTATGTGATGGCAAAACAGATTTATTTGATAAAGTGAATTTATAGATAGTTATTAGGCATCCTCTTCGTTAATTTACAATATAATCTATCTATCCTTAGAGTTATTATTAACTCTTACTTTGATGTAAATGATATTTAGTATTTAACAAACTTACTATTAAAAGATAGCATCTTAACTAACTAATTATATAGAATTCGATAATTTATATTCCTTGTTTGAACAAACTTAATTCCTTATGTAATCATCTCATTTTTAAGTCTCCAATCAGATGGAAATATTGCAATTTATTATTCTTAATTTTGTTTATAAATAATACCATTTTTATAATAATAAATGATTAACTCATTGTGATTATCGTTTAATTGATTATGATAAATTAGGTGGTTTGTTAGGCAACTGATCTTCGTCTTGTTGATTATTTTGCACACATTTACCATGAGATGTCAAATATCCCTCTATCCTATTAGATTAAAAGCATTTATCACAAATAGGCTTTTTAGGTATTTATAAGCTTTCAAAATGCACAACCTTAGCCTTTGCATAAAATTTATCACATCTTATGCATTTAAAATAAAATGATTCCTGATCTTTAAATGCAACTAACTTAAATTGGAATTCTATCCAATTAGTAAAGGTTTGAATATCTTCCTAATAATTATCTTTAAGATATTTCTGTATTTTTTGGAAGTTCTTCTTAACCAATTTTTCGAACTCTTTGCTTAAATCCGTTTACCATGATTATTAGTAATCAACTAAAGCAGTTCCATTACAAAGTTTGCATTAACTCGGATCCTTCCTTTGGTATTTACACATGCATAAAAACTTACTATTCATAACACCAAAGATATCAATATAATTCAAATCAGGTACAAAATCTTAAGGTATTTCCTTTTATTGTAATAATGACTGGTTTTCAAGAAGATCGTTCTTTACTTTTAAAGTCCTTGTCCTTGCTCCTTGTTTATAATTCTTTAACATTTAATCATAAGATGAACTAGAATCGATAATGATTTCTTCATTTCCATCTGCAGCAAAGCTAAAAATAATAAAGAAATTTACACATATTTCGTTGTTTTTGCAAATCCATGTTGGTTTTCCATCTTCTTTAGAAATTAATCATAATTGGTTGCTAATAAAAGGTTGTTCTTTATAACTTCGCCATTCTTATTTAAAAAGTATATTGATAGTTGTTCATCAATTTCCTTTACTTTATTATTTTCTCTATCTCCTTTCTGTTCTAATAATTATTAATCATAAAAACTTAAATTTTGGTCTTCTTTTACGTCCATATGTTTCTTATAAATAACTATTTTTTCTTGTTCCTCCTTCACTTTTAATAATTAATAACTTGATTTCTATAGTAAACGTTGTTGCATTTAATTATATGATCTACTAGAATCTATAGTGATTTCATCTTCATTATCGTCCTAATATCTAGAATAATCATATGTCTCACATATAATTAGTTGTCTCTGGATATTAATATTTTGATAGCATCTCCCTTTGGAAATCTTAGTATTATAATGGCAGGATAACAGATTCAATTTAACCATTCTTCTTCTCGAACTTAATTTCCCTTTATTGCATAACCACTTTTTATTTCATAATCTAACTTTAGTAAATTAATTAATTTCTCTAACAGCAACTCTCATGTTCCAAAAACAAAAAAACTAGAAATCACTTATTTTAGAACTTGATTATGAAATCGAAAGCAAATCAATAAAGAGTTCAACAAAAATGACTGAATAGAAAATAATCTCTAAATTTGTTGAATTATATGAGGAAGTCCTCGTTTAAATCAAAGGATCGCAGAATCTGGTATTACATATATCACTATTTTAGTATTTGATCAATAAAATGGCTAACTGCAAGAATGGAGATGTTTTTAATGTGGATCTATTGTTGTCCAATTTTAAATACCTGATTACATTGTTAATTCAAGAATTGGTATTATTTATTCATATGTAGATCCAATATCAAATGCAAGTGGATTCTCAAAACATTGAACCAAACAAACCCAATTATCAGGAGTTGAATTAAATGAAACTTGACCTCCAAAGATTCAAATATGTAACACTTTTTATTGAAAATGAAGGACAAGACTGACTTATAATATAAAGTTAAAGAGCTTGAACAAGACTTACACCAACAATAACAATTAAATGCCTCCATCTGTCAAGATTTATTAGAAGCTAGACAAAAATACTAAGTAAACAATTTAACATTACAAAAAAGGAATTATAACAGAAATTCGATCGTTAAACCTAAATCAAGTATGACAAAACCTTCTATACACACTACGACCAAAATATCAAGGAAAAACTTAAATAGTTGCATACAATCTACAATCTTGACAAAAATTAGAAAGCCAAATCCATAGTTAACTAAAGGCAAAAGCTAACCATCATGACTGAACCATGTGAATCTGATTCCTATCACGACAGATACGGAGACATGACAGAAAAAAGCAATTCATTTTATGGCAGAATTAGTAACAAGAACAAATAAAATCAAACTATTGAAAGTAAGGTGTATCGTAATTTCTTTAGCCATCACCTCTGTCGGAACTGATTACAATAATGTGTCTGATTCCTTCTCATGTCTTCTAAACAACAGCTTTTATAACAAAAGAGATAAATCTGCAAGTCTCTCCATCGATTAATCCCTGGAACGCTATAAAAACCTGAAACATGTCTTCAAATAAGGACTCCCTATTAATAACTCTATTAAATGCAAAAAATAGACTTAATTTAGCTGATAATTCTGATTACTAATTTATTTATATTAAATATTTCTCATTTCATACATTCGAAAATTATGAATTTCAATAGAGGACCAAGGCCTAGCTTTAGCATGCCTAAATAAATAGAAAGCTTTAAGGAAGAAAAACCATATTCATATGTTGATATAGAAAGCACGGACTGCTTTCGAAACGAAAAAATAATAAAAAATGTCAAATTTGCACCAACTATTACTGTTTTTCTAAGATTTCAGGACGAAGACATTATGAAATTCAAAGAGAGATTAAGAAAATAGATCCTCTAAACCAAAGAAACCTTTGATTTCAACCCATCCCTAGATGAACCAAAAAAGAAAGGATAACTTAAGTCTTGTTTAAAAACCTTTTCGGAATGGGATTCTTAATAATTTTGATGTGATTTCTTTTTGTTCTACTCTATATATAAATATCTCAACTTAAAATTACTCAACTCCTTCAAATATATGGATGACAAATTTTAGTCATTCTTTCAAAACAGCAGATTGAGGAGAATATCTAACAAATGCAATAAATATAAAAATAAACGCAACAGTAGGAAAAATGAATAAAAAAAAGAATTATCATACATATATTAACATATGATGACAGTTAGAATATTCTTATAACAACTGAACATAAATAAAAATCACATTTGAAAGAAATAAAAACCACCATTCACTTACTTTAGGATTGATAAATAAATATTTCTATTAATATTTTGTTTTGATATTTTCAAAACAAGTATATATTTTAATCATAATATTACTCAATCTAGTTTATTTCTATATTTGTTTAGGGTTTTGTCTTTTGTTAAGTTTTTAGATATTTATTTTAATCAGGGAAAACGATTAGTAACAGTTAGATCATAAAGTTTAATTATTTTGTTTAAAAAAAAAAAAGATTGTAAATTAATCTAAAATATTATAAATAAAAGATAAATTTTATAATTATTTTGTTAATAAATAAATCAAAATAGTCGAATTAAAAAGTCATTATAAAAAATGCAAGAGAAATTTGATTAATGATTTGCTCATATCCCATAGCCAGTTTGATGTTGCAAATTTGGAAATCTTATGTTTAGCATAATATTATGAAACAGGGTTCTAAATTAAATGAGAGTACGTTATCTTGTAGACTGTCCTATGTAAAAATCTTTATTAACTTTTTTGTTGTTTATTTGCTTGTATCATTGAGAGTAATAAGATTTTGTATCAATATTTGAGGGAGGAAGCCATTATTCTTACATAGCATTTTTATTTAAAAATATTAAAATCTTCTTATTCAAGTTACTAATGCATTGATTTTAGGTTCTTGATTTGCAATTCTATAAATGCGAATATAATATTTAGTATGTTAATCTCATTGGTTTAAGGACACAATAGAAAATCCTACATGTACGTAATTCTATCGCATTGCTATATAAGTGGTTCAAAAATTAAGAGTCAATCTGATTCATTTATAATACTCATCCAATATATGATTGATATTAAAAATTTAACTTTATCCAAGAAAAGTCGGTTTTTTATATTCCACACTAAAATATAGTAATAGAAACTTCTTATTGGAATCTAGGAAAAACTCAGAAAAGTGAGCAAATTTAGAGTTTAAAAGAATCAAATAAATACAACTGCATAATATAACAACATTTAACACTAATTTTTCATTATATACATGTAATAGTAAAATTAGGGAGAGACCATTATATAATTACATCTAGAAGTTTATAGATATTGATAATTTCTTATTTATCAATGATATCAATAAATTTAATAATTAAACATCAAAATTTATTCTTGAATAAATTATGATTTTCAAGGATACAACTTAAAAGCCATTAACTTTTTGTATTCAAATTTATCAAAAATCTTTCACATTATATAGTAGTAATGATTTAGATGAGGATTTCATATATTTTATTTGGAATGCTAGTGTCTATATTTACTTTGGACAGGTGAAACGAATTCATTATATATATAATATTAAATGTGTGTTGTTAATCTCAATTTAATTAGAGTCTCTCTCTAAGATATTCCTTAAGAGTAACAATCTTATCTTGGATATGATCTGAGATTCTAGAAATCAAGTCTTGTAATTGGACTCTGGATTGAGTTTCCATTTAATAAATATCTTATTATTATCTGCACCATTGATCCTATCCATCCAAATTGGACTATAAATGGTTACTAAGATAATGTTACTTGATTTCTCTCTACTTCAGCAGCATGATATTCAACTTTGCCTTAGGATTCTTCGATAATGCTTTGATAATTCAAGATAGCTTATTCAAGGTTCTATCTTTAATCAGATCTAAAAAATGAAATTAAAAATTACAAGGTGTTTCTTTCATTGGTTAAATCGGATAAGAATTATTACCAGTTCAAACTTTATTATTTTTCAATGTCTTCATCACTTGATTTGCTTTCAACGATTTAGACTCTCAAATTGGACAATAACTATAAGACTTTCTTGGCTGTGTCAGAGTCAGATTTAGCTGAGAGTTGGGTCATCATGGTTAGAATTGGTTAAAATAATAATCCACTTGATGTTGATTGACTAATGTTAATGTGATGATAATTGTTTACCTCTATAATCTGGACAAGACTTTGTTAAATCTTCCTTTGACTTGAATGAATGAGGATCCTCCTGAGAGATGCTCAATTAAAGCATAAGCTTCGTCGATGGCTGAGATAGCTTCAGTATGGTCTTTGATTTTAGATTAAAATTCAGCATATTGTAAATCTCTTTCGCTTTGTCCTGCATTAGTTTTTTTGGAATTCTCTTCAATTTCAACAGAAACCTCGGCAATTTTGTTTAATGATCTTTGCAAATTGTTTGTGTTCTCATCCACAATTTTGGTATGAGATTTCAATTAACTTTAATGATATGCCAAGTTTGTAGAGAAATCGTGAAGCAATCTGTTGCATGAGGCTTGTGTATTTTGGATATAAAGATCTGAGTCTTTTTGCTCTTATTCCAACATGAATCTAATTATAAATACAAGGTAGAACCTGATGTTGTTAATATAGCTTTGAATTTCGTGTACTGGTGAACCTGTGGCTAAACTAATTTAAATGGCATTCAAGAAAGTTTTTCCCATATGATTGTTGTCAATTTCTGCAAGTACAACTTTAGGATCTGTGGCCAATTTGCTTAATGCCTTTAATGATTACGAAGTGTTAATACCAAACCAATCAATAGCACTATTAGGATTCTCATTTTTATATATAATTAATTAAAAACGAATTATGCTTGTGCTCAAATTTAATGATATAAACACAAATCAAGTTTAACAATAATAACAATAATACTAATACTTCAAGATTATCCTCTCTCGATACTCCAATCAGCATTTTCAGATTAAGAAAGCCTACACTAAATTCTCAGGACGATGGTCGAAAGGAAGCGATTCAGAAAGATAAATAGATTATGTTTAAGAGAATTTGGATGTCAATCTGGTTGCTAAACTAGTTAATGCATTCAATGGCATCGAAATCGTCATAAACACTCCTCAAGAATTATATGAAATGTATCAAACTCTGCATTTCTTCCAGATTCAGGAACTGTAAAATTAAATAGAAAAATTCCTGATTTAAGATAAATCTAGTATTTTAATTGGATACCAATTATCCGAATTGTTCGAAATTGAATCCTTATCTAACTTTTATTTTGAATATTTCAAAGAATATGGATTCTTGGGTATTTTTAATAAAAAACTTGACAAAGAGAAAGCAAGAAAACACATCTACAAGAACAAAAACAGATTGGTTCCACTTCATTATTTATATTTATAAGCCAACTTATTCAAAAAACTGTTAATATTGCATAACCATCTTGCCGTCATCAATTTCGATAAAAGTAAGTTCTTAGACTAATTTTAAATTGCCCTTTTAATCAGCGAATATTGTTTAACCAATGGCTACGACAGAATTAAATTATAAGAAATCTTCTCCGATGCAGTTATTAAAGATTAAGTCACTAATGAACAGAAATAAATTATTTTGATCGAATTTGAAAAATAATATAAATAAAACCAAATGAGAACAGTTTCAAGTATATCTTAATCAGAAGATGATGATTTATCTGATACTACAATAGAATTGAAAAATCATAACTCAGAAAATATGATATCACAAATCCCCATTATTGAACCTATTGAAATATATAGAGGAAAAGAATTAGACCCAAAACTGCTTTTAGGATTAAAGAATTTATAATTTCATTTTAAGACTAAACATACTTCTTTTGGATTCTATGTATCCAAAAAGATTGAATTAAATTCATAGATAGAAGATGAATAATTATAGTTAGTCAATTTAAATACTAAAGTATAATTTAATACAAGTTTGAGACTCAATTGGATTAGATTTGAAGAAAATGGTTTAAATGTAAATAATAGACTAATAATTGTCAGATAAAAAGGAATATGTAGGTATGAAGATGATGTGAATGAACCTAATGGCTAAATTAGATTAACAGGGTGTCGAAATTTCAGAATTGAAGAAGTAGAAGTGTGGAATACATGTAGTTTTGCATATTCTTGAAATTTGGGTTGAAATTAATACAATTCAAATTCATTATGATATTCTTACATTTAAAAATCAAATGGAGTAGTAGATTATTTATATTGTAAATTCTGCAATTAAATCAATCTTAATTCTTCTATTAACTCATCTTGGTTAGCTTAATAATAGTAGTTGTTATAACTAAGTCTCAGTTATTATTTTTATTCTATTGGTGTAAATCTCTATCCTTAATTACAAATTTACCCATAAGATAAGGCTAAACGATATTTTATTAATTTCGCTAAACTGTTTGATTTTCGCATCTCATTCGAATATTTTTGATTAAATATTTACACAATGTGATAATATTATGTTTTAAAAATATCGCAGTTCCAATATAGCAAAATCGTTTATGATATATATAATTATTATTCCATATTCTTACTGACTAAACCTAATTCCAATGAAAACCTTCAAGATACAAAGATTAATAATCCTATCTCATACGCTATAACGTTGACTTAACTATAAAAATGAATAAACTATATACTATATTTAACTAATATATATTTAAATAGAAGAAGGATACCTTAAATTGGTATGCGACTACCCTATATTCTGATATAAATTATTATTTTTAATATAAGTTCATTTAAAAACATTGTTTATAATCTAAACAATAACTTCTTGTTATTCATCATCCTCTAGATATTCGAATTTTTTGATCTTTGAGTTTGGTATTAATAATTCTTTGGATGATAAGTAGTAGTAATTCACATTGTCATCAACCTCTTATAGAATTGATTCTTGCGTTGCATTATAGATTATCAATAATATATCATGAATTTTTGGCTTTAGCAGCTCTATGCAATCCTTAACATCATCTTTCAGAATCTGATTACTAAGGACTACTAAGGTGTTTTTATTAAAGTCAGTTTGATTACAATTCTATACCTTAGTCGTATTATTTAACTAATCAAAATAATGAAAATCTTCTTATGAAATCACTAGTCATATGAATACTACTTTACCTAACAATGATGCATTTTTGTTGGGGAAGCTCCCGTATTTTTATTGTACTGGGTTGCCTTGTTTCTTAATATTCCAAAATAGGAGCATGATTATACACGTGAATGTTAGAATCGATCCAAAATAGATCAAGTTATTGATATGATTTTTTTTGATCTCTTGTTACAGTCCTCCATTGGATTCGTTATTATTTTCTAGTTTAGTAATTTCATTTATAAATTCTGTGTTTTCTTCATCACCTATCATTTTAATATTATTATTTATATTAATAGCAATTTGTCAATTAAGTTTTGGAACAATTCTTGAAAGTGAGAGTGAATTTGGTTCTGAGATGGAGAACCAATTCAAAATATTGATATGTAATATATAAGTTATTATTAATTATTAAATAAATTTAATTGTTCTTTCAGTCATCTTTTTGTATTTTTCCATAATATTATCTATTGCTTTTTTGAATATTTTAATAAAATAAAGGAAAATGAAATATGATGAAATAAAAAAATGCTTCACTTCCGAACATCATTATAAACAGACAAAACAAATCAAAGAATATATAATGGAAAACAACATGTATGGTGATTTCGATTATGAAAGTGATATAACTCAAGGAGCAATTCAAGCAGTAGGAAACATTTTGGAAGATGCCAATTCATAGCCAATCGAGAAAGTATTATCTACAAGAGTAAGATATCATCCTGTATTCAGTTAGTGAAGGAAATAATGGATTGTCATATTGCTTTGGTTATCGAAAAAGTGTAAATAAAAATCATGCCAATTTATGAACAAATTCTTACATAATTTTGTGAGAAAGGACAAAAGGCAAAGTAATACTTCTCCAATAAACCTGGTAGATGTTATTTATATATATTCAAGATGAACAGCTAATGGTTCTTGGCAACACATTCATAAGACTGATTAGTGAATGCGTATTTGTGTGGAATATTTGGCATCCGAGCATAGATGGATAACCATCAGTGTATTCGAGAGTGTAATAAAAATAATTATTGAAATTAGATACAATAATTTAGTTTCAAAGGGAATTCAATTTCCTAAACTATTTTATTTCAATTCTCAAAAAGTCAAGGAATTCTACATACAATCTAAAGAATAAGTCAACAGTTCTCCATTTGTATACTCAAACAACATACAACCAGATTTCTTCTACATTAAAAAAAGACTAGACGGAAACCAATTCCAAAAAAGCGATCTCATTATCATAAGGAATGAATTACTCTGTAAACCATTAATAAATAATGACTCGTAGCCCTAAAAAGCAGTGAACTCAATTCTAGTTAAGCAAAGTTTATCAGAAATTTTGAAATGGCTTTTAAAGATTTTGAAAAGACTCAGAGATTTGATGAATTATAGATTATAATCTAATCCATGTAATATATATTCAGCTAAATTCTAAGTTGCTTGGAATTTGATGATGAAGTGTTTGACAAATAGGCAGCCATTGATGCATTTCAAAAGAGGTATCAATCGAATCAGAGCAATTTCACTCCTTCCAAACTACAAGGAGGAGGAGGTGGGTATTCAACTGATAAGATTAGTCAATTTCTATCAAATGGAAGTATGAGTGTAAGATACATCATTTTATGATCTTAGTCACAAAATTCATCACCCAATGAATAGAAATAATAACTGCAAATATTGAATGAAAAGAATAGAAGGATCGAACAATTATTATTAGAAAACTCTCTTTTGTAGAAACAAATAAGAAATTTTGAAGATCAGATTCACACTCTAAAACAAAATCTATCCTAAAATATTGAATGAATATTAATTAATATTTCAAGAAATATATTCTAATTTGCAATTATGATATAATTAACCAAGGAGCATCTTCATGAATAGAATAAGAAGCTTACAGAAGAGAATCAAAGATTGGAATTAGCTGTCTATAGTCTCCAGAGATAATTGTCAAATCTTGCCTCCTTTATTGACAGGGCAAAATTGTTACAGGACTAAGTTGATTAACTAAACCAAGAATTGGGAAGTGTTAGAAGAGACAATGCTCACTTACAAGAAGTTATTGTATCCTTATAGGCTGAGTTGAATTCAATTATTGCCAACACTTAAGTTGAAACAACTGAAAGGCAAGATATTGAAACCTTAAAAATATTTTATGAGGAATAACTCAATAATCTTACAAAGGAGAACTCGAGGTTATAGAAATTGATAAAAGACTTCAATACCAAACAAGTTTCCAATCTTTAACTATCTGCAACAAAATTGGTTGAACTTGGAATAAAAATTGATTAAAAACTAGATGATTAATCCCACAGAAGAATGCTAAGCAATCCCATCCAACAAAGTCCCAAAGGAATCTCTAAAGAAATTTATCAGAATTTAATCCTGTAACTATCCAACCAAAGTATCGACGAAAAGTCAATGCTTGCTTCTTAGTACTTTTTTATTGAAATTATCCCTAATAGGTCCAAAATGAAACTTTCAGGTTCGAATATCTTATCTCAACTCTCAAACAAGCAATCTAAAATGCCAACATTTTCGGTTGTATCACAAGACTAGCCTCTACCTTCCATTCCCACCCATATTAAAAAATGATTATAGTCAATGTTAATATTTATACGTTAGTTCCTGTTCTAATTTTAGCATCAGAAATTGGATTGCATCCTTATAGATTACAATTTTAGTATATATGTAATTGCATATATGGATGAATTAAAAGAAGTAGGTTTAAAAACGACATCCTTCAATGTCGAACAATACACACATGTAAACGAAAATTACATTTATATTTAAAATGATTTTTAGCTGTTAAACAAGGATTGAAATTAAGACCATTTTAATTAATGTAATTAGTTATATATTTTAATCATTATCTAAATACTATTAAAAGCATTTATTCAATATTTTCTCTAAATTTAAATATGCAAGCCCCAGGCTTAACAAAATTGCCTAGTCAATAGAAAGTTCCGAAGTACAGACCTGTAAGATTGTAAAACAAATTTAGTCCATCAATATAGATAATTTGATTGCCATTTGCACAGGGAAACTCAAGAATTGTCCAAATCACAAGAAGGCTCTTTATATTCGTGCATCAGCTTATATCAAGAAAGGAGAGTATTAAACAGCTATACAGGATTGCAATAAGCTTCTTGAAACAGACAGCGATAACGTGGGCGGATATTATTTGAGAGGTATTAAAATTTGAAAATGAAGGATGTGCAAATGAAAAATTGGGTTAAATAGATTTAGCCATTGAAGATTTTTCAAAAGTTCTTTCATTGGATGAAAATCATGTTAATGCAGCATTTGCTCGTGCCTCTTGTTTAAACTTGAAAGGGGATTTTGCAGGCGCTATTGAAGATTACACTAGAGCCTTGGAGAAGGACAATGCCAAATCCCTAAATCTATCCAATTCAATCAATAAGAGGTCATTGCTCAGGAATAGTTCTATGAAAAAGGATGAACCATATCCAAAGACTGAAGCATTTTAATTTACAACTAAAAAGAATAAATATCAACAGCCCGAAGAAGATGATTTGATGAACCCTTAGAATGATGAGGAATACTTGCAAAATGATCAATCTCAAATACAAAATCAGCCCTAGTAGACTAGCTTTATGAGCTAGAATCCTCTCTATACGAGTATTGATGCGAATGAATTGAATATTCAGAGACCCTCTCAAATAATTGATAAAGAGATCTCATAACCTATGCAATAACAGTTGATATCGATGATACCAGAAAACATCAAAAATGATAATAAGAAAATATCAGATTGGTTTCATTCCCAAGGTTTTGACGCGAGGAAAAAAGAAGACTTTATCAAGGCAATAGAATTCTACACCATGGCTTTGATGTTTAATCCAAATCATTTTAAATCCATATTCAATAGAGGTATAACTTGAATTAACTCCTTCATTAGGCTTTGCTTTCGATAAACTCAGAATGTACAATGACGCCATCAGCGATTATACTAAGGCTATTGAAATGGACTCGAAGAATGCCTATGCATATTATAACCGAGGCATTTCTTATGATAAAAAAGGAGATTACAATTTAGCCATTAAGGATTTTGCAAAATCTATAGAACTCGATCCATCTAAAGCAGACTTCTATCACAATAAAGGGTTCGCCATGAAAAAAAAGAATTTAGTAAGGGAAGCTATTCTGGAATTCAATGAATGTATTCGTTTGGATAAAAATCACTTCAAAGCCTATTATAATAGAGCAAACTGTTATGAAAAATTGGGAGACTTTGACAAAGCATAATAAGATTACTTAATTGCTAATAATGTTGTACCAAATAACCCAAATACTCTAACTCATATTGGGATTTTGATGGACAGACAATAGAAATTGGAAGAAGCACTTAAATACTTTAATTCGTAATGAACTTAATATAATTCTTAGATCTTTGAAGATAGATTAAAATTATGCTCCAGCATATAATGGAAGAGGTTTAGTTTTTGATAAAATTGGAGAATTTGAGAAAGCATGCTCAGACTTCAATAAGGCTATAGAAATAGAACCTTAGAATCCTGTGTATATTCATAATAGAGGCTGTTGTAAAAGAAGCATGAATAAGTTTGAGGAGGCATTGGAAGATTTTAAGAAGGCCTTATCTTTAGATTCAAAGAACCCTATTATCTATTCAAATATGGGGTTAGTTTTGAGGAAGATGGAGGATTTTGAGACAGCTGTGTATTGTTATTCACAGGAATTAATCTATTCTTAAGAAAACACTAGAACTCTTAATAACAGGGGGTATTGTTTGGCCAAGTTGGGTCAGTTTGATGAAGCTATAGCGGATTATACTAAAGCCATAAAATTAGATCCTGTCAACATTCATGCTATTTATAACAGAGGGATTTGTAATGAGAGGATTGGTGAATTTCGTAAAGTAGAATATATATAAATAGATAGGCTATCGAGGATTTCACTTCTGTAATTCAATTGTAGAACGACTAAGGAGCCAATGCTTATTTCAATAGAGGGTGTTGTTATGATAAGTAAAATATTGATACGATTACCCTAGCATTGGAGAAATGGATTTGGCTATAGCTGACTACTCCAAGGCACTTGAAATTGATAATAAAACGAGCAAAGTCTCATGATAATTAAATAATTTATGTAAAACTAGAAATATTAAATCACTTAAAGATCAAATCTAGTTATCAAAGATTAGGTTAATGAGTTTGAGTGTCCAATATGTTTAGATACTCTATTCTAACCAGTCACCTATGATTGCCAGGTACACACAGTTTGTTTAGATTGTGTAACCAAACTTTAAAAGTGTCCTTTGTGTAGAAAGAGCATATCATTTGTTAAGCCAAATCTGGAACTGAGAAAGATTCTAAATACTTTTCAATGTAAATGTCCTTAAGGTTGTGGGTAGATTTCTTATGAATATTTATATTCTCATAAAATTAATTGCACTTCTTAATCAGATGCTTAAAAGGAAATAGCTAAATCTTTGATGTAAATCAAGGATGAAATGATCAAAGTGTTTGAAATTGAGATAAATCCACATTTAAAGTAAATGCATGCTCAAATTTTTGATGATTTCTTAACTGGTTGGGATTGGCTTCCTTATAAACAAGATGATTGGAAATGGTGGTGGTGGTGCAATACTGCATGGTGGAATAATTAGATATGTTAGATATGTAATAATTTATGGCATAAGTATGAAGATGAAATTGAAGTGTATGAAAAAAATAGATTAATATTCTTGGATTAAATATGATATATTACCTTGTTATATCATTATAATTATCATTATCATTATTGTCTGCCCTTAAAATCATCCATAGATTCACTGACTCCAAAGAGTTCCATCATGTTGTCATAAACAAAGGTTGGGAATAATGCTTTAACCATAATGGCGAAATTTAGAATAATTGGCATAATCACAACTGCTTCGTCTTAGAGCACTGCGTTTACAATTCTTTGTGTAGCGTATTCTAAATAATGAAAGAGATAGATACTTTCAGATAGAATTGGGAACAGAAGAGGGAACTTCGATTTGGCTCCATCAAACATTCCTGTATTGATGAAATATGGACAAATGCATGTGGTTTTGACATTAGATTTAGTGGCCCTTAATTCAAATCTAAGAGATTCATCAAATCCAACAGCACCAAATTTGGAAGCACAATAATCAGCCAATCCTCTGACTCCAACCCAACCAGCAATTGAAGCTATGGTTACAATATGACCATGTCTATTAGCAATCATATCTCCTAACACTTCCCTCACAGTCCAATGGTGAGCAGTTGTGTTAATATTCATTGTTCTAGCTATACTAGCATCTGTGTTTTAGAGAATTTGCTTTCCACTCACAACTCCAGCATTATTTATCAAAATATCTATCTTTTTCTAATGAAATTCAACGCATCTTTTAATAGCATTTTTAACAGATTAAGGATCACTGACATCACATTGAGTTCCAAATGCGGTCTTTTCACCATAAAGAGCATTTAATTAATCCACAACCTTATTTAATCCCTGCTCATTTACATCCACAATGGATATCTTTTGATATATTGAAATTTACTATACTTTAGCTCCTAATTTAGCAAAACTAATTGCCATACTTCTCCCAATACCACTTGCTCCTCCAGTAATAAAGATATGTTCATTAACTACACTCTTCTTCTTCAACCATCTATGATAAATTACATAATTAACCCATTGTATTTTCTGACTTGATATTGAAGGTACAACAATCCCAAACCCAAAACTGCCACTTATGCAACTCCCTTCTTTCCTTTCTTTTCATAGAATTTCTACCAGAAATCTTAGCCTCTTGTGAGAATCTATTGTAATTTATTCATTTAAGATAATTATTTATTCTTATCAATAATTTACACTCTGTTTTATTGCCTCGTAAATTTTAAACTTGTCTGGCAAATAAATTGGTTCATGAACTAATGGAAATGGTGTGTCATAGCCTGTCACTCTTTTTATTGGTGCTTCCAAATGCAAGAAACACTTCTCTTAAATAAAAGCACTTAATTCAGCTCCCATGCCACATGTCTAAGGGGCTTCGTGTGATATTATGCATCTATTTCATCCATCAATTCAATACCTTCCAGTCTTCTTCACTGAATCCACTAGAGTCTAACCATCATATGGATATATTGTTTATAAATCAATTATCTCACAACTTACTCCATCCTTTTCTGCCAACTTAGCTGCCTCCTTCAACACTCTTATTTATGTTCCATATCCAATCAATGTGATGTGCTTCCCTTATTGAACCACTTCGGCTTTGGATAACTCCAACTAAAATTCATTCCATTTTCATCATACTTCAAAATCATCCAAAGGAACTTCATCCTCAGCATTACGATATAATGCCTTGGGCTCAAAAAATATTACTGGATTCTTATCTCTTATCGATGCAAGCAACAATCCCTTTGCTTGTATTGGATCTCTAGGTACTACTACCTTTAATCCTGGAGTATGAGCAAAGTAAGCCTCTGGAGATTACGAATGATATAAGGCACTAAATTGTACACTCTTATTCTTACCCATGACCTACTGCTCCCCAAGTAGATCTAATTGTCAAACTTCCACAATCGAATTGATTCCCGGATCTATATCTGAATTTAGCTGCCTCATTGACTATCTAATCGAACGCTGGGAAGATGTAATCACCAAACTAAATTTCTGCTATTGCTGTGTATCCTACACTTGCCAATCCAATCCCAAAAGCACCGATTCCCTAAATATTTTAATTCCTTCTTACTTGTTCGCACAATGGAGTGTTGAATACTCTATCAGTGCCGTACTTTTCATTCAGCCCTTATGAGCATCGAAAAACACCTCCGAATTTAACATCTTCTCCAAATAATAATGCCCTTTCTTATATATTATGACGTACTTTGGATTTGCTCCTAATTCTATATCAAGAGCATTGTTAATTGCTTGAAACAAGTTCATTTTCTGTCTATTTGTGCTTTTAATATCTGAAGCAAATCTGTGTTTTGTTGAGCCAAATTGATACACTCTTCTCAATAATTGCATTTATTTATTTAATTGCTTATGCAATTTCAATAATATTATGTGAATAAGATTATCTGAAGAACAAAAATAGGAATTAATAATGTACACAGATAATTGTTTAACAAATTTGGTTAAGATACCAATCTGATGAATAAATAATTGTTTCACCGGTCTAAAAAAATTAAGAATAGAGAATTTCTAATATAAATTTAAGATCATTATATTTATATGCATAGAATATCATTTTTACCCTTCGATTCTCAAAAGTGTATTCGAAATTCAGTAAATTTTGCTATCTATAGAATGTTTCTGATAACTAAAAGTGAGTTGCAGCAAAATTGAATAATATTGTATTCCCTTTTATTTTCGATGTCATAGTGTTTTTGAAAATAAATTCTTTGATTTCAGAATATCTTTCAATAATAGGATATTTAATTTAAATATTTAAATTATCCTTAAGTACCCTTATTAAATGTAGCATTTTGAAATTTATAATTTTGTATCTTATTCATCTTTTATTATTCAAAATTGATTAATTTTAATCAAAAACCCTATTCAAACTAAAAAAAGATTAGATATCAAACTTGTTTTGGATATTATGATCATTGTAATTTAATTTATTATTAATGACTAGTATTTGTCAAATTTGCATAGGGCTAGCTAAATAGAGTCCTTGGTTCAATCACTATTAACTAGTCATGATAGAATTATTATAATATTAAAAATAATGAACTTCAATACTAACAGTAAATCTTAAAACCTGAAGTCCTTCTTAACTACCCTATACAATTAATGATACTCATCAAATTTATAAGAAATACCTGCATAATGTTTAATCAAAATCACTTAATTATGTTAGAATAAAAATAATAAAAATCATAGCAGATTTTTCTCTAATCCTGATTGTGAAATATGTTCTCTAGCATTAATTTTAAAAGATGAAAAATACAATAATTTTATTAAATTATATAATGATTTCAGAGTAACCTGAAGGTTCAAAACCGTAGAAATTTTAAGGAGGTAGAATTCATTTAAGACCCATCGACAGCATTGGAAGAGACTTTGATTTAGGAACTATTGAAACTAAAGGCAGAAGGCATTTTTCTTTTGACCCCACACCTGTTATGCATTACAAACCGCAATTAAGAGTTGGGTTTCCAAAGAATGTCACGAATCCTGAGATATTGTTTACACACAAAAGTTAGGGAGGACCTGATAAATTAACTTATATGCCTCCAATCAAAAAGCATAAAGATTTTGCATCTACAATGAGGAAAACAGTCATTAACAAAGAAGTAAAGTTATTAATGAATTTTAGTATGAGGAACAATAAACAGAAAATAGAAGGATGATTGAGGAGTTGGATGTTTGGGAGAAAAAGTTTAGAAAATTATGATTATATTAGCATATATTACTAATTAAAAGATATTAATAATGTAAATTATTAAGAGCAAAGCAGTGTAGTAATTAGTACATCGTTCCCAATACAACAAAATCGTATGGCAATCCTCTAATCCATATAACAAAAGATGGCAATACAAATTTAAGAATGCCTATTACACATATCCAAGAGATATCAATTAAGAGCATACCTACGTTAAAACCCCAAAGGATAATTGGGAATCAGTTCCACTTGGATGGGCTTGGATCTAAGATTTATTACATAGACACGTATTCATTTCATTAATACTCTAGGTGCCAAATTTTTCATGTTTAATCGAAAGAAGACATAGATTATTTGATAAGTTCAATGTTTATTTCTTGCCCGCATTCAGTCTATTCTTTTATCAATTTTATCCATTAGCATTTGGATTTAAGGTATGAATTCATCCATATGAATTAGGTATTGACAGTATTGCCATTGGCTATGTTATACGTGAGAGCCAGAGACAAATGCGGTGATCCTGATTTCAAAGAAACATACCTGAGAGATATGTTATACAAAAACAGTGAAATAAATGCCCTATTTAAGGATGAAACTCTTCACGTTTTGGATTACGACTGTGAATATGATAGAGGATATCCATGTCCTGAAAAATTCCCAGAATTCAAGAATAAGGTAATACAAGAGGTCATTACTCTAGTTTTGGCGATTCTTCAATACTGATACATCAATGACAACTGGATATTTCAAGATGGCTGATGTAGAAACAGGTGCAGTGATGAATTTGAAATTTAAGACAATGCCTGTTCCAGGAAAATACAGATATTAAATTGGGGAACCATTTTATTTTTATGATTTAAGAGGTATTCAACATAATATATGTCTAAAGCCGAAATCACTCATAATGGATAACACAAGGAAGTTGTTTTAGTTGATGAGAAAGTAGCCCTTCAAAAAATAAGACCATTTTTATTAATCATTTGAAAAATAATATAAGAATCAATCTAGGAAATTAAAATATAATCAATTTCATTATTCATTAGTTCATTCTTTGAACTTTATTCAGTCTTCTTTTCTATTATATATTATTTGTTCATATATTTAAATTGTGTCATTAACCATTCAAATATTTCATATCTGTTGATTCTATCTCAATATCACACCTTATTTAATCATTAATATTAACTTCAGTACTTTATTAGGTATTTGGGATGAGCCTAATTGCTTTAATACATTTATCTTTATATATGTAAAAATTTATTAGATATTGTTAATATCTAATCTATTTAATAGAACATTAATTTGCAATATTTCTTTTTAGTAATAATTTTATAGTAAACCCTTTTTTAGTTTTAAATACTCTCTTAAATTAGAACTATTAATTCATCGAATATTTTTACTCTGAACTTTCAATTAATATCCACTATCAAACAATAATTATTTTTTATTCTTAATCAAATGTTTTACAAAATTGTTTATTCAAAACTCTTCGTATTTCGGCATGTAAATTATTTTGATAGTAATTCTTCTTCATTATTTTAATTTAACTTTTAATTATTTCATTACCAAATATTGCTTGAAAAATTTGAGACTCTTCATTATTTAATATATGATATACCTATCCATTGTTTTTCATATTATTTGATACTTTTAAAACAAAGGTTTCGTCAAACAATCATCTGCTAGGTTATATTATCCTATGCTTCAAATTTACCACTATATTCATTGAGATTGATATTTTCTATGAATTCTAAAATGATGCTTATGATTCATGAATAGATTCCCTTCCCATATCAGAATTTAATCGCATCTCAATTTAATATTGATTGTTTTCACTCTTATATATATAATTGAACATCACGAGATCATCTATTCAAATAGTAGAATGATTCTAGTGTATTTAAGTTGAACGTGAAGTATTCATAATTTGATGGAGAATGGGCAGTCGATGTTATTAGTTCTTTTTTTTATTTAGTTTCATTAAAACAATGAATTAAATATTTACAGAGAGAAGTGTTTAGGGCAATAAAGTTTCGATGATACCTGATGACTCTGAAATAAAAATTGTGAAAATTGAAAATCCAGTCAGGTCCAGGAAGGAGAGTAGGTGTTCGGCAAAATCCTAGAAACCAGAATCGAATATTTTAAATGATGGGGAGAAAAAAAAATCTTCTTTTGAAGATAGTAGAATAACAATGCTGTTATTTGAGAAATACAAGACTGTTGAATTGGCTAGATTCTTTACGATTACTGCTACGATTACTTTGATAGTGTTTGAATATGAATATTCATATAGCGATTATTTAACAAGAACATTGGATGAAGAAATGAAATTATTTCTCTATTTAATTATGTTCTTAACCATTCTCAGCAGTATACTTATGATATGACTATTAGTTATTTTGACTTTCATTAGTTATCAGGTTTTGATGGCATATCAAAAAGAAGCGCAAATGATTACTCCGCAAGCAAACTTATCTGAAACTTCTTTGATTTGGGGTATAGCTTGGGAAATAATCTTGCTGATCCTAATACCAACTCCATATACTCGCTATTAAAGGATAGAATTCCAACAAAGATATACTGGCACTATGAGATTCTATTTCTTGAATGAAATTTTAACCTTTTTTGCAATGTTTAAAGGGTTCTTGTTGCTCAACATAATATTCAAATTCCAGAAATACTCATCCTCGAGAATAGGCAGGATCTGCAGATTGTATTCAGCCGATTTCAATACACACTTGATGTTGAAATTATGTATAAGAGACAAGCCGTTTGAGACCTAATCGATCTTATTCGCAGGAGGAATGTTTGTCTTCGGCTACTCCTTGGAAGTAGCAGAGCGAGCCCTTTTTAGATTGGAGGACTCAGTGGATTCCTCCTATATCGGTGACAGGTTCTGGATAAATCTAATTACAATTTTCACTGTTGGGTATGGCGACTTCTTTCCTTACACAGATTTGGGTAGAGTGGCAATGGGTTGCGGTGTCGTTTATGGAGTCGTCGTCACATCACTTTTTACTGCTACTCTATATAATTTACTTACTCCTTTGAATGGCGAATATTTGGCATGGGCATTGTTGGAAAAGGCTAATATCAGGAAGGTGATTTAGAATGTCAGTGGAAACATCTTAATCAAACTCAATGATTTATCTAAAAAACACACTCCCCATATCAAAACCTTGGAGGAGGCAAATCATTTGAAGGATTAGGTGGGAGTTATGAACAATCTTCTGCAGGAGGTTAGTACTTTGAAAAGGTAATATCGAGATATTGATGGCGAAGAGTTTATGGCTATGGTGAAACGAAAATTTAAAGATATCAATGGGTAATTTGAGGATGTCTTTGAGTTTTTGGAGAAAATCCAAAAGCAACAAAAATTAATAGCTTCAACAATCGAAAAGCCTTTTGATTTTTCAATAAAGTAATCAGTCAAAGTCAAGGAGAGTAGTAAGGATGACGAATTCTTTGACAACTTAAATGAAACTGTAAATTGTTCTCACTTAATGCGTTTCGAGGAAGACTGACTATTGATATATAATTTACGGATATAATTAATGCTAATGATAAATGAATTAAAACGATTCAATTAATTAAGTCACTTACGCGAAGCAATTTAAAACTGGAATTGGGACTCTTGGCTATGAGAGATCCTTTTCGGTGAATCAAGACGAAATGCAATCTAAGGAAAATAATTATCAGAAGGTTTAAGAGAAGGAAGTAATCTGTTTTGAAGATAGTCGAATAACCAAATTGATAATGGAGGGACACAAATTGATAGAAAATTTTCGGTTACAATTAATCCTTGTAATAACTGCATTGTGGTTTTTAGAAGTACTAATCCTTTCTCAAATTAGATCGACGATGAAATATTCATTGAAAAACAAGGATCGGACTTAATCTTATGGCTTACATTTAGTCTAAATTTAATACTCATCCTATTCACCTTTTTAAGCTACCTGACTCTGATGAATTATTGGAAGTCTACCTTACTAATCCCAAAAGATCAATCGTTCTTCCATTCTGATCAAATGAAGCCGTTTCTGATAGAGACGGGATTCCTCTTAATATTCCCCACTGTATTTACAAGAGGTAAGAATAATTAACTAACTATCAATAGACATTCATTTAACCTTTACTTTAAAAAACAACGAATATTATTACACTGTAAATGAAATTATCATAATGATAAGTACTTTGAGGTCATTCCAAATACTGTTCATCTATTTGAGATTATGCAAATTTTATAACAGTCAAACACAGAGACTCTCATTAAATTACGGAATCATGATGAATCCTAAATTTCTATTCAAATATATGATTCATTCCTAGCCCACTTATTTAATAGTATCCATGTTCATCATTACATTCTGGTATTGCACCATAGCGATGTGGATTGCTGAAAAAGCACTTCAAAGAGAAAATCTACAGACTATTTAATTATTGTACTTAATTTACATCTAATCTATGTAGCAAACATTGTTTCTTAGAAGTGATTCTATCTCTGTTGGCATACGCCTATGAAGACTATGTCCCAATTACAAACTTGGGGAGAATCATATTATCATATGCTGCATATGCTGGATTCGTTATGGCCTCTATCATAATAAGTGCGATAATCCAAGCATTTGAGTAGGAGTATGGAGAATATTAAGCATGTGTGTTGCTGGATAAATTGATAATGAAGGAGAACATGTATCAAGTCACCAGCAACATTGGAGAATAGTTTTACTATATCATGAAGTTTGATAAAAACCCATTTACATACAATAGAGTCAAAATTATACAAACGGAATTGAAAGAATTTTAGATGTTGAAAAGATAATATAAAAGCATTATCTCAGAGAATATTACTAACTTATTTAAAAGGAGGTCTAGAGAATCTAATGACATTTTAGAAGAGTATCAAGACATCATGAAAATGTGTAAATACCAAAATAAGTAAATATAAGAAATGCTTGAAGAACTAATTTCATTATAAAATTATCATTATCACAATTGGTATGATTGAAAGAACATCTATGAATTTATTTTTATTATATTAAATTAGAATTATCATTATATTCAAATATTTATTAGATACAAAACAACAATTTTGAAATCCAATTCATTAATATTAAATTTAATGTAAATTGATGTTCAAATTATAAAAATAATATTAGATTTAGAAATTAACTCTCACTCAAGATTAAGAGGTTTATATACTCCAAGACTTCTGTAAAAGTAAATTGAAAAAAAGAAATTGAACATAAAGTATAATAATGATGATATATATTTTAAAAATCCTTTACTTCATGAAGTACAACATAATTTCATGTGAAATACTAAAAATTCAATAAATAAATATTATTATCGAGCAGATATTACGACCAATTTATTAAAATAATTAAAGCATCAACTATTATCTACAGATCTGAAAAGAATTAGTTTAGTTTAATATGTATGTTAATTACAGAACTCCAGTTCAAATATATTATATTATTAACATTAAACAATAATATAGCAAACTGCATGAGAAAAGTGAATAAAACTCTCTTAATTAAAATATAAAAAGTACTGCTATAGGCTCATTGTTAATTTTCGTCTAAAAATAAGTTCTCCTTCTTTCCAAAAATATGCCTATACAGAAGCCACTTAACACTATTTTTATTTATAAATTTATTAAAAAAGGAGGAGAGTTGCAAAAACGGTTAACTAATCAAGAATGCCGAAACGACATTATTTTTATATTGAAAAACCATTTATTAAATTTAGAAATATTGAGAACCTAATTTATGCTTATCATTTATATTAAAATATATAAGAGATATATTGGTGAGATAAGGAAATTTGATGTTTTAAATCATATTTTTTTTAATTTGATGTTCGATTTAATAAAAATAATTGGGTAGCATAATAGTATAGGCAATAGATTAGATCCAAAACACATATCCAAATTAATAGTTAGGACTTACAATATGGCTAATTTAGTTCTCCTTTTCATTTGTGATTTAAGTGATAATAGGGGAAAAACTGATCATGGGGAAGGATTTGATTGAGAATTAAAATAAAATCAATTCGAGTGATTTAGCTAATGAGCTTTTATGATTGATTAATAATTGATAGTTAAAATTATATTATGAATTTATAAAATGAAGGCTCTATTGAGTTATCTGGAAATCCAGTTTCAAGGGCTGGTGAAGATGAAGCGGTGTAGTATTAAAAAAGACTGTCTGTTATCATCTTAAATCAAATTGAACGAAAAACATTAAAAAAAAAGTCCACAATTATCCAAAGCTCCAAACGGGATGTCTTTGAGGATAGTCTATCCACTAGAATTTATTTTGAAAGGTACCGAGTTTTGGAATAAGGGAGGTTTTGGGTAATTTGTGCTACTCTAGTTTTAGTTGTTTTAGAGGTGTAAATTATATTAAATATTTATAGTATGAAGCTTCTTTTATGCATCAATTAACGGACACTTATGATACCGAAATAAAAATATTACTCTATCTAATAATGATCCTCTCTATAGTTACAAGTATATTACTCATATATTTAGTCATTATGACATTAATTGCTTATTTAGCAGAACTTGAATTCAAGAAACGCTCTCTTTCGATTCCCAAGGCCAGCAATATATTTGAGACTAATCTGATTTTCCTTTTGATTTTGGAGGTCATCATCCTATTACCTTGTCCAACACCCTACACCATGGAATTCAAAATATTCTATGTGTAAAGATATTCAGACCAAATCAGATTTTATTTCTTAAATGAGATTTTGACTTTCATAATGCTCTTTAGATCCTTGCTAATTCTAAACACAGCATTTAAATTCCAAGACTTCTATTCCAATCGAGTCAATAGATTATGGTATATATTGCTCACAATTTAAGTCGTATTTATTCAGTGGATTTTGGTCCCCACTTTATATTTAAAGTAGCCATTAGAGAACACCCCTACAAGACTATCTGCGGACTCTTTATTATAGGACTATTTATTTTCTCCTACTAATTAGAGATTTCAGAAAGATCTTTGTTAAGAACAGAATAAGAGGTGATGTCTTATAATGTTAATAATTCTCTTTGGGTTTGTATGATAACAATATTCACAGTCGGTTATGGTGATCTATACCCATTAACTGATCTTGGAAGATTTTCAATGACTTTAGGTTTATTCTATGGAGTTGCATTGACTTCTTTGTTTACAGCTATACTTTATGCAGACTTGTAACCCTTCACAGCCGAAATACGTTCTATAACCTTATTAGATAAGGCCAATTTAAAAATTTCAATAAAGTCATTTGCTTAAAAGGCTATATTTAATTTACTTAAACTACAACAGTACTTCTAAAAGAGCAAATAAAAACATATCCAAAGAAATCCAGCCATCAAATAAAGAGTCACTTACATCAGAGGTATTTTACAAAAAAGCGAGAATATGAGAAGGTAATGCTGAATTGTATTTTATAATAGAAACTACAGAACAATTGACACTGAAGACTTACTTTCAATGGGGGAGAGAAGATTTCAAGAAATGACTCATTTTTTCTATGAGTATTATGGTATGCTTGAATAGATGTAATAATAACAAGAGCTATTGGAAGATTTTGATACACAAAAAATAAATTCAATTAAGAAAAGCCACTCAGTGACATCAGCCAGTCTTGAAATAAAGAGCAAAGATGACTAATATTTTGAAGAACTGATTGATTCCTAATCACAAAATCAATAATTAATGAAATTTAATGACGAAGACTGATAAAAATACGAGTTAGATTTCGTAATGAACATAGAGCTTAGTTTTTCTATTTAAATATTAATTCCAAAGATACTAATTAATGTTATTTAATACTTAAAGTAATTAAATTATTGTTTTAATTATGAGTCTTTCATTTATATCATATTTATTATTCTCTTATAAATACTAAAATTTCATGGAGATATATTTAGATGCTTGCATAAAAGTAATAATGTGGGACTAAATTTGATCTTATATTGTGGTTTCATAGATCAATAAATTTTTTGTGATTTGATATGTTTATAATTCAATAATTATTAATTAAGGAGCAATGAAATATTTTTCTAAACTAGTTTACTTCTTTTTAACAATTGGGTCTAATACAGAGAGAAGAAAATAGAAGGTAGATTATGGGAATCTGGCTATGATAGTATTTTATTTTATTTAATTACTTGGATATGTATATAGTTAATTTGAAAGTAAAACTCAAGTGTTTTATGAAAATGATTATTTGGCATAAATTGGTTAGTATTCATCAATCCCTTTTATGATGATTGTTATCCATTATGATCCTTTTACAACTTTGGTTTATTACTGTATATTTGGTACAATGTGTTCAATCTATGGAATTATATTATTTCAAACTCTTTTGAAAGTAAATTAAGTGCTTATTAATTAGCCTTTGCCTCCAGCACATTTAATCAATCGATTTATAAAGTTTTACTTTCAGAACTTTTAATGGTATTTCTTAACACCTTTTCATGAAGCTATGATTGGCATTCTAACTTGTGGACGTCTAGCTTACTTGGAACAACATTCAGCATTGAATCCTCGTAGTTGTTTCACTGAAATATCTCCTCATTTTATAGTCATTAGTATTTTAGGACAGATTTTGGTGATAATTTCAGGATTCCTTTCGTTGTATTGCTTTAGAAATTACGAATTTATTTAAGGAGATCTAATGAGAAAATTTAGTTATTTAAATTTTTTAACCATTTTACTACACATGGTATTACAGATGGCTTCGTTTTGGAAGGAAATGTATGACAATTTCAATATGATTACGCATGGAATTTTAATGGGCATAATGCTTATTATTGCATTAGACACATTTCTCAATTTCCCCTTTGGTTTCTCTAGTGAAACAGTGTATTTTAGCTAGTGTTTGCAATGTTCATTTTTTTTTGAAATTTTGGTTGCAATTTGGATTTTCTCTGATTTAGATGATGGTCACATATTCTTATCATTTTCTATAGTTGTACCTGTAAGATTTAAACTTATGATAGTTGATTTTGGGACTTAACCAAGCATTTTATGAAAATTATATTGATAGAAAATGTCAATAATTTGTAAGGCTTCGGTGTAGGAATATTAGTGAACAGCCCTTAGAAGTTATTTGCTAGTTATGCCATTAAGATATAAAAGAGTAAGGTGATTATTTTTTGGTTCTGAAATATTTGGGGATTCATTGTTAGTATTGTTCTGATCTCGTTTGTCCTTGCAAATAAAAAATTAATAAATTTATTCTAAATCAAAATTAATTAAGTAAAAATTAAATATATTTATGGGTTCAGTATGAATTTTAATAGATGATTAAATCTGTTATGTAAAATCCAGACTTGTTTAATTAATTTGAGTAATTGACTATTAAATTTGTAACTTTCCTCTAAAAGTACAGAGAAAATTAAGTGTTATCATACAAAATAATTCAAGACGTAATCCAAACATAATAAAAAATGAATTCTAACAAAACACCATACTTTTTCATAAATCTGGCAAAACATATATAATACTAGAATAAAGTTGAAATGGAGAATATCAATAAAGCAGGAGTGTAGATATCACAATAAGAATATTTAACTTTATAAGAATTTAATTTATTTTATAGATATGAATCAAGTTTAGTTAAAAATCTTAATGGATTATTAATGTCCCAAAAATAATTGTGGAGTGAAAAACTGAGAAATCAAATTTAATTAGAAAAGATTTTAAGATGTTCTAAAGATATAATGAAAAGAGCAGTAATTTTGAAGAAGATAATTAAAAATTTTGAGAACTCAAAAGAATCTCCAGGTATGGATACCATCTTAACCCTTCGAATAAAATTAGTTACTAGTTTAGTTTGTATGGAAGACATACATTTGTCAATGAAGATTGCCAGGCACATATAAAGCTATGAAACAGACTTATTCAATCAAAAGTAATTAAACTTTAATTCTTTACAATTCATATAAGGATAGGCATTGTCAGTGATTTCAAATGTATCTACTCAAACATTTGGCCTTATATCTCAACAAATAAATGATTAATTTTGCAATTTCTTTGGATATGAGAGCAGTATAGGATAGACATTGACTAAGATAGAATAATTGTTGCCAAATAAGATAGGCAGAATTCACAATGGACTGATTGAGGCTTTTCTATAAAAAGGTAGATCAAATAGATTGTATTAAAATTAAGAGCAGTTTATAGTAAATTCTGATAATTTGATTGAAAGGGTGACCATTTGCTTGACTACTCTATTTCCATACTTAAATGGACAATACTAATTTCTAATAGTTGGCCATTTATTAAAAAGGATGAAATACGAGAAAAAGGAAATAGACTATAATAAAAAAGGGTACATATTGGTTGACTAAAATTTCCTTGTCTTTGGGTTGACTAGAAATGTATATGAAAGAATCAATTACAAATATTTTTATAAAAATGATAAAGATGTAGAATTGATACAACCTGAGGATATATACGATTAATATACTATATAATCACTGATTCCTCAATTGTCCTTAATTTTGGAGGAGTATTATAAATTGTTGGCTTTGCGGAACGAGAAGAAAATATTGAAACACGATATAATATGTTAAAGAGAGGTAGGAGTATTCCAGATTCAATCAGTTAAGGTTCCACAGGTCAAGACAAGTACAACATTTTAAACAAAAAAAAATACGAATAAAAACATGATGAACATTTTGAAAGATGTTAATTTTAGTTTGGCTAATCTTCCTACTTTGACATAAAAACAATACCCAATAGAATATAGTGTTACATAAAAGGTCTTAGATTATGTTGAGAAGGACACAATCTGTGAATTCTTATATTTTATAATTGAACTTGACTTTTTGGAAGAACCTAAATTAAATACAACCCCATCCTAAGTAATTGCTCGGACTCCAGCACTCTCTGATATATTAAGACATCAGCAAATTCAACTTGAATAAATGAGACCTAATTAGAGTAATGTAATATTATCTAATGATGACATTAACGATCAATTAGAACTAATGGCAGAGTTAACAAACACAGGAACAAAAAGAAGTTCTTATGAAATAGTAGATCAATTGGATAAGATCATAGTCTATATCAATGATACTCTATTGCCGAAATCAATCAAAAATTTGATTGCACAATTCTTAATACAAATTTTAGTCTTCGTTGCTATAATCGTAATAATTTCTAGTCTTTTCAAGTATAAGAGATCCATTTAATCAGACTGCATTGAATAGATCACTTATGATTTAAACTTCTTGGATGCCTATAGTTAAGCAATGTCTGGATCTAGACATGTCATATACTATAGAGATTTCTATTCTATTTAGAATGACTCCCTAATCTATTAAAATCTTAACAAAATTAACTTCAGTAGATACGACAAGATTTATGTGGCTTGGCAACACATATCAAAAGGTAACATTCGATTAAATAGGATGTACGAGAATTACAGCAAAATAGCTGAGAAGAGCCAGATTAAACTTTTGACTATATACTTTGTAAACTTCGACTTAAAGACTAAAATCCAATAAGAAGTCTAAGATTATTCAACTTATTATCAAATAATGCATCAAACCTTCTATCTTTAATATCAATCATTTTCCCAATCTCCTCAAACCTACTTATCTGGCAATAATGACTCATACCTTACCTAATTGGCCAGATCTCAAGTTTATTACAATTTTTTTGATGTGATTGAAAGTGCTAATTTCACTCTACAAGACTGTCAAACTTATAATCTATCAATCAATAATTATTTTGATACTGTCATAATATTTTACTTTTTAGGCATGTATACTATCATCGTTTTGGTATTGATTTCAATTATCATCCATTACTATAGAGTGGTCAAATCAATCAAAATATATATAAAGCTGTTTAAGATGTGTGATAAGGAGGACTGTCAACATATAATTCATTTATGTGAGTCTTTGATAAGTATGGTCAATTATGATAAAATCTTTTTGAGACAACAGGACTTTAAAATTATTTTGGCGTAACCTCGTCATACTTTAGAAAATGTTAGAAAGTCTCAAACCAAAACAACCATCATTTTGATAAAAAAGAAACATCATCACAATCAAAGATCAATTAAAAATAGCTAAAATAACTTAAGATTTTATTCCATAATTATGCTTATTTTAATATCAATAGGTCTAATCACATACATAATGTCATTTCATTTATATTTCATCCATATTAAAGATTCGATAAGTCCAATCAGCAACTAAGCTATTTTAGCACAATAATCCAGACTGAATTTTATTGCTTCTGTAAATCGATTTGATTTATACTTTATAAAGTTGTATTATGAAACTTACACAAAGCTTAATTAAGTAGATGAAAACTATTCATTTACTAGCAAGAACATTTAGACGGATACTCAGATCTTACAGTTACTAACTATTAATATCGAAACTTTAAACTTGGATCTAGACAGACTCAAGGCAATTGACTTTGTTGATTTGATCTTTCATAATGATCAAACCTACTCTCAATTGGATAGCAGTCAATAGGATTCAATATTGAAAAATGATGTTTGCATTTTTACAGGTTGCAATATGCAAACAGAACTCTTCTTTGATAGATTATTCTAAAATGAGTTGGCTCCTCTATTTTACACAGGCGTTTTGAATCTACATACCAAAATATTAGCATTTATTTAAGATGCATATTAAGTAGTCTCATAGGATTTAAGTGATGTAGAGATAATTAAGAATTTGGAACATATTTTTGCTGATAGTGATTATCTAATTTACATCCACTGGGGATTAGATGTTATCCAATTCTAAATATCCTAGTTCAGTTAATATTTCTTAGATATATCAACAGAAACCATCAATTCTCTTACATAAAATAATCAATTACTAATAATTTCAATTGGAACTCTTTTACTGATTCTAATTTTAATTTTTTCCATTATGTTTGTCAATATATAATACTAAAGATATGTACAATCCAAAGCTATAATAAAGTTCATTCCCCTTCCAATACTATTTCAGAAAAATATTCCAAAACATCTGGAAAGCTTTCGTCGAAAATATGAAAAGTGAATTATTTACAATATTTTATATTTCGTAATCTGAAAATTTATAATCTATTTACAACTTCAGTTTTATTTCTTATGTGAATATTGTAAAAGTAAAGCAGAATTACATAGGGTAATATAAAAAGGTAATTTCTAATAGATCAAAATACAATATTGAATTTAAACTTATATCTCTGTTGAGAATTAAAATATTTATGAATGCTAAAGAATCTTTAAAATAATTGTAAATTTATATAAATATATACATTATTAATTATCAAAGTGATTAGAATATTTAAGAGTTAGCATTAATTATATTTGTAAATACCGTTATTAATTTTTAGTGAAATTCAATGTGAATTTGATTTAAACAACTATTATATGAATCCATCCAATCTTAAAAGTCAGGTAAAAGGAGTTCCTATTATATTTTAATTATATTTTCTATTCCAAATTAAACTATCTTCTGAATCTGATACAAAATTCCTTTCTTAACTAACAAGAGCTCATCTTTATTTAACTTATATTGAATTTACTCAAAGATAAAATCCTCAAAGGTTTCTAAACAATTAAATTCATTTGATTTGACATCATCACATAGATCTTAGAGAAACTTTTACACTTTCTCAATATATGTATTAAGTATTTTTTCTTAAATGCTTGAATCATGCTATTTTAAGATGGTTTATGGATCTATGGAATAAAAGCATTCAAAATTCAGATTAGTAATATTAAAATTAAACATGTCCTCCTGTTTCTCATCTATTACCTTAAGAATAACATTGTATGCATTTCCTACGCTCCTCCAAATAGGTAAAGGAAATCTGTCTCCATTATGAATAAAGATATCAAATCCAATAATTTTCCCTAAACTGAAAAGCCTCTCTTGATTGAAAATTATTTTGGCTCTTTCTCCTTGAAAATAATAGAGTTAAAGACCAGGAACATATTCAACCATTTCGAAATAGGCAGCTTTTAATTTTTGTTTAAGTCGATGAGACAAAACTTCATCAGACGATGCTGCAAATAAGATATCATTTCTTAGTTCCTACATTTCTAAATCACACCACTTTAAACATTTCATCTAGGTTGTCTTAATATCAAGTGCTTATGCCAATTTGTTAAGGTAAAGTTCCACGCCTACTTGACCTGATAATTTAAGAACTATTGCACCATCCTCTGAATCAATGAATAAAACTCCTCTAGAACCAGAGTCACTCAATTTAATTGATTTGATCTTGTTTAATTTGATTTTTTCAAAATCTACATAAGGTTTGGCTGCATAATCAAACTCTTATAATTATATTTACGATTTCTTTTCATTCTACTATTCCCTTTGCTATTCAGCTAACTCATTAGACCTAATATGAATGTTTTTGATAAATTTATTTTATTTCATTAATTGTAATAGCCGATATTCTTTATCCTTTGATTTTATATTTAAACAAATTCTGTTCAATGCTGAAGAAATTTATGGCTATTATAATTATAGGTTATGGTTATTTTAAATTGGTTTAATTAAAAATTATTTAATAGTTTAGATCTCAAATTACAAATAAATAAGTTGATGTATATCTGATTGATAAGAAACCAGGATCATTAATTCATATTAAAATTCATAAAACATAAGAATATTTATGTATATATATAAAAGTAATTTGTCAGTCAGAAGTGTTTTGTAATTTATAATACTCACAAATATCCTTTAATTTACATTAATCACATTTAGGTTTAGGTAAACAAATTTATTATCCAAATCCTACTAATGTTTCATTTATTTCTCCCCATTCCTTATGCTCAAACTATGATTCTAAAAACTTTCTTAATTTAGTCGGAGACTTCTCTTTTAATATAGGAATTCTATTGCAAATTCTAATCATATTGACATCTATTGGGATTCCTTCGACTCTTTAGAATGCTACCTGCATATACAATAATGCTATCTTTTCCCCTACACCTTTTATCTTAATAGTTTCCTCGAAGGTTTTTGGCATTCCTTTATAAATTGCTAATTAGGCCAAGTCTTTAATTCTTTTTGCTTTAGTGACATTAAAATTAACTTCATAAATCAACTTAATCAATTCTGGCTCATCCATATTTGCAATATCATTCATGGTATATTCCAAGAGTCTGTTAGCACATTTGGATGTCACATCGTCCTTGGTTTATGGACTCAACATCAAACTAGTTAAGATCTAAAATCTTTAAGTTTCTATATCCTTATCTTTATCAAAGCATTTTTAAGGGCCAACAAGATCAACAGGAGCATTCCTTTCCAATCGCATTTACTTGATAATCTCATAGATATTCTTAGTTCCACTATTTTCCTATTTAATGGCAGACATTGGAGCAGTAGATTACTATTTCGATAAACTGGTTTTAGATTTTGATTTTGGTGACTTCTTCTCCTTAAAGAACCGATGCTCTAATATTTCATTTAATTCACTTGTAGTTGCTTCTGAAAAAGCTAGCATGACCTTTTGTGTTTATCTCATTTTATAAAATAATAACTGATATAAATATTCATCATATAAATTCTTCATCTTCTGATTTCCATTCCTCCTCTGAATCCATATTAATTTGCATTCTCATGCTGAATCTATAAAACCCAGCCAACCCTCCAAATCCTTTATAAAATTGATGTCCCTCAGCACTATTATCAGAAATCAATTGGAAGTCTATTCCTTTTTCTCTATAATTTTCTGCTAAATATTCAACAAGATCCTGACAAGATGACACTTGGAATTGTTCGCCTTTATTGTCTTCGAAAATACTTCCTTGTTCATATAGATCTAATCCTTTAAGATACTTAATGGATTTCACTAATTTAGTTAATAAATCTTACCTCCAGTTTATCTGCTGATACATTCTACTCTAGAGTACTCCAAAGTTTAAACACAGATCACTTATTTCACCAATTCTTGTTCTATTGCTTTCATTGTATCCACAACCCCATACACACATTTTCCATTATCAAGATCAAGACTCAAAAAGAATTTAGCTACTAAATCCTTCTCTCTAAGCAGTTTCTAGTTTTACAATACTTCTTAAGATTACTAGATTGCTTAATTGAAACCGTTCTCTCCCCCATAATTAATATCTACTATTGAAAGAATCAAGGGCTGCAATCTTTTATCCAGAGCAGGAGACTCAGCTAATTTATTCTTGAAGTCCGCTATTCCAGCTAAGACTAAGCCCTTAATAGTTGGCTTGTCTTCAGAAATAAAGCAATTTTTAGCTTGCTCGCTAACCTTTATCAAATAGTTGTGTCTTGCCCAATATCTTATTCTGGAGAATCTTAAAGAAGATTGTCCTCCTTTATTATGTTTCTTTGGTAAATCGACATTAAATGATTTCAGTGTTTCCTTGCTTATCCCTTAAACTTTCCCAAATAAGGCTCCATTTCCATCCATGATGATAAATCCATATGATGGCTCCAATTTTAAGAGAGGCTCCAACTATTCAATATGGAAATAGTTGTCACAAAAAAACAAGGAGAGTTGTAATGGTCTAAATGGTTCTATGACATATGTTATCCTTTTCTATCCTTTTTCGAATTCTACCAATCCTGAAAACAATACTAATCCTGATGCTGGGGCCTTAGTGTATTTTTTTAATCCTAGTCTTTAAATAATCATTCATACTTAAAACAGTTGCTTAAATTGAATCTTAGACTGAAGTCCTATTTACCTTATCTTATATTGATGCAGCCTCAGAGAATTGTGTGTTTAATCTATTTGTAATATCTGAAATTATTTTTTTTGGTGGGATGTACAAAGATACAGCACTTGTTCCTATAACTTTTGTTTTACTTAGAGTCTTTATAATCTTTGATAGCCTGAACTACTCAATTTCTAATTCCTATTCTTGAATTTGATTTTAATTCATTTATATTATCTATTGACTACTGCATTTTCTTTTTATGAAATAGGTAAAAACAACAAGGATTTTATTGATAAATTCTGAAGCTATATTTTAATCTATCAGAATTAATCAATAAAATTAATTATAATTCAATAAAATTAACTTATTTCGAATATATTATTTTGTATTTAAATTAAAACTAAAAAGTAATTTTATTATTTTAATCTATTAAAAGAATCTTTTTGGAAAATACAATTTTCTTACTCCTAATTATTTTTTGTGATTATTCCTTATTTTTTCAGACATAGAATAAGAAACAAATCTTAATTTATTATTAACATAAATTATCCTTATTAATAGTGAAATTCAATTTTTATATATTTAATTTTATAAATACAACAATGATATTAAAATACTCGGTCATAATATTATATTGGATAAATCATACTATTATTAAGGTGGATCGTTTAATCCTATCAAATCAATGGTTTCTTATTGTTGAATGACTGGTAATTATTAAGATTAGATTTATGTAGTTTGAACTCCAAATTATTATTAACTATTTCCATTCCAGAAGTTCATAGATGGTTGAGTTGATTAATGAGACTGCTCAGTATTGTTGGTAGTAACGTCCCATGCACTATTAGTTGGAGATGTTGAAAATGAATTAATTTATAGGTGTTGAACTTATTATTATTAGAATTATTATTATTATTATTAAGGTTAATTGAATTAGGAATCCCATTAAAATGGATTTGGACTTGGTGAGTGAGATGTTTAAACAAATCCAAAATTATCAAAGCCTTATGCATTTGTTTATTATTAAGTGGTCCATTGATTGGAATTACCCCAAGCATTGTTGTTACTAAAAGATTATTAAGGGTTATTGAATTGAGCAAATATATCCTATTATGATTTTGATTATGATGTTTATTACTATTAATTAAATTCAGAGAATGGCTGAAATTACTATTACTATAATTTTGATTGTTATTATTGCTACACTTATTACCTCTATACATATTATTGCTAAGGTTATCGAATTTATTATTGTGGTTATTTCACTTGAGACTTTTCTGTTTATATCTTTTTTTATAGGTTCATTAATTCATCTATTGGAATATCGCCATCAAATTTTTTCACTTTGAAACTGTTTTTATTATATTATTCCATTTCTTATTCCAATTTCTGCTCTCTATTTTTAATTTCTATTGCTTAGGCCTAAAATTTGCTTCAAACTAATACATTCAATTATATGTAGGGTAATGAATGAAATTAAGCTAGAATTCTTTCAACATCAAAAATAGAGGGTCTTAATTTTGGATCAGGAGTAAGCATAAGTCTAATAAAATCAATCAATTTATCTGAATATCTATGCTACTTAGGTATATTGTATGTGGCAGTAGAAATTGCTAATTTTGAACTCTCTTAAAATGGATGAATGAAAAAACACAAAGTGTATAATACACATCCTAGCATCCAAACATCGGCTTTCTCTCCTACCTCGTATCTCAAAAATAGGTCAGCCATTTCTGGAGGCCTATACATTAATGTTGTGTTTTTCTCCCATTCTTCTTCATAAATTACGAAATCAGACTGTCTTATTTGACTAGGATAAATAGATTATAAATCTAACCTTAAGTCTACTCTTTGGGTACTAGCCGAACCAAAATCGCACAATTTACACCTTCCATTTTAAAATAACACATTCTCTATTTTTATATCTCTATGAGTCATCGGTGGTTGTAAAGTATGCAATGACTTTATACCTTAAGTGATTTCCTAGTAAGATTTAGATTGGTCAATTAATACTTTCATGTAACCCAAAAGCTGCTCTTCTGGAAATCTTGAATTTGGATCTTTAGCCATCAAATCGAATAAACTTCCACCTCCACAAAATTCCATTAGAATCAAACATACTTGCTGTCCTTTATCCTAAATAAATGTGCCTCCTATGAAATTGACCAAATTTGGATGTCTTGGCAATCGTTTCTAGATAAAATTTGAATTTGTCATACCATAATTTCCAACTCGTTTCTTGCTACTTTGGTTCTCTCTTCTCCTTAACAATAAGATTTTTTCAAAGCAAACACCTCCTTTGTATTCACATCTATTGCTTTCAGTATGTAACCATATCCACCTTCAGATAATAACTTTTCTTCTTAAATTGTACGCCCATTAATGTTATATCTAGATAGCATATTAAAATTTATAATCATTCGCATTCACTCCAATTTGATTATTAGAATCGCTCATTAAAATTAGCATAGTTCCTATTGCCTCCAGACCGAGCTGTACTAGTATAAAATCCTTTAGAACTAGTAGTAACATCAGTATTCCTAATTTAGGAAATGATTCATCATACTTCCTTAAATTTATCATAAAAGTCTTGAGAGGTAGTTGCATTTTAGGAGGCCTTTTTCCTTTATATTTACTAGAACTTCCTATTGAAACGTCGTCTGATAAATTATTATAACTTTTGGGAGAATACTCTTCACAAGAGTAATTATGAAAGTTCTCCAGTAAGCGAAACTCGTCTCTGTCTTCTAGGTATTGAGTCATAGCCATTCCAATTCTTTCATCCCTCTAAATCACCAAATCTATTTGATCCTCAGTTTTTTCAATTACCTTTCAATTTCCCTTTCTAATCCTCATTTATCTGTTTGCCCTTGCATAACATGTATATTTTATAAAATAACTTTCCCTCTACACTTTCTATCTGTTCCATTTATTAATAATATAATATTAAATAATATTTATTATCTTCATGAACTACAATATTGAATTAATTCTTTATCTAATAACTTAAAATGTAAAGAACTATGAACAAATGCTAAATCTTATCTTGATTAGAAATATTAAAAAATAAACTACGTTATTTTGACCAAGATTAACAAATTGATATTTCAAATTATAAAAATCCTATTAGAAGTAAATAAACTTAAAGAACAGAAAAAAGTTAGTAATATCAAAACTAGCAATTGCTTATGAAATTAAGAATATTTTTAAGAAATAATCATTACTTTTTGCCCTTCACCCAGATGCCTTCACTCACATTTCCATTTGGCTCTATTAATTTCCCTTTACCATCTTGTCTCCCATTCTTCCAATTACCTATGTATTTCTAGCCATCAGGCCATCTCAATTCCCCAAACCCATTCTTTTTATCATTTTTGAATTCACCTTAACGATTTAATAAATTAGTACCGACATACTCCTTACCATCAAAACTAAGTGTGCCATGACCTTCCATCTTACCATTAACCCAATTACCCTTGTACACCCTACCGTTGTACCAATAATATTCACCATATCCATGAAAATTTTCATTCAAAAATTCGCCCTCATAATGTGAGGAATCAGCCCATTTAAAAACTCCGTGTTTAACCTTTTTGCCCTTTTCAAAATAGCCTTCGAATTAGGTTCCGTTATCCCAGATAATTTTACCTTTTCCGTCCTAGATTCACCTTAACAATTATACAGGAAGCCCATCTTTCATTTCGCCATCGTATATTCCTCCATCTGGAAAAGTGTAAGGAACTTAAGAATAACAAGAGCCCATAATTAGAAATAAATAATCAATCGAATTTATATTCAATTAAATCAAGTAGCCTTTGACGGTTTTTATTGAAGAGACTAAGATTTTCCTAATCAGCCGCTTCCATTAAATAGGTTGCTAAATATTTGAGTTCCTAATCATTCATGTCATCATGCCATTCTAGTATGGGAATCCCATTGTCAATCTAAAACCCAAACGAATGAGCCAAATTATCAACAATCAGCATATTCTTTATTTGCTTATTGGATATAATCCGAAGATCCTTTATATAAAATCCCTGTTTAGTCTCCAAACAATTCTGCCTTGATAAGATTCCAGAAATCCACTGACCCTTCGGATCCAAGTACCTTACAATGGCACTAGCATAAACACTGGACGAAGCTGTGAACACATAGATAGTGTAGAGTAAACTCATTTACTACAGGAACCATAAACAAAATGGTCGAATATTTAAATATATCTAAAATTATAAATATACAATTACTCTTGCTTGCTCTCCTTAATCATTCACTGCAAGTATGGAAGTTTGATATTGATCCCTAGCTGAACAACTATGAATTAATGTTTCATCTAAATCTAAGAGTAAGGTTTTTGTTTTAGGAATTCTGGCTTCTGGTAACACTAAAGCTTTGCACTTAATATAATTATAACTGGGTTCCTTAAGACATCGCTTAGCATAAATTAGTCCTCTTTAGATGAGGCGTAAAAATTTATTAAATGTGGTTTCACTGATGGATGGGCTGTATATGAGATGACGAAAAGGATGAAATGATAATTTGCCTTGAATATTCTATTTGGATTTTGAGTATTCTATGTCCGAATTAGCATTTCTCTACAATTTGCTATGATTATATATATCATACACTAAAAAAATCTATTCATTATTGTACTACTTCAATTTCTATTGAAGTTTGCTTGATTATATTGTTATGTTAGAAGGTTCTTCATAATTACTATGAGTTATGTCTGTTTGAGCATCTTCTTCTTGTTCCTCCTAAGCACCCTCAATATCACCTTCTATTGGATTCATTAAATTCCTAAATTTTGACAGTTTTTAACCTACATTAAATTTAATTTTACTAATTGGTCCTCTTTTAACATCCCTTGAAGAATCTTTGTCCGAATCATCAGTATAATAACCTGTAAGGTTTTAACTAAAATGTGACATTTTACTGGGTGGTTTACTGATTTATTTTAAGTAAACCTCCTATTTCTAATTCAATTCAGAGGATTCATCTTCAGAATAAAATTGTTTATCATTATTCAGATGCTATAAATGCATGGTTGAAGTATTAGCTTTAAACTTGTATATATTATCCATTTAATTAATTATATTTATCGATTATAAATTTATTGAAAGAATTTGGACGAAGATCAAAAATCTTAAATAAATCAATTGCAATCCTAAATTCAAGAATTAGAAAAAAAAGCAATTGATTTTATTATGGAAAAATGAAAAACTTTAAAGTTGAGTAATTCTCATTTAAGAATCACCATCCAAACAATAAAAAAAAGATGAAGAAATATTAGACTTGAAGTTGTATCATTTGATAGTTACTCCAATCATGTTACTGTAATTGATGCAGATTAAGCCTTTAATTTCCAAGAACTAAAATGAAATATATATTTTTGGTTAGATTCAAATAATCAATCAAGATAGAAAAATGAGAAATTGAATCAACGCTCAAACTTATAAAAATTAGAATTTTTGTTTAGAAATCTACTGTAAGTAGATGAAAATCAAATTCAGCTAATCTATAATTGTTAAGAATACTTATATTCTAACTAATAACATAAAAACAAATAATTGCAGGATCCATCTTAAGAACTCAACACAAATTTTATCAAAATTTAGTGGGATTGGTACCTTTAACATATTTTAAATTGAATATAAATATTCTCAACTAAAAATAAATGTAAGTTTAAATATCACTCTATCTAAGAAATTGAAAATCATACAAAAGTAAAAATAAACAGTCTAAAGACTAAAAAATGAATGCCTATTATACCAAGGAATAAAGTATAAATAATGAGCTCATAGAGTAACTTGAAAGTTAGGCTAAAATAAAAATCAAAGTCCTGTAGAAAACACTTTTTTATCCTCACAATAGATAGAAAGGTGATATAAGTTAATATTAAAAGAATTAAATAAATAATTTAGATGAAAATAAGAATAACTATAGTTTAAGGTGAAGAATGCCTAAGATAATCTAAAAAATAGATGAAGGAACAATGAGCTCAAACTTAAGTATTATCATATCAATTAAAACAGATAGGATCACTGTAATTTAATCAAAATTAACTCAATTCATGATCTAGTATCAATTTAAGCAAAATTAGTATCACGAAATATAATTTATATTAAATTTACTAAAATAGAAAGGCAAGTTCTTAGTAACATTTAAGAGTTGAAATTTTAATAAAATTACAAGGAATTGAAACCAAATATTTATTGATTTCATTATTTTATATTATACATTATACAATAAATAAATTTAATATTAAATATTATATATTGATACGAAGATGATTTTTTAAGTAATCGTATTTTCAATTTTACTTCTTTTTTGGTTTCATATTACTCGTATCATATTTGCTATTCTAAACATCATAGTCTAGAGCCTCTTAAAGTGATTAAAGCAATTAGCTTTCCTCATCATCTCCTGCTTATTATTTTAATGTCTATTATTTGGCTAAAGTAATAGCATGTTTAGTATTAAACTTCATCAAAACTAAAGGATTATTTTATTATTATTGAGATTTAGCAGCTTCATTCTTATTTTAAAATGTTCGTATAATTTCCAGTTTTATTTCACTTTGAACTTTTAAGTATTATTTTTTTAATTCTTCACTTATAATCATTTCCTCATCTTAAATTACTTAGGTGTAAATTTTTTAAATTTTTGATTTTTTCCCTAAATTTTATAATATATGATAAGTTCGACAACACAATTCAATACCCTCTTAGAAAATCTATTCATTTTTCACTAGATTTATATTGTATTCAAAAAGATCCTACAAAGATAGCTATAAAAACTGCTAGAAATTGTTGAGAATCTCGCTTGGGTATTTCTTGTCTAACTGATAAATTGGTTCTTCTAAATTCTTTAAACTAATAATGTCAAATCAATTCATACTCAACCATAAAAAAAGAGCTTTTATTACAGAGACTATTTATCTCTTATCCTTAAAACTTATTTTTTGTTGTATTTAGGTACTCAAATCGTTTTCCATCTGCATAGAAACATCAGATAACTCTTCACCTAAGAGAAATTATTTTATTGCTTCCTCATCTGTGATCACATTCTAAATATCACTTTTAATTTCTTTTTTTTCCACTTCTTCGTGAGCCTCCTATTGAGACTATTTTGGACATTCTTCAATCTCCATCTATTTCTATGACGCTGGTTGCTTTTAACCAGAATTCAGGTTAGTATCAAGTTCATTTTAGATTGGTTTTGGTTTAATGTTTTTGCCATTCTACTTTGCTGAGCTTGAACAGGTTCCCATTTTTATAAATAAAATATTATTGTATATCTGTAGAAATCAAAAATACAGCATATTTAGTAATTAAGAGCTTAAAATCGTAATACACACAATGATACGAAATGATGTCATGTAGAATAAGATAACAATTACCTGAAACTCTAAGTCTTAAATGGTTTCCACATATAAATTAAATAACTTTAACAAAATCAGCAACTACCAATAATATCTAACTTGAAATTGTTTTCTTATTACAATATTTTTTGAACTATAATTAGATTATACATGCCAAATTACAACAGAGGAAAATAGAATACAAAATTTATACTCCTATTAAAAGTTATATAAAATAATTCATTTCTTGTTTGGTAGCAATTATCATCATCACTATTAGCTAAGATAAAAATAGAATCTTAATTTTAAAGAAGAAATTTAATTATTTAATTGCTACAATAAATGCGTTTATTAAAATATTATTTTTAGTTAACTTTATTATTAGAAATATTTGCATAATTTAAGCAATTAAATTGCAAAATTAACCAATGACTATCATTTTCAATATTTATATATGTTTTAATAATAATATTGGTATCAGATTTTATTAAATGTAAAAAAAACATTGTGATTTAATACTTAATGAAAAAGGATCCCTTTGGTTAGGGAATTGCGAATCAGCACTAGATGAGGTATAATTTTGTGTGATTTTAGGAGTTCTTAAAAGTTAAAGGAATTAAAACAGTGATAACAGTAGCAGCAGGATTGCAATTAAAACTAAATGGGTTAGTACATCACATAATAGAGATATTCGATAGTGATACGGCGAATATTTCGTAACATTTTTAAACTGCAAACGAATGGATAGAGAGAGGATTTAAGATCGGGGGTGTGTTAGGTAGTAATTATGTGTTTAAAGAAGCTAAGTTCATTGCATGGCAGGCATATCCCGTTCAGCAGCAATAGTTATTAGTTACCTGATAGAAAAGAAGAAGATGAATTATAATTAAGCGTTATCGTTTGTGAAATCTAAAAGGCCATAAATTAATCCAAATAAGGGCTTTAGCAATTAATTACAAGCCTTTTTTGTTAAGGTCCAGCAACCTCCATTGGCTAGAAATGGCAGAGGCAACAATTTCCAGCAAAACCAGGAATATTATGATTGTAATTATTATGCTCCAATCCATCGGAAGGGATCAGCGGGAATATTACAATAAAATATGAACTTTTATAAATCGATTACTAAATCAATTTCATAAAGTAAGAATAAAAATAAATGAGTTAAATATATTCATTTCAACTATTAAAAACGAATCTTCTTTAAGTATGAATGTTTACACACTTGGGAGACCTCCTCGGGGTTGAATCTTAATTCTTTGATGAACTTAATTATGATTTGATAATCAAAGAGGGAAGCGTTCTTTGCTTTGGCAATTGATATTAGATGGGACAGTTATAACATTCCATATATTTGCGACTCTGTGGAACTATTTCAAATAGGGGATTCTTTATTGTTAGATTCCTTGGGGTCTAGTTTTGTAACATCTTCAGCAGTTGGTTTTGTAATTTGTTCCTCTTGATAGAATGACTTGGAGAAGAGGACTCCTGTTTCTACTTACTACTAATGTATTGAGAATGAGGGGATATTTGTTATCTCATAAATTAATTAAATGAGAAAATAATAATAAGAAGAAGCAGAAGAAGACTAGGCATCTCTGTTGCCTATTAAGAATCATATCAAAAGAATTGAAGTAGATATTTGATTTAGGTCCATATTAGGAAATGCTTGTACTATTAAACAATGATCTTGTGAATGATGATAAGGATATCGAAAAGAATAGACAAGATATTCGCAATTTAGGAGATGCTCAAAATAAGGAAAGAACAGAATTACATAACTCATTACTTGATCATTGTCATAAAATTGTAACTGATATGCGAGAATTAAATTAACAATCAAAATGTGAAACATATAATCTTAAATAACAAGTAATCAACTAATTTATAATAGCTATCCTGTCTAAATCAAGATAAGATTAGATTATAATAAAATTTAATTGTACTCGAAAATAAAGTAATAGAAACCGACAAAGACATAGGCTTTAAGCGTAGAAATCAATAATTAAATAAAAAAAAATGAATTAAGAGTAATAGTCATAGTTAATCAAAATACTCTGAGGTTTTTCTCAATTATCCAATTTGTAAATCTACCACTTCCTCTTATGTCTATTATTCATTGAAGAGTTCTTCAGAACACCCCAAATCCTTTGATTTATTATCAATTAGGTCTATAATCTGAATTAAATCTTGTGGAACATAATGCACATGATTATCCCAATTACTCCAATTCATTTTTAATGGACTAGTAGATTCCTCATCAATTGGAGCAATCAAAGGGTTTTTGCTCCTAGGCAAATATTGCTTCTAGGTCGTTATCTCTGATGATTATAATATCCCATCACCTTTCCTAGTATCCACAATATCGCAGTCATCATAACTTTTGAGTGACTTTTTATGTTGTCTCCTATGAATCCAAGGATGCAAAACGAAATCTTTAAAATTATTATTATTAAAGAACCTTCAGCTGACAATCTTTTTTCTGGATCTTTCTTCAATAATCGCTTTAATAGGTCTTATTCTAATTTATTCAACAATTTAAAAGCTGCCTAGTTTTTCACATTTATTTCTGAATCTCTAATCATCTCTATTGTATCTAAAATAGTATCCTATTAAAATGGCAACTATCCAACTAATAATTAATACAAAATTATGCCTATTGACCAGATGTCAACTAAAAATAGTTTCAGAATTACCTTTTTCATCGTATCCACCTCCTAAGAATATTTCAGGAGCTTAATAAAATAAGGAACCAGTTCTTGTCCACATATCTATTTTTTTAGTTACCTTTCCTTTTACTAAAAACCTTTTTGAAACCCCAAAATCTATTAATTTCAATGCCAAATTATCTCCAATAAGAATATTGTCTGGCTTTAGATCTCTATGGCAAATTCCTCTTTAATGCAATTACTTTATTGACTGAGCTAAATTTAAAGCAATTATTTAAATATCTTCAAATTTCAGATTTCCCATTCTTTATTCTAAACTCTAATATGGACAATATTCCATAACCAGGTGGTGTTCTTCTTTTTTAGAATTTATAAATAGATCTAGTGCTTTAACTACGCATTTCAGATCATTGAGTGCTCTATTTATATGAAATGTTTCTCTAATTGTATTAATTATTTCTGTATCTCCAGTTCTAAAGATTTTAACGGCATAAGTGGTTCTTTCTGTATTATTCCCATTGGATTGATCTCTCTTATAACATGTCTTTACTATCCCATGGGCTCCTTCGCCTAATGATAAATATTCATAGAACCGATCTGAAGATGGCCATATTCATAAATATCACTAAAATGTCTAAATTGCTAACTTGCGATTTTTTATTGATCATTTAGCATGGGCAGAGAAGTGTTTTAAGGCGGAGGATTAAATTTCAGATTTCTTTTCCTTTAACTAAAAAGTGTATTCTTTAAAGAATCTCTTATAGTCAATTAATTCTGCCGATTCATTTGAAATATAAAATAAATTAAATATTTTCAAATGAAAACATAGTTATTGAATAATGAAGTTTCAATTAGTTAAAAAACCTTAAGAAATAAAAATTGATGATTAATTTTAAATCGCTCTTTATAATTCAGAAATCATCATCTATTATTATTTATCTTAAATTAAATATCTTATTTATTGGTTTATAATGATATTTATACAGCTTTCAAAAAATTGCAAAAAGTTTCTTAACTATTTAAACAATTTGAATATTTTCTAACATCTACATTATCAATTAGGGTATACAACAACTTCATCCAGAGGAAAGCATCATAAGAACTACATTGTGGTCCGAATAATATATCAAAATATTAATTTATTAATCTCTTTCACTTCATAGCATAATACATTATTATCCTTCATCTAAAAGAATAAAATTCCATTTAGTTGTTTATTTCATGCAGAGTTACTGATTTGGACAAATGGTCGTATTTTTGCTTAAATTCTATTTTTAGTAAATACAAATAATAGAAAAAATTCATTTTATATTATTCTCTTTCTCAAGGAAATAAAAATTTAGTAAATTTGGTTAGTTTTTGGTAATTTTTCTGTATCCAAAGTGAAATAAAAACAATCTTAAATTCTTTAGAAATAGAAAATATTCCAAAAAAAATAAAATGAAAATTAATAAAATTTCAACTTCATACTTATAATAGATCACTTTAGAGCATCTCTTCAAATTCAATAATTGTTCGATAATTAAACTCAGCTTAAAACTGATTTCTGAAGAATTAGTTCTGTTAATCATCAAATGCATTCACATTAGAAATACTTTCAAACAGTATCTATCTAACAACAAATAATCGAGGGAGTTCAATATTATTTTCTTGTATTTAATGTTGTTGTTGTTCTATTTGGGCCAACGGGTTACATTGTGAACTATAATTTTGTAAAATTTCTGACAACAATTAATTACTCGAATGTTAAAGATAAGCGCTTATACTCTAAATCTAAAACTAAAATAAATATATACTTATTTCAGTTTCAATTAGAATAATTTTCCAAATAAGAACTCATAATATTAAAGTTAACTTAGTATTCTATTTTCTAATAATTCAATCATTTCCTACAAAAATAAAATTTTGTAATAATTCCAGAGATGTGTTTGTTAAATATGTTTTAAATTGCGTCTTAAATTATTGGCATAAAAACTTGCATCAATTGTGTTTCCTAGAATTACTGAATTGGAACTTCTAAATCGGTCAATTTTACCTATAATTTTTTCATATTGTCTAAACTACTCTTAAGCACTATTGAATTAATATTTATTTATAAGGTATCTAGAAAATAATATCAATTCATCATCTATAATTAAATCGCCAGTCCTACGATTCCCATCAACATATTCTTCTTTAGTTAATAAGGTATATAAAATTGTTCCCATTTGGTTATTCTAACATCTACAAATAGGGTCGGTTTGAAAAATATTAATACTAAATTTACAAAAATGATGGTATCCTTAATTAATGAATATATTGTGGAGGCAAGGAGGAGGTACATTTTCACACCCTATTTAAAACGAAATTTATCTGAGGTCTTACAATAAATTTTAGAAACTTAGTAAATAATATGCATTATTTTCTTCATATTATCTAAATAATGGAGTTCCTAAACATGGAGAAATAATAATGACACAGTATTTAGTGAGTTGAAATTGGTTTTTAATTAAGGGCCTATTAGCCTCAGGCATGTTATCAAAAATTTATTATTTTTATTAAAAGTTGTTTACCTACAATATTTAGCAAATTGATCTCAAATAATGTTCTTTTTCATTGTAGTATCCATAAATATTTTTAAAGAAAAAGAATTGTTAACTTTAGTAATATTATTCTAGAGTATTATTACCTTCTAATAAAAAATAAAGTATCCCACAAATCATATATTTATATCTGTTACCCCGTTAAATTGCTCTATATTAGGTTTACGAGCAAATATTACAACTTTGAGGCTAATAACTTATTTGATCATTATTTTGTAATTCAATCTAAACAGTGTGAGGGCAAATAAAAATATTCTAATCGATAGATAAATCTTTTGTTTTTGAAATCGTATACCACAATATTGAATAAATTCTATCGATTGAGAAATTATTTGGGTCTGCTTGGATCAATTAAATTCTTTAATCCATATAAATATAATTGAATATATATAAAAGAAGTAAATTGCACATAAAATGAATATTTTAAAGAAGAAAAACATAGGGCAACTATTGGTAATTAGATTTCTTATGGATGAGTCAATAATTTTATATTCTATTTTTCTTAGGTGTGTTTCTATTTCAAATATTTTACTGATTTTTAAGTGTTATTTTAGATACATTTAATATTCTCTGGTCCAATAGTTAGACTCATCATTTTGTGTCATTTTTTTTTGGCTGCAATGTAATGAAATTTTTGATGATATCATCATCTAAAATTATGAGTTAAGTAACTCAAAAAATATTCCAATTATTAAATCTAAAATTTAGGTTAGCATTAAAAGAATTTCTTATTAAAATGATTAATAAAAGAAAGAGTAATTCATATTACAAAAAAGAATTATAAAAAAGGCAAGAATCAAACTATGATTCCAATAATAGAAAAAGATAAAAGTGTAATAGTTGTTAAACTAATGATTCTCAAGAAGAAACTTTAAACCAATAACAATCTAAAGTTGATATTCCTTAGATACGTGAATTTTGAGTTCTAACTTTGAGAGATTATTTGACAATAATTTGAGTGCAATGTTATCAGATGGATTTAAAGATTTTGGAACATAGAGGTAGCAGTTTTATTATTAGAACTATAGACCTGAAAATCCAATTAGGTTTTTTGGAGAATAGCAGCTTGAATAGGTTGAGAAATTAAATAAGATATTAACCAAAGAGCTTAAAAATAATATCAAAAAATAATTCACTTTTTCTTGTTTGTTTTTTTATTGTCTTATTTTTATTATTCTTTTGGTTATTCTTTATTCGCATCATTTATTTTATTTTATTATTATTATTATTATTATTATTATTATTATTATTATTATTATTATTATTATTATAACTACTACGATTATTATTATTATTCTTGCTACTTTTATTATTCTTATTATCTTTATTATTCTTTTTACTCTTCTAATTTTAATTCCTTTAATATAGATTGATCATTTTGGTTTTGTTTTTTAGTGTCTTTTTTTTAATTCTAAACCTATCCTTTTTTGATATTATTTTATTATTACTAACCTTATCCTTGCAACTATTGCTATTATTGCTAATTTTATGTTTGTTATTACACTACTAATTCAGGTTCTTGTTTTGAAGGTTTGACTTCTTATTTTGGTGGAGATGATTGAATGTTTTATTATTTTTTTTCTCCTTTTGGTGGGGATTAATCAACTTTATCAATTTGTTAATTTTTCAGATCCAAACTCTGTCTTCCTATGCTTTGTCGTTGAGCTGGCTCTTAAGAAATGGATTATTATTAGAATTCTTTTCTCTTCTATTCTTCCCTAAAGGCCAATTCATACTTTGAAACTTCTTCCAAATTCCTATGCTCTTTGTTTTGCATCTTTTTAACGAATTTTTCTAGAATGAATTTGAAGTATACCATGTGCTTCTTTAGCAGCTTATTGAGCTTTGGTTTAGATGTTCTAATTTTTTAATTTTTTTTCATATTTCAATATTGATTGAGCAGAGAATTCATATACATTTCCAGTTGGCAAGCCTTTCTTGCATAATTGTCTAAGTAAATCTATGGTATATTTATAATTTACATTCATATGCTTCTTGCAAACCTGAAGCTTGTATCACATTTTATTATTTCTCATTTTGCAATTATTTAGACATGTAATTATTATTGATTATAACATATTTTATTTTGATTTTTTTGAAGACAATAAGTTATAAGGTAAAAACCAATTTATTAACTAATTTTGGGTTTTGTAATTAAATAGGTCATTTTGTCTTCATGATTTATTAATCCTCTTTTCATAAACTAAACTTAATAATAATTAAAATATATTGAGATATAATGAATTAGTAAAAGACAGATCTGGATCCAAAAGATCAAATCTTAAACATTTCGAAAAACAAACCTGTGGGACAGTATATTTTTTTATCAAAAATATTTTTGAATAAGTTTGGACAATTGAGTTTACATGCTTTAGGAGATGCTACGATAAATGTCATTTCTATTGCATAGGCACTTGAAAGAAAAGTTCTTTCATATATTATTTTTATAGAAATATGCAAAAATAATAAAAATAGAGACCCAAACTTACTCGCCAACTGAAAAATCTGGAGGAAAGAAAATCAAATTGATTGCTTAATTGGATGTCACAGAAGAAGGAAAGCAACTAATCAAGGAGGAGTTGGAGAATAGGAAGAAACCTTAATAAGATGTTTAAGATATAAATTAATGAAAACCAATACATATGTTTATTAACAGAAAAAGTTATTTATATTATTATATTCCATTTAGGTCTCATATTAAATATCAAAAATCTTTTTCCCATCCTTAATCTCCTTAATTTTGTCCATCCATCTGTCTTACATTTTATTCTTGCTATAAATAGGTAATACATTTGCAAATACTTTTATTTCTTCTTCAACCATCTTGCCATTTTATTCTAAAGATTTTATTTCCAATTCAGGTAATAATTTATCTGCAGGTGGTAAATAAGGAGTCTTTATTTCTTTTTCTAATAGTTTTTCCTTGAAATAATAACGTTTGTTACCCAATCAAAGTTTTCAAACCAAGGATTTCCTTTAAGGGAAGCATAAGAACCTCCCAATCTAACTTCAGGAACACGAGAAAGTAATCTAATACTATTGAACTTAATTACTAATCCATTAATTTTTTGGCCTTTTTGTCTTTCAAATAATTTGGATAGGTAATATCTTTTTTAATGATTTCCTCATAAATTTCATAAGGATCTTCTGCCTCTTCTCCAAAGGGGACCATTCCACACATAAACTCATATAAACAGATGCCAATAGACCATAAATCCACTAAGCAATTGTATCCCTTACCACAGATAATCTCGGGAGCCATGTCTAAATGTAACAACAATAAATTACAATGAGGAGTTCCTATGATAGTATAAGTACGAATAATTCCTTATTTTCCTTTGACGATTTTAGCAGTTCCTAAATCAATTAGTTTAAGAAATCCTTTGTCATCAACCATAAAGTTCTCTGGTTTGATGTCTCTATAAATAATATTTTAGTGATGCAAGTATTCAGTGATCAAAATCATGGAAGCAACGTAAAATTGAGAATCATAAGTAGATAACAAACCTTTAAATTTTAGACAAAAAATGTACCGATATCTCTTATAACATCAAATAATTCCATTCCTCTGACGTATTCTAAAAGAAAATAAACATCCAAGGTGTCTTTGAAAGTTTTCATGAAGGATATAATAAACGGGAAATTTACTATTTCCAGCACTTGTTTCTCTTATTGCAGGTACATAAAAATAACATTAAATATTACTTTTCTAAAGTTTATTCATTAATTTGATTCTTATTGAAAGCCTTCAAAACATATAATTATTGATTATATTTTGCTTTAACTAAATAAACTGGACCGAATTGACCATATGCAATAGTTTTAATATGAAGCAATTCAGATTTCTTGATATTTTAAGCTTCTTTCTTTTTGGTTTGATCAGATTTTTATAACTTCTTCTCTAAGATTTTTTCATTTTTTTTAATCACCTCTTCCAATTCTCCTTATATACAATCAATAAAATTATCTGCAGTGATCTCAGCTATAACTCCATCCGTTTCCATGACAATATCATCGTCAAGTCTATATTTTGAATAATAAATCACTTTACATTTTTGCTTTATTTGTCTATAAGAAATATTCCTCACCCCATGCTTAAGCTTTTGTGGCCACTGTAATACCAGATTTGCTCTTTTTTAAACTGCCTTCAATAATAACGATAATTTTTTAGTTGGCTTATGTTCCCTTTTTCAAAATAACATCTCCAGCTTTACAGGAAGAGATTTTCATCACATCCAACACCTTGTCTATTTAAGCTTTTGTTAATTTGCTCAACAAAGCATTCTTTTCAAAAGCCCACTTTTAAAGATTTCTAAAAGTAACGACGTGAACCTAATCACCAAGTATTTTTGTAAGGGAATCTCTTCCCAGAGCCAAACACTTCACATCATCTTCAGCTCTGACAGTCATTTATCTGACTGTATTATAATATAAGGCTTATTCACCAAATGAATCACCTTTATACAATTTTCTTACTTCTTTGTTACCCTTCAATACGGAAACGGTTCCCTAAAAAACGTGATTAAGTTTAATTCATACTTCTTTAATTATATAGAATGATGATCCTGGATCTCCTTCATTTACAATGATTTGATTCTTATAGAACTTTTAGACAATTAAAACAGCCGCAATTGCATCCTTCTATTCATTGGTCAAATTGTCTAATCATATATAAGGATTGATTTACGAAAAAATCTAACAACTTCCATGAATTTTCTATTTTCTTCGTATTCTTTTGTGATCATTTCCTCGACAGCCCTTCTAAAGGTGTTTCTATCAATTCCCCAAAGATTACAGTTCTCAAAACACTTTACAGATGCAGAACGAGGAGCATTATATAAGAGGGCTAACTCTCCGAATCCATCTCCAGTCTTTAATTCTCTTTTTGCCTAATTTTTTCAAATTCATAAGTTTACTTTTTCATTTACAATTACTTCCAAACTTCCTCTTTATAAAATAAAAAAACAAGTTGCATGGTCTTATTATTTAAAAATATAGGTTCCTGCTGCAGCTTCGCAATAAAACATTTTGTTAACAATGTTCTCTCTAGAAAATATAAATCATATAAAGTTACAGTTCAGCTTCACTTAAATTGTAAAATACAAAATGGTTTTTTAAGCAAGTCAAAATAAAAGTAGTATCGTTAAGTGTTTTTTTCATATCAATTCTTTTGACATTCTCATGTATTACCTCACCTCCTTCGTTGATATTGTGTTTAAAATTTTAGAGTTTGTCCTAAAAATCAATAGATTGATACGTTTTCATCTCCTCCAGAACGTTGGTCCTCGTCTCCATCACAATGTATTTAATTATCAGAATTGTTCTATGATCTTGGATCCATAAAATATAATTTAATATTTATATATATAGAAATTTAGATAAGAATAAGCTTTCAATTTTCTTCAATCCCATAACGATTCAAAATTGCATGATTATTATGATTTACTATTCTGATTATGCAATCAATTTAATAATCAATCAAAACCCTTTAAAATCAGTTCCAATTCCTTCTCTTCATCTCAAAACTCATTCAAACTTTAAGAGGTTCAGATACAATGGCATCTTAAATTGATGAGCACAATATAGAATTCTTCTTACTTTTTTTGATTTTCATATGTTTATTTTAATCAAACTATTAATATTATAGTATAAATTAATTATATATTTTACAATGCTAATTTAAATTTATTAATAATCACAAAATTAACTAATATTGCTGTTCTTATATATTTCTTAATTGTAAATTTCAGTTTTCTAGCAATTATATTGTTTCATATTAGAATAATTTGGCTAATAAATTTATTTCTCTGAAATTCTCAAAAAATGTTAATAAGGAATTATTAATTTTTTAAATGGAGCGAACAGAAATCCTCTTAAGAGGGGTTTCTCAAAAAAGTCATAGCCATTTTCTACATTCTCCCATAAGTATAGGTGATTTACTTATAAAACATTAAAGTTAATATAATGATGAATTAAAGATTTAATTATTTAAAGATATATAAAATATAATCATTCTCTTGTATAAATGATAGTATTAAAAGTTCAGAGCCAAGTGAAGTTATCTCGCCAGGATTTTTTGTGTGTTCTTTTGTCTTGAAAGTTTTCTATAATAGTTTTAGAATGAAGGGATTGAATTATAACAATCTGATTGTAAGACGACCTTATTTCAATATTCTCCAAGGGCTCATCAATTACGGTGTCATCAAGAGTTTATTTTTGTAATTCACTCAAAGGATTCGAAAAGTAGCATTTTTAGTTTATAAGAAATCGATCCATTAATATAATTTAATTAGTTGATACAATCAAATTAGAGAATTTAAAAATCTAAATAATCACACTTAAGTTTCGTAGAATCTTCTTCGATAATGATCTATCTTGACATGTGTAAATGTCTAGTTATAATGAAAAATCCAGTTTAAATATATAAATAAGAAATGCCTAATTAAATTAATAATAAATTATTATTCATGGAATTTCATTCAAAGATTTTGGAGGGGCAGTCAAATAAATTATTAATTGGGTAATTCATTTAAGTAATATAAACAATCGATAATTTGAGGATAAACTTTGTCGAATCTATTTTGAATATGAATTATTGAATCCATTAAATACTCTGATGGATGACCTTTCCGTAAAACAATCATTGTCCGAATTTCTAAATAAAATTCAAGATGTAAGTAGAGGAATTATTTAGATTACAAGTTTAATCAATTTTGGCTTGAAACCTGTAGGCCTATATTTTAAAGGCGAATTACCTGAGTATTGCAGGAACAATAGCATATTAAAAAAGATTTGTAACATTTTTAATATTGAAACCTTGTTATTATATTCTCAAAATTAAAAATTGGCATTCTCCTCAAAGGTATTTCGATTTTAAATTAAAAGAACATCACCACCACCGCGGCTATTGTGAAAATAATAGACTAATTTGACCTCAGAAGAATTAAATTATAAACAAGTCTTAGATTCAATCTTGGATAATAGATAGATGTTCAGAGCGCATTAGAGAAGGTGCGTANTTCTTATATATTTCTTAATTGTAAATTTCAGTTTTCTAGCAATTATATTGTTTCATATTAGAATAATTTGGCTAATAAATTTATTTCTCTGAAATTCTCAAAAAATGTTAATAAGGAATTATTAATTTTTTAAATGGAGCGAACAGAAATCCTCTTAAGAGGGGTTTCTCAAAAAAGTCATAGCCATTTTCTACATTCTCCCATAAGTATAGGTGATTTACTTATAAAACATTAAAGTTAATATAATGATGAATTAAAGATTTAATTATTTAAAGATATATAAAATATAATCATTCTCTTGTATAAATGATAGTATTAAAAGTTCAGAGCCAAGTGAAGTTATCTCGCCAGGATTTTTTGTGTGTTCTTTTGTCTTGAAAGTTTTCTATAATAGTTTTAGAATGAAGGGATTGAATTATAACAATCTGATTGTAAGACGACCTTATTTCAATATTCTCCAAGGGCTCATCAATTACGGTGTCATCAAGAGTTTATTTTTGTAATTCACTCAAAGGATTCGAAAAGTAGCATTTTTAGTTTATAAGAAATCGATCCATTAATATAATTTAATTAGTTGATACAATCAAATTAGAGAATTTAAAAATCTAAATAATCACACTTAAGTTTCGTAGAATCTTCTTCGATAATGATCTATCTTGACATGTGTAAATGTCTAGTTATAATGAAAAATCCAGTTTAAATATATAAATAAGAAATGCCTAATTAAATTAATAATAAATTATTATTCATGGAATTTCATTCAAAGATTTTGGAGGGGCAGTCAAATAAATTATTAATTGGGTAATTCATTTAAGTAATATAAACAATCGATAATTTGAGGATAAACTTTGTCGAATCTATTTTGAATATGAATTATTGAATCCATTAAATACTCTGATGGATGACCTTTCCGTAAAACAATCATTGTCCGAATTTCTAAATAAAATTCAAGATGTAAGTAGAGGAATTATTTAGATTACAAGTTTAATCAATTTTGGCTTGAAACCTGTAGGCCTATATTTTAAAGGCGAATTACCTGAGTATTGCAGGAACAATAGCATATTAAAAAAGATTTGTAACATTTTTAATATTGAAACCTTGTTATTATATTCTCAAAATTAAAAATTGGCATTCTCCTCAAAGGTATTTCGATTTTAAATTAAAAGAACATCACCACCACCGCGGCTATTGTGAAAATAATAGACTAATTTGACCTCAGAAGAATTAAATTATAAACAAGTCTTAGATTCAATCTTGGATAATAGATAGATGTTCAGAGCGCATTAGAGAAGGTGCGTAAGAATTATGAGAACCTAAATCTCCTACACAATAATTAACTTTTGGTGTAATAGCAATAACTAAATGAAATTGCCAATTCGAAGGAGATCATTTTAAGCTATTTCAAACCATAGACACAATCAAGTGAATGCGTATAAAATGATTAAACTTTCATTCTTTAAGGGGATTTGAGCATCCTAATATTAGCTGATTCAAAAATTACGATATCAGATATAAAAAACGTAAGAATAACATCAATATTTAGTTAATTTTGAATGATATATTGGAATCAGTGAAAGTAAGATTATCATAAGAATTGAATCCCCCATGTTATCTTGCAAAAAGATTGTTAATAACATTCAAGTAGAATGATTTAGTATTGCAAAATTACATAGATCACGATTTTAATAAGGAGTAAGAAATCAATTATATAAACCAATATTTCCCAAATTAATAAATCGATTAGATAAAAATTCTAGAGAGTAAATAAAAAGTAAAGTTAGAATAACCAAAATAATAATACTAATAATAATAACAATAATAATAATAATAATAATAATAGTAATAAGAATAAATTAAAGAAATAATTCAAGAGAATTAAAAAGAAGCAGTTGGATAATAAAATTAATAATAGTAATAGCAAGATATAAAAGGGAAGGTGAAATAGGAATATATGATAATGTTGGCAATATTGGGAATACTGGTTGCAATATATTTGAATACATTATTTTGAATATTTTTGTGATATATGTAACTTCAATAATCAACATTTAATGTCATGGCTACTCCTTAAAGAATCCAATGACTAATATGTTCTTGAGTTCTTAGGTCAGCTTCGAAAACGAGACCGACTCCCATAGCATTACGTCTTGATTATGTAACATATACTGGTGTAGCTAAAGTGTCTAGAAAACATAAATTTAATAAAATTACCTTTCAACTTAAGTTTGTTAGCTTCAACAGGGATTACTTGAATAAGAGGCATCTCATAAATCAATTCTTTGGGATTTTATTTTTTAAGACAATTGTTTTCAACATCCCATCTTGCTCCTTCCAAATAAAGACCCTCAATATAGCATCCGAATTCCATTCTTTAAGTGATATCTTTGGCCTTGAATTTTTTGGTGACTTAAGTGTACAACCTACTTTTATCGAGAGCCCAAGTTTTAGCTCTGCAAGTAGTTTGAATCAAAGCAGTGAGATAACTTTCTGGAATATGAAGACCAGACAACCACATAACATAAGGTTCTTCCTTGCTTGCCCAGTATGAATATTATTAAACTCTTCTCTTGAAATGATTCATCCAAGATCCTAGCTTCTTTTCAGTTTGTGGTGCAAGTCTTCTCCACATTCCTGGTAAGAACCCATTGAACAGAGCTAGAGACAATTCATCTAGGTCATTACTCATACCAATTTCTCCCTTCAAGGCTCTCTTGAGATTAAATAATGACTCATTGATTTTGATGATTAGTTTGTTGAATCTTTCAAGTTCTTAGAACAAGACAACTTAAGTTGGGGAGATGATTTCTCCTGCTTCTTTTCTTAAAGCTATTACATCCCAGATGACAGGCAATTTAGATAAAACATCTTCACTCACATCATTAACATACTTATCTTTGTCAATGCCTCCTGAAACTGCCCCTCCAGATGCTCTTAATTACAAAAGATTATCCCAAATGGACTTTGCACTATTGGTGAAGTAAGTGATTTCTGCATTTGGATGTAAACCAAAGACTACAGGAGAGTTGATCAAAGGTAGATGATCAATCATTGTCTAAAATCCTTCATGGTTGAGTACTTTAGGTATTTCATATTTGAAGTCCTCACTTTATGCAAAGAGGAACTCTCTGTTCTTATCAAAGAGGAAATCTCCCATGTATTCATCCAAGTATGTGATCAACACTCTTCTATCGTAGGAATCTGTCACTCTACCTCCATACATGGCTTCTCCGATAAGATACTTAAGGGAATTCCAAGGGATTGTCTCATCTTTAGCATCATATGCCTTCTTCAAATACATGGATAATAGACTGCTACTAATGTTGAAATCTGATTCGTTGAAATCATAACTGACATTCCATCCAATTTTGCCATACTTTCTTCTGTCCAAAATGATTGAATGGAAGAAAGAGACCACATACACCAAAGTTTTGTAGGCTACATGAGGACAAGAGTTCAATGAGTTTTCATCTATCTTGCTCATGATAGCTTTCATGTTCAATTTCAAACCATCAGGTGGTTCTGTGACTACTTTCAGCGACTTTTATAAGATACCCAATGGGAATCTGTCTGTAGGTTAAGTTGTCAACCACAATCTAAAGTCTTTGTGTGGTTTCTGCATCAATTCCAAAGTCTTTTCTAAATAACTCTTAAGCCACCCTGTCAATAAATGACAATTGGCTAACATCAACCAATGTCCTCTTTGTGATGCAGCTTCGACAAATTGAGATGCTTCTTATTCACTACCTTATCCTAGAGATAGATTTCTGAATTTGGCTCCTGTGAATCCTTTAGAGTCTCCTAATTTCATAACATCTGGTAATGGATCAGCTCCTGGGGAGAGAATAAATACAATGGGTGATTTCTCATTGGATTAATCGAATATCTTTTCATAATTGATGATGGGTGGTTGCACATAATTGGAATTTCCATAGATATCTTGAATGTACTTTTTGACTCCGTTGATAACACGATCAGGTCTAAAGACTCTCAATAACAATAGGATTTAGAATGAGTTCAATTTAGTGTATCCTTCAGGCAAGGTTTCTAATTCAGGTCTTTCATGGTCGTACCATTTCTTCCACTCCTTGCCATGCTTTTCTAAATCATCTGCCAATAATCTATAGATATCAGCCAATTGCATCAATCTCATAATATCCTTCCAACCAGAATCAGGCACCCATTCATATGGTTTCTATCTCTAGACTTATTCAAGTGAGGTGTTTCCTTTCAAGAAGAAATCCAATTCCTCATGATTTAATAATTTCTCTCCATCTTAAATCATAATAGTCATTTAGAAGGCAAACATCAACTTATGGATTTCAAATATACCCAAACAAGTGTAATCATAAACATTACTTGTTAATTTGTCAATGATATTCCTCAATCTTGACTCCAAGATAGTGTCTTTTCTAGCATCTCTCAAAGATTGATTGAACACTTGCAAATAAGCACTTAGAGAATATTCGTACATTTCTGAGATCGAACTTAATGAACTCATGGCAAAGAACAGGATGGCTCCTCTCTTAGCCACAGTAGTATAACTTTATCTTGCTTGTTCAATTTCTTGACTTGTAATCTATCCATCATTGATTGCTTATTGAATTTCTTCTGACTTTGCCTTTGTTTGATCTAGGGTGTTAATCAATTACACATTATCCAACAAAGATCCTTAAGCTTCTGATAATCTTTGTAATAAGTCATCTTCTGCTTCCTTCAACTTTTTCTTGTTTTCACTCATGCTCTAGATAAGTTCTAATCTTTGTTTCTCCTTGTCTGGTCTTTCAAATGAGACAACCACGTTTAATAGTTGATCTCTCAATCCAGTTAAAGTGACTGTGTAATTAATAACCATGGTCTTTGACATAATCTCTGGAGTGTATTTTGGATTGGCCAATTTAGTTGTGAAATACAATCTAAAATCATCATTATAGTCAATAGTGTTCTCGCCCAATTTGATACTCTTCATGCCTGCCTTGATAATGAAGTTCTTTTCTAAAATTGGATCAATGGTTGGATCCAATTCTTCGTCGACATTCTCAAATAAAAAGGGTTTACCATATCTGATACAATTTTCTAAAGGTTTCAAAAACACACCTGCTCCTTCATTCAAATTCAGAACCTTGAAGGCTATGTCCTTCTCTTCCCTTTTCTTGATCCAATTCACAGCCTATAGTTGTGGATCAATACACAAAGGCCATCTTGATGCCCTGGTAGTGAGGATACCATTCTAAACTGATAATTCATCAGATGGCAATCCTTCAGAATTCCATTAAGATATTTCTACTGCACTACTCAACAATTCTTCGAATTTGAATTCTGGATTCATGGGCAATTCTTTCTCTTTGATGTCAACCATCCAATGATCGTAAAGCATTCTTCTTCTGAATGAATAATCGAATGGGCCCACGTAACTCAGAAAAGAACTGGCAATCAAACAATCTCCAATCAATTACTTAGTCATTTATGCCAATTTACCAGTGTCTTCTGTCCATCTTTTCTTCTCACCTCCCAAACCTTCAATCAATTTCTTTGCAGCATTCAATTTCTTTTCCATTTCTTATGCTTGAGCAGTCAATTCAGCTAATCTTGCAGCCTTTTAGTCACTTTGTACTTGTAACTCAGCCACTTCCTTTTACAAAGCCTCCAATTTAATAGCAGTGTTTCTCAAGTCTTCTTCAGTGGCCTCCTTTTACTTGGTCATGGCCTCCAAACGTGACTTAAGTGGTTCCACTTTCTTATACACATCATAGAAATTGACTGTAGCTGTTACCCATGTATAGAGACCACTTGCAGCTTTTGAAATCTTCAATATTTCATCTAAACGATTCTCTGGATCTCTCATGGCACTTCTAATTTTTTCAACCTAATTCCTTGTCACCTTTCCAATCTTATTACCATAATTCTACAACTATTCTAGCAATTTCATTGGATTATTCATCATCTATCTGGCAGCATTCCAGCCATCTCCTTCAATACCATCTATTGGTTTGAAGATGAGCAACATCGATGCAACTGCTCCAACTGGTTTAGGTGGGGAATTTAATGCTTTCAATTCAACCAACTCCTTTTAATCAATCTTATTAAGAGCATCCTTTGCAGACTCTAAAATAGGAATGGCCTCTTTAAGAATTTAATCAGCTTCCGCTTACTTTTGATTGATTTCCACACTGTCTACCTCCAACTTCTTCTTCTTTATCGAAGCCTCTTCATTATCCTTTGTGGCTATCTCCTTCTTGCCATTAATGGTTTTGAGCAAATCCTCAACTTCCTTGCTTTCACTTGTCACTTCCACTTTCTTGATTTCTAATTCCTCTTGCAAGACCTTCACTTAATCAGATGCCTCATCCAACTTCTGAACACCATTAGTGTATCTCACAATAAGATCCTAATATTTCTTTCTATTCACAGCCAATAATCGTTTGTAATTGGATAAGAAGTCCAAATAATTCTTGGGAGTACTGAAATTCTTTCTCCTCAATTGTAATTCGAAATCTCTTGAAAACATTTAGATGCTCTCATGAACTTTGGTGATATGCTGAATAATCTTGGGTCTGAATGTTTCCTCCTCTAAGTTCTCCTCCTTCAAATACTCAGTAGCCACACTGACCAAAGCCTCTTCAGGCCAAGGGAAGAACCAATTAATCTGAGTATTACTAACCAAGCCTGGGAAGTTACGACATCTAATTCTCAAAGTGTCTCCAGCTGGACTCATACACAAAACAATGTGCATGTTGTCTCTAATCTTTTCAAGGAAATAATTCCACAACTCATCCTTTGTTTCCAGAATTCCTTTTCTCTTTGCCTCATCTCTCACCTTGTCACTCATCTTCTTCTTGCCATCCTCATCGAAAAGAGCTGGCACCATTCCTATTGTAAGCATATTGTTAATCAACTCCAAGAAGCCTTCCTCCAAAACATGAGCATCAGTAAACAAGAAAATTGTCGGTTTCTATGTCAAAAGATCATACAAAGTCTTCAAGTCTTCTCTGAATTCCTTCTCCTTATATCCTCTTGTTAAAGTAATTTAGAAGATATCATAACTAGCAGTAAATGCACTCAATCTAGTCAAGGATTATTTACCACTACCACCGTAACCTACAAGTAAGGCATGTCCTAATGGGAATCTGATTATTCTGTGAATTTTAGTTAAGTGTTCCAAGGCATCTTTAAACAATACAAGATTCATCTCCTTGACTTCTTCATTATAATCTTACAACAAAGAGTTGAACTTCTAACCAACCTTTTCAAATCCCCCACAATCTTCATATAGTTTAGGATCGACCACATCTGGGTCAAGGGGATTAGCAGTTAGATAATCACCAAATAGCATGGGATCTTAGATTGCATAATCAATTGTATCACTAAAGTGCTCTCTAATCAAACTTGGAATTTTGTCTACAGTAATTAGGTCTCGATCCTAGTCATTAATCAGACGGTCCACAAAGACTCGAGTTACTTCATTTCTCCACAGTCTAATGAAGGACTCCTTTGTTTAGAACTTGTCAAGTGTGCTTCTACACAATCCCTCGTAGATTCTGCTTAGATCTCTCAAGTTGAAAATGTAATGGAACTTGACTGGAGTACGAGGCAATTGGACTACAATGGCATTGTAAATTTGTAAGGTGGCTTAGGTAATTTTAGCAACAGTGGATGACACTTCTTCAGGGAATCCTTATAGATGTGATTTCAGAATAGAGTTGTAAATTCTCTCTAAGTTTTCATTGGATGGGAAGAGTAATTGATAACAATTGAACAAACTCAAGAATCTTGGATCAAGTGGATTGGCACCAACATTCGGTGGTAGAACTGCAGCCACAAATTGGGTGTCTTTGATAATCTTTTGATCCAGGTTTTGACCTCGTTCATAGCAGAATCCTTTTTCAATCAAGAATTTCAACCAAGCAATAGGTTATTATGTACCATAGATATCAACTTTAGGCATATGGATATCATCAATGAATATGATGAGTTTTTTACCTGCAATCTTGGGACCAAAAATACGACCAGATCTCTTATCAATATTTTCATCTAAAGCAGTTTACACATCTATTGATTTAGTTCTGGATGAGAAGTTGATATTCAATTTCATGTAGTTTTCAGATGGCAAAGAATTCAAATAATTTGTGATAATGACTGATTTGGCAGTACCACTATCTCCCACGAACATGCATGGTTATTTATGAGTGATATTCTATCCTAGAAGATATGAGAATCTCTTGGTATCCACAGTTGGAACCAGGATTTTTGAGAACTTCCCATCAGGAGGTGGTTAATACTCAGTCACCTTCTTTTCCCAAGCAACCCAAGCCTTATTGTCCTGAGTATAATCGAAGAAGAGATCAAACAATGAGCCAGGAGGAATGTGTCTTTATGCAACTCTTCTTAATACTTCTTCGAACTTCTTACGAGCATCAAACTTTAAGCATGCACCAAGTGACCACACTATTGCGAAGATGTAGGCTAATTCTAGATTTTCTTATTCAAATTATGGATCTTCTTCATTAATAATTGTGTCTAACATTTTGGTCAATTAAGTGATGCAATTTAAATTTGTTCTGGGAATGGAAAATTCTAAAACATGACCTTATTCTTCTCCATCAATACCCTCAAATATCAGATTCATCAAAGGAGGTATATATTTAGAATAAAACTCTTCCAAGTTTTATTTCAAACCTTCTGCTTTATCTCCTTTCTTTTACCATTTTGATAACCATTTATCATAGAATGGTTTGAATCCTAGATTTTTTGGATCCACGTAGACCATACCACATCTACTAATAGTAGCAGGTGATGCATATTAAAGATCGAACACTTCGAATAACAATTTACAAAATCTCTCCAGACGAATACGATCTCCATTGATAAGAGTTAATAATTTGTTATCATCCATGACAGAATTCATATTTTCAACCCAAACTGCATCAACATCACCATCCAATAGAATCCATCTCTAATGCACTTCTTGTTAACCAGATGGCTTTTCATTAGCGATTCTGAAAATCTTACTCAAAATTCCATCCTTCCATTCTCTGGTTGTCATTTCCATGACACCATATAATTCATTAACTGTGATTGATTTAGGATTGATGCAATAATAAGTAGCACTTTCCACTCTTTTCAAGATTTCAATAACAGCTGATTTTCCAGATCCAGTTGGTCCAACAACCATTGTTGTGTGTCTAGTCAACATGGTTTCATACAATTGAACCACTTTGTCAATTTAATCATCCAAAGGTCGATATCCTAATTGTTCAACAATCTCCTAGATTTTATCCTTCTTCTCATATGGTTTTCTCTTAACATCGATTTTAGGGAATAAATCTGTGATCAATCCTTAAAACAAGGGAACATCCTCAAAAATGAATTTAGGCATATTCATATCTCTAAGTGCTCTCATCAAAACAGTATCTTCAGGTAGATCAGATGCCTCTCTTTTCAGAGAACCTGCCATGACCAACACACTCTTCAAAGCTCTCAAACCGAAATCATAATGGTATTGTTTACTCAATTACTCACTACCCAACTTGTAAAGCACTGTCATCTTTTTGGCTAGAACTCTGGCCGAATTGAATCCCTAACTCATCAACATGATTTCGCAAATGATATTTGAATCTGGAACAACCATAACAACTGGTCTAAATAGAGCCTTTAAGTTATCAGGCAATTCAGTTCTACCAGCATATCCTGGATTCATAGTCACGAATATTCCTACTGTTGTTTTGACTTGGACTTCCTTCTTTAACAATTCAATGGTCTTCTTCTCTTAAACCAATGCTTACTGTATTGTCTTGATCTAAACACTCACAACACTCAGCACTTCAGCTGTAATTCTATTGAATTCATCAAAACATCCCCAAAATCCTGTCTGAACCAGACCACTAAAGATAACTCCCATTGCTTTGTAATCTAAACCTTCACCACAATTTGTCACGCAACATCTTATGGCTAATGACTTTGCAAGATCCTTAACAGTTTCTGTCTTACCAGTACCTGCAGGTCCAGCAGGTGCACCTCCCAATTTGAATGTCAATGCAGTTGTCAATGTCATAACACATCTATCAGTCAAAGGAGTAATAACTAGTCTTCCATTCAATCCTTGATATTCGTATCCATAAGTGAAAGTACCTGTACATTGTCTAATTCTTATGTCATTCTCTTCCAATACCCAATAAAATCTTAATTGGGATTCCCATTCAAATTCCTTAGCATCCAATATTGAATCTTTCACAAAGAAGTCGACAATGTCTCTGGCATGAACATCAACAATAATTAAAGTATTGATCTTAATACGATCGATCATTTTGAGATCTGTTCTGACCAAATCAATTAAATCATCGAGGTCCTTCGTTTGCTTCTTTAACTCATCTTTCATGGCGTACTTATTACCCTCCTTAACCTTTCTAAACACATCTTCTACTCTCCATGTCCACCAAACTTATGTGCCTGCAATGGATATCATACCAATTTGACTCAGAATCCAAGGCACTCTCTCTTTGTTAGCATAATGGAATGTAGCCTCCTTTGTCATCTTCTTCAGTGTTGACTGCATTTCCTCATCAACTCTTGTCATCCATAATTCGACTGGGCCATCAGTTTTTTATGGTTCTTTATAAGAAAACTCCTCAGATTCATCAGATGCCATACCAATGACCATTTTATTTCTAGAAAGCAACATTTCTCTACAATTATCAAACAATTTCAATGTGTGTGGTTAGACAGCTGATACATCACTTGATCCCAAAATCGATAACAAATCATCATCTGACAAGAAATAAAACCTTGGGAACACATTCCTCTTTGTATCTAAATAGTCTGATAAGGACTTCTATCTCTTATCCAATTAATCAGACAATGCTTTCAATTCACTGAGTCTACCATCATTGACAACACAACTTGCATAGATATTTGGGTTCTTTGCAGTTTGCTCCATTATCTTTTTATATGCTTTATCGTTTTAATCAAACTTCTTTGAATCTTCTCTCAATTATTGTCTGATATCCTCGGATCCCATAAAAATACCTTCTAAATCCTGCCATTTCTTCTAGACCTACAGCCAAACATCAATCACTTCACTTATTCTATTTAATGCTTACTCCCAATGTCTGATACGTGAAATGAAGGCGGCAACATACTTACTACTTGACACTGTCTATAAATTGGCCAATTGATCTTCCAACAACTATTTAATCTCATCAACTGTCTTTATGACTTAATACCCTTTCTTATCTTTGTCAATTATAAAGCTTGCAGTCTTCCAAGCCTATTCAATTTTGCTGATTTCCTCTTCATTCTTATGTTCTTGATTGGCTTCTGTGCAAATTTCAGTAACCTTCTCTGGGAATCTTGCCAAATTCAAAGCAAACACTTATTCTAAAGTCATACTCTTGATGGAAGTCTCGAATTTAACTCCAGTTTCCTTCATCAACTTCTCCCAATGTCTGTCTGTAATAGCTCCACTCTTCAATTATTAAATCAGAGGAATTGAATCTTTGAAATCAGTAATCTTCTTTGCTAATTTCTCATACACAGTATTCTTCTCATATTGTTTTGCCAACTTCTTCTTTTGTTTGTCAAAGTTATCAGCTCCATTCTTCAGTAAATCGGCATCTAACTTAACCCAAAGCATGACTGACCACTCTTGAATCTAATTTTTCACTGTTCTATAGCAATCATACAAAACAGATAGAACCTTATTCTCCTCTTCAATTGCAACCAATTCAGGGAATGAAGAGATGGGTAAGTTGAATAGCTTCTCTGCCTTGACCAATTCTTCCCTCCTTGCATTCAACTCAGAAACAACTGTCTTGTATTCTTGTAGAGATTCCAAACCTTTGTCCAAGGAAGTACTATCAGCACCTGGACCACTTGCCTTAAAATCTTTATAGAGTAATTTAATGTTTTCCTTAAATTGCTCTACTTCTTTTTTTGTCACTTCAGCAAATTCCTTTTTCTTTTCAACTAATTTGGAATCCTTCTTCTTTGCATGATTAACCAATTCATTCCATCTATCATTCAATGAAAATGCCTCTTCCAACTTCTCCTACTCTACATTTTGCTAATACATTTTCAGAGTTCTAAACCTTTCGGTTACATCACCCATCTTAAATTCCATATTCATGGTCATGTTCTTGATCTCCTAAATTAAATTCAAAAGCTTCTTTAGATCTTCAATATCCTTTGGCTGCACCATCAGTTGTTCTCTATAATCATCAATCTCCTTTTTAATTGCTTCTAACTCTCTCATGCCCAGAGTCTTTAATACGATACCATGTTTATCCATCCAATCCTTAGCCTGAGCCTTGAAGCTTTCAATGACATTTCCAAAATACTCAGAAATAAAGAAGGCTTTTCTCTCTCTAGGGTACTCTTCGAAATCTTAAATCAAACCCTTGTACTAACTCATCTTTATTTCCAAGGACAGAGTCGTCGGGTTTTTGTCAATTATTTTCTCGACGGCATGCTTAGCCTTTTAATCCCACAGAGGCTTCTTTTTATCATCCTCCCACATCTCCTTAAAGTTATTCACTTTATCACTTGCCTTCTCCCTTATAATACCAATCTACATGGCAATACGAGTAATGATAGGATTCCTTATAATTTAGCTATAGAAAGTGTGATACTAGATTTCTTCGTTGGCACTTCGACTCTACTTCTTTTCACAGAAGATACAATATCCATCCATCCATCTCCAAAATCCTTGTGAGGCCTCTTTAATGCTTGTTGAAATCTTTTCCAAGACAGTAGTCACCTCAGGAATGGGAGGAATAGTATTCAATTGCGGATGATTATACTCTGCAGTGATTTAAAATAATGGCACTTATTTACCACTTGGTTGTTACAATAGATTTTTGAAGGTTAAGAATCCTCTCAGAGTCATTTTCACCAAAGCATTGTATATTCTTCTTTCCCAATAGTAATAATATTCCCTCATTCGAGGTTCCCCTTTTGATGAACTATTGAAAATTGATTCCTCAATATTCCTCAGGAAATTATCACCCACCAACTTGTATTTCTCCACCAATTCCTCTATTGTTTTATTTAGATGTTCTTCGAAGTAACTTTAGAATTCGTTCAATTAGGGCAAAGAGGCATTTTCCTTTCTTGTCTCAAAATCATACTCTCTTAAAATCTGAGCTTCTTCAATTGATTTCACTATGTCCTCAATCATTCCTGTAGATTTTCTCACTTTCTTCTTAATATCCCTGAATTCATTAATTGCTTTAAGGCAATTGTCAATGAAATCTGGAATGCCCAAAGATGCCAAATTCAAAGATTCATGTCCAGGTTCCAAGGCCCTGTTTAATTTCATGATCTTCTCTTTCAACAATTCCTTTTCAATTGGCTGTAAGGTGTGAACAGCCTCGTCGTATTCTCTCAACATAATCTACAATCTATCGATGTAACCATAGAATTCTTTCTCTAATTTTGAAATGTTGATGGTTGTCTAATTGATTTTATATCCCATTTTTTCAAGTTGCTTTGTTTCCTTAATTAAGGTCTTAAACTCATCTTAAAAGAACACTGTGTATCGACGATTCCAACTTCCTTCTTCCTTGGGTTGTTCATGTTTGGTTAAAATCCTATTTTTTTGATATTGCAAGGCTTTTTCTGTAATGGATTTCTCCCAACTTTCAAACTTATCCTTTTGGAATTGATCCAGCTTCTTCGCCAAGGTTCTGTATTCATTTTTGGCTTCATTATATTACGACCCCAAATTTTTGGGATTCTTACTCTCTTTGTTTTCTTGTTTGTCTTGTTCGTCCTTCTTTTCGATAAAGGTCTCTTCTCTTGTAATGAATTTAAGAACAGGTCTTTTGATTCTGTAAAATATCGATCTTGCCCAACTTATCGATCCTGCAACAGGCGGACGATTTTTGGATGATATCAAAGAAACATCAGTGGCCTACTGTCCCTTTTCAAATAGACCTTGATTCTGCTTTAACTCATTCTTATATTAGAACAACACTTCCTGATACTTCTTCTGTAAAGTTGTACTGATGTCCTCTAATGTGTCGATACTTTTGAAGTTTTACAACAAATCAAAAGCTCCTTCTGCAGATCTCAAGGATTTAAAGGTTTCATCGATTAAATCAATAGTTTTCCCAACGATTAACTTTTAATTCTCTTAGAATTTTTAATAGATGGTTTTCCATTGCCCAGCATTCTGCTTTTAGAAGAAATTGTAAGGACTATTGACAATGGGAGTAATCAATTATTTGACATCCTCTATCCTTTTATCAATTTCTTAAGCGTTTCCTGTGACCTTTTTCAAATTTGGTCCCAAAAACACTAGGAATTTTCTCACTGTATCGATTACCTTCCTCAACTCATCCAATCTGTTAGCCATATACTCGATTCTCTCTTGAATAGTTCTGACTGTGAAGTCCCAACGATCAAGGTTCTCTTCTTCAATGGCTAATTTAGTTTTGTGATAGAGATCCTTCCAAGACTTGAGAATTTCCGATCCCTGCATAATTAAATTGATGCTTGCTTCCAATTGTTGTTCATAGGGTAAGTCATCTCTCAGAGTGAATAATTAGGGGATTTTAATTTGGGATTCCACCTTATCGGCTATTTCCTCGGAAATCAATTGCAGCAGGTTCTACATCTTGTCTCCTTCTTTGTAATGGCGAGAGATGATCCAGACCATCTTGAGTCCATTCATGAGTGAAGGCAATGTCTCTTTGATTCCATTCAATCCATCCTAGTCAAGATTCTTGAATTGTCTTTCAAGAGTAGTTAGAAATTTAACGTTGTCTTTGGCTTCAGCCTGAGCCTTGGTTAACTCTGCAAATTGACCATTGAATTCCAAGACTGCTGACTGGTTGTCTTCTAAATAGGTTTGCAATCTCTATCTCACCTTGGCAACGATGGGGTTTTACTATGATAGGGTAATGAAGTGCACATACCAATTGTTAATACAAAGTACTCAAATTTGCCGATCTAGATCTCCACAACATGATATCGGCCAAGGCGGAATTCTTCTCTGTTTTTCGACTAGCCTCCTTCAATATGGTCTGTCGGATAGTTTGCGACCATTTTCCGATATATTCTTCGTACTTTTCCATAAGTTCATAATTCTTCACAGCAGTTTCATCATCGACTTAATCGACAACTTCTGGTAGCTCAATTGTGATGGTACCAGAAACCTATATGTTTGAGTAATATTGGTACCTGTTGGCTCGAATGCTCGATTTGGCTTGTGAACTTCTGGAGAGTGGTCCTCAATTCGACTTTGGATTCTAATGGGATGTACACTCTCTCTACTAGCAACTAGAGCATTTGCAGTTGCTTGATGTTTGTTGGTTTTGCACTTTAAAGTGCACTTTTTGAATTCATTAAAAATAATTATGATTAAGATATTTAATTCCGATTTGTTTAATAATTGCAGAGTATTATATTATAAAATAGATAATAATTCAATTCATCAGTTGCTGATAAATTATTATTTTGTTTAAGGAGTCTTAATTTCCGATAGTACAATTTGTAGTTTTGAATCTTCCTCTTCTTCGGAGGAGTGTTGATTTTGGAACTTAAAATAAGCTTCTGTTCTGATTTAATATTCTTGGTTGTATTTAAATTCGCAAGCCTCATTTATAAATTCTATAATCCTTTGTAAGGTGGTGGATGGCCTATTGGAATTATGATCTCCTTCACAGATGTCCAATTTCTTAGGCATCTAGCAATTCTCGTACAATTTAAGGGTGTATTGATAGGAAATGAGATTGTCAGATTTCCCTGCCACAAAAAAGAACTTTTTGTTAGGAATGACTTATTTCAACTTGTCAATTGGCTTAAGGAGATTGATGTCAAATTGGGCCTGATTCATTATTTTCCTCCTCAGTATTGGGATGGCAAGATATAATACGAAGGAGAAGACTCCAAATTGTCTGTTCCCAATGTCTTACAGCAATTATCGAAATTCAGAAAAAGCACTGTCGACGATGTAAGTTCTAATTTTGGAATTTTCAGTTAAGAGAAGTGCAGTAACTGCTCCCATACTGCGACCCCAGAGCATGAATTCGTCGACTTTCCCAAAATTATTCTCTATGTATTTCATCAATTCAATCACATCTTGACTCTCGTAAACTCCCATGGTAATGAAATCTCCCTTGGACATGCCACAAGCAGCAAAATCTAAAACACATAAATTTATATCCCATGAAGCCAAGACCTCAGCATACCTGATGCCTTCCAACCTGCAACTTGCATTTCCATGTAAGTAAATCATGCACCTATGGTTTTTTGATTTCGTCAAAAAATAACTAGCGTTCAATTGTATGTTTCTGGATTCAAATACAAAATCTACTCTTACTATCGCCTTAGTTTGAAGAAATCTTATTTTTGGTCCTTTTGTATATAGTAAATGCATGTTACCTAGATCACTGATCATATATTGTCTGCGAGGGGGCCTAATAATTTGACGACAATATGAATCAAAACAATTCATAATTATTATGATAGTTGAGAATGTTAAAAAAAGTAAATTCTCTTTCTCTCGAAAGAGTGAATCTGAAGAAACATGCAAACTGGAATAGTTCAAGAATAAACTGTAGGGTAAGGCATTTTAGCATGTGTAGGAGACGTACTGTAATTCCTCAAGAATACTAAACAAGATGATCAATCATTACAGGTGTTTTTGTAAAGACTAGGAATCACTTTGGAAGGGGATGAAGAGACCTACATTTTGGATATCAAAGAATATCACAACAAATACATAGAAGGAGACATTTTGGGCGAAGGTTGTATAGGATTGGTGAAGAGTGTGAAAAGGAGGAGTGATGGTTTTGAATTGGCTTGCAAAACAGTGAAGACTGACTCGGAGGAAATAGTAAAGAAAGTAAAAGTTCAGTTGTATTCTGAAGATGATTATGGAGTTTAAAAACCTAAGGAGATTGAATCACCCTCACATCGTGTCGATGAAAGAGATTTATATTTAATGGTTTGAAGGATTCCAATCAACCGGAATGGTGTGTGTGATCATGGAGAAAATTGAGGGCCGAGAGATGTTTGAGGTTATTTAATAATAAAAACAATATAGTGGTATTATTTTAACTAAGAAAGAGACCATTGCTCGAGTGCTATTCATATAGATTTTAGAAGCCATCAAATATATGCATGAAAACTATTGTTGTCATCGAGATTTGAAGCCCAATAACATCTTATGCGCTCATGATGGCAAATCCATAAAAATTACCGATTTTAATGTATAAAACTTAACAAAACCCTAGGTGTCGAAGTTTAATGACAGATACAAAGAGTTTGGAGACCTCAACCAACATGGCAAAATTGAAATGTGGACATACACTGGCACTGTTGCATTCTCAGCTCCTGAGATATTTTCAGGAAATCTTTACAAGTAACCAAACTTATGTAATTAGTGAATAAGTTGATTTATGGAGTGCAGGTGTCATATTGTATGTTATGCTCAGTGGAGAATTGCCCTTCAATTAAGAATATCTAAATGATCTAATCGAATAGATTCGACAATGCAAATACGAATTCACAGGAATCATCTGGGATCAGATATCCCAATCCGCCAAGGATCTCATTACCAACCTCTTGTAATTGGATCCTGAAAAAAGATTCACTCCAGAATAGGCTCTAAATCACCCTTGGATCACTCATGAATAAAGCAATTCAGATATCCCAAGGTATTAATTATAAAAAAACATGGCGCGAATCTTGAGAGTCAAAAATATTAATCAAGAATCGAAAATCAAATAAATTTGCTACCTTTTCGGAGCTGGAGACATTTGGAAGAGACACTCCCTTGGCTAGGATACCAATCTAGATCTATACGACAATCTTAAAAAATATAGATCCATAGATATATCTGATAGTTGGAAAAACGCTGAAATCAAAGTAACTAAAGACACCAATAAAAAGGGTGTCTATACTATAGATTATCCCTTTAGTGATTCTGATTGAATGTTAAATAATTTAGTAATAGTTTTGTGAAATAAATATTCTAATTCCTATTTCATATATTGATAAATATAAAATTATCTAAGTTTTTATAAAAACAATCATAAAACTTTAGTTAGCATTCATGAAAAACCTTTAACCTCTGATTTCTAATTGATCTCCTTCAATTCAATCTAATCTTCGCTATTATTGCCAGGTTCATTCAGAAGTGGATCTTAATGATCTGTTTATTAATTGCCATTCATCATTGACGATACAATTTCATCATAAGTGATAATCTTCTATCCCCATTATTTATATTAATAGTAAATACCAAAACAGGCCAAAATTATTATGCAAGTAAAATAAATGTAATATCGATAATCTGAATTTCCAGAGATGCTCTTAATCTCTGAAGGAAACCCTCCAGCTATTAATCCAATTGCCTTAAACACTAGATATGACTATTTATAAATATATTCATACTCCTAAAAAGCTGGTGCTAAAAATGATTAAATGATCGAACAATCTAAAGGATAACACACTAAACCCAAAACTTAAAATTACTATTATCGAATATAGTATGTATTCTGAAGTTACAAACTTAACCAACAATGCATTCCACAGCAATAAAGACAAGACCACTCCCAATCCAATACCTACTGCAACTATTCCAGCCTTGTCTAAATGCATTGACAATCCTCCCACGAATGCTCCAAGTAGTACTGCAATTATCATTGCTATCCATAAATAAAATGGATTGTCTCCTATGTCTAGTTCGCTTGATATATATAGGGCAAAGAAAAAGCCCATTAAATATCCAAATATAAATAGTGTTGGCTTTAAGATTTTCTTACCCATTAAGCATTCTGTTAACCCTATTACTATCAAAATTGCTGACAGAAATTTATTATTGTCTTGCAAGAACTCTACTATTTTAGAAAATAAAACTAGATGGCAACCATTGTCTGCTTCCATTTCAATTTAGTATAATTATTTTTCTTTCTCATATGAGATGTCCAATATCTCAAGGTCTTCTTACTACTCTGAACAATAGAGCACATACTTTACTGCAAAACCATTTAAAGTGCTGATTACATCATAAATAATTCAGTACTTGTTGAATTCAGCATGGACACCCTCATTTGGTTCTTCTTCATTGATGAGTTCAAAGGAATCTGCAAAGTATGAATCTGTATTAACCAAGGAAATGCATTATTATTCTGATTTTCCTTCATTGTTTATTATTACAGCAAATGTAGTCACTGCTAATTCTGGACATTTTAAGATTGGTTGACAAAATCGAAAGTACAATGTGCTTGTTTCTAAGTCATCAATCAAATACTATACCGTTTAGAATTTATTTATATTCCTTAGTTTGCAAATCATCAAATATGTAAATAGCATCAGAATTTATTACTTTTTTACATTTGCTACCATTAATTGTTATTAGCAAGCATCCCAAGATTAGTATAAAATATTTATATTTCATTATTATTAAATGAAATTGATTAGAAATTATCAAAACACAATTCTTAGTTTATAACAATATAAAAAGTACATAATTATTCAATTAGTTAATAATGAGGTTTAATGTAATGAATTATCATTATATTATATTCTTAATGAACAAATTCCTAAAACTACTTGATGTAGATTACATTGCAATATATTGAAATTATTCATTATAATCATAGCTTGCAAATTTATAAGAATAATGTGATAGATCATTACTATTCTGGTAACTTTAAAATATCAAAGAAAATTTATCAAATAAATTGATTTAATTTAATATTTGTATTATTCTACCCTAATTATGTATGTGAAGTCAAGATAGACTCTCTTTTTTTAGAACTTAAATTTTATATTAAATACTAATAATAGTTGTATCATAGTATTTTAATTACGTTATGATAAAAATAAATGTTTAGGATCTTGGGTATTATAGGAAATCAATCCAATTTAATATGAAATAATTTTAATAGTTAGAAAAAGTAATCAAGATTAATTTCTAAATTGTTCTCCTCAATATAATTCAAAATTGGATGTATTTTTTTTAACACTTTTTCATTTATATTTAAGTTGATATATGAAATCGATATCAAACCATCTCGATCAGAATCTAATTATTTAAATACCTTTTCAACAAATTTTATGTTGTTTGTAACTTCGCTTTCCTTAGTATTTGATTTAGCATTTTTGTTATTTAATTTTATCAGTTTGTTACAAATTAAATTTGCTAGGATCTGATCTTGTTTATCTACTTTCTTCTTAACTAACTTGAATGTTTGATCTTTTCGAATCAAGGGTTTGAAATATGATTGGTTTGTAACTTTATCGTTTTAAGCCGATTCTTATTCCAATCGTCTTTATTGCAACTTCAAATTCTGATCTGTCTTTTCTTAAATAAGTTTTTCAGCATGCTGGATTTGTTCTTAAAATGAAGGTTTTTTGGCATGAGTAATTCCATTATTTGGATGAAATGGATAAATTTAACTCATAACTCTTTATCTTAACATTTGCTTTTTTGCATCCAGCAATTTAGCATCTTAATATAATTTCGAATGGATAGGTTATGCAGAAATGCCTCTCTTTTTAACTATCAAACGAGATATGCTATTGATTCTTGGGATTGCGTAATTCATTCGTTTTTATTCTTGATCTTATTCTTGCAAAGCTGTATTCAATCTTTTTTATTAATTACTAGCATCTACATATAACTACTCAAAAACATCCATCTCTTTTATTATTACAATTGATACCTGTTTTATTTCTGTATAATTTTTACACGAGTTGCTAAGTATTCAATGACAGAATAGAAGTATGACGAGTTTTTACCTGAAATACAAAAAAAATAATACTGGCACTTTTAGCTATCTTTTAATTTCTGCAATTATAAATTATTTTCCTTCTTATTTAATTTGATGTCTATCACAAAAAAATTAAGTCAATAATTCGATATCATCCCCCTCATAAATAAAAATCTATTCTATTTTATCCCCTACATCCAAACTTACAATCGCTTATAAATTAATCATAAGACAATAAAAATTATTTAAAATGTGGGAAAAAATTAATTCAATTAAAATTCTAATTTAAAATAATTCATTTGATTGGTCGAGGAATTCTAAATAGAATTAAAATCATAGCAATTCAATCGATTACTCAAACATCAAAATTCTTTTGAATCAATTAAATAAAATTTGATATCCTATTGCTATTCTCATATTAGATTGATTGTAGAAGATACTCAGACTAAACTTATTTATTTATTAATCAATTACCTAAGAATTCTACTAATTATAAGATAAGAATATATTTTATTTTAATTGCAATATAATTTAGATAAAAATATTAAAATTAATGTCCCTAAATAACTTCTTTAAAAAGAAATAGTAATTATAAAAAGAAAAGGAGGAGACTGAAAAGTATGACACATAATAAATATTGCAGACAATAGAAAAAAGTAGAATAAGAATAAAAGCGTAATATCCAATCAGTGAAACTGAAAGCAAGAGCCTCTGAAAGAATAGAAAATTTTCAGGAGACTATGTTATCCAAATAATTTGTTGAAACTATGAAAAATGGTTCCTATCCTTTATTGTCTGTAAGCAAACACTCATTTAGAGATCGCGAAAAGGAAAAAGAATTGGACAAATTGGGTGGTATTTATTTGAAAACGTAACATTTGCCTAAGATTTCATAGATTTTAAGTGGCTAAAGACAGAGCATCAACAGCTTAGAAGGAATTTTTTTAAAGTCACCTCTCAACAGGAGAATTCGAATAGAATCCTCCAAACAATAATTATCAAAGATGGCTACGGCCTCCTGACATATCGAAATAAGAAAAACCGTTGAGATTTGGTTTAGGGGAAAGGAGTGAAGTCTAAAGATTGAATAAGTAAATTAAGAATATAAGTGCATAATTGGATTTTGAAGTATTCATAGATTGTACCTTAGAACAAAGACCTTATTATGTTAAATTATCCTAGTTGGAAGGACGATGAAAAATCTAAATGGTTGGATAACAAAACCTTCAATATTTATCCTTGTCTCTATGAAGGGCCAAAGAGTTATATACCATGGAAACAACATCCGATCAATTTGAATAACCAAAATAATTAATATGTGGAGGGCTATGAGATTGTTGGGGATCTTTCGAGAAAAAGAGAAAAAAACTAAGAAGTATCATTTAGCATTAAGGGTTTAAGCATAAAAGAAGTGAATTTGTTCCCACAGTCAAAGAAGATTAGTTTGGAACTACTATTCACATCTCTAGATCCATAAGATCTATGAAATAGGATAAAATTTTAAATATGTAATCTAATTATGATGAATATTCCACAAATAAGCAAATTGAGTTCTATAAAACCACCTTATTATAAACTAAAAGTATAGATCACATCACTCCTCATCAACATAGCAATAAGTAATTTAATATACTAAAGTAGTTATAAAGGTCATTCTTTACATAACTTAAGACCATAATAACCGTATAAACTGTATAGGCAATCAATAAATTATCTAAATTAAAAAATAGTCTCTAAATAACCACCTGAATAGCTACAATAAAGTTCCTCTAAAATCTAGGAAGATTAAGCAATATAATAAAATCAAACTGCAGAATTGTTCTTGCCAAAACAAAAACTAGCCTAAATACAAGAAATTCCTCATGTGCAAATTTCGAGTTAGCAGTCCAATAAACCATTTAGTAGAGATACTTTAAACTCTTAAGGAGGATCTAAGAGTAGATTTATGGATTAATATAATTCAAAGCGATCTTAATAAGTTGAGATTAAATTAGGTTATCCTTACAGACTCGAGAATGATGAAACCACAGCTGAAATAATGGGAAAATATTTTATTGAAGAATAAAATTGATATATCCTAATTTATATTAAGTAAATATTCTCTAATTAATCATCTTCATACTTGGTTCTATTAGTTACCATTTCGATTCTTAGGTGAGTGAAGAGTGTGATATTCAATATCCTTAAATATTAAAACAAATAATATAAAATATATCTAAATTTAAATCAAATCTAAACTTATTTTTACATTATTATGAAAGATATCTTATTTGAATCACATAACCGCTATACTTTAGTTCATAATATACAAGCTTGCTATTATACTTAATAATCACAATAAAAAGTAACAATTCATGTATTGATAAATATATTGAAGTAAATTTGAAATTTGTTTACATTCTTAATAATTCAACCATTGTATGCTCTTTTTGGCAATCAAAGAATTCAAATGTTTTTATATAAATAATATTCTTATGATAATTTTATTCTAATAAGGAAATTTATTAAAATATATCACAAATAAATTATACTAACAGTATAATTTTAAATTAATTGATTTATTTAAAGTATATGAATAATCATAATTATAATGTTTTAAAGTATATAAATAGAAAAGAACATAATATATAGAAAATATATAATGCTCAATAGGTAGATTTGGGATTAAAAAAACAATTGTGATTTTGGTTGATATCTGCTCAAAAGTTTCTTGATTAATGATAGGTTCAAAGATATTTGAACTTCGTTTGAATGTAATGACTTTGACTTAAAATCCTTAAAGCTTATTCTGCTTTGGGATAGGCATGGTTTTGTTAAAATTTTTCATTTCAAATCAAATTTGGTTTGAGATTGCAAATTGGGATTATCTTAACATTTTGACAAATCGATGGAATACTGAGTGTTGGTACTTAGTTTCTTTCAATATCAAGATTTAAATTCTTCAGAATATAAAAGAATAGGCATTTTTTTAAAAAGAAAATGTAATATTTATTTTATATTAGTTAATATAATTGGCTTAGTTACTAAGTATTTTAGTGATCTATAGATTAAAAAAATTATTAAAAATAATGAAAACGAGGAATTCTTAGAGATAATCATAAAGAGAAGACTTGTCAGTGACTTGTTAAGAGGTATTAACTATAATTTCTCAAAAATTTCATACCTTATATATTAACCATTTTTAAGCCTTATTTTAGAATTTATCTATGAGTGAATTCCCCCTCCATAGCAGTGCGCAAACACCCAGAAAGAAAAGAGGACCAATATGTAAGAAACACAAATATGTACTTCTGTTATTTAAATAAAGACCACAATAAATTTGAAAAAACACAAATCCTCGAAATAATTTATCTGCTATGAAGACAGAGATTTAAATATTCCTGAAAAATACTAATCAATGTTATAAAAACATGTAAGAATTATATTTAAAAAATTAAAGAAAACAGATGATGATAGAGAGTCTGATTCAGAACAAATTAAACATGCCATCAACTACTTGTACAAAGATTTATTATAATGTATTGAAAGAGAAAAAAATTGAATTATATTAATTTTATAATGCTAAAAAAATACCTCTTACAAAGCAATTCGAAAGACTACTTCCAACAAAAAAGAGTACACACCAAAGATTCTGAACACACTCGACATTTTGAATAGCACGTAGATCTTAAATACTATAATAAAGAATTATGTGAAGAGAAGTATACAAACAGAAACAAAACCAGCATTAAAACCAATCGACATGGAAGAAACCAGAAAAGAGGAGCTGTCTAAGTTTCGTTCCATTTCACTTTATAATAAGAAATAAGTTAGAGTACCATCCTCAGCAGAGAAATGTCGCTCTAATGAGAAAATTAAAGTTTTTAATATTTTCAACAGCACTCCAAGAAATGTCAAGCCTAGTAGATCTCAATAAATGTTGAATGGATTCAAAGAAAAAGTAGTCTATTCATCTCATAGTCGAGTAAATAAACTATCACAAATTTTAGTAATAATCTGCTGCTAAACATCTAATCTCAAGTAGAATTAATGATTCCTAAGAATTATTACAGTAAGCGACTAAACCAAATATGATACCATTAAGAAGGTTTTTTAAAGATAATCAAGCCTAGTAGCAAAAAAATATTAAACTGGAATTAGAAAAACATAAAAATAACAATATTTTGGAATTATTACTCCTAACCACTGGAGAATTGAAGAAAAAATTTGAAGAAGAACAGAAGTAACGAGATAGCAATAGTAGATAAAACTCAGAAGAAAGAGTAAGGATTAAAGTGAGAAATAGCCATAAATTTCCTAAGGATTTTTTTCTATGATTATATTATTTAATTGATGCTCAATATTCTCAAAAAACTTTAAATTCAATGAGTTCAAGAGAGGATTTAGTAAGAGCTCAAGTTACATACTTATTTAGAGAACATTTGGTATAAATACTCACCAAGAAGAATAAATAATTTAATAGAGTTTTCCTTGATAAATAAAGCCATATGTAACCCTTGCTTATGACAACGCATATTTTTGAAATTTGAACAAATCTTAAAAGAACACTCAACTATCAGCGATAAATATGATTCAGAATTAATAATTTATCTTTTTTTGGAAGCAGGAATCAATATGTATCATTATCCCTTTTCAGCAATAATGTAAATTTTTTAGGAGGGATATTCAACTGTCTTGCAATTGCTTAATAAATAGGTTATTATGCTGCCGATTTTTGATATAAGATTTTGATTAAGTCCAAGCCAGCGCTAAAAAGTATTGTGTGGGTTATTGGGCATTGAAATAAAAATATAAATTGAAAAAGTTGAATCTATCTAAACCTCAAAGATTAATTAAATGATAAACCAAGATATTATATTGTTAATTCAGATTATTCAATTAGAAATTTTGTGATTATAGAAGGGTTTCTAAAGGAAAACCTACAATGAATAAGTGTTATTTGAATCAGATTGAATAAATATCTGTAAATGAATAAAAATGCATCTATTCATTTCTAAAGAATTACTCTCAATCTTCAAGATGAATAAATTGATTATTACATAGGTTCAACAAAAATTTAACTAAATTTCCTTTAATTTTTATAGAAAATTACATATCAAAGATAGTATATACCGAAAGATTAAAATAATTTTTACAAAGAAGTTAAGTTAAATATTTCTAGTGTCAAACAGAATTAATTCAGACAAGAATTGAAATTATAATTAAAAAGATTTATAAATTGCATTCCATAAACCATTGATAAAAGACCTATATTGATTAGGGAATTACTAACTGTGTCATTAATGGAAGATCATTTGAAAAAATTAAAAGAACAATTATTAGAGTCAATCATAAATATTGTTCTAAGTCAAAACAATAAAACTAATTCTTCGTAAAATAAATTATCTAGAATATTAAATAGAAGAAGAGTTAATTTACTGACTCAGCAAATTCTAAATTGCAACAGCCTTACAATTTAGCATCCTAATGAATATCTAAAATAATTTGCTTAAACTTTGATTAGATGTAATTTACTGGAGCTGAGTTTTAACTACTTTTATTGATCTTGTAATGAATAAATTTGAGGAAGCTGAATGTATATTTAATTCATATATTCAAAGGATATTAGGGCAGTAATTATATAAGTTGCTTAAGAATAGGTTATAGTATTTTGTAAAGGCTTATGATATTAAACATAATTAATCATTATTTTTTCTTTAATCTTGCTAATTATTGCATTAGTTATTCATTTTATTAAAGAAGATGAGCAGTAATTGTAATTTATTCAATGTTTGGTTTTTATGCTTCATCCTTTTCAGCTTCAAGTATTGAACATTTTTCGTTCAATTTTTCAATTTATTCTTTTTATTGCTTAATTTGCTCTTATAACTAAAGGATGACAGTTAAAAGGTTAGATTGATCTCCATCTATAGATTCAATTCCATCTTCAAAATGATTGACTTCTTTTTATTGCTGCATTTACCTATGTGATTTCGCAGATTTCATAGGAGTAAAGTATAAACTACGAGCACTCATTGGTTGTCGATGACTCTGATGACCATTTTATTTTTGGGTTGGCTTAGAAAAAAAGAAATCTGAATCTACTTATTCTGATTTTTGCTTAACAGAATTTCTTTCATAGCAATTATGTTCGATCTTCTAGACAACCTTTTCTATATTATGTTAATGTAACAAAATTGTCATAGAACTAATATTATATTATTTCATATTAAAATTAATTGAAATAATGAAAAACAATCACTTTATTAACAACTGTTTATTTAATTATGCCAAATTTAATAGGAAATGTAATAAGTGTCATGCTATCTCACAATTAAATATTGAGCTATACTCATGAAGGCTAAAAGGTTAAATATAATTTAATCAAAAGGATTTAGTAGTTTTTATTATTGTAAAATTAATTAATGGTACTTTAGAGAGTGCCGCCCAAGAGAGAAATGAGTATATTGTATTATTTAATTGAATTCAAGTAATATTTGAGATTTAAACGTATAATTTAATTATTAAATGGATTAAATTGGAGTAGATTAAAAAGAAGAAAAACGAAAGAACGATGAGATCTAGCATTTGTTCTTTCCCAACAAAAGAAACTTTCATATTTATGCTGAGTTGTTAAAGTCATGCCAAAAAAAGCTCATTGTAAGCATGTATCAGATTTCACATAAAATATTGGTCAACATTTTAATTGACCTTTCACTTAATGGGAGAGATATTTAAATTGTAACTAATTCCAGTAGTGATGATAAAAAAGCAAAGTCAATACTTTTGATGATGATTTAAAGTTCTTTGGAGAAGATAAAAATTGCTGTATACGAGAAAGAACTTTGTTTGATGCATTAAAAATATTGTGTGATAGACGACCAAATTATTATGACTGGTTCTGCAAATTGGACGAACAATGCGTTTCGTAAAAATGTGGAGAGTGTGGTTATTTTGAATAATATCAAAGAGGCTTAGCTCTATACTTGTGAATTCTGGAAGGTTTGGAGTCAGTCCCAAATCTTAAGATTAAAAGGGTAGAATCTCGACTTCTCTCCCTTTATTGATATAGAGTCGATGATCTTTATGGAGAGGAGGAGATAGAAGAACAAATTCAATAAGATAATTGATTTGGAGAATAGTCATCAGCAGGAGGAGGGAGATAAGGATGAGGAGGTCAAGGAGTAATCTGATGAAAGTGTGCAGTGTTGTCAAAGTCAGAAGATTACGAAGATAGACAGCAATCTTAAAAGGAAAAGAATAAGAAAAAGCAATTTATAGTAATAGAGACATGATTTATAACATAATGAGTTTCACGAGGGAAATCTAGTAATTTAAATAGATGCTCTTGATAAATAAAATGTAGATTAAATTGATGAATTTGAAATTATGCTTTGATTATTAATTATATTAAAAATAAATATTTTAAATGTCAAATTAAGAAATAAATGAATTAAATGCTTTGTAAGTGTTGGATTATGATATATTTGGCAAATGCAATGATTTGATGGTATGTAAAAATTCATTAATTTAAGTCTTTTATCAAAACAACACAACCTATTTTCAGTAACGATCCTTAAATTAAAGTAAAAATTGGAGCGGTGGCAAAATTAATTAATATGCTTCTCAAATTATTAAAGGACTCCGATAGCTCACTCTTATCAAATCAACAAGAGTATCACGACATCCTATACATAATCAATAATAACTTATAATAGAAAATAAAGCAATATGAAGATAAAATAAAACAGATGAGTACTAGCGATGCTTAGTCCAACAATGATAAAATCAAATTGAATTAAGAGATTTAAAAATTGAATTATGATGTACAAGCAAAAGCAAATGAAATTGTCAAATTAAAATAAGAGGTAACATTAATATTTATTTTAGATAAAAGCGCTTAAACATACATGTTAAAATCAAGAAAATTTGGAGGATGAAACTTTAAATAAGATGAAAAATGAGATAGATAGCTTGAGTTAGGGTTCTTATGACTTATAAAATGAGGTCAAATTACTAAAAATGCAACTAAAATAAAAGGAAGAAAAAATACAGGATCAAGAAGGAAAAATAAACTAATAGATGAAGGAAATCAATAAATTCAAAAATGATTAATCTCAAGATAGAAAAAACGATATCTTTTTAGAATAACAAAAAATATTCGATGAAAATACTGCACTAAATGATCGGATTTAACAACTTGAGAATGAAAGACTTTTAAAGTAAGTAATAAATCAACAAGCTAATAATCCAATTCAGCAAGAATAAGATGTATTTCATGAAAAATAGGTCCAGGAATTAAATGAAATATAGGAGAAAATCTTTGGTCTTCTGAATAGTTTGTCAAAATATGGAATTATCCTAAGTGTTTCTTTTGGAGCATTTGTATTGATATAATTTCTTAAGTGAATAATAATAATTATTATCTTTGTTGCATTCATTTATAATTAAATTTGTTGCATATCCTTCTATCTACCTTCTAATGATACCAAAAATAATACTTGTCTCATCATATATTGTATATGAGACTGAATATATAGTATAAATTAATTTATAATCTAATAATCAAGATGGTAACTTATAACAATTATATACGATAGCAACCAATCAATGATATTAATGTTGATGAAGTATTAAGAGGATTATCGTCTGTAGAAGGAGCCAATGGTTATGTAATATTTAATTCAGACTGTAATTAGAGAAGAGTTATATTATTTAGGTATTCCACTGAAAAGATCAGAAAAAAATATCACCTACGAAAAAGCAGTTCATATGTCTGCCTTAGTTGCTGATTTATGGAATGTCACTAAGAAATGCATCCAAAGGGAATTGCGAAGTGCTGATGTATTAATTATTGACATCAATTAGAATGATCTTGAGATAATTAGAATTAGGACAAAGGCTCAATCTGAATATATTATTTCTTAATGTAATTTTGATACGTATGAAACACTAAGAGGGGGATTATACTATGATAGGGATACAGTTATGTGGGAAAGCAATTGAGGAAGCTAAATAAGCAGCAGCTGCTGAGGCTCAGGCTGCAGCTGAAGCAGAAAAGGCAAAAAAGGGAGATAAGGAACAAAGTTGATTTCAGCAATTAATTATATAATAAAAGTATATTTATAATAAATGGCATTTGACAAAGCAATTGTCACGAAATTCACAACACTTGGAGTCGTAGGAATCACATTGGGACTAGCAGTCTGGGGATTCTTCACTGATCTTTGCCCTGGTTCAACATGTGTGGATCATGTAATAAATAACATCTTTATTTGCTTTAATTTGGTGTAAGAACATTTCGAAATATTCAGCATACTTTCAATGGTTTTGTTGCCATCTGAATTTTAAGTCAAATGGATAAAAGATGGGTTTGGATTGATAGACAATTTATTTGGCAGAGGTCTCTATATTTTCTTGTAATTTAATTTACTAATGCTAGCATTGGATCATGGGTCTTTGGTTTACATTCCAGATATGTTGACTAAGGAATTAAAACTTATGCCTTTGTTGTTTCAATTATAGATTTATGTGTTGGCGTACTTTACGTGATATTTTATTTTGCAGTATTTATCCATTCTATATTCATAAGTTTGGAGAACCAGCATAACCAAAATGAATTAGTATATTTCATTTTATTAAATATTAATCATTTCTTGTTCATATACCCAAAAAATCACTAAAATGTGGATTATTTTACGAATATTTATAACTTAAAACCTTATTTTATTTGTTTGTAAAATGTTGTAATTAAAATAAATTATGAAGTTAATCACATTGATTTTTATTTAAATCTATTTTTAATCAAAGTTAACACATATATACTAAAATATAGAATCTGTGCCATGCTGTTTTCCTTGAAATCGATGCTGCACGAAATAATTAATCCAATTAGAATTCTTGTGTATTTATTGTTCATCTCAAAGATGATATAATAAATGAGTAAACTCTAAAGGATGTAAATTATAAAAAGTGATTTCTACATCATAAAAATCCCAACTAGAAAGGAAGTTATAAGAGATCCCTTATCGGTGATTATAAACTATAGAATTGGTAATAGTATAGCTAATTTGGATAAAATACCCTCGCAAGTCAATAAAGAGTAAATAAATATTATTCCAGGGATCAAGGAAGCCATTTAAGCATGTTTGAGATTATACTAAAAATATATTCCACATTTCCATGATACATCCACCAATAAGTAAATAGAGATTAACAATCCTACATAATTAAGCAAACCGGATAATTTCATTATTACCACGATTGAAAATGGAAATACAATTGCAAAAGCAATTATACATAATCTAATAATCATGCTTAATATAAAATTCAGGATCGCATTATATGTGAGTAACTAAGGCAAAAACCCAAATTGCATACTAATTTGAATTGGTTTTAAAATGAATGAGCATTTAATTTATTTTAGGACTATTTAAAATTAATAAGTTTACTTGGTATGAATGAGGACATAATAGTCAGTACTGTTTTAACTATCTATATCTAAGAGCAATATTCATCGATGTAATGATGTAGAATGTACAAAACAAATAAATCGAATAAAGCAAATAGGAATGTAAATATATTTTATAACATTAATTATTGCATTATAGAATTTGTATTTCATTTAATCGATTTCTTAATTATATGCTTTAGTATTGAGTACTCTAATTGAATTAGTCTTAGTAATGATAATCAATTTCAAATACTTGATATTTCTGTATATTATATAGTGAAACTAGAATATGCATTCAAAATTGCTCAGATCTTTTGCAGACGTATGTAGGTTTACTAGAAATGGTTAGTTACCTTAAGATATAAATATTTCTTAATTTAGTGTGTATAATTAAATTATAAGAAATATTCTCGAAAAAATGAAAAGAAAGGTTAGGGAATATGATGAAAATGAATTCTCAAAAGCTGATTTGAAAATCATTCTTCTTGGCGATTCAGCAGTTGGAAAATCGAAATTGGTAGAGAGATTTCTATTAGATGATTATGAGGAAAGATAGTAATCTACATATGCATTGACAATGTATAGACATAATGCAAAGTTTGAAGGGAAAACGTATAAAATTGGTATTGAGTATAAGTTAATGAAAATAGATTTATGGGATACAGCTGGATAGGAATGTTTCTAGACTTTGCATGCCTCGTATTATTATGGTGCTCATGCTTGTATTTTGGTAATTTGTATATTTTTCATAAGTGCTTTGATGTCACAAGGAAGATTACTTATACAAATCTAAAGAAATGGTATGAAGAAATGAGATAAAATTGTCCCACAATTCCTTGTTTATTGGTTGCCAATAAAATAGATTGTATATAAACTTATCAAATGTTTAGTGGATCCTAGTGTCACTGAGACCAAATTTAAGTTCGCAGAGAGTAACAATCTCCCCATTTATTACACATCTTCAGCGGATGGGACAAATGTAGTTAAAGTATTTTAGGAGGCTTTGAAGGCAGCAATTGAACATAAGCAAAAGCCTGGTGGATAGTTTATGGATGATTTAATGGATTATTTGTAGGGTTGAAAGGACATTTATGATATATAATGAATCATTCATTATCAAATTCATCATCTGTTTCGCAATCATCGCAATCACTGTATGGAATATCTAATTTCTTATCATAATTTAGTTAATGATGGATCACTACAGTTTGAACATGCTATTAGATGAAGTCAGATTAGTCCTCTATGTAATAGCAACGGACATCTCCCTCCACTATCATCTCTTCATAATCAAATTATTATTATTATTATTATTATTGCTGCTTGAATTCATCCTCTTCCTCCATATAGTCACTACTGTTGATATTTTAATCCTTGCCTGACAAAATGTCTGATTGGGTTTGTTGCTGTTGTTAATATTTTAAATAACTTCTCAAATAACCCATCTTTTTATTTCCGACTTCATTCAAGTCGATGAATTATTCAGCTTTTCTTAAAGATAACTAATTATTATTACTTTAATAACTAATGATAATCTTCTAAAGTCTTTTTTGGTACTCCAACCTTCTCAGCAGCCTATTTAAGACTGTATTTAATCTTATTTCCATTTTGATCAGTTTCGCCATTCTTGAATAACTTTCGCCATTCATCAACACTTTATTTGGCATCCAGTATAGATCGCTCCTTTACTCTCTTGAAAACATGTCTTGGTTAGTCCATAGTTTTTAAAATGAAAATTATATATAATAAATAATTCATCATTTTTTTCTTTTACTAGCCAATTTAAGTGTGTTTTAAATGTACATTCATATCGACTTCTAAAAAGATATTTCATGACCTTTTGTGTAATATTGATAATATAACCTTTAAAAATTTTGGTCATAGAATTTCAGAAATATGGTCTTAATTCTATTTTTCAATTATGGCACATGTTTATTTTAAGTAAAAATATATACTATTTAATTAGCGATTAAATAAGGCATTCACTTTTTATATTATAATTCGTCAATCTTTGCGGCAATTTAATTCAATTAATTATAATAATATACAATACCTCTAAATGCAATCTGATATTCCTACTCTAATAATCAAAAGAGTCATTAAATTTTGTGTTTATCGCTACAATTTCGCTATCTTTTGAAATAGTCCCATGTCTTTTGTAACACAGGCCTTTACTTTCTCGATTCTTAAATTTGAATTTTTTTATTGGAAATAAAAAAATAGAATAAAATTTTGTGGGAATAATTAAAAGGTTATATTACTAAAAGTAAATAAAAAGGTATAAGAATTAGATTTTTATAACTATATTATAAAGCGAATATTATTGTTCCTTTAGTACATATTTAATAAATAGGTCTATTATAGTGAAGGTTAAACAACATAATAATTATTATGAAAGAAACCATAGTTTTAACCTATAAAACTAGAAGTAAATTATAAATATTTATGCTTTGACAATTTTATTTCAAGAAAGAAAGGATAGGGAAAACTTATCTTAGATCCATAGTGTGGTTTAAGAAACAAATATCAATAGCACAGAAATAAAAAAGGAATATATATTTTGGAAGATTAAGTTAAATTTTCGAACTTATTAATGCTTAAGATGTAATGTTAATGCAATTTTTGGGTTAAAATTACTTAATTATATTGACTCTGTCCATAGAGAATTAAATTTAAGAGACAATGTATTAAATCAACTATGATTGCCTCCATATACTCTGTAATTAAATCCTATTGAAATAGTTTTGAGTGATTTCAAATGAAAATTATCAAAGATAAATTGTAGAGCTAACTTAAAGTTAAACTATGAAATACATTATTGTTCATCTGAAATATCAAATTAAAATTTTGAGAATTATTGTATACAAACTTATAAAGTAATAGATGAATGCTTAAATAGGTAATAATTATGAAAATGAAAATTACGTTTAATAATTATAAATTAATGTAAATATCCAACATCTAATTATGGATTACACAAGATAATGAAATAGAAAAATAGCTGGACAATAAAAGAGCATCTAAATAGAATAAAACTTTGTTATCAATAAATTTAATATTTATTCAGCACTCTTATAATCAAACTTCTAAGTTTTGAATTTAAAGTACTTTAGAATGACAAATTAAACATGCTTGCCTTCTAACTTCACTTGAAGCTTGGATTATTTTAGATCATTTTAGTTATTTTTAGTACGTCTAAAGATAGCAGATGAATGTATATTTCTTTTTAGGAATATTACTATTTGCTGTTTTATTTATGCTTTTGTTTCAGTGAATTTATATTAATATTGAATTTATTTATGAAATTAAGTGTACCTTTATCCCATTCTCCTTCTAACTTCTCCAAACAACTTATTCAATAGCAAAAATAATTGTGCTTGTTCAAAGTTCGCAAGTAACTATAACATTTGAATGATCCATTTGACTCTACCGAAATATCTCGTGCTCTCAGAAATCTAGAAACTTAGTAATAAAGAAAACAACTCTTAGATTCAATAATCAAAATGAGGGAAACAAAAAGAACACAAGAAGAACAGTTAAAATAGGAATAGTTACAAAGATTATGGGTTAAGGCCAATTAAACTAATAGCAAAAAGTTAAATACAAATTATGTCTATCATCGAGATCTAGACGATTTTGAGTCAATCAAATAATCCAGATATCGTTTTGAATCTGAGAGGATTGAAAATTTCTATTTAAGGAACGAAGGCAAACATCATAATTTCCATCGAGTTAGTAGTTTGGCCTGTTTGACGACTGATTTGGAGAAAAAGAAGATATTGATCCCATTGATAACACGGAAAGATAGAAAGAATTTCACGATAGTCAATTGATTGTTTATTTTATTTGATTTTGTGTTTAAATTAAAATGGAAGTGCTGCAATAAGAGGACAATCAATTCAGATATAAACTCATGAATGTATTCTTTCAATACATAAAAAATGCCTTATTCATTCTATTAATTGGATACGAAGGAATTAAATTACTAAACGTTGAACATGATTGTTAATTATCAGAGATTACCTATATCAGTACATTGTATCACGGAGGAATCATTATATTACTCTTTAACATTGTTTCTGCATGTTATATACTATACTAAAAGCACTTTGTAAGAATTGAATACTTTATTACTTACGGACTAAATATGTTGGTTTTTGTATGTATGTTGCTATTTTCCTTGCAATAATTGATCTAGGGAAGTTGCAGCATTGGATAATTATCAGTCAAGTACTACATAATACTATCAATAATCACTCAATTAGATGTATTATTAATTATGATGTTCAAACATGAATTCTCAAACAGACAAACCAATATATGTTCAAATACTGCTGTTGTGATACTCCTATTAATCACAAAGATTGATAATGATTGTGCAGTCAACGCAATATCATTGGAAATCCAACTAATCTCTGCTAATATTTTGACATTACTCTTTTTCACTGTTCTCAACGTAGCAATTAATCTATTTCCAAAACTAAGAGAATAACTAACAAATGCATTTAAGTTCGTTTGTGTTTTGGTTCTGTGTTTCCTGATCTTAAATTATCTATTAATAGTTTACTTTGTTCAATCTGTAATTTATTGATCATCTATATTAGGGTGATATCAAAGAGAATTAGGAGTGCATGCCTCTTGATTTTATTACTAGAACCTATTGTTTTCTGGCTCCAGTCAATTTGATTGGAATGATACCTATTTTAGCATCTTTCAAATTTGAAACTATTGATGAAGAAGAAGAGGAAGCTCCTCCATAGTAATAAGCAGAGATTATTTCTCCATCTAGAGGATTGCCAATATAGAATTCACCCTCTCCCTTTTAATAATCCAAGTTATCATTAAACAATAACACAACTCCTTATAAGATTATTGTAAACAATAATCAACTTTCACCTGACGAGCAATTTTTGATGGGCAAACATCAATAACCATAATATTGATTTAATATATACTGTAATATTATTAATGAGATAAATAATTAAAATGATATTCATCTCCATTTTTTTATGATTTATTCCTAACTATCTATTTTGTAGTTTACCAAATGATAAGAATATGATAATTAAATATACATTCTGTTGATGTGTGAAATTCTCATCTCTTTCAATCATTAATTCTTAAAAACCTTAAACCATCTCTTTATTGTGTTTTGAAAAGTTGGTTCTTGTTGCTTGAGAGTAGAGAGAGAGTGATTATTTGAATATACGATAACTGATAAATATTTTAATATAAAACATAAATGATGATGACTTTTAATTTAAATCTTTTTTTTAGATAAAAATTAAATGAAGGTATTAGAATAACTTATATGAAGATCTACGTTGATGCATTCAGTGGAGAAGAAATCGTTTCTGACAGTTTCAATATGGAAGAAAAATTCGAAGGAGTCATTGGTGAAGTGTAATCCCAAGATATTGTCAAAGGTGCTCTCAATGTAGATGTTGGTAAGTCTTTGTAATAATCAATTCTTAGGTGCTGGAGGACATTTTGGTGGAAAGAACGAAGATGAAGAAGAAGGAGGTGTAGATGATCAAGCCTAAAAAGTTAATAACATCATTGATGCCTTTAAATATGCTGAAACCTAATTCACCAAAGCAGATTATGTTACTTACTTTAAAGCTTATGCCAAAAAGGTTAAGGCTTATTTAGAAGCAAACAAACCAAACAGAGTTGCTTCATTCTAAAAGGGAGCTGGCGAATTCATTAAATGGGTGTCTGCTAATTTCAACGATCTTCAATTGTAATCTCTACAAAAATATAGTTTAGCTACTGTCCAGAATCATATGACATGGAAAATCACATAGTTCTTGGTTATTACAAAGAAGGATAAGCTGCCCCAGCTTTCGTTTACATTTTAGACGGATTAAAAGAAGTCAAGATGTGATATAAAATAAAATAATTGTATATGTTAATACGTCATTGATTTTTGTTTATTAAGCTTACATCCATTAAATAATAAGGGAAGTAATCTTTTCATTATTTTTACTAACTCATTTAATCATTTATTAAACACTAATAACCTATTGTAGGAAGTGTATTATCTTCATCTAATGGTTCTCAGCTTTAATTTAAGAATTTCATCATATCTAAAAATAAAGTCATTTTAAATTAAGTAATTACAATTGTTTGGAGTAAAAACAAAAAGATTAAATTTATTTCTAAATTATGTATCATCTTCCTAAATATTATTTCACAAATTGGTATCTTTATAAATATTATTTATGTCGATACCTCAATCACAATAATATTTGAGATGAATTCTATTTTTATTATATTATTTATAGACAAGAAGAGTCTAATTAATTGAAAGAATCAGAAATATTATTTTAAACATATACTCATATTAATATCTATATCAAATAATTAAATCTAATGTCTCTCTTCAAATAGAATTTAGTTAGAAATAGTCTTGATAAATTTATGTTCAATTTATGATTAATAAATTGATCACATTTAATTACATATAAAAATAACAACAAAAACTATATTATTTATATTTACAGATAATAAATAAATGATAAAGAATCTAAAACAAATTAATATATCACAATTTGACCCATTTAGCTAAAATGAATAACAAAGCATCTATCATTATAGGTTTTTATAAGCAATCATGAAATGGTAATTTTTTTAAAGCTATTTTACTCTCATCGTCTTAAAATCCAATCAAACCAATTAGTCTTGTATCTTTTTAATATTCACTTAAAACTGCCTTAATCTTTGCACAATCTTGGCTGAATTATTCATTCACATACTCAACTCCAACAAATACAATATGATATCCTTTACAACAAGTTTTATATTGTGAAAATTGCTTCCTTAATTAATCCACAATATGCATTCTTTGCATAGTGTAAATGTATGGAATCTTGAGATTGCTTAGTTAATGGGAGATAGCATATAAATCAAAGTCATTCTATTCACAAATTAAAATCTTAGGACACTAAAATTCAATTTAAAAATAATATACTTGGCATTTGTAAACAAATTACTATTATTTAATTCTTTCCATTTTTTCAAAACAATCTAATAATTCATTTGGACCTAAATTAACTGAAGAAATTCTCATTGAAGAATAGACTGATGATCGTCCTCCAAAGGTAAGAAGCGAATCTCTTTATTTAGATGTAAGTTATTATGAAATCTAAGGATGTAGTCTTGATTAGATAAAACTGACTGAAATCTTTCTTGCTTTTGGTTCTTTAACACAAATGATAGTATCAAGAAATTAAGATGGTTGTTATTTTAATTCTTTTTTCCCTACTTTATCGTCTAATTAAAAACTTGATTTGCTAGATTCTACATCACCATCAGGGTTATTCATTTCAGCTTTTGAGTCTGAGGATGAAGAACTTTGTTATGAGTCCTCTTATTCGGAGATTTAAGAAACAGAGTAAGATTTGCCAGGTTATTGTTGATTATAAGATAATTCAGATTGTCCAAATTATGGTATTTGAGGATCTACTTTGCCAGATATAGTTTCTTCTTAAGATTCTCTTTTCATTTTTTTGAGTTTCTCTTACACTTATATTCTACTTATTTCTGTTAATCTCTATGATTAATGCCTTTTAAATTGGTCACTCTAACCATACACTTAATGAAATTGAGACTTGTTTGCAACCAGTGCAGATTACCTTTTTTGTGTTAGCTGTTTGTTGAAATTTGGATTCTCATTCTTAATCAATAAAATAAAATAGAATTATGTGCCTTCTTCAGTCTTTATTGAATTGAATTCAAAAGGCATGATAGCAACAGCTAAGGATATGTAGAATGCTGTGAGAATAGAAAAAGAATACTATTTTGAGGTTGCAACTATGTCTGTCATTTATTTGCTAACTAATGTTTGTTGTTTCAAATGCTTGATGGTTTGTTCTACGCTTTCTAAAATTCCTTCGTTTACATTTGTAGCCATGACCTTAATGATTATCTCTATGTGATCTGTCAATAAAGGCGACTTTTAGGAAGAAATTTCAATGCTACCATTAACAGTAACTTGAATGGATTTGACTATATTTTATGAATCGAAAAATTATTACTTAACAGACTCAACACAACTTGTCTAACTCTATTTGGATCAGTTCTTAAGAACATCGGAACGTTCTGCTTAATGTGTACTTATATGTTTAAGCCTCTAAACAAAGCTTATGCTTTGATGATGTTTAAACAATCTGAAATGAATTCTCTAGTGTGGATATCCATTAAGTTTCGGTCTAATTTATTCTTTTTATGCATAGTGACATAATCCTAGAAGTCATTTGCAGTGCTAATTAATAATTTGCAACCTGCCAATGCGGGGTCAATATATTAGGTTTATAAATCCTGATTGACTTCTTTCTATTTTAGATTAATGGAAACAAATTACTTGGACCAGTTCTAACATTGACAATGTGCAATTCAAAGGTTCTTTGATTTTCTATGAAATGGTTTGTATTATGTCATCACTGTTTTTTAGATATTGTTAGAGTTAGAGAATGAATGGCTCTTCAGTTAAATCGCTGATGTATATTAGGATTTGAGGTTTGCTTGAAATAATCACAGGATTCAAAATGACTTGAGTGTACAGTTTGTCTAGTTATACTTATTTGGGAAATTACCTTTTTTCATATAGATCTTCAAGGAAAAGTCCAGAGCGAAATTTGTTAAATTATATTTGATATGAGAAAAAGCAAGCAGATGTTCGATCAAGGTTTGCATTTACATTTTCCTACAAAAAAATTGTATTTCTTTCTTTTCTTCAGATTATCCATTCTCAAACAATATGTTCTATGTTCAAATACATTAATATATTAGTACTCAAGAGTTTAAGTAAATTTGATGAAGTTACTGATGTCTTTACTTCTATGGAAACTGGGCAATATGGTGCATGATTCTTCAGATAGAAATCCAAAGTCATACAATTCCAACTGAGTCAACTATGGATTTAACTAATCTTCATTCAAAACGATATGGGACATGAATGAATTTATTATTCTTATTGGTTGCTAGGCATTTTCAAAAATGTAGATTCCACATTGAAAATTCACCAATAAAAATTCATACTACTATTCTAATTGCTTTAAATTATTTAGATTTTCAAGATCCTCATTTGTTATGTTTTGAATGTGATTTCTTTTATTTTATGGTTCCGTCATTTCTCTCTAGGTATTTGTATACAGGGCTCTTTGAGTGTTTTAAGGGCTGAAGTTCCTGTATAATACGGTTTCGTTTGAATTTTAAGTTTGATATAAGTTATAAATCAATAAAGATTAGATCATAAGATGTCCAAAAATGACCCTTGTTGATCCTATTATTTCTAGATTGTCAGTAAATGAAGGGAATCTATTATCGATAATGCGTTTATAATACCTGAATAGAGTGTAAAACAATGAAAATAAAATTATAAGACTCTTGCAAAGCTATGACTCAATTGCAATCAGAAACAATATCATAATTCCATACATCTCGAAGGCATAACTTCTCTGGTCATATTCATTTGTATATATTAAGTCATAGTTAGTTTCACACCATAAAATTATTAGACTGAAATATTTCAACAATGTAATTATATTTATTAACAGAGCAGTTTCTTTCTTTAATTTGCTCATGGCAATATGAAAAGCTATTATCAAAAACACTTAGATCTAAAAATGTTGGCTATTTAATTACCATTATGCGATATATGAAAACCAGTTTTTGTCCTTCTATCTCGTAATTTAGAGCTTGAGCTATGGTTAAAACAATATCGAAGCATTAATACGAGGATATGATGGTCATGGTCGATTTCCACAGAATGAAATTCTAATATGTCTCTGGGTTTAACTTAAAATAATTTGATAGTATGTTCATTTATTAGTATATAAATTATTTATTAATTTAACAATCACAATTTCACCCACTTAGCTAATATAAACAATAACGCATCTATCATCAATGGTTTTGAGAGGAAATCATGAAAGGGCAACTTCTTTATGGCATTCCTATTGTCGTCATCCTGAAACCCTATTAATCCTATGATTCGAGCTTCCTTCTTAAATTCAGAGTTGATGTTTTTAATTAAGTTACACTGTTCCCCTAATTCTTCATCAACATACTCTACACTAATAAATATCAATTAGTATCCCTTGCAACAAGACTTTTCAACCTCATACGCAGTTTTTAATTTCTCGTGTATTTGAGTTCTCTACACGATGTAATCAAAATTCATCCCAATGTTACCAAGTTGATGAGAGACAGCATATAAATCGAAATCGTTTTACTCACAAATCAGAATTTTCGGGCACTACAAATATGAGATTACAATCCTTACTTAGCATTTTTGAGTGTATTTTTATTGTTTAATTTTCTCCATCTTTTCAAAACAGTCTATTAAATCGTTTGGTTACATTATACTAGCCGAATATCTCATTGATGAGAAGATACTTGATCTTCCACCAAATGTTAAGACTGAGTCTCTTTTGTTATTGTAAGTGTAATTTATTGATTATTACATTATTACCAAAGGAGAACCATCTTCATTTGTTTTCCCAGTCTTATTGTATAAAAATTAATCCAGTTGAACTCCTAAGTCTAAACTATTATGGGAACTCTCATTTGCGCCTTTTGATTCCTTTGAGTCCTACTCAGATACTATTGATATATCTGATTTCGAATGAGAAATCACCTATTTAATCTTCCTGCTTTGATCCTAAGATTTTATTGTTTTAAAAGTGGGTAGAAAATCAATATCAATATCTCCTTATGAAGTCCTTGGTACAATAAAACGAGATTAATTTTGCTATCCAAAAGATGTTGATAATTTCATTGCAGAATCTTTTCTTTGTGGTTGATTACCTAAACCTTAGGATTATGACTGCTATTTCTATTACTGTAAGGGTTATTTTTTAAATTTCTATTTTTCAAATTACCCCTAAATTGTTATGCTGGGTTTATCATACAGACTTTATCCTGATGATTAATGTTTTTTGAATCCTTGATCAATTTAATAAGACTTTTTAAAGTTCAATTGTTGAATGCTGAGAGCAGACTATCTTTTGAAATTTAATTGCTATGAGAAATTTGGATTTTTGTTTTAAATTTAAATTATGAAACAAATCTCTTCGTGATCAATGTTTTTCTCATAATGATATTCGAATGGAATTGTAGAAATGCTAAGCGATAAACAAAATGCTATCAATATAGATTGACTATATTTTCGACCTGCATTTGCTAAATCTATCATAGAAGATGTCATTAAATTTTAGGATTTAAAAAATCTCACTGTTTTATCAATAGTTTTTAGCACCGATTAATTCATTTCTGATGCATTTACTTTTATCATGAGTTCAATGTGATCCTGCATCAAAGTTGATTTGTTTGCAGACACTACAATAATTCCATTTATTGTCGCTTGAATCGAACTTACTAATAAATTCAATAGGATTTATCTCAATCTATTAGGATCTGTTCTAAAAAAGGCAGGTACGTTATGCCGAATATTTACTTAGATCTGTAGTCCTCTAAATAATGCCTGTGATTTTATAATGTTTATTGAATCAGTAACGAATTCCCTAATTTAAATTTATGTTATATGGATTACCTTATATGAACATCCATTTGACACAGCTCCAGTTTTCCCTTTTTTCTTATAGTGACATAGTCTAAAATATCATTGGCTGTACTAATCAATAATTTACAACCCGCAAGAGCTGGATTTAAGAACTTCTCCTGAATTTCAAATGGAACAGAATGCTATATAGAAAGTTAATAAATACTATTGTTATTTCGAGCATTGAAATTGTGCAATTCAAAGGTTACTTAATTTTCTATGATATGTCTGAGACTAATATATCACTATTTTAATTAAACTAATTCAATTGTGTCATGAATGGTTCATCAGTAAGGTCTGATACAAATAAGATTAATTAAGGCTTGTGTCTTTATAATATTGGGGAGAGCACAACACTGGTATATAGATTATCTAATTTTGGATTAACTTAAACATACCTTATTTTAGGTATATTTTGAGAGAGAAATCTATTAAGTTTTGACATTGACTGAATTTAAAATGCTAAAATGGAAGCAGGTGTTCAATCAGAGTTTTGATTTTCATAGATTTATGAAAAAATTACACTTCCTTTAGTCCAATATTTCCATTTTCATAATTTATGCTCTAAGCACAATAATAATTATTCAAATACTTACTCAAGAGTTTGCATGAATTTGATAAAATTGCCTATGTCTTTACTTCTGTGGAATTTAGGTAAAACCGTTAAATTGTCTTCAAAAGCAATTCCAAAATCAAACATCTCTGTATTCAGAAACTCGTCACTTAACTGATCATCCTTTAATACTAGATGAGACATGTAAGGGTTTATTGACTTAACTGCACTTTATAAGTTGTCTATAACAAATATTCCTATTTATATATTATTCAACACATTTTCATAAAACTAGTCCAAGCTCTACCTCTCGGTGTCCAATCTGTTATCTTCAGATATAATGACTCCGTTTTCTTTAAATTGTTATGTATATCTATTTTTGATCTCGTAATCTTGTTGATTCAGGTAAGTAGAAATTCGCCATTGTTAATTTGGTTGAGATTGTCTGTTGCTTTATATGGGAAGGTAATTGTTGGACTATTGACCCAACATTACAAGTTGATTGTTCAATTTCTTCTTCTGTTGTGGCAATTACAACAAATATATTTAAAATGCTATGTGTATTAATACTATCCTAATTGAAGAAAGAATATCGATTTTATGTTAGAATATCTAGATTCTATTCTTTTATGATAAATTTATACCGAAAAAGAGAGTAAAATAACGAAAATAATAGAGAAATTGTTTAGCATATTTGAGATTCTTGCAATAACACCAAACCTAGCATAAGGGTTTAGATTTCAGCTGTATAACTGGCATAGGGTTTATTCAATTCATAAAATAAATAATAGTCAGTTTCAGTCCAGCAAATAGAAAGTAAAATAAAATATGTAAAAGTAGCAACATTTAGTAATCCATTTCTTAGTTTTCTTAAAAACTTAAAAATCAACCAAAATAAAACCAATAACCCTGCTTGAATCTATGCATATAATTCATTTATACAATAATTCTCACTATCAACATTATTCTTGCATTATCCACCTTTTAAGTGCTTGCATCAATAATTGAGATAATAATATCAAAGAGTTAGTAAATGGATATAATATTTATGACCTGAGCGTGCTGTTAAATGTTCGTATAAGGCTATGAGTATATGTAAAAATAACCCTTAAGATTATTTATCATAAGATTAAGAGATTTATAAATTAATATAACAGATGTGAAATATAACATCAGAAAAAAATAATAATACTATAGGCATTCATGTATTTTTAATTCAATATTTTTGAGAATACAGAAAGTCGTGTTAAATTATATTTAATTAAAAGAGCCCTTTTTAAGTATTACATATGTTGTAAAATACTATGTCGAACTATAAGAATAACTTATAGGAAGATTATTGAAATGAATTTTCAAGTTTAAAAAGTGAAGGTCAATCAGAAAATTTTAGATGGTATTTCTTAAGTTATTATATCATTGCAGCCTATTCAAAAGTAATTATTTTAACCATTGAAGATGAGTATAATAAGAAGTATAGACATTTGTAGTATCTTCATTTACTTTTATAAATTATAGTATAATTCAGTACATACAGAAATATTAAATAAAATGGATGTAATTTGTACACTAAACAAATTTAACTTTGACTAATAAATAACAAAAGTAATTAACAAAAATCGAAGTTGGATTTTGATAGAAAAATGCGTCATAAATAATTAATTAGAACTTTAACAGTGATATTGTGACTAAGTTTTTATGTGAATATCTGGACATTTATATTTGATCAATATTTTAATTATTTTGTCATCATGGATACTCAATTTTTTACAAGCAGCACAAGGTACGATTTGAATTTTATAGAATTAGTATGAGTTCATCATCTTCCTCAAGTTCGAGGAAGGGATCTCAAGAATGTTTTAGTGATTTCGGAATTGAAAAAAAATCTAGGAAAAGTAAAAAGAGTGCAAATCGAAGTTGTTCCTTTGGTTTAGGCTCAGTGACTGAAGTGTCTGAAGATATTGAAGATTATTTAGTATGACATGTTTTAATTTGATTATAGATGAGTCGTTTGCCACACATCTAGATGCCAAATGATAATAATGAATTTAGAGAACGCATTCCACCAAGATTAAAAAGGACTGAAAAATATTAAAAAAGAAGGGCTTCCTTGAGTCCTCATGGAACAAATGGATTAGCGAAGGTAGAAGAGGTGATCGGAGAAGATGATGAATTAAAAAACAAATGCATTTTTAAACTTGGTTTAATGTTAGACAAAGATGAATTCAATGATAAAAGAGGAAGATTCTTATAGTCTAAAGATAGAATTAATGTTGAAAAAGCAACGACTTCAAATTTAACTATTTTAGAAGATGCTTAAGAAAATGTCAAAGAATTGCAACAACACGTCATGAGTCCCACTTATAAACTAAAGGTTGATGAAGTTGATTTCGAATAAGAAAAAAAACAATGGCAACCTTAAGAAATCATAGAAGTTATCGAAGAGGAAAAGCCAGATAATGTAGTCAATATTAAAGAAAAAGAGATGTTTTAAAAAAGTATACACATTATAAATATAGTAGTAAAAAAGATTTTACATGAGGAAAGAGATTTCTTAAAAAGAATCTTAAAAGGGGAATTAATTCACTAAGAAGATATTATAAAAAAATAATAATTCCAATCGGAAGTAGGTGAAACTAATTGGAATTAATTAATTTAAGAAGCAGAGGAATAAGTCAACAGTGACGAAGATTAATAATGATTTGTTAATTAGTTATATATTTCTAATAGAGTAATAATTTTATATCACTCGAATTTGTACATTCTAATCTGGAAAATTAATTGAGCTTGAATGAAATTATTCAAGTATAATTAGCAAAATTTATAAATAAGCAAATTTTTCCAATATAAATTTACTGATGATATATCTAAATCCCAAAAGCATACTTCTAACAAATTATTTTACAAACTTGTAAGCAGACATTTCAATTAAACTTTACGATTTCGGTTCATCTTGTTAATCTGGTCCTGCACTACATATATATCTTCATCTATTCATATTATTTAGATCGGTATTAATGAATTTTATATCTAGATCAGTATCAGTTCAAAGATATGTCAATTATAAAAGGCAAATTTATTTTAATATTTGCTCAAAAAGGATTTGGCTACATATATTTTAATGTGATTTGAGAAATCTATTTATCTTAATTAAAAAGTTCTCTAAATTTTCAATCGAAGAATATCTTTATAATAATATTTTATATATTCTAATAAAGAGATCAAATTTCCAAGATGATTATAATAAAAACTAATAGGATATGAATATATAATTTATAATAGAATTATTATAAAGAAAAAAAAAGGATCAATATCTCTTTGGTTGTAACTCTATAAAACTTTATGATATTGGAATTGCAATATCATACTCAATGTCATAATAATTATGTGTCATTCTTGGCCTCACAAAAATGCTAGATTGCTATTAAATATGTTAAGGAAGACTAATATTATAATTATGATATTTCTACTTCTCAAAGATATCTTATGAATGATGTGATTATATTAAAGCATCTTCTTCTCCATGAATCAAAGCAATGGGACATTTAATATCTTGAGCTCTCTCTAAATTTGGGAAAATATTAGGTAAACAACATAAAAGGCTTAAAATGCAACCGCATCCATAACAAAAATCATTTAATATGTATCTAATTGATTTATAAGCAGACATAGTTATTAATCCTTTAATATTTCTTTGACTTGCTAAATAAAATGATGGTCCTGTGCCAATCGATCTTAATAGAAATGAGAAATACCTTCCAAAAATGTAGATTTAATCATCATTTAATCTGAACTAATTCTTAATTTCATCATATAAAACTAATGAATCTTATTCCACTAAATTTGAAGTTGGTTAAATATTCCGATATATTCCATAACCAGGATATTCAATAACAAATATATTTGCACTTATCATTTTGGATAATTATTCCATAAATTCTACAGCTGAATACCTACACCTCTTATTTATAAACTTACATGTCTTCTGCATTACCATGAAAATATATTATATATAAATTGGTTTTCCAATATCTGTTTTTGATATAGACATAGGGAATGTTTCTGACTTTTTCAGAATTTCCTGAATAAACATTTGGCTTCCTATGCACTATGTTTATTTTAGTTTTACCCATATTAACATCATTATCGTAAATACTTGCATAATACAGGTTGGCCTAAAAATTTATTTCTTGATACATAGGAGTAGGAGCAGGAAATATGATATCGTTTATCTTTCCAAAACAATAAAGGATAAATAAAACAAATAAGTAGATCCCAATAAGGATAGTTGACAAAACAATAAGTGTGATATGAGAAGAGTCCTAATCTCCCATTTATTAGATAATTAAATAATTTAATATAATAAATAGTAGTAAGTAAATAAATAAAAGAAAATAGATGATCTATTGGTGTTGTAAAAGATAAATAAATCATGTTATTTTGATATTCTAGTTAAATTTGATTTGATAATCAGATTGCAACTAATCAAATTAATCATATAAAGAAATAAAATAAATTAATTATTTTCATTAAGCTTTCCTAAAACAAGTCAAAATTCAAAAGATCTTATAAGTGCCTTATTTTTTTGTGTTGAGGGTCTCTGTCCTGTTAAATTATAGAAATATTGCTTAGTTTAGCTCCAATCCCTATCATATTATTATTTTGAGTATTATGACTTTTTTGTAGTGATGTTCCTAAACAATATCAAATTATCCTTTCGAATCTACTCTAATTCATTCCTTTTCCTTGAATTTAAGCTGCTTATCCTTTTTGGCTTATCAAAATTGATGCTTTTATTATTCATAATATTAGTAATCTTCTGAAACAGTAATCTATTATCCTTCTCTATTTGAGTGTACCTTTCTTCCAAAATATAGACTTTCTTCATGTTTGGTATCCTTTCAACAGTTCTAGGAATAGTAATATATGGTCCGATTTACTAAAGTCTACTATATCCATCAAGCATTTCCTTTTCTTACATAACTCTTATATGAGGTTTAGGTCTGTGCATAGACTATGAAAATACGATAGGAGTTATTGTTTATTTATATAATTTTATAAATATGAATAGCTTTACTATTATACTCATTTTTTTTTTAATAATGCAACTTCTAATTCCTCTGTCAATAATTGTTATTCTTAAAATGAATCATAGAGTTTTGACTTAATGACTGGATGGAACTTTTTATAATTTTTGATGATGAAATTGATAAAGAATTGTTGAACTTGTTTGGGAAATTGGGGGAAGATCTAAAATCACATTGATTCATATTCTTACTTTCTAACAATCGAAAATCAACATTTAGACTGATGTAATATTAACACTCTAAATGATTCCAACAATATCCCTGAAAAAGAGTTTAAAAATGGAGGAAGATGGGTATCTGATCTTAGCAAAGCTTGAAAACATTTGCAACTTCATTAGGCTGTTGAATTGGTCATATCTCTAAATGAATTACTATTCAAAAAGTTTAAAAATCTCTTGTGTTCCATGTCCAAATTGCTTATACAACATAAACAAATTTGTAATATTTTAAGCCTCGGTTGTAGGGATGTTCTTTATAGCTTGTTCTTCCAATAGTTTCCAAAATTCAGGTGATCCATTACCAAATAAAGCTATTCCCGTACCAACTCTAAATTTAGAATACTAGGTATTTACCTGATTAAATCTTAAAATTCCATCTCTGTCACTAAGCTTTGTTTTTCTAATAAATCGAAGATATCCTTCCTTTGAATCCTAGCCAGTATCAAACCAAAGGCAAAATGCTTCAGATCATTTGACCTGAATTAATCTATGTTTTATTTGAAATTCAAAAGCAGAGACTTTTCTACTTCCTTGTTGGTGGATTTAGTGTGCTATGAAACTTGTCCATAGATGAAGATGGTCAATCCAATTTGTGATGCAGTTAAATCAGGTGCCTGTGAAACTGCGGCTACAAAATTGAATGATTATTAATAAAATTCTTTTGAGTACTTTCCTGAGACCAATACGGATAAGATGTCTAGGGTTTCTGTTAAGGAGGCTTATCTAATTGATTATATTGTTTATATTACTATTCTAAGTACAATTGGGTTGTTCTATCAAATACTTTTTGTGCATAATTTTCATCATTTATTTACTAAGCAAAGGTGATGGATACCAATTCTCTAATTTCTGGATTTTCAAATTAAGGCAAATATGGCTTTAATTGCTAAAGTAAGCTTGATATCTCTTTCATATTAAATCAATCATTTACATTTATGATCTTATTATTTTTCTTTATGTAATTGGTTAAGTTAATTTAAAATTTCCCTATAGTCGTTTGTTTAAGTGGTTTGAGAAAACTAATAACTTGGAATTCTCATCTAGTGAATGAATTTCTAGGATGTGCCCATAGTGAAAAAAAATCTAAGGTATTACCTTCTCATATTAAATTTATTAGAAAATAAATGAATTAATTATAATTATCATAAGCATAGTCACCAAGAGAAAGTAATTTCGATTATGATGAATAACCTCAAACACAATCTATTTAATTAATTGAGAATAGAGCAGCACTTTCAATTATCACTAATGTAATCAAACTCATATAAAGAATTTAGATATAAATTTTAGTTGCTATATTTTAAATATTGTTAATACTTTTTAATTCGTATATCGCCTTTGATTTAAGCTATAAGATCTCCCTTCTATATGTGACAATTTTGCATTTCCTGTAAATCATTAGGATCGGAGTTAATAATAACAAGTAAAATTTAACAAATTCAATTGCTTAGAAGAATATAAAATAATCAATAATGTTGCATTTCGGTATTTTGGGGAGTTCTGTCCATTTCCTATTATGTACTTTATACTATTAGCTTTTAAGGGATGCTTGATTTATTTCTTAGAGAATGACGATTTTCCAATTCAGTACCCAATATTGATGTATTTGATTTTCACTCTTACTTGGTTTGTTCTGACACTAAACAACTATTTAAAAAATAAAAATGATAAAAACTTTATATTAATAGTAATATATGCAGATTTACCTTTTAGTTGTAAGTTTTATTCAGATTTTTTTTCGTTCTCCAATTGATGATGATTAATCTGAAATAAATTTAATGGATAGATTGGGATTGGATATATGTATTTACAATACTTTGGATGTTCTTGTCAATTATTTGCATATTTCAGCTCATTTTTTTGTTTGATTTCATCTGCAAAGCAGCATCCTTCTTGCAAGAAAGAGATCCAATCAACAGAGAAGCATTTAATCAGTAGAGTATGCATATTGAGTAGGTTTAGTTATAGGATCATTATGGATTAATTTACTAATCTTATGCGTATCTGGACTTCCAACTTTTAGTATGGTGTGCTATACAATTAAATTGTAGACTGGAAAAAATAGTTACAATACTCTTTCAATTACATTATCAGTCATATATTCCCTAGTATTCATTGTCTTTACATTGTACTATCGAATCTCTTTGAGGTTTAAATTCAATACTTATTAAAGTCAATTCGTATCTCAAATCCAACAATCCAGAGTGGTAGAAAATAACGTTGAAAACAATGCTGACAATCAATAAAGATATCAATTAAATTCTCCAAGTTCTAAACATAGAAATCATTTAATCAAAAGTAAAGAATAGATTCTAACTCATCTCCCCTAATATTTGGTATTTAATTTATGTGTAAGGCCAGATTAGATTATCACAAACTTACTTTATGCCAGCTAACGATAAAGATAAAGATAATGCCTCATAATAAAAGCAACCCTAAAAATTCTAATTTGAATAATAGCATTTCAAAAGGAACAAAACAGATCAAGACTAACCAAAATTTAGTAATCGCAATTCTCTTACTGAAATTAATTCGGACAAAGATACATAATGCTTTAATTGTTATTAAAATGAAAGCTGTGCAGTTTATATGCCATGTGGACATGGTGGATTATGTGTGAAATGTGCCACAGAATGGTTTAACGAGAAATAAGAATGTTTAATTTGCAGAAAAGTAATCATTTCCTATAAGTTTTATTTAGCCTGTTGAATCTGTTATACAAATTTCTTAGTCTGAACAAAATAAAGTATAGGTGATAGATGTTTTAGCATTCTGAAAATTCTTTTATTATTTTTATCGATAATTCAATTATTAATATCTTTTTATTATGAAATCAAAAATATTGAACACTGGCTCTATTCCAGAAAAAAGGCCAACCGTTTATTTAAATGACGGACAAGGAAGAGACACCTATATTTCTTATAACAATGGAGGAAATTTTGCTTAAGAGTTCAGATTCTTAGTATCGCCTTAATAGCCCACTTCTTTAAGATTAAAATACAATTGCAGCATACAATAATAGTCTTCCACGCCAAGGATTAATTATTAAGGTGATGGAACAGGTAGAGATACTTATATTTTGTAAAATTTTATGTCTGAAACTAAATAGATAGAATATCAAAGATAAATGCAGCTCTGGATAATTAAATTATAAATCCATGCTCAGAAGTGAGACTAATTTTGGTTCATTTCAAAAGAATAGATATTAATTGCCACCAATTGCAAAATAAAAATTGAACAGGATCTATTAATTATAGAAAGTCCAATCGAGTAGGTTATCGATGCCAAAAAATAAACTATTATTTAATGAAGAGTGATTCTCTCAATATTTTTACAGATATAAATTTATTAAGTGAATTCATAAGCATTCAAATAATTTATTTTTGTCTACATAAATCCCTTTTCATATTTAAAAATAAGTAAAATCTCAAACAACATTCTTGTTTTATATCTTTCAAAAATTAGATAAGTATTCTTTACTACTGCATTACCTCAATTTTTTTCCTCATTTATTTTCATTTTAATGCGAAATTTATATTAATATTATAATTAATAACACAATTCAAATTAATGGCATACATAGTGAGGACATTTATCTACAGATATTTTAAAAATTATCTTTGTTCAATTACTGGATTATTTTTTATATTCCTCTATGTTTTTGCCTTAGTTTTTCCATTTTTATTCGCAGTCAGCACAGGAGGTAATCATATTTAATATGAAAGAATTTTGGCAGAAAGTTAAAATAGCGTCTGAGTAAACTTACATATCATTGAATGGTAATTATAGTATTTAATGCCATTCTGGGTTTTTAAATGAAACATCTTCAAATATCATTAGTGTTACAGATTAAGATTACATAGATTTTTAATATATGAATGAAGATCAAAATTTAGATGGCAAGACTGATTTTATCTCATTTTAAATTAATTTCATGCCTTCTTTCATTGCTGAACAGTGCACCTTAATTTTATTTTCAAATGTTGGAATCAGAGTAATATAATCAAAATAAGTAGAATACTTTGAAGCTGTAGATGATTACACCTTTAGTGTTTTCTTTTAATGAAGATTTTGAGAATTATGCCATCCATCTATTTGGTCAGCTCTAATTTTAGCAAAAGCAAACTTTGCCTCAATTAACTTCGACTAAATTAACCTACTATAATGAAGAAACAACTTATGAATATCCTTTAAATTTATTTGACTTTAAAGTATAATAGCTCTCTTAAAATGAAACAGTCATACCTATATTTGAATCATTTAAATAGAGAAAACCTGCATCCAAATAAGTTTAAATATAGGGTCAATTGAAAATTTAGACTTTTTAGCAGTTATATTATAAACCAACAGTACTATAGAGTTTCAGAGAGGTCTGGATTCAATATATTTATATAGCAATACCGACATTTTATTTAATCTAAAAATTAGGATCATTTGCTCTTTAAAAGAAGATATTTTTTGCACATTAATAAGTTTATAATGATTAATATAATACGATATGACAATATTTAACTAAATAATATCTTAAAATTTTTGATTTTCAATAATTAAATTAACGGGGAATTCTTCTTTGGTTACCTCTTAATTGTATTGATTTATTAACAGAAACTCTCTAATCGGCTTCTCTTTTGTCTTTATATTCTGAAATTTCATTTTAATTCTAATTCATAGTTTCAATAAATGGATTAAACTTAATTTTTCTAGAGTTTTTTTTTTTTTTATAATTTTTGTATTCTTTCTGATAATCATAAGTATCTGTTTCTCTTTAATTTTCATTACTCATTTCAACGTCAGAATTATCTCTACTATCCATAGAATTATTTGTATAACTACTAGATTAGCTGTTTTCTATATTGTCACTATAGCTCGAATTAATAGATTTCTGATCTTTATTACCCCATTTTTCTTTATTATCTCCTTTATTCCATTTTTTATTATTATATTGATAATCTTAATCCTTATATTCTCTATTATTTCTATTACCCCTTCTGTTGCCTCTATTATCTTTATTATCCCTATAATTTCTAGGATCCCTGTTGCCCCTTCTATTATACATGTCATCTCTATTATCCCTTCTGTTGTCTCTCATATCTGAATTATCGTTTCTGTTGTCTCTAATATCTCTTTAATCCCTTCTTTTGTCTCTATTATTCCAATTATCCACGTTATCCTAAATATTGCTGCTATCATTGCTTCTCAAACGATCCCAATCATTCCCGTTATCTTAATTATACCTGTTATCTTAATTCTGGTTATTATCGTCGCTTGACAAACAACCCCAATCCTATTTACTTTTGTCAACCTAATTTTAAATTTTATCTTAATTATCTCGATTATTGTCACCTCTCAAATGACCCCAATCATCCTTATTATCCTAATATTTGCTTTATTCGTCGCTTAACAAATCATCACAATTCTATTTAAGTCTATCATCATTATTATCACTGTCTTCCCTGTTATCCACTTTATCCCTGCCATCCTGATTGTCCCTATTGTTTTTTTTGTTTTTATTTTTGTGATTTTTCTAATTCATTGTTTAACTTTCAAGTGAATCAGAATTAACAGAATCTTCTTAGGAATACTAATTTGGGTTTTAAAGATTTCCGGAGGATTGCTTTGCTTCAAAGGTTTAACGATTTTATTAAAGTTGATTATCTTGATAGTTGATGGGCTCAATTTTTTAGGGTTTTTAACTATCATTTGGTAATTTGGTTTATGGGTTAAAGCCAGGATTCTGATTAAGCCCTTGCAGATTTATTTCCTCAAAGCCATCTTCATCAGGTCGATGATAATTATTAAAGTTCTGAGAATATTTGTGATGATCTTTATCTACAAACTCTCTATTATTATTGAAGAAACCTTAATTTTACTACTGAATTTAAAAAGTTAATAAATGATTTTAACAATCTCTTTATTATGGAATCTATGTTGGTATCTAAAAATTCATTTCTTACCCATAAATATCTTTATGTTTTAATACAAATTCTTTAATTTAAATTCTAAACACTTCTACAATGCTATTTTTTCCATCATATTCTATCCTATCAACTTAAACATCATCTTGATTATAGCCCTAATCTGAATAATTTTCTTTGTATTATGGATATTATTAAATTGCATAGAGAGCCTAATAGAGTTCACTTAACGAAAGATTTTAATATTAAGCTCTCTAATCAAATAAAAATGTTTAACATCCCGGATTAGCAATTTCTTCTTATGTTGGATAGAAAGTAAGTTTTATTATAATGGATGAAACTTTCTTTCGTATAAATAAGTCGACAAGTCCTTCTTCAAGTGGTTCATAATGATAAAATTTCTCAATAGTTTTAATGCTAATAATCTAAAATTAAGAGTATGGCATTTTATACTTCATAAAGTGTGGGATATTTTTACTTGATAATTTTAGATATCAATAAAGCATTTTCACTTGTTTTATGATAAGAAAATAAATAAATGGAAGTAAATTCTAAATTCATTTGATTTGATACTTTGTATTTCTAACAAGTACATAACTTAATCAATTAAATTACTTATTTCATTTAGTTCATGTAAGACATTTTAGGCGAAGGGGATTTTAAGACTCCTTTTGAGATATTTTGATTTTGTTGCCATAAAGTGATTAAAATTTATATGAAAAATTATTAGAATTAGAATTCTAAAAAAGAATGATATTCATAGTTTATTTATATCATCAGGATTAATTTCAAGGATGCTCTCTTTTTAAATTGCACTTTAGTGTAGTCATTATAAATTTGCAATTTGAAAATTCAATGTTTGAGACTAAGTGATGAATTAAATTGCTATATATTTATTTTGTTAAGAGTTATTAAGTTGAGAAATTATAATATAATTTATTTTTATGATGTCCAAATGCAAGTCTTGCAATGATGAGGGGTTTCTGACATGTCCATTATGTCAGAAAACTACGTATTGTTCTAAAAAGTGTAGAGATTATGATTGGTAAAGATATGAATCCTAATTAAGAGGGCTGTTTCTCATAAATTTGAATGCAAAGCAGAACTGCCCAAGAGAAATGTATAAGATTTTGAAATAGTCAACTAAGGATCCTTAGGAAGAGGAAGCTTTGGTTGCGTGAAATTGGCTCGAGATAGATAGACAGGTTTATTGTATGCCATGAAAATAGTAAATAAATATTTTATTTATAGATTGAAAAATCAGATGTCTCAATAGAAAATTTAAGAAGAGAGATTCGAATATAAAAAAGACTTCAACATCCTCATGTGATATAGTTATTCGAATTTTTTGAGGACGAACAATTTGTCTATTTAATTTTGGAGTATGCGGGTACTAAATCAATCTTATACATAGAAAATGGTTCGTTATTTGGTTATCTGAGAAAGCGAAAGATTTTGCCTGAAAATGAAGCTTTTGTATACTTCTTTTAAACGTGTCTTGGAATAGATTATCTGCATAAAAAATAAATAATACATAGAGACTTGAAACCTGAGAATCTATTACTTGACAAAGATGGCAATATTAAAATTTGTGATTTTGGATGGTCTGCAGAGATGATGATAACTTAAACAAGAAATACGTTTTGTGGCACCATAGATTATATGACACCAGAAATGTTAGAAGATAAGCCTCATGATTAAACTCTTGATATGTGGTGTTTGGGAGTGTTGCTATATGAGTTAATTCATGGCTAGGCTCCATTTAAAGGTAGAAATGATTTTGAAAAATGTTAAAATATTTTAAAGTAAGAATAATTTGAAATTAAAGCAAGTGATTAAGTAAATTATTTTGTAACTTTGTAGGCCAAAGATTTAATTTTAGGACTGATGAAAAGAGAGTCTAAAGACAGATTGGGTATGGACTAAGTATTTGCACATCCTTGGATGTTGGCTATGGCTAAGGGATATCAATTAGAAATTAAGGAATATATTTTTGAAGAGAAAAAGAATCTAGATCAATTAAGCAATAGTCTCAGGTTGGATACCAAATTTTCAAATACAAACACAACAACAACTAGACTGTCTGGCTCAAATAACAAATAAGAATGTGTTTCATTAGCATTTTCTATGTATTCTGATGAATTGTAGCCTCCCATATAAACCAGAATAACTAGAAGGACTTAACATACTGTAAGGAAAGAAAGTGGGTTTTTCGAAACCCTTTTTTAAAATCTAGGCTGCACTAAAAGAAGCTGATTAAATATCATTTTTTTAAAGCATTTATTTTTTGTACTATAGTTAGTTAATTTAATCAAATATTGTTATATATATTTATTAGAAATTGTAATGATAGATTAGTAAACAATAACACTGGATTAAATATATGGATGCAATTTCAAAAGGGTGCCACTTCTCTATGGGGAAATGGAAGGAACGAATCCTTTCCCAATTAATGAATTGGATGAAGATTTGGATTCTGATAAATAATAATAAAACTAGCATAAAATAATCTCCCCACTCTAATTAAAGAGCTAATTAAAACCTCTGATATAAACTAGAAAAAGAAGGCAAACTGTTCATAAGTCACCTGTAAATAAATCTCAATTTGAAAACCATATTGGGTTTCGAAATTCATTTTATAAAAGCAATAATAAGGTGAATCTGGCATCAAGATAGCGAGTTGAGGAATTGAAGAATTAAGAGATTTTGATGTTTACAAAATATGTGCAAAGATTCTAATTGTAAAAGTAAGCACTTTGGAATTGACTTGATTAGGCTGATTTATAGTTTGAAAAGACATCTAATTTTTGTAATTTAATAATTATTATTAATCATAAAATTATAGATAACAGCTCAATTTTATATATTGATTTCTCTCTATTATACTGCTAATATTTATCCTGCATTTTATTTTGATAAATAATTAGAATTATATAATGATGAATTATTGAAGAATCTTATAAAATAATATATAAAAATAATCATGGATTAAGAAATATTTATCAAATAGCCACTGGATGACGAAAAAATAGATCAATCTGATTAGTAAGGAGATGTTTAAATTTTTATAGATAATCTTAGTTAATGTAAAATGAAGAATCACTAGAACATTTGGTCAACTCACTAATTCAAAATTAATAGCCAGATGTGGATGATTAATTTAAGTAATAAATTGGAAAGCGCAGAATTAACGACTAAAGGTATATTTATCAACAATATCAAATAATGCCATCAGATTTACATTCCAAGAAGATAAGCGTATCTTGGAATTAGTTTAATAGGTTGGTCCCAATTTTAACAAAATAGTCAAATAGTTTCCAGGGAAAACAATGAATATGATAAAAAATAGGTATTATAAAAAGCTGCGATACATTAAAGAAGATCTTCAAAATGATCAAGAATAAGTGAAGAAGCATTCTAAATCGAAAAAAGCCAATTGATTTTTTGATTTATTTATAGACTAACTATGCCACTTTTGTTTTGTTTTGTAAAGGCCATGCTTTTAATAATATTTTATTCATATACAATGTTTTATTATTTTTATTAATTAAAATATTTATATTAACAATTTACTTCTATGTAATCATAAAAGAGAGGATAACAACATAAACAAGGATATCAAGCAGATTTAAATAAATATTTTGGAAAGAGATTAAAAATTAAGTTGAATGCAAAACGAACAATTATTGGTACAGTAATTGGGTAAAATCGATTCTTATTAAAATTAGATTTGATATTTTCATGAATCTAGTGCTTGATCATTGCAAAGAGTTGATTCCAGGATAAGGAGCAGAAAATAAAGATAATCTGTATCCAGGCTTTTCAAATGTCACAGATCAACTAGTAGATATTGGTTAAGCAATTGTGAGAGGTAATTCAATAATCATGTGGGAATGTTTGGATAAAGTTAAAGACTGACTTGAATATATAAACAATACAATGAATATGAATTAATCGATTGATTTATTTAATCATCTCTATGATTGTGACCAATGGATTTATAAAAAATTAAAATATTTCCAATCTTTCATTCTTCAAAAATTATTATTTCTGTTCTATTAGAAATATTGTTATTAAAATGTAGTATGTAGTGAAATAAATTAAGGAAGATATTAATGAACAAATTATTCTTACTTTACAAATCATATTTATGATTATAAGCATTAATTTCAAATATATCTTAATAAAATATATTGGTTTGATGCATCAATCAGTTGTCACACTCCTTATTAAACAGTTCAACTAAAACAATAAATTAAATTAGAAATGTTTTTTGTAATAATTAAGAATACCTTTTATTTCTATATTTTGATACACTCTATATTTTCTTTGTTGAGTTTATTGATATGTTTGGACAATGATATAGATCACTTTGAAATTTAATGCCCAAGAGTAAATATATATTTTATTTTAGTTGAGCAATTCAATAAAAGAAGTCATCGCAGGGATATTCAAACCATTTTTACCTGAAGTTATTGAATTTTTAGTTGGCAAAATATTGATGCAAGATTTACGGATAGTGAATGCTCTTATATTTTCAGGAATTTTGGAAGTGGTCTTAGCAATATTAGGAGCATTGTAATATCGCATTTAATTTTAAGTTACTATATTATGGTTGAAACACCAAAGCCTATCTAAAAGAGCATGAGATTAATAGCAAAGTTGTTTTTCTTTATTGGAATAATATTATGGGTAGCCATCTATTGTAGTGGAATTGGATTAAGGAAATTACTTGAGATAGTGCACATAGTTTATTAAAATCCATAGAACGTAGAGAATTATACAAATGATTTATCAGACTTTATACAAAAGAGACAGGAAGAAATTCTGGAGTATTATTTCTGATTGCATAATCATATTCTAAATTAGATTACATGAATAGTTAAATAAAGATATAAAGTTTTATGCCTTTTAAATATTATTGTCATTATTTCTGTAGGAAATATGATGAGTTTATTATCTTACATTCAATTACTTATTTAAAATCCCATTAAATCCGTACTAAGAATCAAATATTATTAACGTTATTAGGTGATTTTAATTTCTAAAGATTTCCCATAAGGAGTAAGTTATGAATGTATTTGTTTTTAAGAATTGAACAGTTCTATAAATATAATAATTCCTAGTATGTATAAATAATAAAAATAAGTTTATTAATTATGGACTTCTATTTTAAATAGATTTCTATTCATATATTTATGTAAATAGAGATAGATGGTTTATATGTTTAAGATAGCAACTATTATTTGTTAAAAATATCTTCTAAAGAATAAAAATATCCAAATTATTTTCTTAGTGTTTGAGCGAACTTTTCATGAAAATATTAATTATTTATTCCATAAAGATGATATTGAATCAATTGTAATTAAGATATTTGTAGGATAAAAGTAATTTATTTAGATAGTATAGTAATTTTATATTCTAAGCATTCAAAATGATTTAACCTAGAAAGATTTTAATTGATTAAGATCTATGAAGAATCTAATGTATTGAAATATCTACATTATATTTTAAATTGTATATATTTATAATAGCATGTATTTCTAAACATAAATTTAATTTTATATAATTTACATATATATGAATTAATTCAATTTTGCCTAATTTATGTATACTTGGTGTTTTGATATTATTTACCCTCTCCTTCTAGATTAAATACATTGCTTAAATTGATGCTTTCATTAACTTCACCAGGATTATAATTGTCATTATTATCATTTTTTTTTTCAGGCTCTTCTTCAATTACAAAAAATTCCTTCTTAGTCATAGATGTATCCATTCTATTTTACAATTTTTCATCATCCTAAATTTACTCAGATTTAGGAACATCTTTGAAATTTTTGGAATTATTTTAATATTTAGGTTACTATTTCTGATTTCTCCTACATAATCTATATACAATAATCATTATTATTAAAATTCCAAAGATTACTCCAAAAATGAGAATCCATTCAGTTGTAGAATCAAGTTCAACAAGTAATCTTGAAACCATTGTACTATGAGTTTTTAATTTAAATAAACAATAAATATAAATCTATAATGACTAACATTGTCATAATTTTTACAATTATCTCCATTTGTGAGTTACCCTATCCAAGATCTTTTTCCAGTCTTCCTTTTATTATTTTTCAGCCAATATTTACTAAAATTCGATTTCTGTAATTTTAACAATATTTTTATGAATAATTTATTAATCTAATAACAATTCAATTGCTATTAGTGAAGCATAGCTACAAATTATTGAAAATATCATACTGATTATCCTCAGCAGCCTTCTTTTTTAAATCATCAAAACTATCACCTATAATTTTGATAATTTTATTGGTTAAGTTTTCCTCTAATTTATTTCTTTCAACATCATTGATCTCTGCATCAAATTGAGTTGAATCTTTCATAAGAGCATCCTTGCAATTTGCAAAAAAGATCTTATAATATTCTTATTCATTTTTTGTATAATTCAATATATTCCATTTTGTTCCTTTAATCAACATGTCCTCGCCAGAATCACACGTTTCTTCAATCAATTAAACCAAGAGACTACTATAAGCCACCACAAGTCTTGATAATTAGAGAACGCATTCTTCAATGGATTAATCTGACCTTAATATTCTTTTTAATTGATCCAATTTTTGATATAATTCTAAATTCACAAAATGACGAAAGGCTATATCCTATTTCATTTATTATAAAAAGACCAATTGTTTACACAATTAATCTCCTGTCATCTTTTATGATTGTTTTTACATCCAACTAAGATTTTAATCGTTGTACAATTTCTGTAAGGTAGGATTATTAGAGACCAAGCCTTTTTCCATACTTTCAAACATTTGAAATACTTAATCCCATTAAATCCTTTCAGATTCTTCCACTATTAAGGCTTTGGTTAAAAATTCTCTTGTAAATTCTGTAATGCCATTATGCTTAAAGACTAAAGGCTTCATTAAAATATTTTTTAATAAATCTTGTTCATCTCTTCCTTTCCAAGGAACATCATGAAATACCATTTCGTAAAAGATGACTCCTATAGACCATATGTCGCATTTTGTAGAATAGGTTTTTCTCTATAGAATTTGAGGAGCCATATATAAAGGAGATCCAACGCAAGATCTCAGCAATTAAGAAGTATAATTATCAACGTATTTCGCAAATCCAAAATCTGAAAATACATCGAATGAAATTGATACCTGCTATTTTGACAATACCTTCATGGTTAAGGATATTGGCAGGTTTTAAATCCCTGTGAATCACTCCTTACTTAACTAGTTCTTTGAATCCATTTATGATTTATAACATAATTCCTTAAGTCTATTCAAATAGTGGATAAATATTGTGATACTTCTTGTTCTGATATTCTTTTTTTTTAGATGAACTCTTTCAAATCCCCATCTTTGCATAGTTCTGTTATTATATATAAGGATCTTTGAGTTGTAATGAGATCAATAAATCTAACAATATTAGGATGATTGAATTTCTTGAGTATCTCAATTTCACTGACAATTTAGTTCCTTAAATAAGTATCCCTTTCAAAAAGTGCTAAATCCATTTTCTTGATGGCAACTATTTCATTTGATTTGATATCTTATCCTTAGAACACTTTGCCATAAGCTCCTTCTCCCAAGCAGTGTCTCTCATTGTACTAGTATTAACCGATCTATTTAACACTCCTATTCATTTGACTCATAAAAGGATATATTAAGTATATTATAATATATAATTATATTATGCTTATATAAAATTATATTCACATTTTATGTTTGAACGTGGAAAATACCTAAATTGATTTATTACATTTAAATGTAAATTTTCCATATAAATATGATTATCTATATCAGTTTCCATAAAATAATACGCATAATTTGATTATAGAGTGACATCGGTGTTTATTTATGACGGATTACTTTTAATTTATAATTGAGAATTGATAGTAAAGATAAGCATAAATATTTTTTAAAATATTATGAACAATATCGATTAATTCTTCATTACCCATATATAATAGTTTGTTCCATCTTGGAGTCATCTTTAGAGTGATGATTTGAGAATTACTAAGACAATAGGAATAACAAATAAGACTTACATTATTGAGGCAGATGCTACTCCAAGCAAAATAATCTTTCGTCATTTTGGTGAGGTTGGAGTTGGATTATTTTTGAACAGAGAATAAGAATTGCATATAGCAAGACAAGTAGCTAAATGTAAAATGGGTCCTCATTTTTATGGTCACACTTAACATGTAACAACTAATTTAATAATAAAAGGTTCGTTTGGAAGAATACATTGAGAATGAGGTCATGAGTCAGGAGTCAATGAAAGATCCTGAAACTTACACATAAGTGGCTTAGACTTTGTGCAAGTTTCATCAGATAGACGTGTCTAATCAAATGAATGACAGAACACCTTTGTTTGAAAAAAACTTGGAAGAAAATTCAGATTTCTTATAGTAAGTAAGAGAGAAGGTTTGTTCCAACTTATTCTCTGAAGAGGAGAAGTCTATTCTATCTAACATGGCTCATTGGTTCTAGGAAGAGGAAGTTAAATTTTTGCAATCAATTTTACCAAAAGATGACATAGTATTTTCCCACAACGATCTCTTAGCAAATAATATCTTAATGATTCCTCCTGTAATTATACATTCTTATCATCAATTAGAATTTCGATAAGGTGATGTTCATCGATTTTGAGTATTCCTCCTATAACTTCAGAGGATTTGACATAGCCAATTACTTCAATGAATCACAATTTAGTTATCTAAACCCAAATCCACCTTACTTTTATATAGAAGAAGGGATGATTGATGAGGAGATCTTGAAGGACTTTGTCAAAGTTTACATTGAGAAGTCAGGATTAGATTTAGACTATCAAAATTTACTACACCAAGTCTATATTGGGTAGTTATTCTCACATTTCTTTTGGGCGTAATGAATTAATTTTATAATTTGTAGAGCATGGGGTATCATCATGGCTAAATCAAATGATATTGTTTTTGATTATCTTTCTTTTGTCGAAGTTAGATATCATAAATATTACTAACTAAAGAAGCATCTTTTTGGAAAAAAATGATCAAAATAATAATAAATGTTTTATTAGTATATATAAATTTAATGGTCTATTTAAACTTGTTCAATTATTACAATTGTTCAAATTTACATAAATTTAATACTCAAAATTTACAAAAATCAAAATTAAAGAATCACTTCAGATTACTTGGTCTAAACTATGTAAAGTATGAAATTGACATTTTATATCATTAAATTAAATATGAGTAAAATTAAAGTGTTGAGTGTCACAGGCAATCCTGACTTAATACATTTCAGAACTCTTCAGAAGACTGAAAGAAAAAAGACATATGAGATTTAAGAAATGCATGAGGTATAGACTTTTTTCAATATACTATCAGTCAGAATATGATCATGAAATGAAAATTCTCAAAAGAGATGCCTCCCTAAGAATCTAACTAAAAAGATTGCAACCACTATCAAACCAAGAGCCCTTTACAATTGATGATTCATTTACTTCCAAAACTGTTAAAAGGTGGACATAATTTATAGTAATTTAGGCCATTGTTGTTAATTCAAAATGGTACTCCAATGGTGCATTCCAATAGACGTACCAAATTTACTCAAAGTTTAATTAACTAAGCATATGAATCCTAGTTATCTTTTTTTAATTCAAGAAAGAACAGTATATACTACGATATTTATATAGCTTATGTATAAATGATCCTATCAATTGACGAATAACTCTATCCAATAATAATTGAATTGTATACAGAATATGCCCCCAAAGCATGCGAAAATTTTGTAAAGTTTTGCGAAGGAGTCACAATAGATGGAGATTATTATACATATAAAAATACTAAATTTCAGAAATTTAAACCAAATGGTATGTACATTTTAAACTTTAGGATTCTTATAAGGTGGATAATTTGCAAAGAAAGTGTCTATATATGGAGATTACTTTGAAGATGAATCCTACGCGCTATAACATGATTGTGAAGGTATCATAGGATAAGTAAACGATGGATTTCAACATACAAATCATTCCTAGTTTTACGTTACACTATCCCCAATGAGCTACTTTAACTTTAAAAGAGTTGCATTTGGGAAGGTCATAAGAGGAATGAAACAGTTTTCAAAAATTTTAAAAAAAGATTAAATATCTCCCAACATCATTATTCAGGAATGTGGACGTTATGACTAATAAGCGTAAATACGAATGAAGTTAGAGAAATTCTCTGAAGATTTTGCAAGTGTGTTACCTTAAAATGCTGAATCATTCAATAAGTTTATTGATGCTGAACAGGAGAAACACAGTGAAGCCCAAGGAGATTTTACTAAATTAATAAAGTTTTTAGTTGAATAAATGAAATAGATTTCGAAATTTGCATATTCGTTAACTGCAATAAAGAAAGCTATATAATAATTGAACGAGTAATTTCAAAAGAATCAATTATGTTTGATGTTATACATCTTAGACAATCAATAAGTCCTATTCGCTGATAATTAATAGGGAAAATATCTAGTAGTATTTAGGGCAATAGAGGGTACTGATTCATGTAGAGCATCGGCATTTATTGTATTTAAAAAATAAACAACGATGTTCAAGAATGTGAATTTAAATGATCTGAAATAGAGTGGAGAATAAGTGGTGGGAATATGTTATTGTGTCTATGGAACAACAACTCAATTGGTCTTTGGAACTGGTTATAATTTGAGTATGTTCACACTTTAGAATAATGAATTCAAATTATAATAAAAAGAGTATGTAGATGATTTGATAATGATAGACTATAAATCCCCAAAACTGAAACATTTTATTGTTCAGATATCAAGGATGATTTTATATAATAGAAAATCATTTCTAGTTTACCCACTAATAACATGAGGTACACAAATAGTATCTTTACAACCTTACATCGTGTAGTAAGACTTGGAGGTCTGGCTATGTATAAGGATGTGACAATTTTCGAGGCAATGATTTGTGCATTCACTTTAGCAAGATCATGGGGCTGGTCATTTTGTGCAGGAACAAGTACATAATCTATTGCTAATTAGCTACATTCAATTAAATAAAGGTCAAAAATGTTAACCAATTAACTTATCTTTATTTAGGTTAATAGAAATGGGTCTAGAGAATAGAGAATCATTTTTTATCGATAGTATGAGCAATTAATAATTTGTGAAGAATGTGTAATTATAATAATTTAGTATATGAATCATATTAAAACAAATTCGAGATCCCTGCAACATAAGGCTAGTCCCTCTTTATTTTTGAATTTGTTGGGATTTGATTCTGAACTCCAAATGTTAGTGTTATTCCAAACACCCCATCCCATATTCTTAGCGATATTGATACCAAAGGAATAGAGCTCTACGGTTGTGCAAAGATGATAACTAAAAGGGCATGATTTCGCCTATTCAAATTAACAATTTTCACAATGCAATAACACCCAATCTCCATTCAATTAAAATAATTAAGATGATGCCAGAATTTCCCATTCCTCTATCTTTCTGTTAAATAGTTTCAATGTATCTAGATTGAATGAGGGTAATTCATTCTCTAAACCAATTTTCAGTTTTTTAAAACTAATGGCTTTTCCTGATTGCAATTTTGCACATTCAATTCCATTCACAAATAGTTTAATTGATTTATCTGATAACACCAAGAACAATTGATACCATAATTAAGGCTACAACCTCATGTTGGAAGCAACACTTTATGAATTTTCTTTAATGGCAAATGTGGGAATGGTGGTATCAACAACAATGGAAACTGAATTTTAATGATCTTCTATTTCATCAAAAAGAGTCAGGATATTTCCGACTTCTTTTATTTTTCTTCCAATTTCTTCAAACATTATCTAAAAACTGACAGTCCATTATGAACCTTCAAATGAGGGAACAAATTAGACTTCAAATTCAGAATCCTTTTTGAAATATACCCCAGTTCCCATCATTGAAGATGATCTCGATAACTCATTGATGTTGGTAATGTGATTATGAGGACCTGAATCTACTAATTTATCTAGATCAAAATTCCAAAAGCCAAAATATGGCTAATACTTTTCCCTTATTTTCATTCCAGGAGCACACAAGGTTTGGACATTTAGACCGCAATCATATTCTTCAAGTGAATATATTGTCAATATGAATAAGTTTATAAATATAAACATTTCTGATGATTTTATTATTTAACATTTGAACTGAGTTGAATTTTGTAATTAAGTTTAAAATAAAAAAAATGGACTAAATATCAGATGAGGCGATCAATGCTATGCCAAAGAAACCACAAAATGCTTACATGTTATTCAGAGCGGATACTTATGATGACCTTAAGAAAAAGAACTAAGATAAAAGTATGACTGAATTGACTTCAATGATATCAGCCTTGTGGGGAGAGTTGGAAGACAAGAAGAAGGAAGTATTTCATTTATTAAGAACTCTAAATTAGAAATACAACAAAGATTATGACAAGGCTACTGAGTAATACAAGACTGATTATGCCGGGTGGTTGAAGAAGTACAAGTTGGATGAGGATAAAGTAAAGAAGTTTCTCAAGGACAATAAATAAGCTAAAAAGAGGAATAAGAAGGGTTCCAAGAAGGTTACTAAAGCTTCAAAGAATGAAGACGAAAGTGACGATGAGGATGAACAGAAAATTTAGTCATTAAAAAATAAGAACTAAAAAAAACAATAAGAGTAGAAGGAGTAGAATGTGTAAAAGAACACTAAAGACAATAAGGAGTAATAGAAACCCAAGGTAAATCCATAATAATAGAAGGAGAAGGATAAGAAAGAAAACAAGAAAAAGTGATTAATTTATAATAAATTATAATTAAAATAATTCCTTATAATGAGTTAAATTGAATAACTTTGCCAAGACTCCAATTTATCATGCGGAAGGGGAATTTTTATAGGAATTTATGCTGGATTAATTTTTGCAATTTCAATCTATTGTTTAATAAAGCTTTATGGATTTATGGGCAGAATATCCTATGAAATGATACCTTTAACCACATGTGCCATTCAATCTTCTTTGCATTTCATCAATGACATCTTTTTAGTTACAAACTCTTTATAAATCGTTATAATTTACTTTTGTTTACAAACTTTCATATTGATTTCGCAAAGCTTTTTTCATTTGTACTACAAAATGACGTATTCTTCTGAAGAATTTTAAGGATATCGATAGAAATAAAAGTATAGCTTGTTAATATTTTAAATACTTTTTACAACAATAATCCTAGTATATTTGATTTAACTAGATGATTAGAATTGTTTGGTCTATTTCAACTTAGGATTAGCTCTATAATTCATAATTATTTTATTTAGTGTGTTAATATCAATACTATATGGTTAGAAATTAAAATAAGTTATGAACAAACATGAATAAACAAACGTGACAAAAATAGCAAATTATTAAACGACAGCTGTGTAGATAGTTTTGACCACTACTGCAGTTTTTGAATTTATTATGTCAATTTTATCACTTACCACATTTTAAGGATTGTTTTGTAATTTACCATTAAATAATTCTAATGGTGATGGATTTACATCTGGAGAGAATGTATACTTGACTTTCTTCTCCATTATAGAAATGACTCCTTGTATTTTAGTACCGATAATTTTTTTCTACCTCCCATAAATATCATAATAATAAAACCAAAAGCAAGAGTTCAACTTGAATGACACATTTTTATTATAATCTGCAAGACCATCTTTGGATTTCAGTGGATTAATAAATATTTCTATTGAATTAAAATAATGAAATTATTCACTTTATTTAAAAATATATTAAGAGATTTTGTGTATACAACAGAAATTGGCGCAATATAATTATATAATTAATTAAAAAATGCCTCCCAAAAATAATCAGAGTGGATTCATGTCTGTGGAATAGAGATCAGAAATAGGAGATTTCTCCAGACATACTCCAGCAAGATCTCTTGTCTAACCTCGTAATAGGTCGATTCTAGCCACGGCATCTAGGAGAACAGGAACATAATCCTAACATTCTCCAACAAGAATGACTGTTGAAACTCATGAAGCAGTTTATTGGGGAACAAACATAGACGAAAGAGCCATTGAGAAATAGTTTGATAGATTTTTAAAAGAATACAGATATGGAGGAATGGAATACTATATGAGTCAATTGAATTAATTAAATGAAACAGACCAATTCATCTTAAATATAGATGGCAGACATTTACTAGAATTCAATAACCATTTGTATTAGCAATTAATTCATTATCCAGCTGAAATTATTCCAATTTTTGATACTGTTGTATAAAAGGTGTTTTATGATGACTTTTTATCTTTGAAAGCAAGAAACGAATAAGAGAGAGAAGAATTCAGATTATATGCTTAAAGACTTTTGATTGGTATTATAAATCTGGAGAGGAATGTTCAAGTGAGGGAATTGAACCCTAAGGATATAAATAAATTAATTAGTGTTACAGGAATAGTCATCAGATGTAGTGAATTATATCCAGATATGAAATAAGCTACATTCAAATGCACAAAGTGTGGTCACTAAGTAGGAGTGAATATTGAAAGAGGAAGAGTTGAAGAACCAATCAGTTGTCAAAGATGTAGAGACAAGAACTCCTATGAACTCATCCATAATCTCTGTTAATTTACAGATAAACAATATGTTAAGTTGCAAGAGTAACCTGAAAATGTACCTGAAGGCTATACACCATAAACTGTAAACTTGGTACCTTATGATTATAATGTGGATGATGTGAAACCAGGAGATAGAATCATAGTTGTTGGAGTTTACAGAGCTGCTCCTATTAGATAGACTAAAAATAGAAGAGTCTTAAAATCTATTTATAATACATTTATTGATGTCATTTCATATCAAAAAGAAACAAAAATAGAATAAGAAAAAACTAAAAATATTACTGAGGAATAGAAATAAAAGTTAATGTACCTTTCTTAATAACCAAATATTTACGATAGACTAGTTAAATCAATTGCACCATCTATTTGGGAAATGGACGATGTGAAAAAAGGAGTTCTTTGTTAGCTTTTCGGAGGAACAAACAAAGAATTTTCTTAAGCTGGTAAAGGAAGATTTAGAGCTGATATTAATGTACTATTAGTAGGGGATCCCTCAACAAGTAAGTCTTAGATATTATAATGCGTTCATTAATTGTCCAGTAGAGGAATTTATACTTCAGGTAAAGGGTCTTCAGCAGTTGGTCTTACTGTGTATGTATCGAGAGATCCAGAAACAAGAGAGATCATTTTAGAATCTGGAGCATTGGTACTTAGTGATATGGGTATCTGTTGTATTGATGAGTTTGATAAAATGGATGAAAATGCTAAGACAATATTACATGAAGCCATGGAATAATAAACTATATCTGTAGCCAAAGCAGGTATTGTTAGTTAGTTGAATGCTAGAACTGCTGTTTTGGCTGCTGCCAATCCACTCAAATCAAGATATGACGTCAAATAATCAGTTGTTTAAAATATCAATATGCCTCCAACTATTTTGTCTAGGTTCGATCTCATCTATCTAGTACTTGATGAATTCAATGAAAAAAGAGATGAAATGTTAGCTTATCATATTTTGAATATGTATTCACTCAAAGACTAATAAGATTACTTAAATTAAATAGAAGAAGAAGGAAACACTGATCTGATTGACAGAGAAACTTTGTATAGTTATATATGTTATGCAAAATAAAACATATTTCCAAGACTAACTGAAGAGGCACAAAATGAATTGATTGCTGCATATGTCAAGATGAGAAGTGCTGGAAACTCTTCAAATACTATTACAGCTACTCCAAGATAATTAGAATCCTTAATTAGATTGTCTGAAGCCTTGGCAAAAATGTAATTCAATCAAAGAGTTGAAAATTATCACGTCTAAGAAGCAGTTAAGTTAATGGAAACTGCCATGAAGAAGGCAGCTCTTGATCCAATTACTGGTAAATATTAATTTATATTTCTAGGTAAAATTGATATGGATTTATTGGCCACTGGTAGATCCAATGCTTCAAGAGAATTAGTTTCTAAGTTTATCGTTGAAATCACTAACTTAATTAAAGCCAATTTATCTGATTACAGGGGATAAGGTGTCAGATTTTTTGATTTTGTAGAATAAGTAATCATATGTAATGATTTTTAGATCAACACAATAATAACAGCCTAAACAAATGAATAAACTATAGTTGATAAGAGGCAGTATTAAAAGGAAATCTTAGAAGCCTTACATTTACTTGAAGAATAAGGTTTTGTCTAATTACCAGGTGACAGAAACAAACCAAAAATTAAAGCTGGTATTAAAGCTCTTTAATGATTTATATTATGTAATTTTATATAATATTATATTTTTTTAATTAACAGATGGACTCCCCTTTAAAAGATATGACTGGAACGATTGTCAATAAGTATTATTTCCATTAAATTAGGCAATATAAGCTCATTAAGAAATTAGGAGCTGGCGCTTTTGGTGAGATTTATTCTTCGTAATCTAATGGATTAGAATATGCTATTAAAATAGAGAAATCTGATTCAAAACATCCATAGTTAGAATTCGAATCAAAACTATATCACTATTTGAATAATCATAATGGATAAGGAATTCCTAAATATTATGGCTATCATTAGCAAGATGGTTATAACTTTCTAGTTATGGAATTACTTGGCCAATCACTTGAGGATATTTTTTCTGAAAACAATCGCATATTTACGTTGCAAACAGTCTGTGTCCTTGGAATTCAAATGTTGGAATGCATAGAGTTTCTACACAGCAAATAATTCATTCATAGAGACATTAAACCAGATAATTTTTTGATGGGCAAATCCTAAAAAGATAGAGTATATCTGGTAGACTATGGATTAGCTAAGAGGTACATTTCAAAGGATCTACACATTCCTTACAAAGATAATAAAGCCTTAACTGGAACTGCCAGATATGCTTCTATCAATACGCATCTTGGAATAGAGTAATCAAGAAGAGATGATTTAGAATCTTTAGCCTATGTGTTAATGTATTTTTTAAGAGGGTCTCTCCCTTGGCAAAATTTAAGAGCAAATAATTAAAAAGAAAAATACGATAGAATCATGGAAAAAAAGTTAGCCACATCTTCAGAAACTTTATGCAAGAATTACCCTTAACAATTATTATAATTCGTTGATTATACTAAGAATTTAAAATTTGATGAGAAACCAGATTATTAATTCATTAAAAATCTCTTTATTCAAATTATGTAAGAAAATGAATTAAGAATGGAATACATATATGACTGGGATGATGAAGATACATAAAGAGATAAAATTTAAATTAGAAATGAGGAGAAAACCAGTTTACTAAAAAATAATAAATAAACCAGCAATACCTAATAACGCATTAATAAGCATTAAGAAAATAAAAATATCAATAGCAACAGCATTTATATGAGAAATTGTAGCAATGTCAATAATAAATACAGTATTGGTAGAACAAAAACTAATTCTATCGGATCAATTAATAAAATTGTTGTTACGAAAACCAAATAAATTACTAATAATACAATTAATAGTTTGACTAATCAAAACACATTACCAAATAATAATAATAATAATAATAAATTACATCAAAACTTAGCAAAATAGATTATCAAGAAGCATTCTAGTTTACACTACTAATGATTAAATTAATTATAATTATAATTGTTTTATATTAACATTTGTTAATTTTCTAACTTGCTCTCCATTTTTATAATTTTTCTTACAATTAACTACCAATTAAATTAAATTAAAAAATATTTATTTCCAAATTAATGAAATCAACATAAATGATTAAATTATTAAGATCTATAATTTTTTTAGATATTTGTGATAAACAATTATTCAAATAATACATAAAATTGACTTTATACTTATATTATTATTATATATTTGGACCAATCTAGAAATGATATTATTCTAGGTTAAAGCAATATACTAAATTCTTATTAGCCTAACATATTATTATATATAAATAAACTTTCAAGAACAGCTCAAATAAAACTATGCAAAAGTAGCTAGAGCAACTAGAAATCCCAAGAGGACAATCTTTCACATTTGATTCTAATAGGCCATTTATTTATTACTATTCTGTTGCCAAACCATTACCTGATAATATAGTTGATGATTTAGTTGTTTGTTGTTAGATAAGAACCTGGTTAATAAAATAGTTGCCCAAAGTTTGGTTTTTAATGGCTAGTACGACAGCTCACATTTTAATAGAGAAACAACAACCTAAGTTTGTGACTCAAAATTTTATTTTGGACATATTCATTTATAGTTGGTTATCAGATGGGCTGGCAAACTTGAAAAAGGAATTGACAAATAGATTAAGCAAATTGATAGTTGAAAATGAGAAATTAGAAAGGCTAGTCGATATATTTACATAAGAAATTGTCTCAGTTTAAGAAGAGTTTTCAAAATTTCATAAATCAGAATACCTTCTCAATTATAATGATAGTTGTGTACAACCTTTAATAGTATTTCGAGAAAAAGGAAAAAATGAGAACTAATCACTAATAAAAAGAATTGATGAATTAAATGTTGATGACGATAGTAGAGATTCAACATTATCATCTTCCTAAATTTCTCAAACACTTACAAATAAAGACATTGATAGAAGTAAATCTGATGTTAGAGAAGTCACAGCAGCACTTTAAAATAGTAAGATGAGAAAATTTACCAAGTAAATGGAAAAGATGACACAAAATGTTTTTTCAGAATTAATTAAATATAATGCGTAAGATCAATAATGGCAAATAGCTAGATAATTTGTTGTCATTATATTAGAAACTAGCATTTAGTCTGATCACTATTTAAAAACCTAAGAAAAAGTTAGATTTTTATAGCCGGCTTTGCTTTTTTATAAAAAGGCATTATAGGTTTGGATTCTGGCAAAATTTTCATCTCAATAATTTAACTAAGCAACTAGAAATTCGTAAGAAAATAAAGTAAGAATATAATAGTAATCTAGATGATATTCAGCTAATTCTTATGTAAAGCTAAAAACTTTATGGGGAAATTTTGGAATGAAAAACTAGTTATCCCTCTGCATACAGTATTTTAAATTGCAGAGCAAACTTATCCTGAAGTATAATAAGAAAAAAATGTTATCGAAGTATGTCAATTTTAATATTTTAGTAAATGAAAAAGTTTTCTATTTTATTAAAGGAAAAACTCGTAGCATTATGGGACCAAAATTTGGCTCAATGCACAAAATAGCTTATTTAATAATAATGATTAATAATTAAAATTAATTGAAAATCTAATATTAGAATTTTTCAAACGATATATATACTAGTTCTCAGTTTTTTTCTGTTACACTTGATTATATGTTAAGCATCCCCGAATTCATCAATGTCATAGATAAATGAGCTTTATCCTTTCTAACTTATTTTAATTAGGATTGTAAACTGTCAATCTTTATTTTTTGAGAATTAGTTTCATCCTTTAATTGCATGATTTGACTTTCGTATTCTTGAACTTATTTCTCATTCAAAGCAATTCCACTCATTTAAGATGACATTATTTGTTATTTCATTTCTTTACTATTCTTTTTTAAATCGTTTATACTCTTTTCATGAATGGATATTAATTAGTTTTTCTGTTTTATTTCTTCCTATAAACCCTATAATACATTTTCTAATTCAACTATTTAGTGCTTATATTCATTTGTTTTCTGAATAAGATGTTTATTTAACTAATAAATAAAAACATGTAAATACCTCTTTTTCTTTATCGATATTATCTCCTTTATTTCCTAATTTCAAATTTCCTAATTACTCAATATTATTTTTAAGTTCTTTTATCTGATTATTCAGCTTGTATTCATTTTTTGCCTATTATTCAACCTTCTTCGATAACTCGGCTATAGTTATTTTTTATTATTTTATTTAGTTGAAGTAGGCTTCATTTTCTTTTTCATTATTATAACTAACATTAGATAACTTTTCTTGAAATTCGCTGAGTTAAGTTTTATAAGTGAAATTAATTTCAATTACTTAATTAAGATTGTTAATAAGTTCATCTAATTTTTATTTTTTTTCTTCTAATTCCGTTCTAAGATCTAGGTTTTAAGATTTCAAATCATTATAATTTTAATTTTAGGGTTAGACGGAATTCATTTCTTTTAATTTTTGATTAAGGTAAGCAATCTAATTGATATTTTCTCTATTCAGATTTTTTGATTAAGTTTCTAGTTAAGATAATTAATCATTCAGCATTTAAATTTTGTCTTATTACTTTTTAATTGTTTCTACTGCTGTTTTATATTCTTAATTCAATACTTAAACTTTTTATTCCAAAAATAATTGTTATTAATCTTTGGCTTATTATAAACTATTTTTTTCATTTTTTAACTTATTAATAATTTCGTCATAATGATTTTGAATTTGTTATTTTTCCTTTAGATTTTTTTAAGACACCTCATCCAATTTATCATTTAGCTCTTTTAGATGATTCTTTTTTACGGATTCTAAATCTTTAGCGTTTTATGATTCAATATTAATGATTTATTGACTTAGAATGATGTTATGTTATTTTAATTCATCAATTACTTGTTCTAAAGACATCATGTCCTGAGTATGATTTTGAATCATATCTTTGATATTATGCTCATATTTTTCTAAGGCTTAGTTAAACTCATTCTACAATCGTTCTAATTCAAATTATTTTTCTGATAGTAATTCTTCCTTAGTACTCAAATCTTGCACTCTTTTTTCTAATTAATTTGAAAGCTCTTTGGTTTAAAATATTAGCGAATTTAACTATTCTTATTTATCATTAACATCCTTTTATAATGAGTTAATTTTATTGTTGAGCAATTTTGTAGATTAGTTCAATTCATTAACTTTTAGGTTGTACTTTTGCTACCATTAACTTTCTATTTTTTATTTTTATTCACTTTCATTGTTCTTAATTTGTTGCAGTTCTCTTTGGTGTGATAATTGCATAGTTTAAATCTAATCATTATACTATTTTTATTGAATTATTTTATTTTATTCATTAGCAATTAGTTGTTATTTCTATTCATCGTTTTGCTTAATAAGTTAGTCCAACTATTTTTGTTGTTCTGCAATTTTTTTATTTGATTATGCTAGTGCTTTTTTTAACTAGGAATAAAGGGTTTGTGTACTTCATTATTAGCCTGAATAAAGAATTCAAGTTGTTCAGCCTATCGCAGGATATTAGCATTTTATTCTTTCATCTTTTAAGGGTCTTATTGCCTCACAAATGGTGCACAACTACTTTAAGGAGAAGAAAGGGTAGGTTAAACTACAAAATCAGGTTAAGTTTGCAAAGGTGTCACTTGACTCTAACCATTAATTGTTGGTTAGTTTCGTCGAGGACTATTTACATTTTGAATTTAGTCTAATTTGGCTATCAATCCTGATACATCCCTAGTATAATCAACAGTTTTTACTGCTAAAATTGTTTCTAATCATTTATTAAGGATTGAAGAACTTAAGGGGATTTGATTGATTAGGGTGTTTGTTGGGGAATCGATATTACTTTTGATGGGTCTAAAGTTAATTAAAAATTACTTTGAGGTGTAGGTTAGTATTGCTAAATCATAGAACTAATATTTGATAATTTTTATCCAAGTTATTGATTTTACATTGTGGATTAGCAGTTAATATAATTTTATAATAAATAATAATATTTAAAAGGAAAGAACTAATGTAAATTAAAAGTGAATAATATCTAAATAATTTTAAGTAGATATTTTCAACATCAGTTTTCATTGATCAATTATTTGGAGATTCATCTAAGTTTAACCATTTGACTCTTTTACCATTTTCCCACAATCCCTCTTTTTTCTCACCATTGGGCAAAGTAATCATTCCTTTTCCATGTTATTTGCCGTTAATCCAATATCCCTCGTACTTTCTTCCATTTTCCCATTAGAAAATCCCAAAACCATGTTTTTTATCATCCTTGTAATCTCCATCATATCGTTTCCCGTCTGCCCATTGAGTGATACCCTTTCCATTCATCTTACTATTATTCCATTAACCTTTATATGACTTACCATCTTTCCAATAATATTCTCCATATCCAGTGATGTCATTCTCAACGAAATCTCCTTTATAGTAGCTACCATCAGCAAATGTGAGAGTGCCTTGACCATGTTTCTTTCCATTTTCATATCTACCCTAACAATATAGTACTCATAATCTATATACTTCATATTTAGCACCATCTGGCCAAACCTCCACTCCTTAGCCATGCTATAAATCGTTCTTCCAATCTCCTTCATATCTGGCCCCGCCTAATTTATTATCCAATTTAATAACCACTATGAATGTAAACTCCACGACCGTTTGCCATGTCATCCAACCATTAACCTTCATAAATATCACCATCCACATGCACTTTAATTTTATAATTTTAATCTACCTAGTTTTCCAAATCCATTAGCCTTATCTTCGACCCACTCTCCTTCATAAAAGCTCCTATCGGGCCAAACGTATTTCCCTTAACCGTCTCTTAAGCAATTTTTCCATTCCCCTTCATAAACTCCTCCATTTTTCATTTCTATTGCACTCAGCTTCATCCTAGTAAATTTTCCTTTCGTCGATTAAACTAATGACAAATATTATTCCTCTGGTTTGTTATCGTCTACACTCTCATCATAATATTTTACCATTTTCCCTTTTCATTAATTTCGGAGAAGAACTGTCCTCTATTGAATTGTTTCTTGCTCCTGCCATTTAAGCAACGTCTTCATCCTTAAGATGCGCCCCGTTTTTCTCTTTTCCCTAATCATAATTTCTCTTTTGTACATCATTCTCCTAATGTTGACCCACATCTAGTTTAGCACTAGGTTTTTGTTAGCTTAACTGTTTTTAATTAGTATTGAGTTCCACTTCGTCCATTCCTTTGGTTTAGCACTGACAAGAACAAGCATTACCCATTTAATCGAGTAGAAAAATTAATTATATTATATTTATAAATTAATCAACTTAATCATCTTTCGTTAAACTTTGCGATAATCATCCGAGATTGTTTAAAAATTAGTATGACTTATTTGAAATACAAAATTGATTTGTTTTTTTATCATATCGATTTTTATAATTAAAATTAATAAAAGTATAATGAAGTGCTCGTGCAACAATGATTTTATTATACAATTTTCAGATGACAAATTGTACATCTAAACTTGTATTTAAATTGTATCGATTATTCATAGGTAATAATTCACAAAATTTTATCCCAAAATATCAAGGATAACCTGAACCTATTAATGAAAGTAATGATGAAAATAATTAAATTTTACGCTTTATGTAATAATTTACCAATAAGAATCTTGATTAAAATTCTTTTAAATAGATTTTTGAGTTCAATGCAAATAGTTAAAGTGTATAACATTATATAAATTGTAGCATTTTAAAATGTCATTTGATAATGATAATAATTTTAGAATCATGAGTTCTCAATAGCCTATAATTAATCAATGCCTTTGCGAACATGAATAAAAAAAACAGAAAAAATAAAAACAGAAAGCGAAACAACCACAACCTAAACCGACTATTGAAAAAACGCAAGAAAACTCAGATTCTAAAACATCTCAAAAATAATCGAAAGCTCATTCTTAAGTGAATGAGGATATTCGCATTTTTGAAGATAAAATTCGATCATATACATCTGACATAGATGAATCGAAAAAAAAAACATTAAATCTTCCATTGGAATGGATAAAAAAATTGGGAACTTAGAAGAAGAAGAAGTGAGAATGATAACAATACACAATCTTTAAAACAAATCATTTTAAAATTTAAAATTAGTTAATTTTTGAATTATGTATCAAATTCAATATTTACAAATATTACATACAAGATATATATAAAATATAAAAGATCAGTATGGTTATCAATTAAAGTTCTCCAATAATGCCAATCTAGCTTGTATTTGGTTGACAAGCAAATCATTTAATTTCTCTTCTTTTTCAACATTTATTTTTGTATTAGTTTCCTCCTCTAACTTTTGTGCTTCATTATTTAACAGCTTTATTTAATCTAAAGTCTTTTACACCCTATCCTAAGAAGAAATTAGACTATCATCAAAAATGTTTCTCTAAATATTGTAATGTTGATACCCATTAAGCTGGTTATACATCTTGCACCTTTTTATGCATGTGAATACCCTCAGCCTAATCCTTTTTCTTGCATTAAGTTTATGTAATTGGTGACAATTTTTAAACTTATTGATGCCTCACTTTTATTTTGATTTCTGGCTATTTTTTTTCTTCGAGCTTGTCATCTACCTATAATATTTTTTCTAGTTTTTTAATTAAATATTTATCTATTTATTATAATTGACTAACTTCAGAGCTGGTATTGTTAGATTACTCGTGCAGAGAAATTGGTTTGGATTTTGAGTTGAATAGAAAGGCATCTGAAGGATCCTCATGAAAAGTCTTTATAACTGGTCTTGAGTAAATCTCTTTAACAATTTCTGAATACTTTGATTAGACCTATTTTCTTGCTTTTATTTGTTATCTTTTGGCTATCAATCTTAATTGCTCCTCTTGCTATTCATGGAGTAATTTAATGTAAGTATTAGATCTCTAAAATTCTACTTATGGAACCGACTTTTTCTTATTTTATCTTTCCATTTCCTTAACAATTTTATTACCATCATATTGCTATTAATGTAATAAAATTGAGCTGAAATTGATTGGTTAACAGAGATGTTTTTTAGATGACATGATTTGTTTATGGAGTTGCTCTTAAATTTATCTTAATTCATTATCCTTATTTTATATTGCGATCTGTTCTCTTCTAATCCTTTCTTTTATTAGGAGAATTTTCTTGTTTTCTTCTAATAATTGTTCTTTTCTATTATTTTCTAATTCTTCCAAAATCGATGACTTGTTTAATCTCTGTTTCATAAATATAAATAATTTTATTATAAATTATCATGATTTCTATTTTCATTTCTTTATTAAAACGCTTTGTATCATTCTTTTTTCGAGCATATATTTATAGATTAAGTCTTTCAAAACTACTTTGTCAATGCATTTAAATAAATTTAAGTCCTTTACTTCAAAACCCTAAGCAGCAATCATAACCCCTCGCGCACCCGACTTCCCTTTTTTATAAACGGACCTAAACTTTGTGATAAATTCGGCCTTCAATAATTTGTAATAATTTTGAACAATTACTAATTATAGCTTTCTTTTAAGTATTAATAAAATTTTACCCATCCAAATAAGGGGATTTTTTAATCTCTTCATCAACTTAAAAATTTATGATGGTTTTATTCATTTGCTTTTTAATTTCCTTCACCTCTAATAAATTAGATAATAATGTATACTTTCAATATCCTCCTTCTATATCTAATTGTACATGACCCCCCAATATTTATTCCATAACATAATTATTCTTTAAACATAAGCTCCAACTTTTTTTTTATAATTTCTATATGAATCAATTACTGTTCTAATTAATCGTCTAAATCTATAAGTTTTTTGAATAATTTCTCCAATCTAACCATAACTTTTCATAAAAGAAAAACAAATAAACTCAGCTCTTGTTTTTACTGTTTTTTGATAGATTTGAGCAAAAACACAAAGACTTTGCAAAGTTTAAAATTTTGTCCTTTATTAAATAGTCTCGCCATGTTTAGTTAGGTACTTCTTTAAATTTAATCTTGTTCTGTGTTTTTTCCTTATTATTGTGGCTTCATTCATCATATGATTCGCCATATACTATATCGAATGATAAAAATAGTTACTATATATTTAACTCGAATAAGCCTACAAATTAAAATCGAATAGAGGTTAGCCAACCAACTTTTTTACTATTCCTTGATTGATTGATCTATTTGATCTCGAACATTCAAGATATCTTTGATAATCTTTTTTTTTTAAGAATGTTCATATCTCTCCCTAATTAAATCTTATTTATCTTAATCTATGATTTATTTATTAACTAAAGTTTCTTAAAATCTCTTTGCTGATTAAACTCTTCTAATTTAGAGCTACTTTTTTTGAGTTTCAGGTTCATATTGTCTTAAATTCATATTCATCAGTATTAAATCCTTTGATTATTTCCTTGTTAATGCGCTACTTATTCTACCTGACATAAATGCAGTCATTGGTCTTTCTTTTTCTTCCTAATCTTATTTTTATAACTTCTGTATTTTCATTCCATATTAAATCTTGGCATGAATAATAGATTATTGTTAACTAAATATAGCCATATACAAAAATGGAGTAGTAAAAATGTTATCTTCTCCTGGCTCTGTATATCTTAGTACCTATTTTCTTTGAAATGCTTCTTCAAAATTAAATCTATTTGGCGTTAAAGTGTGTCTTGAAATATAGAATTTCATTTTTGCTTAATTCGTAAAAGTAAAATCTAGGATTTTAATACAAATACATACTAATGATTAATGGTTTCTTATGACCAGCTAATGGGACTTCAAAGTAATGGAACGTACATAATTGCAGATGTATAATATTAACTAATTTAGCATCTAATTGAGCTCTTAATTCTGAAATCACATAACCTGGTTATTTTTTTACAACTTCCGTTTAAAAATTGTGTTCAAAATCCTTTTTTGAAGGTACAATCTACTTAAGTTTCCTGGCTTCCAATTAATTCAATAACTCATAATTTGTATGAATATTGTTTTGCTATACAATCGAATTTTTAAACTCCATAGTTTTCATTTTATTAAATACAGAATATAAAAAATAAATTAAAGAATGTTTTTAAAGTATGAATTAGACATTCAAAGATAGTTGGTGTAATAATTACAAAAGTTGATTACATAGGAGGTATCAACAATCATCCTTAATGTAAATTGATTTGTACAATATAAACAATTTTGGCTGAAATTGTATCGTTATATCACGACAAATGGATCCTATAATTAGTAGACTTGCTTTATTTTTGTTGAATTAATACGTTTCTAACTTAAATTGAATAGACAAGAGGATATGATTGTGATCAAGCAGCTTTTTATAAGGAAAGTAATATAAATGGTTTGGAAGAAATTAAGAAATGTAATAATTTTGAAACAATTCATCCTTAAGATGGTGAAGCACAAGATATTGGAAAGCTACAGAAATGCAATTTAAAACTTAAAAAAAAAGATGTTAATATGCCGAGAAAGGTTGTGAAGATATAATTATGTGTTACATTTGATTAATAAAAATTATATTAATTATGAAAGCCTGCTTCCTCCTGATTACTATACATAATTTAGTTTATGGCATCAACTATTCCATAAGAGGATAAAGTAATCTTCTCGATTTAGATACTGATAATGATAACTTGTAAATTAATGAAGGATTTAGAGAAGCTGCAGATCTCATTTTTGGAACTCTATTCTAATATATGCCCTTTATGGTGTTGGCTCTTATATTTATTTATTATGCAAATAAATTCTTTCCAACCAGATAGCCAAAAAAGATTTTGAAAAAATTGCCTATCCAAAAACGATGATTATCATTTTAATTGATATTAATAATTTCTTACTATTTAGTAACTATTTCATCATTTTAAGATACCTTCCATTGTTTTTTTCATTTAAAATATTTAAAGAGATTTAACAATAAGAACAATAACAATTCTCTAAGAGAAAAGAATGTTAGAAGGAGACCAAAAATAAATTAAAATATTAAAGTTAATATTTCTTTTTATCATTTTCATTTATCTCTTTTTGATTTCCAATCCAATAATGCTTTTAAATTTTTATCACTGTTTGCTACTAGTTTAATATAATTATCTAAATTTATAGTTGAGTTTCATACCCATAAATGCATTCGCCTTGGCTATACCGTAAGTAACTCTAGCTCTGTCAATTAATTTTCTACTCTTTTATTCAGGTTTCTCAGACTTAGCACAATCAAAGTGTTATTGGAAATATTCTAAAGATTTAGCTGTGTTTCCTTTGCTCTAATATAACTTAGCCAAATGTAGTGCAGCATCGGATTAGGAATTGTATAATTTTTAATCTTTAGCTAAAGCATAATAACTTTCCAAATGCTTTTAGGCTTCATCTACATCGCCTTTCTTTAGATAGCATTACGCTAAAGAGGAATGCGCCTCCATTTCCTTTTATTTTGAATCCTTAAATATTGTTAACAAACTATACTTCTTTGTGTAACTACTTTACAATTTCCAAGAATTTATGATGATATTGAATACTTTTTTAGATATTCTGCATTTTGAAATATAACCCACCAATTTTGTTGCATATAACACCTTCAGATTCTAAGTCTCCTGCTTTCTAGGCTGCTTCTCTGCATTTATCATAATATTTTAATGATTATGCGATTTAATCATTGTCCCCCTTCTCATATTCTTAAGCCATTCTGTTGTAGATTTTGATCAATTCGGTTGACATTTATTCAACTACCGAATCCAAATTCTATAATTATTCGCATTGTTTCATGCTCTCCTCTAAGATTTGTATTGCTTAATCTATCAAGCCTACTTGGTAATGACACTTTGCATATCCTAGCTTGCCTTTGCCCTCTGCTTTAGCTTCCTAGCATAGCATAAATAATAGTTTTTACCGTGTATTATCTTGATATTTGAATTACTCTTTTATAAAAATAGGCTGCCACTATGTAATCTTGGTATTCAGTAAAAAAGAATTCAGCCAAATTCAAGTACTCATTCAATGCCTAAGTTTTGTCTGGATACTAGTATTTAGCGTTTTCTTCAGCGTTCTATAACCTTTTTTTTAAATCCAACAAGAATTCTTCATCTTAATTAATATATTTTTGGTGAACTAATTTCTATGGAGAAAATACTTCTATGATTTGAAAAATGCTCTTCTAATGAAATTCCTGAAGGTTAATAAAATAATTTTGGGACGGTTTCATTAGTCACATAAAAAAAATCAGCATAGGATTAAACATATCCATTTTCTTGTGGAATAAAAATGTGATTTACATAGTATTTCCGCAGCAATGGATTCCTTATTTATTTTCCCCTGAAATTCTATTCTCTCTTCCGATTATGGATTTTATTATTGCTAATAATCTAACATCATTATTACTTTTTAAATTTTCTTTTGGGGATGCTTGTCAGTTGTGATCTACTTTTAAACCTAAGCATCAGCCAATCCTTTTGCCTTAATAGGCATTTTAATGGGTTCAAATTTTTTCTCTTTTTATTGCATTAAATATAAAATTTAATGGATACTAAAGTCAGTGATTCTAAATCTCCATCGAAATCAATTAAGCCAAGCATATAGGATTACATTTCCATAGGTTCTTTAGGAAGAGGAGCTTATGGAGAAGTTATCTTGGCATAAAAAAAAACTGACAATCAATAAGTAGCTATAAAAGTCATTGATAAAAAATTTTTAACTCGAGTATTCATTTATCAAAGAACTCTTAGGAATAAAAATAATACTAAGTTTATATTGAAAGAGAAATGCTTTTATACCTTAAACATCCAGGGATTGTTTAGTTATATTCTACTTTTTAAAAACCTGAAAAATTATATTTTGTTATGGAATATTTAGAAGGAGGCGATTTTGGTGACTTTTTGAAACTACATAAAAGTAAAAATAGTTGATAACTTTAAAGACTTAAGCTTTGAAACTTTGTAGTTTTATCTAGCCTAAATCGTTTTTATTTTGGAGTACATACATTCAAAAGGAATTGCACATAGAGATTTGAAACCTGAAAATTTGATGTTATCAAAGAATGGTCATTTAAAATTAATCGACTTTGGTACTTCTATGGTAGTTCATGAGAACAAAGTGCCTACTGAATTTTTGCAGAAATACAAATAAATAAAATCCTCATTCTAGATATAAGAAGGATCATTCATTAATAGAGCCTCTTTCGTTGGAACAGCCGAATATGTTTCACCAGAAATGCTAGAAGAAGAACCTTGCGAATACGCTGTAGATTTATGGGCTTTAGGCATCATATGTTTTAAAATGTTTACAGGTGTTACTCCGTTTAATGATAGTACCTAATACTTAGTATTTTAAAATGTGAAAAATGCTTAATTAAGAATACCAGACAGCATACCAAAAGTCGCTGCTGATTTGATCTAAAAAATTCTAGTTAGAAAACCCTCAGATAGATTAGGTAGCTAATCTATGAATGATCTTAAATCTCATCCATTTTTTAAAGGAATTTAATGGGATAAGTTATTCCAAATGCAACCACCATAACCAAAGGTTGTATCTGTTAAATCTGTTGAAAAATCAATTGACCCAGATTTAGAATTGGGAAGAAAAAGAAAATCGAAACTTAAATTTTATGGGGTTGTTCAATACAAAATTGGATGGTTTATTTATAGACCATTAGATTTAGTATTAATTGAAGGTAAAGAATATATGAAATTGGCTCTATATGATCCAGAAACAGAAAAATGCTAATTTAAAATAAAATTAGTGGAAGGAGTATCGGTTTTTAGTCCGAAGAAAGGATACATGGTAATTAAAGATCAAAATAATAAAAAATTCTAAATAAAGGAGGTTGAACATTCAATTGACAAGTGGTTAGAGGTTATTGAGAAATCTAGAAAAAATCTGATTAAAAAGAAAGAAAAAAGGCAAGAAAAACCATTATGAATGTCTTACTTATGATTAATATTTCATACTTTTTATTTTTTTTTAAATTTATAAAAGAACTCCAAAAAATTATTTCAGTTTAGGATCAAAGTCTAGTTGAAATAATCACTTTAGTGATATATTAATACAAATGAAATACTTTTATTATCGAAAGTATACATTTCAATAATTTTATAATGCTGTAAAGTATTTTCATCTCTACAAAATTGTCCTTACTTCAAATTCATTAAACTAAACCATTGTAGATTTACTCGTAGGCTATTTATTATTATTTTGATCTTTAATTTGAAGAGAGCACTAAACATAGTGTTTCGGTTGCTGATCTAAGACTTTTTTCCCCTATTAATGATTAAACTTTCCTTAAAGTGCTCAAGGTAAACTAGCAATAGAAAAAACAAAACCTCATCAGATTGATATGAGATATCATTAATTAGTCGAGAAATTAGTTCGAATAAAAATAATTCAACATCCTTATCATCATTATTTTCTTTATTGTAAAAAGTCTTTTTGAGATTTAATGGAGCTATTCGAGCTTATTTTTTATCGTTTTGACCATGTGCATAAGGACAATCGGTGCCATTTTTACAAAATCCTTATTAATCATATTTACATAAAACAGCTTGAATATTAAACAAAGTTACTTTTATAGTTTGTTATTATGATATTGCTATCGAGTGTTGGGATCTGAAATGGTATTGGATCTAAATGAATCTATAAATTACCATCAGGATTTCTTAGTTCATCTAAGCCGTGAGCAAATTAGCATTTCATACCAAGGGAACAATTTCCATATTCATAATATCTGCAAATTGATGTCTTATACAGTCGACCATTTCCATGTTGAGGGATAGTAATAATTGAGTGGTTCATTAAATAAATTTATTATGGATTTAATTTAGTTATCATCGATGATATTAAATACACTCTTATATGCAACACTGTATGTGATGAGCAAATATATCTATAGAATATAGAAACAGAGTATTAGATTCATTTTAGCAAGAATTGTCGACAAATGATAAATAATTGGCTAAAGCATTCCGATATCAGCGAAGGAAAATAAAAATTATAATCATGGGTTTGCCTACATTGCTGTGTTTCGCTCAAAACTATTACAATTTATGCCTGAGATACACATAGTCAGAAAAATTGAATATTTTTGAGTGCTTAAAATAATTTGATACTGAAAAAATAGGGATGGGAATATTAACATCTTTTTATATGACACTATTATTATACATTGGCCCTGTGTATTAAGAATTTTGGGTAATGATAAATAATTTATATCCAGAATGGGAATCTGAGGGAGAAATTTAGTAAAATTAAGTTCAACAAATTCAGATGGGACTATTTTACAAAGATTGTTATTGTATTATTTATTACTTAAATTTAAAGACTCCTTTAATAGATGAAATTATTTTTAGAGAATTAGTAAATAATGCTGTGAATGTTAGATATTAAAATAACATTGAGTTTATCATTTATTCAACATTTTTATATAGCCTAAGTATAAAAAATACTATTGTAATAGCGAAATCATTGTCTTATTAATTAAAGAACGGATAATTATCACGTTACGAATTCCTTAAAACATTTGTATTAGGATTGTACTTATCTTTTGTTTTGGTGCAGACAAAAACAATAGCAACAGTTATCATCAATCATGGACTTATGAATTTTATGGGAAGACCGAACTTTTTGGATCTAGTAAAAGGAAAGTACAGCAATGAATAAAGATAAAGTATAATGGAATTCACTATTTTAAGAAATGATACAGTTTTATGTCCTCGGTTTCGTCGCCTTTCTAATTTTTTGTGTTTTAGTTTTGTGATTTTATTTATTAATGGATTAATATAAAATAGTGAAGAGATTGGGAGATGGAACGTACGGATGTGTCTACAAAGCAACAAACATCAATACAGGCCAGACAGTTGCTATTAAGAAGTTCAAAAAAAAATATACGTCTTGGGATGAATGTGTTAACCTTCGAGAAGTAAAAGCATTATAAAAATTAAAACATCCTAATATCATTAAACTAGTTGAAGTATTCAAGGAGAAGGATGAGTTAAATTTGGTGTTCGAATACTTAGATAAGGATATTTATCAACAATATTTAGAAAATCAAAATAATGGAAAACATTTATCAGAAGATAAGATTAGGTCTGTAATAAAGTAAGTAACTGAAGGTTTGGCCTATATGCACAAAGCAGGATATTTTCATAGGTAATTAATACAAATATTGTAGAGATTTAAAACCAGAAAATCTACTAGTATCAGGGGAAACAGTTAAAATATGTGATTTTGGATTAGCAAGAGAGATAAGATCTAAACCACCATATACCGATTATGTTGCTACAAGGTGATTAAATTTTCAAATATTTAGGTGGTACCGGGCACCAGAAATCTTGCTAAAATCTCCAAACTATAACTCCCCAGTTGATATATTTGCACTTGGGTGTATTATGGCTGAATTATACACTCTCAAGCCTTTATTTAATGGTAGTTCAGAATTGGATCAGCTTTTTAAGCTCTGTTAGACCTTAGGTACACCAAATGTCAGAGATGTATTTTATTCAACTTGATTATTTATAGTGGCCTGAATCATAGAAATTAGCAAATGCTGCCAACATCACATTCCCAACATACAATCCTGTTTAGTTAGAAAAAGTTATTCCAAATGCGTCATCTGAGGCGCTTGATTTGATAAGAGACATGTTAAAGTATGATCCATAGAAAAGACCTTCTGCTAAATAGATTTTGGAATATCCTTATTTTACTAACCATTGTTTCCCAATGATCCAATAAATTGAGAATAAACAAGAATTTCCTAAAATAGACAGAGCAGAAAGACATGATAAACAAGAAGATATATTTGAATTACCTAAAGTCAATAATAAAGAGAATAGAAATAAAATGAATGAATCTAATTCAAACTTTCTAGACTTATTAGAATAAAAGATGGCTGAGTATGATAGACCTATAAAAAAAGAACTTTCAATTCATAAGAGTAGTGTGAAGGAATCTAAAGAATTTTAACCATAAAAAGACTATAGGGATTCAAATTTACCAATGATCCAAAATAATTTGCCTAAAGATTACTTAATTTCGAAAGACTATAATTAGAATGATTCCCTAGATCCTAGAATTGATTCTAGAAACAAAAAGGGTTAGGCCGGTTTAAAATTTTTAAGGCACAATGATCCAATTGGTGAATAACTAAGAAATTAATAACAATTAAGTATACAACAATCTAGATCCTATGAACCAACCAAAAGAAATATTTATGATTTTAATCTCCTATAAATGCCGATTGCTAAACCTACATTTCAACCTAAACTAGAAATGCCCAAATAGAATAAAAATTAGATGCTTGGATAAAATTATCCCAAATCGTTACCAATTGCTCCAAATATGGGATATAAGTATCAACAACAATAATAATAACAACAGTATAAATTTGACGATATCTTATATGGTAAGCCTCCACTTAAATAGTATTATTGATACTTATAAAAATCTATATCTATATATATACAAAATAATTATTCAAACATGTATAAAATATCTTCCTATCGCTGATAAAAACCTCTATTTATAATCATGTGGATTGATAATTGTGGGGACCTTATAATATGAGAGTTATTTTACTTTTCCACCTTTGAGTACAAATTTCAGGAGCCTTTCAGTTTCTTTATCCCATGTGTAAAATCTCAAATAATCTATGATGCCCAACTTTATTTTTTTCTACTTGTTGTTGATAATCAATAAAAGTGAATAATCAACAATTTCCTTCCTTAGCAAAAATTTGCAATCGCTCTTTCATTAACTAATTATACATACCTAAAATGCTTTATCATTATAAATAAAACATTCATTCTATATAAGAATCGGCTCTGCATTTCTATCAATTATAAAATTTGTATCCAATAGGACTTTGTTTACTTTCTTTTCCCATCGATTTGTTTCGCTTCCCTTTAAATCATAAACTAGCAAATCCTTTTAGTTGCCTATACCATAATATAAATTCTCCATAATTAAATAAAACTCAGGGCTACCTTTGTCTCTAATCTCATACATTCCAAATATTTTACAAAGTAATGAAGGTTTTTAAGATTCATAAAAATGTCTATGCATTTGTCTAAAATAATCTAGTGCAAACTCTTCAAACATTCTAAATTCCTTCTCCTCATCAAATTTCTTTACAACAAATAATTCATTGTCTGATTTGAAGAACTTGGATGATGACTTTCCGCCACTTGCATTCCAAGATCCTGTTACACTTAGTGATTTTATAAATAAATCTAAAGTAATTCCAGATGAGGCCCTTAAAGCTTCAAATTAAGTAGGGAAGTAGATCAATATTTTTTAAACTTTTGACTTTTTAACAGAAAATTACTAATTCCCTAAACCATTTGCATTTGACTATTATGATGATATGGTTTTGTCCTCTTCTTGAAATTATTCTCTACTGGTTGATGTTTTCATACCCTTTATCTTATCATATTATAATGTAATTGTGATGTAGTTTTTTTCCTTTTTTTAAGGTATAGATTACTGTAAATTTAAATTTAAATTAGTATCAGTTGTTGCTAAGGATTCTCTTGGATGACTCTAATCTTCTTAGTCCCATTTTCCTGATTATTGACCAGATTTAATCAACATTAGCCTACTTAAAACAATTTTCTATTATTCCTAGTCTGCCTTTTAAAAATCTAGCTTAAATTATAGTCATACTTTCATAATAGTTTATTGCTTTCAGATAATTTGGATGATTTAGAGCAAATGCTAGGGAAGCCAATGGCTGACTTTCAAAAATAGCAACAAAAGGAATTATTTTTCTATCCCATTATGTCTTCTTCTATTCCTCTATAAATTAACAGATAGGCCATTCTTTTAAAAAACTACTAAAAGGGTGTTGCTGTTTATCGATCATAAACGAAGGATTGTCTAAATCTTTAACCGAATACTAAACATTGGAAATCTTATTTGAGGAGGTTTTGATTGGTTTGCCTCCCATGGGCGATTTAATATCTCCTAATTATTCACTCTAATGTTCTATATCTTCGCCAACTACACTATCAGAATGAATGGTCTCGCAATCTTATCCTGACAAGTGACCTTAATTTATTGGAATTTAAAAATCTAGTTCTTTTTAACTTTTGATTATGGAATTTTTATGGAAAAATTTTTTCATTTCTGCTTTTATTTAGTCTCCTATCTCTTGCAATTAAATGCTCAAAATATAAATAAACTATTGTAAATCAGAAATTGAATTCATTCCTGAAAATTTGTCTTACCAGCACTTTTCATCTGCATATTTTTCAATGTTCTCTGTATCAAAAATTTTGGAGAGAGTCTTCTTTAATTATGATAATTAAAAAATGATATTTTAGTATTTCTGATAAAGATCCTTTTTTTAATTTTAAATATACTCCTTTTCCCATTTCTTTAAATTATCAATTATTTCTTAACTTAGAGTGTTTTGTATTATTGTAGAAAATACTTCAACTTCCCCAACCTATATTTTCACCATTGATTCATCATACATGAATATTCTCTATAATTAATGATTACAGTTGTTGGATGAAGAACTAGTTTATCTATCATTTAAGTTTTATTGATTTATTAATATGGTTTGCATAAATCTAAAAAAGGAAAAATCTAAATTTTAACTAGACAATTTAACGATATTCGAACTTAGATCACATTTGCTACACTAAATATATGTCTCTATTTTTATCTTTTTTTTTTCCCCCTTCTAATTTGAATGCGATTACTGAACAATCTTGCTGATATCCTTTGCTGTATAAATATTATCCTTTGTTTCATCTTCATTTGACAATTAAGAAAATTATTATGAGACTTAATTTGATAATTAAGGAGGCTCATTTGTTGATGTTATTCTTCCACTTCTATTTTTCTAATCAACGCTTATTTTAATATACTTATCTCCACAATAATAAAAGGAAACATGAGCTATTTTTGGTAAATGACAGAATTCACATTTGTTGTCCTTATTTGCTATTTTCAAAATAATAAATTATCCTAAGCAAACATCTTCACCATGATAAAATACTGACTTTTTTTCTTGAGGTTTATTACACATTCTGGCCATTGAAAACTCCTCTAATTTATCTCTTTGAGAAGGATGTTTAGATTTATAATCTTCCAAGCTAGAAAAATCTTTGATGTCGTTAAAATTGCTTACATCTGCTAAAACATAATTTATTTTAATGTATTTTAATTCTACTATGAATAAATCTTTTAAAGGAACCTTTTCAAATAAGAAGGTTGTGAAATTTCCTTAATTAGAAATTGATTTTAATTGATTGTTTTTAAACATTGAACACTCAGTTGTTATCAAATGAGATTCCAGATCTTAATGTTTGCCCAATCTCGCACATCCAATAAAACATTACTTTAATTTAGATAATAACTCTTCAGAAGGTCCACTTAAAGTGATCGTAGCAAATTTTTAGCATTATGAAGTTTTTAAGAAACATAAGGTGGAATCTTTTTAGATCTCACCTTTCTCATTAATAGGTTTTGGAAATTATTTAAAAAAAACCTTCTCGCATCGGCCTACAATTTATTCCTATCGTTCGATGCAATGTTTTAGTGTCGACAAATTTATAAATTTAGCATTTGTACACAATTTCACTCTTTTTAGAACCTACTTTTTAACATTAGTCAACACGGTAATTTTTTTCTTGACGCATTCATCTAATGCAATTTTATTAGCTCCTTTTTCAACTAAAATCAAATTTGGTTCATAATTTTTATAAATTTAGTTTATTGATTCAACCAAGAGCTTTTTTTCATTTTGAATATAATCTTCTAACTAATTTTAAGAACCCTCCATATCAAAATCACCTATTATAATAATAATGACAGGTTTATTTATTTCAGATTACATTTACTTTAATGCCACATTTTTTCGAAAAATAACCCCAGGAAAAAAGCTAGTTAATTGTTCATCATGATAATCAATTATTTTTATTTTTATAAAATGATTAATATCCATAAGGTTTAGGTTTAGAGAATGAAATTGAATTTCTTAAATACATTGTGTAATCAATATTTTCATTTTCGATTTCCAAAACTCAATGACTTTTTCATAAGGCTTATTAGGCTAAAGAACATTTTGCAAAATGTATTCACATATTTTTTCTAAAAAATTACTACTCTTTTCCTATAATATCGTTAATTGATCTTTGGCAATATCTGAGTCTTCAAAAAATTCTGAAATGTCATCCTTCTCTTGATTAATTTCTAAAAGCGTGTCATCCTCCTCCTAAAATTATTAGCCTTCATTTCCTTTGACTATTATGCTTTTTGAAGAGGTAAAAGTGCCAACATTATCAAATTATCTTGAAGCGTTTTTAGAATGAGAATATCCTTCTTTTATGATTGTACCTTTTAATGTTGTGTCTTCATTATCTACGAAGAATCCTTTGTCAGCTATCAATTAATTAATTTTATCGTAACAACGCCTACAGAATCGAATTTTTTTCTCTCCTTCATTAAGAGGTCCATCAATAAAGTGATTTGAACAACTACATTGTATATATCAATATACTCTTAACAAAAAATATATCCACATCTTCTGCAATGATGCTTGCGTCTAAATAATGCATTAAACTTATTATCACACATTCCACATTAATTTATTTCTTAATCTTCCTTCCACTTTTTTTTAGGAATTAATTCATTTTTTATTATATCAAATCGTGAAGCTGATTTCATAAATTTATTATTAAAAAACACAATATATCACATATTTGAAGCAAATTGTAATTCATCATATATTCATGGAGAATTAGCTGATGATATGAATCGTAGGTTATAACATCGTAATAATTTTATTATTTTTATCTATAAATCAAATATGAATGGGTGCTTTACCAAACTTTTGATTAAAATATTCTATATTCTCCTGTTGCAAGTCTTTTACTTATTATTTCAATCTCTTGATATTTTGTAGCATCTCTTTTTCAGAAAGAGGTTGCTAAGAATTAACTCTTTAAATTTCTTAAATTCTTCTTTTGCAATGTTTTGCTAGTAATTACAGATGATTTTTTTCTCGATCATGCCAAATCTTATTCAGTTCGAATAATAGGATTTCTAGAAGTTCATCAATCTCTAATTCATTTTTTGTTTTCAAGTATTTATCTTTGAAAGCTTAAGCAAAATTGAATGCATCTCCAGGAACATACAATAATTTATCATCCAAATTGTATAACGGATTGCAGCATGGACGATATTAATAAAATTCTCTATTACAATTTTTGCAGAGATCAAAGGTTAGATTTTGAGGTTTTATAGGATATTTGATATTTTTAATTATTTTTAATTGAACAGAGTTTGGATTATATTAATAAATTCCTTAATTTTCTAAACTAGGAGTAAACCCAAGAAGTTATGTATATATCTAATTCTCTGCTCTCAAATGTTCTAATTCAATCCTAAATTGTGCCTCAGCTCCCATTGTTTATTAGAGTTCATCAACTCTATTTTATAACGTTTCTTTTCTTGATTTCTATTTATCAATTTCTAATTCAAATTGTTATATTTTTTATTATGTTCCACTGCATGCTAAATTAGAGATAGATACCATAGCTTTTAATTTTGAAATTTCATTATTTTTTTATTCTAATTCTTTCTTAAGTTCTAAAATTACCTTATCCTTTTCATATATTTAAAAGTTTTAAAATTGAGTTAATTAACCACTCATTTCTACTCCTTCGGACGATAAAAGTAATTATTTATGTTCATTATTGGTGATTTTTTACAAATTTAATTGATCAATTAAAAATTTACATCTCTGACTTATTGTTTCAACTTATTCATTTAATGACCTAATTTTAGATTCAAGTTTCTTATTTTCCTTCATTACTTTTTTATTTTCGATTAGAGTTTGGGTAAGTTTCTCTTCTAATTATTTCATTTATATATAAATAAAAATAATAAAATTAATATGTGAACTAATGCTGGATTTTAATTATTCATCAACTTATGTATTA